ACGTCTCTGGGTTCAACGTCTCTGGGTTCAACGTCTCTGGGTTCAGCATCACCAAGTTCGACGCCGCTGGGTTCAATGTCCTTCAACGGCGTTTCAATCGGCTCAGGACGGCGACAGACCTGGACGCTGTCTTAAAAGCCCTGGCAACTAGGAGTTTCCCCATATATTTATTATTGAAGCTCCAGGACATGGCAGAACATTTGTGTCATTCAGAAAGGTGACCGCTTCAGTTATTTCAAGAGAGAGTGAAATTGTCGCCACGTCCGGATGCCAGACTTGCACAATTAACCGACGAACAAATAATGTTTAAACAAACCCCTTCCGCATCCAGCGCGGAACAGCGCTAAGCAAACCGCCCACACTAATAAGAACCTCGGACACGAAGCCTTATATAATCCTCAGCCAAGAATCCGACCTCGTAAAGCCACCGGCCCACCGCGTAGCTCTTCGAATGATACATCGTCCGACACTGCAGGTAGAAAGAAGTGGAAGGCGCTTATACTCGCGCATGAATAATGCGAGCGGAGGTTCTTGGCTGGGCGGGGCAGGACTTGTGCGAAGGAAGTCATTCTATTGGTAATCGTCGAGTGTGATGGGATACTCTTGGGCGTGGTACATATATACTCTAGCTGATGCCAGGGGTGTCGCCAGGCGCGGACATTCGCTACCTCCCTTACGGAAGTACTGGACTTAAACCGAGCGAACCATTCCATTACCCAGGGGGAAAACATCTCTGAACATCGCTCCGTCCCCGCCGCTGAACCTTGACTTCGTTGATCCGAGCATACCGTGATATCGCGCCCACAATGTCCTCCATGCCCACGACGCGCCGCATAGTGACGGGCCACGACCCTGCCGGCCGCTCTGTCATCGAGTCCGACATGGTCCTGACCCCCGCGAACCCCGTCGACCCCGCGGGCGCACCCCCCGAGGGCATCATCCCGGGCTTCACGAACCTGTTCAAGACGACCGGGTGGCCGGCGACGAACGTGCAGGGCGACTGGTACGATGCGCACGGTAAGAAGATCGGCTTGGTGGACGAGAGCGGGGTGTTTGGGCGGATTGTCGACTGTAAGTGTGTGCCTTATGTCCTTGATGTGGGCGTGCGGTGTCCTGGGGCAGGAGGAGGAGAGAATTCCGGGGTCCGGCCTGTCACTAAGTTAGACATATCGATGAATTGGACGAGTCGAGTCGAGTCGAGTCTGTGCTAACTAGAACGTCCAATCCCTCAGTCCCCCCCACAAGCGACCAGCCCGACGACGTGAACATCACGCACCGGACGCAGAGCATCGACTTCGGCATCGTGCTGAAAGGCACCATCACAATGGTCCTGGACGACGGATCCAAGACGGTGCTGAAGGAAGGCGACGTCTGCGTGCAGCGCGGCACAGACCACGTACGTGCGCCCCTTTCTCTTTTGCTCGCCGCCTTTCCCCCTTCCTCCGTAACGCATGTTTTTCGTCTGCGCTAGCTAATGGTGGCTCGCGCAGGCCTGGAGCAACACGTCAACGGAAAATTGTCGCATGTTCTTTGTGCTGGTGCCAAGCGTGCCCATCCGGAACGAGGCGACGGGACGGATCTTTGAGCTGACGCCGATGGGACATCTTGAGGATGAGGCGCATGTTCGTGCTGCGAGGTAAGGTGGCTGGTAGTGGGATAGAGCAGGGTAGAAGGAGAAGTGGAAGGGTGATGGATGGTGGAGAACCGGAAATACAGTAGATTGTGACTTGGATGTCAAAGGGAGGTTGCTTGTTTCGACGATGCCCTGGCATGTCGGACTGAGCGAGACATATGCAATCCGTCTGAGCCGGAGTGGCTTTCCATTGACGCTCAGGTACCAAGGCAAATGACATTCGTAGCTTCGAGGTCGTATGGGGGACGACTGTCGGGGGATTATATATGTATATAAGCCCAGGATATACTGTCTCACGTCTGGCTTTCGCCCCTGGCAAGTTCTTCTTCCAAAACCATACCCCTACTCCCTGAGCGACTACCGTCTTCGCAACTTGTAAAGGGGCCAGGTCCATACAATTTCTGCAACTCCTCGTCACAGCGCCAGCGCCATTCCCGGGCATAAACAGGGTCGAGGTTGCCTTCGATCGCGTCAACGATCTTGTCGCCTATCACGGGAAAGAACTTGAACCCGTGTCCGCTTCCTCCGGTCGCGACGAAAAGGGATTTATATTGCGGATGGTACGTTATCAAGAAATCGCCTGTTGGTCTGTGATCGACGTGTTAGCGGGTGCCATGCCGTCCGGAATGCAGGGCCAAGGACAACACCAGAATGAAAACCGACAAAAGAGGAATGAAAAACTCACGTATCGCAATACCAGCATAATCTTGTGCGGACAAAGGGTCGATCTGCCATATGCGGTACCATCTCTCCGAGAGCAGCCCTCAGGGCTCGTTGTCCTTCTGGGGGTATGGAGACACCAGTCACGGGAACGCTGACTTCCACGTACTCATCACCTTCGCTCCCGGTGGGTTGGATGTTCTTTCGGGGAATCTTGACCGGGTTGACGTATCCAAAGCCATGCCGTGCGATCTTGAGCTTGTTGTCTCTCGGTGGGATGATGAACATGCCCCGACTCATGTTCATGATGACCGGTCTGTCTCCCATGGCCGCCTGCTCTTCCTTGGTGATATCAATAAATGCAACTACCTGGCCAGTGGCGACACATCGGCCCTGTAAATCGATCAATGTTGGAGACCACGCGCCTGCGGCCAGAATCACCAGGTCCGCATTGATGGTCTGGCCGTCTGATAACTCGGCTCCTGTGCAGGTGCTTCCAGAGAAGGACAATTTCTCGACCTTTGCGCCGCTACGAATAGTGACTCGATCACCACCCTCTTTGTGTATCCTTCTCAGTGCGTACGCTACGCATGCTTCAGCGTCCGCCCACCCCGAGTTGAAGTTGGCATATCCGTATTCTCCTGTGACGTGTTCATATCCCGTTGCCTTCTTGATCTCGTCCTGGCCACGTAATTCTTGGACTTTGTGGGAATCGAGTCCTCCCTCAGACGCGACGCTGAGTACAGATTTCATCGCTTGCATAAGGTATTCACCCGCGCCAGCGTCGGCAGTGAGCACGAACCCAGGCTGATGGTATCGTCCTTCGCCGCCCCAGCCATCGGGAGATGTGTCGCGCCAGAAGCGCTGCGACTCACTGGCAAGCCGGGAATACAGAACGTCTGCATAATCGGCTCTAACGATGCGATTGGCGTCAACAGAAGAGCCAGACGGATTGGGTAGCTGCGATGAGCTGTCGACTATGGTTATTCGACTGCCCTTGTATGCAGATCTAGAGAGGAGGGAGAGCGCAGTGCTCAGGCCGAATTCGCCAGCGCCTATGATCAGGATATGCTGTGCAGGGGACGCGTTAGCCATGGCAAGTCTAATCACGATGATCTCGGTGCGCTTCCTCTGCCAAACCTACTCTGGTACATGGTGTGCGCGCATTTTGTCTGGCAAATCCAGCAATTGCTACAGTGGGACGCAGGACGTTCGTTGTTCTCCGCTACAGGGCGGATCGATGGTCGTCGACTCGTCAGGCCACAAAAGCGCCGAGCGAGGCCGAAGGCTGTGTGCATCGGCTCACTTTCCTATCTTGTCATCCTCTATGGTGCTTGCAAGAAAGGACGACACGATGAAACAACTCTGTGAAGCGATTGCTCTCATTCAACTCGTATCACTTTTTCGCCGCCACGAACATTCCAACTGACTCTTCTGGCGGAGGCCAACCAATGCGCCAGAAGAGTCAGTTGCCTTGCGGCTACTTGACACCCTGGGCCGGGTCACCACGATGAGAAACCATGGACGTCCACCCGGTACGGTCGTGACCAACAAGACCATGTACTCTTCGTGCCGAACAATGTTGCAACTGCGCTGCTTCAACTCCTCCTTCCACGAGGCCCACTCACTGTCTTTCCCCTGACCAGATGTTACTCCGTGTTACTCTCCATACTGCCCTCCGACTGAGCTGCCAAGCTCCGCCAATGCTCTGGAGTAGCGGGCTTGCCATTATTGGCACACCTCATCCCTCCATGCTTGGTCCCCTCAGCCTTCTTGGCTGTAACTGCATCCTGTTCATCCTTGACTTGGCGGACGAGCAGTCTGCGTTTGCCATGACTTGATCGCCCAGAATCGCTACTTGGCCAATGCATCGAAGGTGCCGCTCGCGGTGCCTAGAATTCCCAAAGTACTGCGCACCTTGACACTCCCCCCACAGATCGTTATGACGACAAGAAGTCACCAAGCCACGATGTCACATCGATCAGAATTGCGCTGCGCCGATGTGCAGCCAAGAGGCATCAAGGACTCTTGGGTGTGCGGGGAGAGGAAGACATCAGCCAAGGGGTAGTTGATGTGATATAGAAGAGTGCTCTGGAGATCCTTGACTGTCCCTCGTTTTTCTTTTCGTGATCGCAGATTCAGAAACCGGTCGTACTCATCCTCCCATGGCAGACAGCAAAGACATCCAGTATGAAAACCTCGAGGCTTCGGGAAGTGGCCGTCGACGTTCCACCGTGGCAGACCTGAATAGAGACCGGAACTTGGACGCAAAGTAAGCTCTTGAGGTGCTCTTGACTCTCCGTCCTTGACTAAGCTTGAAGGATATCGAACCCTCTAGCAGACATTCCTCGAGAACAACTCTTGAAAGATGTGAGTTGCCTTGGCCTGTTAACTGTGCAAGCGCCGTGTGCTGATGACCTATCCCAAGGTCGAGGAGTTCGCTGCTCGTACCGGCATGACCGATGAGGTCGAGTTAATCAAGAAAGGCGCTCTCGTTGCGCAGAACCCCGGCAACTACGAGAACGTGACTGATCTCGACGATGCGGAGAGAGAAGCTCTCCATGTCGAAGTGACCAAAAAATGGCGCCACCCAAAGCAACTCTACATTACCGTCGCAGTCTGCTCAATTGGCGCTGCCGTCCAGGGGTGGGATCAAACAGGATCTAATGGTGCCAACCTTTCTTTCCCCGAGGTTTTTGGTCTCGACACGCCCAAGGGTCAACCTGGTTATGAACGGGACTTTTGGATCATTGGTCTTGTCAACGCCGCTCCCTATATCGGTAGTGCTTTTCTCGGCTGCTGGCTTTCGGACCCCTGCAACTATTACCTCGGTCGACGTGGAACCATCTTCGCCTCTGCGATCATTCTCATAGCCACCCCTCTAGGTGGTGCATTCAGCAAGACCTGGGAACAGCTATTCGCCAGCCGCATCATTATGGGTATCGGAATGGGTCTGAAGGGTGCAACTACGCCAATCTTCGCCGCGGAAAACTCCCCGGCTCCCATTCGTGGCGCCTTGGTCATGACCTGGCAATTCTGGACGGCTTTTGGTATCTTCATGGGTACGGCGTTCAACTTGGCGGTATACTATGCCGGTAGCATCGGATGGCGCCTCCAGATTGGGTCCGCTTTCATCCCAGCGATCCCGTTGGCGGCTCTGGTCTATCTTTGCCCAGAAAGCCCTCGATGGTATATCAAGCACAATAAGCATCGGAAAGCTTACGAATCATTGCGGAAGCTTCGAAGACACCCGCTTCTCGCCGCCAGAGATCTCTACTACATTTCTACCCAGATCGAGATCGAACATGAAATAGTAGGCGACTCGAGCTATGTCTCTCGCTTCTTCCAACTCTTTACCATTCCTCGACTGCAGCGCGCAACTCTGGCCTCGTTCGTCGTCATGATCGCCCAGCAGCTCTGTGGTATTAATATCATGGCGTTCTACTCGTCAACGATATTTGCGAGTTCTGGCGCTTCAGATATCGAAGCTTTACTCGGCTCATTCGGTTTCGGCGGTATCAACTTTCTTTTCGCGATTCCGGCCTTCTTCACGATTGATACTTTTGGACGTCGATCTCTACTCCTTTTCACATTCCCCCAAATGGCCTGGACACTGCTAGCCGCCGGATTTGCCTTTTACATTCCAGAAAGTAATCAGAGTGCTCGGTTGGGTGTCATTGCGTTGTTCATATATCTCTATGCAGCATTCTACTCACCCGGAGAAGGCCCGGTGCCATTCACCTACTCTGCCGAGGTTTTCCCGCTTTCGCACCGAGAAGTTGGTGAGTTCACTCCATCCCGTGATATGTGATGTTCTCTTTGCCTGCTACATGTCTTTCTCTAGCCATTTTTGACTCTTTTCTACATCGGCGCGTCATATTGATACAGTAACTAACTCTTCGACAGGGATGGGCTGGGCCGTTGCAACCTGTCTCTTCTGGGCAGCGGTACTGAGCTTGACCTTTCCCAAGATCCTCGAAGCTTTCACACCAACAGGTGCTTTCGGATTCTTCGCAGGCTTGAACATGGTTGCACTTCTTATGATTTTTTTGTGGGTACCGGAGACCAAGGTAAGTCTTTGAGTGGGGTGGCGCGGTAGCCTTGTACTGACCAGCGTCCTTTCCTCTCTGTGCCCAGCAACGATCCCTCGAGGAGCTTGATTACATCTTCGCTGTGCCAACTCGCAGGTTCATCAAGTACAACGTTGGTACCTGGCTCCCTTGGTTTATCAAACGGTACATCTTCTTCAACAAGGACGCCGAGCTCAAACCCCTGTACCACTTTGATGCCGGCATCGTTGCGGATTATAGCGCGCAAGAGAAGCGTGAGCGTGATCCGAATAGAAGGACTTCTCACCCTGTTCATCAAAATGAAACTGAGCAGGTGTAATTGCAATGAACAGTAATCTGTCTCGGCCGTGGGATGGAATGGAAAGATGGTGATAGGTGTTGGAGAGGGGATGGGCCAGAGACGTGATAAACGAAGGACGAAGTTGAGGGTTAAAAAGGAGGCGAGGTCAGCCGTACAATGCGGTGAATTGCGTTGGTATTTCTCGCTCGTTACAACCATAGTTACAACTTGGCAGAAAAATGAGAATGAAGTATGATCTGTTTTGAAGAGGCAACTTCGAGGCAACTTCGAATCTGGACCCGTGAAGTTGCATTAAATAGTTGCTCTTTGTTTTTGATCCGTATCTTTCATATCATCATTATGCTTCATGGCTTGCTACGACAAGTCTGTGGCCTCCGTTGTGGACAGGACTACAAGTACTCGGTCCCGTGGCCAGTAGAGTGCAGAGGCATTTCAAGCCACATGGTCATTAGAAGGTAAAGAGAACGTTGTTTGTATGAGTCTATTGTTGAGAGGGTGGTCCGCTTGGGGAGATGCTGCAGTGTAAGGGGGAGCGAGCCTCGTGGTGGAGCCGAACTAACTACCACCTAATTAGTCCCTCCCAAGTAAAAGCAGCGCAGAACCTCGTATTCGCACCATCTCCGCATCGACTTGGACTCGGAGCTGCCAGAAAAATAAAGCGTAGAATGACAGTGTTCTTCTATTGTCCAGCCTCACCCTCGACAACACCATTGTCCTGCACGGTACTTGACCTGCCTCAGTCCATCTCGATCCTTGTCCCAGCAGAGATGTTATGACCACACCCCCTCCGGACGCTACGAGCACAGCCAGCCTAAAGGTAGCCATGGCGGAACTCGCACTGACTGCGTCCTCATTGGGAAAGTCGAGAATCCCTCACCTCGCATTATCACTATTGTTGAAGCGAGCATGTGCGGAGTCATGGCGAAAGAAGATGCCCGAGATACATACACTGCGAGGAATCTCTCGCTATGCTCCTTACTCGGCTCCGACTTGCCCTCCTACTACAAGAACAACGACCCGTTATAGGAATGGATTTCCACCACGAAGATTCGCATCGTCGACGACATTCCCTCGTCCGCCACCTCCACCACCGACACGCGCAAACAAGGTCGGCGACAGCACGAGCAACAGCAACAGCATGCCTCCTCCGCCTCCTCCATCCCCTCGCACCAGTCTCGCGTCCCGCCGCACCGGCCGCTCTTTCAACCTGTACTTCTACTCTGTCTGCGGAGTCGGGTTCATCCTCTCGACGTACCTGATGTACATGTACACGTCGTACCGGCGGGCGGTGGCGGAATCGCAGATGCTGGACCTGCCACAGAACGCCGACGTGTCGTCTCGGTGGATGGACCTCTCGCGCAACTTCGACGACGAGGTCGACTTCTCGGAGCACTTCATGCTCCTCGGCAAGCGGCGCCGGAACCTGTGTCGCCAGGCGGTTGGGAACGTGCTAGAAGTCAGCGCAGGCACGGGTCGGAACCTGCAGTACTACAACCTCGACCCGCTCCGCACGCCGCGGGACAGGCGCATCAAGAGCCTCGTGCTCAACGACCTCAGCGAGATCATGGTCTACCAGGCCCAGAAGAAGTTTGAGCACATGCAGGACCACACCGAGAACATTGCCAAGTTCAGAGGCGACGTCAGGTTCGTCGTGGGCGACGCGAGCGACAGGAGACTCATCGCGCGGCCCGACGGCGGCTTCGACACCATCGTACAGACCATGGGGGTGTGTAGTATGGCGAACCCCGTGGCATTTCTGAGACGGTTGGGTGAGTTGGTCAGACAGCCTGGGGAGCGGAGCACGGGTGTGAGTCTGGGCGCGAAGGCGCTGAAGGAGGAGGAACCACAACAACGAAAAATAGATTATGGAGCGGAAGAGGAAGCGCAAGAGTCGGAGAAAAACACAGCAGAGAGAGAGCCGCAGAGTACAGTTTCTGACAAAGGTGGAAAGATTCTCCTGCTGGAACACGGCAGGTCGTACTACGGCTTCGTCAATCGCTTCTTAGACAACAACGCCAAATTGCACGCTCATCGGTACGGCTGCTGGAATAACAAGGACATTGACCAGATCATCCAGGACAGCGGGCTGGTCGTCGAGAGTAAGAGGAGGTATCATCTCGGTACGACGTATGAGTATGTTCTGAGGCCGAACCCGAGGCAGAGAGCGGCGGAGAAAGAGGTGACGACTGCAAATGCGACCAGCTCGAGCGATGCTGTTGCTGTTACTGCTGCTGCTGCTGCTCCTGGATCGGAACAGAGTAAGTCGGCTTGGTGGAAGATTTGGTGAGGCTCCCTTAGTCGGTATGTACCGAACTGTACCGTACCGTAACCTTGGTGCATAATACTATTTGTATACGTGGATATGTACATAAATACTCTGTGCGTATGTATTCTCATGTCGCCTCGTGCTTTTGTATATATTCCCACGTCACGCGATCATAGTGAGTTCTGTAAAGACTATTTACTTGACGAGTATCGCAGGCTGTATACAGATGGATGGTCTCAGGACTTTAAGTACAAGAGCCGGTGGTGCTTGATAACATAGACCTTGAGGTCCGCAGTGCATATCTCTCTCTCCGTGGATGACCCATGAGAAGACACCTACCTACCTACAGTGTCAGTAGGTAACCTAAGGGGGGGCAAAATTTGTTTACACCCATGTCGGTAAACAGCACGTGGATTGACGTGAACTGTACGAAGACACACACACACACACACACATGTACACGCATACAATACACCACTCCGACAGTAAACGTGCAGACATGGTGGTATCGTAGATACGAGGAATCGTAAATGGTGATGGGGTATTGATATTGGTCCAGGCGATGCCCCATGCCACGACGACACGACGACACGACGAGTCCCACACCCACCAACTGGCCTTGTAGGCTAGATCATGCCGCATCGTGTTCGGACGACTATCTAGGTAAGTACAGGGTTGTGAAGAGGGGGGGGGTTGCAGGATGCAGGTACGAGTACGAAAATACAGACTTCGTGCGTCCCCGTTCAGAAATAAGGTACATGTTGACTTGGGGTCACCTGCAAGGGTGATAGACCAGGAGTGCCAATACCTACCTACTGTACCAACTAGAACAGACTGTCTGCGGTCCCGATTGGGACGATGTTGACGTGGTAGCAACGCTTGCGATCGATTTGAAAATGCACGGCATGGGAGGGGGATCATGCAATCGGAAAGGGGGGGGAATGTTTGGGAAAGAAAGTCGGCAGATGGGAATCTCACTTAAACTCTATACCTTCTTTTGTAGGCAAAAGCAGACATGGATTGAATTGATCGGCAAGAGGAGCGTCGTCGTGTCCCACAAAGTACGTTTATAAACGTTTGCTAAGCCCAAACCATCTAAGTAGTCTCACAGAGGGCAGAACCTAACAGATTCAGAAATGCATGCAATTGGCGACGCAGGCGAGAAGGGATGACAGTGCTCAAATACTCACTTCACACAGGTTGGGCAAAGTCTGCGATAATCGATGATAATATATCCAGGCCCAAGGATCGGTGGAATGGAACAGCTGTGCCACAACCCCGCATTGGCGATATGGTCGTTGAATTGAATCACCCAAGAGGAGTAAATTGTGTCACTTTGCTGGCACAAGTGGTTTATGATGGTCGAGGCCGTCTCCGCATCCTGTGCTTGTTCTCTGTCGTTACATCACTGTACACATCCAGGTTCGGCGGGAGTGTTAGAATAGTAAAACTGTTGGTGAAGAGACCTGAAGCGGAGTCAGTCTGACACCACATCCACATGCTATAGACTCTGGTGATGGCGGGCATCGTGCTTCTGAGAACGAGACAGGAGCATGTGAGTAACATGGAGATCAGAAGCCGGTACCGTTCCATGCGGTATTCGATTCCCAGCTCGAGTTAATGCATTCAAGCATGTGCGAAACTAGTGCCTCAGACAACGTACGGTAAAGGCAAACTCTCTTCGAATCATCCCGTCCAGTGATGCTGCGGGCTTGGAGAAGTGTCTGTGCCATCCCTGGACCGCCCTAGACTATTGGCAGTTGTAAGCGGTTCGCAAATCCGCCTGCACGATAAGCGCAGAGAGAATCAAGAGACGCTTCCCTGTCATTGCTTGCGGGGAAAAGGTACTGTACTGGTACAGGACTGTGGGCAAATAGGGTTGCACCTACACAAATGTGACATCTAGTTGGAAGATGGCCGTGTTAGTGGCTCTCGCGGTCGGTTTCGACGGCTCTCGAAAGGGATCTATCGCCAGATCATTGAAGATAAGGACGACCTGGAGAGAAGATGATGGTGTTTTCGGATAGATTAATATGATGTTGCATGGTCCTTCGGATCCGTGCTGCGTTTGAACGACGTCTGTCAGGTAAGTGCATGTTTTGACAGCCGCTTCGGGACAGCGACATGTTTTGGGGCACCTGAACTGAAGCTATGGTCATCAATAATCTGCATCTGAGGTGTTGAGCATACGCAAGGAAGGGTTCGTCGCTTCGAGCCGCCCTTGATTGCCGATTGTGATTGTACACACCTTGGGCACGGTCTTTCAATAATCTGAAGGTCGCTGCCCCAAACGGCTACTCGTTTCGGACGTGCTGGGACAGACTTTCACAAGTCGCGGCACAAGATAGGGTATTGTCACGTGACGAACCTGCAACCTCTGGCAGAGGCCCAGCGGAACATCGGTAAGTGGACTCCTCAGGTGAACCTTCTTTTCCACTGCCACGCTTGACAGGGCTTGGTCGCCGAGATATACGTCAGCCATAATTATTGGCATATGGGTTTCGAGAAGCTGATGCGACCGAGGCGATTCGAGTCGTTGGAGGCAATGGTGTGCTGCTTGTTTGAGGAGGGGGGAGATCTGAGATCGCGACCTGACAGAGGCTGGTTCCTTACCGCTGCCATCGTCGCTGGCTGTTTGCTTGACAGCCCAGACTCACGATACCAGTCCACCGTGGCTTGCTGTCAATAGCCGACAGGTTACACCGTTGTTAGCGGGCTGAAATGAGGATGGGAGTGTAGTCCTGAGCAACGGCTGTTTGTGATGCCTGAAGCTGCCTCTAACTTCTGGCTGCAAGCAATGGGACGGCAGATGCATGACGGGGCTTTGCAATTAGCTGCTGTGGACTGGCTGGATTGACACTGTATACAGTGCGATCGTTTGCGGAATAATCCAGCGTGAGCGAAAAGAGATTTTCAAAAAAAAAATATTATTAGCGTGGATGGGTTGCGGTGGAGCAGATTCGCAAGCGAGCGATTGGCCTGCAGCGGTGGGAGAAAAGCGGTGCGCGGTGTCATTGAGGAGCCTAGTGAGGCCTTAGTGAGTCCCTCTTTTAAGCATTTCCAGCGGCCCCTTCTCGCGCCTAACGAGCCTAGAAAGCGGACTGCAGGCCTGCTAGGCCCCTAACAGGGCCCCAAGAGCCACCCCCTGGAGGATGCAGCTGCAGCTAAACCTTGACCAAGTATGCCATTTCTGAATGGCCCATGTTACATGTTACAACATCCTACCGTCATACAACCACACCACCAGCAGTGTCAGCAATGCGCCAAAACACTTGGCTTTCCTGGCGATCCTATCCAACGTGGTCCTGCTATGGCCGGATCCTGGCTTCGATATAGTGGTCTGCTTCGTCGGTCGGAGGTAGTTCGCGATGAACGACAACGTAGGCTGCATGGCTCGCTTTGCTTTCATGTGTGCAGAGGCCTCTATCTATCCGGACGTCGCGCTGTACGAGGTCCAGCCAGGAACCCTTCACCTGGATAATCGGCTTCGATTGGGTGGCCACGTTCCAGTGACGAGGAGCACTGGCTACGATTCGAGTGAAGGGTCAGCCATCCCGCTTCTATCACAATAACATCACCTATCGCACTGTCTCACACCACCGCCACCATCACCATATGTTGCCTGCCGGTGGGATCCGGAGTCCCTGGTGCCCATTTCTGGTGTCGATGGTGCAGTATATGGCAATACGAGTATATCCCTCCTTTCTTTGCCTTGTTCTAGGCTCCCAACATTAGCCCAGATTCTGGCTTTCCAATGCCGGAGCGATGATACCTGGCGCCAGGTTCACTACCGAGGCTGGTCAATGGCCACAGGTTGGATTAGACGTAATACGTTGATGACAGGCCAACCAAACCTCGAGGAGAGTGTGAAGCATGAATAGTGGCAGGCCGCAAATGGCTCTACGACGCATCCGCGCTCAACTTAGCACTGACTCATGACGGTTTAGGCGTTGGAATTTTCCCCCTTTAGGCCTAGACCGGTCCTTAGTGCGAGACCCCCGTCTTTAGCGTTCGGCGCCTAGTGTGTGTCTAGTCGACTCTCGGATCTCACAGCCCTTTCGATCCTGCTTTGGGCGGCCCGCTTCTTTTTTTTCAGTATGGGCCACATTTTTCCCTCGTCGTCGGCCTCTGATGGAGACGAGGGTTTTTGCGTTGCGCTGAGTCGCTGACCCTACGAGAGACACCCAAAGGTCCCTGCCCATCGACAGACGAACGCCTCCCGGCTACTGCCACTGCCACTGCCATAGCTAGAGAACCCGGCATTCTGCATCATACTACACGTACCAACATTCGCCTCGCCTCGCTTCGCCTGAATTTCCTTCCGCCTTCATCTTCCTCTTCTCTCTTCAGCTTGCTCCTGCTGGCTCCTGCTGAGCATTCCCATCCCAGGAAACTCGCTTCTTGTCCGTACATTCTGTCTGTATAGTACCATCCCTCGCCATCCGAACCCTGTGGCCGTGACCGTGGCCTCTACGTACCTATATTCTCGCGCCTAGTACAATAAGCCCCCCCCGGAAATCCTGCCTCTTACGAACCCTCCTCGCCAAAACAGCTGGACCCTGGGGCGAGCCGCGTTCAACACCGTCCCCGTCCCTATACAAACAAATTTTCGGGACCTACACACTCTGGCTCCCGGTCGCCGACACTGCTACCGAGAGCGCGCGAGATCCTGTCGTCGTTGCTTACCGCTGTTTGACCACAATCACCAACCAAGTGGTTAGCGAGATCTTGGGACGCAAGGGAGGCGAGAACACCACCGGTCGAGCTGCTCCCGGCATCCTTGTCGCAGGATTTCCAGAATCCCTATTGCTCCATTCCCCCCTTCTCCGGCACCTTGCATTACAGCCACGCATTCCAGCTGCATTCGCCCTCCAATCACTCGACTACGCCTGTCGCTGTGACACTGGCGACTCTCCCTTGTCAAACCTGACCGCAGCCTGAATCATCATCATTCGCAACCCCCGTCCCATACATTTTCCCTACCACGACATTTCGCCATACTCTACTTCCGGGCACTGTCTCTGTCTCCTCTGTCCGTCCTCAGTGTCGTTAGACAGAGCTTTCTGCGACGACACGCTCATCTTGCTGCCACCACCACATGACATTGCCTCGCCATGCCCTACAACACTCGCCGGAAGTCTCTCTCCCTGCCCTCGCTGGGCATCCATCTCCCGAATGGGTCTCGTGTACACCGCCCGAGTCTGAAGGCTACACCAACCCCCGACACCACTCAATCTCCTCCTGCAAAGAAATTGAAACGCTCCCACGACTCCGATGAGCCTCTCTCTCCTGTGTCGTCGCCTCGATCCAAGACCGGCTCTCCTGCCCTCGGCCTGCCCGAGCCTACTCTATTGCCACGAGGACCCCCCTCAGAGCAGACGCCTCCACCTTCCCCCAGGCTTGATGCGCAGCCTGCACGGAAGATCGATACTGAAGGCATAAACGACGACATTGTCATTGCGGTCATTGCGCAATTGGAGAAGACGGGCAACCGTCCGCACCTCATCAAAGATCTCGCGGCCATTCTCGCTTCTACAAACTCGAGCATTGCACAGTGAGTTTCCCACCTTGAATGATCTTTAGGATATACCCAACGCTAAACATGTCTACAGTTCTGCAAACCCAGCTGCCCTCCTATCCTCCCGTCTCAGCCTGTATCTGAAACGCCCATGGACCGCATTGTCACCGTGCCCTCTGGCGAAAGAGCTTATACCCGTTCACCCAAGAAAGGTGTTCTTCTTCCTCACCACTCAACCACGCCTTCCATTGCCCACCTCGTCGGACGATATCCTCCCGCCATCCATTGTCAAAGCCAAGATTCTCACTCCGAGTGTCTCTGAGCACAGCCAAACTGAGGACGAGATAGACTTGGAGCAGCGGGAAAGAGCACGGTTGTCACCCAGTCCGGAAGTAGAACTCTACTCTCCAGAATTGGACCAAGAAGACCCCATGCGACCCCCTACCCCTGGCGAGCCCTACAGCAATCGCAGTAGCTTGAATCCAGACGGCCTGGCTGAAGTGCGGCGCAGACCAAATCGTGCCCCTAGCCCACCGCTCGAGGCCGATGAGAGGGGATTCACCGAAACAGCCACCGCTGTGCGTGCTCGTGGCGTGAGCTTGCACGGTCTCGTCGTCCAGCCCTCGGTTGAGGTGGACACAACCATGGTTGAAGTGACTGAAGAGACCCCAGAGCAGCGCCAGAGCCGTGACCGTGAACTGGGAATGGAACTATTTGGACAGTCGCATCCAGGCCTCAACCCTCCCGAGCAGAAACTGTTTTCCAGCAGTCCCATGATCCAAGCAAGACAAGACCCTTCCTCTACCATGGGGAGGATGAATGCGGGACTACAACTGGACGATCTCGACATTGATGAATCTTCCTGGGCCATGATGAGTCCCGAGCAGATTGATGTCGACGAACTTGACGTTCTATTCACAGGCTTTTGAGCCAATGCATCTCTTCTCGGCTTGGACACCAATGGGTCTTCACCCATGACTCCCTCTCCACTTCCAGTCCCATGCAGGACACTTCTCCATCATGTCTTCTCCAATCTTTTCGTTGGCATGACCAGGTAGCAATCTGTCTTGATATCAGCGGGTGTTTTACATGGTTGTTTGCTGCTGGACCGGCATGAGATAAACATAAGACGATCAGTAGATGATATGTGAGGAGATATGATATGATGTATGTGCGGTTTGCCTCGGTAATGAGCAGATGAAACACTATGTAGTATTAGCAACCAAAAGCTGTCGTTGAGCAGCAATTTTTGAGATTCTTCCAGAGGCCATTTGATCTTGCAATGGATGGGAGTCTAGGAGCAACCGAAATGGCAGAAACGATGGTCGCGTGCTCGCGAGACCAACAAGAAAGTCCAAGCAGGTCGATGTACCAGCGTTCCGGAGCCCGGAAGCGTGCAAAGTGCCGTTGTGTCAGGCAGGAATCATGACAACGAACGAACCATGGCATGGACATTGATTGTGCGAGCAATGCGAGCGAGCGTGAGACGGAGTAAGATAGATAAGAACGATCGCCGTGGGTTTTGTCTGGGTTTAGGGTTTCCCCAAAGGGCAAGGAATACGCTGGTGTTATACGGGGGTTTAGGAGAGTCCACTCAGGTATACAGGCTTTCGGAACGGATAGATTGGGTCGCCGTTTATGCATCCGTCCTTTTATTAGTCGTACAATACTCAGTCTTTGCTTCAGCTGCATCATTCCCTATTGGTGACACACACTCGCGAGGGCAAGGCTGTGTAGGAGATCTGACAAGGTCGTTTGACAAGGTCGTACTACAGTTCCGGCTACACAAGGACATCACAGCAACCATCCTGCCTTTTGGGATCTACGTGTCTGCTGTCAGAGGAGGAGTGTTCGGTCTGAGGTGTTCTGCTATATACTTCCCGGCGATGGCCACGACAATGCCTGACCGAGGTCGACGGGCTATAATGCTATCTCTACGTACGCGCCATCTTGGTAGCGATCTGGTCAGTGTGTACGTACTAGGACACGTTGGAAGGGCGGCGCCATGATACATGAGTATGTAGGCATGATCGTACTTGATACCTGCGGGTGGGAAACAGATCGCAACGACCGACGTCGTATTCCTCCTCGTACTCCGCATCTCAAAGCACGATGCCAATCCTCTGCGCCTCGTTCATTGCGAATCGAAAAGATCAATATTACTAGTACTTGTGATTGTCTGTAGCACTCAAGAGAGTTTCGTTCAGTTGTTCTGGGTGGATACAGTAGTTATACTTGAGATGTTCTCGGATGCAAAACTCTATGCGCCCCGGATGCAGACGATCCTATACTTGTGCAAGGCGGCGAACCATCCGAGATCCGATGCATAAACACCAGTCACAGCATAGACCAGGAACGGTCGAATGCCTTTTCCGGCAGCCTCGCGTTTATGCCTGCAGCCTCGACAACTTCACTCCATGCCATGGCTTCAAATTTCCCATCATGCGGTTTCTACTCCGTCCTCCCATCTATTATTGATGGCTTGGTCTCTTGTCCGGCGTTAAGGATTGTGCCGTCATCTCTTGTGTTTTTTTTGTCCTTTCGGTGGTTCTGCATCCGATGAATATTGCGTCTTCGTCCTTCTCACAGCGGGCCCCAGCGATCGTGCCACAGACATCATATTCTTCCTTTCGACTGTATATATCTCCTTGACCTTGCTGTAATAGACATTCGCACTATTTTTCCCACCGGAATCCTCTGCTTCTATTCTTGCTTACTTACCAGTTACGTTCCTTTTAAGCTTTCTGGCCATACCATATCCCTTCGAGTCAACTAACATTGAAGTGTAAATCAATTGGGACACCGAGACCTCTGGGAAATATACAGACAACAGTCCTCCCCACCTGCAAGACATCGTCGATATGTCTCTCGTGGGGAATTTCACCGCCAACGCGGACCACACTGCCGAGATGCGTGGTGCTGGTGCACCTGGCCTCCACCGACGGAGCAGCGAAGTCGAAGAAACATATCATCCGTTTAGCAGACGCTCGCATGACCTAGACCGTCGGACAACCAACGAGTCCTCCAAGCATGACATCGAAGCCATTCAAGAAGCAAAGCTGGAGAGCTCGAGCGGCTCAGAGGACGAGGAAGGCCACGAGCAGATAAGAGAGCTTGCTCGGCAGTTTACTCGCGACTCAATAGGTTCCACGGCTGGTGCCAATCCCTTTCATGCAGAACCAGGCTCCAGTCTCGATCCTGCTTCGGAAAACTTCAGACCGCGCGCATGGACAAAGGCCATGTTCCAGTTAGAGTCCTCGGACGATCGCTTCCTCGCAAGGACCGCAGGTGTTGCCTTCCGTAATCTGAGTGCGCATGGTTTCGGAGCGGCAACAGATTATCAGAAGTCGGTAGGCAATATCTGGCTCGAAAGTGTCGGGATTGCTCGCAGGCTGATGGGCGTTGGGCAACGCCGAATCGACATCCTTCGCAACTTTGACGGCCTGATCAAGCCTGGAGAGATGCTTGTTGTCTTGGGTCCTCCTGGATCCGGGTGCTCAACTTTCCTCAAAACCATTGCAGGAGAAACCCATGGTTTCAACGTGGATGAAGGCTCATACGTCAATTACCAGGGTATCAGTTACCAGGAGATGCACAAACACTTCCGTGGCGAAGCAATATACACCGCCGAGCAGGATGTCCACTTTCCTCAATTGTCCGTGGGAGATACTCTGTACTTTGCCGCTCGCGCAAGAGCGCCTCGACATGTTCCTGGGGGCGTTTCGAGAAACATGTACGCCGAGCACATGCGAGATGTTATCATGGCCATGTTTGGCATTCGTCACACCTTCAACACCAAGGTGGGCAACGACTTCGTCCGAGGAGTGAGTGGAGGTGAACGCAAGCGTGTCAGTATCGCCGAGGCCTTCTTGAACATGTCTCCGCTGCAGTGCTGGGACAACAGTACTCGTGGCTTGGACAGTGCCAATGCCATTGAATTCTGCAAGAGCCTGCGAATTTCAACCGACATCCTGAACTCGGCGGCCGCGGTCGCCATCTACCAGGCACCGCAAAGCGCGTATGACATCTTCGACAAGGCCATCGTTCTCTACGAAGGACGTCAGATTTACTTCGGCCACAAGGATGAGGCAAAAGATTACTTCGTTCGCCTGGGTTTCGTTTGTCCGGATCGTCAAACCACGGCCGATTTCTTGACTTCCATGACAAGCCCTTCAGAAAGAATCGTACGTGAGGGCTTCGAAAACAGAGTCCCTCGCACGCCAGACGAGTTTGCACAAGCCTGGAAGGATAGCCCGGACCGAGCGCGCTTGCTTGAGGAGATCGAAGCTTTCAATCGAGAACACCCCATTGGTGGACCCGACCTGGAGAGATTCAAGGAATCTCGAAAATTGCAACAGGCCAAACGACAAAGAGTGTCTTCGCCATGTGAGTCCTTATTTTCTCGTGTTGCATGAGATGCAACCTCTGCAACTTCCCTGCTTTCCAAGTACTAATCCTCGAGCAGATACTCTGTCCTACGGCCAACAAGTTCGCCTTTGTCTATGGCGTGGTTTTAAGCGACTTGCGGCCGATCCCAGTCTCACTTTAACGCAGGGTAAGTGGCAATCTGATTACCTGCCTCATCTGTCTCTATAGTATCCCTCTGACAATATGCAGTTTTTGGCAACACTTCGCTCGCTTTCATCATCGGCTCCATCTTCTACAATCTTGACCATACCACCAATTCGTTCTACTCCCGGGGCGCCCTAATTTTTTTCGCCATCCTGATGAACGCGTTCGGCTCTGCTTTGGAAATCTTGACCCTGTACGCCCAAAGGCCAATAGTCGAGAAGCATGCCCGATATGCCCTGTATCATCCCTCGGCCGAAGCGTTCGCCTCCATGCTGACGGATATGCCTTATAAGATTTTCAACACTCTCACCTTCAACATCACCTTGTACTTCTTGACGAACTTGAGAAGAGAAGCTGGAGCATTCTTCTTCTTCCTGCTTATTTCCTTTTTCCTCACCTTGGTCATGAGTATGCTGTTCCGGACTATCGCCTCGGTCTCTCGGACACTAAGCCAGGCCCTCGCACCTGCGGCCATTCTCATCCTGGCTATCGTTATTTATACCGGCTTCGCCATCCCTGTCAACTACATGCTGGGTTGGGCGCGATGGATTAACTACCTCGACCCGGTAGCATACGGCTTTGAAGCTTTGATGATCAACGAGTTCCACGGTCAAAGGTACGACTGCGCCACATATGTTCCCAGTGGATCCGGATATGGCGAAGGGATAGCACATCGCGTCTGTTCCGCCGTCGGATCTGTACCTGGCCAGACCTTTGTGGATGGCGATGTCTACATCAACAGTGCCTACAAATACTACGCTTCGCACAAGTGGAGGAACTTCGGCATTCTCTGGGCCTTTTTGTTCGGTCTTATGTTCACCTACCTCGTGGCTGCCGAGTTCGTCTCTGCTAAGAAGTCAAAGGGTGAAGTACTCGTCTTCCGACGGGGACAACAACCAGCTGCACTCAAAAAGCTACCTGCATCGGACGCAGAAGGCGGCAGCTCTGGCGCTTTTGTCACAGCAGACAAAGATCACAGTGAACTGCAGCCCATTTCCAGCGTCATTCAAAAGCAAACCGCCATCTTTCAATGGAAGAACGTCTGTTACGATATCAAGGTCAAAGGTGGAGAACGAAGATTGTTGGACCACGTCGACGGTTGGGTCAAGCCGGGTACACTGACAGCTCTCATGGGTGTTTCTGGTGCGGGTAAAACTACGCTTCTCGACGTCCTTGCGACACGAGTGACCATGGGTGTCATTTCGGGTGAAATGCTTGTCGATGGTCTCCAGCGCGACGACTCATTCCAGCGCAAGACAGGTTACGTCCAACAGCAGGATCTCCATCTCGAAACGTCGACTGTCCGTGAGGCCCTCAACTTTAGCGCCCTCCTCCGTCAGCCAGCCCATGTTCCTCGTGCAGAAAAACTCCGCTACGTCAACGAAGTCATCAAACTACTCGAGATGACCGAATACGCCGATGCGGTTGTCGGTGTGCCCGGAGAGGGTCTCAACGTCGAACAACGAAAACGTCTCACCATTGGTGTCGAACTAGCCGCGAAGCCTCAACTCTTGCTCTTCCTGGATGAACCTACCTCTGGTCTGGACTCGCAAACGTCATGGTCCATTTTGGACTTGCTCGAGAAACTCAAGAACAACGGCCAGGCCATCTTGTGCACGATTCACCAGCCTTCAGCCATGCTCTTCCAGCGCTTCGACCGCTTGCTCTTCCTCGCCAAGGGCGGCAGGACCGTCTACTTTGGCCAAGTCGGTGAATCGTCCAAGATCTTGACGAGCTACTTCGAACGCAACGGTGCGCATGCCTGTCCTCCAGACGCAAACCCAGCGGAATGGATGCTCGAAGTCATCGGCGCTGCTCCCGGTTCGCACACGGACATCGATTGGGTCGAAACGTGGCGCAACTCCCCGGAAAAGCGCGCGGTTCATGAAGAGCTTGACACCATGAAGGACGAACGATGTAAACTGGCCCGGGCGACCTCGGATCCCACAAACAAAGCAAGCTATCGCGAATTTGCCGCCCCGTTCTACCAACAGCTCTACGAGGTCCTGAAACGCGTCTTTGAACAGTACTGGCGTACACCATCTTACATTTACAGTAAACTGTCATTGTGTATTGCTTCGGTATGTGTTTTTTTTTCGTCTTCCTTATTCCTGTCATTCGTGGTGAGGGCTAGCGACGACGACGACTTCGAACCTTTCACAATGAGATCTAACCAGCGTGGTGATGCAGGGCATGTTTATCGGCTTCTCCTTCTTCAAAGCCCGCAACACGATCCAAGGGCTCACGAACCAGATGTTTGGCATCTTCATGCTGATGACCATCTTTGGCCAACTCGTCCAGCAAATCATGCCACTGTTCGTGACGCAGCGTGCGTTGTACGAGGTCCGCGAACGTCCCAGCAAAGCGTACTCCTGGCAAGCCTTCATGATGTCCAACATCATCGTCGAGTTGCCGTGGTCGGCGCTCTGTGCCCTGCTGATTTTCGTGACTTGGTATTACCCCATCGGTCTCTACGAGAACGCCGAACCCACGAACGCCGTCCACGAACGAGGTGCCCTGATGTTTTTGTTCATCTTGGCCTTTTTGTTATTTACTTGCACCTGTGCACACATGGTGATTGCAGGTATCGAGACGGCCGAGACCGGTGGTAATATTGCGAACTTGATGTTTTCACTGACTCTACTCTTTTGTGGCGTACTGGTCGGTCCCAAAGCACTGCCTGGATTTTGGATCTTTATGTACGTGTCTCTCTGCTTTCCTGTTTCTTTTCGCGCGTTCACCTACACTCTGTCTCTCTCTCTCTTTTTCTCTAACTCACCCATTCACCTTACACTCACTCATGCACTCACTCAACCCAACCCAACCCGACTCGACTCAATTCAATCCCTTCGACTCAACTCAATACCTTTTTCTACTGTTTTGACCAACTAACAAAATGCTCTTGTCTTCTTTCTCTCTTTCAACAGGTACCGAGTCTCACCATTCACATACCTCATAGACGGCATGCTCTCGACGGCCGTCGCGCACACTTTGGTCACCTGCGCCAACAACGAATACGTCCACTTTTCGCCTCCCTCGGGCCAGACGTGCGGGGAGTACATGCAACCCTACATCGCCAGGTCCGGTGGATATCTGCAGGACCCAGGCGCGACGGCCAACTGCAGTTTCTGCTCCACCCGAGACACGGACGCTTTCCTGTCCACCGTCTCGGCACACCCTAACTTGATGTGGCGCAACTTCGGCATCATGTGGGCGTACATCGTGTTCAACATCTTCGGCGCGGTGGCCCTGTACTGGCTCGTCCGCGTGCCTAAGAAGAAGAAGAACGGCAGGAAGGGTGAAGAAGTTTCGGAGCCCACGATGAAGGAGTCGGCACCAGAACCGACGCAGCAGAACGAGAAATAAAAAAAAAAAGGTTGCCGGTGGTGGTAATGGTGGTGGTGGTGGTGGTGCTGCTCCTTCATCGTGCTGATGACGGTGGTGTGGCGGTGGTGGTAACAGTCCTGATGAACTACTACTGCTCGTCAAATCTACCTACCTACCTACCAAACCATCGACCAACCTACCTGGAAATCTATCTACCGTCTACCTACTTACCTAACCTGGCCACCTACCTACCTAGTACCTGGAAACCTATCGACCTACCTACCTACCTACCCACCTAATGGGCTCGTTGCTTCCTTTTTCCCTCTTCTGCTTCATGGCAAGACACCTCACCTCCACCTGCCCACATCTCTCTCTGCGGCAATGCCACCTTTCGACCATACTCACCGAACATTCTCGGTTTTAATACACCATATACTTTACGGGACTGGAAATGGGGAGGGGGAGGGGGGGAATATTAATCCACACGTGTGTTTGCGCGTGCTTTTCACATCTTGTCACGCACAGGACTGGTTGTGGGGGGGGGGGGGGAGTATATACGCGTATGTATATACATGTACATAGTTATAGAAATAGATGGCATAGAACATGGCGTTACGGCGAAGAGAGACTGAGAGACTCGACGTCGGACAAAAACAGGGGGGAGGAAAGAAGAAAAAAGAACAGGTAATAAATATATTTTCGTACTGGTCCGGTCCTTCCTTTTACAGTAACACCCAGGTATCATTAAATTCTAATGAGTTCCGATCACATCACCACCGTCACCCATGATAAAACCCAACCCCGTTTCAAATGTATGTATCGTCCTTTGCAATTCATTTCAATTTCATTTCACCACGGTCTAACATAACTACTTGCGTTGAAACATCGACACTGACATCGACGTCAACATCTCAACGTCGGTTTCAGTCCAGTGTCCCCATCCCTACTTCCTCCCTCTCCGGGTGATAATCAACCCACCAACCTTTTCTAACCCGCCGAACAAATACCCCATTCCAAAGCTCCACTTCCTCACTCTGATCGTGTAAATGAAAAAGTAAACGAGCATCCAGTTCGTGAAGACAAAGACCAAGAAGATCCCAAAGTCTCTCCACTTCTGGTCCAGTCTCACGTTGATGGTGGACAAGTACTCTTCGCCACTGGCGTATGGACAGTATGCGCACGTTCCGTTTGCCGTGGCCTCGACGTAACCCCTGCCCACGCTCCGCACAAAAGCGCCCGCGTAACTCTGGCACGTCTCGCCGGGAGGCGCGTTGAACAGGGTACTCTCCCCCTCGCGACATCGGATGGGTAGGTTCCTCATGGTGGCCGACAGGACGCCGCCGATCCAGTACGTCGACGGGACGAGGTAGTAGGTCCAGTACTTCCAAAACACGGGCAGCTGCGCGTACGGTCGGACGACGCCGTTGAAGATGCCCACGACCACAAAGAAGAAGGGGAGGACGTTGGAGATGACGGTGAAGCTCGGCGCAAACGCACAGATCCACTGGCCCCAACTCGACATGAACAAGTAAAACAGCATCGTCATCAAGAAGACGTAACCCGCCGCGCTGCTGTCACGGGGGAGGTTGGTCGGGTAGTACCAGAGCAGCCAGTACACGACGGACGAGACGATGGCCATAGGGATCTCGGCGACCACCTGAGCCGTACAAAAGGCGACCCATCCATAGATTCGGGACGGGTACTCGCGGGCCTCCCACAGCGACCGGCTCTGGTAGAACTTGGGAACAACACCGTTGACGATGGTAGGCGGGATGAGCAGGACCAGGAACGGCGAAAAGAGACGCGACTGGAGCGAGGCCACCGAGTTCTCGAGCTTCCAAAACGTAAAGCCGTTGAAGATGCCAATGATGACACTGACAAAGAGTTTCGCGTACAAATACGAAGGGTCACGCCAATAGTTGCGGAACGTCCGCTTCGTAAGCTCGAGGGTTTGGACGGTGACAGGCGCGGCGAAGGCTCGCTGAGTGTGCGTTTCCTTGACAGGCTCTCTCAATCTCTCCTCTTTGATCCGTTGGATCTCTTTGAGCATTTGAGCATTCTCTTCGGACTCAAGCCACTCCTTGTTCCAATCGACTCGCTTGCCATCTGCACGTCGCTGACCGCCTTTCGCCGCCGTCTCGAGGATAAATTCGGCAACGTTCTTGTTGGGAGGGCACTGGGTACCCCGCTTGGCAAAATACTCAACCACCGCCGACCCGTTCTCGCCGATGGGTCCAAAGTAGAATGGGTTTCCGCCTGGGTTGAGCGCAAGAACCATGTCAAACTGCTGGATCAACATGGATGAAGGTTGATGAATGGTGCAAATGATGGCCTGACCAGCCCGCGACAACTTCTTGAGAAACCGGACAATCGAATACGCTGACTGGGAATCCAGACCACTGGTAGGTTCGTCCAAGAACAAAAGAAGCTCCGGTTTGGCCGCCAACTCGACGCCGATGGTCAACCGTTTGCGTTGTTCCACGCCCAGCGAGGCAATGATGGCATCTTGAATGTCGTTCAACTCCAGCAGGTCGATGATCTTATCGACGTAGTCAATCTTCTCTTGTTTTGGAATGTTGCGGTCTTGTCTCAAGATGGCCGAAAACTCAAGGGCCTCCCGGATGGTGGCGGTCTCGTCGTGGAGATCCATTTGCTCACAGAATCCAGTTGCTCGTTGAAATTCAATGCCGAGCGGTCGACCGTCAACAAGCATGTCACCAGAGACGGTTCCGGTGCGCTGTCGCTGGGACAGTGTATTAAGCAGAGTCGTCTTTCCGGCACCACTGGCACCCATCAAGGCAATCATCAATCCTGGCTTGACATAGCCATTGACTTTGTTAAGCAGCTTCTTCTTTCCACCTTGGTACGGAACTTCACATTCGACATTCTCCCAAGTAAAGACACTCTTGCTCTGAGCGATGTTGTTGACCCCTGGCTCCTTGTCGTCCTGGATCGTTTCGGAAGAGCCACTGGACGACGGATCGTGAGGAACAGCCCCCTTTTCTTCATCTGTCGGTTTCGTGTCTTGAGTTACCATCTTCTTGGCTTTGCGCGTCTTCTTGAAGATCAATGCACCTCCGCCTCCTTCGGCAAATGAGAAGGTCTCCGATGCCCAGGCCGTCACGAGGATGTACAAGACCGTAAAGGCGATCAGAACACCGAGATTGCGCCAAAGATGCGAGCGCGAATAGCCAAACGACTCCTTAGCATAGGCAGCACCATTCACAGTGTTGCTTCCAACAGTCGCTCCAGTCAACGAACAACCCTGGTACGCGGGATCCACATTCGGTCCCTGAGGTACCAAGTTGGACGGTGAACACTGCATCGTTCGATCCGAGAATTCATTTGTAAGCACAGCTTCGTATGCATACGCCACCGGATTGACGTAGTACAACCAGCCGAACCAGATAACATCGGATGTCAACGTTCGCATCGGGATGGTGTAGCCGACAAAGATAAGCAGCAGATTGAGCGCCGTACCCGAGAAGCGGACGGCGTCATCAATGGTGGGACTGAGCGAGGCAAACATCCGGTACAAGGCCGTAATACAGATCGTACTGACGTAGACGAAGAGCAAGTTGATGAAGAACTTGCCCGCTTCGACGTCCAAATTTGCCATGAAATATAAAATGATGGTAAACACCACCGCTTGGACTGCGATCACGGGCAAGTCAAGGAGAACTCTGGCGATGACAACCGCGCTGGGTCGGTAAAAGGCATAATCTCGATGTCGAGCAACGACAACACGCCCGCTGACAGCTCTCATCAATTCAGTCAATTGTAGCCAACCTAGGAACAAAACCGAAAAGAACAGCGCACCGCCACGAGGGAATGCGCCAGACGTGTCAAGACTCTCGCCGTAGAATAGGGAGCCGATGATCAGGGCATTGGCAATAATGATAAAAGCCTTTGTGTAGAGCGAAGTCTTGTCACCCCAAAAGAGCCAGAACTCACGGAGAGTGCAGGCCAATACCTGGCGCCAGAAAGAGACAGTGTAGCTTGAGTCTGAAGACACCAGCTTGCTGTTGCTCTTGGATTGCTCTACGGCTTGCTGGAATCGTTTGGTGTTTGCACAGTCTGTCTGGTGTAGCTGGGCCTCGTACTCCTCCACGTCCGCAATGGTCTGCTGGTGGATTGCGGATTTGCGGAATGCGGCTTCAAGCTCTTCGGCCGTCCTGGGTGTAGAGGCTTCTTTCCCGGGCTGAAACTGTCGCTCATTCGGATCTCCTACGGACGTCAAGAAATCGGCCGTAGTCTGGCGATCGGGAGCTTGAAAACCGAGGTCAATGAAATATTGCCGTGCTAGTCTCGCAGGACCTTGGTAGATGGTACGGCCTTCCTCGATGACCAAGACCTTGTCCATGAGCTCGTAGATGCCTTCACCAGCTTGGTACAGCGTAACAAACGTGGTCCGGTTGGAGATGTCTGTCATGACTCGAAGAGATTTGGCATAGTCCAAAGCTGTAGACGCGTCAAGACCTCGGGTGCTGTTGTCCCAGCAGACGACCGAACTCTTGGTGGCCAGAGTCTCAGCGATACCCACCCGCTTCCGCTCTCCACCGGAAACACCACGGATGTACCCATCTCCGACAAGTGTACCATAAGTATGAGAAATGCCAAACATTCTCAGCAATGCATCAATGATGACAGGAATGGTGCCAGCCTCGTGCATTTTTGTCTTGTTCATCAATGCGAACCGCAGAGTCTGGCCGACAGTCAGGGTAGGCATATGCAGATCATCCTCGGGGTTGTAGTTGACTTCTCCTCGATAATGCTTTCTCTGGTCCTCGGCCGATATACCTCCATAGCTCACCTTACCTTCGACTCCGGCAAAGCTATCGCGTTGGTTTGCAATCGCTTTGAGGAACGTTGTGCATCCCGATCCCGGTCGACCTAAAACCAGCATCATCTCCCCATCGCGAACAACACCGGTGAAATCGTGGATCAAGTCTCGTGTTGGAGGATGCTTGCCCACTCTCAAGGCTGGGACAAATTTTGTCACCAGTCGGTAGAGGTCTGGACCGAAGGTTCCCAGGATCGCTTCAGGCAGCGTCTTCGTAAATGTCGCTTGAGCGCCGACGCCTTTCACTGTTAGATGTTCGTACACAACGCCCACCTTCTTGGCCGATTCGCCTGTCTCTGTTCTCTTTTCAAAATGACCGTCTTTGAGGAAGGCACCGAGGTCAAGGTCATCGTCTCCGCCCGATAACGATGCGGTATCGTCTGCACTTGAGGTACTTGCAAAACTACCGGCCCTGGAAGATCTAGTTACTGTCCTGCCGACCGAAGGCACGGTGCGCGTTCTGCCAAGCCTACTCTTAGGTTTTGTCGCCGCCGAATCTCGCGTTCTCGTCCGTTGCAAGCTCAATCGCGTAAGTTCTCTTCTCATCTGCTCATAATCTGCCATGGCGTCTTCTCGACTGACGGGGCCACCGACATCCCGTTCACCCCACGTGCCATCTCGCGGTTGAGCACGGCTCTCACCTGAATCACGAGGCGACTGCACTGCGGTTGAATCTTCAGATAGTGGGCCGGTGCCAGCGACATTGTGTAGATCGTTGACAGTCGCTGCGGCGGTCAGCATGTGTTCTTCTCCTGCCAACGAGGACGGAGGGCAAGCAACTCACGCTGACGGAAACTGTGCCCGTACATATCCCTTGAATGTGTGTTGAACATTTTGGCTGTATGGTTTCCTGCAGCAAGTAGAGATCGTGTTATTGTGTTGATGTTTCACGGAATGCAGAGAGCCTGGTGGGGGGTGGCTCGAGGCAAAGAGCAGATAACAGAGAAGAACAAATGCCACAGGACCAAAAAATGAAAGGGATGATCGACACCGAGAAAGGAAAAAGCTGTAGATGGCAGTCCAAGGGACTTCTGCGAAACAGGGCAAGCGAGCAAGGCAACGATGTGACTGGAACGGCACAAATAAAGAGGGACGGGACTGAGCCATGGATGTTGGGGTCAACAATGCATCAATAATTGACATGGCCATTCGGACTTTAGCTGGGGGTTACGGAACCTTCCACTATGCAACCGGATTTCTAAGCTGGAGCATTGGCGTTGAGAGAGGGTGAGTGGAAGAGTGACGAGGTGCACAGGAAGGGTCCGTTGCTGAGCGGCATCATAGCAAAAATAAGAATGAAAAAAAATCAAACTAGGAAGTCGAAGCGCATGGTGACAAAAGGACGAATGACAAGGCAAGCAAATGGGGCGCCTCCACATCTGCTACAGGACAGACAAGAGAAGCGTAATTGGCGACGTTGGGCCCAGGATGGCAATGCTGACCCGTATTCGAGGCTCCGTCGGGCCATGTCCTTGCGAGGCGGAAGGCTGACGGTCGAGGCGGAACAAGGGTCGACAGCGGACGGACCTACGGACGGAGACGTCGTACATAATAACATAAGAAAGGGAAAGACTTCACGATGCAATGATTCCACCACATCCCAAACAGTCGAGAAATGACAAAGTCCGATCTGGTGTTCCATATCGCCGTCGGTGGCCACAGTCGTACAATACAATTGGAAGATTACCAAGCCGCCCGCCGCGGACTTTCGATCCTCGAATCCTCGCGCGGCCGCTTCGGACTCGAGTCAAGATGCAGACCAGTGCGAGCAATTCTCGAATCATGCGAGGTACCAGGTCCGGACGACATTGCCGAACACATCTCCGACGACGTGCACAAGGCCATTTACACCACGGCCACGACCAGGTTAGATATCTGTTGGCGAAATCTTATGCCTTGCACACCATCATTGTTACTAAGAGTATCGTGGTAGGTATCAAGCCACCGCCCATCCGTATTACTAAAACACCAGCACCAAGAGCATGCATAATTCTTCTTCCCTCTCTGGCTCGCGAAAAAACTCGTGTCACCCTTATGTACATGGGTATCAGTGTGTCCGTCATCACCAATTATGTATTACATTCCTGGACCAATATTGACCAATCGAAATTCACTCGTAATTCATGAGGTGACACATCTCCGTTGTGAATGTGTCGACTTTTTTACAGCCAGAAAACGAATCCAGCACAGACGGCCATCAAGGCAACCACAGTGCTCACAAACTGTCCGCCGTCCAAAAGGGGAGGGCCTGACGCAGTTCTGCTCGCTGCACCAGAAGAAGTGGCAGAAGCAGCACCTCCAGAGGTTTCGCTTGCATGGCCACCACTGGTCGACGATGGGTAAACTGTCGAGCTGTAAGTACTACTGTGCTGCGAGGTCGGGGTGACCGTGATGCTGCCTTTCGGAACACCACTTGGCATACCTGGTGTGACGCCCACTGCCCCAAGGGTGGGCAAGGGTGAGCTAGGATCAATGGTCCATTCTCCTGCAGTGGAACTTGGGCAAAGGGGTGCGGTTGTGGATGGTGTGTAAGCTGCCGACTTGATACCGGTCGGGTTCAACGTGGACCATTGTGACGCGAGATTGCTGAAGTCAGGTTGGACAGGCGTGGGAGTCCCCTGGCGTGTGAATCTGCCCAAGTCAGCACACGCGTATTCAGTGCACCGAATTTATAAGCATGTCATAGTTACCCATCGACAACCACAGAGCCTTGGTCTTGACCACCAGGCGGGCCATACGTCACCAAGCCGTAGTTGTTCGTCTCTTGGATCCATTCGTAGATGATCGCGCCCGACCATGTATCCACCATATCTGGTCCAAAGATGGCGGCTTGGTCATTAAAGGTGCGTGGTGGTACAGTATTGCAGCCATCTTCTGAGAAGAATATTGGCACGGGATAGTTTTCGGCACTAGCCTGAAGCCCTACATAGCCGGAAGTATTGAAGTTCGGAGACGATCCACACCACTCGTAGCTGTTCAGAGCATAGAACTCCAGTCGCTCCGTAACATTAGGACGACAGACGACATAGTCCTGCAAATTCGGTCGAAGGACGGCCGTGTCAGTAGCCGAGTATCCAATAGGGATCTTGCGGTAACCCTTTGCTTCACGGTAATTCTTGAGATCAACAGCGGCAGAGAGGAGGTATGGTGCAGCACCGGAATCGGCATCTGGACAAGTCAGTTACTGCTCGTCCTCAACCTCGACAACGAATTTTCCCTACTCGAATTGAGCACCTCATTGCCCACGAAAAAGCCAGCAGTATTATCATACTGCTGAAAATTGTCCATGACAGCTCGGTAAGAGTCAGACTTGTTCTGAGTCCAAGAAGGGATGCCAGCCTGTCTCTGGTCAGTTTTGTTCTTCTCCTCAGAGACGGCCTGCCACTCTTACCAACTGAATGTACGTTTTGAAGCTGTCCATATCAACCCAAATGTAGATGTTGTTCGAGGCAAACGCGTTCATGCACCCAGAATGGTCTGCGTCAGGATCGACATGGTAGACACGAATCGAGTTGGCTCCGAGTTGCTTCATGAGGGCAGCATCGAGGTTGCATTGCGTTGTGTTTACGAGAGGATCGTCTTCGACCAGCTGGTAGGCAACACCTGGGCAGATGATAGATCAGTCACCTATTCGGTCTTGGTCAAGCACTGGCCCTCTCACCTTTGATGAAGAACTGATTGCCCTCACTGGTGAAGAACTTGGAACCGACGGCAGTGATGGTGGGAATGGCATTGACACTTGAACAGAAGACCGAGACGATCAGGGCCACCAGAGCCAGAAATGGACCCATTTTGACTACTGGTCTGTCCTGAACTTTTCAGATGTCTCGCTCCAAGTGTACAAGCTGTTGTAAGAGGAGGAAATCCAACTGCGTAAAACCAGGACTTTTTGCTCCCGACACTGGATAAAGGAAACAATCGAAATGGAAGTGAAAGGTCAACGCTCAGCAGAAGAAGAGTCGTCTCGAGAAGAAGGAATCGTAAACCAATCCAGCGTGGAAGGCAGCAAAACGAGCGATTTCGTGGGCAGGTACAGCTTGCGCTGCTGGTGCTGGTGCTGCGAACGAGGTAGGCACTGCGCACAACGAGCACCCAAAGAACCCACTGAACAAGAAGGCGCTGGTGTATCAACGACAAACAAAGTCCATTGCCCGTAGCAACCCCAAAGATTCACCACTGCAAAAGCTAAACACAAGCAGGACGAACGAAGAAGTGATGGTAGACAAAAAAAGATAGCGATAGGAGAAACTCAGCTGTACTGTAGAACGTTCGACGGCGCAGGCTATGACACCTTCTCCCGGCGATGCGCCCCAACGTCGCGATCAACGTCTATCAGAATGTGACATTTAGCGCAGCCTGTCTCGCCATTGTCGAGATTTCCAGGCACAAGGGAGAATGGCAAGCATCCAATCGTCAAACCCCAGGCGTCCATCCATGCAAACACGGGCGATGGTGGGGTCCAAGGAAGCAGGTTTTTGGGTCTCTTCAATTACGCGCTTTGCCGATATCCATAGGTCATGACGGTGGTGTCGATGCAGCTTAAATCAGAACTGGATGGATCGTGATTGAGTTATGGAGCAGCTCCGGGGGCTTATCTATGCCCGGAACGAGCTCCAAGAAAGGGAAGTCTGTCGAGCCGCGCACCAGCCCATCTCTGCAGTCCGAGTGGTAGAAAAGCCCCGAAGGAACGAGCCTAATAGTTAGTACAGCCCAGCACGGGATCCCACTGAATGCGGCTGGCCCCTTTTAAACTTGGACACTTAACTAGCCCACACGATGATTCTCACACTTTTGTAAGCTCCGGACAGACTTGATGCACGCAGCTGTATCCGTATGAAAGAAGCAGCTAAGCGAGCAGCTAGCTCTTTGGTGGCGTTCTGTTCACTGTCAATGTCATGAGTCCCGGCCTCCTTGTAGGTATGGTCGAGTAGCAGTGATGGCTTCCGGATGTCCTATCCTGTGCTTAAGACACAAGACGGCAGATCGATCACGATCAAACAAGGCTACTGTTTGGACACGGTAATTGATCTTTATTATTATGTATGGCTTGTCCGACTTCGACAAGTCACGGCAGGTGCACCATGCAACGTAGCAATCCCACACCAGGACGCCTGTAGCTCCTCTCGTCAAAAGACCTGCACCTCTAGCTCATTTCATTAGAAAGAGGAAACAAAAGAAAGCCAGTACATATGCTGGCAAAGTGTTTCATCTCTCATGACCAACACTAGTAAATGCCGCCGGTTCTGCGAAACCCTGTGTAACCACCCCATGATGCTAAACTTCCAACAACGCCATGCTCAGGTAACAATAGCAACTAGACATCATCCTTCGTGTCTTTTGTGTCTCCAACGCCATGTAAGCATTGACCGCCAAAAGAAATAGAAAGGGGGTCATTATCTTTTGCAAGCAGAAACAATGTGGTTTCACCCAGTTGGGGCAGCAGAAGAGCGCCGTATGACAAAGACTCCCACCTCCAAAGCCACGTTTCCGGCTTGCTCTCGACTCTGGCGGACACCATCAACAACTTCGCGGGCCAGCATTGCCGGTGTCACGTCAATCTGACCGCGGGGAGACGGCATCCGACCGCCAGACTTGTGGTAGTCGACCAGATTCTCTCGCAACCGGTGGTGTTCCTGGTCGACAAACCAATTCACCCAGACCGAACGATCCAGAACGACATCGGCAGTCTCCGAGTGGACGATCTCATAACGGCTGGCCACACCACGAGACAAAGACCTTTGACTAAGGGTACCACATAGGGCCGACAAGGCTTCTCTCAGCTCTTCATATGTCTTCATGGCTTCGACTGCCGGCAGACTACCCAATGTATTCGCAACATGCATGAACAGACCGTTCAGTAGGACAAAGTGGCGCAGAAAGGGTTCGATGATAGGGTTGACGTATTTATTAGCAAAGGTTAAAGCTCCCTGCCTGGTCGGATAGATCAGTAGAAGGGTACCGTTGACTGCGGAAAGCTCTAGAAGTCGATCAGCAAGGTATGAGCGACGACTGAGGGTGAAGAAGTCCTTGATCTCTTGAGGAGTAGTAGGTGGGATGTATCTCTCAAGAATCGAGACTTGGATGCTGCTTGGTGCGGCGATAATGTTGCTAGGACGAGACCCGACGTTGGTCGAAGGGCCGGGATGGGAATGATATGCGGGGACCATGGCCGCATGTGTGAAGATGGTCTGATCTTGAAAATAGTCGTCGCCAGCATAGTTCGTGTTTGGGGTGGCCGGTGGTGACGCCGGTACCTCGTCCATGCTAATGACTTGGGACACGGCGTGGGTGATGGTGATGTATGGTGCGATGGAAAAGCGAGTCTGTATTGCTTGAACCACCTGTTCGAAGACGGACATGATCTCCTTCGACTTGGGCTGTGAGGGCAGGGCTTGAACGACCATCTGGATTTGGTGTTGGTTGGCGGAATCTCCGAGACTCGATACTGTGTGACTATGTTAGCCATCTTGTCCCTCAATATCTCTGGGAGTTCTTACCAAGTTGCTGACACACTCGACCCAGCCAGTCCGATCGACTAGAGTCGTCTTGCGAGAGATCCGTCCGTTCCGGCATTTGGATACCTGACGGTCTGGAGGTGGACCGCGGCCGCGGCTCACTTGTCTCGTTGGGGCCTGGTCGATGAGACCGGTCTGGGTCATAGTCTGACACAGCGCGGATGCCCTCAGAGGCAGGAGCCTGCACAGGACTGTCCCACTTGAAGGCGTCCAGGTCTTCCGGTGGTGTGAGAAGAGGTACAATGCCACAGGGATGGATCAGAGAAGAAGTGAAAACTGAATGGTCATGCTGCGGCCAAGATTGCGTACCAGACAGTGGCTGTACCGGTAGGGAATTTGATCGTGAAAGATTGAAATCGACGGAAGACGGAACGGTGGCTGTCGTTGAACGTCGTCGTGCGGGCGCATCGTTTGTCGACGACTCTACTCGATTTCTGTGCATGTTCGCGATGAGGTTCTTGCGTGGGGAATGAGGCAGCCTCAGATTTAGTCGTAACACATCGTTTTTTTGCACCATTTCTTCAGCTGAATCCAGAGATGACCTTCTCCTCCGGCTAGGATTTAGTCGCCGCCAGGAGCCATATACCGGACTCTTCTGCACTGGCCTCGATGCAGGACTTGGGTAAACGTCTTCCGATCCGTTCAACAGTCTCTGTTCCACCACCTCGACAACTCCCGCTCGTCCCAGCATAGCCACATGGCAGCCGTCCTCGGAAGGGGCTAGTAGAGAGAGTTCGTCGACCTGCCCAACCGATTGCGCTTTTGGTAGTTTGCACAAGCCGTCGTCCAGCAAGCAGGGCTGGGGGTTCATTTGCGAGGCTGACGGTCTGGTCTGGGCGGAATAGACGATGCCAGAGGACCGGAGGGAGGAAGGAATGGCAGTGCTCAAGGAGCGACCGTGGGAACGGGCCCGAGAAAGCTGCTGACACTTCCGCAGATCAGCCGGACGAGGGTATAACGAGGGGCGGACTCGTGCAGGAGAGGGTCAGAGCGTCTCATAAAGAAACAGTGGACGGCTGCGGCCCCAAGGAACCTTCACGAAACGAAGTATGGAGTGATTGAGGTTGGATTTCGTGTGATTGTCGAAAGGGAAACGGAGAGCTCAAACGACCAAACACAAGAAATTGTGGGGGAAGGTCAAACGGACGGCGAGAAAAAGAATGAGGTTCACAAGCCAGACCCTTTGACATGCGCATGGGTCAATGGGGCGGAGGACCCGACAGGAACCGAAGGCGAGAGCGAGGCACCTATTGTAATTCGTATGGCAGTGCCAGCTGGGTCTGGGTACAGGGATCCGGAGGTAGTGTCGTGTGGTGTTGAGGATACGTCGGACTGTGTACAGGACAAGTAGGCTCATCCGGATGGAGGTCAGGCAGGCAGCAAGGTTTCGGAGCCTCGGCAGTCGCAACTCTCTGGCGAGGGAGAAGGAAAGCTCTGGCACAGGACAGATCAAGCAGGCAAACAGCCACCAGGGAGGTACAAATAGGAGTACGAGTCCTGTTTTGTCTTCTCTCCGTCTTCTCCTCGCTCTTCTGGATTTATTAGGCACAGACATTTGGCACCACAGATGCAGAACATTATTTGGGCTCACTAACTAGTTAGGCTGGTGGAGCGATGAACCCCGTCGGGCGGTGGGTAACATTGCCTGCAAGTGGTTACAAGGACAAGGCAGGCGGAGAGACTTTGACGTTCTAGACCATCGTAGATCGCACAAGGCGCCTGTGATTAGCCGTGCAGCCGAAGGGATCAGGGAGGCCAAAACTAATGGGCTTTAGGCTTTGTCAGTTCCCAGTCGATGGCCCAGGGCCTACTGCCTGAAAGGACTGTGTGCCGGCATAGTCCGGAAAATCACTCACGACGGGGGAGGGATATTGTGCCTCGTAGCTGCCAGTACCTAGGCTGGTGGACATAGGCATTTCCGGGAGTGCTTGTCCAATAGCCAAGAGATGGACATAGTTACTACCGTACGCAGCTCACTCTGACACGACACAGCGGGAAATGGCATCTGGCAAAACACACTATCAAAGCTACTGCCGTACAGCCAAGGGACCGGAGTGCGAGTGCGAGGGACAAGGACCAGTGGAGGTGTGTTGGGTGACTTTTGTGCTGCAAGTCAAGTCAGGAAGAGGCGCTGAATTCACTCTGTCCCAGGTACCTTACTTAGGTAGTTAGAGCCTATTACAGCTCACTATAGGTACTAACTGGAGCTGTCACCAACCCTTAAGTTAGGTTCCTTTGCGTAGGTAACAGTACCTACCGGTCAGGAGTCCGTAGCCTAGCTACCTGGGCACCTAGTGAGTAGCTAGGTAGCTACCTATCTAGGTAGGTATACGAGTTGGGGTGCGTATCTTCTCAGCATTCCAGCTGAACTGTCCTTGCTTCCAAGTTCTGGTTTGTTACCTTCAATCTCACACAATAGGAACCTACCCCCCTATCCTCGTACACTCGGCTCGCTCTTCGGTAGCCACTACAACTACTCGGTGGTACGAGAACTAAGCAAAAATACGCAACCACTTCACCCTCTCCTTGTGATGAGCAGATGGTATGGTACTCCGTCACATGCTCGGCAGCAAGATCCAACCTGTCTCCCGCGCTGCCCTAGGTACATACATGCCTATTCCCACGTAACCTTATCAGCGGGCAATCTTTATAAAAACCTTCGCCCGGAAGCTGCTGGTTGCCAGTTATCACTACTGTTCAGTTCATTCTAACGGGAGTTAACCAACCACAGAGGGATGACCTTGCGACATCACGCGACATCTCGGGCTTTCCGCTTTCTCCCATTCACAATAATTCACAGCCTCTACCCACGAGTTATGAAGTACAGTACGGCACTGTAAGTTTGAGCTGTAGATTGAACGACTCGACGGAGCCCCCAAGCGGCTGAACATCTCGGAAACACTACCGAGTAAGGCAAATACTAGTAGTATGTCCAGCGCGGTACTCTGCAGCTGAACTTCGCCATCGCCACAAATAAAAGGCCGGGGGGCCACCAGCCACTTATTAAAGTTGCCTGCCTGTAGGCTGTAGCCTGCTATAGGCTACCAGGCTCGAAGACAATCAGGCAGTGGGGAAAACGCCCTTGCGGATCGTCCACTGGATGGATCCCCATCGCTCCAGCTTACCAGAGTCCTCCTGGACCGAGAAAGGTACGTAGTAAGCTAACCTGGTCACAAACCCGTGTGATCTTCGCCACAAAGTCCGGCTAATGCCATGAGCGTATAGGTACAGTAGTCTGTACGTATACAAAGATTGACATGCCGCCTTCTTGAGTGGGAGGAGGTCTTCCGACGCGACTTCAGATCTCATCCACCGTCAAAGGCGCCAAACCTCCAAGAACAACATGAAACGTCCAAGGGAAAGAATCGCAGCATCAGCGAGCAAGATAGATCCGAAGAAAGCGCCTGGGCACAAAGAGTGACAAAAATGGTGAGCGCAAGCTTGTGGTTGGGATCGAAACTGGAGCAAAGCAGTGTAGGATCTATCATGTGTCTGAGCATGGACACTGCAACCAGAATTCTCGTTCAACAACGACGCTTCCAATCAAACAGGGATGGCGGCCCTTCATGGTTTGCCATCGCTCGAGAACCCAAAGGTAAGACTCCTCTTGTACGTCAATTCTTGCGACCAACTCTTCCGACTTTTGAATCCAGCACGAGGCGGGGATCTAGAAAGTCAACCCATCCTGGCATTTGCAACAAAGTCTCAGTCAACATTTAATTTACTTCTCCATGAGGCAGATTGTCACCTATTGCTTCAATCTTTGACTCACCTCGTTCGCCGTGTACCCCATCAGTTTTTGAACTGGAATGGGCAAACACTTTGCTACGTCCAGAGTCATGAAACAGCTGGTGACGAACCGCTCCTCATCCGTTCTGTTGTCCGTGCTGCCGCCGTGGTAGCAGCTCGAAAGCATGATGAATCCGTCTTCAGGGTTGGGTTTGGCATACACCGCGTTCTTCTCATCAGGCGGCTTGTTGTGTCTTCGAGTTTTGACTGCCCGGAATATACCTGACCGCCCCATTGGTCATGGTGACTTTGGTCCCCGCGACGAAGAAGTCGATGCCGTACTCTCTCGAGTTGGGAGACTCTGGGTACTTGTCCGCACGCAAGCGGTCGGCATGGTGGATGTCATGTCACGGTGAAGCTGCTGGCCAAAGGAGTCTCCTTGACAGACGGACAATACAATCGTTTTGTTGACCTGAGGTGGAGAGACGCTGACTTTGTTCCTGTCTCCATACCACGCATATGCCTTGCTAGTTAGAAATTCTTCGCACACGGCTTGGGAGAAGTCGCCACGGACTAGTTCAACGGCGGCTGTTTCGGGATTTCCAATCAGGCCAGAAGCACGTCGTATGGACGGTGGATGAAGTCGGTACTTGCTGTCTAAGGAAAATCGAACTCTAGGGAGGGGTGCATATCACTTTTCCATCTGTGTTTATGGCTTTTTGGGATGAAACACCCCGAACAATTACCCCGTCGACACGCTTCAACTAATCAACAACACCATCAGGGCTCGCGTCAGGCGTATATCCTGGAACCTCAGGACGCGGTCTAAGTTTGTCTCATGATATGTGGAGGTCATCATATCTGATGGTAGGGGGAGCGCTGTTGTGGTTCTCAGGGTCTGAGACAGCCGTGCCCTTTGTGGCCGCAGTTGTATTCATTTTCGGACATTGTTGTCGAGATGCTGACCTGCTGCTTCTGACGCAAGGCAATGTGGTCTGCCTCGCTAAGCCGCTCTAATGGTCCTCAAAATGGAGTCCAACAAGACATCCGCGGCTTGTAACCCCAGCTTCCGTGAGCCAGAGACTGGCACGGTGAAATCTATTACGAATGATGGCTTCGACTTAGTGTAGCTCACCGGCGGCAGACCCGTGCTCGAACGAAACTGCAGCTGCTTTAGACTCTTTGCAACGTCATTCATGTATGTATCTTCTCACCCGTGCACTGCTTCTTCGGAGCGTCGTCAAGGCGAAAAAGTGCAGCTTACTGTCGAACCACAGAATCCTGGAATCCTGTTTTGGTGGCTGTTGGGTCACTCTGGATATTAAAAAGACCAGCCGTTTCCATCGTGCAAAATTACAGGCTTCTGACACAACAAAACTTGGGCAATACCAGGAAATTGCAATGGCAGTGTGTCCATGTTCTACGGCGAACATTCCGAATGGTGCCAGTCCGCATGAGTATTTCTCCTTTCGCCACCTCATCGAATAAATATGTGCTTGCCTCGCAACTGAGTTCGTCAGACTTAGTTTTGTTGGGTATAGGCAAAGGATTCTTCAAGGTTTTGTAGACCTCCTGCTGATATGAGGGATCTGGATCGCGGGCTTCACGTGAGGGTCGGCACATGGCAACATAGAGCTGAGGTATTGCAAACGCCCAGCTGGAACTTATCAAGTCTTGCTCAAATAGGGCAAGCTGCATAGCACAAAAGAGCCATGTTCATCCTGTACCGCTCGTTCCCTTCAATGTCGCCTCTTCCCGAAGATTCCATGGCGAGCGAGAGGTTGTTTGGAATCTCGGTGACGACTTTGACATGAAGCAGCGAAGCAAGTACGATAGCTGGAGGGACTGCGGCTCAGTTCCCGCCTGGAGGAAACTAGAGCACGCGCAGAGGCTTGCAATTGAGGGAAGCACCAGAGACGTAAGAGGTCATCCTTGTGGAGTGGTATGCCAGCAAGCGGGGACATATCAAAGTCCATCTGCTCATCAGAGTTGTGAAGAATCGAGAACAGCATGAGGCATTGCTACCCCATCGAAGCAAAACAGTTTGAGCTGAGAACAACCCACGTCCTGGCGCGAGGAGCTGTAGAGCAGACGTAGTTCCACAAGGAAGATCGAAACACTACGCGAGGTGAATGCAGATGACTGCGCGTAGGGGAATCGAGAACTCGACCAGGACGTCCTGTTCCTCTAGGTACCTTAGGTCGGTATGTAGTCGAACGGCACAGCTGGGACACATGGTCGCAATTGTCGCAGACCACATACGACGATGGCGACAACGAAGCTCCCCTGCTTAGAACAGAGAGATGCACAAAAAAAACATTCGCGGCGATAGAGCGATTGCAAGGGGACTAGAGTCTCTTGGATTTCTTGGTCTCTCGGTCTCTTGTCTTGGGTTCCGCTCAGCAGCCGAAACTCACAGGGGGCGCAGCACCAGCTCACCACCTACTAACTAATCCCGCCTCCCTCACCCTGTCCGTTTCAAGCGAGGACCGTCCCGGTGCCCATCATTTACCCTCGTTTTGGATGTTGTCGCCATCACTTTCGAAGGTCACTGGCAGCCAGACTGCAGCGTGCATGTGTCGCCGATAATCCAGAAGTGAGTGTGTCCTTCGGGACGTCACTCGATCCTCCACGTCAGAGAACATGGGCGACAGCAAGAGCCGCTATGAACATTTGCCAATCCCGACTTATGAGGAGGCCACTTCTTCTCGTCCAACTTCTTCCCGGTCCGGGCTGGGCCCTGAAGAGATCAGCGACGATGCTGAAAGGCAGGGTCTCCTTCGCAATGGTAATGGCACCTACCAACCTCCGACCGTCGAGTCCGCGCGGCCTAGTCTTGACTCGCTCGATGGCATTGAACATGATGAAGAGGAGGAAGTCCGCCGGGAGATGCAACAGATGGAGATAGAAGATCCTGAGAGCGACTCCTCCTCAAATCGATCCCTTCTGCGCTACCGCCTATCCAAACGGTTCTCGACCTTCACCAACTCCTTTTCTTCCTTATCCCTACCTGCCTTCCGTTCGTACTTCTCGAACTTCTCGTGGCCACGCATCAACTACGAGTCCCTCGATACGAATCGAGTAGTCATTATAGGACGACTCTTTGGTGTTTTCTTGATTATGGGAGTGTTGTATATACTGATTGCGTCGGACGTGTTATCATTTACGAAGAACAGGATGGGGATGGGGGGAATGTACGACCCAGAGTCAATCCGAATATTTATTCAAAATCACATGAACGATCACGGACATATGCAAAAACACCTGGAGCACATAACCGACTTTCCACATATTGCAGGCACTGAGGGCAACTATGTTCTTGGGGAATGGGTCATGGAACTGTTCAAAGCCTCGGAACTTGAAGACGTAAACATGGAACGATTTGATGTATATTTGAATTATCCCCGGAAGGACGGCAGACGAGTTGCGATTGTTGAACCCGAGGAAGCAAAGTGGGAGGCTAAGGTTGAGGAAGATCAGGAACGGTCGTTCGTCTTCCACGGACATTCCAAGTCTGGTGATGTGACCGGACCTCTAGTATATGCCAACTTCGGCTCCAGAGAAGACTTCAAAACGCTGGAAGAGAAGGGAATCTCCGTGAAGGATGCCATCGTACTTGTCCGGTACTATGGCTCGCAGGGCGACAGGGCTTTGAAAGTCAAGGCTGCGGAACTTGCCGGTGCTGCAGGCTGTATAATCTATTCTGACCCGAGTCAGGATGGTTTCGTCCAGGGACCAACGTTTCCGGATGGTCGATTCATGCCGGCAGATGGTGTACAGAGGGGAGCCGTGAGCCTCATGTCTTGGGTAGTAGGAGACGTCCTCACACCAGGTTGGGCGGCAACACCGTCCAACGAAGAAGTTCTCAAGGCCGAAGATAGCCCTGGACTTACCAAGATTCCTTCCATCCCGATCTCGTGGGACGATGCTCAACAACTCCTTGGTGCTCTCAAGGGCCACGGCGATCGAATGACCGACGTTTGGCAAGGTACTCCCGGCACAGAGTACTGGACGGGAAGCCAAGACTCCCCCAAAGTGAACCTGAAGAACCTACAAGACGAATCATTCAAGCAGCCCATATATAACGTGCTTGGCAAGATCACTGGCTGGGAGCGCCCTGAAAAGAGAGTCATTGTCGGCAATCACCGCGATGCTTGGTGTACCGGTGCCGCTGATCCCGGCAGTGGAACAGCAGTTATGCTCGAAGTCATCCGCATCTTTGGCGAGTTGCGTGGGCTTGGCTGGCGGCCCCTGCGCACCATCGAGTTCGCAAGCTGGGATGGAGAAGAGTACAACCTTATTGGAAGCACCGAGCACGTCGAGAATCGTATGGCCGAGCTGCGGGCTGAAGGGGTCGCATATCTGAATGTCGATGTTGGTGTGTCGGGCCCGGACTTTCATGCCGCTGCATCGCCGGTGTACGAGCGCCTGCTTTTGCGTGTTCTTGACCGCGTGGGGGATCCTGTTTCGGGAAAATCGATAGGCGAGATGTGGACCACTAACGGACGTGGACTTGAGGGCCTCGGTGCTGGAAGCGACTACGTAGCCTTCCAGGATATGGCAGGCACATCATCAATCGACATGTTCTTTAAAGGCCAGCGGTACCCGTACCACAGCTGCTACGACAATTTCGAGTGGATGACCAAGTACGGCGATCCGGACTGGAAGTACCACAAGGCCATGGGCGAGATATGGGCCCTGGCGATTCTCGAACTAGCAGACAGGCCACTTTTGCCGTTTGACTTGAACGCCTACGCGAACAGCGTCTCGAAGTACGTCGATGATCTCGACAAATACGTCAACGACGCGTCGTTAGCCGCCGGCGTCGGTGCCATCAGCCTCGATCCCCTGCGTAAGGCGTCCGAGTTCTTCACGGAGCAGGCGACCGCTTTCCACGCATTTGACGGGCATTGGCGCGACTTTGTCTTTGGATCCGGTGGGTTCGAGAGCGCCGCAATGTCGACAGCACGAGCGGAACATAACGATCGCCTGATTCACTTCGAGAGAGACTTGTTGGATTTGGCCGAAGACGGGGGCTTGGTGAACCGTACGCAGTTCAAGCATGTCATCTACGCCCCGCAGATGTGGTCTGGCTACGACGAGGCGTATTTCCCCGGGATCAGAGACGCCGTGGATGCTGCTGACTGGGACGGAGTGCGCCATCAGATCGAGAAAGTGAGTGGTATACTTGAGGAGGCCGCGAAGAAGTTGAATGAATGATGTACGACCCGGCTCTGTCGGCTTGTCAGTCTGTCAGTAATATAGTGCTGCACTGTCTCGCTATCGTCACCCAAATGTCCAGTATCGGATGTCACTAGACCTTCTTACGCGTGTAGCAAGTTTGGTACTTCCTGTTGGCATTGCGAAAGGAGAATTTTTTCCATCATGGGCGTATAGGTGGCACAGGTGACTAGATTTTATATTTTTATGTTCAGAAACCTCGAATCTAGCAAGTCTCTTCGTGAAAAGTATCGTCAACCCGTTCCGAATTTGCAAAGTTGTGATTTCGAAGGAAGGTCACTGTTTATTTGGTCGTATTTTCACACAATTGGGAAGCGACAAAGTGCCGTGCCAACTTGCCCCGTCCGTGGTAGATAGACGAAAGACCACAGTACTTCTCCTCGATCGAGACACATGGTTTGCATCCACCGCCTTCCAAGAAAAAAATAGAACAGGTAGTCTAGACACCTCAGGTGGTCTAGAAGTCTTTCTTCCAGCTCTTGGCCAGGTTCCAGAAACTCTCCATCTTCGCGCGGCTCAGCACATCCTTCGCTTGAGTATCTGTCTCACAGGTCCGAGCGCCCAGCCATTTCCTGAAACTACGCTGCTTGGCTTCACCCTTGAAGATCAATTCGCATGTATTGGTGCTGAGATCCTTCAACTCGCCGTTCTCGTCCTCGGCCTCGAGCCACTTGGCCAGGACTTCGCGGTTGCCCTTTTCCACGGCCCGAGGAGCCTCCATCTCTTGCCACCGGATCCGATGTTGCATGAGCTTGTCGTACTTCTGGATCGAGTGCTCGCCCCCCTCGACAACAACAAGGTTGAGTTTCGGATGCAGGACCACTACGCCGGTGAGGGCTAGCTGTTCTGCGTTCACGGCGACCTGGTACCGGTGCTTGCCGTTGGCAAGGCTGTCGATCTTGTAGACGCGTACGTGGATACCGCGGGCGGCGTCTTCTTCCTGTTGGTGCGCAAGTTTCTCGGCGCGTTGCTCCTTGGTAAGTTTGCGTGCTTCATTCGTTTCTTCGTGCGCATGTTGACGTTCGGCTATCTCGCGGTTGACACGTGCTTCGACCGCCGTGGGATCCTTGACGGCTTCTTCACCTAGGACGCGCATAAGGTTACTCTTCTTGACCTTCGGGGGTGGAGGTGGCTCAAGGCCCAAGCGGATCTTTGCCTGCTTCTCTTTGAGGTCGGCTTGACGGCGCTGGCGGCGGACCTTTTTCTGCTCCTTTTGAGTCAGGTACATAGGCTTGGGAGGTGGGTTGTGTTTCTCCTGAGGAGGCTCGATCAAGACTGGATGTTGGATGTAAATTGTGATGATGGAGTCTGGTGTATCAATCTTGAGCTTGGAGGGATCATCAATCACGTCATAAGATTGGCCGTCCACGAGACCTTCATCCCACCATTCAATCTCTGGAGGTGCAGGCACGAGAAAGCCTCTTTCTGCGTTGAGATCTTCTTCAAGACCCGCAAGCCGTGTCCGCTCAGCGATCTTCCTCTTCGTCTCTTCGAGCTGAGCTTGCCGTCGAAGAGCGGCAGCTTGCGCAATGTATTTGCCTTTTTGGTTAAAGACCAGCTGTCGCGATTGCCGTGGCTTCGCAACGACATTTCGAGGAGCAAGACTTGGATCGAAGTACGGGTTCTCTTTCAATTCTTCAAAAGAAGGCGCCGACAGATCCAGCTGGGCCTTTTGCGGAGCCGGTGACTCGGTTTTCCGATTTCCTAGCCCTGAAACAAATCGTGCTGGCGCTCTCCCTTGATTCCTCTGAACGTCTGGTTGGGTATCTGCAAGCAGCGCGGGATGTAGACCGATGTCGAGACCACCACGGCCTTTGGAGCTCTCGTCATTGTAAACTGGTGGGGTATGCGCAGCACTTAACGACGGCCTCTGTTGACTTGACGTAGATGATCGACTTGTAGCTGCTGCAATACGTGCCCTGAGCTCAGCGATCTTATTACTAGCGGCAGATGGAGGAGGAGTTGAGGAGGCAGTTGGTGGTGTGCTCGAGAGTGTCGTGCCCTGCTTGTTCAGCCTAGCCTTCAATTCAGCGGCTCTTGCTTTGGCCGCAGCGATGGCCTGATTCACGTCAGGTCTGCCGCCTGAAGCCCCGTTTGCAGGTGTAGTAGGACGAGGGGAGCCATCGTTAGATCTGGCTCGTTTTTGTACATCGTCGTCATGGTCTTCGGGGTGTAGTCTTTTCAGCACTTTGCTCGACCTTTCCGCCATTGTGTATAGCAGGGATGACTCACTGAAGAGACCAGAAAATCAACCCCGACGGCTGTACCACTCTGGCGTCCTACTGCAGGTAAAATCGCATTTGATATTGTACGAGTAGCCCACAGTGACGATTCACTCAGTCTGCGCATGAAGGATTTACTCGAAGTTCCCATCCAGGCAGAAGATGTTGCCGCTTTTTGCACGTGATTGGCTCCCTCATAGGAAGGTATAAAGCAGCGTGAAGTCGACAATTGAGAAACACCTCTTCGAACAATAACAAGGGGATAGCGCCTCTTTGCGTCTTGGTAAAGACCAGTCGATCCTCCTGGCTGATGATACAAAAAGGCCTTACACACTTTATCATGTCGAACAACCTAGTCTTCTTCAGGACCAATTCCTGAATCCGGCAATTCGTGTCCTGGTATGGCATTACAGGCTCAGCTTGTGCTTGCGGCTACCTGCATATGGCGCAATCGCGATCTAGCCATGTCGTGATCGCGAGCCCCATGTGTGCTTGGAGCTGATCTTCGTGATCCGAGAGTCTTGAGAGATAACATTTGTCAGCCAGACAATCATTGTTTGCTATCTCACTGTCTGTTGCTCACGAGGTATGTATATACTGCTTTGTCTGACTCCAAGATAACCCTTCTGCTCCTTGCAAAACGAGCACAGAATGTCTACAACAAAGCAACTGCATCTTACCGCTTTCATGCGGCCGGTGAGCCTGCACACCGGTGCCTGGAGATATCCAGGGGCATTCCCAGACGCCAACTTCAATCTAGGTCATCTCAAGTCATTTATCAAGGCCCTGGAGGATGCCAAATTTGATGCCTTCTTCTTGGCAGACCATCTGGCTGTCCTCAATATGGTATGTATCCTTTGTACAAGGACGAATGCTTGGCATGGACCTCATGTGATGCATCTCGTACCGTCGAAAGTTTTTCCTGACAGTGAGTAGCCTGTCGAAGCGCTCAAGCGAAGCCATACAGTGACGTCTTTCGAGCCTTTCACTCTGCTTTCGGCACTTTCGGTCGAAACAGAGAGAATCGGGCTGGCAGCGACCGCTTCTACAACATATGAAGAGCCTTACCATGTTGCCCGCCGCTTTGCTTCATTGGATCATCTCAGCAATGGCCGAGCAGCCTGGAATATTGTCACCACTGGAAACCCTGAATCCTCGAAGAACTTCAGCCGCGACGAGCACATGGAACATAGCGACAGATACAAGCGAGCCCGGGAGTTCTATGACGTAGTGACTGGGCTTTGGGATAGTTTTGCCGACGATGCTTTTGTACGTGATCAACAAACTGGTACCTACTTCGACCCGGAAAGGCTGCACGTTTTGAACCACAGGGGCAACGAATTTCAAGTCAGAGGACCCCTCAACATTGCTCGGCCTGTTCAAGGATGGCCTGTGATCGTCCAAGCCGGGCAGTCGGAACCCGGAAAGCAGCTCGCTGCTGAGACAGCAGAAGCCGTATTCTGCTCGCCTCGCGATCTAGCATCTGCGAAGACTCTTTACGAAGACATCAAGGGGCGGGCCACGGCCGCTGGTCGGGAACGTAGCCATATCAAGATTTTGCCCGCTGCCTTTATCGTCATTGGAGATACCATCGAGGAGGCAAAGTCAAAGCGACTGAAGCTTGATAGTCTGGTTCATTATGATAGTGCCATCGCATCGTTGTCTATCGCATTGGGATCTGACGCCTCTGGCTTTGATCCGGATGGACCGCTGCCGACAGATATTCCCGATACCAATGCTAGCAAGACTGGGCGGGCTGGCGTGTTGAAACTGGCACAGGATGAGAACTTGACTGTACGGCAACTCGCTCAGCGTTATGGCGGATATTCTGGGCTTGCTTTCGTTGGCACACCGGAGTCTGTGGCTGACGAGATGCAAACTTGGCTTGCAGAAGAAGCTGCTGATGGATTCACCGTCGCTTTTCCCTTCTTGCCACAAGGGCTTGAGGATGTCACACAACGCCTGATTCCTGAATTGCAGCGTCGTGGTATCTTCCGACGTGAATATCAGGGGTCAACTTTGAGGGAGCATCTCGGTCTTCCCAGACCAAGTAATCGCTTTTTCACATGATATTAATGATAATGGAATCGACAAAGCCTACCTATTCCCGTGCTGTGTCTGTCTCCATTCTGATCTATGAAGCTACCTGCAGTAGATTGGAATATAGCGGAATGCAGTTCCAACCAGCAGTATTTGTGAAGATTGTCCTTTGAGATACCTAACATCGTTAACCATAAGGAATCCTGCGTTGTACGTGTGCTCAACCAAGACCCCAGACGCAAGGGAGGCGGAGGTGGATCAGCGTTTCGGACATATATTTCACCGACACCGAAACTCCAAATCGCGGAAAGGCCAAAAAAAAGTTGCTGGTCCCCGCAGCCTCAAAAAAAGTGCAGTCCATCACTGCGACAATTTCTTGCCAGTGTTGTTTCTGCATTCATTCGCATTTGAACGTTTGCTGGGTTATGGAATTGATACGCCATGGCAGGCTATCCAAAACCACTCCCGTCAGCCACCGCTGGCCTGGCATTTTCCCGGCTGCCGTCAGAAGAAATCAGGAAGATTTCAGTCAAGCAAATCCATGTCTCACCAGCGCTGGATTCTATGTTTGGTCCAGTTCCAGGAGGAGTGCATGATCTCGCGCTCGGTGCAATCTCAGCACTGGATGCAAAGTAAGTCGATCGCCTCAGAAAAGCTTCATCATGCTTACAAGGCCTCAGCTGCTCAACATGCCGGATGAACGCTGTTCACTGCGCAGGTCATTGCGGCCACATCGAGCTACCAGTTCCTTGCTACCACCCACAATACATGGACATGACTTTGCGTCTGCTTCGGGCCCAATGCGCCTATTGCTATCGCTTCAAGGCTCCTCGAAATGTAACGAATCAGACCATCTGTGCCTTGCGTCTGCTTGAATATGGTCTTGTCGACGACTATCACACCATCAGAAATATGCACCTGGGTGGACGACGACCGAAAAGACAAAAAACAGATGATGTCGTTGAAGAAATATTGGAAGCCGATGAAGACGAAGACATCGATTCTCTGATTGAGCGCAGAACAAGGGCCACGGAGAAAGCGATCAAGCGTGCTCGAAGGAAGGACCTGCTTGACATGCAGGCTTTGACGCGTAACCACATTGCAATCGCTGCACGGAAACAGGTCATCACCGACTTTCTGAAAGAAGTTCCTTTGCTGAAAAGTTGTGCGAGTTGTGGCGGCGCAAGCGTGAACTTCCGGAAAGATCGGAATGTCAAGATTTTCAGAAAGCCCTTGGCACAACGACAGAGAGAAGCGATGCGTGTCTTGGGTAAGACGCTTCCGAATCCTTTGGAGTATCTTTTGGAAACAAAGAAGCAACAAGAAACCGCCATGAAGAAACCTCTAGTCAATGGTATTCACGATGGTGACGTTGAGATGGCTGATGCCAGTCAAACTTCCGCCCCTGAAACACACGGTGCAGAGGAAGAAATTGCTCTGCGTAACGCCCTGGAGACGACATATGCGTCTAAGAATGCAAAGCTGGAAGATGAGGAGGACGTGCAGCGCTACATGTCACCCCCAGAAGTGCAAGCAGCACTCATTCTGCTTTTCGAATACGAAAATGACGTTCTCAATCTTTTATTCGGGTCGAAGTCGAGTCGGAAGCAGGCACTTGTCTCACCAGATATGTTCTTCATGACAGCCGTCCTTGTCCCGCCCAACAAATACCGACCCTTATCCAGACAAGGAGCCGAGCAGATGACTGAGGCTCAGATCAATGGAGCGTTGAATCGGATCATCAGAGCCGCCGCCGATGTCCGAACTATTCGTAGAGAGAATAGGAAAGCAAAAACGGACAAAACGGTACGGCCGCGGAGCTTCAACGAAAACATCCAGGCAATGATTGTGCTACAGGAAACCGTCAATGCACTTATCGATTCACCATTGCCGGCCTCTGGCAAGCCTGTAGACCAAGGCATCAAGCAAGTGCTAGAGAAAAAGGAAGGTCTGTTTCGCATGCACATGATGGGCAAGCGTGTCAACTTTGCAGCTCGCAGCGTTATCTCTCCGGACCCGAACATCGAAACCAACGAAATTGGTGTGCCTCTTGTGTTCGCTAAGAAGCTCACGTACCCTGAGCCGGTCACAAGCCACAACTTTGATGAATTGAGTAAGGCAGTCATCAATGGTCCAGACAAATACCCGGGTGCTGCAGCAGTGGAAAATGAGAACGGGCAGGTCTTGAGTCTCAAGCGTAAATCGCTTGACCAACGCAGAGCTATCGCCAAACAGCTCATGACGTCCGTAATACCAGGGTCGAAGGGGGAAATAGGTAAGAAAGTTTATCGACACCTCCAGACTGGTGATGTGGTCATCATGAACCGTCAACCCACACTACACAAGCCCTCCATGATGGGTCACCGTGCTCGGGTGTTGACGGGACAGAAGACAATTCGAATGCATTATGCGAACTGCAATACCTACAACGCCGACTTTGACGGTGACGAAATGAATATGCATTTCCCACAAAACGAGCTTGCTCGTACAGAAGCTCTCCAAATAGCCGATACTGACCACCAATACCTCTCTGCTACTGCAGGAAAGCCATTGCGTGGTTTGATTCAGGACCACATATCTATGGGCGTGCAGTTCACGAGTCGGGACGTGTTCCTTGACCGAGAACAGTATCAGCAACTGCTTTACAGCTGTTTGAGACCCGAGGACTATAATACTGTGTTCGAAAGAATTCAAATGGTACCCCCTGCCATTCTCAAGCCTAAAATGATGTGGACTGGTAAGCAGGTTGTCACAACCGTGCTGAAGAACATCACACCCGATAGATTCCATGGCCTGAATCTTACGAGCAAGTCGTCTACCTCGTCAGAGTCTTGGGGAGAGAAGACCACAAACGACAGTTCCAAATGGGATGTGACCAGCGAAGTTGTGACCTTCCGCGACACTGAGCAAATTGTCATCTTCCGTGACGGCGAGCACCTCTCTGGCATTTTGGACAAGAACCAGCTTGGTCCAAGTGCTGGCGGCTTAGTTCATTCGATTCACGAACTTTACGGTCACATCACGGCTGGGAAGCTGCTTAGCATTATGGGTCGACTTTTGACACGAGTTCTGAATGAACGCGCATGGTCTTGCGGAATGGACGACCTGTACTTGACCAAAGAGGGCGACGCCCTACGTCGAACGGAGCTGCTCAGGGGCAAGCAAATTGGCCTTGAGACCTCGGCGGAGTATGTCACCCTAGACAAGAATCAAGTTGACCAAGATGACCCTCAGCTCCTCAGCAGACTGGAAAATGTTCTTCGAAACGACGAGCAGCTCAATGGACTGGATCAGCTCTATAAGGCTAAAGTCAAGTCAATCACTGATAATGTTTCGAAGAGTTGCCTTCCAGCTGGCCTTCGAAAGCCATTTCCCAGAAATCAGATGCAAGCAATGACCATTTCTGGAGCCAAAGGATCTAGTGTCAATGCAAATTTGATCTCGTGTAACCTGGGACAGCAGGTTTTGGAAGGTAGACGAGTACCTACCATGGTTAGTGGAAAGACCCTGCCGTCCTTCCGTGCTTTCGAGACCGATCCTGTTGCTGGCGGGTATGTTTCGGGACGATTCTTGACTGGGATCAAGCCACAAGAATACTTCTTCCATACGATGTCCGGCAGAGAGGGTTTGATTGATACTGCGGTCAAGACATCCAAGTCAGGCTATCTACAACGATGTATTGTTAAGGGTCTTGAAGGAGCGCGTACAGAGTACGACACCTCCGTCCGTGAAACCTCCAACGGTAACGTGCTCCAATTCCTCTACGGCGAAGACGGCCTGGAAGTCACCAAGCAAAAGCATCTTCGCGAATTCACCTTTTTGGCCGAGAACAACCAGTCCGTTGCCACGCTGATGAGAGCGGAAGAAGTGCTGGAGAAGTTGCCAAACGAGGGTCTAGCCGAAGAACAGAAAGCCATTTTGAAATCTGTGAGAAGGAACAAACCTCGGGACCCATTGACAGGTCTCTTTAGTCCTGCAAGCCATTTGGGCAGCACATCTGAGTCTTTTGCGGAAGCACTGAACGCTTACATCAAGGAAAACCCCGACAAGCTGATCAGGGATAAGAAGACGAATCCGGGAGGCATTATTAGTAAAAGAACGTTTCAGTCGATCATGGACCTGAAATACATGCGGTCGATAGTGGAGCCCGGTGAAGCAGTCGGCGTTGTTGCAGCCCAGTCGGTCGGTGAGCCTTCAACACAGATGACCTTGAATACCTTCCATTTAGCCGGCCACTCCGCCAAGAACGTCACCCTCGGTATACCACGACTTCGAGAAATCATCATGACTGCCTCAGCCAAGATCATGACCCCAACAATGACCCTCAAGCCGATTGAAGAGATGACAGTTGCCGATGGTGAAACGTTCGCAAAGAGCATCAGTCGACTACCCCTCGCACATGTGATTGACACGCTTTCAGTGACTGAGAGGACCGGTGCTGGAGCTGGGCGCGAGCATGAGAGACATTACGATATCCAGATTAAGCTGTATGAGCCAGACGAGTACGAGAAAGAATATGCGATCAAACAAGAGGACGTGCGGCTTTGTCTGGAAAAGAGATTTTTGCCCCGTTTGAACAAGATGATCAAGGATGAGTTCAAGAAGAAGACACGGGAAGCGTCACTCTCAGAAACGACTGCGGCAGTCCCCGCTGTTGGTGTCTCTGTAGGTGTCGCTGAAGAAGCTCGACCTACGAGAACAAGAACCACAGATCGAGAAGGTGGTGAAGACGATATAGACGAGGACGCTGATCCTGATGACGCAAAAGATGCTGCCGCGCGGAAGAGACGAGAGGACACTTTTGACGAACCCGATGATGAAGAAAAAGATATCGCCAACGAATCGGATGACGAGTCTATGGCTAGTGATGATGAGACACTAGCGGATGTATTGCTGAAGAAGTCACGGACAGAGAAGCAGTCCCAAGCTCTGCGAGAGCAAAATCCGGACGAGAGCGACGCCAATGACGCGGTAGATTCAGAAGAAGAGGCAAGGCAGGAACAGCTAAAAGCCAGCATACCTCACCTTTCACGCTTCAATTTCACCAGCAACGAAGGCAGATCATGTCGGATCGTCTTGAGCTATGACTCAAACACTCCTAAACTTCTCCTTCTACCATTGCTCGAGAAATGCGCGCATATTGCGGTCATCCAGTCTATTCCAGGCCTGGGCGTCTGCACACAGTTCATGGAAGAAGTCCATGGTCCGGACGGTAAGCCCGTCAAGCAGATTAATCCCGAGACTGGCAAAGAAGACATCAAGAAGGAGCCTGTCATCACCACGGAGGGCGTCAATCTGCTCGCAATGCGCGATTACCAAGACCAGATTATGCCACACTCGGTGTACACGAACTCGGTCCACGATATGCTCAAGTATTATGGCGTCGAGGCTGCTCGGATGACCATCATCAAAGAAATTGACGGCGTTTTCAAGGGTCATGGTATCTCAGTGGATTCTCGACACTTGAATCTGATTGCAGACGCCATGACACAATCTGGTTCATATCAGCCGTTCAGTCGACATGGGCTTGTCAAGGAGGGAGGTAGTGTGCTGGCCAAGATGAGTTTCGAGACGGTCATGGGTTTCCTGAAAGACGCGGTCTTGTTTGGTGAGAACGATCCGTTGCTTGGGCCCAGCGCGAGAATTGTTGCCGGGCGCAGGGGAAATATTGGTACCGGTTCGTTTGATGTCGTCATGCCAGTCCATTAATGCATGGCATAGGCATTTCAGACAGTAGTAGAGAAAGTTCTTTTTTGGGCAGCGTGTGGATACAGCGGGAAGGTGTTCTGAGGATTATTGAATGAAGATCAAATTCTGTAGTTCTCTGGTCGATTCTGTGTTAGTCAATGCGCATATGAGCACCTGCAGACCTTGGCTCTTTAAGACCTGTTCCAACAGCGGCCACGTCCTTCCTGCACTCACGTACAAGTAGTTCTCATTTATGAGTTCGCGACACGAAGCCTTCAAATTTGAAATTCCCAATCGAGGCAGAGCTCAATCTATGCTCCCAGCCAAAATGACGCAGACACAGGAAAAGTCAAGAAGGTTCAAACTTCGAGCTGTTATTGACGCTACCACTAACTAAATGTTTTCTTGACAACCAATCAAGCTTCTAATTTAGAGCCAAGAGCATGAGGATAAGGAATCCTGCAGTCAAGAAAGGTGAGGTTGCCCCTCCATCGGGCCATTGAGACTTCGACGGAATGCAGCTTGCTTACTCTACTCTACTGTGCATTGACCCGGGGTTCATTGGAAGCGAGAGCATAAGCTGCTCAATTCGGTGTCGAAAGACCTGATGGTGAGAGTGCACCATGAGTCCTTGGACTCTCCCCGATCTGCTCTAAGCACGGCATCCTCGAACCAGCTCTATGCCATGGGCATGACCCTGACCATTGAAGAGAAATCTCAAAGCCTTCAACTCCACAGCTGTCGATCCTCGTCAACGAACCGGGGCCCCGCTAACTGGCTGACTGTCGGACCCCGGGGTGTACAAATCCTTCTGGAGGCGCGAGGAATAACCCACATGCTCCACAATGCTGAGGATGGTGCGTTCTTCATCCTCACCAATGATACGTCTCGACTACTCCGTACGAATTCTCTTGTAAAGAGTGGCTGAGGCTGAGGTCACGGCTTCTTCCTACAAGATGTCCCAGAGCCAGATCCTTGTCTGGCAAATTCCCACAAACTGGCCTGGTTTCATGCTACTTCTCAAATCCGATTCGTGGCTCAAACCCACCCCCGGGTTGACCTTGAGGTTGGGCCCGTCGCCATGTACGGAGTAGGCAACCGCTTGTTGGATTGCGCGAAACGACCTCGTCAAAGACCCTGGTGGCGTCTCTGGCTCGGGAGACCTATGACGAGGAAGTCATAGTTTGCCTTTTTACTTTACTCTTTTTCACCAGCCATGAACTTTACGGTGGCCGCCCAGTCTTTCGGACCCAAGTTTCGCTTCTTCTAACGCCATGACCCCTTTCTTTACCCCAGGAAATGACCCATACGCCGGCCCATGGGTTCTCCTAGACCTTCTACCTTTACTGTTTCGCCCCCCAGAATGGCTTTAGAAGGACCGGCGAATTTTGATTTCGGACTCCCCTGACACTCTCATTTGTCACCGGAGCAAGGGAGCAAACTTCCACGACCCTTTAAAGGACCTGGCTACGTTGCGTGGTGGCATCTTGATCCCTCAAACGCTCGCGCAGTCCTGGGGTATGCTGTGACCTTTGAGGTATTGTGCGGTGCATCTTCCACCTCATCGACATGGCTTTGGAGCGTGGAATGCAAGCTGTGGTGACGGCCGCGGTGTTCAATGCTCTGGCTTTCCTTTTTATTGTTGCCCGTTGTGTATCCCGATTCATCATTCTCAAGCAAGCTGGCCCCGAAGACTACCTGATTCTCTTCGCATTGGCTCTTTCTATCGGCCTTACTGTGATCATAATCCTTGGTGAGCGAGCCTTTGACCAACTGTCTGACGCCGACTGACCTATTTGAATTGCAGAGAAGAATAGTGGCTTGGGGCGGCATGCAGACACCGTCAGCGCTGAAGACAACGAGACTCTGCTGAAGGTAGAGTCATGACCAAAAGGACATGGATGAAAGACACAGCTGACTTGTGACAGCTCCTGTACGCCAGTGTCATCGAGTACAATGTGGCGTTATTTCTACTCAAAGACTCGATCCTGTACCAATATCTGCGCTTCTTTGTCCAGAGAAGTTATCGGATCGCGGCTTGGTGCCTGATAGGAATCGTCGGGGTGGGAGGTTTCGCCTTCATTCTAATGTCGTGCTTTTCATGCTGGCCCATAGCATATTTCTGGGAGAAGTCCATCGAAAATGGACACTGCGTCGACATCCTGGCGTTTTGGTTCAGCTTCTCGGCTTTCAATATCGCTACCGACTTGGCGGTCTGGTTCCTCCCGATGCCTGTCCTGTACAACCTGAAACTTCCGCGGAAGCAAAAGATGACCTTGATTGCGGTTTTCGCTCTTGGTGGATTGTGAGGGCACCTCTTACCCAACCTCTCTATCCATTGTGATGTGTTCCCTCCGGCTGACTCGTCTCACAGTGGCTGCATCACTTCCTTCCTCCGACTTCACGCCCTGTATGTCACGAGCGTATCGACCGACCTTACCTATGACAATGTCGACGCCGCGACGTGGTCGGCCGCCGAGCTCAATGTCGGCATCATGTGCGCGTGCATCCCGGCCATACGTCCAGTTGTCAGTCTACTATTCCCACGTCTCCTGACGAGCACCCGACGCAGTCGCACTTCCGATGCGTACCAGCGCGGAACATCGGGTTTCCGCAATGATGACATGGTCCCGTTGTCGCACGCGTTGTCGCAGGCCAACAAGGTGCCGCGAAGTGATACGACCAGTCAAGAGGAGCGCAGCAGCCTCGACCCAACGAATGTCTCGAACACAATTCATGTGAAGCAAGAGTGGACGATTACAGAGCACGAAGGGCGTTGATTGTAGAGTGAGCACCACGGAGGAAAGAACGTACAGTAGACACGACGCTCTGCGAGACAAGAATAAGAGTACTCCTGCAGTTACGGAATATGGAGCTACTAACTTAGTTTGATCTGCAAGGGGGGTTGAGTGAGCTTGGGGCGCTTGAAAGGGGGTTTTCGCCTATTTTGTGGATTTTACCAAAATCAGCAAAGACAGAACGTGGTGCGAGCAAGGGGCCCATTGCGTTCTCCATGTTCAAATGTGGCTCGTTGCTCGCTGAGAGGGTTTGGCGCGTCTGTCTTGAAAAAGTTATCGTGCGTTTCGGAACGAGATTCGAAGTGCATCAAAAAGTTAGAGCATGATTCACTACACACAGTATATTTTGAGCATGCAAAAAAGAAATACAAGTTCCTCAGATCCCCGAGAGGCGCCACGAGGAGAGCTAACGATAACGGTGAATACATCCGACCTCTGCTTCTGGAAGGTATTGTACTGCATGGTAAGTCCCCCCACCAGGTTTTGCAACAACCTAGTTCTGCAACACGCGTTCCTCCACCCCACCACATTCCTACCACCAACTTAACCAACTACCACACCACCAATTAATCATGAATCGCGCGACAAATGCCTCAAATCGAGAGATTAGAATCCAGCAAGCCATTACAGAGTTTCAGAGACGCAAATACCCTTCTATTCGCGCAGCCGCAGCCGCGAATGATGTGAGCTATTCCACGCTCAACCGCCGACTACAGGGTACGCAATCACCCTCGTTATCCCACGAGCCGCAGCAGTTATTGTCGAATCAACAGGAGATTCTATTAAAGAGTTGGATAGTTGACCTGGAGGCACAAGGACACGCACCTAGCTACAGAGCTGTACGAGATCTCGCTGGTATTATTAGCGAGGCAAATGGCGGCCCTCGACGCGTCGGTATCAACTGGCTACCACGATATCTAGAACGTTATCCTGACATTAAACCTAAGGTAGGTCAAAAGATCTGTGCTAAGCGCGTCAACTGTACTCTTTCTGAGCTCCTTGAGCCCTGGTTCAACGACCTAAAGGTCATTAAAACGCGATATTCTATATGGCCTGAGAATAGCTACAATATGGACGAAGCTAGCATGGCTCTAGGCGTCTACAGTAATCAATTAGTTATTGGGATATCGGCCACTATCAGGGCACTTAGAAAAACACTAGAGACATGAGAATGGGCAACAATTATTGAGATAGTATTAGCTACTAGCCAGTATCTATAATCGCTAGTTATCTTTAAAGATTAAGCGCTCCAAACAACTTAATTCGACCAGAACAGTCTTGCCTATCAATATATAATATCTAATAATGGCTGGACATCGAACGAGATAGGTCTCGCCTAGCTAGACCTGATATTTATATCTTAAATAGTTATGAAAGACACTACTCGCGGCGCCTATCGATTACTATTAATAAATAATCATAAGAGTCATATCACGCACAAATTTATATAGAAATACTTTCAGAACAATATTGTGGTATACTACTTACTACCTTATTTAAGCCATATTCTTTAGCCTCTTAATCTTGCTTATTTTTCACCTGTTAAATCGCGCTATCAAGACGCCCTAGCTAATCTTGCTAGGTTCGACAATATAGCCCCAATCAAGAAGACTAAGTTTCTCTAGATATATCAAAAGGCTAGCTAGGAAGGCTTAATAGTCGCCAATATTAAGGCTGGCTGGAAAGCTAGTGATATATATCCATGGAACCCGCGGCTACCTATCCAATCTAGTCAGGTTCTAGTCAACAAGGAAAAAGCCCAATATAGAGTATATACACCACCTTCACGCAAGCGAAAAGCACTCGACAGCGACGTCTATAATACGCCAATTAACAGGAGGGTATATAGCGAATCACTAGTGTTGGCATCCCAGCGCGAAACGCTGTCTTGTCTTATACGCAACTGGCTTAAAAAGACAGGCCAGGTTATCGAGCGATTGGAGTGGGATACTAGGCAGAAGGATGAATAAATAACTAAGCTACAGAATGGCCTAGATCAGGAGAAGATCAGAGGGCAAAAGGGCAAGGCTGTTGACGTGAACGAGACGTTTGCTAGTATCGAGAGTATATAGCTAGCTAAAGAGGCATTGGAATAAATGGCGTCGACGAGGATAATAACGCGCAGGCCTAGACAGGCTGCAATGTCAGGAATGACACTAGTAACAACCCACAAGGGGCATTCATGTCACAGTTCTATATAAACGATCTAGTTGGTTAAGCAATTGAGACTTGTTCTGTTGGTGGCGTTGAGGAATTAGTGTTGCAGAACTAGGTTGTTGCAAAACCTGGTGGGGGGACTTATTGTACAGACAACAAAAGTCTAGACGAAGACCCCAGCCGATCGAACGGGACCCATGAGCAAGCTATTGTACAGTTATCATAATCTCCACTATCCGCTCTCAAGTGGGTATTGTCTGAGCACTCGGTGGTGGGCAGCGAGACCTCTCCTTATGCGGGCATATCCCACCCACCACCCTCTTCTTGTCCCATGCAGTCTCGTTGCCCATCTCCCAATCCCACCCTGCACTTTGGATTCTGACGAGCAGACGTTCATCTCCCACGCAAACCATCAGCTGCTCTCCCCTTAGGTCCTTCGGACAGGGTCCTTTGGGATCGGCGGACCCTTGAGCGAACTTGCCCATTTGTCTGGCCCCTTCCGACAATGCCATTGCCAATACACATGTTTCCAGCCAGGGCATTTGTGCCGTCCGCTTCGGGAGAGAAGCTTGGATAACTTGTCTATGTTCCAGTTGAACAGTCTCGTTACTACTCCTGCTGCTGCTGCTGTTGCTGTGTTGGCGTTGTCGTTGTAGCACCTTCAACGAGTCTCAGACCGTGGTGATTGTACCAACCTCTTACGAATTGCAAAGGCAGGATTTCGACATGTCTTTAGCTGAACCGCGAGAAGTGATCGATGGCGGCAAGGCATGGCTTCGATGTGGCAATGGCATGAATCTGGGAGAAGCCCCGATATACCGAGCCAGCGACTCAACCCTGCACTGGGTGGATTGCCTGTGCGAGCCCGCGGAGTTACAAATCGTCAAGGTCGACCCCGAGACGGGCGATGCGGTTGGTGAGACGAGGGTGATCCAGCTGGAGGACAGCGTGACGGTGGCTTTTTTCCGCAAGAACAAGCCTGGAAGCTACATCTGTGCGTATTTCCAGGGCGTGGCGTTCATGGACGAGGCGACCGGCAAACTCGAGGTGGTCAAGGAGATCATCCCGACCAGCGATAGGGGGATCAGACGGTTCAACGACGGCGGTGTCGATGCGAAGGGGCGCTTCTGGCTAGCGGAAATCGACCGTGTGGCTATGGCGTATGGACCGAACAAGTGTCCTGCGAGCCAAGGGGAGCCCATCGGTCGGCTATGGCGATACGACCCTGACGGGACTCTGCATCTCATGGAGAAGGGAGTCATTTGTGGGAATGGGTTGGCTTGGAGTCCAGATAACAAGACGAGTGAGTTTGGCTTCTGGATGGATGGATGGATGACCAGTCTTCGAGGGAATGCTAATGGCACGTGGATAGTGTACTTCAACGACTCAGTCGCAATGTTGGTGTGGGCTTATGACTTTGACCTGGAGAGCGGGAGCATCTCGAACAAGAGGCTGTTCATCGATCGGCGGTCGTCGTTCGGGGAGCCTGATGGCATGGTTGTCGAGTGAGTAGTACCTTTGTCTTCTGTGTGCTTGAGCGCACAGAGTGTGGTTTGTGAGTGATATCTCCCCGGCTAACACGAGCGTAGCACCGAGGGAAACCTCTGGATCGCCATGTTTGCTTCATACAGAGTCATGGTTTTCAGTCCCAAGGGCGAGCATTTGAAGGACATTGTCTTCTCAGCCAACAACATGGCTTGTACGACGTGGGGAGGAAAGAATCTTGATATTCTGTATATCGCTACAGGCAGAGACAAGAGCCCCAATGCGAAGCCTGATGATGAGGGTGGTCACATGTTTCGGTATAGGGCGGTGGGAGTGAAGGGGTGGCAGAAGTATGAGTTCGACGGATGAGGCTGGTGGATTGTAGCACTACCGGGCACCTTACTCCGCATTCTTGGGTATAGTGGGCGAATCTTTCGATAGCATTGCTTGCGTAGGAATGGTCATCGACGTATCGTTATTCATCTGCCTTTCTTGACAAGTGTCTGTGAAGTACCTGGTGTCGCTGGTGGGTGACGGTGTGGCGGCGTTTAGGGACCTGCAGCCTCCATGGCACCGGGCATAAGGGTTCGTCGCAGCAACTCCACACCTAAACAAGACCCCCAATCCCCAATCCCCCTACGAGGAAGCCCCCAAACAACGTGTCCAGGGGCCAAGACCACAGTCTTATAGGCACTAAAGGCGCCACAAGTCCCTGGAAGTATCCAGCTCTCCCTTGGCTCTGGGCATTTACCAGTGCCTAGAGTAGCTAACACCCCAACTTGGAACCCTGCAGAATTCTGACTTTCAACCAACCCAAAGCTTTTATCCACTGTTGTCATCATCCTTCTCTTCTGATACTATCGCTTGCAAGGCTTCTAGCCCTTTCTTTACCTACCTTGACACACATCATGGCTTGTCGATGATTCTCGCTACAATTGCGCGTTATCACCCACTAGCGCAGTCATTATCTCTCTACCACCTGGTCATCAATGTCCAGCAGACATGTCTGCCCCGTGCAGGGCTGTGGCAAGACTTTCAAACGACCAGAGCACCTGAGTCGACATCGCCTGAATCGTAAGTACCCATGGATTTAGATCTCATGAGACAGAGCCGCTGATGAATGGGCTAGACCGACCCAAAAAGATCTACAACTGTGGGACATGCCACAAGGACTTCGTCAGGCTTGACCTGCTGCAAAGACATCAAAGACGCCATGAGCGTGGCATGTCATATCGCAACTCTGGAGGTTATGTCCCTGATACGCCCTCGTCGCCATCTGCTGCTGCATCTCAACCTGCCATTGCGACGGCCACGGAAGTAGATTTGGCAATTCAACCCACAGAAGTTGCACCACAACATCAGCACGTCGATGCCGTCGATCCTGCTCTATCGGCAGCCTCGAATTCGACGCCCATGAACTTCGGCAGCATCGACTACCCAGACTTTCTGCAGGTGGCGGAGATGGGGAACAATCACCATGTCATCTTCGACGCCTCCGATGGGGCCCAAGGTCTCGTGGAAGATCTAGACTGGTTGTTCGGGAATGTGTCGTTCCCGGACGAGTTTGCAATGGACCCTTCTCTGGACATTACCCTTCCCAACGACATCTCCTTCGCTTCTCCAAACAGCACGCTATCCCAGCAACTCAGTACGGACACGCCATCTCTGGGGGGTGGCCCTTGGCTTGGTGTTCGTGCACGACTTCTGGACGCTCTACGCACATTGCCACAAGACCTCCTGGAATCGCCGTTCTTTGAACCCGTCAACCTCAAAGCCTTCTTCGATATCTACTTTTCCAACTACAATGCTCATTTTCCAATCTTACACCAAGCCTCATTCGCATTAGGTGACGCGCCGCCGCTACTCCTCGTTGCGCTGCTCACTCTGGGCGCCACATTATCGCCCGATTCGTCTCACTATCAAACGGCCGAAAGGATCCATGAAAGCTTACGATGGCTGATCTTCAGCAGTGGAAGTTTTCAACCACCAGCGCCGTTGTGGTGTCTGCAAGCGTTACTGCTTGTTCAGGCCTATGAGAAGATGTTCTCTACCCGGCGACATCACGAGATGGCGCACATATTCCATGGTGCCGTCATCACTCTCATGCGTAGAGGCGGTTCGTACTCTTCAGACTCGGCGGATGATGCCACGAAAGCATCCTCGGCAGAGAGAGCGTGGCACTCATGGATTGAGCAAGAATCGTTCAAGCGGGTCGCATATTTTGCCTTCATCATGGACGCACAGCACTCGTCGATATTTGGCCACACGCCTGCACTTTCAGTTAGCGACGTAAGGCTTGCTCTGCCATGTGCGGATGAGGTGTGGGATAGCTCGACTCCCTCGTCCTGGAAGAAGAGGCTGTCCGAATCGGCACCGCCAGTGCAATTTCTGTCTACTTTGCGGGCTTTACTATCACGTCGTCCGATCACTTCGAGCTGTAGCCCCTTTGCCCGCTTTATCCTCCTCCACGGGCTGTTCAACGTGACTAAACATATGCAGGGGCGTGATCTTATGGCTTCAGACATCGAGACAGGAAGAACGTCCGACCACGGCGGCGGCGAATCGACACCACCGTCAACTATAGGCGACGACAACTGGAAGGAGATTCTCGATCGAGCCATAGATACTTGGTCATTCTCTTTGATGTCGCAACAACCCTCACTTTGCCTAGAGGCCGCGCGACCTCTACATCGGATGGCTCACGTCACGATATACGTCAACCTAATTGACTTCCACACATTTGCTGGCGCGCCGTCTCTCACTGGCAGCACCACCAGACACGAATACGCCAAGGCAAAGCGAAGAATTCAGGTCTGGTGCGAGAGACCATCGGCCAAACGGACGCTGTCACACTGCATACTCCTCATCCAGGAGACCATGTTCACGCGAAGACGGTATCGCGCTTCCGAAGACAACATTGCTCTTCGACCGTGGTGTCTTTATCATGCCACCCTGATCCTGTGGGCATTTGGGATTCTGACAGAAGGCAAATCATCCGAGAGAGTCAGCGCTGAAGATTATCTCGTGCATATGCTAAGTGGACTGATGGATCATCATCATCGGCTCAAAGGCACGAATCGGACGCTGGGCCTCCTGACGGTGGTCAAGGAGTCCCTGTCTGATTGTCGGTGGGAGCTGTTGCAAGAAGCATGTACAACACTGGGAAAGCTAATTGAGGTCTCTGCATCTTGATTAGTCGCTGCTGTAATATACTGATCCAGGGCTGTTTGAGCTATGCTCAAGAGCGGGCGTCGCATCGCAATAATGGTCGTGTTATGAATCAATTTCTTTTCAGCGAACATCAAACTGGTATATCATTGCTTGATATTGCGATAAATCCTCCCTATCAACGACTGGAACCTCGCCAATTCCTTCGCAAGTACATTTTACGCCAAAGCCTTTATCAAACTCTCGCACAGAATGGTGATGGCCCTCCTCCCGGCTTCGAGGACAGCATCCATTGCCAAGAACGGATGAGGCATCCCCTTCATAACGTGCACATTCGCGGGGACGCCGGCCTCCTTCAGTTTGCGGGCGTAATCTTCACCTTCGAACTTGAGCACGTCGAGCTCGCCGACCAACACCTCGGCGGGTGGGAGCTTCGCAAAGTTTTCGGCCGGATACAGCAGCGGCGACGATTCAGGGTTCGTCCAGTCTTTCTCGTTGGGCAGGTAATGGCGTCTGTACCAGAGCATCTTCTCAGCGGGGAGAGCCGCGGTGAACTCGTTCTCCTTGTACGTTGGGTTCGACTCGACGCTCGCCGTGTTGTCCGTGACGGGGACGATGAGGAGCTGGATGGTGAACTTGACGTTCGGGAGCCCCAGCGCTTTGTGCGTCATGATGGCAGCTAGGTTCCCACCGGCGGAGGAGCCGCCGATGGCCACGTTCGACAGATCGAGCGACAGGACCGACTTGCCCTGTCCAAACACCCACAGCACCGTTTCCCAGGAGTCGTGCACCGCGGCGGGCCACGGGTGTTCGGGCGCCAGCCGGTAGTCGGTCGTGATGACCACGTACCGCGACCGGGCGCACAAGTTTGTGCACACGGTGTTCTCGGTGTCGATGTTGCCCAACACCCAGCCACCGCCGTGGTAGTAGATCATAACGGGCCAACCAGCGGCCGGCGGCTCGCCCTCAGGCGTGAAACATCGGATCTGCACGTCCGGCCCTGTTGTTTGCTGGCGCTTGAGGCCGATGTCCTGGGTCTTGCCTACGGGGAGCGGATCTCCGCCGCCCGGAATGAGTTTGCCGCCCACGCGCGACGCCGAGACAGGTTGCAAGTGGACTTGTTGCGCGTTGATGATGTACTCGTTGTAGAAATTGACATATTCCGGGTGAAGACGGTCCTTGACCGATTCGTGGAGAGGGTACGGTGGTTGTGTGTTTGTCAAAGACATGACTGATTTAAGTTCGAATCAGATCGGACCAGATCAGATCAGATCAGATCACAGTGTATCGTTCAGTCAAGGATTGCTGGACACTGTACGGAGTCCCGTGTTCGCTTGGGTTTTCCTCTCGGATTTGCACCTTCTAGTTGGAGGAGGAGCAATCAGCGCAAATCGGTGAGCGTATGAAGTGATCTGTATGGCTTGCTTTGCCCTGCTGTGTCGGTGATGGTTCGTTACGAATGCAGCTGTTCCAAAAGGGAGTTTTAAATGCCTACGTTGAGTATGTGAGGAACACCGGGACAGGAGCGTGCATGAGCCCTTTTTGACGAATGCAACTTCGTGTTCTTTGCCTCCACGGATTTGGCTTACTTGAGAGGTTTGTCAAGAGTCTAGGGCACCTTATGCATGGGATGAGAGGGGTCGGACAGCTTCTGGCGGCGTGTCTCCGCTGATATCGCTTCAAGCGTTTCTCCGGTCTGGGTGGAGTATCGCATGGGATGAGATGGGACGGGAGAGGGTTCGTCACACATGGTTTACGGTGAGTGCGTGGGGGAGAGCGTTCCAGTGAGTACTTGTGTGCGACATTTGATCTGAGGGACACTCATGCTGCACAGCGAAGGGCTGCCGTAAAGGGGGGGATGTTGAGGATGCCCACGCAATGTCGTGCCCGCGTGGGGTGGCCTTGACTGACTTCAGGTGTCAGCAAACTTTGGTGGTTTCTTGTCAGCACTCTATCATCACCACGTTGGACTACTGCCTGGAAGTCGTACAGACTCGACAAGCTCACGGGAACGCACAGTCAACACCGATCGATATACCTGTTCGCAAACACCACCACCACCAAAATCGACAGAATGTCCAGAACACCAGTCACGACCGAAAATGCCCCAAAGGCTCTCCCGGGCATCTACAGTCAAGCCATCGTCGCCAACGGCTTCGTCTACTGTTCCGGCTGTGTCCCTATGGACCCTAAGACGATGCAACTGATTGACGGCGATATTCAAGCGCATACTGTAAGTCTACCGTGTACATCATCTTATCTTCACACATCACCGGGGACAATTTGACAATCTCATATCACCTCAGTCCCAGCCATCATCTCCGTGCTTGCTCTGATCCTGATCTTGCCACTGACACTCTGACGTTTAATAGCACCAATGCATCAAGAACCTAGGTGCCGTTCTTGAAGCCGCCGGATCAAGTCTCGAACATGTCGTCGAGGTCAACGTCTTCCTGGCCAACATGGATGACTTTGCCAAGATGAACGAAGTGTATACTACCTACTGGGGCGATGTCAAGCCTGCTAGAACGTAAGTTCACCTTTTCAAAAATCCCATTTAGCCCGGCCCACGAAGGGACCGTGGAATCGATTGCCCTCTTGAGCTGCCTTTGTGCTAATATGTGGCTGCAATAGGTGTGTCGCCGTCAAGACGCTTCCTCTCAATACGGATGTTGAGATCAAATGTGTCGGTGTCGTGAAGAAGTGAACACAGGGTTGAGGATGCCCTTGAGGAAAACCTCACGTGAGGATTCACGGTCGAGATGCCCAGGTTGTCCCAGCTGGATTGTGAACTTGGGACGACGGGGCTGTGGCCCTTGAGTACCTGTCAGTGGCTTGGAGAAGCCTCATAGCCTTCGCCAACATGAGCATGGGCTACGCCTGGATGTAGGAATGACATGGGTGCAGGAGATACGGCATTACCAGAGGCCTCGGCTCCGGCTTCTGTGACATCCGAGACTCTGTGTTGGCACTTTTATTCACCAGTGTGATACAGAGTAGGAGTCATCCGAAGGGTTTAATGCACCAATGAAGGTTACATCAAGATTATGTGCTCCCTGGCTGGTTTAGCTATTCAGCAGAAAATGAAAATCATTTATATATCTCACAGTGCACCAATACTTCAGGTTATCTTCATTTTCCCGTTCAGAGAGACATCTCTAGCCAAACATACAAATGCTTGGTCCTGTGAATTGTGATACACAATTGTATTTCGAAGGCTTACCAGTTGTGTATTCATGTGCATATCGCACATGTTTGATCCCAACGCAAACTGATGTACACGTGTGTAGTGTACGTCTACACAATATCCACGAATCGTCTTTCTTTGGCAGACTTGTAAATGGCGTCCAGCACCTTCATGAGCTTCACCTGGATGTCCACGCCGGCAGATTCCGTCTCGACGCCCTTGACCACACGGTCAAAAAATAAGTCGATCTGCCTGGTGTAATAGCCAAGCTGATTCGAGACGCCCTGGGGCTTCTCCGTGGCCATCCTGGTCACACCCTCGCCGTACCCGGCTCGGGCGTCCCGCAACGTGACCTCGCACTTGGGCGGGTTCAGGACGCCGTGAACCGCGCCGTTGGTGCCGTAGACGTTGATGCCCCAGTCGGCGCACCAGTCCGTGGGCTCCCAGGCCGTGAAGTCGGCCACGACGTTGTGCGAGTCGTACTCGAGGATGACGCTGGCAATGTCCTCGTACGGCATCTCGCCGACGGCGAACCGCGTCGTGGTCGGGTCCAGTTCGCCCGTGTGCATGTCGTACCAGCAGCTGACGATCGGGTGCGTCTCAGGGCCGCTGTCGCTGTCGCTCGCGCGGGCTACAAGTTTGCGAACGCTCGCCGACACGCTTCGGGGCAGCCCGAACACATCCACGATGGCCTCGAGCGTGTGGCTGCCGTCCATGTACAGGAACCCTCCCAGCGTGTCCTTCTGCCGCTGCCAGATCTCCATGCCGCCGCCCGAGGGCGTGCCGCCGTGCCAGTGCGACGTGGTGATTTGCCCCAGCGCCCCCGTGCGGACGATGTCGCGCACAAAGTCCATCGCCTCGGCGTAGTGCATTTCCCAGCCCCATTCCACGACCAGGTCCGGGTAGGCCTTCAGTGACTCGACCAGCGAGAAGAGGTGTGACGGGTGCGTCGCCCCTGGCTTCTCGAGAAGGAGCCCCTTGGCGCCGTGAGATGCCGCGAGGAGCGCGAGCCGGGGGTTGTCGTGGTCCAGAGGGTGCACGAAAGCGATGTCGAACTCTTGCTTGACGAGCTCATGTTCGGACTCAAACCGCCGGATGGGGAGTTGCTCGGCGAGCTTCCTGGCGAGCACGCTATCTTCTTCCCAGAATCCAACGATCTGTGTGTCTCCTCGTCCTTGGAGGATGTTGGCGCGAATATAAAAATGAGGATGGTGCGCCCCCAGAAGGATCACTCGTGTTGGTGGAGGTGACGGCATGTTGTGGTTTTCCTTTTTTTTCTTTTTGGTCGCTTGCTATGTCGCGTATCTGTCTTCCTTGGCTGCTTGGTCTCAGCCTATATCACTCTTCAGAGCGTGGATCGTGACTCGCTGGTATCCATGGCCGGCGAGATGTCGTGGTAAATCACATGACTGGGCTGTTGCTCCTGGATGTGGTGTCCCGAGGAGAGCCTTTCGTAACCGTGGTGGTCAACGACGATGCCACAGAGTGGGCGGGAATACGTGGGCATAACGACAGTGCGGGCAGTCGTATCGTGGGCATGTGTGGGCATTCTATCCGCATCCTTTATGGGCACATGGTAGTGAGTGGGCATGTATAGTGGGCCCTGGTGGGTTCGTGCTTCGTTGCAAAAGTCAATCTTTGCGGTATCTGAGTCTAGCCGCATATCTCATCTCCTCCATGCTCACGTTAGGTCCCAGAAGGATAGTGATGATAAGTTGACAGCTTATCGAGACTCCCGAGTCTGGGGTTGTTGCTTGTGTGACCTTCCCGTCCTCCGCCGAAGCCAATCTAAGAAAGGGATGACGGGCTTCCAGACTTTGTTCGTACGTGGGTCTGTGATATGAACCTCTCTCAGGTGACGGGCACAATCAGACACAAAAACATATATGCGGTGTGATCGCAGCTTGAGGAGGTACATGCGCTGTACAGTATACCTCCCAAACTTATATCTTGCCCAAAACACCCAGCCGCAACTTCAAAGTCATGGTGCAGTCCCAGGACAATACGGGAAAGGAGTACCCAAACGCGCACGAGCAGGGCACAATGACCGACATCGAGAGCGCTTCCCTGCACAGTGCCACGCATGGCGTCGTGGCCAAGGGGCACAAGTTCGGCCCTATCACGCTGCCAGCGTACAGATCGCCGCTTGCTCAAACCATTATCATCGGCTTCGTTTGTTTCCTTGTGGTCGGTGAGTGAGAAGGAAGCATGGTCGGTGCGTGGGATGAAAACTGACCCTCTACAAGGCATGTTCAATGTCCTGGCCTCCCTCGGTGGTGGTGGACAGCTCACCGCCGATCTGTCCAACAAGTCCAACATCATCCTGTACTCCATCTTCGCTGGCCTGGCGCTCGTCTCGGGCTCCATCTGTAACTACCTTGGACCCAAGATCACACTCGCCATCGGTGGCGTAGGATATGCTCTCTACGCTGCATCGTTTTGGTGCTACAACCATACCGGAAACGACGGATTTGTGCTCTTTGCCGGCGCCGCCTGTGGATTTTCCGCTGCATTTCTATGGTAAGGGAACCAACCAGCACTTGTTCACTTTTGACCCCGAGGGACATCGGTTGACTGACATTTGATACCCACACCTGCAGGACCGCAGAAGGAACCATGTTGATGTCGTACCCCACAGAGGACCAGAAGGGTCGCTACATCAGTCTGTTCTGGACCATCTGGAGTATGGGTGCAGTCATTGGTAGCATCATTCCGACGGCACAGAACTGGTCAAACACGTCCGCGGGCAGAGTCAACGACGGCACTTACATCGCCCTCTTCATCCTGATGTTGTGCGGGTCTTTCCTCGCCCTGTGTCTTGTTCACCCAAGCAAGGTCGTGAGAGATGACGGCACAAAGGTTTACGTCGTCAAGCACGCATCGTTGGCGACCGAGCTGAAGAACGTGGTCAAGTCGGTCAAGGTCGAGCCGTGGATCATTCTTTTCTTCCCCTACGCCTTTGCCGGTCTCTGGTATGGCGTTTACCAGAGCAACGACTACAATGCGTATTTCTTCAACGTCCGAACTCGGTCGTTCAACTCCATCTGGTACAACGTCGCCCAGATGGTCTCGGCTGGTCTGCTAGGTCTGTTCTTGGACATCAAGTACTTTACCCGACGGACGAGAGCGTTGCTGGTAAGCTACATATCATCCCTCTCGGGGTGCTCGATCATGGGACGTGCAGTGTGCTAACTTTGGCCTTCTCAGGGATGGGTCATCATGTTCGTCTGCTTCAATGCCGTGCTAATCGGCGGTGTCTTCCCTCTCCGAAAATCCAGTCGTTCGCATCCTGAGGAGAAGGTGCTCGACGTCAAAGACAGCGAGGCTGGAGGCTACATTGCCCTCTACTTCTTTTATGGCTTCCTGGACGGCGGTTGGTAAGTCTCCTTTCGTCGGACCCAGTTGTTCAAGACCACCTACTAACTTTTACAGGCAATGCTACGCGTACTGGATCATGGGTACACTGTCCAACGATCCCCTGGTGCTGAGCATGTATGGTGCCTTTTACAAGGTCTTTGGTGCTGCAGGAAGTGCCATCGTTGCCTCTCTAGACGAACAGAAGAAGTCATATGTGACCATGTTCGGCTCATACTGGGGCCTCACGGCCGGCTCGCTTGTGGTCTTACTGCCGCTGGTGCTCAAGCGCGTCACAAACACCAGTTACACCACTGAAGCGGCAAGCTCAGTGAAGATGGTTGGTGCCGGTGGCATGCAGGCCGGCATGGCTGTCGGTGTCGATATGGAAATCGAGGGTGAAGAGAAGGAAATGAAGACAGTCAAATAAAGCAAGCTGTAACGCGAACCTGATACGGGTTTACTAAGGTTATTTTAGAATCAGTTGGGAAGAAGTCTTGGTAGGTTGACAAATCACTAGATGTCACTGTTTCGCGGTGATCGGCACCAGGACTGAGGGTATACGATATGGTAATGAATGTCATACTGGGGACTAAGAGAGACTGTTCTCCGTCTTCTTCGCCAAATAATCTAAGCGCCTTAGTTCCTTCCACTTACAACCCTAGGAATATACCCTGAGCTCGCACAGACGTACTATACAGCCCCTTAGGAGTTCTGCTGGTGCAGAAAACGCAGTGTATCTCGTAATCCTGGTTGATGTAAGTAATGTACCTCTTCACAATCACAGGCTAGCCCGCGCTTACAAGATCTCTTTTGGGGACTTCATACAATTTTCCGACAAAGACCAACGTCTCTGAATGGCTTACACAGCATTCACTTCTTCTCCTTACTGAAGTTCGTCGGGGACATCATAGAAATACCATGGTGAGAACGGAGCTTTTCTACCTCGATTCGTCCCCCCAGACATGACAGACAAGTGCATGAGTTGCTCTCGTCTCTTCAAACTGACGCAAGCTACGCTCATTGCCCCTTGAGTTGGGTCGTGTTGGTTCCCCCTAGCATCGTTCCCTTGTAGCCGATTCCCGAGGCATAAACTACTCGAATAGTCCTGCCGCGGATGTGAGGCTCGGTGTACAGTCTAGGATGATGAGACGCGGGGCTGGCGGTGTATACATGTCCTGCCGCTAGAGTGGGATGATACTGGACTCTCTCGCAGTGATCATGCCCATGACAACACTGATGTTGGTACCAAGCGCCTCGCACCTCGAGATTTTTGTGACATTGCGCGGCATACCCAGATCATAGCTAGCGCCAGATACAACTTACGCAATGCCACTTTAGAGACCGTAAAATCCTTCGGTCCCTGTGCCCGAGTAAAGACCTTTTTGGTGGTAATGTTACGATGGACTGCTGAATTTGTGGATCGATCATCCCCTGATCAGTCGTAGTTGCGGCATGAAGTGTCCGCTCTGAAATGGTCAGGCTGTGCTTTGGACAGCCATTAAACAAAAAATTCTGTGAAAACAGCTGGCACTCAACTCCCGTTCGTGGCCCTCCCAACTTGATGGGTTTACAGGAGTGTAGTCGAGAATTCGAGCCTCCAAAAGGAGTTCCGGCAAATGTCTCGATTTTCTACCCGTGTGTAATTAAATGATACCAACATACTCATTTTCGTGTCTGGGATATTAAGGACGGCCGATTGTGCTTTTGGGACTTCGTAACGCTTGAACAGGTATAAAGCATGCGGTACGTGCGGGTGATCAGGCATTTGTGACTGTATCTCGCTCAGTGTCGCTGCCCATGGGTCATAGTCAAACACCGAGAACTGTGTCTCTGTCGCCATGGGCCCCCGGGAATCGGTAGCCCAGTTCAGAGCGTAGAACATACACCGAGCTCGCACCTTAACATTCTTCCCAGTGACCTTTACGGTTTTAGAAATGTATAGCCGTAAACCGGAGCAAGCCGAATCGGCGTCACCAACATTGAAGAAGACTTGGTCTTCTTCATCCCAATAGCCTAATGGCCAAACACTCAAGATGCTCATTTCAGGTGGTAGCTGGAATTGAATAACGTTTGATCGAATTCTTGATATGAACGACGTTCTGCTGCCTTGCGTTTCGGGACTCCGAGTCAGGAGGTATGTTGAGGCCTGAGGAGACAGGGAAAGTCCTTTGTAGTCCTCACCACTATCATCTCGAACGAGCCCATAAGGATCTTCTCTGACGAATGATCCGGGCCAAGATTTTCGCAGACGTATCCCCAGAGATGTTTTACGAAACCGATTCAACGGGTCTTGGGGATCCCAACTTTCCCAAGAGACTGGCAATACGTAACGAGAGGCGCGAGTCTCTGGAATGCGCTCCAAAAACAATCTAGTCCGTATCTGTATCCCATCGGAGTAAGTTGAAATTGCTGGCTTGCCTTTGCTGTAAGGTCGTAAGAAGGTCGAACATTCGAGGAAGTCACGCGGACTCTGCGCCAGAACGCCACAATAGATCCGTTCGACGCTTCCAGGGTTCTCTGTTCTATTGTCTTTCATCCAAGCAAATATGCTCGGATCCGTGCTGGTTTTCAAGATTTCTTCTTGCAGTCTCGCAAATGCCTTTTCTTCCTCTCCGTATATAAGTGGCATGTTGACGTCAAATATCCCAAGTAAGCAATACGCCATGTCTTCGATGCGGGTGGTCTCTCGGGCCGCCACCCACGACATCCTCTGAGCAATCGATCTTGACGATAGTGGCAGCTTATTTCGCAAAACATCTTTATTGACACCGGTAATTGTAGACAAAAGTTCCGCCTTTTCTAACTTTGTGCAGGTCACACTCCACTGCTGGTCAAGAAAAAGTATCTCCTTTGGAGCTATGAGCTCTTGCAGGGTCCAGCCTCGGGTGAACCACCGGCAATTAGCAAGGTCGTCTTCTAGAGTTGCGGCCGGGGAAAGGTCTGAGAGATAAGCGTAGCACAGCCTGGAACGCTGGTACCAGCGGTACATGGAATTGATAGCTTCGTTGAGTTGTGTGCTGCTTGACTTGTCGATGCAACAGGTGTCGATCCAGGCGTATTTGATTCCGGCTTCGCGGGCTTTCTTACAGGTCGTCGAGATCTTCACGTACCCCTTCTTGTGGACACATGATGGCTCCTGAAAATCCTTGAAAGACACCTCATCGTCCCCCCATGTATGCGAAAGGATGGCGTAGTCGGGAATTTTCTTTCCAACGAACTCTTCAAGGCGAAGAGTGTCGGTATTGATCAACTGCATTGAGACCAGACGGTGTTTTCTTCTATGGTCAGCTCTTCTTAAAACTTGTTCTGTGAACGCTATTGATGGCCTTGGTAGCTACTATTTCGAAATGCCGATTGATCCAGTCTATCAAGGCCCCTTGTCGAGTAATTGACAATTTGAGAGTAACAACCTGCATCAGGCTGAGGCAACGTTGTCGAAGTCATCTCCGCAAACCACGTGCTCTCGCTTGCTATGATACCAATCAGACGATGTCCTGGTTAGTCGCACAATAGACTTCGACTCAGACTGAAGAAGCGTCAAATTCGCACAGTGATCTGGTGCGAAGGAGCCCATGGATGATGAGTGATGTGGACTGGAGACCCAATCCAGAAGCAAATCGTGATAGCAAAGAAGGACGAGAAACTCCTCCGTGCTCTGTAGTGTGAACAAAAAGTACAATCGCTCAGCCTTGTTCAGCCCCGTAAATACGCTGGGGAGTAACCGAAGTTCTGCCAACGCGCTCTTGCAATTTTCCGGCCCATGTCTGCGCCTGGCCACCGTCATCGTGATCATACGGAAACATAGATTCTCGTCGAAGACACGAACATTCTATTATTTAAACCAATGTCCCCATAATCTTTCATCATGGCCGATGATCAGCGTGAGACTGCTACCTCACAACCTCCAACGCCTGTTACTGACAGCAAAGAGCGAGATTCAGGCCGTGGAGAAGGCCGTAGACGAAGCAGATCGCCGCCTCGCAGAGACCGGGAAAGACGAGAAGATCGACCTCGGCGCAAAGACGCAGGGTTCAAATGGAAAGAAAAGCGTCGCGATGACGATGACAACCGACGAGACCGTGATTTAGGTTTACAACGGGGCTACCGAGACCACTACCGCCCTCGATCCAGATCAAGATCCAGGTCACCACCCCCTCGACGGTCATCGCCGAGAAGGGAAGAACGAGACCGCTATAGAGATAATGACCGCAAAGAGCGACCAGGCGAGGACAGGGACAATAGGGACAAGAGGGAGAGGAAAGAAAAGAAGGAGAAGAAGCCTGCAGCTGCAGCACCTACACAGCCAATGATCATAGTGTATGTGAATGACCGGCTGGGAACCAAAAAGGCAATACCGTGCTATCCGACTGATCCCATAAGTAAGTCTACACAAGCTGTGAGTGAGGATACAGACTGATGCGGGTGGCAGAGGACTTCAAAGTCATTGTCGCATCGATGATTGGACGACAGCCTCATGAGATCCTCCTCAAAAGACAAGGCGAGCGTCCTTTCAAAGACCAATTGACGCTACAAGACTACGGAGTAAGCAACAATGTGCAGTTGGATCTGGAGGTTGATACGGGCGACTGAGAGGCGAGGAGGACAACAGGCAAACTTGTACCCTCAACGAGTCAACTTGCTTTTACACTGCTGGATATTTGTTGGGCTACATAATAGCCTCTCTCCAGCGTCCGTCATGTCGTGTTGCTGCGCGAACAAGTCTCTCTTATCGTCGCCTTGAGGATATCATTTGGGCGACGGCAAGGGCAGTGAATGCGACAAGGCTGAGGCTGCAATGCAAGGCTGTGAAGCGCAGTGACGCAATTTCTACCTCGGCGTACCTTACAGCTTGGTGGTCCCAAAGGAGAAAGTGGGGCGAGACAAAAAGTTCTCGAGCGCAGACAAGCCTGCGATCTTGTAGTTTTCGTTCTCATTCCGATTATGCCAACGACAACGACTCAACTGGCTTCTTGCCCGATCAAGGCACGTAATTGCACAGTGTCGAAGAATATGCCATAGACTCTGCTCTTTGAGCCTCGAAAACGCCCCCCTCAAGACTCTCTGGTCTTCTTTGTCCCCTCCTCCCGCACAGTCACCATCCTCCTTACAGGCTCATAACTCAACGCAATGGTCAGAAACATTGTGGTGCTTGGGGGCTCATCCCACCCAGCCCTGACAGAAACGATCTGTGAGATCCTTGGTATCGAACAAGGCCAAGCCCTCTTCTCAAAGTTCTCTGTCGGCGAAACCCGCGTCGAGATCGGTGAATCAGTTAGAGGCAAGGATGTATATATCATACAGTCGGGTGGTGGGAAAGTCAACGACCACTTTATCGAGCTGCTGATCGCAATTTCTGCATGCAAAACCGCCTCGGCTAAGAAAGTCACCGCTGTGCTTCCTCTATTCCCTTATTCTCGCCAGTCGGATGTTCCTTACAACAAGAGCGGCGCACCTCTGGTGAAAGCTGCGAAGCTGGACCATAAGCTTCTTCAGGATGGAAACGGCTACTCCTTCGACAGTGTTCCGCCAACGCCTCACTCCGAGAAGGGCGAAAGTTACGGGTTGTTGAATGGGCATTCCCTACAAAAGGCAGCTTCGAAGTCACAACTGGATGGCGATGGCGATGCCAGCCCTGCACACCAAGCTCGTTCCAGCCATTACCGAGATTCAAATTCCCAATCAAAACTGGGTTCCGAGTATTTCACCCATTCACGAAAACGGAGCGAATCGAACGCGTCCACATCCAATAGCATAGTGAATCGCGATTTTGCAGTCACACCCAGCAAGAGCGAAAATAAGGCAGAGGTTCCGGAAAGCTTCAAGCCCCGTCCGGGTTATCGACAATGGGTGGCACAGGCTGGCACTCTCGTTGCAGATCTTCTGACTTGCGCTGGAGCAGACCATATCATCACCATGGACTTGCACGACCCGCAATACCAGGGATTCTTCGACATCCCCGTCGACAATCTTTATGGTCGACCGTTGCTCAAGAAATACATCCAGCAAAACATCCCAGACTACAAAAACGGGGTTGTAGTCAGCCCTGACGCTGGCGGTGCTAAACGAGCTACTGCTATTGCCGACGCTTTGGGTATTGAGTTTGCTCTCATCCACAAGGAGAGAAGACCCAACAAGATCAACGATCGCCAAAATGCTACCATGATGCTTGTTGGAGATGTCACCGGCAAGGTGGCTGTCCTCATTGACGACTTGGCCGACACCAGCAACACCATTACCCGAGCGGCCAAGCTCTTGAAGAAAGAGGGGGCCAGCAAGATCTATGCCCTGGTGACTCATGGCGTTCTAAGTGGTGATGCGATTGATAGAATCAACGCCAGTGCTCTCGACAAAGTCATTGTCACAAATACTGTTGACCAACAAGAACATTGCAAGCGATGCCCCAAGCTTGAAGTGCTTGAGGTAGGACATGTTTTTGCAGAGGTAAGCTCCATCCAAAGCAATCTATCTTGCTCGTTGACCCGTTGGCTAACTCTTGTACAGGCCATCCGGCGAGTGCATTATGGCGAGAGTATCAGTGTGCTGTTTCAGTATGACTAGAATCGAGATTCCCCTACGAAGAGATGAAATACGAAGTCATTTGATTTACTGAGGTTTCAGTCGCACGTCCTTTGGCAAGTGGTACACGAGGTAGTTGCCACCTAACCATTTTTGTCCGAGTCTACCATTGATTTAGACGGGGTAATTGGGCAGATCAAGACATCATCAAGCGCCCGATAACAGTATCAAAGTATCCAGACAACACCATAAAGAAGTGCCTTGGACCAAGTGCTGGAGAGGTCTTCCAACAACGAGTGGCGTTCAAAGGATGGACAATTGTTCGCATTTGCAGCTAAGCTATAAGAGGGTTTGCTTCCAGGGCGGAGAGACTTGAGTCATACATTCTGCTTTCCATAGCAACATGTGTTCCCATTCAACATCCAACCTCCAACCTCGTACTCGTACTAGGAGGTATGGAGGGGTGAATCCCTGGAGACTACTTGACGATCGCGAATACGAAGCAAAGCGAGGACAATGATCGTTCCCGCTGATTATTTGATTACTTTTTGACGGAATTTCCGAACAGGTACAATACATTCGCTAGTATTTGCCGGCTCCCCCAACTCGGCCAAGGCCACCAACGAGGAGGTGGGTAAGTCCAGACCGTGCATGATACGAGTACGAGTACAAGTGCTCGACTCAGCACGCCTTAAGTCGCCTCTTTTTCGCCTTTGTGATATCTACTTTGGACAAGTATCCGATTCGTCTTTTTTCCATTTCTATCTTTTTGGCTGACACCCTGAGTCTTCGTCGTTCTGTCAGACATACATGTCCACGTGTACGTATAGATATAAACCGTGCGTGACCCTGTAGAGACAGAGGGAACTATCGCCTTCTCTTTCCTCAATTCAACCGGCTTAACAGAGGAGAGAGTGTGTATACATACATACATACATACATACCTTATCAGCTTGAGTACCTTTCACTTTAGCTAAACCACCAGGGCGGACATCGATACGAGTGCTACTACACAGAGAGAAAGGCACACACAGACACACACCATGGGCTCAATCTCACCCGCGACCAAACGCACCATTACGGCCTCGGACATTGAGAGTCTCAAGACTCTTCTGAAAGATACTTCGGCCACAATCCTCACGCCCACGGACGACGGTTACGAAAGCAGCATCCACCGCTGGTCCCGCGCCGCAGAGAAACCGGCAGGAGTGGTCTTGGCCCCGACGGCGGCAGAGCAAGTCAGCGTTGCGATCAAGTACGCGAGTGAGTCGGGCATCGATGTCGCTGTCAAGGGCGGCGGACACAGCACGGCGGGCGTGAGCAGTACCGACGGCGGGCTGCTGGTCGACCTCAACGCCAAGATGCGCGGGGTCAGTGTGGTGGACTGGGAGGGGGGAGTCAAGGCCTTCAGAGCCCAGGGTGGAGCGACGTGGGGAGATGTCGACAAGGAGGGAGTCAAGTTTGGTCTGGCCACGGTTGGAGGCACGGTTGCAGATACGTAAGTGTTCTCGTTCCTGGTTGTGTATCATCCCTCGTCTTTGTCGTGGTGACCGTTTGCCCACTGATCCTCTTGCATTATTACAGTGGGGTAGGAGGCCTCGTCCTGGGCGGCGGCTACGGATGGCTCTCGGGACAACACGGCCTCTCGATCGATTGTCTGCTCGAGTGCACCGTCGTCCTTGTAAATGGTGACATTGTCAAGGCGAACTCCAAGGAAAATGCAGATCTGTTCTGGGCCCTGCGCGGCGCTGGTCAGAACTTTGGTGCCGTCACCGAGTTCGTGCTGCGAGCGTTTGAGCAGGCTGAGATCTGGGCAGGGCTCCTCATCTTCCCGCCCGTGCCTGAAATCATCACCAAGATCGTTGACGCCACGAATAATCTCTACACGCCGGACGCAAACGGCAAGACAAAAGTTGCCGGTAGGGGCGCCGGAGGTATTGCCATCGCCAGACCTCCGCCCGCGGGCGGACAGGTCATGATCCTGGTCCCCATCATATACTTTGGCACCGAGCAGGAGGCCAAGAGCGTGTACAAGGAGCTCTATGACCTGGGGGCACCAGTCGATACGACGGCCCTCGTCCCATACCCGACGGCCAACACCATGTTGGCCCCACCGATCGGGTTGCGCGTGAGCATGAAGGGCACGGCATTCAGTCTGCCAATCCGCACCGACTTTGTGCTGGAGATGCTGCAGAACTATGTCGCATTCACCGACGCGGATCCTGACACGCACGTGAGTGTCATTATGTGGGAGTTGTTTGATCCGGCGAAGGTGGTCCAGGAGCAGAACGTGGGCAGCTTTGCCAATAGAGGGTGGCATTTGAATGGATTGATTATGCCCATGTGGAACAACCAGGACAACGACGCCAAGTGTAGACAGTGGGCTAGGGATCTCAATGAGAAGTGGAAGGCTGAGCTGGAGAGACAAGGGCAAGAGACGGGCAAAGGTGTCGAAGGTGGCGTGGGACTCAGAGGTGATAAAGGAGCAGTTTTGCTCTATGGCAATTATGATCGTAAGTCTTGCTCTGATTCACCGGCGACTTCTGCGGTAATGGCCATGGCTGACAGTGTCGAAACAGAATATGACGAGCGATCCAGAGATATCTTTGGAGAGAACTATGCAAGGCTGCAAGGGTTGAAGGCAAAATATGATCCTGGAAGCACGTTCAATAAACTCTTCGCCATCGCACCTCAGTCTTGAGCAGGGAGAGCAGAGGCTGCTGCCATTGACACAGGCAGAGTAGAATATAGTGGGTGGTGTCTGGTGATGCACGATTACAGACAGCCATTTGCAATTGCGGCCTCGGTTTCTGCATACACACATACATTTGTCTCGAAACCCAGTTGTGAACCCATCAGCGATCTATCAAAAATCTATCAAACAATGATTTACTGTGAGCATACTGTATAGAGATCAGATGATTACAATACGAGGTACAAGCTACCAAGCGATGATGGGAGCGCTGCATCAAAATATCATTGGACGTGATACTTCAGCCGCACGCAAGGACGCAATCCGATCAGCTACCAACCCCAGCATTCAAAGGAGTAGCACCAATAGCCATGGTGTATCGCTAATTAGTCCGTACTCGGTTATTTAACTCTTTCAATGAGGGTAGAATTGCATTCATGGCGCGCGGGCGTTGTTGAAGTCGTCCCCGGGCCATTGGCATATATCTCGAACATGAAGCCACCTGGGACACAAGGAATACGCGGAACTCTTCAACGTTCGCAATCCTATATCCTCGAAGTTGCTCAAGCACATTGGGAACATCATGACGCGTCTAGCCACATTCTTATTCCTCCTCCTAAGCCTCCGTGCCGCTGCGTCAGATGCAGAACGGCGGTGTTGGGATCGGCAGCCCGTGGTAGCAGGGACTTATTACCGAGCCTTCGTCAAGACTTGATAGACTTGGGGGGATGGTGTCGAGTCTTCATATCTGATGACGTGCTATTTCGAAACCCAGGCTCTGGCATTGGCTGATGCGCAGCATACATGCGATCGCATGGCGAGAACTGGCAGCTCCGGCTGCTACATGAACACTATCCGATACCAGGCCATCACACTCCCAGAAACCGAACCGCGAACTCCGTATGCAGTTTACATCATCAACAAGGAGACGATCTATTGCGTCAACGGCAATGAAGACTCGCCGCCTGCAAAGGTTCTCGGTAAAGCTGGGAACTGGCCTGGGTTCGGGGCCATTGTGGAATCAGCTCAATCTCTCTACGTGGCAGAACAAGCACTTTTCAAGGTCTCTACCTGGGATGGGAGTTACAAGCGCTTGGGCTCAGGAACGTGGGAAGAGTCCACGTCAATGGCTTGGTTTGGCGATCTCTACATCATCCAACGAGGCTCGTTGTATAGTGCCGATCAAACCACGGGACAATATAAGCTGTTAGGAAGACCAGATGATTGGCAAGGCCACACTTCAATGGCTGCTGTCATGCTAGACCGCGACGGCGTGAGCTCCCGGCGCCTCTTTGTCATCCAGAGTGAGAAACTTTGGGAAGTGGCACGCGATGGCACTTACAAGCGGGTTGGGATGGCGAATTGGTATACTCCGGCGTACATTTCCGCCATAGGCGAGGCGCTGTACGCGATCGAGAACTCTCGGTTCCAGTATATCGATGGAAATACTGGTCAGTATACTGTCATCGGCGAAGCGGTCTACTCGCAAACGACTGCTTTTGCTGGTGCGGACGGGCAAGCATTTGCCATTGATGCTGGAAGACTTTTGCGTATCAACATCTATGATGGCTCCCACGTAAAGCTGAGTGATGGCTGGGATGGACCGAGTGTTATGACGGTTGTCAGGAATGCCAAATGCAGATCAGAGTGATGTTAGCTACCTGTATTTGGTTCTATCGGATACTGAGTCCAGTTCTCCCTCCCCCAGATGCTAATATGATATCAAACAGTAGCACCTCTTTGTGAGGACAATCTCATGGGGGCGTTGCATGACGGACTGTCAGCACCAGCGTGTATTGTACTCTCCTGGTCGGGGAAAGACTACGAGAGTTGTGAATTGCGCGGCTGAACACGTTTGGATCTTGAGGCAAGCGATTGAGAAACTGTATAGTTGGCGGAGTGATAACCTCAGGGGTGCAAAGCATTTACATCCGCTTGGGTCCGTCCAACTGATAATGTAGAAACTGAAGACGCAATTGCAACGGTCGGATTCCTGTCTGTAAAGATACTGTAAATGATGTATACCCAGCTCAGGCCATTAAGCTGAAAGTTCTGGAAAAACATGCTGCTTTATCATTCACGTGACGTGAGTAAATAGAACCAAATAGAGCGACGCGTCTGGAAATTGGGCGCTGAAGTTACAGGGGGGCACGCTGGAGTCAACGGGCCTATTGAGTTAGGGGGCGGGTAGCGCCCTGGGCCTTGGTGAGCCCCTGTAATTGGTGCCTGGACGAGGCTTTGTTGGGGCGCTGTTTCGCTTATCCGGGACTCTCAGGCTGGCGCGTCACGTCCCGCCCGCCGAATGATAGAACAACTAGGTGGTTCTGGTACTGGGCGTGAGAAACGAGTTTGGCCCGTCGGTCTGGCTCCCGCTTCCTGCGCGTGTCCGTCCACCATCTGTGCCTCCTTGCATCTTGTGCTGCCAGTGCATTGTGCATTGACGACAAATCCCCATACGACGAGCCTGTCGAGAAGTTTGGAACATTTGGCCGCCGCAGACGTAGACATCCGCGACTGCGACAATCCCTTGCACTGCCACCTGTTGACCAAGATTCACCGTTCGCGACCGCAGTTTGTCCTCTGTTTACCACCCGCGCAGACGGGTCGATCTGTTCGACTCTGATGCTTTCCTCCTGGCCCGATTGACAATTTTCCACCAGCTTCAAACATGGCGTGCGTGTCGATACTCTGTCCAATGTTAACACCATTTCCCCACTGACCAGTTGATTCCAGTTCCAACTCAGCCAGCGGAGGAGGAGGAGGAGGAGGAGGAGGAGGAGGAGGCAACAACATCAAAGGTACCGACCACTTACACGGTCTTGAACGATCCTGCTTACACTTTCTCTCAAGTTGTTGCCCGGTTCCGTCCGCAGAACAAAGTGGAAATCGCAAATGGAGGCCAGCCAGTTGTGCAGTTCACCGGCGAGGACACTTGCCAGGTCCAGGTTTGTTATCCCCTCGCAGAAGGCGGAAGGCCAGACGCTCATGGCTGGTAGTCTTCCGAAACGAATGCTCCCTTCACGTTCGATCGAGTATTTGACATGTCCTCGCAACAAGCCGACATTTTCGACTTCTCCATCAGATCTACCGTGGAAGATGTCATGAATGGTTATAATGGAACGGTCTTCGCTTATGGCCAGACCGGCGCGGGAAAATCTTATACAATGATGGGAGACATGGATGATCCACATAAAAAAGGCATAATACCGCGAATTACAGAGCAGATCTTCGATGCCATTCTCGTGCATGGTTCTGCCCAGATCGAATACACCGTGGGCATTTCATATCTGGAAATCTACATGGAACGAATACGAGACCTGTTAAACCCGGTTATGGACAATTTGCCCATCAACGAAGGCCCGAAAGGTCCATATGTGAAAGGGCTACGCGAGATATACGTGAACACAGTGGATGAAGTGTACACGGCGATGCATCTGGGGCAACGAGCAAGAGTGACAGCATCTACGAACATGAACTTGGAATCTTCACGGTCACATTCGATATTTTTGGTCACGATAAACCAGAAAGACGTCAACACTGGATCGCAAAAGAGTGGTATGCTTTATCTGGTCGACTTGGCAGGTTCGGAAAAGGTGGGCAAGACAGGGGCTAGTGGACAGACGCTGGAGGAAGCAAAGAAGATCAACAAGAGTTTGAGCGCTCTTGGAATGGTCATCAACGCCTTGACTGATGGAAAATCGACTCACGTCCCTTATCGAGACTCGAAACTGACGAGAATTCTCCAAGAAAGTTTGGGAGGTAATTCAAGAACGACTTTGATTATCAATTGTTCTCCCAGCAGTTACAACGATGCCGAGACTGTCAGCACCTTACGCTTCGGAATGCGAGCAAAGACGATTAAGAACAAAGCCAAGATCAACGCCGAATTGAGTCCTGCCGAACTGAAGCGTCAACTGAAGATCATCCAGAATCAAGTGATGACGTTCGAAAGGTACATAGCTTCTGTGGATGCGGAGCTGTCGTTATGGCGAAGGGGAGAAACAGTTCCAAAAGAAAGATGGGTTCCTCCGATGGGAGGCTCGAAACCAGAATCGAGAGTCAGACCAGATACACCCTCTCGTGCTCCCTCGGATCTGCTAAGATCAGAAACTCCAAGTAGGCCAGATTCTCGAATGTGCGACAGATCCAGCACACCCAGTATTATTCTGGAAAAGGACGAGAGAGAGGAGTTCCTGCGCCGAGAAAACGAACTGCAAGACCAGCTCACGGAGAGAGAGACTCAAGCCGCAAATGCCGAACGGAGCCTGCAGGAACTGCGAGAAGAACTAAAGTCGTATAAAGAAGGAGCACTTCGAACAACGAAAGACAACGAGATCATGGCGGATAAACTTAACAAGACAGAATTGGAATTGCAAAAGTTGAGCTATCAAAGCAAAGAAGACGCAATCACGATGGAAGGCCTGAAAGATGCGAATACCGAGCTAGAAACCGAATTGGTCTCTGTCAAACAACAGCTTCTGGAACTCAAGATGAGTGCTAGGGAAACTACGGCAGCTCTCGACGAGAAGGATCGCAAGAAGAAGGAGAAAATGGCAAAAATGATGGCCGGCTTCGATTTGGGAGACAATGCATTTTCCGAGAACGAGGCCCGCATGCGCGACATGCTGGATCAAGTCGAAGCACTCCATGCTGCCAGTCTGAATGGAGAACAAGTGTCGTCGGATGTTCTGGACGATTTGAGAAACAAGCTGCTAGAATCTCGAGATTTAGCCCGACAAGCAGAGACATCGCTGAGTGTCCGCGCAGAAAGCGAGCATGAAGACCGGACCACAGCGTTGGAAGAGAGACTGGCTGCAGTCCAGCAAGATTACGAGGATCTTTTGACGCGTAACTTGGGCCCTGAAGACGTGGACGATGTCAAGAGCAGACTGGAGCAACTCTATACTGATCGAAGAGAGGCACAAACGGAGTTGGTGCATGATCTGCGAGACCAGCTTACTCACAAGTCTCAAGAGGTCGAGAAGCTCCAGAAATCCGTGTCTGAGTTGCAAAGCCGTAGCGCCGCAAATGGCGCGATCAATGGAACCCCCAACAAGAGTGTACAGCAGCAGATGGCTGAGTTCGATCAGATGAAGAAGAACCTGATGAGGGATCTTCAAAACAGATGCGAACGCGTCGTCGAACTGGAAATTTCGCTTGACGAGACACGGGAGCAGTACAATAATGTTCTGAGGTCGAGCAACAACCGTCAACAGCAAAAGAAGATGGCATTTTTGGAGCGCAACTTGGAACAACTTACCGTGGTGCAGAGGCAGCTCGTGGACCAAAACACCAGCTTGAAGAAGGAAGTGGCAATTGCTGAGCGCAAGCTGATTGCAAGGAATGAACGGATTCTGAGTCTGGAAAGTCTGCTGAGCGATAGCCAGGAGAAACTCACGGCAGCAAACCATCGGTATGGATTTCTGATTTGCTCAATGATGAAAAGTGACGCTAACAAAGTTGAACTAGTTTCGAACAACAATTGGCCGCAGTCAAGGAACGTCTCGAAGCCGCCAAAGTGTCGTCAAGAAACATGGCCGCCGGTGGTCCTGGTGCAGCAGGTGGATTTAACGGCCTCATGAATGCCGGAGCGAGGATCGCAAAACCACTTCGCGGAGGAGGCGGTGCTCCGCCGTCCAGCCTGGACGGAGCTAACGCTAATGGCGTGGCTTCGTTGCCCATCATCTCAAGTTTGGCTGGGTCGGATGGAGGGAACAAACGAAGCAGTTGGTTTTTCAACACGAGTCGATGATTCTCATCTCCGTTACTTCATGGTCATGATTTAATGTCGAAACATGGGACAGAATCAACATTGGCTCCGCTCTACCCATGTCCTCGTCCTCTTCCTCGCCCACAATTTGAATCGCGGTTCGCTCCCAATTTAGATCTCTGGTGTCTTGTTTCCAATTTCAGCGTTTCAAAGACTAGAGCGTTGGCGACGGAGACGGGCAAAGGGAAGCCATGTTCGTGATGCCGACCTGTTGGTTCATTGCCTTAGTTGGCCAGTTCGGTGTCGTTGATTTTTGAGGGTGGCTTGACTGTTGAAGCAGAAGGGGAAGAGAACATTAGATGGTGCTGCAAGATGTGTGTGTGTGTGTGTGTGTGTGTGTTTTATGCATAATGAGCCATGGACGCTTTTTACTTATCTCCCTGACCTAACCTACCGCCTAGAACCTACTTGAACATACCTAGACGAGGGTTTCCCTTTTTTCCCTTTTGTGTTCAGCATCATAATGAGCAGCTACGATTGAGAGGGGAGATGGAAGCCGGACTGATTGTATATAGCAGACAGCACAGATAAGGTAGTTTGACGATAAATACGTTCGAGACTTCTTCCGTGAACGAAGCGATATGCTCGACTAATAAGTGCAGTCAGTATGTTGAGTTTGCTTGTAGTTCTGATCCTAGCTAGACGTTGTATGGTAGAGGGTGTTGATTGAGTTGAACCCCTTTTTTGCTGGCAGATACCGCTTGAATACCATCTTGAAGACATCCATGGACAGAAGACAATATCCTGCCCGTGAGATCGTTGCAACGAATCTCCAGCCAAAGACGAGAGACAACAACCGGCACGGTGGTGTGTACCTGTCCGCTTGCACGGTTCGATGTAGGTCCGATCCCCGTGAAGACTGAGCACCGCGTCTCGACATTGTCTCCGTCACTCACCTCATCTCGCAGGGGATCATGGGGTGATTCGACGACTGGTCAGAGATCGAAGAAACGTGGTTCGGCGAAAGTGGTTCTCTTCCATGCCGACCAGAGCGCGCAAGACTAACGCTTTTTCGTATCGACCAGTCTAGATAAGCCTTGCCCGGTGGCATCTAAGCCAATCAGACCGGACCGAGTGGATTGGAGTATTGGGCCCCGGACATAAGAAGAAAATGCTCCAATATACTTCCGAAGCATTCGTGAGTTGTCTGTGCAGGGTCCTCAGGGTATATAAATCTGATTATCTGTTGTCCTCCGAGAGAGGACAATATAAAACCACCGTGTAGCGCAGGAGAGACAATTCTTCTCAAGCACCTACCTAGTACGACCAACAAGCAGTCAGTCAGTCAGTCCCTGCAGGCCAAGTCTCATTCACCATGGCACCACAACAGTATGCCAAAGACCAGCCAGAAGGATTCAAGAATGTCATTGAGAATGTCGCCATCGTCGGTGTGAGTAGTTGCACCCCACCGCTCCAATATCTTGTCGCATTGAACCGAACACGACTAACGGCCCCTAGGCTGGCGGTCAAATGGGTGGATATCTCGCGAAACACCTCCTCGCGACCGGCAAGCACAAAGTCACTGCCATCACGCGAGCCGACAGTGTCACCAAACTCCCTGACGGACTTAGAGTAGCCAAGGTCGACTATAGCAATTCTTTGACTATAGTCGACGCTCTCCGCGGCCAAGACGCGCTCCTCATCACCCTGGGCGTCTTCGTACCCCCAGACACGCAAGCCAAGCTCATCAACGCCGCCATTGAAGCCGGTGTTTCCTGGATCATGCCAAATGACTGGGGCACGGACTCGACCAACGACGACCTCGCCAAGGACACCATGCTCACCGACGCACGTTGGCAAGCGCGCGACCTCATCGAGCAAGCGGGCCTGGGCCGCGTGTCCCTGGTCTGCGGTTTCTGGTATGAGTACAGTCTCGCGGGGGCGGCGGTGCGGTATGGATTCGACTTCAAGAACCGAAGCGTGGTCTTCTACGACGACGGCAACACGAAAATCAACACCAGCACCTGGGATCAGGTGGGGCGTACTGTGGCCAAGTTGATGAGCATGAAGATCCTGCCGGAGGATGCCGAGGACACGAGCACCACCACCCTGTCCCGGTTCCGAAACCAGTTCGTGTACATCTCGTCGTTCCTGGTCAGTCAGAAGGACATGTTCGCCTCGGTGCTGCGCGTGACCGGGACGACAGAGGCGGATTGGACCATCACGTACGAGGACGCACATGAGCGGTACAAGACCGGTGTGTCGGAGCTGCAGAGTGGCAACGTGAATGGGTTCCCGAAACTGCTGTACGCCAGGCTCTTTTATCGTAACGGCGGCGGTGATTATGAGTCGGTCAAGGGAACAAGCAATGAAATTCTCGGATTGCCCAAGGAGGATCTCGATGATAGGACAAAGGCAGCTATTGACATGGCAACCGAGGGCTCCAGGATGACGAGGACGCGCGACCCCTGAGGCTGAGGTGTCATGGTCGCAGTAATTGTGATGTAGGTTGGAATGACATTAAAGAGTTCTCATATTCTCTCCCTAAGGATCAGGGGGTCCACGCCAGGCCAACCGTTGACCATATCGATGTGGTCACGCCTGTTCTGCACCGACCCTGGCTTCTCGCATCTCTGTTAGTTGCCGGCGAAGCTCTCGCTTAAGCTGCAATCGCTCCAGCCTTCTCTCTGCGTCCCATTTCGACTGCAGTTTCTCAACGGCAGTTTCGAGCCTTGCATAAAGCTCCCCGCTTCCTACCGTGGTGTTCTGCATATCTTGCAGCGCGGCCAGCCATTCCTCGAGCTGTTTCTGCGAGACGGGCTTTGCGAACGTGGTAGTTCTGTTCAGATCGAACTCGAAAACTCTTTTCCTTTCGTCCGCAATGGCAAACATGTCCACGACAAAGACACTGACATAGACGACACCCACTGTAGCAACGAAGGACATGAAGACGTTGCGAAAGTCATTTCTCCCACCTTCGGACTCGACGTGATATATCCACGCAAACAACAGGTAGATGCCGAACCCAACTGTGTAGAGCAGAACAGCCCAATTGAGAAGGGCCTTCGGCATGGAGAATTGTTTTAGGGTCGCTACCGAGCTCTCCAGAGGGAGGTAGTGAAAGGGCCGACGATAATGGGTTTTGTCCGTTTCAATCTTGCCCCGGCTGAGCCACAACCGGATGTCGAAGGCCCTGTTGAGCACCGAGATGTGTTGTTGCAACGATGCCGCTTGCACGACAGACAAGACTCCAAGAATCATCGAACAGGAGAGGAGAGCCCGCGCGCTCCAGTGCGAGGAGTCCATGTTTGGCAGCTGAAGGGCAGTCAGGCCAACGCTGGCAAATATGGCACCCTTGGAGCGGTCTGATGTTAGCCTGTTTCATCTTCTGACGTTCGTGTGTACACTCACAGCCACTTGGATAGCTGTGCAATTCGAGATGCAAGATTGCTTCCACGCCATGACCTCGTCATCAGTCCAGGTGTTGATGTTCCAATGCAGCTGTCTGGCCGCATTCGTGTCGACGAGCCTGAAAAGGCCCAAAATTCGCCCCCGAAAGCCCCATCTTTGGCTCTCATAGTCGAAGTTACGACCAAGAGCAGCTGCGAAGGCGATGAAAAGGGTCGTCGTGACTGCGACAGGTGCTGACATCTTACGCCGGAACGAGGATATCTGCTGACGAAAAAGCAAACGCTGTCAAATTTTGCATGACACGCTGGTCTAGTCTTGATGAAATGGCCCGATGAGATTCTTTGGAAGACACAACACTTCTCAGCCTCGTCAGCTTCTAAGAGCTTCAGCCCGCATCCAGCTTTCTACAACACCAAGCGAGAATCTGTGTCACATGACGACGGCCGAAACTCACCATCCTCATTCGTTGCAAGTTCCCAATCACTGCCTGCTTCTCTTCCCTGCTACGAGGTGTTGATGTCTGGTCTACACAAAATCGTCTGTGTCCCCAAGTCAGACTTTGTTGGCAATGATAGCCAAGGCCTTCCTCGCGTTCCGTACGGGCGATAGGCCGGAAGGGTTAAGTGCATTGACATCCACCGGCAGAAAGTCTAACCTGAACAGATACTCCTGAGATGCAACAGTCTATTTATCATTATTAACTCATCACCGTCGTTCTCGAATATTCTCATACAGGCCATCTTTGCGACACAGGCAGGGACCAAGAATGCTGTCCGACTCCCTGTCCCTTTCATGGCACGGCTCAGGGGATCGCTCATCCGAGAGAACCGGGCACTTGCCGCCCAATCTGATGCTACAGAGGAGACCAATACTGAGTGCTGAAACGCCGTATTGAGACGGATGGTACCGCCTTCACCGCAATGTGTAACGAATACGCAACTAGGCCGACCACATAAACGTGGTTGAAGCATTAGTCTAAAGAACAACAGCTAAACGATACGATTGTTTGCCTCCTACTGAGCAGCCACAATGTCTTCTCAAACGACTGAGTACATGCCTGGTCTACCGCCAAAGGCTCTCAACATTCCAGTTGAAGTTGCCCCTTCTCTAGAAGAAAGATCCGCTGGTCGCTTTAACGATGCCAACATCAAACTCTTTCTCTCGGGAATGCACCGTGATGGTGTAGTCATACTCAAAGACGTCATTGATCCCTCTCATCTAGACATCATAAACGAGTTCATGGTCGAAGACACAGCACGCGAATTGACCAAAGAAAACCTCCACCGCAATTTTGGTTCAGAGAATCTCCAGCAAGGCCCGCCACTGACACCATCCAAGTACTTTTTCGACGACGTCTATCTCAACAGACTCCTATTCCACGCAGTTAACCTATACCTTGGGCCAAACGCGACATGGAACATGATAACAGGAAACAATGCTCTGCCGCACGGAGTCAAGCGTCAACCAGTACATTCAGACGCCATGTGTGATCACCCTCCCGCTCCATTCTACGTGGTTGCCAATGTCTACACCACCGACGCCAGTGCCGCAAATGGGTCTACTGAAGTCTGGCTCGGCACCCACCACTTCAACACGGAAGCTCAGACTCCTCCGGGATCACACGGCGAGACGCACATAATTGATGAGTATGTTCAGAAGCGGAAGAAGTCCCTTCCTGGTTTCCAACCCACAGTGAAGAAGGGATCGATCCTCATCCGAGACATGCGTCTATGGCATGCTGGTGTATGCAATAAATCAGAAGCGATTCGCTACATGATTGCACTCGGGTTCTCGGCAAGCTGGTGGCATGGGACGGCGCGCTTCAGAATCCCTGCTGGGACAGGTATCTATGAGCGACTCATGCATGGAACAAAGAACCACAATATCACCCCGTTAATGGTCGAACTACCTCCTGAGGAGTACGAGAATCTACGGAATGCGCATGACTTTAGTGATGTAGAGAAGATGACGTATGAAGGAGAGGTATTCTAGGTTGGGGAGTCGCTGCTTCAGCCTCACGTCCGGTCAATTCAAGTCGAGCGTCACGTCTAGACAAATGACTCGCACCATCTTGTGTCCTTCGTTTCTTGACCCTCGACGACAGACTTCAGAGAGGTCAGCGACGCCACCAGACAGTACGTCTCTCGCTGGGCCTCTCTCTGCATCTATAACAAGAACTCTCAACGATCCATACCCGAAAACAGCGAAACATCTGGATATGACACGGAAGCGCTTCCCGTAGTCGCCTCCGTTCTCCTTCTATGGAGTAGCTTGCATTTTTGTGCCGGCGCCTACCATGACCATCGCCCGTCTCATGGTTGTCTATGCTCTTATCGAAGCTAAGCTTCACGACGCAATGAAGGGACTTGAAAATTGGCGTTATGCTCCTCGCTTCTATCCGCGGGCATAGAGTGTGCCATTGACTGTTTGTTTACTATCTGTCACATTCCTCCTCCTACTTTCCTACGCCCTTCTCGGTGGTAGGTTCGAGCTTCGCTGGCCTCTCCGTCGGACTCTCTCGTTTGCCCGCCGGCCGCATCATCCATTCAACCCCATAATCCTTTTCTCTGACATCTTGCTTACCCTTGTCAACGCCTGACGACGGAGATATCTAAAAGCTACTAATCTTCGTTCATAGTCTACGGTCGTACTCCGAGGCCACAACCCGGCTTGCGAAGAGGGTGAGTCGAAGTTGTCGTTTCCTCGTTAAGCTCGAGCACAGATATGAGCTCGTGACGTACGGAACATAAGTACTTCACACCCGTGTCCAAGATCTATAGCACCTGCCAAACCTGGTAAGTAAGTGACATACACGGAAGGAAGAACGCCACGGACCGGACCCACAGCGACTGTGTCCGGGTAGACCATGGCATCCTCTATTGTGTATACCACAATATAGCCTTATAGCACTACAATACCATTGCATTATTACACTGATCCCGAAGCTATTTAGCATCTGGTGGACGGATATTATGACTACTAACACTTGTCTTGTATCCCATATACGTCCGTATTTCACGTTACGAGAGCAACGACAAAGCCAATGAGTGGCATTTGACTCCTAACGTCACTCGAAGACTGACATTAGGGAGCCAAAGCAGAGATCAAACTTTGTTCGAAACATAACACGCTTCACCGTCGAAACCCAAATCCGAACGCGCAGACCGCTAGAATACATACATACCTACGGAACGGAAATTCACACGCGACGCTCAGTCACATGAGTGACGGGTCAGGACAGCGTGGTAGTATGGACTCGTCATCATTATTCATGCCTCTCCCCGGGTCGCCCGTCGTCCATATCGTTCTTTTTCGCTTCTACCCGACCGTCAGCCCCGAAGTGCGCGCCGAAGTGTCGAGGAAGTTCATGTCCCTTCGGTCCTCGTGCCTCTCGCCTGTCACGCGGATACCGTACATCCTGTCCTTCACCGGCGGGAGGGACATCAGCGTCGAAAGTCTCCAGAAGGGGTACAGCCACGTTTTTGTGCTGGAGTTCGAGAACGAGCACGACCGTAACTGGTACGTCAACGAAGATCCTGCGCACAAGAGGTTCGGCGTGGACGAGTTGACGGGTGTGGTGGAGGATGTCATGGTTGTGGATTTCAAGCGAGGGCAAGTTTGAAAACGTAAGCTATGATATTGAATTGACGGGGGGGGAGGAGAAGGGGCAGGAGGAGGAGGAAGAACGAAAAAGGGGTATGGTGGTCGGGACAAAGGAGTATAGGGCATGGCTTGTGAATCATAGCATTCAGTCCCTGAACGGGTATCAGATCCTGATATCTCTTGAACAGATACCCGGTACTGTACCATGACACCGGAACGGTGGAAACCACCAAGGCAGGATGGACAAGTTTGACAGCACCAAAAGTGATTCGATACATCATCATACCAAGGCTCTGCTCTGCAGAGCTCACCTCAGGCTGCCTCATCACCACCAACGCCAATCCGCGAATCCAAAACGTTGTAGTCTTTGAACTTCCTAGGTGGAACTCCTGCTTCGAACATGTGATCCAGCTCGTCAAAGGTCCTCCCTTTCGTCTCGGGCAGCCTGAAAAAGCACCACACGGTGGCCAGGGCGCTGATGCCGCCAAAGAAGAAGCCCGTCTTGCCTCTCCAGTTCCCCGACGAGGCGTTGAGCATGTAGGGGATGACGACGGTCATGACGATCTGGGCGACGGAGCCGCTGCTCGTGGCCAGCGCGACCGTCTGGGACCGCAGCCGGGTGGCGCCGATTTCGGCAAAGATGACAAAGTTGACGGGGCCGACGGTGCCCTGGAAGACGAAGGTGAGCACGTCGAGCAACGCCGCCTGGGCCCACGCCAGCCCCGGGCGGCGGGTGTAGTCTGGCGCGCAGTCCAGGCCGCCGATGACGAACAGCGCCACGCACATGGCCGCGACGCCGGACATGAAGATGGTGCGTCGGCCGAACCACGACATCAGCACCCACGAGGAGCACGTGGCCACGAAGCCGATGGCCGTGTTGCCCACCCCCATGTCGAAGGCCGCAGAGACGGGGAGACCGGCGAGTTCGAAAAAGTACGTCGCGTACCCGATCAGCGAGATCCCCGTGGTGACTTGCCAGATCTGCACCATGATGGCCACCTCGGTGCGCGTGCGGTTCGAGCCGCGGAAGCACTCGATGTACGTCGTGTCCTTTTCCACCTCGATCTCGTGCATGGTCGTCTCTTGGATGTTGGCCAGCGTTGCCTTGATGTCGACCTTGGCCGATGAGTCTCTTGTTGCCAGGCGCTTCAGGGCGGCTTCGGCCTCTTCGACACGGCCTTTACGGACCAGCCTGCGACATTATTAGAGATGTGCGTTTTCAATTCCGTACAAGGAAGCGATTGGAAAGCAAAAGAAATATAGCCAGGGCGCTGCGCGCCTGATTAATGTCTTCAGAGACATGTCATCACGTACCACCAGGGACTCTCGGGGGCGAAGAAGAGGCCGACTGCGAGAAAGGGGATCCATATCCACTGGACAGCAAACTGGATCTTCGTCAGCGCGACGTTCACTGACAGGTCATTGATACCAACACAGAGTTGGCCACCGAAGTCATGACATTTAGTTTAACGAAAGCCTGCCGTCGACTTACAGGAATTCGATACGCCCATTGATCCGTCCTCGTTGCGACTCCTTTCCCTACGCCTGCTGCCACGAATTGGCCAATAACATAAGCCTACGAAAACATGTCAATGTAAGGCCCATATGATGTGGGTGATCGTGGCGGCGACACTTACCAAGTTCATACCCGCATTCAGGATCCCGCGAAGAGCCAACGGGCAAACCTCAGATGCATAGGTGGGAGCCAGTACCACATAGGTTCCATACATGATGCCCGCGAGGAACTCACCGGCGGCCAGAGTATGGATGTTGTTTGCGAACATCTGCAGAAAGATCCAAACCGTAGTGAAGAACAGGGACGCCCAAAACACTTTCTTGCGGCCCCATCGTTCCATCGGCCAGGACGCAGTGAACGCTCCGAGAAATTGACCAACCGGTGTGCCCATTCCCAGGACGTTTTGCCATTTCGCGGACACTTCGTAGCCGATTTCCGGGCCATAGTAGGTGCCATACTTCTTGACGAAAGCGGGAAGAGCGTAGAAGCTGTATATGATGCCGGAGTCATAGCCAACCATGACCAGAGACCAGGCGAAGAGCGTGGCCCAGAGTACAGCCATGGGATAGAGCTTCACGGCTTCAATCACTCCGAGAGAATGCTCAATGTCCGTGGCCAGTTTCGACTGCTCCCGCATGTCGCCATTGTGATCCTCGCTGAGCCTTTTGGGAATGTCGGTTTTGGTGTTTTCCATACTGACCTAGGTATTTTGTCTCCTTTTGCTGACAGCTTCCTTCGTGGAGCGCGGGCGTAAGCTTCAATTGACTGTGGGACTTCTATCTTTCGATAGTTGCGACGGGTCTTCCACACAGCGCAACCTCGGCGGATTTCCTGCGGATCGCCACCTCTTGTAGAGGGTGATGATCAACAAGTATCTATCGTACCACCACTCAGGTCGCCATGATAAGGCCATAGAACCATGGTAACGGTAGCAGCCAACGACGTTATCTTGGATGCGCATATCCAAAATGTTGATAGCAGCAATGCCAGGTTTCGACGTACAATCAGCGGTGGACATTTTTGATGGCAGATCATATACAAATGCGGCAAGGACGTCGCATCCGTGTCAGAAGCAGCAGCGTAAGCGACGCTTGCAGGGTAGTAGTCCCTGATGGTGTGGAAATGGAAATATTGCCATAGGAGGGGGATTGATTACCCGGACGAAGGTGGTTAGGGTTGGCTGACAAAGGATGCTTGAAATAACGAAGGAGAGGTGGACATGTCCAATGTGGCGACTCTTATGGGTCCTGGTTCCTTTGCTGGAATAATGAATCTTACCAGGTAAGACCTAAGGAGCTCTGTACTTTGCAGCTAGTAGTCGCCGTTCTGGCCATATCTGAAGAATGGAGCTCGATGAGAGGTTTTCAGACCGCAGTTGTAGCAATTCCAGCTTGCCACTCAGTCCAGAATGATCGCTTTATTGCTGCTGGAAAGGGGCAATAAGTCGTTTGAAACTGCGAAACTAGTTGCAGCATCAGATAGGTACCGATCATAGGGGCCATTCGCGTGTATCGAGAGATGTTTTGACCAATCCGACTCATCATTTCCCACATATCATGTATTGCGCGTACATGCTTAGGAAGGATCACTCATGGCTGCTGAAGGATCTCAAGCAGCTCATCAGCATCAATTCTCCATCCACGACGGTAGATCAGGTTTAGGGAAAAGAGCTGTGCCTGCGCAGGTCGGCAGAGACCCTCGCATCAAGACAGCATGTACGGAGTGCAAGCGGCGGAAAGTGAAATGCGACGGCAGCCATCCGTGCTATTCTTGCCAGTGGTATAAGCAACCCGAACGTTGCAAATATCCCTTCACCCAGCCCGCACTAGGTGTCAATCGGAAGAATTTCGACTATGTGCGGAAAAGGCTTGAAGCGACCACTAATATCTTGACCAAACTGTTCCCCTTGGAATCCATCGATGCTCTCGAGGGACTATCCGGTCAACAGCTTGTGGAGCGTGTTGTTGCAACAGTGACTTCAGTTGAGACTGAGCAAGGCCCCGATCTCCCTTCCGTCAAGAAAGCAGTAGCATACGAGGGGTCGGCTGGATCGCACGAAACGGATGTGCCCACTAGAGGAGCCTTTCCAGCTTCAATAGGAGTCGAGAAGCACCAAGCCAGGCCGGAGAACTCATCAATCGACAGCGACGGCCATCACGATTTCGCTGACGGCGAGGTATCAGATCCTGGTGACGATGTGAACGCCGTATCGACCACTGATAGTCATGCTTCTTCATACGTCGGCCCTTCCTCGACTATGCAGATGTTTCGCACAATACTCCGTATCGCGCCGGACTCTCTCGAAAAGAGCAGCCAACATCAGAGCCCTCCACACTGTGTTCCAGCTACTTCCACTCGTTCTTCAGCACGCCGCGACACACTGTACCTGACGGATCGAATGAGAGCGTTGATTGACGCTTATTTTCACTGGGTCCATCCAACCACGGCCATAATCGACGAGGCAACATTTCGAGAATCGGCTTTATCCGGCGAGAGAAATGATCCTCCATGGCTGTGCCTTTTAAACACAGTCTTAGCGCTTGGCTCATTAGGCTGCACAAAGACCGAGTCCAAAGAGCATATGATATATTACAATGTTGCGAAATCTTACCTTGATCTCGAAGCTCTCGGGAACAAAAGCCTGGAGTTCTTACAAGCATTAATGTTGATGGCTGGTTGGTATTGCCATTACCGGAACCGTCCGAATCTTGCGTCCGCACTTCTTGGGGTTGCATTTCGAATGGCATATGCATTGGGTGTGCACAAGGAGACACCAGTTCCAGGACAAACAGGTATGAACCCGGAGTTGAGGCGCTCCATTTGGTGGAATCTGGTGGTCCTAGATGCAGCTGAAGCAGTAACACTTGGTCGTAATCTGGACGGAAGTATCTTCGACAGTGAGGTGAGGTATCCTGGAGGAATGCTGCAAGAGGTAAGTCCTTCCATTGTGCTTACTCTAAATGTCACTGACATCGGTATTTCTTTAGCCAAACAGAACCTATGACAAGCCTTTGTGTTTAGCATCACTCCTGGGTATCACTATCGCTTTTTCGCGGATCATGACTGAAACCCAGGCCAGACTAGCCACATCGACGCCTTTGTCCTTTGCCGAGCTCCTTGGCTTGGATGCCCATCTCGTCGACTGGTACGAGGGACTACCGGGGGAATTTCATGGATCGGCAGGAAGTACACCCATTTTCAATCACGCTTTCGTGGGGCGGACAGAGCCACCCGATTCTCATGCATTTGTACAGCCTTGTGTGACAATACGGTGGAGATACCTCATTCTTCGGATAACGCTGTACCGGCCAGTTGTCATGGAGGCCGTCCTGCGCAGGATTCCATACCATCAACTAACGGCGGATCAACGACTGTGCATCCGTAAGTGCCTGACCCTGGCGGGGGAATTGATCGAATCTGCCCGATCGAGGACGTTGGAAACTCCTAACCAGTACATTGCTTGGCCAGCGACTTGGAATCTGCTCCAGGTCTGCATGGTGCCTTTGGTGTGTCTGTACACCTTTCGTGAGAATCAGGATACAAGCCCCGAATTCCACCAGGGACATGGGCAGTTTCGCGCCACAGCTGTGGTCATAGACCAGGTCCGTCAAGTTCGCGAAGAGTGTCATCGACAGGTCCAAACAACATTGAATTTGATGCAAGAGATGCAACCATGGGGGATTGCATCAGATCGCATGTACGAACTGATCTACTTGCTGTACGAAGCAAGACATCAACCTCTGCGAGTGTGGAATAATGATGAAAACAGTCCTCTCGTCGTATTACCACCAACCCCTGTGCTCAAGGCTGCAGGTTCTTCACGTCGGTCTTGTTCTGAGACAACAAGTGCGCGCCTTCAAGCCGGCGAGCAATATGACCTCAGGCACGGGAATGATATCGCTGAAGCGACAGGTTTTCAAGGATCTACGAATGCACCAATCAGCAATACGGTAGAAGGGGAGGCAGACATGTCAATTTTCACCACATTGGGGTGGACAAATGTGACGTGGGAGAGTCTTTTCGAGCTTCCAAACGATTTTCAGTGGCCGGATCCCCAAAGCACATACGATATGGGATGACCATTTCCACTGGCTGATCAAGGTGGAAGGGAAGACGAGCCTAACTCGGGTTCTGTGGTGGTGCCCAAACGGGTTGCGGAGGCTCGGTTCGTCGGGAGATCTGGCCATCTCAGCTAGGCCAGTCCGGCTGTGACCTTCATTGGAGACAGTGGCGAGGTTGATATTTGCTTGGAGTACCATATCAAGGAACGCGCAGGCGGTGCGATTTGATCTTGCCTGAAAGGGTAATCGAGTGGCAACGACATCAAAGCCATAAGACATCGGCACCCACAAAAAAGAGTGCGCTCAATGATGTCAATGCAACACAGGTACTGTGTGCAGCTTGTCCCATTCGCATGATGCTTCGATGGAAAAGACGAGCGCAACGTTGGTCGAGGGAATGCCTTCCGTACAGTACTGGTGAGCACCTTCGTCGCAGGTCTTGCACCAAGCGATATATCGTGCTACGGGTTGTTCTTGTTCGACTCTGACGGTGAGACCGCGAAAATTCGTCGTAAGACGGGGATTAACTCAAAGAAAGCTGAAATGTTGCGAATATGAGTTGAAGAAAAGACCTTGGAGATGAGTTTCCGGATTGCGCCATCTGCGTCACATCATTGATCATCATCAATACCTCTTGTTAAATTGATAAGAACCCTCGATCGAAGCCATTCGGTTTGTCTGCCAGACAAGAGGCTAGAGTACCCCATTCTAAGCATGCGATGGAAAGTTACGGACGGCGGGTGTAGTTGTTGTATCCCTGTTGTCTGGAGCGCCTGGTTGATTTCCAGTCGACTCTTTTCTCCCAGTAGCTGTTGCTGTCCTCTTCGCTCAGTTTGGATTCGACGATGTTCCAAGCTGTAATCAAACTCATCATGTTGTCGTGGTCATGAGGGCGGCTGCTTTGCTATAACTTTGGCCACTTAAGTAAAAGACGATACCGAGAACATTGAATCGCAGCAAAGACTGATACAAAACCAGCCTCGTCACATGATCAGGCTGAGCCCCAACATATCTCTATCTTCCCATTCCTTCTTGGGCTTATTCTTTCATCGACACCTGTAAATCAAGGATGGGCGCAGGACAGCCTCCGGAGCGCTTCCACCCACTGGCACTGCATGTCTAGCACTGCGTCACCTTAATTCATGTCCGAAAGGATTCCGGATGACGACAAGGCCATACCAGCGGTCGATATTCTGTTCCTCGGTAGCCCTGGGGTGGGCAAATCCACATTCTTGTCGTAGGAGAATCCTCTCTTTTCCTTGCACCTACCGCCCGCGCGGTACGAAGCCGGACTGACTTTATCCTTTGGTTTTGCAGCCGGCTTGAGCATGTGCGCAATGGCAAACTCGATAAATCCGTTTCCCCAACCCGCGTGGTCGCACCGTTAGCATTCGATGTGAAGTTGTTCAATCGACCGTACAGGTTCCGCATTCACCCATCCACATCGACCCTCTTCATCGATGCGTTCCCTCCGAAACCTGCGTTTACCATCATTGCATTCTCCATCTCCTCTCGCGAATCGCTACACAATGCGCAATACTATTGGCGCAAGCAATTGTCTATGCACTATGACGAGCTCGAGCACGAGATGCCAGTCATGCTGTTGGGTCTGAAGAGGGACGAACGTACCGAGGACCGTCGGGAAGATGGGACGTTCGAGTGCGTGATGCCGCAAGAGGGTTTGCGTGCCGCTCAAGAGATGCGCTGTGATCGGTACGCGGAGTGTAGTGCCGTGACTGGAGAATTGATGTGGGAGGTACTCGAGGACATCACGCGCACCGCAGCCAGGACTACTACAGAGAACGGAGGGTTGAGCCAACAGGGCGATTGCTGTGTGATGTGAGCGGTGATGTCCAACATGAGGGTAGCGCTCTTGGCTCATGACACGAACTGGATTTGTCGAAAGTTAGTTAGGGAATTGTGACCTTGGAATGATGAACATGAGTGACGAGGGTCTTGCCACGAATCTTTTGGAGATGCAATGCACGCGTGTTGTGATACGAGTCAATCTCACCACTTTCAATCTCGTCCTCGAACAAGCAGCTTGAAGGCGTGGCAGATTGACTAGATCAATGATGCCAGTAGTTCATGGCGGGAGCAAGATAGACCCAGAAAATTTTTCAACAGATTTGTGTCATTGTAGATACAGTGTAATAAGAACATGGCCCCAGACCGAAATCAGGCCATCCCAGATCCTCGCTATGCACCAAAACAGGATATGCATCGAGCAGATACAGATATCTCAATCCGCGTTGGTACGAGCTGAGATCGGATTTTACATCCTCGATATCTCGCGACCAAGACATGCGCTGAGCGCGAGGTTGCCGTGAAATTCCAACCTTGGATGCGAGTGGTACCGAAGTCCGCTTTAGAACAAACAATCCAAGCAACAACAACATGCCAATCCAGCCAACAGACCGGCGCAAATACCACCGGCGCCGCTGCCCCTGTCGCGCTCATACACTACGTTGGGCTGTTGTTGGTATCCGTAGCCGTAGCCATATCCCGGTCCGCCCTGAGGCGGTCCTCCGCCGTATCCACGTTGGTCACCATATGCGTTGCCATAGTTGGGGCCAGGCCCTTGTTGTCCGTAATAGCCCTGTTGCTGCTGTTGAGGTCCGCCGTATTGATCTTGGCCGTAGACCATGCCACCCGGTGGAGGAGACTGGAAGCCTTGACCTTGGCCTTGTCCGTAAGACGGCGCAGGATATGAAGGTGGAGGGTATTTTGGGTCGGCCATTGTTATTGTTTCGCGTGGCTTTAAAGAATCTTTTCCGTTCAAAGAGTACTTCGTGCACCCGTGCAGGGGACAGGAGACAAAGCCGTCCTTGGTCGCAGAGACTTGAGGCTGTTGTTGGTCGATCGGAGATCCACTCGAAGATGTCACGTCTCTAGACTCGGCCAGGTTGTAGATTCGAGAGGGGACGAAACGTGGACGAGCTCGTGAGCCCTAAGCGGTGTTCAAGCAGCCCTCGAATGTCACTCGAGAACAAGCACGGATTCCGTCCCAGAGTGCAGAGGATCTCGAAAACAAGGCCTTTCAACGGGTCTCACGGGGGGCAATAAGACGGAATCTGCAGGGGAAATAGAGATCCAAACCTTTTTGGACTGCGGAATGTTCTATACTCTTACATGCCGTGAGGGAGTGAAGAGTGACTTCCAGCGTTTGGGGCTCCGTGCGACGCGTAATGGTCCATCTTGGAAGCCTTGGTTGCGAAAAAAATGCTTGGAGCGGGAATCTCGACTTGGCGACTCTCGCAAGCTTCAAAGTCGATGGCAATTCTAAAAATGGTCGAGGGTATGCGTACGAGAGGGTTGCAATTGCGATATTGTCACGGTACCAGCGACCCGGAGTGCTTGAGCCATTATTACCGGTGCTTTGAACTCTGTATGTGAAGAACTTTGGGGGTCCTAAAAACAACCAACTCCAGCATACGGAGTCTTCGTACCTCGTATGAGGCTGAGTGATCCACACAGTATCTCTTACTGCGTTAATCTACAATAGAGCATGAGAAGCGAGAAGCGAAGCTTAGCCGAAGGGCTCATTCAATGTAGACGTGGCGCTGATGACACGGTTTCAATTGTGGCTTTCACAATATGAAGTTGTCTGTGAGCGTGGCTGAGCTGGGTCTCGCTGGGACAACACACACGCACCCACCTGAGATCCAACTACCTCGCTAATCGCTCGACCTGCTCTAATACTACAATACAATACGAGTCATCATCCGAGTGTGTGTGTTGTTGGCCCGAGCACAGGTTACAGCTTCGAGCGGCTCAGGGCAAAATGTCACAGCATCAAGACAACAGCACCATGCAGCGCGTTGACCACATACCGGCACTTGTCTTCACCCTAGAACGGTCGCTCTGCAGCTGACATGTTCCCTTTGATCCTCACACACGGCCTCTCTCACAGACCGCTTGGTGTCTCTTCCACTAGATTTGACCATGCAGATCCCCCTTATACTTGTCCACTACCGGATCTCGGGTGGCCAGGAGACGAGCACCTCTCACCAGAAATTTCTCATTGACATACATTGGGGCAAGGACAAAAGACTCACGCATTGACCCGTTCAAGGAGTCAAAGTACCTTTCCCCTGTTATTTTATTGTTATTATCATCATTGAAGAACAGGATGAGCTGGGAAACCATGGCACTAGTGGCATGCTATTGCCCTCAACATACAATAAACATCCCCGTGCCTTATCCGGAACGCAGCACAGGAACATCAGTGGCCCTCGCTCATCGTCCCAAACAAAATATATTGGGATACGACAAGATCAACCAACAAGGCACGAGGCGTGGCGGAGGAAACTACCTTGCAACGCATCCTGGTCTCATGGTGAGTGAGTCACCATAGGGGGATGAATCTCATCCACAGGTCTGTGCCTCACACTGCTGCCTCCGTGGACTGGCGTGAAGCAAGGACACAGTTCTTGACGGATCCTGGTGATCCATCACAGATTTTGACACCACGCCCTAGACCGTGCCCGTGGAATTTCTCAGGGTAACCTGTCAACGAGCACGGGACCGTTTGGTGCTCCTGCTTCTGTCCATGAACCTTGTGTCTTCTGATTTCTGGGATGTGACACGCTGGCCTCTCTATTGTAACTTGGTGTCGATGCATCCAGCGAGGGGAACTCGTAGGGGGTTACCACCCTCACACCGTGACCTTTTTGTTCTCTGATATCCCAATCACGTGATAAAACTACTCTATTTTCACGTGATTTCAAGTCACGTGATGAACAACGCTCTCTCCGTTCAAAGTGCAAAACCGCTTACCACGCTACCAAAATCGTGGATTATACATCCATCTATTGAGACTACCGCACAGTATATTCTATCTCCATATGATCACTTCTGGCTACTACCGGAACAAACTCCCAGGCTAAAAGTCTCGTTTGATGCGACATAATTGGGTCTTACGAATACAGACTGCCGTGGGCTCTTGACGCAGTCCAATGACCTTGTGGAAGGCATTGCCCGCCTGCGTACGTGTCTTTTGACTTGGATGACAACTTCTGTTCTCACTCGTCAGGGTGCGAGTTCTGGTTCTTGCGGCATTTTTGCCATATGCCGCTTGGCTGCCACAGAAGCTGTTTTGACAGGGCAAGGGACAGAAAACGTGCCTCAAGCTGCCCGTACACGTCTGTACTGCACCGCGTAGGTAAGCAGCCGGTCCAAGTAAAAATACTCGTAATCTATTCCCCGAAGGAAAAGGAAGTCAAAGTACGAGTACGAGAGACACACACACCACACCACCTTTGTCCAGCAAACCAGAACTAGTTGACCAGGAGCCGGCTAGTCACAACCACAAAAAAAGTATGGCCCCGAAAAAGTGAGCTTCGGATACCAGAACCGGAAGCACAGCCGAAAGGCCTCTGCAGAGAGAAGTCTAAGCTCGGAGAATTTAAATTCTCATGGAGGGAGACCAAAAAAAGCACGCCGGGACGCGCTGGGCTAGCCTTGTTGATGCACCATACACACACCCTTCGTCGCACGGAATACGAGGAAAGGTGTGAAGAGGTGACTAGGTGACTTGTTGGTCGGTTGGTTAGTCAGGGTAATGGTGAATTGACTTTTTTTGACTTCGGTGCATCCTAGACCGCCTGTCTGGCTGCCTAGACTCATCCTATACGAAGAGAAGAGGAACAGGACAAGGACACACCCCTACAGGACTCGCTGGCACAACACGACGGGTGAGAAAGCAGAGGAACTTTCACACCTCGTATTGTGTGTGTTGCATGACTGGGACACCTGTCGTGGCAACGTTTGTCATTGGGTCGACGGCCTGCAGTCATGACTCGTCTGCATCCCATTCACGCCGCCATGCACACGCCGACGTCCCCGACCCATGCAGAACCCCCTCGCTTAACGGTACTTGTACGATAAGGAGTGAGAATGATATTGGATGGATGACGACTTCCTGGTCATTGGGGCTGTGGTCAGTCAATTGGTGGCCAAGTCCAGCGCCTCTTGGGGCGGGCAGGGAGAGGGAGGCGGAAAGGATTGCCCTCCTTCCCGAACTACTAATGACTACTACATCACCTCGTATCCTGTTGGGTCTGGACTTTCGTGATGTGCAAGCGATCAGGGGGGAGAAGAAAAACAGGTTCGATCGCGTGGGCTTCTGGGAGGAAGACAAGGTTGTTTCTTGTTGTCGGGGGTCCTTTTTTGTTTTCCACCGAACATGTCAGAGTAGCCAAAACGGTGTGGGAAAAAAAACCAAAGTGAAGTGCTTGATCAATACAACGTCTCCGCGGTTATTGTACTCCTCGGTAGGTACTACTCGTACTGGTGTGCAGTTCAACCACCTACAATCTACAATCTATCTCCTGGCACACCGATATTCAATGAGAGTACGACTACGAGTATCGCAGTCCCCTGTCATCGACAAGACGGATACCTTATTCTCGTTGCTGTACTCGTCCCCTTGTAACCCGCACTGAGAGTGATTTTCACAAAATGTAGTCGTCAGCAGGGTCCAGGTTGAAGGGTTGAAGGGTTGAAGACGGGAGTTTTGACAGTACATTCATCATCATCACCATCATCATCAGACTCGCCTAGTGTTTTCTTTCGAGACACGATCATCAGTCTCAATGGCCTATTCTGTCTTGTCTGGCGCGGGCTGGCAGGCTGACGATCGCATGAGTACGATGGGGTAGGGTTGTCTGTCTGCGTGCGTGTGCGCGTGCGTGGTTCGTCCCCATGTGTTTTGATAGTTTGGCCTACCTTTCAGCGGGACCCATCATGTACGGAGAATTCTTCTATGCCGGCAACACTGTTGAGTTCATTGAAGTCTGAATCTGTGACACCATCTCGCATACACCACACCCTCGGCATTATCGGATTGAGCGACTGGAGGAGACGGACGGGACACGGGCGAGAGAGAAGACAGAGGGGGAGGGGGAGGAGGAGGGGAGGCAGGAGGGGTTCCCTTCTCACACTCACACTCACACACACTCACACTCACACTCACACTCACACTCACACTCACACTCGTATCGAACATCATCATCATCGATAGAGTGTTGTGCAGTGGCGTAGTTATTTTCGCGGGCCTTACCTCTCAAGGGTGTTGTCACCAATTGTTGTACAAACGTACTGCCGTGCTGCGGCTGCTTCAAGTCTGCAGCTTGCCAGTGCGGCATTATCGTGTCTGGCGAATGAAAAATGGTTTGCCATCGTGATAATGTGGCCGGCCCGCGAGCATGGTCAGAGGGGATAGATAGGCTTAGGCAGTTTTGTTTTCCGCTCTCTGTCTCTCTCTCTCGCGTGCGTGCATGTTGCATGTCGCATGTCGAACAGGGATCAAGGTAGGGCGAAAAGGAAGTCCAGCGGTCCAGAACGGACAGACAGCCCTGAGGTGTGTCACTTTGCCCCCCCTCGTGGGCGCTCATCTTTTCCATTGGGGGTCTGGAGACAAGGAGTCTCTGGCCTCCACTGCAACTTTTGCAGTGCCCGAGGAAAATCTTGTGCGAGTAGTGAGCGACGATCGGTACCACTACTTCACACTATAACGTCCTTCTGCCGTGACTTCCAGAGTTAATCGGCGTTTCGTACGGAGTACAGTACGGGAGTAGAAAATGTTCTTGCGGGCAAAACCACCTTTTGCATAAGCCTCCCGTCAATAGAACGTTGGAGGGCGAAGGAACGTCAGAGGAAGGGAACTTCCTACGAGTATGATTCGATACTGTGGTAAAAAGGTGATATCCACAGTTGCTAAGGAACAGAAGTCTCCGAGGTAGTCGTGCTTGGGGGAGGGGTATGAACCCCCCTGTTCATCGTAGCGATCCTCCGAAATCGAAATGAATGGATGGATGGGTTTGGGACAGGGGCGGGGCTCTCTCTCTCTCACACACTATCTCTCTCCTCTCTGGGCGCATGACACTGGGTTGTTGTCTTGCAGCCGAAGGAACCTTCTCCCTTGGAAACCTCGGGAACTTGACTACAACTAGTGGTCGTAACTACAGTACTCTGTATTCGTGCAGTGATTGTAGCCTGTAGGAGTTCCTAAAGTAACGGATAGTCAGCCGCCACAGCTTATTACAAACAAGAGCATGGCGAATAGACTTCTTCAGGTCGAAATACGAGTAGATAACTACGAAGATTGACCAGGAAAAGCAAAGTAGAGTTTCCAGCGTGTGGATACCCCGTCACTTGCAAATCACAATCGACCGCGCCTAGGCGAGCTGTACAGTGGTTTTAGTCGCTAACGTGGGATATGGAGGGAAAGGCTTCTTTGAGGATAAGTCGTGAGTCGTCGCAGACATCAATTACACGTCTCTATCGAACTCCGTGCATGCAGTAGCGTTGTACCCAAAGGCCAAGTTTTGACCTGTTAAGACTTGTCATCAAGCCAACGAACGGCACGGCCTGGATATGCACAGTAGCCCCGTCCCCCCCCCCCCCCCCCCCCCCCCCCCCCCCCCCCCCCTGCTGTAACGAGGACAAGAGTTTTAGCCCGAGCTCTCATCCGCAAGCTGCAGCTACTCCTGTAGGAGAGAGAAAGAGAAAAAGAGGAAAGTAAGGCAGCCAATATAATGCAAGTCATGATCCATCCGCCCAGTGGGCTGACGCTGGGACGCATATGCGCTGTCAAAAAGACCATAGGGAGTTAGGCATGGCTGGCTTCGTCGAGACTCGCCCAATCACCAGAGATGATTTTGCCTCCGTCCATGCTCCAGAGATACCGTCCAGTGGGCCGCTGAGCCAGTCGGAGACGCAGAGGCCAAGCAGGGGGAAAGTCAAACAGCAAAGAAAATAGTAAACCCAACAAGAGGGAGGCTTGCATTAGCTTCCTGTAACTGCGGACGGGCATCCAGGTGCTACTCCTAGTAGACTTCGGGGGCGCGAACAGCATCCGCTGGGAACCAGAAACAGAGTGTGGCAAAGACAGCAGATCCCCCTCCCCCTCGTCTTCCCGCCCCTCGCCCCCGTCCCAGGCCAAAGAACGATCTTGGGTGCCCATTGAGATCGAAGATCAGACCGAGTGAAGTTGCCACCATGACATCGGCGTGCCAGCGTGTCGTTGCTCGTCGTGAGGACGACGAATTTGGTGCTTGATTCCTATTCAGAGGGATTCGTCCATGACCTAGATTCTTCTTTGGTCTCTTCTCAAATTCATCTATCTACAGAGAACTGACAATCCAACCACGCACAACACAGAGAACCATGTGCACGTCCATGAGAGCTCCGAGTCAGTTGCTGCTCGGCTCGAGAGCTACAAAGACACCATCCACCGTTGGTCATACATACAATCTAAGTTGTCTGGTAACACCAGTGTAGACACGGTGAGGGAAGAAAAAATCGACAACATCCTCACCATTCCCATGTCACCTCTCGCCAGCACTTGGTTTGAGGGACAATTCAATCAACAAAGCGATCCCACCCTTTTTGCGCCGTTTTCTGCATCCTCCCCCTTTTGGTCCGTCTTTCAATAATCCTAAATCTGCAGAACGCTTGACGACGATTCCGACACTCGTCCAACACGAAAACAATTGATCCATCCATCGTCTAGATGAGACTCGCAAACAACATCTTCCCCCATTGGGTCAAGTAGAACAAGAAATTTTGGCCAGAGTGTTTTTCTTTTTCCCGGTTTCAAAAAAGGATCCAGATAAAATTTCCAGTCATGTAGTAGATCAAAAGTCGTAAACCGCCTGGGTATCCACAACAAAAAAAGTTTGGGCAAAAATAACTCCGATCGATCGTAAATGCCGTGAAACGTCGTCAAGAGAGCATCAACTGGGTCGCTGCTGAACGTATTTTGTATTAATTAATAAGTGGCGACTGACGGGCCGTAACCAGGTGGAGAATAAGGATGATAGGTAGTTGGCTTTTCGTCGTCGTTCAACGGGATAACATTGCCGTAGAAATTGAAAACCGGAGCCGGTTGCAAATGTAGGCCAGCCTCGTTGAAAACGGTTTCAGATTCGTACCCGGAATCCGTGGAAACAGAAGAACAAGATGAGCCTGACTTGGAGGTCGGGCCAAAAAGTGACCACTCCGAGGGTTGCGTGTGGAACGGTGCTGGAGGAGAAGGCGATGCAGGTGGTGACGGTGGCAGGGCCAGGTTGGCACAATCCATGGAGTCCACATAAGCATATGGGGATGCAGGAGGTGACGGAGGTAGAGTGTTGTAGGAGTTAATGGTCAACCTCGGACAATTGATGATCAACTCCCGGAGTTCCTGGAGACTAATCCTCTTGTGTGGATCACACTCGAAGATGCGGCGCAAGATCATGTTGAGTTCAACAGAAATGGGCAAGATCGAGCTCAAGAAGTGCGGATCCTGGAGGAATGCTCTGAACGTGGAATCCTCGGGAGAGGCCTTTTTCCATGGGTTGCGACCACAGGTCAAGTTCACCAGGATAACACCAAGGCTCCATACATCATTGGGCGCGGCAGCGTAGCGAGCATATGGCCTTGATGGAGCTTGTTGACATTCTGCCGACAACGTTAGCACTCGAGTCTTATGACAAACGTGACTGGAAGAACGCTTACCTGGCGACATGTAGAAGGTAGACCCGCAGCCAAAGTCGGATGTGACTGCGTCGGTGGTGGCAAGTCCAAAATCGGCCAACTTGACGGTGCTTCCATTGTTGGTAACCAGGATGTTCTCGGGTTTCAGATCGCGATGGTAGATCCCAACGGAATGGCAGTACTGGACGGCATCCAAAACTTGCAAGAACGTATGCTTGACCAGTTGGTCATCGCCCACGAAATGGCCATGTTCAGTGATGTTCGAGAAGAGGTCGCCTTCAGGGCAGAATTCAATCACGACAAAGGTGCAGTCCGGGCTATCCAAGATGCGCAACAGCGAAACAACATTGGGGTGCTGGCTCGCTCGGTGGTGCAGAGCAATCTCTCGTCGTTGGAAACGCCGCTGTCTGGCATCCAATCCGGATTTGGGAAGAGCCTTCACCGCATAGGGGACATTGGTCAAGATGTCGACGGCACGGTAGACCACTCCATAGGCGCCCACTCCAAGGACGGAGACAAGTTCCAATCGGCCAGCAAGTACACACCCCAGTCTGTCCTCTGGCGCACAAGAGGTTGTGAGTTCGGGGGACGACGGTGGTGTCGGGAGCATTATTGGGAGAACCCAAAAGTACTTAGTACTTGCTTTAGGAAAAGGAGTAGTCGTTAAAGACCAAGAAAGACAACAGCCGGCTCAGAACATGGGTCCAAAGGAAAGTACTCCCGGATGTTATGTGGTTGGAGATAAGAATTAGGAAAGATATGGCCTTTGGATTCCTTCCGGGTATATCCAGACGGATGTCCGAAGATGATTGTAGGATAGGTGTCGAGTTATGTTGATGAGAGCAAAGGAGGGACTCGAGAGTGAATGCGAAGGATAGATATAACAGTAAGATGTGAGACAAAGGAAGAGGTATGTCAGTGGAGAGAGAAGGTTGGTGTTTGGCGATGCCAGTTGTGATATTGAGGAGGTTCTTGTAAGGTATAGAGGCAATATAATGTCCTTTTAGGTATGACGGTCGATGGAGACGTCCCAAACCAAGGAACAAGGACGGCAAGCGTCGACGCACGGACATCCCAAGGCCCACCCATGGCACCCATGTCAGTGGGGCAGAACGCTGTCAGAAGCTGGTTAGAGAGATGCTGCGAATAGAACGCCAGAAAAGCAAAGATCCGCTCCAGTGCATCAAAGTTCGCAAACCCTGGCTGTGGTCTGACGCTGGATGACGAGTCGGCCACCAACGGTTTCGATTTGAAGTGGGCCACCCACTGCACGGCGAGGCGGGCACGGCCTGGCAGGAGAGACTGGTGGGTTGCATGCCTTCCTGACACCAAGGACACAAACAAGGGCAGGATGAACGGATCACCCTGTGGCTGGGCGCAATTCTCATCACTACAGATCAGCGTTCCTTGCGAAACCGAACGCCAGCGCTACCCGTCGACCAGTCGCCGACGAGATCACGAGCCGAGAAGGGCCTCTAGCGGATCCATCACTTCTGACACCGAAGTAAAATGTAGAACACGCTTTGCACCGGATGAGCCCTGGAAATTCGAGATGGCCAGGATCCTTGAACATTGGGAAGAAGAGTACTGTAGTGTATAGGCCCTGCAGGTCTGGAGTAGTTGGCTGGTGATGCCGCCGCCGCCTCGCTGTTACTCAATTCGCCAGCTCTCTTCGGCTATGTCCTTGTTCGAGAGCTGGCGCCAAATGGCTCTGTGCAGGCGAAATCTCCTCTCTTACGCCACCGGTCACAGGCAGGAACCCCAAGCCGTCTGTTGTGTCCCTGTGAAGCCCGTGGTCCCAAATATCCATCTCAGACTATGGGCGAGTGTGCGGGTGCACGGCCACAACTATTGGCGATTGCGACCCTCAGCACAGACGGCACCGAACATGCCTGATGAGACGCGCACGTTGATCGACTGTCAAGTCTGTCGGGCAGTGTTACCAGCGGCGAACCTGCTCAGGGCAAGCCTGCATTGCTTTTGCGCCTAGGCGCCTTGCTCCTGCCAGGTGTGTAATCCTGGTCCCGGCAAGGCAGGCTGCCGTTGCCATTCGTTCGTGTTTCAGGAAAGCTTGTGGTTAGGCGGCCAGGTGACTAGACAGCATGGCAACAGACAGGGTTGTCCAGCATTTCAGTCTGAGAAGTACGCAGACGCGCTGAGGCACTAATCTTGATCTGACGATTGGATTCTGCGCGCTGGAATCCCTCGCTCCAATTAGACTGTGTGCCCCAATCAGAGGCATTGTGTCACAGCCCCCTTCGCCGTGCGAGAGGTGTGGTCGTTGGGTCGAAGCCTGCCAGCTGTCCGTCCATGCCCATCCTCCCTGCATACTCATGTTTCTGCCCAAAAGATCGTGCTCAGAATTGCAGATTGAACCGTCGACGTTGGTCTTCCGCCCGTTCCCTCGTACGCCCCCCAATACCCATGCAACAAGGCTCCCTCCTCATTATGGAGACATCTATCTTTGACGAAGGCCACGGCGTGGTCAGCGCTACTATGCAGGTGTGCTTCAGGGAGAACAAGCCCTCAGTTCTTGTAGCCTCAGTTGGAGCACCCTTGCACGATGGCGAGCAGAACTGACTTTGGAGAATACGATTCCTCAGCCACCGAGTGTGAAGGGGGCGAGGCGACTCTCCCATGGATCAGGCGTACAGGCTGCATCACTTTAGCACCCTGCCCCTTTGCAGTAGCCTGGAGTGCTGTAGAGAGTAGTGGTGTGCCTTTCTGCTCGTCCACCCAAATTTGCCTCTCAGGCTCAGCATTAGGGTCGCGCGGTGCCAGCCTCGGCGGAAGTGTCGGCTACCGGTTCTGGTGTGGCTTGCAAAATTATTGCCTCTGGCACAACATTGATTCGCCACAGACACTGGGCAGCAAACGGGCCGTCCTGTTTCAGCGGCGGCCCATGACTTGAGATGCTTGACTACAAACGATCCGCAACACAAATTGGATGTTGCCCACCTTCGTGTTACAATACGCATGTGACCCCGCTCTCTCTCGTGGCTCCATGCAAAATCGAAGTTGAGGAGCAGTTTCGATGGCCAATAAGCACAGATAGTGCATTGGATAGCGCAAACACCACGAGCCTTGCCGAGATTGATAAAGCTCAGTAGTTTCTGAGCTACTGGAAACTCAGAAAGCGATGAGCGTGTCTCAGAGTGTGCCGTCGCTGATCGTGGATCCCGGCTTCAATTTGTCTCGCATGGGATTTTGGGTCTCTCGCTATCCTGGGACTCATGATCCCTGACCAGCCATCGGGCAGCCGCCAAGATCCACGGGGTTTTGTGATCCATGATGACAGGGGTTGCATCGCCTTGCAAGTTTAGTCGAGCTCCTCGCCTCGACGTGTCACAAGATTACGTAGGAGATACCCCCTGTACGAGGATTTGCCTTCTCAGTGGAAAGCTGACCCTCACTTGTCAACTTCAAGCCACGTTGCCTGACGAGTCACTGTTGAGCAGGGCGAGCCAAGGGCCCATCGAGCCCGGTCTTGACATTACTCGACGCGCCGGATAAGCAGGCTGGTCGAACAGAGAGACGATCACGAGGCGGTTAGCGCCGTGCCTGTTTGATGTTAGTCTGTGAATCTGGCCACGATGATCTGCAGGTCAAAATTTGCCTCTGAATCTGAAGCGAGACAAGTGAGCGTTTGCCATCGGCAAGCGGGTGACAAGCGGTGTGTGATGGTTTTGCTCAGAATCGAGTGTTACGAGGAGATTCTGCCGCCGAGGCCCAGCACTTCACCGTAGCCGCTTGCCTTAGACTTCCTGAATGCTTCACACTACATGTCCTTGCGGAGTATCGTTTCGCCGCGTAGATCCTCAGTCATTCCGTCTGTAGTGCACGTGTGTCCAGCTCACGTGTCTGCACATGGCTTCCCACGACCTCATACACCAGGTCAAAGGCTCCATGGCCATTCTTCAACCAGAAAAGTATGTTGCAAAGTTTGAAGGTTCCCAGCGAAACAGCGACCGGTGCACGGCGATGTCCATGGTGCCAGCTCAGGCAATCCTTGACGGTGTGGTTCTCACCGAGCCATTGTGAGAATCAATCATGAGACTGCCGTGTCGGTTGTTCAGCATATCCCGGTGCTGATACTCGTCACTACAATTCCCGCATTCCAGCGATCTTGAAGTCCACTTGAATCTTCCCAGCATGCGACCGCCCGTTGCGCAGTGTTCCGCATCCTGCTCGGAACGATAACCATCACAAGGGTTCCGTTCGGTAACGTCCTGCTACCGGCAGCTGCTTCGGGACAATCATCCATGTTTACCCCCTGGTCTCAGCACAACTGTTGGGAAGTCGCGACTTCTGCAAGTTTCGGGGTTCGCTTGGCAGCCTCTAATGGAAACTCACCGGTGTCCCTTCTATGCCATCCTGATCGAGGCCCAACTCGGGGCTCGCCACGGCCTGCCCAGATTTCATCTGGCGGAAAACCCGCCGCTCTGTTACAGGTTTCCACAAGCTCGCGTTATGAAGTGATACCATAACGGTTGTGTGAGGTGTCTTCTGACGTCTTGAGTTTGAGCATCGGCGTGGAGCGGAGCAGGGGACAGGGCTGTCTCCGAAGCTTTCTCGCGCGCTCACGTGATATTCTTTTGGCGATTGTCCCTTAGCCCTAACTACGACGTGGCCTTCTACGGAAGAGAATGTCGCTATGCCATCGATGTGCGCCAGTGTGAGTGTCGATGACTTTTACACCGGCACAATACAACGTGCTCCAGGAGTGGTGCACGCGCTGGAAGGCTTCTAGAAGGTCTCAAGAAACCCGTCTACATCCCGATCGAGGTTGCGCGGACTACTGGATGACCATGACCGGTGTTCGGTGATCAAACGCGAAGGAGCCGGCTCACTTCTGCGTCCACCACTCCCATGCCATATCAGAACATCCGAGACCGACTGACCCTGCTACTCTCTTTTACCCCCAACGTTAGCCATAGGCGAGACTACGCTACGGTATGGCCTGGATCTTACCTTTGTTACAGGCGTCTTGATTCGGCGGGAGATTCCCTGCGACCAATACGTGTAACACTCCCGCTGAGCAATTTCCGTCACGATGAAGATTCAAATATCAACCGCTATGCTCAAATTGTGTATCGGTCGAGGGATTAAATCATTCAAGCCTCATACTCTTGGAAGATGCTGGCCACCAGCTTTCTGGTTCATAGTCTGGTGGCGACCGAGCGATTTGTCCAGACTACGGCTTCAATCTATACCCTACTTCTTTTGCACTCTGAGACCTTGCTCTTGTACGTACCCAGCCTCGCAGACCAGCTGAAATGAAGAAAAGTGTTACCGGTCCCCAGCTCGAGCTGATCTCAGACGAGCTGCAATGGCGACTCCTATCTAGCAATTTGTTCGTTACAGTCTGATCTCTCCTCCCAATCGTTGTAATATACATCATCAAGTTATCCTACCTGTAGGAATCGTCCGTATTCGGCGCTCAATGATCCAATCAGATAGCATGCCGATTCATCCATCTCCTTCCTTTAATGGTTAATTCGACGCTGATCTTATTGCAGATTATCCGATCGGCCTCCAGCTCAACTATCACTCTCTCGATGATTATGCCGTCAAGCCGCTCCCCAGCCTCCTCAAGTCCACCGCTAGTCTGCCGGACGTCCTGGCTGTATCGCCGAGCTATATCGAACATTTTCGACATGTGTTTGTCGTAAATGAAAGCTCAGTTCTGAAGATGTTGTGGACGAGCGAGACTCGATATTATCTCGCTTGAAGAAAGGCAAACAGATTTAATGCGCCAAAGCCATTGAATCCTCTACATCTGTGCAGCTGCTATTGTCGCGTCAGCGCAGTTTCAATACACTCGTTTTATCACTGTTGTACCCGCCCCAGGCGATCACAAGTGACCAAGTGGTGCTAAGCCAGGACGGAACTGGAGAATTGAGACACGCTCACATTCCCACAGCAATACAACTTTACACAGTGTCACACCTCAAAGTCACGTCCATTTACGGAGTCTTTGGTCACATATCATCAGCCACAATGACTCGACGACAGGTCACACTTCAACCCAATTCTTCCTCCTCGTCCACGTCCAGCACCACATGCGCCGGCGCTTCCACAGATAGTAGAAACGCCTCATACTCTCCTTTCACAGAAGATCATGCCTCCCCAACTCCGTTGGCCATGCGGACCACAATCCCACCACAGCCCTCAGACAAGTCCAGGGTCCAGCTAATCAGCACATCCGTCCTCATCCCGGGGCGTGGAAAGCCCCGACATGACATGACAGTCGTGGTCCGCGACGCCCTCATCCACGCCATCCACCCAACAAGCGCTCTCCCAGCGTTTCTCCAGCACCACTCCCTCCCAGCGACGCACGTGCCCGTCCTACTGCCGGGCCTCTGGGACTGCCACACGCACTTCCTGGGAACCAAATCCCTGAACCTTTCGGAGGTCGTTTCGACCCATGCAGCCGTGGCGGGAGCGCGTCTCGCCCGCAACGCTCGCGACATCCTCCTGTCGGGCTTCACCTCGGTCCGCGACCTGGGCGGCTACGCGATCGAGCTGTCGAAAGCCATCTCCGAGTCCTCGCTCCCCGGACCCAACATCTACTCGGCCGCGTCGGCCATCTCCCAAACGTCGGGCCACGGCGACCTCTTCGACCTCCCGGTGGACGTGGCGCATTCGCGGCTCTCGACGACGTGTCCGAACGCAGGGTCGTACCCGCTGTTGCTCGCCGACGGGGCCGACGCATGCCGCATGGCGGTGCGGCTCGTGACGCGGCGAGGGGCCAAGTGCGTCAAGGTGTTCGCGTCCGGCGGCGTGCTCAGCATCCTCGACGACCCGCTGCACGCGCAGTACAGCGCCGGCGAGCTCGAGGCGATCGTCGACGAAGCCGCGCGCGCGGGCCTCGCGGTCGCGGCCCACTGCCACGGCAAGGCGGGCATCCTCGCCGCGCTCCGCGCGGGCTGCCACACGATCGAACACGGCACGTACCTCGACGCCGAGTGCGTGGAGGTCATGCTCGCCAAGGGCGCCGTGCTCGTGCCCACGCGCACCGTCGTCAAGGTCGGGGTCGACCACCCGGAGCTCATGTCGCCCGAGAGCTACGTCAAGATGCTCGAGACGGCCAAATACCACCGCGCCGCCTACAGGCTCGCGGTCCGCTCGGGCGTCAAGATCGCCCTGGGCACCGACCTGGGCATCTCGGTCCCCGTCGACAACCCTCTCGCCCTGGGCCGGAGCGGCGGCGAACTCAGCTACGCCGTGACCGACGGCGGCATGACCCCCCTGCAGGCCATCGAGGCCGCCACGGCAATGGGTCCCGAAACGCTAGGTCATCTCGGAGCCGCGCCCAAGAGCGGACAGATTCGAGAAGGCTACGACGCGGATTTGATTGCCTTGTGCGCGAATCCTCTCGACGACATTGCTGGTGACGGTGGTGGTGGTGGTGGTGGTGGAGGAGGAGGAGGAGGAGGAGGAGGAGGGATGGAGCTGTTCAAGGATCCACAGAATGTGACGCACGTGTGGAAGGGCGGCGTGTGTTATAAGAGCCCATGAGTTCCTGAGACCCGGACTCCCTGGAGATACGGATCATGATACTAGGCAGATATATTTTAGAAAGCACGTCAGTCAGGTTGAGTAGGGTAAGGTAAAGGCACGGACGGCATGGCAAGTATAAGGATGCGCCTCAGTTCATCGAGGACAAATCTACATGTCGTGAGAGCTACCTGTAGATAGATAGGTAGCTACACAACAAAGCACACTTCAACGTCTCGTGATACATCACGTTGCCAGAACGGGCGTATAATATTTACCATTTACTGCCGTGGCGGCCACCGCGTACAATCACTTTGCGACAGATGTATCCATCTAGTCGGTGTCTGTTCATTCTTTTCTCCACGGACCGAGGTACACACACACGGTGTCTTGTGATTTGTCCCTTTTCAGCGCGGTGGAGGACGCCTTGCACAACGATTTCGCGGATATGTCTGGACCGCGAATCCGACACCAGCACTCTTTCTCACTCGCGGGACAACACAACACAACAAAAGGTAGAAGAACATCACGGTGACACAAAGTGTGGTGTGGACTGCCTCGACACCGACATTTTTTCTTACAATCCTAGTCACCTCCCCTGGAATGTTCCTTTTCTTACCTACTACCTACAAACCCGTCCTCGACGTGATAGGACACCCGCACCGGGAGTGGAGGAATTCATTCACACCTCCCTCCCTCCCCCCCCCAAAACTCACTGGTTCAGTCAACATAACTGCCAAAAAGCACTCACTCCCTTTTTCAAAAGTTTGCGTCTCTTTGATCAGCTCCTAGATTTTCCTATTGCTCTTTATCCACGTCACCCATGGATGGGAACGGCCGGCCGCCGCAGTCTATCAGTTCAGATTCACCTGTCTGTCTAAGCTATAGTCTAGTAAAGTGTCGTTACAGTCATTCATTTGGTCCTCAGTTGTCATCATTGTCATTGTCGTGGGCATTAAAATCACTTCCAAAGCACCCTTGTTGTTGTTGTCATCATAGATTCACGACCACCACCACCACCACAAGAGCTCCTTTTCCTGCCTCCCCCCCTTTTGGGAATAATCGACCAGTCTAGTTAGGCCGGCACCGTCAACCAGGTCCACACCATACGGTCCACACCTTGTCAGATCAAACCATCAATGTCCTTTCCATCTTGGAGAGATTCCATTCCATTCAGTTCAAGGGTCGAAGACTTCGTCGTCGGAAGTTCTCGTATCATAGAACGGCGGCGGGGTTCACAGGCCCCGAACCTCTTTTCCTGTTTTTCACCGTGGCAATGTCCTCTCATCCTTCTTCGCGGGCCAAATCATCCACGCCACGACGATCAACATCTTCAACCCAGCAGCCGACCACAGCGCCCCCGCCATGCCGACTTGGGACTTGTACATCAACCCACCCGTCAGACCGCCAACGAACAAGGCCACAATGCACAAGAACCTCTGGCCCTGTCTCTTTTGATGGACGTTCAAAAACTCCCACAGCGACGTGCTCTTCGTCCACGAACTCCTCAGCGAGTACAAGTCGCCAGTGAAGTCAAAGTACAGCGCACTCAGCACGATGGTAGGCATGTCCAAGACGGCGAGGAGCCGCGAGAGCGTCGTCTGCCCTGCGGCCTGGAAGGAAAGGAGGGCGACGGGGCACAAGTCGAGGAAGTTGGTCAGGGTGTCGGCGTCGTTGGCGTCGTTGCTGCCGGATGAGAAGGAGCCCGGCACAAACGGCTTGTTGGAGACCAGGTCCAGCGTCACGAGGAGCGCCGGCACGGCGATGAGGACCGTCTGGATCGCGAAGGAAACAAGGAAAATGAAACGACGGCGCGAAGTCGGCTGCTCCGAAAGCCCCGTGGGGAAACGGTGGAGGGCACTGAAGAAGAGCGTGCCGAGACAGAAGGACCCAATCGCCGTGAGGGACTTGTAGTATTGTTGTTTGTGACTCGCTTTGGGTTGGCCACCGAGACCAAGAGCGGCGAAGACGGTGTTGCCTAGCGGTGATGGCGGTGAACGTTAGTAAATCGTCCGATATAGCAGTCTCACCGTCGGCGAGGGAGAGGGAGAGGGAGAGAGATTGAAAGAAAACCAACCAGTCTGCATGTTGACGAAACAATTCCACGAGTTGAAAGCGACGCTGTCGACCAAGCCCGATATGAAGAAGCACACGATGATCACGAAACTCATGTACGTGGCGTCGAGTTCATGGTATGAGTACCGATGAATCACTCCGTTCTGCCGAAACGGTCCATCGACGTGACCCATTATTGCACGCTTTTGCCTGTCGACACTCGCTGTTCGAGAGGAAGGGACCGACGATCGTGGACTGGGATAGGTGGAGGTGTTGGTAAGAGTGAGCGAAGAATCGACCCGTCCAAGCGGGCTATCAACGCCTTCGGGGAACGAAACGGTCGGCATGTTTGGTGAAGATGCAAAGTGAAGTGAGGAAAGAACGAAAGGTGAGGTGGGAAAAACCACAGCGTCAAGGGATACGAGTGAGGGCGGTGATAAAGTAAAGGTAGCACGGCTCGGCGAGATGGTTGTCTTCCTGGGTTATTCTTCTTTCCCCAACACAAGTGAAAGCACGCAAGGGCGGATTATGGCACACAGATGTGAGACTGTGGACTGTGGACTGTGGACGCCGGGCCTCATTTCTATACTTCGGAACACAGATCCTCTGCCTGCCCATGACGACGAGGCTGGAGCACTCACTTTTGATGAGACGCACCGCTGTTCAAGGGAGCACAAGCCAAGCATACGCAACGTATATCGGAGCACCCGGCTTGAATCCTCAGTGACGGTGCCACAGCATCATGGAGCTCTCCCGAGTGGGATCTGTGGTATGGGGAGGTTCAGGCATCAGTTGGTGTTGGATGGCCACTCCGTATCACACCCCTGGACCGTGACCCCTAGAGATAGGTCGATAGTCTGGCCGCACCCGGAAGAAGTGGGCGTCGTACAAGCCTTCGATCTCGAGAATCTCGGGTTTGCAGATAAGCCTTGTAAGATTGTCTCAACGATACAATAGCCCCGGGGATCTTCGTGGTCCGAACCATCGCGCGTCGGCCAAGGCCACACTTGAGCGTCCTGGGACGGACGATGGTGTGCTCCTGACCGCATTAAGAGAGTTGGACAGCAATAGACCCCGAATTGCGCAAGCCCCAAGAGCATATTATCTGCTTGAGTAGGACAAGATGGCGCAGATCTGTCTGGGCGAGGCTGGGCATGTCGATTGCCTTCGGCCGCCGGAGTCGATCTGGCCCAGTCAAGTCTAGCGGCAGAGCTTAACTCGACTATCAACTGGCCTTGACCAATCCACTCTGTCTGTCGCCAAGCACGAGGCTGTGCTACCTTGATCTCCTTCAGCAGAGTCGAGCGTGGTGGATCTGGTGCTCGTCACTCGTCAGCACTCCGTCAGCATGCTCTGAAAGCACATGAGACTGCAGCCAAGCTATCACCGGGTCTTTGAGGAGATTGAGGCAACCATGGTTCTGCACGCCGCCGTCAGCCGCCGTTATCGTCCAGGGTAACCTACCGAACGTCCAAGCACTGGTGCCATTTCTGGTTTCTGACGTGTTATCACAATCGCGGGCCATGTCCGGGGAAGAAACATCACATGCTATCACAGCTGAATCACATTTTGGTAGTTGAGGCTGCATCTATGTACGACTGGGCGAGACTCTGTGGCGGTGAGGCTGACGCCTGCAGCGGCATCTGAGGGTGAAAATGATCGGCCGACACTCAGGTCTTGACATCCGGTTCAGTTCGGCCTATAAACTTCTGAAGCTGGAGCAAGTCGAGAGCAAGATCCACGGAACCCTTGAGGTATGTCTGTGTGTCCTCTCCGACCTTGCTCTTGTCCTCCTCCAGCTTTTCGACGTAGAGACGGATGGTGGCTCCGCTACTGCCTGTACCCGACAAGCGCACCACCACTCTCGTACCGTCGTCGAACTTGAAGTAGATACCCTGGTTCTTCGACACGGAGCCATCCAGGTCAGTATACGAGAAGTTGCCGGCTTCGGTGATCTTGCGACCAGAGAGATCGGAACCGATGGTGCCCTTGTCGGCGATCTTATCCTCGAGAGACTTGATCATATCTCCCGCACCTTCACTACTAACATTCTCATAATCATACCGCGTAAAGTACACCCGTCCATACTCTTGCCAGAACTCCTTTTGGATTTCTCCAATCGATGGGAACACGCCCGTCTCCGTACCTACTCCAGCAATGATGTTCAGCCAAGCCGTGATGGCCCACACACCGTCTTTCTCTCGGATGTGGTTCGAACCGGTACCGAAAGACTCTTCACCGCAGATGGACATCTTGTTGGCGTCGAACAGAGCGCAGAAGAATTTCCATCCGGTGGGGACGACATAGAGGGACAAGTTCTGCTTCTTGGCCACCAGGTCCAAGGCCGCCGAGGTGGGGAAGGACCGAGCCAGACCGTAAACGCCCTGTTTCTTAAAGTAGGGGATGTACTTCTTGGCATAGTGGGCAATGATGGCCAGAGAGTCACCGGGCGAGACGAAGGCATTCTTGCCATAGATCATGTTTCTGTCGCCGTCGCCATCCGAGGCTGCGCCAAAGTGTATGCCCTCCTTCTCTACTCTGGCAACCAAATCATGTGCGTAGGTCAAGTTGGGATCCGGGTGACCACCGTTGAAGTCTGGGCTAGGTGAGCAGTTCTGCGTGCTGTCCGGTCCCAAACCAAGCTCTTTCTGGAATACGGCGACACCGTATGGACCTGTAACACCAGACATTCCATCGAACAAGACCTTGAAGTTGGGTTGCGCTTTAAAGAATGATCGGATGAGGTCAAAGTCAAAGATATCTTTCAGCATGGCAATGTAGTCGGCTGTGGAGTCAATGATCTCAACCTCCAGATCTCCATACTTCTTGGTGCCAATAGTAGAGATATCGATGTCTGGGATGTCCGCGATCTTGTACGAGGTAAGGGTCTTGGACTTTTCGAAGATTTTGTTCGTCACGGATTCTGGTGCTGGAGCTCCGTTGGAGAGGTTATACTTCATGCCAAAGTCGGCCTTGGGCCCTGCAATCGATCAGAACTGGGTCATTGAGCTAGCCAATTTGGTTCAACTTACCACCTGGGTTGTGACTGGCAGTCAGGAGTATGCCTCCAGTGGCCTTGCGTACCCGGATGACATGGCTGGCCGCAGGGGTACTGAGAATGCCATTCTGCCCAATCACAAGCTTCTTGACACCATATGCTGCACCGATCTTTGCAATCAACTGCACGACTTCCGGGTTCCAAAATCTCCCGTCACCGCCGATGACGAGGAAAGCACCATCCGCACCTTCGGGTATAGACAAGAGGATGGAGGTAATGAAGGATTCACTGTAGTGTGGCTGCTGAAAGACGGTGACCTTCTTACGAAGACCCGAAGTACCAGGTCTGTCGAGCGCGTCAGATATTGGCTGTTACAAGCAGAGGGTGTGGACGTACTTCTGGTCAGTGAACGACTTGAACTGGACTTCTTTGACGCTCGCCATTGTGAGGGAGTGGAGAAAGTTAGCTGGAGCAAAAACGCAGCAGTCTCCGTGTGATTGAAATACAGGACAGACTGGAGCTCAGGCGGGAAGATTGAAGGAAGACACGATGGGAAGAGAAAGTGTGCGAGCAGCTGCAGCGTGAAGCGAGCGCAGGTATTTAACGCGGGGCACAGAAAGCATGAGGGCGAAAGAAGCGACAAAGCGCATATCATGATTGCATATGATGGAATCGCAGTCAACAACGTACGTCATGTTCCGGTCATTCCAACCGAGGCGCTGATTGGCCCAGGCTGCTCAGCTAAGCACCGTCAGACCACCGCCCATCAACGAACCCAGTTCCAAAAATCTACAGCACATGCGAGCAGCACGAGTAGACTGTCCAAAGGAGTTGCATTCATCACAGTGCAGCCGCAGCTCCCGGACACTGACACCCATCTCGACGATACCATGACAAAAGCAAGGTCCTGTCCTTGGGCACCGGAGACGACCGAACCACGTTAGCCGAGACAGGAGCCTTGCCAAATCCCCAGTCCTGGCGAGTCTCCAGACAAGACACAGACAGGACCCTCATCTCTCTTTTCCCGGAAGGGGAGAATACTCCTATACTCGTGAGTGCGGCTAGGAACCTGGCAGATTTGGAAAAGCGCATGCGATCAAATACATAGAACGTGGATCGGGACAAGACATTCAGGCACGGTGTCCCAACGCTTGCTCTCAAGCATCTACATTATACCACAACTGTCTCGCATGGAGGCCGAGTGACACAGGCTGGCCCATGACTGTAGGGATATCGCCTCACATCAAGCGTTCTCGCAGGTCCGCAAGGTCAGGCAGGGGTCGCTGTCGCCGCTCTCAGTCACAATCACATGCTCTCATTTTGCGTATTGGATTGTAGAAGAGTCGATAACAATGTTCTGGGCCGTATAGCTCCCGCCTCCTCTTGATAGACATCCCGTCAGAGAAGGAGAGAAGGAGACGGGTAGCCTCGTAACGCTGGGAGCATGGGGATACTTGTAGCACTCCTTCGCGTCAGAGTGTGATCCGAGGGCCGGGAAAGCACTGGACTGTCTGCCGTCTGATCTGGGGTTAGCAGCGGGATGCTCAATTGCCATGAGCCGGTGGTCAGGGCGGGTGACGGTCCATGGACTCCTCTCGATCTCCTTCTCCGCAAAGAGGGAGCAAGTCAAGTCGCCCGTGCACACGAAGAACAGCCCATCCGCAAAGGGTTTGGCGTCGTTGTGGGCGGGCTTGGCGCTGGCTTCACGTACTTGCAGTCTGCGGTCTGCCGCCTCGTGGTGCATGGCGAGGCCTTGTTGATTTCATTTCACCACATTTCACTACATTAATTTCCTCGATATCACCCCTCTAGCCGCTCTTTGTTCACCTTACCATCACAACGACGCGTCCTTCCATCAAATCTTGTTGTTAGCGAGTTGCCCCGATCCGTCCTGGCTGCGGATGCTTTGTCTCAATCGCGAAGTCCGTCTTGCCGACAGCTCACCGTTCCCCGACTCTGCCTATCCACCTGTCCAACATTTCCTTCACCAACGTCACCGGTTTTTCATGAACACTGCCGCCTCAATCTCTGTGCCCTGAGGCTGCCTGTGGCTCTTGTCGATCAGAAAGAGACGGATACAGAAACACTCAACGCCAGTCGCTGAGCGAGTGCCTCAACTCGGAGACTCTCTCCGCATCTGCCTCTGCGCAAGTGCAGAGAGCGGAGAATCCAACATTAACTAACTCTCGTTTTGGATTGATCCTGTCACCATGCCTTGTTTCAAAGGGCTCGCGGTGAGCATACACACGCCAAATGGACCGATTCCGGAGTATTCGGTGCAAAAGGCCTCCCGCCTGTCCAGGATCAGCGCATACATCCCCGTGCCACCGGCCAAGATTCCCGATGACTCGACGACGGGCAAACCAGAACAATCTACCTTTGCGATCTCGATAACGCTCCTCATGCCCGGCCAGGAAGTTCCCTATTCCACCCCCAAAGCCACCCCCGATCATCCGAACCCAAAACCAAAGTTCGTGGGTGGTTTGCCTGGCCACACTGGCGAGCGTGGAAGCTACTCTAGCCCGGTCGTGCCTTATGTTCCTCTCACCACCTCACCGAACGAGACCATTGCTGCCTACATCTACTTCGATGGCCGGGCAAAGGAGGAGGTCGCCACACTGCTTCGAAAGGGCGAGGAAACATGGGTTAACAGTCGGTGGGTCAGCGTGCCAGAGAAAGAGGGCGGGGGCCTTGCCGAGCGAGAATTCTTGTTCCGGGAGGTAGGTCTCGAACGGTGGCTCAATGGTTTGGATCTCGACGGGAAGGATGCGGCTGCGACCATTGAGCGACGAAGACAGAAGTTGGAAAAGAAGATGGAGAAGCGGAGACGCAAGAGGAAAGATGTCACCGGTAGCGACGATGAGGCCAATGGAAGATTCACAGGATCCCGACGAAAGAGTACACTCCGATACGGTGAAAATGGCGAACTGCAAGACGTGTCGGATGATGAAGGCTCCCTGAGCGACAGCGCATCATCCGACGACGACGACGACGATCCTATCCCAGAAGCAGCGGGCCAAATCAAAGTCGCACTCTTCCGAGTATTGGCATCGGGAGAGATCAAGCGGGGAGAATACTCTCCACAATTCGATGCACATGATGACTCTGAAGAGTCCGGAACTGAAGCAGCACCAAACGGAGAAGGCAAAAGTCGGGCCGATGTTGACCACACCACAAGTTTCGCGAAGCCGAAGACGTTAGATCCCAAAACAATTTCGACACAGACCGTCACCGGTATCGATCCTACCGACAAACCATACGCCGTCTTCACATTCCTGTATCGAGGTGAACGCCAACTACAGAAGATGGGTATCCTTCCAACTCCAAAATCAGACAAAACGCCGTCAAGTGCGAAGAGACGTAGTATTGCGGTTGAACTGCCCAAGTTGGGTCCTCTCAAGAAAGAGGGTGTTGCTGGATTCTCAGGATTCCGAGATGCTGAGACGCGACGGACCCGAAAAGGCAAACGAGGTAGTGACGACGAGATGGATAGCGATAGTGAGGACGACAGTGGCATCATTGGCAAGATGGAAGACATCAATGAAGCTGAAGTCAAGCGCGAGCCCGGGCTGCTCGCCCCGGAAGATGCCGAGCGCACAGGGCAGGTTGCCGAGGGAATCCGCAAGATGAAAGTAAGAGACCCTTCCCCTTTGAAATTTCGGCATGGGCTAAGGTATCATCAGCTCAAGAGGCAGCACTCTGCGGAGCCGTTGAACAGTAACGGCGTAGCGGAAGCCCGTAAGAGCTCCAAATCCGGCAGTCCCTCAACGGCGTCAACTCCTAAAATGGGGACCGACGAGCTGGGCACCTCCCCTGGCACATCCAACTTCGTCAACGGGGTAGCACAGAGCCTAAAGTCAGAAGATGAAAGTTTCATGGTGGGAAGTCCGATGAAGAGACAACGAGCCAGTGTCGCAGAATTCGACGGTGATATTAAGGGTCGACTCATGGGAGGGGTCCCAGCATCTGCAGCTACCATTGGCGAAGCGCTTGGTTCTGCTGGCGCGCCCCAGGCCGCGAGCGACGCCTCCAATCCGTCCGGTTTGCAATTCGGCGGTGCGTTGCAGAAGTCATCGGCCACGGACGACGACGAAGAGTTGTAACGAATACAGGGGGCATTTTGTCACCAACTTGATGCACACCGGCACACGTGGACCCCACACGCTGCGTGTTCTTCGGCTGTGCCTCTGGATTCGGAATCCTGATACTGGTAATCGAATGCATCACACGGAGTTTGGAAAGCCCGGCATGCGAGCTTATCTTTACGGAAGGAGATGGCGCTCATTAATCGTGGGCCAACGCTTGTCAGATATTCACTTACAGGATGGGTATGACTGATCCACATTTATTTTGTCGAAACGAAACCAGAATCTGAAAGCGAGGAGCCTCGCGTTGCACTCCTCAAACACAGTCATAGATACAGGATGGCATGGTGCTTTTGCGGAAAAAGCATGGCAGGAGTGCAGGAGAGCGAGCACTCAGAAGGCCAAAGTGAAGTGCCTTTGGATCAGGGAGTGCTGAATGTACGAGACGAGATCCCAGATGACGAAGAAGGGAGCGATTCCAGCATCAGACTTCACTGTAACTATTTTCCACGCACTCCACGCTCGTTGCGATCGATCACGCACGGAATTCAAAGCAATACGAGAAGTCAATTGAAAAGGCATAGTCGTGCTTAGACCTCGTAGAGACACGTGAACGGTGCCTGGTGTGATGAGTGCTTCGTAGCCTGTACCTGTTGCTCGTACTGAGTAGGTACCTCTCCCTATGTACATGTATGTACCTGGTCGGAGGAGAGAAGTACGTGTGCCAAGATGCTGCATGATTGGCCGGGAACCAGCATCCTCGCACTAAACTCTTCTTGGGCTTTTGCCTCAATCGAGCTGCCCATCGTCATGTCATCATCGCCACGGTTTTCCACTGGTACGAGTCCTTAGGGTTGCGTTTGCAGTTGCTCATACATCTCGATCTTCTCACGTCCACTGATCCATTGGCCAGACGGTGCACCCTTTAACCGTTCATCGACCGGTCCATTTCCTCTCATCTGCGGAGCAGCGAATTCATCTCCTCTGATCCAGCAATGCATGCACCTGTTCCTTCATCCTGAGGTGGTTGGACATATTTCATACTTTGTCGACACTTCTGCTTTTGCCGTGTGAAGAGAGGCGACTCCTGGAGACGCGGGCACTTACCTCAGTTTACTGTATAATCGTCGAGACAGAACCCCGAGTCGTGACGCATAGTAAACCGCCGGCACAATGGCTTTGACAAGATCCACAGATCCCCTGGTATGGATCGATTGCGAGGTAGGTGCCGGATGAATGAATATCATGCTTTGGCTTATCATCATCTCCCTCTATATCCTCTCTACATGACATTGTCACCCACGCCTCTGGGATTTCCAATGTTGATCTCAAACCCACCATCTACCGCGTGCTGGTTCCAATACTAACACCATGCTGGACAGATGACGGGCCTCAACCCTGCTACAGACACCATCATGAGCATCTCATGTATCATCACGAACTCCGATCTTGCGCCACTGGACCACCAAGGATTCGACGCCGTGATCCAGCACACCCCCTTGCAACTGTCCACAATGTCCGAATGGTGCGTCCGCACTCACGGTGCCTCGGGCTTGACACAAGCATGTCTCGAATCCACCACGACGGCACCCATAGCTGCACGGGCGCTGCTCCAGTACGTCCAGCGATACATCCCCGAACCGCGCCGGGCGCTGCTGGCGGGCAACAGCGTCCACGCCGACAAGATGTTTCTCATGGTCCCTCCCTGGAACGCGATCCTCGACCATCTCCACTACCGCCTCTTCGACGTCAGCGCGACCAAGGAAATGGTCCGGCGATGGGCGTCACCAGCGATTCTGGAAACCGCACCGGTCAAGCAACTCAAGCACACGGCGCGCGAGGACATCCTCGAAAGTCTGACGGAGGCTCGATACTACAAACAACTGGTCGAGGGGATGACGACGTTGTCATCGTCGTCATCCTACGGTGTCAACGATACAACAGCAGAGCCACCTGGCCCGTCGAAGTCAAATGGCGGCGGACCTGGGAAGCCTCCTTGGACGACTGGCGCAACCACGGCCCAAGACGAATGGGACATGCAGAAGCTCAAAAACAGCCACGTCGGCGGCACAACCACCGTGTACGATGGCTTCAGGACGGACGTACCTTGATGAACCCCCCCACCCCTGGAATGGAGCAGGGGGGACATTCACTCTCATACGAATACCCGTAACGCATTCACATATTGAACTCGCTCTGAAGATTCACTTGCTGCACGCGGTTACGCCTCTCACCTCATCACCATTCAGCATCGTCAAGACACGTGGATAACAAGTACGTCCAAGTTTTGATAGCGTACGTACATACGGTTGAACGGTGTCCACAGAAGAACCTTGATGCACCCGTCTGTCTTTCTACCTTTGCGGACAACGGTATGAAAGCATGAAACGCCCGCCACTCACACGCGACATCGGCAAACCCCAATCCACCCCCCAGGTCGCCCAGGTCAGCCGCCCGCCCCCGTCTTGCCTTTCGTCATTCATTCATTCATTCGATCAATCACCACGTCGGGTCAAAATATCGACAACTGATTCAAGAAATACCTTACACGCCGCAGCATCCACAAAATGCCGCTCCTTTTCAACCCCGTACCCATTCTGACAGTACGGGAAGGGAATAATACACTGCAGACTCCGACAAACATCGTGTTCAAATACAATTCTACGGTGCGAGAAATCACCGCTTCTTGACTTCCAACCTTGGCGGTCGGTTATCACACAACCTCCGCGGGTCGTCGGGTGGGAGGAGGAGGTCAAACCCAAAATATTATCCAAGAAAGAGGAGGTAGGTAGGTACGCGTCTATGTCTGCCTTGGGTACGGATATGTCTGCGTGTGTCTCGGATGGACGGTGGACGCATTTGTTTTTTAAAAAAAAAAAATATGGCCCGGCGACTAAGTAAGTAATACAGGCAAGTTGGAAGAATGCAATCATTAGTTGACCCTTGAGAGCAAACACACCACCGGTGCCAGCAAGCACCAAGGGTCTAGCAACACGACACATATATACAATATACATACCTCGAGAAAAATTTCAAAGATTTCACAGTGTCCACATAATGCATTACTCTTCACAGCCAACATAATACAAATTCCTACTTGGTATCACGATAGCGAGTCAACGAGGGACGGAAAATGTCTTTGGATTATGGTATGCTCAAAACATACCCGCAGTTCAAACACTGCTAATACGACTGCTATTGAGTAAAACGACTCCGTAGCCTCTCGAAACAAGTAGGTAACAGGACCGTCGTATCGCATATGCCCAGTGGCCACGTGTCCCGAGCCGATCCCCAAATGCACCAGTGATGATTAACGAGACAGAAAAAGGCGGGCCTGAACTGCTGATAAACCACGCGACCTTCATGAGAAGAAGGAATGGACTCGTCGTTGTACAAACAAACACACTCACTCGCAGCCCTTGTGGTCACAACACTTGAACCCCGGTGTCAACATACAACAATCAGGTGGTAACAAGAAGCCGCCCTCTTAATTCGCTGACATGCTTCGCCGGAGTGCCAATGGAAGAGCCTGCGCATGAGCGCGTCGCTCATCGCCATGCGGCGGAGCTTTCGTCCTTGGTGGAGTCAGCCACTAGAAACTCCTGCCGGGCGGTCCGAAACTGCTTGTGCCAATGCCACCGAACGGACTGGTCTGGATATGTTGACTGTGTCCCATGACAGGACTTCCAATTTCGCCGACACTGCCTCTGTTTGGCACGGGTGCATCTTCCACGAACCTGATGACCTGTCCTCTGGTTTTGTCCATGACAACTTCGAAAGAACCCCCACCATTCTGGGGATTGCCTTCTGTGTCGCAAATGCCCAACATTTCCTCCATGGAAACATGTGGTTCACCCGGTGCCTTGATCATTTCTAGCTGTCGGAGAACTGCTTGTGCAGGGTGATAGCCGTCGGCACTAGATCCCGGAGTTTGGGACAAGTGTCGGCATGCTTGAACAAGCATTAGTCGGACGGCAATCGGCCGTGGAAAATGTGATCTGGGCATGGGTTGAGGTCCACCGCCGAGCGCACCAAATGGAGGTTGAGACCAGCCGGGGTTTGGTCGTTGCGGCGCGGGAGCTCCCCAAGTAGCAGCCGGAGATATGCCAGAATGAAACCCACCCCAGCCGTGGTTGATAGGTGCGAAAGGCTCTTGTTTGAGTTCCGAAAAGCTACCGGCAAATGGCATTCTTGTCGAAGGAGGGCCGACAGGCGCGAGACCAATTCGCGACTCAGAGTTCTCCAGGAATGGTTCATCGGAGTCATCCAGTAGTGCTTTGCTACCTAGTTGTGTCGCGAGCTGCTCCATATCAGCGTCGGGCGACCCTCGTATCGGCTTCTGCTTGTCAGGTGTTGTGCTGGAGGGCCTGGCAATGGGTCCTGGGCGTGATATCGGCGTCGGTTGCGAGCTGGTGTCTGTCGAAGGTTGTCTGGAATGGCCAACGGGCTTGGGCACTGTCTGCTGATTCGCCATGGGCGGCGCTTGTCCAGGCACTTGTGGTACAAACGGCATCTGTTGACCTGGTTGAAATGGCCTAGGAATCCCCGGTGGATACTGCATGCCGTTCATGGCGAAACGCTGTTGATTGCCCATGGGGGGGCCCTGGTAATTCGGGACCGGAGGTATCATGCCTGGCATCATTCCTTGTCCCCCCATGGCTAGGCCATTCACGCCCGCGGCCGGGATTCCATTCATATTGAAGGGATACTGTCCACGTCCGGGATTGTTCAGCGGTGATCTTGGTGCAGAAGGTTGGGGATGATGCAGCACCGGTGGTTGACCTTGGGCCTTTGGGTGCTGTCCCGGTGCTGGCGTCTGTGGCATAGCCACTGTTGCAGGCGATATAGAACTGCCGGAAACATCTGTGCTTGCTTTTTGGGATTTCGGGGACGAACCATGAGAGTACTGGCTAGGCTGTGACGGTTGCCGATTTCGAGCAGGTGTAGGCACCTTGGGAGGAACCACAGGCGTAGCAACCTGGAAATGCGGCGAGTGAATGCTTGAACCACGTGAAGGGGGATGTAGACCAGGCGGTAGGACGACAGGCTGTTGCTTTGTCGAGGGTTGATGCAGTCTGGAATCCTTCTCCGCCTTCTGTGCTGCCTCTTTCTCTTTCTTTACTTGCTCGTCCTTTGCCTTTCTCTCGTGGTCTTCTTTCGCTTTACGTTCCCGCGCCTCCTTTTCTTTCAGTTCTCGTTCCTCACGCTCCTTCTTCTTCATCTCTTCGCGTTTCAGCCGTTCTCGTTCTTTGGCTTCACGTTGTTTGCGTTCGAGTTCGAGCTGTCGTTCGCGCTGTTCCTGCTGCTTTCGGTGTTTCTCGGCCTCTTTTCGCTGTCGCTCCTCCTCGGCAGCCTTCTTTTCGGCCTCCCGCTTCTTTCTCTGCTCCTCGCGTCGTTTACGCTGATCTTGCTGGCGCTTCTCTTCAAGTTCGCGAGCCGCTGCTTCTTGCGCCGCCTTCTCAGCCTCTTTCTTTGCCCTCTCCTCATCCTTGGCCATCTTCTGCAATTTCTTCTTCTCCTTTTTCTTGGCCGCTTCTCTAGCTTTCTTGGCTTCTCGTTGACTGTCGAGACGTGACTCTTCGTCCAGTTCTTCGAGGAGCTTCTTCTGACGTTCTGCCGCCACTTTCTCTCGGTACGCCGTCAGAACGCGCTGTTCGAACATTCGAGCGGCGAAAATCTGAAACATTCGCCGGCCTTCTTCCATCCGCTGTTCTTCAGTCATCGAGTCCTAAGCAAGTTGTCAGATCTGGGCTGGTATTTAGCTAAGCGTTCAACAGACCATTTCATCTCCTTCGAAATCGTCCTCCTCCTGACTATCATAGTCCTCATCATCTTCCTCGTCGTCATAGTCATCGTCATCATCTATGGGAGGATGATTGTGACCTTGATGATAATCTCGATGAGCATATGAAGAAGGGGGGTAGTGAATTTCTTCCTCACGTTGCATGCGCCTCTCTGCCAACTGCTCCATCATGTCTATAAAATGCTTCCCATCGTTTTTCAGCAGATCATCTGCGACGGTGAGTATGCCATCTGTCGAGATTGTCAGCCTTCCTAGCCAAGACTCCAGAAGTTGTTCACTCAGACCTTTGACAGTCAGACTGTTGCCAAATTGGAAGAAATCAGGCGGGCCAGGCGGAAGGCCATGGTCGTCATAATCGTCTTCGTCACTATACGCCTCATCGTCCTCATCGTCATACTCGTCTTCATCCTCCAGGTCTTCATCGTCCTCGTCGACCTCGTGTACACGACCTCGCGAAGGATACGAGCCTGCCATGGGATGTGTGACTCTTCTGAACGGTGGGCGAGGCGGAGCCATCATCTGCGGTACGCTGGACAGGTCCGTGTTGTGGTTGGCGAATTGCTCAAGCTCCTCATAGTATGCATCGTAGAGAACCTCTAACTCTTCCTCAATTGCTGTCCGCTTCCGCCCACAGACCGAACAACTGCAGGAATGTTTCTGTTGCTCCTTCATCTTGCGCAGTACCGCCTCTTTCTCCACTTTCACCAGAGACCGACGCTCTTCTTCCCCCAGTTCCAGCCAAAATTGTTTGATATTTTCTCTTTCGGCCTGCGTTGAGGTATTCCAGATATGGTCGCTACTGGATAATTTCTGAGATGCCCGCATAGCTGCATTCGATAAGGGTGGGATGTGTGACCTCGACAGCATGGTGGAAGACCGTGATAACGATTCCGTGTCGGGTAAATGCGACTTTCCACCCTTTGACTTTTTCCGCTTACTCGTATTAAGCCAGGAGCTATCGGGCATGCCGTCCGCACCTTCAGCAAAATGCGGATCCTCGTCACCACTGTAGAAGGCTTCTTCTGGACTCCCAATATCGGCATAGGACGGATCTGAAGGATCCGGATAATCTGGTTCTTCGGTGAAGTAGCCCTTTACTGGGCCTCGCCCTTGCTTGACCGGAGGTAACTGGCCATGTGGCTTCGGGTTTGGATGAGCATCACCGTTGGGTTGTTTTTGTTCCGCGGCTCGCTTTGCTGCCTCCTTCTCCCGTCGCTTTTGCTTTTTTCGGTTCACTGCCGGTGTTGGGTTAGGCTCTCCTGCTGACTCCGTGGTATCGCCTGTCTTGGAATCGTTGTCTCCCTTGGTGGTAGGAATCTGTCCATTGATCGAGGTGGCCGAATGTGCGACAGAATCGGACTTTTGCAGTGTGGAGGGAGGTGTAGGCGCATTCTCCAGGGAGTCTTTGGAGGGCTGGGGTTTCGCGGCATGGACATGAGTTGTTGCTTTCTTCTTTGGCGGCATCGTAAAGCCCAATTCGCTCTAATTCAGGATCTGGTCAGAGGCTTCACGCCGTTGCGAGATCTGATCAGCTTGACATCTAAGGTGTCGGAGTCTTTTTGCAGCCGGCGGGGTATGACAAATCCAAGGGCTCTGAAAGTTGCCTGTCGAGAGAAAGATGGATCAGGTACACGGGACGCCAGATCCTGAGCCAGCTAGACGAGTCAGTCGAAGTGTTGTGGTGATTTGGCCAAGTGGAAGGAAGGCGGTTGTCCTGGTGCGAAGGGAAGATCGATGTCAGTTACAGGGCAGGCCAGTTTCGTGGGGCGGCGATTTGCCAAAGAGCCACTGGCCATTGTACGTACGCAGGCACAAGGGCACAGGCGCACTGGGCATAAGACTGCGCTTCAAGTCCCTGCAACAGGCTTGAGTAATTGCGTCCCAGGGCGAGTATAGTCGCCAGGAGCAGACAGCCGCTACTGTCGAGCATATGCGCTTCCCAACGGTGCTCGACTGGCGTCCTCGTACAGTACAGCCCGTAGACTGCGCTGCTGGCATTAATTAAATGCCGCCAGTTCGCTGCACCTCCAGGATCACACCCATCGCCATCACCTTTTCTTCCCCAGCTGTCCGTCTCTTCTACAACTTTCGATTCCTGCCTCGTCTTGTTCGTCGCCGTCCTAAAAATACTACCTCAGCAGTCACCTGTCTCCTTTCTTGATCGCTGTCACTCGCCTGCATCTCTCCACTGCTTGAACGAATCCTAATTGTGGCTGCGCCTCTTTCCTGCCGACCTCCGTTGTTGTTCACCTCTCTCCCTTGGACCCCACGACACGACATTCTACGTTACGTTACAAGCTAGTCTCAGATACAAAAGAACTCTCGCATCGCGCCGCTGGCGGACGACCTCCACACGCCTGTATTTGAGACCACGAGCCCCCTGTGCAGAGTCACAGCTCGCAATCCGACGCTTCATGCGACTATCCGCTGCTCTTGATTTCATCCAGTTACACCAATAAATCAACCACCCTCAGCTTGGCCCAGCCGATCCACAAGCACGTTTCTTTTCTTTTTTTCCCTTCTCTTCTCTTCACCGCTTGTCATTTCTCTTCCTCTTCTTTTCAACCTTGTCCGGACGAGTTTCTTGTCGCAGTCGCCGATCGCTCAACTTGTCATTACGGGAGAGTCGCCGTCCGTCTCCTATAGTGGACGGGTCGACAAGAAAGACATAACCATGGCCCAAAATCAAGCTCAGTCAAATGTCATGAGAAGGTTAGTTTGGAATCTGATGCCGACTGCCGCTCGTTGAGCGTGGGCCGGGGTTATATCCTAGTTTGGGGGACGAGGCTGACACAATTTCAGGAAGCTCGTTATAATAGGGGACGGTGCTTGCGGTAAAACATCGCTATTATCAGTCTTCACGCTGGGCTATTTTCCAACTCATTACGTTCCCACCGTGTTTGAGAACTATGTAACCGACTGTCGAGTAGATGGAAGATCGGTGCAACTGGCACTATGGGATACGGCCGGACAAGAAGACTATGAGCGACTCAGGCCCCTCGCATACGCAAAATCACATGTTATTCTGATCGGATTCAGCGTCGACAGCCCAGACAGCCTAGAAAACGTGCGGCATAAATGGATCGAAGAAGCGAGAGAACGGTGCCCGGACGTGCCCATCATTCTGGTTGGCCTTAAAAAGGATCTTAGAGAGGACCCTTTGGCTATCGAGGAAATGCGGAAAAAGAGCTTGAAGTTCGTAACGCCGCGAGAAGGAGCGGAAATGGCTCAGCAATGCGGAGCTCGGAAATATCTCGAGTGTTCAAGTCTGACGGGGGAAGGCGTCGATGATGTCTTTGAAGCGGCCACCAGAGCGGCGCTCTTAACGTTCAATGGCAAGCAAGGTGGAGGCGGGTGCTGTGTCATTTTGTGAACCTGCTGGGCGAACGAGTATCTTCTAATGGTGGGCCATCTGATCCACTCTGTCGACGCGATGAATGATTCTACGAAAACCCCGGGCGCTTCTCCCCCAGTGCTGAGATGTGGACCATTTGGAGTTGGTACAGGTGTCCAAACCCACGAAAGGTTTTTCAAGGCATTCGCCTAGACTTATTACGCCTCTTTGGGTTGGTAATAACGGCATTGGATGGCATTTTCTCTGGAGTCGAGATGGGAAGCAAAAAAACACACCGTTCTTCGATGGGTATGCATCAAGTCGGAAACTTGAATGGCAGCACCCTCTGAACACACCACTACAGAAAGTGATGTGTATTGTTTGAATTATCTAATGGACTTTAGCGAGCTAGCACAATGATGGCATCTTTTTCTTTCTCTTTTCCTAACGGCCTCGTTCTCAAGACTTGGGCTACAGGACAGGCCTTGCCCATGGCACCTACCGAGTGTGTCTCTAGTGCCACAGTCGGATCGCACAGGTGGATGGACAACATCTGGGACAGTACGACAATGTCCCGAGGAACCCGGGTACATTACAGTACCATCGCTGTGGATAGCAGTGGATTGTCCTCTCCGTTTCTATAATTGGAAGGGGGTCTCAGGGTTTCCCGATTTACGTACAGCCTTTTGAGTCGACTTAACGTCGACATGGAAAAATGGGTTTATTCTTGTTGTTACAAACCTTGCAAGGGTAGGCGTGCCTTTTATATATCCCGATATAGGAATGGTAACGGTAATGGTAATGGCAATAGTATACATTTCAAGTTATAGCTCGGCCGTGTTCAGTTCTTTCCTCCCCTCCTTAGTACGGAGGAGGGTACCCGTACCAGAATCTGCCTGTGATCAGAAATCACTCTTCCCTCAGCAACCAGAATCCAGTGTCAGAGAGAGCACTCATTGTTTCGACTCTTCTTCTCTCTCGAGGTGCTTCTCCTTTTTGGTCCAGGCACGCAAAATTGGGGTCTCCAGAAGAGTAAGTAAGCATTGAGTGCAAGTATGCTCAGACGGCTCCAACTGTCGTGCGCATCCTGTCCCTCAGTCTCGACACACAAGGTGTTTCAGGCGTTGTACCGTGTCCATCCGAGCGACAGCCGTGCCTGCAACACACTCGGATTACAGTCGAGGCACGTACGAGCGAATCCCCCCACAGTCGTGATGTCTGACGAACAAAAGTCAAACAGCCATCTTTTGGAAGAATCCGATCTGATCCGATGTTGACACCATTGTCACGTCTTCTTCCTCTCGGCCACTGCGACCTTGTTCCACAGCATCTCCCCCGTTGGATTCTCTTCAGGCGAGGGGACCGGGTAATCTACCGCTTCCACTCACTATCCCAAACCTTCGCCTTTGCGCCGATCCCGGTGCCCCCGCTGCCTAGACCACCGGTGCTTCCCATGTAATCGACGAGGCTGCGCGCATATTCGATCGGAACACCACCACCTCGTTCCGGTATGCTCCACACGCCGGTCTTCATCTGCGCCTTGCGGAAAAGCCGACCGCCGTCACCGGCCCCGACGCGCAATTCCTCGTTCGCCTCGCGCATTGCGTTGTACTGTCGTTCCAGCTCTAGCTGGCGCGCCTGTTTGACTTTCGCACGGTACAGCTGCCAGGCCCGGTGAATCGTCCAGTGACGCAGATATCGATTGCGGGAGAAGCGCAGAGGTCGCGGAGTAAGCGTGGTGGGATGGTAGAGGAAAAACCGGATTAATGCTAGACAGAGATAGACATGTATCAGCTCCAGTTCCTTCAGCAACAGTACGAGGATATCATGTAGGGGAGGTCCTCCGTACTGATTCTTCGATCAATTCTCTCTTTTCCTCCTTTCTTCGCCGCACGAGCTACGCTCGTCGAGAACGGCGAGGTCCATGTGCGGGCGCTAGTTACCGAAGTGGTCGAGCTCGGAGTCGCTGAAGCTGAAGCTGAAGCTGGACCAGCAACGACATTGTGCAGACTTGGTCTAAGCGGGATCTGAAAACCCTTTGCCAGAGCGGCACGCATAGAAGAGCCGTGCATTGCGGCGAGGGGTTTAGACGTATTGTTGTCGATGTCGGATTCGAAAAAGGTGACCCTGGGGAAAGATTGAATTGAGATTGCGAGCAGCAAAAGATAGAGCAAGTTTCGCGAGGCAAGGCTGACAAAGGGCTTGGCAAGGCTTGGGATACAAGCCCGATTCCCGTCGGACTCGAGACCCGGTATGGACATCGAGCCATTTACTCGCATGCCATGTGTGCACCTTTGAACTGATTTATAACGACTAGAAGAGGAACGACCCTTTACTCGTAGGTACCAAGAGCTAGAGGACTATCAGGGGGGTATCTATCATAGAGTGAAGGTTGCCTTGCATCTTCTCCCTCCCGCATTCCCATCGACCTGCGATGTCTCCATATCCTGCTGCGTTTTCACACCGAGTATCTTTGTGTCTTTTTGTCATAATTCATGATGCGTCTTGACTTGTGACTTTGCGCCAGTCTCCATCTGCAGTATAAGATCAACGCATCCTTGAGAACAACAAATAAACATCCTCCGACAACGCTCTGACCCCATTTGGTGCGAAGCAGTCCAGGTCGTCCGTTCACGGTGTTTGCACTGCTCAGCCACGACCCCGGGAGAGCAAATTTGAGAAGCGAGCCCATCGTAGCCGCTACAGCTGGAAAGGCTAGCGCACCAAGAACGGTCTGGCCGATTGAAGACGTACCGTCGATCCATTGATCTCCACGCTCCCCAAGGAGATGGTGGACGTTATTTCCCGGCTGGTTTTCTGGCCCTATTTGCACTTCGAGTACGACGTCTCCCTCCTCGACGATATCTTGCATTCCATCTCCAATGTCATTTCCGTTAGCATCTTCACCGACACCAATTCCTCCTCTCTGTGGCTCCATCTCGCCATCACCCGGTGTTTCTTCCTCCGACTGTCCGTGTCTGGGACGAATTTCTTGCAGCCATTTTTTATTCAGGTTACAGAAAGTCCTGTGGTATAGCCACCCGTACATGGACCTCATGGCCGGTAAGCATGCAAAAACCGTGCTTGGTCGGGGTGGCCAAACTGTCATGTCAATTTCGAATCTATCGCTTAATTGAGTGGACAGGAGAAATAGGGTGCCTCCCGGAAGGACAAACTCAGCGTAGTTGGTTCTGGAGAAGATGAGGTTTATCGGTATCAGAGCATAGGCAAAGAGCCGGCTGGGTTTCTTAGATGCACGTTGGAAGATTTGAAATGCATCCTCGTAGCCGAAAACCAGATACACTGATTCGAAACCGTGAACCCAGAAGGCGGTCGTCACCATCCCTAAAGCTCCGAGACCCAGGCCCGGCAAAACAAGTCTCCCTAAAGTGCGATCTACTGATCGATAGCCATCCACAATAAAACTCCTCGGCCTTGAGATTTTAATTTCACTCTTGCAGCTTGGACACTGAATCTGAGATTTCTGTTTCTTGTTGTTCTTGGGATGTTCCAGTTCTGCAACCCAGTCCAAAAGACAGGACTCATGTGCAGTGAGGCTGCATTTACACGGCGACCGCCACACCGGTGGGTTGTTTGGGTCATCTTCGGAAGCATCACTCATACATATCCAGCATTTCTTCCCATACGTAGAGGAGCGAGAAGGCGGAGGAGGTCGTTTTTCTGTTTCAATATCGCGGGGAGGAGATGAGTGCTGTGGCTCGCCTACTAATACACCATCGGAGCCATCCTCCGAGTTCATGGTGAGGTCCTGGTCGGAGTAAAGAAAAGTGTGGAGTGATCGGACAGCGCAGTCCAAAGCAGGCAGTGGGTGTTTTCGTTAGGAATCGCAGCAAGAACGGGAAGCAGAGGCTAGCAAGAAGAGAATCGCATCGCCAACGATGAAGCCTTGCTTGCTGGAAAATCGTGTTGATACTAACAAAGAGAAGAGAATGTGATTGCGTGAGGTGGTCTCGTCGCAAACAATGCACGATGATAGAATCGCAAATGCTAACAGGCACGCCAGAGTAACGTAGAGTAGGCTCTTTAGGCTAATGACGCACCCCCATTGTGACCCCCGGCGATGACGTTTTTCCGCTCCGGAGGCAACACAAACCCACCGGCTACAACTTCGACGTTCAGTAGCATCGAGAAGAAAGGACATCGAACCTTCTTACTCCTCTGTCTATCGATGCGATCGCTGTCTGGTCGATTCCTTCTACATCGACGCGAACGTTGAGTCGGGGCCATCCACGATATTGGTCCTGAACCCGAGCGAACTGCAACAGCCACAAAGCGCACCATTACGAAGTACTGCCAGGTCTCCGTAACCACGCGAGGTCCCTGTACACGGCCAATCTATCGTTATCAATATGAGCAAGCTTGTACCAAAAGTCAACAGCTTGGACGATGTCTATGTCGGAGCATCCGCGGGGGACTCCGTGCCAGCCGAACTCCGCCATCGCTTCGAGAATCTAGTCACCTTTTTCCAGACCAAGTACGGTGGGAGACCAGACTTTGTCTCAAGAAGTCCGGGCCGCGTCAACATAATTGGCGAGCATATTGACTACTCGCTCTATGACTGTCTACCCACGGCTGTAACAGTCGATGTACTAATAGCGACCCGCGTGGTGAAGGACGACTCGACCGGCCAACCGACCATCAAGATCGCGAACATAAACTCAACAAAGTATCCTTCCAAAGTCTACACAATACCAAGCTCTGGTGCAGTTGAAGTTGATAAGGCACACCATGCCTGGAGCAACTACTTCCTGGCCGGTCTGAAGGGTAGCTTACCGTATTTACGCGAGAAACTAGGGGAATCGTTCAAACCCCAGGGCATGGAGATTGTGGTAGATGGAAACGTCCCAAGCGGCGGTGGTCTCTCGAGTAGCGCTGCCTTTGTTTGTGCCTCTGCGCTGGCCGTCATGGCCGCGAACAACTATGACATTTCCAAACAGGACTTGTTGGATCTCTGCATCGTATCCGAACGTGCTGTGGGAGTGTTTTCGGGTGGGATGGATCAAGCCGCATCTATCTTTTCCGAGAGGGGTTACCTGCTGTACTGCCATTTTTTCCCCAAGTTTTCAGCTGAACACGTCCCTGTGCCGGTGTCGGATCCTGAGGTTACCTTCCTGATCGCACAATCCTTCGTCACATCGGATAAGGCAGTCACAGCCCCAATACATTACAACTTGAGGGTGGTCGAGGTGACTCTTGCCACAGTCGTACTGGCGAAAATGCACGACATTGCCTTGAATCCGGATGATTCGTCACTGGGATTCTGTTTGCGCAACTTCCAAGAGGAGATTATGAAGAAAGAGGGTCGCAGGGACGAACCCATGGCAGATCAAATAAAGTCCGTGATTGATATCATCAACACGAAACTCGACAAGGACAGTTATACCTTGGATGACATTGCTCGGATCCTAGGCATATCTGTCAGCCAACTGGAGACGCAGTATCTGTCCAAATTTCCCATTCAAGCAGACTCGTTTAAGCTGAGACAACGAGCGCTACACGTTCTAGAGGAGGCTGAGCGTGTCCATCAGTTCAAAGATGTTCTATCAACGTCTACAAAACTTGACCAAGAGAAGCTTTTGTTCCTGGGCGATCTTATGAACCGTACACAGGTCTCTTGCAAGGACGTGTACGAATGCTCCTGTCCGGAGGTCGATGACATTTGCTCCATTGCTCGCAAGGCCGGAGCGTATGGCAGTCGCTTGACAGGTGCGGGTTGGGGTGGATGCACTGTGCATCTAGTGCCTCAGGAGAAAGTTGCGGCCGTCACCGAAGCATTAAAGCAGGAATATTATTTCAAGAAGTTTCCAGATATCAGCGAGGAGAAACTCCGCGATGCTCTTGTGATTTCGAAACCGAGCCAGGGGTCTTCGTTGATTGTTGGGTCTGCGCTTGACTTTTGAATGAAGTTGCTGATACTTACGAAACATTGAACGTTGGACATTCAACATTTATCTTTCCTCCTTCGTTGCCATTGGGTTGCTGTGCGCTGGGAAATAGGCTCTGCACCAGACCCGGCTGAGATCCCAGGGGTCGGGTTTGAGCTTCGTGTCAAGTCGTCACAAGTGGTCTCTCGCTCGGATTCGGTGGCTCTACGCTGAATGCGGTGAGAGCACACTTGAGACCAGCCGTCCGTGATCAACACTCATACCTGATGAATGGAACGGAACGTCCTCGTGTCCTTTGTCCCTTCTCACATGCTCATTGCATCGATCACCTTGTGGAGCTAAGTTGCATGTCAGCCCCAAGTCCCTCCGTACCTTCATCTACGTGCCCTCATCTCCTGTCCAACAACGGCATCCAGCCACACACGTGATATAATAGCCAATATCATGTTTGGAGCTCTGGAAGAGGCAGTTGTCACTGTTCACCGGCGAGACCCTAGTCAGAATGTCAGCCCCTGGCTGACTACCTAACCCCATAATGCTTGAGACTTGGGTACATAGAGAACGAATAACGAATAAACTATCGACCTACCTTTACCTTTAACGGCTGCTATTTACCAGACAGGCAGGGACTCCGTAGCCGATACCGCGCGAAGTCCTTGTAACAGATAGTGTGGCCGCGTCCAATGATTCCTCCTTTTAAGTTTTGCCTGATTCGTGATAGTCGGCCCCACTTTTCATCTACTTTCTCGCTCTTCGCCCAAGACAAGCGAGAAGAGATACTTGTGCCATAGTTACTGAAGGCCAAAAAATGTTACAGTGGTAACCTTTCGTGCCCTCTGAAAATTGTTAAAATCTGATGGCCTTCTTTACAGGTGAACAGTAAGCCTTTGCCCACGACTCCGTCAACCCCCTTGCGCAAGGTTTGCCCCCCCAGTGTCCCCGCTTCTTCTTGTAATAAGCTGACACCGACCATGACTGGACTCTCCGTACTCGTACGCTCAGACACTCTTGTACCATGGCAATATCTGGCGATCCCCCTCTCGCCTCGCTGGTGGACGGCGGTGGCTTATAGAACGGATACAATCCAATTGGCTGACCAACGCAAATAAGACGATGCCAGCACCACTGCCGCCACGATGGAGCTGAGTTCTTGCCTCCCTCCATCGTTCTGAGTGATAGTGCTCCAGTTTCCCATGCATACTTTTGGGTTGTTCCCAGGATCTGCAAGGGTTTAAGCGTTCATCCGGCCTCAGTATCCGATCCTACAATGTCTAGATGCTGACGGGTGGATCTCGTACTCTCCCTTCAACATCGACGAGCACCCGCTCCTCCGGTAAGGATTCGTGATTTACCAAAAAGATATATAAGCATTTCTGTTGCGTGTATTTATCGTCTCCCCTGACACCTACCTACGAAGCAGTAGGTAGCTAACTACCTAACACTCAAGAAAAAAAGAAAAAAACGAACAAAAGCGAACGGAAATAATGTCTCCCAGGATCTTTCGGTCCTCCTTCCCTCCCATTGACCCGATCAAAGTCGACCTCCTATCGCACTTGTTCTCCAACCCGAAGAACACGCCTCATGACAAGCAAATCTACATCGACGCCGTGACGGGAGCGGTACGCACGTACGGGGCCATCATCCAGCGCACACGCTCTCTCGCGCACGGCCTGCGGTCTCTCGGCGTCAAACCACTCGACGTCGTGGCTTTCTTCAGCCCGAACAGCATCGACTATGCCATCACCTGCTACGCGATCCTCGGCTGCGGCGCCATCATCTCGCCCGTCAGCGCAGCATACACGGCGCAGGAACTCTCATCGCAACTGCAAACATGCGGCGCAAAGCACTTGATCGCGCACTCATCTCTCCTCGACATAGCAAAGAGCGCCGTCGCATTCGACCCGTCGATCCTGATCATCCAAGCCGACGGAGAGCGTGACGCCAGCGGGTCTCCCACGGCCGAGACTCTCGCGAGCACATGCCCAGCGAGCGCGCTGGTGTCCATCTCCCCGTCTGAAGCGTCGGAGCGTCTCTCGTTCATGTGTTTCTCATCCGGGACCACAGGAGCAGCCAAGGGCGTCATGACAACGCACCTCAATATCGTGGCCAACACGCAACAGTGGCAGCTTCACGCGCCTGAGGAGTCGACGGGCAACATCACCAATGTCTCCTTCTTGCCGTTGTCGCACATCTACGGGGTCTTCATCGTCCTCATCATAAACATGCTGGTGGGCAACACGACGGTGCTCCTCCCGCGGTTCGAGCCGGAATTGTTTTGGTCGTGTCTGGCGAAACACCGCCCGGAGACCGTCCACGTCGTGCCGCCCATTATGCTGCTGTTGGCCAAGTACCCCAACCTCGAGCGTTGGGACCTCAGCAGCCTGAGACGAATCACGTCGGCCGCGGCTCCACTCAGCGTCGAGCTGCGCGAGGCCGTCGAACGCCGCTTCAAGACGCTGTACGGCACGACTCTCGTCTGCCGCCAGGCGTGGGGGATGACCGAGACCAGTCCGCTGGGAGCCCTGGTGCCGGTCGACAGGATCGACAAGCGGCACACGGTCGGCAACGTGGTGTCGGGCATGGAGTTCAGGGTCGTCGACCCGGAGACGATGCGCGACGTCGACGACGACCCCGTGCGCGGCGACGGAAGCACGAAACCGGGCGAACTGTGGTGCCGCGGCCCCAACGTGACGAAGGGGTACTACCGCAACGACGAGGCCACGAGGAACGGTTTCTTCCGGGATCCAGCTGGTGGCGAAGCGCCGTGGTTCCGCACGGGCGACATCGGGTTTATCGACGGCGACGGCTTCGTCACCATCGTCGACCGCATCAAGGAAATGATCAAGTACAAGGGCCTCCAGGTGATTCCGAGCGAGCTAGAAGGAAAGTTACTCGAGCACCCTGACGTCGAGGACGCCTGCGTGGTTGGCATCTATGTCGACGCGGAAGCGACAGAGGTGCCGGTCGGGTTTGTCGTGGTGAGCGCCCAGGCCAAGGCTACCAGCAAAAAGGGGGGCGACAAAGTCGTCACTGACGATGTTCATACCTGGTTGAACGCCAGAGTTGCAAACCATAAGAAGCTGAGGGGTGGGTTGTACATTGTAGATGCGATACCCAAGTCTCCTAGTGGGAAGATCCTGAGGAGACAGCTGAAGGCTGATTTGGAGGTGAAGACGAGAAAGTCTAGGGGTGGGTCGAAGCTGTGACTAGATAGAAGAAAGCCCTCGCGCCACACACACACACACACACACACACACACACACACACACATGTACTCGTACTTATATGACGTACTTTGATGTGCGTGTGGACGACGACGCGCGTGGTGGCTGCAACTAAGATCTTGTGCTCTCTGCTGCTATGTCTTGCTGCTGTGTCCTGCTGGCAAGCATTTTAACTGCCTCCTCCTGCTCTTCCAGCTAGCTTGTTTATCGACGCATCATTCTCGAGTGAAATTTCCAGTGAACGCCGGCACCGGCCCCGTGGTATCTCTTTCTGGTGATCCTGTTCCCCCTTCCCGTGAAAACGTATCATGTATCGTAAACCCTCAACGCCCCACTCGCTCCTTTGTTTCTTGCTTTTCCCCAAAAATCGTAACGCGTAATGACTCAGTTTTGAGGATCTGGATTGATTATAGACAACCCGGTGGTATATATAATATACTCGCAATAGTATACCACCAACCGCGGCGCGGGATCGTCAGATTTCACACCTTCTGCAGGCCTTCTTCGTTATCCCTTTCCAATTCCCTGGCAAGGACCTTGTTCCGCTTCTTCTTTGCGTCGACGGCTTTTCTCCACCCCTCTCCCCAGACCGTGACGGTCCACAGGGCCATGGCGCTGAGGACCATGAACGCGGCCGAGACGGTGCTGAACCAGCCGACGCCTATCTTCTCGATGGCGGGGAGACAGACTGCGCTGCCGGCGGCGGCAAAGACATAGCGGATCATGTAATTCCCTGCGACGACCTCGGCGCTCCGGCCCTTGGCCTGCATGACGTCGAGACAGTAGGTGTTGAGGCTGGGAAAGCAGAACAGCTGCGCGACGCCCTGCACAAACATGGCGGCCACGGGCAGCGGCACGCCGCCAACGGCCCGGTCGACGCTCCAGCCGTAGACGAGCATCGCGGCCGGGATGACGCCGCCGAGGAAGACGTAGCAGCTCCGCAGCCTGTCTTCGGGCACGCGCCGGCCGCCGCGCTTGCGGATCCACCGCTTGACGATGTGGTCGGCCCAGCGGCCGCCGACGAAGGTGCCCATGAGGTAGCCGCAGCCCGGGGCGATGTAGAACAGCCCGGACTGGATCGGGCTGGTGAGATGGAAGCGCGGGTTGAGCACGTAACGAATCGGAGTAAGGAGGGAATACATATTCCAAACGAGACTGCTGCTCGCGACCCCGGCCACCAGAAGGTTCGGGTAACTGACCAGCAGCCAGGCGACGCGGAGCGGGCTGACCCAGTGGGCGATCTTCCTGGCGCGCCGGGACCGGGAGGGCAGCTCCCGCAGCTCGTCGATCTTCTTCTCGGGGATCGTCTCGGGGAGGACGAACACGACGAGCACGGCGGCCAGGCCGCCCAGGGCGGCCTGCAGCCAGAAAATGTCCCGCCACGAGCGGTAGGTGACGATGATGCCCCCGATGAACGGGCCAAAGGCCGGGCCGATGAGCGTGCCGCTGAGGAACCAGCCCAGCGCGGTGGCGCGCGCCGTCGGCGTGTAGATGTCGCCGAGGCAGCTGGTGCCGACGATCAGGAAGCTCGTGCCCTGGTAGGCGGTCAGCATGCGGAACACGAAGTAGCTCGCCAGGTTGGGCGACAGCGCGGTGCCGATGCTGAAGGCGAAAAACAGCCACGCCGTCGCGATGCAGATCCACCGCCGCCCGTAGATGGTCGACAGCGGGCCCCAGAGGCACGGGCTCAGCCCCATGAACACCAGGTACAGCGCGTTGGACACGTTGATGACGCTCCCGCTCGTGTGGAACGTCCCCGCCACCTCCGGGATGGCCGAGAGGATCGTCGTGCTGGAGATGGGCGCCAGGAACCCGCACAAGGACAGCACCACCGTGATGAGCACCTTGCGCCGCGGCGAGAACCGTTCGTACTGTGCCGCGTTGACCTCGACGTACGACGAGCTGTGCGACGCGATGGCGTGGATGTCGTGGTGAGAGGCGTGGGAGTGGATCCGTGCCAGTTCTGCCGACGGCCTGTGTCTGTCCCCTTCCTCGTCTGCGTCTGGAGAGATCGGGGTCGAGTTGTCTCGAGGGTGGCCATGGTCACGGCCACGGCCACGGCCATGGTTCACGGGGATCGTGGTGGTTCCGGCAGATGCCTTCTCCAGATCAACTTCTGTAGAGGCCGTGTGTGGCCGTGGATGACTGCTGGAGCGGACGCTTCGGCTTGGGTGTGAATGGATGTCGACATTCTCGATGTCGTGGTGTAATTCGCCGGTCATGGTCGTGTCGTTGAACGAACTCGGTGCAGACTGTACAGCATGTCCGGAATCAGGATCACTACTGGCAGGGGGCCCCACGTCGGGTCGAGGACTGAACACCGAAATGCCTCGCCGGGGTTGGACAAGTCAAAAGGACCGTGTTTGGATTTTGAAGACGTACTTGCCCCGGGGGTTTAATATCACGGCCAGCAAGGGGCGAAAAGAGCGGGATGTGAACGGTATCTCTCTCGAATGTCGACGTATCATGAGGTAAACAGCGCTAGTTAAGTAGTAAACCAGACCGAAAAAAAAATGACTCAACAAAAGGTCCTCAAGAGCGGACAGAAGATGCTCACCGTGAAATCCATGTCTGATATGGACGCACTCCTGACTGGCTCCGGCTGTCTGGACTGTCCCGTACCAAGGACCTTGTAACCAAGCGACTTGATGTTAGTCTTTTCCCTCTGCGTCTCCCATCGGATCGTCCGATCTCGGCAACTTTCCGCATTCGGGCGTTGGGCTGCGGTGATTGGACGAGACTAGTGCCGAGTGCCGTGCGAGCCAATCATGTCCCCGGTAAATGCCAGCGGGCAAAGTCTTCCAACGCCCTGTGTCGAGGGGCTTTTTCTCAGCCGACGGAACTGCATCTTTGTTGCCGACGGGCCGGAGGATCGGGACATACATACATACACGCTTACATACAATAGGATGAGGTACCTCTTACCTACCTTCTTTAAACTGTGACGAGGTCTATTGTGAGGGACCGAGTTAGTCATAGACATCCAGCTGTCGGCGAGTCGCTCAACACGTCAAGGTACCAAGATAGATGGATGCATCATTCAACGCATCATCTTCTCTTGTGAGGCATATATATCTCATGGCAGGCACCACAGAAGGGCAGAGAGTTACCTACACACTTTGCAAGATCCCTATTCATGGCGAGATTGACAAAATCGAATGCTGACAAAAAAGTACACATCTGCTTCCGAAATCGACAAGATGGTCAATGTTGTGGTTTTGAAGCTGATCAGAACGACGCTATATACCCAAGAGACCGTCGTGGATTCATACCAGCTATGTCCCATGCCATAACTTTTGGAAATCACCCTTCCGCCAAACTTTTGCGCAATTTCGCTCCTCCAACATGACCGTCGGATACTAAAAACAACAGATCTTGATACTGCGCTTGACTTGTGCGTGGCTCAAGCCTCCGCGATATCATGAATACGTACGTCGCCTATACAAGTCGTCCTCCTAAATTGGGGTAGTTCAACGGAAAATTATAACTGGTTATGGTGTTCAGTGGCCGGATCTCTTCTTCATGAGGGCTCTTCGTTCCTTTTCTTTGGCTACGAAAATCGTCAGTATGGTCTTTAAAACAAATCACAGTACCGGAAACGTACCTTCATCGTATACCAAGAATTCATGAAGAGCCTTGCCAGCAGGCACCATGGGCAGAACAGGTACCTTCTTGTCGGTAACGACTTCGAGAAGAGCTGGTCCATCGCCACTTCCGCTAATCAACCATTCAAGGCTTGCTTCAACGTCGGCAGGCTTGACACATCGTCGGGCTTGGACGCCCATGGCCTCGGCTAGTTTGACAAAGTCCGGGTTCTTCTGGTGAGTGTGGGCGAATCGATCCTCGTAGAACAAACTTTGCCACTGCGTCACCATACCCTGTTCCTCGTTGTTCAAGACAATCACCTTGACACCGATGTTGAACTGGTTGGCCGTACTCAGTTCGGTCAAAGTCATGTTGAACGAGGCGTCTCCGTCAATATCTACAACAAGAGCATCTGGTCGGGCAACCTTAGCCCCAATAGCAGCAGGAAGACCGAAGCCCATGGTGCCCAAGCCACCAGAGGTGACCATGGTCCGAGGATATCGCCATCGGAAGTGTTGAGCGGCCCACATTTGATGTTGGCCGACACCAGTTGCGATGATAGTTTCTTGCTTCCGGTTGGCTGTCATGTCAGACAACTTTTCAATCAGCTCTTGTGGCTTGATCAAACCGTCGGGTGTGCCCCTCTCGTATGAGCTCAGTGGAAATCGCTTCTTCCAGTCATTTATTTGAGCGAACCATTCGGGTCGGTCATTTACGGCCTTGACCTTGGGGATGAGCTCGGCTAGGTTAGTGGCGACGTCTCCCTCCACGGCTTCGGTGGCCTGTACGACCTTGTTGATGTTCTTGGGCATAATTTCGAAGTGAACGATACCACCACGCTTCGCGGCCGCCGCAGCCTTGGCCTGGGGTGCGAATTTGGCAATGTTGAGAGTCACACGGTCGTCAAATCGAGCGCCCAATGCAATGATCAAATCCGCTTCCTGCATCGCCATGTTGGCATACGCAGCGCCATGCATCCCGAGCATGTGTAAAGACTTGGGGTCAAGCTCGTCGTAACCGCCCAGGCCTTGCAGAGTCGTTGTGACGGGAATGGCAGCCTTGTTTGATAGCTCTTTCAGGAGAGCGGGGCCTTCAGGGCTCCCTAAAATACCCTGTCCGGCGTAGATGACGGGTTTTTCGGCGATGTTTACCAAGTCAGCCACGCGTGAAAGAGTACCCTCCAACTGCTTTCTCGACATCTCTCGGGCCGCTAGAGTGGCTGCCGATGGATGAGCGGGCAAGGTAGATTGCATGGGGATCGGTCGTCTCAGGATGCCAGCCGTCACATCTTTGGGTAAGTCGACAAGCACAGGACCAGGTCGTCCTGAAGTGGCAATTTCAAATGCCTCCTTGATGCGTTTTGGCAACTCTGCCACGTTCTTGACCATTACGTTCCACTTGGTGCAAGCTCTCGAGATTCCAACGACGTCAGCTTCTTGAAAGGCATCTGTACCAATGGCGGTAGTAGGCACTTGGCCACAAAACACGACCATGGGGGTGCCATCAGAAAGCGCATCTTGCATCGGAGTAATGACATTTGTCGCACCCGGACCAGAAGTCACCAGGACAACACCGGGTTTGCCAGATGCTCTTGCATAGCCTTCGGCCATGTGTCCTGCACCTTGTTCATGTTTCGGGAGGATGAACTCGAAGTGTTTTGAATTGTAGATGGCATCGAAGACTGGAAGAATGGCACCGCCAGGGTAACCAAAAATGTGCTTGACGCCTAAACGAAGCATCATCTCGTGGAAGATTTCTCCTCCACTGAGGCCGACGAATGAATCATCGAGCTCGGGCTGCGGTCGGTTGACCAAGGGTGAGGGATCGGTGCGTCGAAAGTCATTGTTGAAGGCTGGACTGGGGAGAGGTCGTGTTGATCTAGGTGGCTGTTAGCTTGAAACTGTTATTTCTTTAACGATCGCCACCAGAAACACTCGTACTGTGCTTGAGCTGCAGCAGTGGTGGCAGGTCTTCGCTTCGGGTCCGAGGTGGTTTTTTGTGATTTTCGGTAGGGTGAAAGAGCTGCGGTGGGAGCGGTGGTGGAAAATTGCTGCGAGCACGAGGGTCTTCGTTTGGAGATGGAGCGAATGGCGCTGGAGCCAGGCCTCATGGGCACGATTCTGGTCGCCATGGTGGTTGGCAAGAGGATAAGGATTGGGCGTGTCCAGTGGGAGAAGAAACAATTAAGAAAGTGAGGACGAAGAATTATGAGTCAAGGCTTCATTGGAGGCGGGCGTTCGGTAGTCGGCGGTGGTGGATGGTGGATGGTGGATGGTGGTGTGCACACAAGATTATGGGCGGCGGGAGAGGGCGAGACTCTCAGTCTCTCAGTGACGGAAATTTTTGCGGAGAAGCCTATAAGACGCCCCTGATAGGCCGGCCACCTGCGACCACGGGTCACTAGGCCAGCGGGAGCCACTCGTCCGGCCGAAATCGCTCTTGGCGGCGCAGATGTGCCCTTGCTGCACCGTATCCTCACCAGACGTGATGGTGCGAAGAGGAGAGCACGCGACACTCTGTGTACTCGTAGATGGAACTGTATACTGAGTGGCTCCAGCAGAGGCCGCGGTGGATCGTTGTGTGCTATGTGTGCTATAATGCCACGGTCGCAGTCGGAAACTTGGGCCATTCTCTTACAATCAGTTCGTTGGTGCTTTTGGACTACTGCTTCCGACTAAAGACTTAGTCTGATACCTAGCAGGAGCACGCCTATCGTACACCCAGGCGTGTAACTCACAGTTCGTACTATGGTCTCTTCGTATCTCGAGCCTATGCCCTTCTCCCAAAGACTCGTATCCTCTTCACGCCACCGTCGGGAATAATGGTCATCTTGACGTGCGTCCAGACGTGACCTTCTGGGGCATCCGTGGCCGACAGAGCTCCGCTTTCGAAAACGTGCTCGAGGTCTGCTTTACAAGGCTGCTCGCCCTGGATCACGGGGACCCATCTGGCATCGTCGGCCTTGGGGTCGGCCTCAGTTCCCAGAGCAGCTTTAGCAGCTTCCAGCGCCAACGCTTCCACCTTGACCGCTCTAGGGAAGTTGCCACGGAAGTCTTTCGTGTCGACGACCACCTTCTCGATCTTCTTGCCCTTCAACCCCAGCCGGACAATGACCCAGTCAACGTGGCCCTTGGTCCTACTCCTCTTGGTCTCCCATCCGTCACCCATGTCCTTGCCTCGACCAGGTAGGAGGAGGTACGACTTTCCACCGAAATGTTGATCCGAGCACTCGATCGCGACGCCGCCGTTGAGCGCACTCGCCAGATCCTCCACCGGTCTCTCACCACCGGCCGCTGCACTGACAGGTAGCGGTGGCGGCACGACTTTGCCATACACTCTCAGTCTCGCAATGCCACCGTCCGGATACTGCTTCAACCGCAGATGGGTGAATTGCTCGCCTGTGACGCCCGGTCCAGAGACGGTCCAGGCTTGACGTTGGCTAGGGCCGCACTTGGAAGGAGGTAGCACTTCCTTCCAGCCCTGGAAGCCTTCCTTTTCAACACCGCTGGCCGCTTCTTGTTCGGGCGTGAGGAAACAGCCGTCGAGACCCGCATATGGCGCTTCGTTGCCGTTGAAGTGAGCAGTGTCAACCTCCACGGCGTCTATCACGCCGACACAGCCCAGCTTTATCACCACCCAGTCGTACTCTTTTGAATTGTGTCTTCGCGTCTCCCAGCCATCATACCATGCTCCGGTGTGCACAAAGTAGCCTGCTTTGCGGATCGGCGGGCCTGCGGTCAGGAGGTTCTCGGCGGAAGCGAAGTATTCGTCGGAGCACGAGAGGACTTTGGCACCGAGGACAGAGGTGCTGAGGTTCGTCAAAGAGGACAAGGTTGTGTCGATCAAGGACGCAGGAATGGGCACGGTGCTAATGTCTGGGTTTGCCGCGGCTGGCTGGCCTTCCTTGTTCACTGAACCGCCGGAAAGAAGCTGTGGTACGATGTTGACTTCCATGATGAGTGTCTGGCCCTTTTGAGGCCGAGCGTGGACAGTTAGGTACAAGTAAAGGAATCTAGAGCCGCAAGGGAATGGCTACTCCGGCGCAAAAGAAAGTGTGCGTGTTAGAAGTACTCGAAGACTGAACAGGTCTGCTCGGTTAGAAAGACGAAAGGTGTGAAGGGGGTGAGAGAGAGGTAACGGTCGAGAAGTAGTAGATATTGCCCACTTGTCAAAATACTCTCCCTGTGGCCTCTGGCTGAGAAACGTCCTGTTCGCAGAGTGTCCCGAAGGCGGAGGACGCCGATAGCACGACATGCCCCAGAGGTTAATGTTTTTATCGACTACAGGGACGATAGGTACGACGAGGGTGCCCCTCGCCCGCCGTCTTGACCCCCCGCTAACTCCAACTTAGTTAGTTACGCACGTGTTCGGCTTAGGGCTGCCAGGGCCACTAAGTTAGGGAGGCTTCCTCTAGTGGGTGTCCCTGAGCCTTACAATTACTCTTCGCTGTCACTCATCCTCATCGTCGTACCCAGAGCAAATCTCGAAGGATATCTCTCTATCTTGGACGTCGCTGATGAATAACTCATCCTCAATGGAAGGAGACCGGGAGATAGAAACCGATCCGAGTTCTTGTTCGCGCACCTGGCGGACAGGCGTATCTAAAGAGCTCGGTCCTACCCCTGAGCAACAGAGGTTTTCTTGATGTCGCGCGACTTCAGCCCATGCCCTGCGTCAAATCTTCTCATTTCTGACAAGGTACAAATGTACATTACATCTTTGTGTTTCGGGCTTCAAGGCCCAATTCTCTCTTTGCCCGGTCCCGAAGCTCTCTTCTCAGCAACTTGCCAATCGCATTCTTTGGTATCTCCTTCACAAACACCACTCCTCCGCGGAGCTGCTTGTACGGCGCCAGACGGGCCTTGACGTATTCCTTGACCTCGTCCTCGCTTATTTGCTTAGGGTCTGCGACCACGTACGCTCGCGGGAGATCGGACCCGGGGTCGTCTGGCATGTTGACTCCAACGACAGCCGCCTCTTGGATCTTGGGGTGGGTGATCAAGAGGTTCTCAATCTCGGCCGGGGCGACTTGGAGTCCTTTGTACTTTAGTAGTTCCTAGATGAGCACAAAAACACACGTGGAAGGAATTAGTAAAGTGTTTCAAGAACCAAACCATCAAGATGTCAACCTCCGGAACAGATAATCTAATAACATGACCCATCATAAAACGTGATTTGTGAAACGTGAAAGGCCGATTTGGAGAGGCTGAGGCGAGGCATTTATCGAGATGTGGACGTAGATGAATGTGAGATCGCGAGTATATAGGAATCAATATATACACATACCTTTTTCCTGTCGACAATGTAAAACTTGCCGTCCCGCAGTACGGCAATGTCGCCTGTGCAAAACCACCCGTCGTGGAACGCGGTCTTGGTGGCTTCGGGGTTGTTGAAGTAGCCTTGTGTTACGAGCGGACTGCGCACGAGTAATTCGCCCTCTGTTCCTGGTTCGACGTCGTTGAAGTCCTCGTCAACCATTCTAAACTCGTCATGTCAGCTAGGCATGCGCACACTTCTTTCTACCCTCCTCTCTTCCCCCCTCTCTTTCGATTCACGCGTGTGTGTCTCTCTCATTTGAAGAGGAAGGTCATCTTCAAAACGAAACTTACCTCAGTTCCACATTCTGTAAAATCGGACTGATACTCCCAGTCACGTCGCTCTGCCCTCTAGGCATCATGGTGACGGCTCCGGTGGTCTCACTTAGTCCCCAGGTCTGGCCTATGAAGGTCTCGCCTGTACCTAGCTTCGAATTCGCATGACTTTGCAGCTCCCCGTCCATGGGTGCGGCGCCGGTAGAAGCAGCGTCGACGCTCTTGAAATGGTCCTGCACGTCTGGAGACTTGGATATCCGTAGATAGATAGACGGGACCGTGTAGAAGGCGGTGATTTCGAACTGTTTTACGTACTGTAGGAGTTGCGACCATTCGTACTTGCGCATCCAAAAGACTGAGCCGCCAGAGTAGAAGGGGAGAACGATGTATCCAAACAAGCCTGCGATGTGGCTGATCGGGAGGTGCGCCAGGGTGCGGTACGGTTTGAGTTCCTTGCCTGCTTCGACTTGCTTCACTGCCCATGCACGCCCGGGTAATGAGACAAGGTAGGTTTCTTGAACAAGGTTTTCATGGGATAACATCACGCCTGGAACAGTCACAAACAAACAAATAAGCCAACCCCTCAGTCAACAGCTGCGAGTGATGTGTTTGTTTACCTTTGGGCAGACCAGTCGTCCCAGATGACCACAAAATGGTGATCAGACTCTTCTTCAACGTCTCGGCGTCGGTGATCTTCTCCCAGTCGAGAGTCTGAGCAGAGATGGCATTGAATTTGCCGTCTAAGCTCTGTAGTTTCCACGACGGACTAGACTCGAGGACCAGGATGCGGTCAACAGGGACGTCGCTTTCCTTGGCAGCTTTAGTAGCGAGGTCTTTGAATTCGGCACCGCAGATGATGGTTCGACTTTTGCCAATCTTAATTTGTCGAGCAAGGTCTGGCACGGTCGACGACGGACTCGCAGCAGAGTACACGCCACCTGCTGCGATGACGCCAAAGAAGGCGGCGGGAACTAGTACCTGGCCATAGCTGATCACTGTCACGACGTCCTTGTTCGGTCCCCTAGCTCCGATTCCGTACTGGTACCGTAGTCCGTGAGCGATTTTCCGTACAAGGCTGCGAAGCTCGGCTTTGGTGATCTGGTTGGAAGGATTGGCTGCTTCGAGGTGAAGAACAGTATCATCTTGTGCGACGCTGTGCTCAGAGTCTAGATATCATTCTGTGAGCTGCGCAGTCCTAGGAGGGAACCATCACCCACCAAAGAGAAATGTCAACAGGTCCAATCTCGGAACGTCGACAAAAGGCTGTGGACTGGTGTTCGTATATATTCTAGGCATTGTGTCTACCGTGTTCTGTAAGTCTGGGTCTCCAATTTCCGTGTCGTGGTCCGCTAGAGGGAGGCAGGGATCCAGGATGCCCGTCAACAAGAACGGCGACCATTCTGACTTGAAGTGCCATGTCGCCCTCCCCGCGAGTCATACACCACTAGTCAATACTCCATGCTTTGCACCGCTTCTTCGACAGCCGAATTGTGTGGGGTTAACTTGAGATACATCTTGGACCGAGGTCTTTCACGGACCAATCAAGTCGGACGAGGGCGCTCGCCCACGTTGTACTGCACCCAATTAGTCTCGTACTCTGGAGTGTGCACGGTGTCCCATCCTGTTCAACAGCCGTATGGTTAGGGGTGGCGTTTGTGTTCGAGAGTTCAGCGATTCCGGAATCCGACTGCTTTCTCAGCCTCGCGCTTTCAGCCTCGTCTCTGTGACGTCAAGTTTACCTGCCCTCTTCGCTTACAACTTCCGCGTCCTTCTATCCAAGTTCAATGTCTGAAAAATGTCGGTCTCGGCGTTCAAAGAACTAGTACGGCTTATTCAAAATCTCATACGCTATCTGAGAACAATGGGAGGTGGCCGAGACAAACGTATATCACGCTCCATCGTCTTCGCCATCCTCAGCGACGACGAAGCTGGGTCGCGATCCCGCATCCAGATATGGCGGCCGGTAGTCAAGTTCTTCAGACTTTACGGCCTCACTCTAGCGAGACTGCGCCCAGAATTATTTCGAAAACTGCGTACCGAGACCTGGGGCCTGTCTGACGACGAGTACAAATCCAGCTTCAGGGACACGGACTCGCTGGTACCAAAGGGAGATATGGGATATTCAGGATCAGTATGTCCCCTCAAGACACCATTCACAAACCACATACGACTGACACAAGGACCCGGGGAGATAGACATTCTTCACAACGGCTGACAACAAGTACATGATCAAATCCATCCCACGTCAATTCGAACACTCCTTTTTCCGAGACGACCTGCTCGAACCATACGTCACACACATGCAAACACATCCAACCTCCCTCCTGGTTCGCATCACAGATTTCCTAGGCTGGCGATATAGCAGTATTGGCGGAATGTTGAGTCTTGCCCCAGCCTACCACCTTGTCATGGAAAACCTGCTGCATGGCCAAAGCGACAACTCCAAGTGGCAGACCTTCGACCTGAAACCGACGTCGTATTTCTTTCCCGAGCGCGACATTGCGGGTGGCAGACTGGCGAGCCAAGCGACAAAGTCCAAACTCGCAGATGAGTTCACAGACAAACTCGTCCTAAGCCAAGAACAAGCCGACTCATTCTTTCAGGCTCTCGAAGCAGACACAGAACTGCTGGCCAAGAACAACGCCGTGGACTATAGTCTCATGCTGGTTCGGATTCCACGAGACTCGTCGACTCCGACGCAAGACAACCCTTTCAGTGATCCGCCAAGCTGGCGAACGGGTATACCCTCGCAGGATCACAAGTGGCTGATTCGTGCTGTCATATTGGATTTCTTCTGGGCAAAGCACAAAGTCCATGCAAAGGCCATGACGTTCTTGATCAAGGCGTGGAATTTGGTTGATCGAAAAGGTCCGATGAGTATCACGACGGAAGCACCAGAGTATCGAGGGCGATTCTTGGAGATGTGTAGGGAGATGGTGGAGATCAAAGAGAATGTGGTGGATGGTGGGTGAGACGAGAAGTAGCACCCAGTTTGACAGTACGCGTTATGATATGTGACCACGACGCGGGTTTTCAGGTGGGAGAATCAGCCATTTCCATAACCCATACTTTCATAACGTTAGCGAACGAGCGTCATTGGTGGCGTTGATTAAAAGGAGAAATCCATGGATGGCGGTATGTAGAAACAACCAGATACCCCTAGCTTCCTAGACTCATTTATTGCTTGTCGCTTTCGACCCTTGTAAGCAGGTAGTTTGTCGATCCTCAAATATCTGTTCAGTGAGTTATCGGATCGACGCCACGATCTAGAAGACTCAGAGAGCCTCATAGTTACCACTTCCACAAGGAGAACCAAGGTACTCTGTACTTAGTCTCCAATGATGAGGCCGCATACTGAGCCCCAGCCTTGCCAGACGATCTCGGACCCGCCCAGGATCATTCACTTGCTATTCAATTGATATCAATCAAACGCGTGAAATTTCTCACCAAATCACCAAGACCCCTAAAGTGGTGGCTCAAGTTAAAACTACATGGGCGGTGTAGTGGATGGCCATTCACTCAGGCGAGGAGGAAAGCAACAAAGGGCCCGCGTTCGAATCCCGACGACAACCCCCGACAATCGAGAATAAATCTGAGGGTGATACAACATCAGAACCAGGTCAAGGTTGGATCAAACCAGATGGGCTTGTCTGGAAGGCGTCTTGACTGTGGGTGGTGGCTTTCTTTTTTTTTTTCTGTGGCCCGAGACAATCGTGGAATTCTGACATGGCCGTGCCACATCGATATTGCAAACTAGACTGAAAGTCATAAACGAGACAAAACAGCTTAAGAATCTCTCTATGATTCGCCGTACTAACTAATTAACGGGCAGAGTACGGTTTAGTATTCAAGTCAAGTGCGCAGCGCTATACGCCCGAGGATCACACAGCAACCTTCTCACGAGACAACCTCCTCAACACCCCAGTAGGCCTCATTACTGTACTGAACACATGTCTTCAACAAAATTTTTCAGAATTCATGATACTTCCATTCAGCGACCGGAAGCTGAATACTTCTTCCTGAGAAAGTCCTCGACAGCATTCTTTTCCTGAACGCTCATCCCTGCCACTCCGCTCTCGATCTCTCCGGTTCTCATTCCCGGCTGTCCAAGCGTCGCAGATGGAACCACGCTCGATTCCTGCGGCCGGTCACCGCGGCTGTTACTCTTGACATCGCCGTCTTGATTCACCGTCGACAGTGGATCTGCACTCTGCTGTTCTTCGACGATAGGATGTGCCGTCTTTTCTCCCGCATCTCCGGCAACTATCCCGTTCGCCACACCTCGATCCGTTACTGCTTCTTCACAACTTTCGCCGGATCTCGTATTATCAGGCCTCAAGCCTCCGTGGTAGGGTTTCTTAAACCGTCCCTCGCACCACTCTTCGAGTCGAAACTTCCACGCGGCGACCGTCTCCGCCGGATCGAATGCCAGGCCTATCTTCTTCCCTAGCTCCTCAGCAACCTCGTCCCTCTTTCCCGCGGCATAAAAGAGCCTAGTCCAGTGTCTGCCGTCTTCATCTGTCCTGTGCATCTCTCGTTGTCCATTTTCGAGCTTTGACTTTGCGTCTGCTGCGCCCTGCATGTCGCCCTTGAGAAGAGCGTCGCGAACTCCTCGCCACGCAACCCGAGACTCCCACGGATCCTGATCCTCGAGCGGGTCCGTCATCAACGGTGTTGTATGTGCCGTTCGGACGTCAAACCTCTCAACCTCTACATCTCTCCCGACATCGTGGATCACGAACACCCCGTCCCAGTGGCCCGTTACTCTGTACAGTGGCTTCTCTTCCTTGTCTCCTTCACGGTACACTTTCGCTTCGAAGCTGTGTTTCTTGTCCGAGCTGGAGAAGATCCCTCTGCTCCCAAACTCGATGGTCGACATGTACCCGCTCGTGCTGGGGATGTGGTAGGTCCCTTGGAGCTCGGGGTATGGGTTTCCAGTCAAGATCCCCTTGATCTTGACGTTGGGTAGCGGGATGAGGTACGTTTCGTCATGTCGCGACAGATGGAGAGTCGCGTGGCCAATCTGTCGGATGTTAACGGTTCCGGTAAATGTGATTTCCTGTCGCGTGTATCCTTCTGCCTGGGAGGGACAGTGAGAATGTGCGACGTCCAGTATCTCATACACCTCGGTTCTGGAGGAAGGGATCGATCGAGACTCACCGAAACGCCATGTTCTTCATTCCACACTCGACAAGCCGTGACTGGAGGATGGTGGCTAGAGTTGTGCATTGACTGTATCAGCCTGTTGTTCATTGATGCCGCATGATGGAAAGAGATGCCGTTGCAAAAGGTAGACAAGATCCCCACAGGCGTACGCACCTTACTTGCTCACTGACAAGTCTCGTCGTTCCGACTTCATCCTCCCACTTTGCGAGAAAGACTTCTCCCAGGAACGCGTTCAGGGGCTTCTTGACCCCTTCGGCCTCGGAGCGGCCTGCATACTGCTGGTTCCGCAGCGCCGACACGAACCACCTCAAGACGAGGAGCGCGCGCTCTGCAGGGGCCTCCGACCCGGCGGGCGCCACGAATACGGACGGCCGCTCGGCCCAGAACGCAGGCAACTCTACCGTGGATTTTGTGTCGAGCACGAACGGCGGGGCGGTGATGTTGGACAAGTCGCCGCGGATGACGGAGATGGACTGTACGGCATCACCACCGTCGTGCCGACAAGTCAGTCAGGTTCAGGAAATGAACACGAATCGGTGTTGGTGATGATATCGAGGTGGGGATGACAGTGTTGGTGTGTCTGGGAAAGGGCCACTCTTTTACTGATGATGAAAAGATGATGAGCAGGGCGTTTCAACTTACAGCTATGAATTCCTTCAATCTGGAGCGATTTTCCGAGAGGCTGCTGGCTTGTTCGGACATGATGTGTAGGGGTGCGTGTGAGTATGTTTGGCAGGAGTTGTTGGTACTTGTGCCTTGGACGTGGAGACGCACAGGAGGAGGGACGGACGGAGAGGTGATTCCTTGCAGGCAGTTCTGTCGCTGGCTCGTCCAGATGAATAAATGCTCGCTCCGTTGACCCCTGGGTAGGTCGGTACCTCAGGAGAGAACCAAGCCACCACGGGTATTATTCTCGATTGATCGCCTGACTGACTAGTCAAGACTGTACTTCAGCGGCTCGTGTGGAATCTTCAAATGCATCCGTCTCAAGAGTTAGAAGTCCGGGTTAGGTGGATCGACTTGGTGCATATAGATCAATTACCACTTCAAATTCCCTTGGATTTCCGTGGGCCATGAGGGTGTGATAAACGTTCTTTGGTATCCGATCGATATCTGTCTCTGGCACTTCAAGCTCATGCCGACGAAGGCGGATACCTGGGTAGTGATGCTGGGTGCCGGGGCAGGCTACCTATCTACTACTCGTAGGTAACCAGTACCAGGACCTCTAGGTACCTAGATACCTACCCAGGCAGGGTTAAGGGAGACGAGTATGTACAAACAAGGCTGCGAAATGATATCATGATGTCGTAACTTTTTCAGGGATGAACGGATACTGTACGCAGCGCGCAGATCAGATCGATCTTCGTCCATCGGGGCCGGAGACGATCGCCCGATCGACACGCGACGACACCCCCCTCGAAGCCTCGAAGGGGAGTCTCCTGGTCTCCATACGTTTAAGACACCGTCACACGGGAGAGATATTGTATACCCAGTACTCGTACAAGGTGATCCAGACTGTTCGTGGCGCACAAAGATACGAGACTCACCTCCCCTCTCACCATTCGCACTCACTCGCTCACCTGCACACTCGCCCTTCATCCTGACCCTGCTCCACCGCATGCAGCGCAAGCCGGGACCGAAAATTGGCAGCGCATCGCCCGTTCCCACTTGGGCGCCTTTTCGACTTTCGATCCATTTTCTCGTCCCTCTACTTTGTTCAGACAGAGACTCTCCCTCCCCACCGATGAGGTATAAAACCCGCTCTCCCTGCCCTTGAGCTCCCAGCTTTCCGCCTCCTCCACATCTAGAATGCGATGTTACTTAACAAGAATCTTGTCATCATCTCCATTATAGCCCTCCCGCCCATAAATGCATAGACTCTTATCACTTCCATCATCGTCATAAGCCAGCTGAGCCAGCAGGAGCTCACGGCAAACAAACTGCTACTTGCTTATGTCGAAGCTAAGAATTACCAGCGAGGAGCGTCATGCTCATGTGCTGGGATGATACGCCTTGTAACACTGTATTGCACCCTCAATGACCTGCGTGACTCCGAAGATGAAAACGAGAACAGCGATCCAGAATGTCCACCACTGGGCTGGTTTGCGGTAGTCATACCAATATTGCATCACACTTTGAGGCTCATGAGCGTCGTATTCTTCTTTGAGGATGACCAGGCGGTCGCGAAAGTACGTAAAATGCTCCAGCTTGCGCTGTTCTTGGCTCATACTTCCAGACGCCGCCACGGCGGGATCAGGCCGATAGCGCGGTCGTCCGGAGGAGAAGAACCCCGCCGACATTTCTTGCTTGAACCATTTGGATGCGGAAGGTGCAAAGAGCGGGACGAGAATGTTGAGCGTACGCCGAGTCTCGTCGAACAATCCATTCGGAAATAACCCGCTGGAAAGAGGTCAACTATGAACAACATTTCGTCAGCTGTCGGGAGAAAAACTCATACCTCCGGGAGAATAGATCCATCATATATGCCTGGTGGAAGATTGCCACCTGATTGTCACCCCTTTCGCTCTCTTCCAGGGCCAGATGCTTCGACAGAAGACTTGTCCAGCGTATCCGCATGCCTGAGATTTTCGCGAGGTTCCTCGCATGGAACTTTCGAGAAAGGTGCATATGGTCCACTGCTGGTTTTCTGTGTCGCAAATTCGACCTCGAGGAATTCCTTCAGAGTCTGGTTGCCTGCCCACGAATGGACGTCGAGCAGGAGAAGACACTCTGCCGTGGTGTCTATCCACATGCGGACGAATTCGTCTGCATCTTGTGGCTGGGAGAAGGGAGCAGGAAAGGTCAAGAGCAAGGCCTTGAGCTCCCCGATGCACGTATTTCGACTCTGGGTTACTATTCGATTGAAAGCCCCGAGCAGGTCGGAATGTCGTAGCTGCCCGAGATCATCCGGAGAGCAGCTCTGACAGAGACTCTCGTAGTTCTCAAAGTAAGGCTGGAAATTTTTGTATTGTCTTGCGAAGTCTCTGTCGTTCAAGCCTGCGTTCCAGCAATCATTGATAATGCTCTTGCGAGCCGGCGGAGAAAGTGGCAGGTGGATGTTCAGCTCCAGCCCAGGTCCAGGAATAGGAACCTGTGCCTGAAGCGCCATGAGGGCCTCCCTACAAGGTTTACCTCTGAACACCGAGTGAGAAAGCAAGAAAGAGAAGTCGAGACGTGGTCTTCATCGAAGATGGCTGGGGCTTGAGGAGTTCTCGCTGTTCATCCCGCCCAATGATAGGTCACTGTCTGTCTTACCCCGTATTCAGGGGTCATCGGCGGGCATTCGCTAAATCTAGCAAGCGGCCACTGGCGCAGCATCCGTCAGGCTGTCGCGACGGGCCGGGACTTTGACATCGCTTCCTGCGCTGCTGTCGCATCCTCCGTACGCTGTTCTGTCGCTACCGGTAATTCGGGTCGGTTGACAGCGTTGGCCTTAAGAAGGGCGTCTCGCAACCAAATTGTACCTCCAAATCGCCCGAAATCGCCCTTTCTTGTTGCTCCCTCGGACGATCGCGTACCTCGTTCCTACCCAGACAAAAGATTAGTACAATAGAATGGCAATATGGACTGGATACTGGCCAGATCCAGACTTGTCTCGCGGGCTGGAGCTCACTCCCCTTGCGGCAAGCCCAAAGGTTACAAGAAGCTTCGTCCAGACCATCAGGTGCTGGACTGCGCTGCAGGCAGGGCCGGCGTATCAGATATTCGTTACCCAATTCAAACCGCAGCTTAATATATATCTGGAAAATGACCCGGACCTTATGTTGGGACCCAGGGCGAGATACACGTGCTGCATGGTCGGACGCTCTGAATACAAAATCTATCCGGCCATCATACTCCACAGCCCCGACGAGAGCTTTTGCAGGAAGGTGGACAAAATCATCCGCTCAAGCGACGAGTGGAAGATCTTCAAGAAATCAAATCCGCTGTTCGTGCTAATAACAGCGGCCCGAGCGCCCAGCAGAATCTCACCAGGAACATCTCCACACGATGGGGACGAGGCTGGTGATGATCAGGTTACCGTAATCAGTCATGAACCAGCTCATCGGCTTTTTGGAACGTCGATTTCTTTTCAGAAGTCCGGCCCTTCCCCTTCCCCGATGGGTGGCAATGCCACTCTGGGAGGCATTGTGTTCCTGGATGGTGTCCCATACGGCCTCACAGTGGCCCACGCGCTCAATTCGTCGCAACAACACGACCGACCTCAGTCCTCTCTGAATCTTGGGTTTCCCTGTGTCGAAATGTATGGCTTTGGTGATGAAGATGATTCCCTATTCGCCGCCCTGGCCCAGGACGAGCCAACGGAACCGGACACCATTGAGACTGACACAGAAGGTCTCTCTGGGCCTGTTCAAGGTACTGTTCGACCGGAAATGTCCCGAAGCTCTCAAGGGGCTTTACAACAATCCTCTGTGACTCTCGGTAGCCTCTTCAGATCTTCCACACGTGACTAGGATGATGGCAAGGATTGGGCATTAATCAAACTAAGCCCAGCGCAAGCAGTACAAGCGAGGACCAGAAATCTGAACTACCTACCAGGACTGGTGCTACAAAACGGTGAACCTCTTGTCGTCAGCCGTATGGGAGTTGTTAGCTCTCAAGAACAGCGTGTGCTACTTGTGACAGCTTCTAAGGGGGCTATGCAGGGCACCGTGAGCTCGACGCCCTCTTTTTACAGGTCTGACGGACAAAGAAGATTTGGTGAGGTTCTCAGTGTCCGTCTAGACCGAGGACTTGGTAAGTTTTCCCACTTGAATGGAGCGCTCACCATAGCTCAGCTCATCTTTTACAGTGTTCGGCGACAGCGGATCATGGGTGATTGACGCGGCAGAAGGTTTCTGGTTAGGCCACATTATAGCAGAGGAGCCCTCGGAGACAGTGGCTTATCTTGTGCCTGCCCACATCATTGCTCAAGATATCGAACTGAAGGTTGACGCTCGTTTCTCGATCGCCGGTCCGGCAGTGGGAGATGGTGCTTCGGTCTCTGCCTCAGCAACAACCTCGTCGGACAACGCACTAGTCAGCCAATCGAGTCCCACCGACGGACCAGAAAGCCTGAACATTCTAGATGCCGAACTGGGCGCCGTATCTCTCGTCTCGGAGACTAAACAGCCCAGTGAACAAGATGATTACGATGTCAGGTAAGCCCGAATTCATGCATCTTGCTTCACATCCAGGTGCTCTTCGAATGTGGAGGCTAACTCAAATTCGACAGGCCTGATGACATCGTCATTGCAGTTGTCGGTGTAACCGGAAGCGGAAAGAGTACTTTTATCTCTCAGTTCTCCGAAACGAGTGTCATCATTGGCCACGGCCTAGATTCATGTAAAGTCCAGATCTATTCGGGCATCAATACGAGGCAGAGGTATCCTAATCTGGTGCAGGCACAAATACCGTGAGCATCTACAAATGCCACTCCCCCTCGATCCGCAGGTTTTTCATGATTGATACCCCCGGCTTCGATGATACCTACAAATCTGACTCGGATGTTTTATCCGATATCGCAATCTGGCTGCGTGATGCATATCAGAGGAACTTTCTATTGACCGGAATCATTTATCTCCATCGAATCATAGATGTGAGATTCGGCGGAGCGTCAATGCTTAATCAACGGCTATGGCGACGTATTTGCGGAAAGGATGCCCTCCCTCATGTCGTCCTCGCTACGACTTTCTGGGACCAGATCGATGAAGTTCTTGGCGCTGAGCGCGAATCGGAACTTGCGAACAAGGAGGACATCTGGGGTTCTTGGATTGAAAAGGGCAGTGTCTTGTTCCGTCAACGTGACCGGGACTCTGCAGAGCAGATCATCAACATGTTCGCAAGAAAGCGAAGTGGTGGCCAAGGGACGATGATTCTGACCCTGCAAAAGGAGCTGGTGGACGAAGGTAAGAGTCTGGATCGAACTTCGGCCGGTGCAGAATTGCAAGTCCGCCTGGAAGCGGTACAAAAAAGGTACGAGGCGGAACTAGCGAGCGTAAGAGAAGAACTGATGGAAGCACTGGAAGCACATGATAGAGAACTTGAAGCTCAACTGGAAAAAGAACGGCGTGCTCTTGAGCAGCGTCTGGATCGTGAACGCGTGGCACGACAAAAGCTCAAAGCCGACACGAGAGGTTAGAAAGTGAATTTTTGATGCGGAGAAGGCAGTATGAAGATGAATCGGGACAGGTGCAATCCACGCCGCATCAACACGAGGTCGAACTTCTACGGGCACGAGTTGAGCAAGATGCGGCCCGTCACGAGCAGCTGAAGCGACAGGTTGCGTTTGAACAGAGAAAAAGGATGGTGTTGCAACGAAGAATAAGGGAAGCTCAGGAGTGTCTTGTCATGTGAGGGGTTCTGTCCGCCGCGTTTCTACAACGAGAACGATCACCTCTTGGGAAGAGTTCCCCTGAGGAGTAGTCATGGAAAGTGTTCATTGACCAGCTTCTAAAGAAGTCTGACCCCAAGGGACCGTAAAGTGTTTCCGAATCCTTTCACCTCACACTGTTTCCCTTCGGACTGTTCAGACGAAGGAAAACGACCGAGAACGAGAGCCTTCACCTTTCGTCGTTGACGCCTCCGCGTCCTCAGAGGAGCGTCTTCTGCCGCCTGTCGGTCCATTAACACCGAGTCCCTGATGATCCAGGCGGGAGAACGCGAGTACTCATCCGTCTCTCTGATCCGTTCTGGACCGTCATATGGGGGACCTTCTTTTGCCACATTTATTTCCTTCTATCTCTCTATTTATCGTGAGTGTCATAGTTAAGTGCACCTACTGCATCTCGCAGTAGATTATCATTGTCCGTCAAAGGATGTACAGTGGTAGGTGGGCAATCAGCCCATTCATACCATGACGACCACGTCTACCATGCTATTCTCGCCCAGAATCCCTTGGGATATCTCCTGACCATCATCTTCCTCAGCTCGTCCAGACCCAAAAGCCCTATTCCGAACGTCATGGGCAGGAACCAATGTTCAACGGGGACATGAGCGCAGCCCAGGTCCGTCATACCAGGGACGAAGGTGAAGATCAGCGCGACGACCAAGGCAAACAGCAGCGCCGGGAACAACAGCCAATTCTGCGTCAGCTTGTTGAACAGCGGCGGGTGCTGGAAGATGGACAGGTGCCTCGTGCGCAGGGCCATGACGTTGAACCACTGCATGACAACGAGCGTCACAAAGTACACGGAGCTGGCGACGGTGAGATGGTGCGACACCTCGTCGTCCGTCATGCCGGGCGGGGTGGAGATGTTGCCGAAGGCCCACCACAGGGAGCCAAACGAGAGCCCCTTGCGCGCCAGGTACCAGTAACTCATGGCGAAGGCGCTGACGGTCTCGAGGATGCCGACGAGCCCGTAGGCCTGGAGGAGCAGGCGCCAGTCGACGAGGCGGTCGGCGTGGACGTCGCGCGGCGGGCGGAGCATGACGTTGGCCTCGGGCGCCTCGTACGCGAGCATCGTCGCCGTCACGCAGTCGGTGAAACAGCAGATGACGATCATGAGGAAGCTGGACAGCACCTGCGGGAGGCCGAACACGACGCTCGTCATGACGGGCCAGAACTCGGCGAACGAGCCCGCGGGGAGGAGGTACGCGATCGTCTTCTTCAGGTTGTCAAACACCACGCGCCCATACAGCACCGCCTCGGGGATCGCCGAGAACGAGTCCAGCAGGACCATGTCCGAGGCCTCGATGGCAATGTCGGAGCCGGACGACGGCGCAATGCCAATGTCGGCCTGTTTCAGGCTGGGCGCGTCGTTGACCCCGTCGCCCGTCATGGCCACCACGTACCGCCGCGACTGGAACTCGCGCACGATGCGCAGCTTCTGGTCGGGCGTCGTCCGCGAGAAGACGACCTCGGTGTACTGTGTCGTCAGCGCGTGCCACTGGTGCGGGAGCAGCGTGATCAACTCGGGACCCGTGAGCACGATGGCTTTCGTCTCAGCGGGCAGGAGCGTCTTCTTGGGTTGTCGCGACATGGAGAATCTCGACAGAGGCTTGCTGCTCTCGACCTCCTGCGGAGGGAAACGAGGTAGGTTGGCCGCGGTGTGCACCTGGGCGTCGGGGACGGTGATGATGCCGCACGACCTCGCGATGGCTTGGGCCGTGAGCTTAAAGTCTCCAGTGACCATCATCGTGCGGATCCCTGCCCTGCGGAGAGTCGCAATGACAGTCGGAACTTCGTCGCGTGGCGGGTCGACTATGCCGACCAGAGAGATGAGCGTAAGTCCCTTTCGAGCGTGCTGGATTGCCTCGGCCTCAAAGTCGTTGTCGCTGGGATCTGTCTTGACGACGTCGCCGTGGAGAGGCTTGCGAGCAAGGAGGAGCACGCGCTTGCCCTCGCTTGACCATGCGTCCTTGGTCGCCTCGATCGAGACGCGTACCCCTTCGTCGAGCTCGTGAACTTCGCCATCCTCGCCGACGTACGTAGAGCACCGAGGCAAAAGGATGTCCGGTGCGCCTTTGATCATGAGCAGCATGTCGCGCTGAATGTTGAAAGCTGCGTTCTCGTCAGTACCCATGGCCAGCTCCGCTGCCGCCACGGATTCGGCCGACGATACTCGCAAGGCGAATTTGTTCTTCGAATTGAATGCGAGATCGAATCTCTTCCGCCACATGGCGCGAGACTCCGACACCCGGCCCAGGCTTTCTGACAGCCTCAGAATAGCTTGGTCGGTGGCATCTGCGATGATCTTTCTTTGAGCCAGAGGAAGGTGAACCGTGGTTGGATCGAATTCGCCAGCATTGCAAACGGCCGACACGACTCTGAGTTGCTCGAGAGCTTTCCTCCGCGGACCCTCAGACTTTTCTTCCGTGGTTTCTTTCACGGCTTCACCTGCTGTCAGCGTGCGGAATCCAATGAGGCAGTCTGTGACGACCATCAGGTTCTTGGTGAGCGTGCCTGTCTTGTCCGAGAGAAGTACAGAGACTGAGCCGAGCGTCTCGACGGTCTTGAGTGATTTGCAGAGGATATTGTTCTTCTTCATGATGTTTGCCGTGATTGTCAATGATGCGGTCAGAGCAATGGGAAGACCTTCTGGGACGAATGCGATGGCCACACTGACAATGTCGACAATGAGCGTCGGAACGTTGATGAAGTGTGGATGCTCGTGTCGAATGTAGCCAGCCCAGACAGCAATGACGATAATGTTCATTGCGACCATCAAAGAGACAATGATGATGACGAAGCGGAGAATCTCCTTCTGGAGGGTTGTTCGTCCCGTGGAGGGTTGACTGGTGAGTTTGGCGATATGGCCGAAAACCGTATTGTCTCCCGTGCTGACGACGATGCCGACGCCACTTCCAGAAGTACAATGCGTACCCTGCATACCGATGGATCGAGTCTCCAGGTAATTCTTCTCCGAGGATTCCACAAGGGCGGGCACCGGTGCTGATTCTCCCGTCAAGATACTTCGATCGAACTTGGCATCTGAAGAGACCTCGACAAACCGGACATCCGCAGGAAGCTTGTTGCCGGCTTTGAAGAAGAGAATATCTCCTGGCACAACGTCTGGGGCCTGGACAGTCTGCCTACCTCCGTCACGCAAGACAATACAGTCCTCTGGTAACATGCCGGTGATGCTGTTCATGACTCGTGACGATGAGAAGTCCTGCCATGCATTGAACGCTGCCTGGATCACGAAAACCGCAAACAGGACAATCCCGAGGGCTAGGTTTGCCGCGGCAGGTGGCTGACCGAGCGGCTTCCACGAGATCATGACGAGGATCCCGCCAACGAGCAGAATGGACCCGAAGCCGCCGAAGAAGTAGCCAAAGATCTTTTGCGCCAGTCTCGACGGCGGTGGTGATGGAACATTGCGGCCGAATTCAGCCGTCTTCTCCTTGACCTCGGACGAAGAAAGACCTGACTGCACGGAAGTCTTCAGTCTCTTGCAGACCTCTTCGGTGTTGAGTAAATGCCACTCGAGATTTCCGACATCTATATCCTATTAGCAGACTGTGGTATGGAGAGGAGCGTGGCTCATCGTACCGATGGCAGCTTTGTCTCGTGCGTCCTTCGATTTGGCAGCTGTGCTTTCATCCGCGTTGGCGATGGTGTAGCTCAAGGTCCGATATTGGACAGGGAGTATGAGGGTAGGATCAACAGTGCGGCCGCTTCGCACGCTCGATAACGAGTGCACGGAGGATGTGGAATTTCGCCTCCGGAGTGGACGAGAGGGCCCTGCCGCGCCCGTTGCTTCCTCCTCGTCGTCGATGTACCGAATACGACGACTCGCAGCAAGGGCGGGAGGAAGGTCCTCATCGTCAAATTCCTGAGGAGAGATGACGGCGAAATCCTTCTCCGGACCATCTTCGAAGTCACCTACGACAACCATTTTGACAGCGGCGGGTTGAGGGAGGGGAGGCGACGCAAAATCAAAAAAGCGCGTGAGGTCTTCGGAGAGGAGAGGAAGGGAGTGGTCGTGTCAAGTGCATCAGAGGGTAGCAGAGGGCATCAACTCGCCTTGATATATGATGGCCACGATACCCCAGCACGTGGGACACTTACTCTAGTTGCCATTGATCGCTTCCCGAGGGGTGTCTTCACAGCCATGGATGAGCGTAAACTCTCCTTTCTGGGTAAGAGGCACAGGCACGAAGCTTCACCACGCCAAACGAGGGGCTTTTGCGTGGGCGTGGGCAATTGAAGTCGCATTGGGACGTGCAGGATCCATGTGGAAAAGGTCAAATTCCTTGCCCGTACCACTTGACAGCGAAAAGGCCACCATGAGATTGGATTTACGCACAGACGGGTAATCCTGCATGGACTTGAAACATAGATCAGAAAGAGACAATGGGGAAAAGGATTCGTACCTCCACGATGAACAGCACGAAAATGCCTCAGTCTTAACGGCAATTGGAAGGTAAAGGCAGATGGTACAGTCGATCGGACGTGGGACGTGCAGGAGAATGCCAGTGGGAGATTGTGGCTATGGCGAACGACACCGTCGACTTTTGTTCGCAATATTATTGACTTCGTAAATAGAGTCTGGAGTCCTAGCTTCGCGGGTCAGTCACAATACCCATGATTGGTGATTTTTCTGAGAGAACGACTGCTGCCGGTCTGCATGTAATGGTATTGGGGCCAATGCCATATCCAGGCAAGATCGAATGGTTTGTACGCACCAAAGGGTGCGATGAACGAAAGTCCCTCGTCCTGCGAGTGGTCGCTTCTATCTGGAGCAGTTCTCGCTTATTGCCTGTTGATCTCACGGGAGTAATAAGTCATCAGTCAAAGGCACTCGTGCAAGCAAGCTCTCAGAATAGCATTTTCAGGCCCTTTCTTTTGCAGTTCTCGTCCTGGTCAAGCAAGCACTGAATACCAAATCCAGCACGTTGGTCGTGACGGGGTAGCGTCCGACTCCATAGTTGTCCCCAAGTCAGGCTGGCTTTGCTGGGTCACTATGAGGCATTTATCGCGCTTCCTTGAGGAGGAGTTGGCTTTACCAGCACACATCCTTACCCACAAAGGGAGCAAACCTGGATGATGTACCCCAGTCTAGCATTGAAGTGCTCAAGCTCTTCCAGACGGTGGTCCCGTAGATAAGGTGATGAAAAGCTTGGAACTAGGATAAATCTCCCGGCATCAGCCAATGTCCGGTACAGTCTATAAGTTTAGCGGTCTTCCTGGACGCCGATATGTTGTGGGGATCATCCTCGTCCCCATACAAGCCTGCAGCGCGTAGCTTGCGACTCTGCATGGGGCTTTTTTGTCCAGATCTGTGTCAGCAGCATTGGTGGTGCAGAGGAAGAAAATTTTCCTCAAAATTATACAATAGAATGGCTGAGCAGTTTTGGTCGGGTGTGCAAGCTATCTGCCTTAGCTTTCTCCTCTGAGGCACTTCTGCTACTGGTCGTCGTGAGGCCATGCCAGACTGGAAAATACACCTCTCAAAAGCAGAGGCACAGCCCTTCACCTGGTGAAGAAAGCTTCGTGATCCTCAGAGTTTGCAATTTCACGAGGGAACGCCCACGGTTTGACGGGCTGGTAGAGGATTCCTCTCACTCCCAAGATCTCGCCTGACCCATCACGCGAAGCGCTGGAAAAACAATCGAACCACCAGAGGTTTGCCATCACCATCAAACTCACCTAATGTACTCCGTACGCCGCTCCGGCGATTTCATTTCTCCAGTGGAAATCCGGTCCGTATATCATGGCATATATATATACTGTATAGGCCCGCCCCGTTGGAACCGTATCCCGGGCAGGTGGCTAGGATTGACATTGTCACAGGAAAATCCACAAGCTGGTTCCCCTCGAGAAATGGCAACTAGCATGGAAGACACCTTAGCTGGGAGCAGTCCCCCCATTGTGGTTGATGCCACTCGCCAGTAGTGTAGCAGATTCAGAATCCTACATCCCGAGTCATATGGCAGAACGGGTCAAGATCGTTCAACAGTTATAGTCATAAGAAGCCAGCAATGATCGCACGACTCAGCGTTCAGGCCTGGAGCGAATGAATTGCAAAGTTCGGACAAATCCCGATCACGTCGTGCCTTGTGGAGAGGGTCTACAGTCATCGACCTTTGCATGCGCTGCAGTGCATGGTGCAGAGCATGGAAAAAGAACAAGAAAGTCGGGTAGACGTGAACGCAGCGGGGCATTCCTACTCTTTCGGTGAGTCAAGATGCTCAGCCCACCAGCCACACGAAAGCCACGCACAATCGAATAGCCGTGCAAGAGTCCTTGTAAGGAAATCAAGGAAGATCCTGAGAGAGCTCAGGCGGGTGAAATGGGCAGCCTGAAGCCCAGTACTCGTAATGGTGCCTTCGGTAAGGCCTATACGCAACATTTGGACCCTGGGACTGCCCGAGGTGCAAAAAGTGGAACAAGGATGATTGACGGTGAGATTTTGAGATAACCTTTGTGAGCATCTCAGCTGAAGGCAAACACGAAACTCCGTCCTGTACGCGGGGACGCGGAAACGTGTCAGGAACCACAGGCTGGGCATCTCAAAGCTTGTCCGTCAGCTGGGAAGATCATCTTTCAATCCACCAGGCCGCGCCTCCGTTCAGCTGAACATGTGGACATTTCCTCCGGTTGGGAGGTGTGGACAAGGAGCAAGGGTATGACATGGGTTCGCAAGTACGAGTGGCTCGTAGGGTTCATGAGCTGTGGCTGTCTGGATACAATATCGCGTTCAGATGATATCAGCATTATTGGCGAGATCCAGTTTGTACAACCTTGTCGTTCTCATCAAACTAGGTCCCGATCACCCAACGGTAATCATGAACAGGGATATTTTGCCTGACGCAGCAGGGATTCGAGGCCTCTCGCACCTGGTGAAAAGAGATGCTATGTTGGTACTTGTAGTTCGGGAATCTCTTCAACGTACAGTGCCTGGGTACATGCCAACGGGTAATACCGTAATAAGGGCGTTTCAAGATTCTCCTTGTGGTGTTTGGTAGGCTCACTAGGCTCACCATGCTGCTCGGGCGCATCAGGCTGCTGGGGCAATCGACCTTGGCGCCCACGCACTCCGCCAACCCGAAACAGATGGCTCTCGAGCGCCGGGGATAGCTTACTGTATGATGTGCAGTAGAGGGAGAGACGCGTGGCACCATTTCAGCCGCCCCAGCGTCAGAGCAGCCGAGTCGTCTTGCCATCAATGGCTGTAGCTGGTAGACTGTAGTGACATCGGTGAAATCGCTCGAAGACGGACACATGGAGGACGGCGCCTGAAGGGAGCCGAGGATACAGGCGAATCGACAATGAATACCTAGGCAGGTATCTGGGCATGCTCCGTAGTGTCGGTCGGTACGGTTGACATAGTGCCACAAAGATAAGGACTGTCTCGTACTGCGGACGTGTAGGCAACAATGTGGATGATGACGGATCGATAATGCAGATCGAAGGGCGGTCAGGGAGAAGATAAATACCTTGCAGGTCTATCAGGGGTTTATCATGGCGCCTAAAACGCGCCTAGGCCGCCCGGAGTGCGGCCTAATGCTGGGTTGACCTGGGCTTCCCAGGGCCTCGCAGCCCCTGTGCTTCCCCTGGGCCAACTAAAGCGGACCCCCCAACGACGTTGCTCGGGGGAAGAATTCGCGTTGGCCCAGACCCTGTTTCGCCTGCGCTGTTGTGTGCCATGATTCGGCTCATTCTGCCTGCGCATGCCACTCACTCGTCCACCCTGTTACTGCGCAGTTGTTCAATCATCAATCATCCATCCTTCCCTTCAACATCTCTTTCATTCTTGACCGACTCAACCCTGCCTCATCTCGACTGTCGATCCGCGGCCTCGCAGTACAGCTCACTCTAACCCCCCTCGAGTCTATTTTCCAACTGTGCGTCCACCTGAGATCCCTCCTCGCCTTCGTCTGTTGCAAGCACGAGAGCCCCAAAACCCCCGTGGCCGCCTTAGCTACATCCACACTAAATTACCCCGAAAAGGTCCTTTTCCCTGACAATCATCTCTCAACCTCTTCACACCTTCTCACGATACCCTTTCTCTCCATCCATCTTCGCGCCCTATCATCGACTTCACCCATCCCCGACCCTTTCGAATCCAAATTCTCCTCCACTTGACCGTTGTTATTGCTATTGCCTAGGCTCCTTATCTGACCAAGACACCAGCAGCCGCCATGGCTGAGATCCGCCGCAAGCTCGTTATCGTTGGTGATGGTGCCTGCGGAAAGACCTGTCTGTTGATGTGAGTATCTCTCTGCTCCCGCAACATATCCTTGCAAATCACTGACCCATCTCTTGATAGTGTCTTCTCCAAGGGAACATTCCCTGAGGTATGCCTCCTATCGCCCATCCTCATCGTCTCACCGACTCCCGCTTCAAAGCGTTTCGTAAAGAGTCGATCAATGGTCATATACTGATTAAACCTTGCAATAGGTCTACGTCCCAACCGTCTTCGAGAACTACGTTGCCGATGTCGAGGTTGATGGAAAACACGTTGAATTGGCCTTATGGGATACAGCTGGTCAGGAAGATTACGATCGTCTTCGACCTTTGTCATACCCTGACTCCCACGTCATCCTGATCTGCTTTGCCATTGACTCTCCTGATTCCCTGGACAACGTTCAAGAGAAGGTACATGATGCCAAATTGATGCTTGATGAAATGAATCAAAGCTGACATGTCGAAACCCAGTGGATCTCCGAAGTCCTCCATTTCTGCCAGGGTCTTCCCATCATCCTCGTCGGCTGCAAGTGCGATCTGCGACACGACCCCAAGACCATTGAAGAGCTGGCCAAGACATCCCAGAAACCCGTCACGCCTGAGCAGGTATGCTGTTTCTATCGTTTGTATAGATCTCGCCCACATGCTAACGATGATTCGCATTAGGGTGAGGAAGTCCGTAAGAAGATTGGCGCCTACAAATACCTGGAATGCTCGGCCAAGACAAACCAGGGTGTTCGCGAAGTCTTTGAATCTGCGACCCGTGCCGCCTTGTTGACCAGAGGAAGGGGCAAGTCCAAGAAGTGCTTGATCTTGTAAACAATCATTGAATACCCTGTGACAACATCTTGATGGACCCCATGAGCCCCCAAGCTCCATACCAGGATATCACCAGCAGGTGCTATTATCCATCCAACACCACACCACCCCCTTGTTCTTGCTTCGACCCAGGCCGGGATCGGTGGCTTGATTGTGCTGCTTTGTCAGCGCTGATACATTAGTTTTGTTTTCCTTATCGAGCGAAGGATGGGTTGATGGTTGATCGCAATCAGTACGAGAATTGCACAGAGGCTGAAGGATGGGCAATCTCGGACGGTAATCCCTGCATGACGGCGTTTACAGTCGAGACATGTCGAGTCATCATCGAAATAGGAAATCCATACACGGCGTTGTGTCTGAGGCTTTTAGGTTCCATTTATTCTATGAGCGCTAATCTCAATATCCCCGACCATGTTGTCCTAACAAAACTTTCTCCCATTCAGCCATGAAAGGGGTTCAGGCTTCGCTCTAAGCTTAGCGGGCCGAGAAGTAACCCAAGATCGATGCGAAAGCGCCACGAATATTGCGTGCCACTCTTTCAACTTAACATCATCCCCTCCGCAAATCACGTTGAGCCATGTCCACTGCTCGCTAGGTGACTGTAATGCTATCGTGCGACGTATGACAGTAAGCATGTCATTTGGAGCAATGCGAATAGTCTTTGACGGGACCGAGACACCTTACATGCCTCATTAGCAGTCACTGGAGCGTACAGCTCGCATTCCTTGACCTTTGTTGCAACAGCACGTGCGCTGTTTTGCGAGGCTGAGTTCTGCCGAGCGAGATCACGTGCAAATCCAGCCTCGTCGTAAACGCAGGGAAAATGATCTCCATCCGCTCAGTGTGAAGCGATGCTCGTCATGCGCCTGCCAAACATATCGCTACCGATATCTGACTCGGTCAACAGCGACAGGTTGGGCATCCCAATTGCGTCCAGCATGCGTCTCCTTCGACTGCGCCCCCGATGATGTCTACCCAGAGCGGCACGCACCGTGTAATCCCAGCTCAATTGTCTTATTTTGCCATCTACAACCCGTCCCTCGGGCCCACCGACGAGACCGTTCGTGATCAAATTGTTTTCTACTATTCTCGAGAGCCTGAAGAGAGACTGGGCCGCCAGCAGCAGGAAGGGGTAGCGGACACAGGGAAACATCGACAGACTGTAGGACAAGACTATCTGCACCATGAAGAAGCAGAACAACATGAAAGGCTACGGCAAGTTGGCCTGGCCCAGGGAATGGTGAATTTTGTGAAGTAGGTAGGCAGCAGCTCAATCATACTCTGCAGCATCCTGCAGTTCTGAAACTCTTCCTACCTCAAGATCACAACTGTGATAACCAGGTCTGACTGTCGTTTTGGCAGAAACTTCTCAGACGGCAAACCATTAGAATCTATAGAGACTGAAAAGGCGCGCGTCGTCCTCAAAGAAGTCGAACCCCAATGGTGGATACTTGCTTCGATTGATCTCACCCAATTACCAATCGCTGCAACGGCCCAGAACACGAGGAAAACGTCGAATCTGGGCAAGGATGCAAGATTGAATGAGTCCGACGCTGCAGCTCCCGTCGAGTACTCGTCTCGAGAGGTATCGCCATCCCACCTACTTCTCGCTCAGCTCGTCCAAGCGTATCGCGGCTTTCTGTTGCATCACGCATCCTCTCTATCCGAGCTATGGAAAAAGCATGAAAACAACAGGCGGCTATTTTGCTACCAGTTGGACCGATACTGGACTCGATTCATCTGGAATTGGGATGTCCTGTTGCATGGGAATCCAGCCGCTGATCTTTACGACGCGGTCAAGCTCTCCGGGGGAGGAGAACTCGGCATAGGAGTGGGTGAGGAAGAATGGGGTAGCGGTGAAAGAGAGGTTCTAGAAGGGTTTGTCAGTCGCACTGAGGGCCTTCTAGATCTCATCGTTGGGCGCTACGGAGATGCTCCGGTCGCAGAGCTTGCCGAGAAGCAAGACAATGAGCCACACGCGACTCTTGCAACCACTGATTTTGCACCTTGGCTTGGAAATGATGAAGACCCAAGAGCTCAAGATGGGATCATATTTTCCGGAATGGGCGGTATTTCGAAGCGCTCGCTAATCACTGTTTCAAAATGGATGGAGTCGATATATATGCATGGCGAAGCCGCGTACGGGGTGGGCGATAATCCCACGTCTCGATCGAAGCGTCGAAGGAAAAAGCGGAGCGCAAGGAGTGATTCCTCCCGGGATTCAGATCGGGCTCGCAAACAACAAAGAGAAGAGGTTCATCCAAAACTTGGCTCGCTCAGAAATAAGGCACCCGATCTCAGACGGAAGGCCATGGAAAACAATGCAGCCCCCCCGGGTATACCACCCCCTCTGGTCAGCGCAGTGGAACGCTCTCTCAACGACGCGACCGCTAGAGCCAGAGAGGCTTCGCAGGAAACAAGCCCTCAACCCGCTGAAGGTTCAAGCCAGAAGCAAGCGGAATCAGGGTCCTTGTTTGGCGCTGACAGCATGATGAAGTACCTGAGCCTTGGGTATGGCTCAAGCTGGACCTTGAACCCGAGAGGATTCAGTGCCGCAAAAGACTCCGTGGACGCTACCGCTGATACTAACGATGCTTCGAAATCCCCTGATGAAAGGGGGGCCCAGCTTCAGGAAATGGATCCTACTCCTGAAGTCAGCGATGAAGAGACGCCTTTTCTCCAGAGATTGGAACAGTCGATCGGGAAATTCCTCGTTGGACTCTCAGGAGACCTTGAGAACACTGAGTTTGAAGACGAAGACGATGGGTCGGCAAGATCCCCGGAACAGGATCATGATACTGGAACATTACCTGCGTCACCTTCCAGCAGCAAATCAAATCGTATCTTTCTGCGTACATTGACAATAGAGATGTCTCCCTTCCGACAAACTCAGTTGACAGATGCAGAAAGGCCTAGCTCACTGCACAACAGCATGAGCGATAACCCAGAATCTGCCGAAGGCAAAACTAGTGCGGCTGCCTCAGTTGACGGTGCTCAGCGGTTGCGTCTTACCCATGAAAAGGTCCAGGTCGCAGTTTACGTCCACCAACCGTTCATCTTCGTTTTCTTGTTCCAGCTACGCACCCCGAACCTCACTGTTCCAGGATTTTATCGAGCGATTCATCATACACTAGGTCCGCTTCAGAAAAGTCTGTTACGGAGCACCGATCCTGAAAGATGGAAGGACCGCGTCAGAGAAGCACTACTGCCCTCCCCGGATTCTTCGGCAAACGGAACTCCTCAGAGAGAACTCCCCGAGATTCACGACTTGATCTACGACCCAGCCAAGATGACTTTACGCATATCTATACCTAACATTCCCGTCCCTGGCAGTCTCGCGGCAGAAGGCTTACATCGTACATCAGGCGGATCTGTCACTGTTTCGGGCTCATGGTACACGCTTGGTATACCGATTGGCTCGTCTACGAGCGGTCCTGAGAAATCCAAGTCGGCACTTGTAAAGAGTGATTGGACGCGCGTAGAGGCGCTGAATGTGTATACGCACATTTTGAATCTCTGGGCTGCCACTCGCTCGGTTCATGGTACCGGTGGTCAGGGTGCCGATGCCGCTGATTTGGAGCGGACTGTGAAGACAGCTAGAGGGTGGTGGGTTATGTGGATGAAGGTTCGTACTGCCAATTCAGTGACCCCTGTTGATGCGGGAACGGACATGGAGGCGATGCTGGTGAGGAAATCGCAAGATCGCGGCGGAGGCAGAGACACGTCTAGGGCACAATCGGGAGCCAGTGGGTCATCAGGGAGGTGGCTTCTCCGTGAACAGCCTCGTGCTCGCGACGTCAGCGGCTCAAGTCAGGATGGGTATGGACAGAATAGCACCGGCAGCGTCGGCGCGACCAACGCAAAGGGTGTAAGTGAAGGTGTCGGTGTTGATGCGAAGAAATGGGTAGAAGGATTGATCAAGTTGAATATGTGATTGGCATGTGTTGGTACATTGGTCGTGGCTAGCGGTGGGTGGTTCAATGAAGCGAAGCTTGTTTGATTTACGACAGCACCATGGTCTTTTGTGCCGTGCCGTACGGAGAACTTCTAGGAGGGTATATATTATGAGCATGAGTAAGTACTGTACGGGATTAGGATTGTCAATTAATCGAGCTGTATCAATGGGTGGTAGAACGACGGATTTACATTGACTACGAGAGTTCCTGACGCGAATAGTAGAGGTAGGTGTATGTTTTGGAACGCTCGATACACCATTGCTGGGTGAGTTTTTTCCTCCTCTCCTAAGGGAAGTTAGTTTTCTTGCCATGCATGCTTGCTTGCTTCTTGTGAGTACCATGTTTGTTACAAGGCAGACCGTGTAGGAAGTACTGATGATATTCTTGCATCTCGTCGAACTCATATGACGTTGGCACTGACAGCGACCGTCGGAATTTGTCTACCAGGGGGCCGCCGAGGCCCTGCAAGGTACTCCAGGTTCGTCTTGAATTCTCGCTCAGCCTGACCCAGATCCTGGAAATTGTCGGAGGGCGCTGATGACCGACCGACCGCGTCGACCATCGACGTCAGAAGTAAAGAATCGTACGTACGGAGTAGGTGGGTGGTTCTGGAGAGGGTGGGAGATCCGTAATGGGATGTAAGATGCCGCGGTGTGGCATCTGGAATGGGATGTAAAATGCCGCAGTGTGGCATCTGGGTTCTGGGGTTCTGGGGCTCTGGTTCTGGACATGAATCGTGGAGCGCGGGAATGGGACATACGGATGCGGGAGAGATTGGGGGGGGAAGGGTTTTGCAGAAAGGAATTTGGATTTTGATGGATTTTGAAATTCCAGATCCCTGAAATCTGTCATCGTCGAGCGTGTCGAGTAAGTATCGAGTGTCATTATTGATCCTCACAAAGTTCCTGGTCGCCGAGACGTGAGTTTGACCTGTCAATGTCTAGGTAAACTTACATAGGGACCGACTCGTGTACCTACCTACCTGGGTACCTCGAGGCATAATGCCGCAGGTGTTGACCGGGCCGAGAAGGGGGTTCGGAGTAATGGAAGAAAAGAAAGAGAGAGGAGTTGTAGGGTTGTACGGGTCGTCGGTTCTGTGACGAACTCGGTGTGGATACCTACCTACCTGGACGTAAAAGTACCCACTGCGCGAGTAGGGAGCAGACACGCACGGTAAACAAAGCAGTGCTGCATCCCTCCTGGGGAGAAAAGGGAAAAAGGAAAAGCAAGCGTCATTCAATTGCCGATCAATTGAACCTTTGGAGAAAATCATAGAGTATATATCTCGTTGCATCAGACACTCACCCTCCAGGCATACTCACTTTAGCACATCACAGTATATTGTATGTCCGAGTCAAGCACTCTCTCTTCCACTCGCGTACTCGGACTCGTTCTCGGACCCCTCTTTCTCACACAGGCACGCGCTCACTCGCCCACATACTCACCCACGTATATCGTACCAGGTACTTCCCACCAGTATACCTGCGGCAAAAACAACACGCGGAAATAATTCGAAGGGAGCCAGACAACCAGCCAGCCAGCCAACCATACCCCCAAAAGCCAAAACCCCCGGAATAACCTCGGTCGCGCAAATACAGAGCAGACCCAAAAATGTCCAGTACTACGCAAGGAAGTTGCTTGTGCGGCGGCATCAAGTATGAATTCAGCGGCGAACCAAAAGTGACTGCGCTATGCCACTGTATTGATTGTCAAAAGGTAAGTTTCGAGTTTCAGCTTCCGAATTCAAAGCATTCATGGTTATGACGCCCGTCACCAAGCTAATCTTTTCTTCTCGTCGTGGAAACGACAAACAGTGGACCGGAGGAGCCTTCACCTCCAACGCCGTCGTGCCGAGGACTTCGTTCAAGGTCACCCAAGGCAGACCGTCGTCGTACGACGCCACGGGAGCCTCGGGCAAGATCAACAAGCACTTCTTCTGTCCGACGTGCGGGTCCAGCTTGTACACCGAGCTCGAGGTCATGCCGGACGTTACTTGTGTCAAGGCGGGAGGACTGGATGGCGGGAAAGCGGAGCTGGGCAATAAAGTCGACGTCGAGTTCTATTGCAAGGACCGCGTCAAGTATCTTAAGGATGTGCCTGATGCGAAGCAGGAGCCTGTTTTCGGGTGAGGGTGGTACATGGCGTGCCCTTGCATTGCAAACCGAATATGAATAACACAGTACGAACTACCATTGGCGGCTGCTCGAGTCGACCTGAGTCGAGTGTAGGTAGACGTGGCGATTTTTCCAATGCTCGAGATACGTGCTTTTGCGTGTCTTCGGTGGTCTTCCCAGTTGTCAGTCAGCGAAGGCGAGGTCGTTTTCTAAACTGCCCAAGTCTGGTTCCAGAACCGTGTTTGACCAGAGCAGTCCGTGGATGAGCGTGTAAAAGTCTGGAAACGTTGTTACGATTCCCGTGGATCGCAGAGTCGTCGAAAGAAGTGTCTTGAAAGGAAGGCGGACGTCGTCGAACAGTGCGGCTGAACATGCTGCAACCGTGAGGATCCAGATCAATGCCGCGAGGCTGGTATTGTTCTCCGACCAGGAAGAGAACAGGTCCGGCGACCTGAGCATTGCGTAGAGTTTTGTCCCGTAGAGCATGCCAATTCCCGGATCGGGGTCGAATCTATTGCGAATATTGCAGACGTACAGGACGGCCGCAAGTCTGACGCACTCGCGTTGCTGGAGAAGAGTACTATCGTGCCCTGTAGCGCGAGGCACGGATAGGAGTTCATGCAGCAAAGGATGGATGGTGTAGATCAAGAAGGAAGATTCGAACCAGAAGTTGTTCTTTGTTGAGGACTCGTTGTCCACCGTCTCGGTGAGTTGCCGTAATCGATCAAACATGTATCGTACAGTCGTGCAGCGTTGGATGTCACCAAATTGTCTGTCTGCTGATAGTTGTGATACGTCGATGAATGCTGGAGTGAGCTTGGTTTGGGCCACGAGGATGTGGTATGGAGGAGGGTATATGGGCGACGAGTCTTGTCGGAACCGACCGTTCGTCTCTACCCTGCATGATAATGACTGTCAGCAACCGATACCGAGATGAGTCGGTCGGTGAGTGGCTCAATCACCAGAACAACGCCAGCCTGAGAGCCGGACGTGCGTTGAGGGAATCCTCGCCTCCTCGATGTTGTAGGATTTGGGAAAGGCCGGTGATGTGGGTCTGAAACAGTAAAGGGTCTTTGCTTAGGTTCTACATAGGTGGGATAGTCAGTCGCCAACATGATCCTCACTGAGCTGTGCATCTTGACTTCTTACCGCATATGCTGCAGCTGCAAGTACAGCTGTCACGACATCGTCGCTCGTACCGGTGACTATGTCGTTTAACTTGTGCTGCAGAGCTTGATTCGAGATCATCGAGTATCTTGCGTCATCACCCGTGTCGTGCTCACAGCGCAGAAAGTGAACTAGATGCCACGCTGACGCGGAAAGCAGTTGGGACAAGGCGGTGCTCTCGCGAACAAGGTCGATGAAGCCAATGTCAATGAGGACACGGAATTTTGCGCATGTGCCATCGTAGACTATTGTAACAGTTCCAAGTCAAAAGTCATTAGCGTAGACCTTACTAATCAAGCAAAAACCTGTATAAACATACCATGATCCCAGAGCTGATGAGCCCGACGTCCTCCTTGCAGAGCGAAGGTCTCAAATGGATCCGTTCGACTAGCATCAAGGAGTGTGGTAGGACTGGAATAATGCCGAGGGAGAGTCAGCTCAGCATTCGTTGATCCCCCCTGTAAGGGCGCCAAATTCAATTCGACTGTGCCCTGGTGTTGCCGTTTCGAGGTACGCCTTCGGTAGTTGGCTTGCGCATGACTGTGGACTCGTCTTTGGGTTTCACGATCCACTCTTCCTGTTTGACTTGATTGAGATATGAAGGCGAATGATTGGCGTGACGAGCCTGTAGTGGTTACAGGAGGGTCCGGCATCTTTCCGCAAAACCCTGAATTCACCAAAGATACCTTCGCTGCTATAGACCAACTCCTCTGTGTCGATGTCAACACGTTCCGGTTGTGCACTTAATAACCTGCATGGTCAAGGTATACAAAGGGAGAGGACGGAAGTGTGCGGTAGCATTCCTGCGAAACGAGCTGCGCGTAATGACGTAGATTGTATCATTGTTCTTCAGTCGTTGTTGTCTGGATTCAATCTGAAGCGCTAATCAGAAGGTATGTGAATGCCGAGGTGACCACAGAGCGATTCGCGCTATAGGCCTGATGGCGTCGGAACAAGGTGTGCTTCACTAGCACGAGAAACACAGCCCGGTAAAATCCTGACTAATCTGAGCCGCAACCTGCAACAGAAGCGGCAACACTGATTGAAAAGGAGCATGTTAGTTTAAGTTCCAGGAAAGTAAGCACCATGTTCAATCCGTTATGCAGCTTGATATAAAGCGGCAAGGTTGTCCAAGCGGCGAGTAGCGTGAACAGGTCGGCTCGGACGGATATGCAGGTGCAGGGATGAGATGTTCCTGCTTTTGGCTTAGTCCGTCAGGTCAATATATCAGCAGGTTTCCAATGGCCAGCTGGGCCCTTGACGACCACGGTCGGAAATTGATCGCCTAGTAACGGTATGAGCTGAACAAACCTGAAGCTCCTTGGAAAGGCATAAATAACTTGGACTTATTCCTGAAGATGGAGGGAGAACTCAATCAATTCAGCAGCAAGATTGTCTTTCCGTCTGCTTCCAACGATTCCAGCACCAAAGATCGAGGATCAAGTATAAGGATAGTACAACAACCATGTCATCATCGATGGAGGCTATTGTCATACCTAGATTCGGAGGACCAGAAGTTCTCGAAATTCAGCAAGTCCCAAAGCCAGTACCTACGCTTGGTGAGGTACTCGTCAAAGTGAGAGCATTTGGAATCAACCACGCCGAGATGCACATGCGCAAAGGCGAATGGGACGAATGGAATCCCATCACGGGACTTGAATGCGTCGGCATTGTCGAAGCCTGTCCGGGCGATGAATTCTCAGTTGGCAGCAAAGTCATCGGTGTCATGGGCGGGATGGGAAGAAACCGTCCAGGATCGTATGGCGAGTTCGTTACTGTACCAGTCACGAATGTTGCCCGTGTTGAGACAAACTTGCCATGGGAAGAGCTTGCTGTTGTACCAGAGGTGTATTCAACTGCCTATTCCTGTCTCTTCACTGTCCTGGATGTTAAGGCGGGAGAATCAGTCCTGATCCGCGGTGCAACCTCGACCATTGGTCAAGCAGCCGTGAATCTAGCTGTCAACGCTGGAGTGAAAGTGACTGCAACGACAAGGAGAGAAGGAAGGTTCAAGATGCTGAAAGAAATGGGTGTGACGGAGGTTGTGCTTGAACATGATAATCTAGCGAGCGAATTTCCTGCCGGCACCAGTTTCGACAAAGTCTTGAATTTGATTGGCAACAGGGCGCTCCTTGAGTCAATTGAGCTTGTCCGAGCGGGTGGTAGAATGCTTCAAGCTGGATGGCTGGGAGGATTGGCACCAGTGAAAGACTTCAACCCCATGGTGCAAATGAAGCCAGGGGTACATTTCAGTTTGTTCCACAGCAAGGTTCTGGGAACTGCGGAATTTCCACTTTCCAGGATTCCACTGCAAGAGATCGTGGACAAGATCGAGAAGAAAGCTTGGGATGCGAAACCTACCTACGTGTTTGACTGGAGGGATATTCGAAAAGCGCATGAGTTGCTAGACTCTCACAACGCCGGTGGCAAGATTGTTGCTAAACATTGAGGCCCCAAAGGGGTGAGAGAGAATGGAAAGGGAGAGGACGGAGACAGCAATGGAGCAGTCCTGCCTCACCACAGCGACAGGGAATCAAACAGTTAGGTATCTGTCGATAATCAGATTGATGGGTAGAGCAATTTTTCCCGTGCACCTCTATGTGATTCCATCTGTACGACAAGGCTGAGCAAGGCTGAGGATTTCCCTGCGTCTCACAAGAAACTCAAATACGAGGTGCGTGTACTAAGCCTGAAATAGAATAGCGCCATGTCTCGCATCTGCAACAAAATCGCCCCGAATCTTGCTCGAAACGCGGCGCGTCTCAGAACATCGGGACGACTGAGACTTACACGGTTTTCTCTTCTCCTTGAACGACGTCCCATAGGTCGGCGGCTGTGAACCACACCAGGCTCCTCCCCTTTCCTGCATTTTGGCATCTGTCAAGCTCATCCTGCGGCATCTAGTGTCATATCACCGCGATCGGACTGAGCAACAGTGAAATCTGGGGCAACACTTGCCCAATATGGGCTCAGATACCGCCATGATCTGGGACAAGGAGAAGCCATCCCTCCCCAGGAGCTTATCAGGAGAGAGAACTGTTGTCGATCAGACCATTTAGTCGCTGATCCTGTGTCCGGTCTCTCGTCCGTCACGTCATATCACTCACAAGATCGCCTCCACACCAGAGGATGCTAAGCTCATCTGCGACCAACAGCGGCGGCTCTGCTCCTGAAGTTCCCTGTTGCTACGAGCTAGAGGATGAGGCTGAATCTTATCACCTGTGACCCATACGGAGGCCTCTTTTCCGGACACGACACAGCGCCACGGGGGTTACCTTGATGCCACAAGCAGGCATTGTCTGAATTCGTGCTGTCCCAGTTCGCCAATCTCCTATCTCGTCCCATGGCAACCTTTTCTGCACAGTCGTTCCCCAGGCTAGCGGGTCATTGTCGTCTTCTCTGCGTCGTTCATTTACATATCCCAGGGAGACCGACCACTTCCACTTCCACTCTTTTCAACTGTCGAGTTTCTCCCCCGGTCAACTTTCTCTACGGCGCTGGCGCTGCGCGCTGGACGCCGCTGTTCCTTCATTTCTTGTTGACTGTATTTCCGTCATTCGTTGAGCTTGACCTTCCAGCTTTTGATCTACACGTAGAACCTCCATCCCGGCCGAAGAACCAAACACTATACGGCAGCCTCACAGGATGCAAACAAGACCGATTCAAGTCTTCCTCCTTGTTTTCACACTGATCTTGGCTATATTTCTGTTGATTGCCGCATCCAAATACGCAGCTTGGAGCCATGTTATGGTCCCGGCAAGTGGGAGTTGGCTGTAAGTTTGGCTATCGTCCTCCACTGCACATTGGGCACTCTTTTGGAAAATGTCTTTGCTGACCTATACCTGTATAGGCCTCTCATATTCTACGTCGCCACCATTCCGCTGGTTTCTCTTCTCTATGCTGCTGTCCATCTCGCCGCATTGCAATTCAATGCGCTACCTGCCCCTCCGCTTTCTGGCCGAAGAAGCGTCGACCCGTCGTACGATGCCAACTACACCGCCAGCACCACAACCTTCATCCTGGCCATCTCGATTCTCCACTTCCTTGCGTGGCTTGCCCAAGCCTGCCTCTGTACTGGTTGCGAGCTTGCACCGATTCTCGCCGGCACTCAGGGCCGAGTCCCGCGCTGGTGCCCACAGTCCCGCTTCAGGGACTCTGGAAATCCCAACTTGGCCGACATGCTCGGCACTCTGGCCACCGTCAAGGACTTCATGCAGTGGGTCATGGTCCTCTTCACAATCGCGCTGATCGAATGCGCAAGGCGGGAAAGCCGCAGTGCCGAGCACGCGCGGAGAGAGCTGTTCCGACGGGCAGGGACCGGAGTTGACTTTGGAGGGCCAAGGGGAGATGCCAAGGGCTCGAACCAAGTGCCGCTCACCGTCATCGGCAGCAATATCAGCGGACCAAGGATCCTTACGCCCGCTGAGATCGCTGCTCAGCAGCGGCAACAGCAAGAAGAGGAGGACCGAAAGAAGAAGCAAGCGGAGGAACGACGGAAGCAAGCACAGCTGCCAGCCGGGCCTGGTGTACCGGACAACAAGCCCGACAACTACTATGGAAACGGTATGGGCAACGGGCTGAAGAGGACAAAAACGCTAAACTATATGTACGATACACGAATATAGTCTGGACCACCCGGCCTAGCCTAATCAGAAAGAGTCACCTCTGTTGGATTGTGAAGCGGACTCATCTGCACATTGGAGCAACGTTCCAGACGAGAATTTCAATCGAGCATCGATAGACCCAGTGTTTATAACAAGAGCAGTAGTCGCAGCAAGTCTCAACCGCGGCCAACTAAAAGATCAGCCCAGGCAGACACTCTTTCTATAGGTGGTTATCTACATGATGTGTGACGCGTGACGTTGTTTTGCCTTTGAGGCCTAACGGTTGATTCTGCGGCCACCAGGGTAGAGGTTTTGGCATCGTGGAGTCTCCTCCCCCTACGAAAGTGGTGCAGGGCAGCATTCATCTGTCCGATGATCGGAATGCCACTGCCGAGAAAACCTCTTCCCTTGGACGCATCATTCTGTACTGTCACAGATGCGGAAGAGAAAAACAATTCTGACGGCGGCATTTTTGGAAATGGAGAAGTTAGACGCACCTTGGTCTTCTTCGCCGCGGTGGGTGGTGGCTCCCAGTATATTCCGTTTAATATTGGTCTACAAAGCAGAGAAGAGACGGTGGGTTTGACAACAATGAAAATAGAACAGGCAAAAGGCTGGAGGGTAGAGCTGCATCAGTGGTGATGATGCGAAGGTCGTAAGCGAATGCGACAACAGGGAGAACTTGGTATCCATCCAGGGGATGCCTTGCCGGTTGGAATCGACCTCTGGGTTATGCCAGACACATTTGGCACAGTCAAGGTATCTAGAATATCTTTCGTGATGAGCTGTACCGGGGCGCGGCATGTACACAACGAGTGTCTTGTGCGGCCGTGAGAGCAAGCACAGATCTGCGTACATACATACATACAGTAGTCCGATGCAGCTAATGCCCTAGGCTGATGAGGCTGCTCCACCCCACGAGGCAGCGGGTGATGAGACTGGCGGGATACCGGATACACGGCTGCCGTTACGTGCCAAATAGGGGTTAACACCACCCAGCTGGGGTCCGAAATGTACGAAGGTACAACAATACCATCCAGGCCTCCGTCATTCTGTGAGCAAAAAGACCCTGATGTTCTGATAGATCAGCCAGGCATCCGTCATTTCGACCTATGGCTCCCTTCTTACCAATAAGTCTGTGATGTATATGTATCTACGGATGGTGTCAACATGCGAGCTGTCCGAGACAGATCCCGGGTTCTCCGTCACGTCTTGATCCTTGAAACGCTCTGAGCGATCGGCAAGATGGCAATGTTCGAAGACGAGCCACGGCAACAATCAACAGAAAGCCAGCCGTTGCTTCAAGAACAAACGCCACACCGCACAGCCCAACCACCCCGGGTGTCGAGAGCGGTGTTCTGGAAATTATACGCCCTCGTGTTCTGTGTCAATATTGCTTTTCAGCTCTTGATCCCGGCTCAGACCGAAATATTTGAGAACATCTACTGTAAACAGTGGTATCGTCGCCATCCCAGGCCCGACCTGCCTGCCCATCGTCCGGTTCCGGAGTCGTTCTGCAAGATCAGTCCCATTCAAACTCAAGTCTCGTCGCTGAAAGGATGGCTCGAGGTCTCCCAGGCTGTACCGGGTCTGCTCTTGAGCATACCCGTCGGCGTGCTTGCTGACCGCATTGGCCGTCGGCACATTCTCATCGCAAACGCACTGTCGATTTTGTTGATGCAAGTGTGGATCACGGCCGTCACCTGGTTCGACGGGCGTTTCCCTCTCCAAACTGTCTGGCTAGCTGGTACCCTCGGCCTGTTCACTGGCGGGAGCATGGTGACGGAGATGCTCTTCATTTGCATCTTGTCAGACATAAGCCCCCATGATCGACTCGCCGATACGTTCGTCTTCACGACATCCTTTTCCTATATCGGCAGGATGCTCGGGCCGTTGGTCTCGGGCATCCTGATGCGATGGAGTCCATGGTATCCCGTGTACCTAGGTCTTGGGGTTCTGGGAGTCACCATCTTTGTGGTTGTGTCGTTACCGGAGACACTGCACCTGCAGAAGCGTGAAGACACAGCGACTGAAGAGACGTCCTCGGAGCGTGACGAACGGACAACAACAACACCACCACCACCACCAAATAATCGATCTTCGTTCACTGCTTCGCGAACATCTATTCGCAAAGTTTTAAAGATATGGAGTGATTGGCGGCTTGTGGTTGTGGCATTGACTCTGCCGTTGAAGATCATCTTCTACGCTTTGAACGACCTGGTTCAACGATACGTGTCTGACAGATACGGCTGGACTTTGGCGAACGCCACGCTCCTTTACTCCCTTCAGGCTGCGACGACGACTGCGATGCTATTGACGGTCCTCCCTCTGATCTCCAACTACATCGACAGCCGCTTCTCGATCAGTGTTCTTCAGAAGAACGTGGTCTTGACCAGGGCGTCGCTATTCGTACTTGCACTGGCATACGCAATCATTGGGCTTGCACCAAACCCAGCCATCATGCTTATCGGCATGTTTGTCGAAACGCTCTCGACCGGTCTCCCTGCGACGATGCGTGCTCTGGCGGCAGCTTTGGTCAGCAGCCAGGACAAGGGGAGCGTGTTCTCCGTCATGGCAGTGGCTGAAACGCTGAGCACGATGATGGCCTACCCTGTCACTGCTATGCTGTTTAATATCGGCTTGGAGCACGGTGGAGGGGTGTGGCTGGGCCTGCCTTATGATTTCGTCTCCGTTGCTGCCGCTTTGGCTTGTATCATTATGTGTCTGCTCCGATTCGAGAGACGTGTCGGGATTTCATAGTTGGATAGGGACCTGATCCGGACGGACACTTCTAGAGAAGGCCGTGGGTAAATAGATCGGTTGACGATTTAGAGAGGTTTGTGTAGGAAATGTGGTGTTGTGGTTGTACTCTATATTCTCAATGTCGTTGAAATGGCGGCCTGCACCTGCTGGTAGTGAGTGCGGCCGCATCAGATCCGCCGCCGCTTATATACTTCCCGCTCCAGCACGGAAAACGATGGTTAAGAGACAGAGATTGCGCGGGCGAGGGCCGAGGCTGGTCTCATGCTATCTAGCGACTACCGCTCAGGCAGTGGCAACCATGCACGCGTTGACCCTCTGCTGATACAGAGGGAGGCTGGTTGAGGCATACCTGTAATACTAGGTGGCCAGCGCCCGTAGACCGCCCCCAAAAATATGCACCGTCGCCTAAAATTAGGGGGGCCTTACAGACTGCAACCCCCAATGCACCGCTTGACAGCACCCTTTGTCTCTTCCATGAGCTCGCTCTGGAAATCACATATTGCTAGGGAGGAAGTCACTTGGGCTACCTTAACCTTGAGTGCGCAATATCTCTGACCGTAGTGAAGTCCTCGCTTACCTGGTATGTTATTGTGTGCTTGTATTCATAAGCAAGTCGGTTATAGAGAGTGAGGTGCATGGATGGCGTCATGAGCGACCTCGATGGCGCCCGCGTCAACCAATGCGCGGCAGAAGTTGGTCAGCTACGCGAAACTGGTACTTCACAGCATCCATGTCTAGCGGCCTCAATCTCCGCAACATTCAAGCAATCGAAGTCGACCGAATTTGCAAGGGGGGACGCATGACGATGATGATCACGACACGATAATCTGATAATACCGAGTTCCCTCGCCCTCCCCACTCACACACACTCTCTCACACTCCTCTCGCCTCGCGGCTTTCCCCTACGAAGAGCCCGCACTCGTAAGGTAAACCACAGGAACCAGAATGGCTTCGGCAACGGGTGTCCCAGAGGAGAACCCCGCGTTACAAGAGGAAGAACCGCTCCTCGGGCGCCCTGGCGATGTCACCCAGAAGCCAGGACAAGGGCTGCAGTTCAATCTGGTCACCGGCACTGGTAAGCAAGCAAAGCTACTCGACTTCCCAGGGCACACCAGAATTGTAGCCACCGACGAGGCAAGGAACGCTGACATTGTGTGACCCATGTGTGTAGCAATCCTCGCTCAAGCAGGCATATGGATCCTTGCCGCCCTCGTATGGGCTGCCATCTTCGAGAACAACTTTATCTTCTTCTCGTACCATCCTCTTCTCAACTCGGCCGCCACACTCCTTTTTGTCCAGGGCACGCTCGTGCTGCAGCCGACAGCATTGCAGAAAGACAAGATACACGGAACATATGCGCATTCTGTATTCAATACGTTGGGAGTAGCAGGTACGTACCGTACCGTCTTGCAAGCCGACCCGCAGGAGCTCGCATATCAGTACCAATTCGAGGATATCTTGTGTTTTGTGGTGCTGACACATACGTCCACAAACAGGCTTGATCGCAGGCTTGGTGGTTATTGAGTTGAACAAGGCCTCGCATCCAGAGACCAGATTCACCAGTATCCACGGCAAGCTGGGCCTGGTCGCGTACATACTCATTTTCATTCAATGGCTCGTTGGGTTTGCACAGTTCTTCGTACCTCGACTGTTTGGCGGCGTCGACAGTGCAAAGGCAATTTACAAGTACCATAGGTGAGGAGGACTGTTGTTGTTGCTCGCCTTGGGCAAATTCTTATTGGATTATGCATGTGAATTGCTGACACCCGAGCTACAGAGTATCAGGGTACGTCCTGCAAGTATACATGCTGGCCGTAATCGCTGCAGCCACGCAGACCGCCTTCAACAAGAACGTTCTGCACATCAAGCTGTGGGCCGTCATTGTCGCGAGTGTCTTGGTCTTGGCTGGTGTCCTTCCACGCATCAAGAAGCATAAACTTGGATTGTAGTCGATCAGGGCCGGGGCGTACACCGCCCATGGCACGTGATGGCTTGGTTGACAAATGGTATCGATATCCGCACTGTGAGGAAGGTGTTTGCGGAACGAGGTAATGAGATGGCGCGGCATTTATTCGGTTGACGTAGCGTTCATCTAAAGCATAAAGCAGAATAGCACCATTGCACGAGGCGTCCATAATGGGTCGCGGGTCTAGCCATGGGATGAGGTCGTCAATAAACAATTGATGATCAAAAAGATACCTACATAGGTAGACAAGATAAGCGTTGGTTAAATGATTGCTCACGGCAGAAACTAAGTATCCAGAGCTCTCTTTTGACCGAACTGAACCACCGACTAACGGAAGATACAGCAGATGGGCGGTGCTACAAGTGTCAATTAACTAGTCTCTCTCTCTCAAGCCAAGTCGTGCCTCTGAATCATCTTTGATACGGCACACACGGTCAGGTATTCAACAACACCCGACTTTCCGCCAAAGCAGAGAGACAGGACAAAGACAAAGAATCCTCCGTGTCGGACCTAACGGGATGTGTTATCGGACTGCAATGTCGCTCGGCTCGCGCCTCTGCACGACCCGGTCCTGGCCTGCCGCAAGCGCCTCCAATCTCGCTGCTTGGACACGGTGTTTCTTGATCACGGAGATCCATTCTGGTTCGGCCAACTGTCGCGGCTGCGGCAGAGACTGTACGACGGGCGATGTCTCCTCTGACTCTGACTCTTTTTGCTCCTCATCACTTTTGTCGACGTGCTCGCCGGCGTCGTCGTCTTCGTCTTTTGGTTCGCCGTTCTGTGGGATTTCGGAACTCTCCTCCTCTCCATCTGCCTCTTCCTTCTCCTTCTTCTCCTTCTCCTCCTCGTCGTCGTCGTCGTCGTCATCTTCATAAAGCGTCGCAATCATGAGACTAAAGTCCGCACCTAGTCGACCTAGACTGTTGGCCGCGTACAGAACTTGCATGAGCAGAGATTCCCTTACTGCCGGGTCCGTAATGTTGGGCAGGTACTCCTTCAACGTTGCCATGAAGATCTCGACCAGGTGGAGCGGGAAGGATTGTAAAGCTGGAGGCAGAGAGAGTGAAAGTGAGAGCGAGCGCGATGGTGAATTCGAGCCAGTGTCCCCTTGAGACGAAGACTTGGTGTTGCTCTCACCACCCGCTCCGCCTTCATCGTCGGGAAATATACTCCGGTACATACTTATCGTGGCGAAGGATTGTTCGCGGAATATCTCAATATAACGCTTCAGGTACCTTTCGGTCTGTTGGCCGGCGAGAGGGTTGTATGAGCTCCCGCCGGAGCTGGATGATTTGCGGGTGACGTCGGGTCGTGTGTCGCGCGTCGCTAATGTCGAGGACCCGTTTGTTTTTCGCGCTTGTGTCTCTTGGTCGGCGAGCTCGCGCAGTGGAGCGAGAGCTTCGGTCATGCTGAGAAACGTGGCGAGGCGGGCGCAGAGGAACAGTGCACCAAAGTGCCCTTCGTCTTGGGATGTGGTGGTTTGAGACGACGAGGACATGCTGAACTGTGTGCCTGGCGCCTTCGACGGGCGTGTCTCAGAGCTGGACGTGTCTAGTTCGGGAGCGACACGGCGTAGCCAACCTATCATGCGGATAGCGGCGGCCAGGCGGATGTTTTGTGTACGCAGGCTAGAGATGAGGTTGCTCGTCATCTCCTTCATGGCGACTTCGGCATCCGCGACGACATCCTTGACTAGCTGGGAGTCCGGGTATAGGATCTGGAGGCGTTTGATGTGTGCGAAGAGATCGAGGGCTTGCGTGTAGTTTGCACCGGAAGTGGATGTAGCGTTGGCGTTGCTGCTTGCCGATGCTATGGCGGCGGAGAGAAGGGAGGGAAGCTCGAGGATGTCCTGGGTTTTGTCGGCTTGGCGGGCCAGCATGGCTGATTCCCGCCGCCTAGCGAGAAGCGCATTGCCGCCTGTTGTCTCGTCCTTGGAGCGGTTGTATGTCGATGCGAATTTGACCGCGCTCGAGTCGAGGTCGGGGATGGCGCCTTTAAGGGCATCGACTGAAGAGGATAACGAGGGTAATGATGTGCGGAGTGTGGACAGCTGGTCTGATGAGGTGGTCGTTGTGCGATGTGAACGTGAGCTTAGTGCTTGGATTGAGACCAGATTTGATTGAGCGGACTGAGCCAGAGACTGTGGCTCGGTTGTGGTCAAATCAACCAGGCGGAGAGAAACCAAACGTGACAAGTATCTAGATATCTCAAGATTGGAAGCTGACGTCGTGGTTGTGGTTGGAGAGGTTTCTATAATATGAGGCCTCAAGAGCTCGTACAGAGGGTCTGCCATCTCGAGAGATGTCCTGTACGTATTTTAACTTCCGAAAACACCTTCTGCTGTTCTTCTTCACCCCGTTATCGAACATATATCGTGTTGTTTTAACCAGATATTGAAATCTGGACGTTCTGGCCCGGGTCGGGGAAATATGGTGCCGTTCCGTCCCGGCACACCTACCATCTTCGCATGAACGCTGAGCTTAATTCTGGCGACAGCCATCTGAGATTAAGATTGCTCTGACAACCCTCATAAAGTCTGGGGTTCCTATAAGTCCCAGACAGATGTGTGGCTTCTGATGGGTCTGGACGAATTCAACGACTGCTACTTCGACTACGAAACATGTGAGTATTGCGACCTACTGGAAACCTGGTAACAGCTTGTACGTGTACGGGGTGTTTGTGAGTATCGTACCTCATTTTACTCAAGTGCCAACTGCCGTAACGACGCTGCTTCAGTTACGCTCCAATATCGAGACATTTCATACAAGGTGGCGTGGTGATGACCGTGCAGACAATGACATTCTCACGTTGATAACCTCCGCACTCGGTATGGAGAGCAGAGATCAGACTTGCTTCAACAGGGCTAGCCTGACTAGCCCGACCCCTGCCTTTTCGACGCATTGTAAGTGGTAAGTGATCCTTAAGCTATCTTGTCCCCTGCCATAGATCATGCTGATTGAGATATATGAAGCTACGGTAGTATCCCAACGTTTCATCGATCATCGTATACAGCCCTTACAAGCCCTATGGAAGTCTGTACTTGTCCTCCGCAAAGTCGGAATTACCCGTCCCTCGGAACATCACTATTCCCCTGAGAATGGCCTAGGCTGGACTCGAATTCCAGAACCTGTCTAAGCCCAAGACCAATATGGAAGGTAAGATAAGAATCTGTGACGAGGCTCGTTGCAACCAAAGCCGCGGTTTGGTCTGGCCGTACTTCGAAATGAGAGCGAACTACTCTTGATAAGGCGCTTCGCTCTGACTTTGTTGCTCGCTATCGACGTGGAAGCACGGCTTCGTTGGAGTGGTGATATTCTGCCCGCATCGAACTAGGCAAAGTGAGAAATTCTTTACAAGACAGACAATTCTTTATCAATCCAGACCCCCAGGCCACCTCGACTGTTCAGAACTATAGTCCATCGACCCAAACCCCTGATCTTCGATTTAGTGGTTACCGGTGCTGGATGCACGACTGAAACGCCCTCTCCCACCACCCACCGTTCTGGTCACCAGCAAACCGATCCAACAGTCTACCGTCAATCATGGCCAATATGGCTACCATGGCCGACCTCGCCACTGAAAAACACGACACAGCTGCTCTTGCAGCAGCCATCTCGAAAGATGAAGTCCTTCATGAGAGGGCCCAGGCTGCCACAGAGCATGAAAAGAAATCCAAGTTTTTAGATGCAATTCGTCTGTACCCAACCGCTGTTGCCTGGTCCATGTACTTCTCTCTGGGCATCCTGATGGCCAGCTTCGATCCTCAACTTGTTGGAAACCTGTTCGCCATCCCTGCCTTCCAACGAGACTTCGGCTACAAGTTCCAAGACGGATACATCATCTCCGCTCCGTGGCAGACTGGCCTGATGATGGGAAGCCCCATCGGTCAGGTAGTTGGAGCACTATTCGCGGGATATCCGATGGACTGGTACGGTCGCAAGAAAACATTCATGGCATGCGTCTTTGCAACAACTGGCCTTGTCTTCTTCCAGTTCTTCGCGAGGTCACTATCGGTCTTACTCGCCGGCGAATTGCTTGGTGGTTTGGTTCTGGGTTGTTACGTTGTCATCGCACCGGCATATGCATCGGAAGTGTGTCCGGTGGCCCTCCGAGGCATGCTCACGGCTTTTGTCAACCTGACGTTCGTCACTGGTCAGTTGCTCGCCTATGGAGTCGCGGCGGGAACCCAAAAGATCGACAACCACTGGGCCTATTCCATAGGCTTCTCCCTCCAGTGGCTGTGGCCTATCCTCATCTTTGCTGGAATGCCATTTGCACCGGAGTCTCCCTGGTGGCTAGCTCGAAAGGGTGACTATGATGCTGCGGAGAAGGCGTTACGGAGCCTTTCATCTTCCAAAGTCGACGTCAAGTCCACTCTGGCCATGATCATCGAGACAGATCGTTTTGAGCGCGCCATGGAGGCCGGAAGCACATATCGGGACTGCTTCAAGAAGATCAATCGTCGTCGAACTGAGATTGCTCCTGGCGTTTATTCAATTCAGGTCTTGTCAGGTATTCATTATTATTTCTATACACCTTAAGCTATCTAAGCTTATGATGAGACAGGTATCTATATGTTGGGATTCGTCACCTATTTCTTTCAGCGTTGGGTTCATGATACCTTTTTCTCGGGTTCAACTGACAGTAAGCAGTGGCTGGCCTTGAAGGTGAGAAGGCATTCGATATGGGCCTAGGATACCTCGCATTAGGCTGGGTGGGGACCATATGTTCGTGGTTCCTGCTCCTGAAGGTCGGCCGTCGACGTATTTACAATACTGGTTTGTTCATCATGTCCTTTTTAATGATTGTGATTGCAATTTTGGACTGTGCACCAAATTATCTCAATCGGCCTGCCGTCATCTGGACGCAGTCTTCCTTGATGGTAACTATTCTTCTCGTGCTTTGGATGAGTGGCTTATGTCTGACTTGTTCGAATCAGATCCTTTGGAACTTCTTCTTCGATTTATCTATCGGCCCGGTCGCTTACGTCTTATTCTGCGAAGTACCCGCTACAAGGGTACGAAGTAAGACCATTGCATTTGCCACGGCAGCGCAAGCTACTATTGGCATTGTTATGACCGTCGCAATTCCATATATGATCAACCCGGATCAGGCGAACATGCGAGGGAAGTGCGGATTCTTCTTCGGTGGCATCTCTTTCCTTTGTTTTATTTGGGCGTATTACCGAATCCCGGAGACCAAAGGGCGAACCTTCAAGGAACTAGATATCATGTTTGAGTTGGAAGTTCCAACTAAGGAGTTCAAGAACTATGTTGTTGATTTCAGCACCTCGGTACGAGACACCAAAGAGGTTTGAGCTGAGATGAGAGCAAAAGAAGGATGTCGGTCCGCGAATTCACCCAAAGGGCCCGATGCGTTATCGTTCAGTTGAGATTCTAAATGTTATCCTAGCTGGCCGCATCAATCATCTTAACTGTTGTCCCTCGCTATGGCTTGAATTTGATTCCTCTGAGGTACATCTCATCACATGCGAAGATTAAAGTTGATATCATTGGGTTTATGTTATGTAAGCACAATCGGGCTTTCGCGTTCAACTCCATGTAACGTTACCTTTCTCAACCCATGTTGGTGATAATGGATATAACCTCAAAGAACTCCTGAGAATCTTTCCTGTTGACTTATTGTTGGTGCTTTGAGCCTAGAACCTAAACATTATCATTCTTTTGGTTGATCTCAGATTCATTTAATTCCTCAAACACTAGATCACATCTCGATAAACTTGTGAAAATTGAGCCCCACTATCAACAGCCTTTGATCAGATTGATCGCGTCCAAACGATACCATGACTGCCTCAGAAGGTCTCTTCCCAAACTCGTTGATCTCAGATGAAGTCAAGGCATCTCTTCCAGAAGGCTACACTGTCCGATCACTAGAGAGGACTGACTTTGCCAAAGGCTTCTTGGACTGTTTACGGGTCTTGACATGGGTCGGAGATCTCACAGAAGAAGAATTCTATGAACGCTACGATGAAATGAATACGCAGGGGAAAGGCACCTACTACCTTATTGTCATCGAGTATGAGGGTCGCATTGTGGGCACAGGGAGCCTAATTGTCGAGAAGAAATTGTAAGTCTTGCATGGTAGCCCGTCGACACGATTCGAGATCGAGCTTTGGGGTTCTGCCATCATCTAACAAGAGATACGCCCAGCATTCATAATCGCGGTATATGCGGCCATATCGAAGAGGTCTCGATAGCCAAGGAGCATCAAGGAAAACACTTGGGCCAGAAAATGTTAGCATCCCTCGACTCCGTCGCTAAGAGTCTTGGATGTTATAAGTCAATCCTCGATTGCAGTCCGCAGAACGAGCCTTTCTACGTCAAGTGCAATTACCACAACTCGGGCACGGAAATGTCTCATTACTACGAGGAGTGGAAGGAGCCATATTATCGAGGTTGATGCAGAAGTTGGAGTGATGCATCGCGCAACTCGATCGACTCTGGATACCGAATGTCGCTGCGTGTGTGGTACCAAATGATATGGATCATAGCCCGACATCCATAGAGTCTAGCTTGTCTCAACCATACTGATTTGTTGGACTCCTAAACATCATCTCAATCTTGCAGACGAGGCGCTAAGGTTCAAAGCATCGGTGAGCTATTGTCTCCTCTTCTTCACAGATTGATGTCCCAGGTTGCTCGTCAGGTTGCATGACAAAACCCTGAAGGTCTGCCAAGGACTGCGAGCTCGACATCCATACGGGCTCAGCGCGTGCAAGGTTCCTCGCAACAGCCTCAGCTGGGTTCTTGTCGCGCCGGACAGACACGTGCGAGTTGACCTACTTACGTCTGGTCGTGATCCTGGTGTCTGAACTTTATCCAAAGCCCTTATCATTAGCCTACGGGGCCGGGTTAATCGGTGTTGGATCCGGAGCGACCCCGGCCGCTCCCTTTTCGGAAGGAGGCTGGGCTGGAACGCCCGCATAAGCCGGGAATTCATTCAGCGACGATATCTTGTTGCTTCGGTAATGCTGATCAAGGCAGGATTCGCGCAAGATATTTCCTTTTATTCCCAGACCCAGACCCTGAGGTACAAGGACGGTGAATTCCGAATAGATACGAGCCTCGAGGGAGACTTGCACTTCGCAGTGATACCCTGTCAGGGCCCCTGTCTCTTTCTTGACATGCTTCCCTGAGCTTCATGATGTTGATTTACGGGCCTTAAGGTAGTATTTGCAACTCCAACAGGAGATTGTGACCATCAATCTCTTCGAATACGAGATGACACAAATGACACGGTATGATCTGAAGCAATCGAGCGTACTCACATATCTTCCTACCAGCGAAACTACTCTGTGCGGCCCGCCCCTAACGACACACTCTCCTGCGTCACATCGGTGCTGATAGTTGAGATGGAACTGTTCGGGAGGACCTTTGTCGCCTATCATTTCGACTTTGCGGTAACCGATGATATTGCTCTTTTAGGAGAATCCTCAATATTTCCCCAGAAACCTGGGAGCGCCAGGAATTCCTGCCTTGGTAGGGAAGCCTCCAGAACGCCATGGGTTGTTAAACTGGCAACAACTCGTGCCATTAAAATGAACGATCACCTGCAGAGCAAGCTATTCTTGAGTGCGTTCCGCTCGACGCGCCTATCCTGTGCGAGCTGTTCGGCACAAATCTACAGGAGTATATGTCCGTACAGCGATCTCTAAGAAATATTAAGCCTTTGTCACTTGCTTAATTGTTGAATACGCCTTTTCTACGGTTGGGCATTGTGGCGGAGATGGAGGTTTCACCAGACAGTTCTGTTAGCTATCATCAGCTCAGTCAAACCTGGCGCAGAGGTGATTTGAGATGCACAAGAAGGCTACGTAGGTCGCTCAGTCGAGAAGGCCATCAAAACCTATACATTAGTCCTTGCAGCTGTAGATGATAGAAAGACGGAAACAACGTTGGACCCCCGGGCTTGATGGCAGCAGTGTGAGGTTGAGTTCAGGCTGGAAGTGCAGGATCTGCCATATCTGCCCGGACACCAACCACTCCATATTGTCTCTGACCGGTTCTCGCCCAGGATATCGTCTTATATTCAATCGTGGCATTGGTGGTTTGATCACCCGTTACCCCCATGACCATATAGGTTCCCGGTATGAATCAGACTATAGCGATTCTAGCACTAACCCCAAAGGACACTGCCAATGACAAAGGCAAACCCAGTCGTGGGAAGCAAACGGTACGTTTCAGCCCTTGATATGTCTTTGATTGGCTGTTCAGCGCTACAATTGCGACGTTACATCAGGAACAATCAGACAACGTCCACCCTCGTCCGAAGGTCAAAACCATTCAGAACTCGAGTGAACGCGATATAAGAAAACAGTTTCTTTCGAGATAGGCGCCCTGCCATTTAAGAACACCGTTACTGTCCCCAGGCTGACTATATAATGATATTGGTTCAGCAAACGTTGTTCTCATAGTTGATCAATATCGCTGTCTCAATCACCCCGACATGGCAAAATCTCCCAATGTCGAATCCTTGGAGCGCGATGGCTTCGTTGTCATCAGGTCCGCCTTGACACCCGGGGAGATCGAGAAACTGCGCGACGCCTGCCAACGGGTAACTGCCCTCGCTCGACAAGGCCAGTGGCCGCACGTACGCACGCTCCCGAAGCAATTTCCCCCTTGGAACGTCAAAGAAGGCCAGAACCCAGCCGAGGCAGGCATCTGGGGCGTTCAAGGCCTTATGCATCCAGCGATGCTCGAGCACGACTTGTTCACCGCCACCTACTTCTCCGACGCTCTCATCAACCCCACCAAGGAACTGCTACAGTGTGGAGACGATGAGCTCGTGATGGAGCTCTTCAACCTGCTCGTCCGCCCCGACCACGACTTTGAACTCCGCTGGCACCGCGACGACATTTCCGAGAAGGCCACTCCCGAGGAGGAGCTCGAACGTCTTGCTAAGCCGGCATGGCATACACAGTGGAACCTCGCCTTGTACGACGACAGCAGTCTCATAGTCGTCCCGGGTTCCCACAGACGGGCGCGGACAGCTACCGAGCGTGCCGCCGACCCGTACGAGAAAGGTCTCCCTGGCGAACTGCACGTGCAGATGGGCCCTGGTGATGTCGTCTTCTACAATAACAACATCCTGCACCGCGGGGCGTACAATAGCGAGAAGGAACGCATGACTTTGCACGGAAGTGTCGGCCACTCCAACGGTGGCAGTCTCCGCGCGAGGAATGTCCTACAGCATGGACTGCGCGAGTGGATCGATCAATGCGATTTCTCCAAGATGCCGGACTTGGAGCGCGGTCGTGCAGAAGGAATGCGGCGGCGATTGATTGAGTTGGCGAACAAGTCTGGCGATGTGGGATATTCGCTGGAGGGTTGAGCTCGAGCGGACGTGATCTCCTTTTTGTGCACCGACCATTTTACACAAGAAAGGGAGACTAGGTTTGCATGGACAAGTCCACATATCATCCATACTTGAAAGGGGTTGAAATGCGACTTAAGAGTCCAGACCAAGCCATTTACCTGTCCATACACAATCGAGAGTGATTCGAATGTCTCATAAGTACAACACTGACGCCCGGGACATCCTCGAATAGCATCGAGCTGAGCTGAACGCGATGTATGTCAACCCAGGTCACAAAACATAGCTTTTTGTATAGCCAGGCACTCGGGTGGCCAGAGATCTGATTTCAAACAAGTCTTCAACGATGCATTGATATGTCAGGATGCACGCGATGACCTAATAGGAAGGTTACATCGAGTCACTCCCCAGGTATGATACTATATTCTCCCCACGAGACTTGGAAGTAACCCTCCGCTCAAGCAAAGTCCCGATAACACGGTCCTCCCTGTGGAGGCTAGTGACGGGGATGTGCACCTCAGGCTCCATGGAAGACGCCTCGGGAAAAGTAAGGGCAGGGATGTACGCTCAGCCCAGCATGGACAATTTATCTACTCCCTAGGCCGTCCTTCAAGCAGGGGTCCTTGGTTGATGACGCGGGTAACTTAGCCAAGGGCTAGGGAAAAATGTCAGGCCCCTATCTGATCCCAGCCTTGCGGAGTATGTATGGGCCCCAGGCTGCCATATATCCCTCCCCATATCCTCCGTCACCTCATCTCTTCATGTAAACTATGTAATAAAGCTGTGATGTATACACAAGACTGCACTCTGTGGGTGGGTTTTGTCCACGGCACCTCGCGCTCTACTGCTCTTGGTTAAGGTCCGGTCCGTCCATGCATGCTGAGTCAGACCAATTAATGTCGGCTCGGTGATTTCTTTTGCGTTTTAGCCATTGGTAAACAGGCAACACTCAATCGTTCAGCTGCTGCTTGACGAAGTCCCAACCATCAATCCGACATATCAGTTTCAATGTGCCCTGGCACGCTCTGATATCCAGAATGAACGACCCCTGTTTCTAGTCCGCAATCTGATGAGATGCTCTTCGCTCACTGACGTCTCCTCGGTCCTCGAACTAGTTTCACTTTTCTCGTTCTATTTCTCGTTCTACATACTCCTAGAGACCCAGTCGACCAAACAGTACTGACCCCCTTGCATCGCGAGCGAATCCTGACCTCCACGGCTAAGATGGACAACGTATACAGCCGCGCAGCGGGCGACGAGGAGCACATACTCGCATTGCCAGGAGGACGACAGCTGGCGTATGCACACAACGGGCCGTCGACATCACGGACCATCGTCATCTTCTTCTCCGGCATGATGAGTGTAGGCGTCGCTCCCGACGTGCCGGCGCCGTGCCGCGCTCTGGAGGTACACTGGATTGCGCCGACGCTGCCGGGCATGGGCCGCTCGAGCACCCGCGACATGAGCGTGCCATACCACGTCGGCCTGGCGAGGGACATGACGGCTCTGCTGGAGCATTTCTACCCGGACGGCGCCTTCGATGCCATCTACCTCGGCGGCGGGTCGTACGGCACAGTGCAAGCTCAAATGCTCTATGGGGCGCCTTACGACGTATTCCCCGCCGGCCGCAAAGTCGTCGGGTGTGTTCTGCTCGCGGGGTTTTCGCCGGTCAAGTACGACAAGGAATACGCGAGGGGACTGTCGTGGCAGAATTGGGTCTCCTTTGGGCCGCCCTCGCAGCTTCCATTGCGGCCTCTGCAGAGGCTTTTCAGGTCCGTGGTGGCGTCGAAGTTCCAGAAGCTGGACGGCGCCAAGAGCTTTCTTCGCCAGACGATCATAGACAAGATGGACGACGACGAGAAGGTCCAGCTGGCCGAGTGGCTACGCAAGAACGACAGGACCGAGGATGAGTGGGTCGAGACAACGGCCAAGATCGCCATGAGGTCGTGCGACAATTGGGACGGGTTCATGGAAATTTCCGATGTCATTCATTCGGATTGGGGCTTTGCGCCCGCCATGCTGGACGACGAACACGCTTCCAAGCCCATACTGGTCGTGGCGTCGCAGAATGATCACATTGGCGGAAGCAACAATGGCTGGCTTGTGGAGAACTACAGATCGGCCAAATTGAAGATGGTTCCAGGAGGTCACATATCGGCTATCTACTATATGGATGAAATCTGGCAGGACATGATAGACCTGACGGCATAGGTAGAATTCGAATTCTGTGGACCGGGAAGTTTGTATATAGAAAGTCTGAGGGTTCTGGCACGAAAGCACACCACCTCTGGAGGTTCAACGTCTGGCTCATTTTCAAACTTGGAACGAGGTGCTCTTTTTAAATGAGGACGATTGAGGACGCTCTAGTTAGTCGGTGACGCTGCGCCACGCCGCGCCCGTGCGCTCAAAGAGACAACGTCTTTTGCTCGAAACGCGCCGCACACTCCAGGGCAAAGCCGAAGCACCTGGCATACCATCCTCGCGACCAATAGCTCAGTTCCAAGTTGTGCGGAGCTCCTGTGATGACGCTGCCGTCGACCCTTTCGCTGGCAGTAAAGGCGCTTGTGAATTCTTCAAGGTGTTCCTTGTTCCCATTCCACATCAGGTCATGACCCGCAAAACCGACCATCACGGGCACCACCACGGACCCAGCCAGCTCCCTCCACCTGGGGAACCAGACTGTTCCGGCCGACGACATCTCTTCGACGGACATTGAATGGTTCAAGGCACCCGTGTATTTGTAGACGCTTGGGTCGGCGTGTCCCTCTTGGAGCATCATCTTGTCTTTTACCTCGGGGGGAATCACAATCGGCGTTGTCCCAATGTCCTGGGGACTGACTGGCGACTCGGTGGGCTGACTTCCAAATCCAGACATAGAAATCCCACCCAGCGGATACGACGGTTTCTTCCCACCCTCCTCGGATTCCTTTGCGTGCAGTGTCGCGGCAATAATCCCAGAAATGGTTCCGAGACTGTGAGCGTGGAGAACGATGCAGCTGCAACCGCTGGACACTCCGTACTTGGACCATAGAAGCGGGAGGACGTGGCGATGAAGCCATAGTCCGGATTCTTCTGCGTAGCTGGATCCCGCGGGCGTCGAAGTAAACCCTGTGGAACTGTCGTAGCCTGGCCTGTCGATGGCCACGAACGGAATGCCGAGTGCGTTGCTGACTGTCGAAGCAGAGTAGACCTCGTCTACATCGAAGTACTTTGAAGTATAGGTGCCGCCGTGCAGGGCCACAATCAGTGGAGTCGGATTGCGAGTGGGAGTCTGCTTGTTAGAGGACCCTAAAGTGGGATTCAAGCTGTGCAGGCCACTGACGACTTTTCCATCAGGGAGTCCAAGGCTGAATGGCTGCATCCCAGAAAGTGCTCTGTACAATAATATCAACTGCTTTGATTGAAGCGGAAATTTTCACCTGAGCTAAAGTGTGAATGCTTCTTGAGTTGTTTCCTGTGATCACCGTTGATTCAAGAAACGAACTCCCTGCGGAGACAGGTAGAGGCAATGACCGATGACTCAGAGGGAGGAGGTAAGCAGATATTGTAGGCATATCCCTGAAGTACCTACAGAAACCGGCTAGGAGGCGGCGGTTTGGGGCCGGTCGCAAAGGCTCCCAATCAGGTTGTGGACCGAGCCCAGAAAGCTTGTGGCCTGGGCTAACTCGATATCTGGGGTCGCTTTTGATAAGCGGCCCGTAGGAAGACACTCCTGAATAATCGACCTAGCAAAGATGTTTTAGAATGTCATGACTTCTTTCTTTCAAATTATCCAAAGACTGTTAACAACGACAGTTCACATAACCGTCGGATGAGTGGAAACCTGTACATACGTTTTGCTCGGCATACTAAAGCTTACGCCTCCGCTCTCGCTGACATTCTCTGTCCCCAGTCGATACCCATAGACAGTGACTGTATTTTTTCTTGAACAGAGAATCTACGGTACATCTTTTAAATTAGGTTGGTTCAGCATCATACGCGGCGCCGGGGATCTCAAAGTCCTTTCTGTCTCACGCAAGGCCCAAATTCTGCTTTTGTTCAGAGAGCCATTCTTTGGCAATGTTTTCGTGAGTCGAGAACGTCACGCTGTCTCCAAATCCTTTCAGCCACATGATGAACCGTTCAGACATGCCGATGATATGGGCGAGACCCGAAGTGTCCGGGTGCATCAAAATCGGGAAGATGAAGTCCGCCGAGGCACTTCCTTCAGACGAATTTTCCCAGAGCCACATGAACTTGTCTTTCCACATTTGCTCAACAACGCGAGTCGACACGTAGCCCATGCTGTTCGCCAAATGGGGGAGGTACTGCAGCGGCATCATGTCCTCGTTGTACCATCCACACGGTATCTCCACCAGAGGATGTTCACCCTGGGGATATGACTGCGGCGAGATCTGCGTCGGGTGAAGCCAGGAAGAAGCCGGCTTGGAGAAGTCGATGGTCTTGATTGGAGGGTCGCTGGGTGTGAAGTAGGGTTGCGAGTCGTGATGCATGAGCGATGTGTCATAGAGGAACTCGTGTTCGCGGAGCAGCTTGACTGTAGTCTCCCTAATGGTGTACATGGGGGCTCGGTATCCCCGTGGCTTTCTGCCGCACAACTTTGTCGCGACGTCGATGCACTTGAGCAGAACGTCCTTTTCCTGCTCTTCCGTCATCTGATAGATTCCTTCATGAGAGTAGCCGTGAAGCCCGATTTCCGCTCCGGATTCAACCACCCGCTGGACTGTTTCAGGAAACGTCTCTATGGTGTGGCCCGGAATGAACCATGTCACCTGGTCGGCGACTCCGCACTTCTTCAGCATGTCAAGTAGGCGGAGAGCTCCAACTTGGCCTGCAAAGATACCGGAGCTATAGTCGGCCATGTTATTGTCGGGGTGGCAACCCGTGCCGAGCCAATGTGATACCGCGTCGAAATCAAAGGACAGGGCCACTTTGACACGGCGACGGGGTCTCGCTGATGGCGTGGGTGGAATTTGGGTGAGGCTTCCCGCGTCTGAAACCAGATACTCGCAATCTGTCGGCATACCGGCATTGACTGGGGCCATGTCTTGAGGACAAGCGCTGGTGACGATGATGAGATCCGTTTGTGCCTGCAGGGTTACAAACTGGCCCCTTTCGGAGGTCGGGTTCTTGATGTCTAGCGTGCCACGGTGATCAATGGCAACATTCATGAACAGGTTCAGGGGATCGGGGACCCAATCATCCGCGATGTGAAACTGTGGAAAGGTGGCTTTCAAGGCCTGGTGCATGTTGTCGGTACAATTGTCATGGTAGCCGTCGAATCCTTGCATGCGATACCTTTCAGCGTCACAGGCCGACCAGATGATGTCGTGCACGCCTTTTGTTGTGTCCTCTGTCAAGACGAGCATGGGCTTCCTCCTTGTACTGTATAGGGTGTCGCCCTTGGAAAGAGACACCTTGAGCAAAATGGTTCTGGTATGAACCATGGACAAAAAGTCGTTCGCATCATCAGGGTTGAAGGCCCAGAAATCCACCACTTGCTTCCCATGTGTGTTAACGATCCTCACTTCCTGGCCCCTCTTGACGGAAAATGCGACAGCTTTGCGTGCTGGTATGATCGCCATGGTGTTGAAATGCTCTCGCGATGCTGTTGAAACGAACGGCCGGAGTCTTTAGACGAAAGACCGAAAAGCGTGAACTCGATGGTTACTTATCCAGGGAGTACGAGTACGAATACGAGACGGGCGATTTTGAATCCACAACGGGCGTGAATACTCCATCAACGGCACCCACCCCGGCCGATTATGCTGAGGACGTGATAGGGGCGATTCGGAGCAATCGCCCGTATAATCGGGGGTCTCAGCTCAAGTCTATTGAATTTTTTGATCTTGGAAATCTGGTCGCCCGTATAAGAGTAGTGACATCAGTAGAAGAATTTCTAGCTGGCTCAAGAAGTTGATTTAGGTCATCTTATCTAACAACCCCTCAAAATCGGAGTTCACCGTGGTCCATTTAGAAGACGAGCATTGACTCTACTTGGCGGTTTGCACGGCCGTTGTGGAAGTGCCTCTGATGACCAGCTGCCTGAAAATCAGCTTTGAATACCCAGGGGTAGATGCGTCAAGGGTCTGCGCCACCCTCACAGAGACGATGTGTAGCAGTGGTAGACGACCCTTTTGCTCAAGGCGCGACCATGAAAGGTCATGAGCCTGGGCGTCTGTCCAACAGAGGATCACCAGAACCCCCGGATTGAGTAAGCCGACAGAAACAGACAAGGTCCGGGAGGTATCCCTGCTTCAAATGATTCCTGGAGTGACAGCAGAGCTCCACCACAATCTCTAACCGTCGTAGAATTTCGGTCAATCATAGTTTGTGCACCTTTTTGCCGTTGAAGAAGACCAGTTAGGGGTGGGTACTGCAGTATCTCGTCGAGGTTCATGCTTCCTTGTACAGCTATTAAATGCACGTGGCAGTTCCAGAACCGGGTAAAATGTACTTGCCATTCAAATCGACGTCTTCTGCTTCCTCTCCAGCGCTCTCCACATCGTACACTGGTTCTGTGACAGACACGACCTGACCACAGCTGAGTCCTGACTTACGCATTACACTCAACGTTTTCACCTGAGGAGTCAATCAATGACAATAGCGCCGGTGAAGATGTAGGTAGTCGGAACGGGTAGTTTCCGGGTTGTCAACCACACTTTCCAGATCTTTGGCGTCATCTCCAACTGCCATCCTGTTGTAGCACGCGATGCGGTCAGGTGTTACAAGAGAGTGGCCAACAATTCAGAGACTAATATCAAGATCTCCCTGGAGGCTTTTTTGTAACCCCCCATCTCGTGGATAATCCATGGATTCGGAGAAGTGTTCTCATGAATGTAGCGAGAGTCCCTTCGAATGCTTCGCAAGTACGGTGGAGTATAAGTACATCAAATATAGCATCACTTGTGGAGTGCTTGACCCTATAGTTCGATTGAGGCTGCGCTAGTCCAAATCGGCTTTCTAGATCCACTCAACATAACGCTTCCAGTTTCGAAGTCATCCCAAACTCATTCATTGGAAATCAGATTACCATCGATTTCAACTTCATTTCATTCCTTATTAGTTTTCATGTATATCGAATTATGCTCAAACTTGTACCTGCCTGCCCATGGTAGCCCTTTGCGAATCCTTTGCGATCTAAAATCTGCTCCATTTACTTCGCATTCTTATCCGTTTGCCGAAGATGAAGAATAAGAATGGTACTGGAATCAATGCCACAGAGAAGAAAGCGAATATACTGGTACCCCACGGAATACCTATATTGTGGTAAAGTGGTGAGACAACAAGAGGAAACCTGAGGGGTTAAAGTCAACTTCATCCTTCTCATGTATGTATCATACACTTACGCTGCTGCAAAGCATGACCGCAAGAAAGCTGTATCCCTGGTTAGCGCCGTCGCAGAAACAAGCTGAAGGAGCTTACTGTTCGCTCCTACTGCACTAGCAGCATATCGTTGAAAAGTATCCACGAGGTAGTTGAGCGCAGCCTGGAAAATGGTAAAAAAGCCGACACCGGTCAAATACAAGCCGATAGTCGGAGCGATCCAGTGATATCTGATGCAAATTGTCAATGACTGACGGGAATCGGGCTCAGACCGCTTACTTTGGATCTGCAGTCCAGCCTGTCACAAACATGCCTATCTAGATCAGAGGTCATTCGGTGTGAGAGTCGGCCGAGGAGACTCACCGGCGCTGAAAAGAAAAGAGCCAAGCATCATCGGCGGCAGACGTAGTTCTGGGCAAGTCTTACCCCCCGATTTACGATTGTAAACCAGCTGATTATAGACATTGATGCCGGCACCAGTGAATGCGCCAACGAGAATGCCCAAGAACGGTAACTCTGAAGGAAGTTCTTTCCACTTTCGGTGTTCTGCGAAGATAATCGGAATGGCGCCTTTGGCCTTGTGAGTACTTCCACGTTCCAGAGTCACAGTGTATCGCACTTACCGAGCTGCATGTACAAGATGCCATAGCAGAAACTTGCATATAGCGCAACAAGCGCACAAATAGGCGTCATAAGAAGCTGAAAAGGTCGGACCAAGAACTGGACATGTAAGTACACACTGCGACGTTAAAGTCATTGCCAATATGCTTACCTTTGTCGCCAGCTCTTTGATTGATACATCCCATTCTTCGAATTTGGCATGCAAAGCCCAATTTCCGCTCTGGTGGCGCAGCCGGCGGGCCTTGTAGACAAGTAGACGTGGCGGGTACGATTCATCCAAGAAGATCATGTCAATCACCAAGATAGTAAGCATCATTATGCCTGTCAGATACTCAGACCATCGCCAACCGAGGCTTGGCTGAACGACAAAAGCAGCACCAACGATTGGCCCAAAGACTGGTCCTATGACGACAGCCATAGCATACGATGCAATAGCAATACCCCGTTGAGAGGGAGGGAACAGGTCGCTCAAAACGCCTCCCGTATTCGTAACCGGGGCCGAGGCGAAGAAGCCGCAGAAGAACCGGGTGATCATGATGGTCTGAAGATCCTTCGCGGTTGCGGTAGCAAATGCAAAGCATGCCGCGACGAACATGGGCGGCAGGACAGCATGCTTTCTTCCATAGACCTCGGACAGTGGCGCCCATAATAAAGGGCCAATGCCGAAAGCGAGGAGAAACAAGGTCGTACCCAGTGTAGCGGTTTGTGTCCCAACCTGATACTCATCGGCCACTTGCCTCGTTCCGGGACTGTACGCAGCACTGGACCAGGTCGCTGTCATGGTGGTGAAACCGTAAAGAGCCGTAGTGACGATCTTTTTCTTCAGTGCCCAGTTGACTGGTCTGTAGGGGTCGTCTTCGCCATCGAAATCAACCAAATCCTCGACAGTCGTTTTCTGATGTTCTAACGGGTGGCTGAAATTTCCAATCGGTGCTCTCGTTCGAATCCTCGACAAAATGGTCTCCCGTCTAGTGATGGTCCGCGTCAGGTTGATGTCGCGCCCTGAAGCTCGAGACCCTGAAGCGTCTCTGGTGGTCTTTTCGCTCAAACCATCTTCATCCGGATCTGGGCCGAGATCACCATATTCAGGGTTTGTTGTTTGGCGAGAAAGTTCGCGAGAAAGAGCAGACTCTCGAGTATTGCTTGGGGACAATGTTTGTCTGCTATTCACCGCATGGTCTGTTGCATTGACATCCGCCATCTTAATTGTACTTTTGTTATTAAGGCATCGTCATGATATTGTTATCGAGCCGACAGCGCGTGTTTATCAAGAGGAAAAGTCATCCGATGTCGCCAGACGCCAGTGGGCCATCCGACGGGAGCTGCGAGTCGCTAACACCGACGGGCCGAAATCCTTCAGTCTGACAGAGTTTGCCGCTCTCGGGCCGAGCAGGCGTCACACAACCATGGGCCAAGGCATGTCAAATTGAAAAGTCATTTAAAACTCAGGTCCGGGCGAGACCAAAACAAAAACTCGGTCGTATCTTGCCGGTTTAACCGGGCACTACGTACGAAGCTGCTGGAACATTGTTTAGGCAGCTGGTCAGAAAGCAAGTTACTGTTGATTTCCTGAGATAAGCTTTTTGGTGTCACGTACGATATCCCAGTCTAATCTTAAACCTTGTCCCAAGGTATACAGTCTCAATGTCCGTGGAGTAGAGACCAGACCGATCCCGGAGTTTGAATGCGAGCAAGTCCAATAACACCTGCAGCATACCTAATGTGTTGAACGGATCGGTCAAGATGAACGCTACATATCTCCATGCGGTCGCAGGATACTGACGTGGCCCAGCAGCAATTATTCTTTCAAGGTTTGAGATCGACGAGAGCAGATGACCTGATGGCATTAATCGCTCATCTGTGTGCATGTGCTTATCACTAGCTTTCGAAAGATACCTCAGGGGTCTAGAGATCTTCAGCTGCCTAGAAATTTACTCGAGCAATCGTGACAACGTGGGAGGTTGATGCCATGGTACGTCGATGACGTTTCCAAAATCCAAATGGAAGGAGATGTTATCACACCCTCGAGCCAAGTACAGTACGACATCCCAGGCTTCAGCACCGCAAAAGCGCAGCAAAAGCTAGTGCCTCTGTACAGTTGTTGCGACACATGCTGCAAGACACCTAGTTTGAAACTGTCATAACGTAGATATAGCCCCTCCAGATCGAGGCATTGTGAGCTTCGGTTTGATTGGATTCGTACAAGTTGTAAGGCTGGACCAAGGAGTGAGGGTGTTGCGAGGCTGGCGAGGCTGACAATGTATCATTCCAATTGGCCAAATCTCAGCCTTGCATCCCACATCCCTCTTGGCCGGTGCTCTCCGACTTCGCCTTAGGAGTCAGACAACGAGCTTCTCGAATTTGTTCAAGCCTTGAATACCATCCCAAAACTGTGTTCGAGGACCGAGAGAGCTTTCCCATCCCAATAGGCAGCCGTTCAGTCTACGCCTCGAAGTAAAATACCACCAGAGAATCGGCCGGCGCATATAATAATGAAAACACGCACAGCCGGAATCCTTGCCCAGGTGGCCCGTAGAGCCCCTTCTCGCGGCCGGGCACGGGAGGTGAGTTGTTTTGCTCCTTCGAGGCGCCTTTCGGGATCTGTGTCACCGAGAACCTCGCACACCGGACAGAACACGAAGCAGCAGCGCCATACAAGTTGCCAACCACAGTCTCACCCAGGATGGCGACGACTCCCCTCTCAACAACGGCACCTTTCCAGCACGTCGTCCGTGCCACAGGTGCTCGTCAACGACATGGCGAACCAGGAAGTGCTCGTCGACTTCCACGGCACGGCCATGCGGTTCCCGTCCTTCTGGCTCCGCGACCACTGCCCCTGCGCCGAGTGCCAACACCCAAGCACGCACCAGCGACAACTCGACACCTTCACAATCGACCCGGACATCAAGGTGTCCAACGTCGAGCCCACGCCCGACGGGCTCCAAGTGACATGGCCAAGCGACGACCACAAGAGTCTCTACCCGTGGTCCTGGCTCGAGACGCACCCGCCCTTCACGCAGTCCAAGCCGTCGTCGTCACCATCATCTACCACGACATCCAAGCGCACGCCCTCCCGACAATGGGCCCCCGTCCTGTCTACGTCCTCGATGCCACGAGTGGAATACGGTGCCATCATGTCCGGGTCTTCCTCCGAGGGTCTCAAGTCGTTCCTCTCCGCCATCCACAACACGGGCCTGTGCTTCATCCCGTCGACTCCCGCCGACCCGGCGTCCACGCAGCGGCTGATCGAACGCATCGCGCACATCCGCGCCACGCACTACGGCGGCTTCTGGGACTTCACGAGCGAAGTCAACCCGATCGACACGGCCTACACCAACGACCCGCTCCCGCCTCACACGGACACGACCTACTTCACCGACCCGGCCGGCCTTCAATTGTTCCACCTCCTCTCGCACACGTCCCTGAGTGACCCGTCCGAGCCAGGCACGGGAGGCGAGTCCACCTTCGTCGACGGCTTCGCCGCCGCGTCTCACCTGTACGACAAGTTCCCCCAGCACTACCGCTCGCTTGCGACGTATCCCATCAAGTCGGCCGCTCGAGGGGCACCAGAGGGCTCCTTCTACAACACCGCCTCCAATCTCCAGGGATATCCCGTCTTTTGTCATTCTTCGCCAAATCCCTCCATCACGTCGCCATCCCCGTCGACACTGTGAGTGCCACCAAATTGTTATTAATAAACCTCCCCTTGTCCCCTTCACTTGATCTTCTACTTCCCAACAACCCACCTACGAAGTCACCTGCTAACAATTCCCCTCCATCACGCAGCGTCCAAATTCGTTGGAATAACCTCGACCGCGACACCCCTACCACACCGACTTTCCCCAATCACACGGCGCTGAAGAACTGGTACGCCGCAGCACGCGAGTGGGCGCGCATCTTGGAATCTCCTGAGTTCCTAATCACTGTAAAACTACAACCTGGCGAACCGGTCATCTTTGACAACTGGCGCGTCTTGCATGGCAGGTTGGGGTTTGAAGGGAAACGCCGAGTCTGCGGCGCATATGTGGGCATGGACGATTTCAGAGCAAAATGTCGGAGTTTGGGAATTGAAGCTTGAGTTCATGGATTTCTTTTCGCACAAGGTAGCAAAATTTCATAGGCCCTTTAGTCACAATATCCTTCTGGATCTATCCTCAATAATCAATCGACCTCGTTTGATTGGACTCAGAAGAGAGATCGCCGTGACAAGTTGTTAGGACTGGCCAATTTATGCTCAATTCACCCCAGGAAATCTCATCTCCAGACTCTGCTCTGCGCGCACCCATCAATGTCCAAGCCATCAGTGCATCACTCAACCCACCCTCGTTCCAATTGCGGTGTGTCCATCCAAGGTGTGACAGGGTCTTAACCTAGCAGAGTACGAGCTCTCCAGGCATCTGACTCTTTTTAGGAGAACAACTTGTACCACTCAACGTGCTTGATGTGGCCAAGATACATGTGGTAGACCGTGCACTCCAAGCCCTGGTTTTTGTCCAGCTCCGCTCTCTGGTCGGCAATGCTTTGAATTTGCTGATTGTGGAACGCAACGACGTGGGCATCTGAAGACTCTACTGTTAGCAATGTCTTGAGAATTAAGCACGTCAAATGATCCAGGCACTTACACTTATTGCGAAAATCGTGGAGACTTTCCAGTTCGTCCTGCAACACCCGAAACAACAAGGGATCATCGCAGTCGAGGCGCTTGTCTTCGCTCACTTGTCCTTCCAATTCCTGCAAGTCGCTGTTGAGTTGCTTGACTATCCGACGGATGCGATCCAGCTGGCCGAGGTGACGGTTGAGTTGGCCTTCGAGATGTCTCTTGCCCTTGATGTAGTCTTGAGTCTCATCTGCACTACGCTGGCTCTGGCGACTTTGGGAACGCGGAGCTGGCATGACATTAGTGATCTGTCCGGCCGGCTCACCATCTGTATCGTTTGCTTTATCAGGGGTCAAAGTGGAGGTACCGTTATCTTGTGCGGTTGTGGCTGCAGTGCCGGGGTTGGTGTCACTCCAGGTTGACATCGCGGTCTGCGCAGGCTCATTCGCGGAATCGTGCTGTTTCATTCTGGATGGAGGATTTGCCTCTGCAAACCGGATTGTTCGCTGTCTCTTAGATCTAACTGGGTTCGACGGACTGCCCTGAACTCCAACTTCAGTTGGCGATGTAGTCGAAGTTGGATCGGCGGTCACTGGAGTCTCTCGTTGAGGCTGGGATGCTTGCGAAGGCTGATGGGTAACGGTAGGAGAGGAGGGATCTTGTTGATGTCCGGCCGTACCGTCTCGTGAATGATTGCTCTGCCATTCAGACGTCAGCCGTGAATCCGCCGGTGAGGCGGTATTCACCGTCACCGACTGTGCTTTCATCCTCCTCATAGATTGTCGCCAAGAACGGTCTTCTAGGGGCAGCTCCTCTTCTCGTGCTTCGACGTCGCCAGCGGAATAGGCCGTTGCGTCGAGGCTGCTGGTCTGATTTGTTCTCACCACCCTTTCGAAACAAGGGCCAGTTCTTGGGGGTGAGGTAGTGAACAATAGCTTCGAAGCAACCGCAGTCAATGGGAGGTGTCATTCTCCAGGGTATCGGGGGCAGTGGCTTTCTTTGAGATACCAAAAGATGCGGTGCGTTTGTTGATTGTTTGATACTAATTCCAAGACCAAGATAGCAAACGTTCAACGACGGCATAACACGAAAGAAAGAGATGAAATTACAATAGTTGCTTCATTCAATTCATACCATGGCTCGGCACAAGTTGTGGTCAATTACTCATATCGCCATGGCGATGAGAACGACAACAGCAAGCACCACCGCAGGCGCAGTCGTAGTCGAGGGAAGCTGAGATCCTGTCTGTCGACGAAACGGCAGGAACCCGTTCTCAGACGATGCCATCACGCCCAACCCGCCAAAGTCCAGCTAGTTCTTTCGGTGCTCTTCGCCGTCGTCGCCCGCTGAGAAGTGACAGATGAATCCAGGTCTCGATGAGCTCCCGCAAGGCCCTGCGAAAGAAACTTCTCCCTTTCGATCTCGACAAATGATCTTGCCTTCAAGCTTGCTACCAGACTTGCGCCAGCCCAGGCTCCGAGAGAGCTCACTTCACGAACAGTCATAGGGATAGCAGTTGACGTTGACGGGTCCCGAGACTTTTGTTTTGAGAGCCGCTCCTCCACAAAATCCCCAGCTACAGGAATGGTGATATCGTGTCGAGCTTCCGCTGGTACAGCTCGACCCTGAGCAAGCTCCGTAAGTCCACTCCTCCTAGCATTAAAATGCTTGCCCCTGACAGCTGTCCAACCATGTTGACTTATGATGGAATTGGCTTCATTCAATATCCGCGCAGACAATCCAGCGACCTTAGCCCCGCGGCCGACGAAAATGATCCTGGGTAGACATACGCTGCGTACATCTGCAGAGAGATCGAGGAGTGTCCGATAGAGCACTTGGCTGATTGACTGTTCATGGTCGTCTGAATGGTCTTCATTCTGTTGGCCTATCAGACTTTCCACACATGCCTGATGAAGTGCCGCACGAGATATCGATACAGAGCGATAGGATGAGTCTGTAGGCCAATCGATGAGGAGATCATCGCCTCCTGCTGGTGGCTGTTGTTCTCCCAAACCCATGCCTGCAATTCCCTCAGCCAGCCCTTCTCCCGTGGGTCGAAGCAGGCCATGACAGCCTCCCGCACGGTCGATAAAGTCTTCTACAAAGTCAAAATCAAACACCAAGTCTCCTTCGACAGAATCCTTCTGTCCCTGTCTGACCCCGTCCAGCAATGCCGCGATTTTGCAAGTCAGAGCTCTCATAGCGCGTACAGTCCGCCGCATGTGAATTTCTCGATACTCATAGATGGCCATTACAACCGTCTCCTCCCAGCCAATGTCAACGACCAGACCTGAGCGCAGGCCCGAACCAGCAATCGTCATTGTGGGCGAAGGCAGAAGCGTGATTGAGGAATACTTCCAGCGCTCAAACAGCAGGGTCAAGATGGTTGAAAGGACGGGATGCGGCACAAGAGACGGCAGAACAAGAACAAGCCTCGCACCTCCAGCATCGACCAGTAGATGTTTAGTGTATGCTTCTCTAACTGCTCGTTCCAGCTTGTCGTCCAGTAACCCCAAGTCCACGTCCTTCACATCGCTTCTCCATAACTCGTAGTCCTTGCATCGAGCTTGTATGTTCTCCTCTCTTCTCTTGTAGCTCGCCAAGTACGTGCGATAATCTCCTACTCGTCTGGAGTTCTGAGGAGCAAATGCTATCGTGCATTGAGGGCCGCTCTCCCCTTGGAACCCCGCGCTGAGTTCTCGAGGGTTCAGTTCGATGATGATAGGGTCTTCCTCGGCTCGAAAGAATGAGGAACCAGGGGAGGAGTGGACTGAGGAGATGTACCGGCTTGGAGTGTGAGGCGAGCCGGACTTTTGTCTTTCGCGTAGGCCAGGGCGAATGGCGGAGGCGACTGTAGACGCCATGGCTCCCTTCTCTTGTCTTTGCTGCCTCCGTCGCCTCCACCCGTCGTGCTCGCTTGCTGATCGTCTTGCGCACCATTAGCCAGCAGAAGGCATAGTGACTGTGTCGGGCCAGGAAACCAACGGCTCTGTTGGGTATCTGGCTGTTTGTCGAAGTCGTCTCTGATCGTCACGTGTAGGCTACTGGTCGGGGCACGGAAAATCAATTCTCCTTTGTTCTTCATCGACCCCCGGAAACACTCACTCCAGCACTAACACGTCAAACCATGTCACGGGTACTTTGATCTTTTTCGTTCCAAGGCTACATAAGGTGACTTCTACATTCTTTCGAGTCCGTTCCATAGCCTGACCACCCGAGCGAACATGGACAAGGTCATTCTCAAGAACCTCAAATTCGATTTAGCTGTAGGTTTCGATGCCTGGCGTCGGTACGGGAAACCACAGCCTGTGTCTGTCAACCTCGAAATTCACCCACGGTCGAATCTGGAAGCCGCCGCGGCCCAGGACGACGTCAATCTCTCTCTGGACTATGGCAAACTGTACAAGAGTATCTCTGCCGTCCTGGCAAATTCAGGGCCCTATCAGACAATCCACGTCCTGATTGATCAACTTGCTCAACTCATGCCTGAATACGCCTTTCTCGACATCGACATCCTGTTTCCCAAGGCACTCTTACAAGTGAACAAAGGAGTCTTGTACCGCCTTCAGGTCGACAACTCCACTCCTGGAGTCATGACACCTACCTTGACCCTTGATATCAAGGGTATCGCTTGCAGCTGCATTATTGGAGTCAATCCTCATGAACGGCTCTACAAGCAATCATTGTCCATGGACATAAGTATCCCGGTGATAACAACCGCCCTTGGTCCTGAGCCAACTGAAACGCACTATACGGCGGAGCTGCACGACATGGTTGATGAAATCATCGAGGTATATTTGGTATGCTTTCTATAATTGTTATACCCGCTAACAAATATCTATAGCGGGTAAAAGGATCATCCTATCATACACTCGAGGCTCTTGCTTCTGCAGTGGCACAAGTCGTCACCCTGAGTTACGGCCACACAGTTGCAAAAGTTCGCGTTGAGAAGCCAAGCGCAATTGCAACAATCGAAGCTGCTGCCGTGGAGGTCACTCGAAGCAAAACCTTCTTCGAGAACAAAGATTTCTGGAAAGTTAAGAGGCCTTGACCGCGGCCATCACGGGTTCAATCCCCAGTCAAGTCGACTATGCTAACTCGCAGTCGCCGCGCGTTCGATGAATGAGTTCCAGATCTTGGGCTGGGTTCGCCACCGACTTCTTTCCACGTGCCAGGAAGACTATCTCGAGGCAACGCCCGGAGATGTCTAACCGGAAAGCTGGTGCTGAGGCCGGTTGTGAGCTCTGGAGGTATGCGACCACCATCCTCTGCAAAGTATGTGAGATTACTATCCAAAGTTTTCTCAGGCTTGTTTGCAGCTAAGTAAGGGGCGAAGAAACTTTCAATTGTCCGCTTGGTTCTTGTAGGACTGCCGTACTCTGAATGTTCAGTTGGATTAAGCTCCTTCTCGGCGTGGGATTTTTGTTTTCGCCTCGTCGTGTCCTGCTTCGTTACTGACGCCGACACATCTTGGAGATGTGGAAGGCCAAGGTCTCCAGTAGGTTGCTTTTTCCTCCTCTCTTTACTCGGCTGCACAGGGGGAGAAGATTTCAGTTCGACAGGCTTGTCGACAGGTTTCTTCCTTGTTGGAGTGTTCGGGATCTCCCTGAAAGGATCGTCGGGAACATACAGCTGGTGATGACTCTTGCTGATTTTGAAAAAGTCATGCATGATCGGTGAACTAAGCAGCTGTTTTTGGCGAGGCGCCAGCTTTGGTGGTGTAGAGAGACCCGGGGTAGGGCCAACGCTGTCCTGATCACGAGAAGGGGCAGCAATTCTAGCTTTCCTTGCTATCGCTGGTTGGCTAGATTGTTTCGAAGCAACCATGTAGTTCAGGAGGGTCCCGGCGGACATAACACCTGATCCATTGGGCTTGTTGGTATCCTTTGTCTTCTCGCATTTCCGAGCAGCAAACTTCTTCGGGTCGTTCGCTTTTTCTTCTTGTAATCGACGCCATTCTTGGAGATGGTCCCGAGCGCCTACCTCTACTATCGTTTCGGCAACCCAGACCTTTTCAGGTGCATCTGGAAGCCAAGGAGGCCCTTTCCTCTTCTTTGATGGACTGGGGGGAACAACCTCGGGGGCTTCATCTTCGGGTATATCCTGGCCTTTATCGTCTGCAGTCAGAGCTTCAAGATGCTCTGGGCTGTCTTTCTCCGCGTGCAAGTCGATGCCAACGATATCTGCCGGGATCATAGTGACTCTGAGCTCGGGAATTCCATCGCTTATGAAATGTTTCCTTCGCTCAAGGATCTGATCTGCCGAGTAAATTCCACTTTGTTGCCTGCGTAGCAGCCTGTTTGTAAGTAGGGCGGGTGCCATAACCCTCACAAATTTCCAGGCTCCTGGTTTGAAATCCCATTCAAACGTCTCTCGGACATATTCACGCATAGCTGGGACATCAACCTCGGATGCCCATGCCTCCCGCCACTTTGTTTCGAGATTCAGCAATTGGTCCTCGGGCGTAACGGCAGGATTTAGATAGTAACCGAGTATTTTGCGATTGGGAAACGTCTCTGGTATCTTGACCAACTTCCTTTTCATCTTGAAGTAGCCACTCTCATTCGTTTCAAGCTCGTATTGAAGACGCTCACGCCATTCTTTGATACCATTCTCGTCAGCATTGCGCACCAGTTCTAGGAGGTCGCTTCCAAAGCCAGCCCGTGCAATCTCGCAAGCCAGAGTCGATCCAATTCCGGTGACACCAGCTTCATCATAGTCGCCACCACTCATTAACGCCACCAAGATCATCCCCTTGGGATCCAGCCCCGATAGAGATTTAATTCTAGGAAGGTCAAGGACACTGACATGTGTAGGCGACGAGTTATGCTTGGAAGCCTCTTTCGACCAGTCCCTCAACGTCAGCGTAGAGCCAAACATAATTGCGTCCACATCCTGGCTCATGACGGCATCAACCAGACCTTTGCTCTGCAACATTGCACACTCGGCTTCAGCTTCACCCGGAGCAGTGTGGTGCGGGAATCGAAACGCCTGAATGAGCTTCTTCGACATTTCGTTCGAGATGCACGTGCCATATCGAGATACTGTCCGTCCCCGCTTAGTAAGGGGCTTGTTGGTACCATCATAAACAAAGACCGGATCGATGGGAAGAGCCAGTAGTTTAACAAGCCGGTAGAATAGAGTCCTTAATGCAGGATTCTTCCCGCCCTGACCGGCTTGAGTCTGGAAATTCCATATTGCCGCATCAATGGCTATTCGGAGTGGTCGCTTCGACTGTTCAAGGTGCTCTATGGCGAGCTTCGCCAATGCAACCCGCTCGCCCTTGCCGATCTCCTTGAGGATGCTGCGAGACAGTCAGCGGCGGCAGTAGAATGTCAGGTTAGCTCTTCTTGACTTGCCCTGGGATTCCCATCGCTTCTCACATCATCGGTACCCTCTTAGAGGATGTGGCCATTGTCAACGCAGGTTCGCCCCCAGCCCAAGTAGTCGAGTGTTTGTTGACGCGCAGAGGAAGGCGCCGGCGAAACATCGGTGAAATGCGAAATCGCGAGGTCACGTGTCGCAAAAGACCATTTCGTCTCTGAGACTCGCTTTCGTGATCTGGTCCCTTCGAATTGCTCATTCAATCTCACATTCAGCAGATGCTTGGAGACAACATGGATCCCAAGCTTGAAGGCCACAAGCGCAGAGACGATCCGTCAAAAGGGTAATAATGCGACATTCAAGACTTCTAACACTCTCTGACGTGGACAGAACACAGTCGAGGACTTCCCCTAAGCCAGCTCCCACCAGATTCTATCTACCTTTGAACATTGCTTTCTACCTATGCTTCGCTTCTCACCTACTAGCAGCCCTCTATGCACCCATTCAAGACTGCGATGAGACGTTCAATTATTGGGAGCCTTTGCACTACCTCACTCATGGCTACGGCCTCCAAACCTGGGAGTACTCTCCTGAGTTCAGCATTCGAAGCTGGGCGTATATTCTAATTCATGCTATCCCAGCCAAGGTAGCCGGCTTCTTCGGACGAGGCAAGATCTTCGAGTTCTACGCTCTGCGGGTCATTCTAGCCTTCGTCTGTGCGGCAACTGAAGTCAGACTGTACTCAGCCATATCCCGCGTAATCAACCCGAGAATAGGAGTTATCTTCCTGATGATAGTCGCGTTCAGCCCAGGCTTCTTCTATGCCTCGTCTGCGTTCGTGCCTTCAAGCTTTGCTATGTACACCTCAGCGCTTGGACTTACCTCGTTCATGGACTGGCAAGGTGGGCCGAGAACTGCGACTGGCATCATGTGGTTTGGCATTGGTGCGTTATTAGGATGGCCATTTGCCGGTGCCCTGATCCTACCATTCGTGATCGAGGAATGGTTGACCACTTTGGTCGGTCAAGGAGGTGTCTTTGAGACCTTTCGGCGATATCTGGATGGCACTGTTCGCTGTTTTATTGCCCTCGCTCTCCAAGTCAGCATCGATGCTTTCTTCTACCACAGCCCTGTTGTCGTGCCTTGGCGCATTGTGGCATACAATGTCTTTGGCGGTAAAGGCCGTGGCCCGGATATCTTTGGGACGGAACCCTGGGACTACTATCTTCGCAATCTTCTCCTCAACTTCAATTTGTGGTTTCTTCTGGCACTGGTTGCGGGACCCCTGCACTTGGTGCAATCTCTCATCTTCAAGCAGAAGACAACGAATCAACCACTCATTAGGACGCTCACCTTTCTCTCGCCATTTTATCTGTGGCTCAGTATCTTCACACTACAGCCACACAAAGAAGAGAGATTCATGTTCCCAGCGTACCCCTTTCTCGCTTTAAACGCAGCCGTCGCCTTCCATTCATTGTTGGCATGGGTGGGATCGCCAAGCTCAATCATCTTTGGAAGAATTCCAGCCAAGATCAAACTTGCCGCGGTCCTGTCGATAGTATTCCTTGCCGTCAACATCGGTCTTCTACGCATCGTTGGAACTGTGACGGCATACCGCGCCCCCCTGCAGGTCTATTATCCCCTTCAAGAGTCCACTGCACCACAAAACGGAAGTACAGTGTGTTTCGGTAAGGAATGGTACCGCTTTCCTTCTTCGCACTTTCTTCCCGATCCTATCCACGCAAAGTTCATCAAGAGTGAATTTGATGGACTCCTGCCCGGGGAGTTCCATGAAGGCAACGTTGGCTTTGGCCTATTTCCTGGGACCTGGCTGATGCCATCCGGCATGAACGATGTCAATGAAGAAGATGTGGGCAAATACATCGACATCCAACACTGTACCTACCTAGTCGACTCACACATGCCAGGGATGAAAGCAACGGAGTATGAGCCATTGTATGCTTTAGATGAAAAGTGGGAGCGCGTCGTCTGTCAAGAATTCCTAGATACATCCCGCACCGGATTAATGGCCCGAACAATCTGGCTACCGGACCTTCAGTTGATTCCTGAAAGATATCAACGGCACTGGGGAGAGTACTGTCTTCTAAGGCGGAAAGACGACTAGATGAATATGACAGGGAACAACAGATGGCGGTGAAAAGAGAAGTTGACCACGAACAGTGTCGCCAAAGATTCTTACGCCCTCCTATCAAGAGTGCTTATCTACGGCAGTGCCGTGAATCGTTGGGCGCGTTAGTCCTCGCGGTAACTTTCCAACGGCATTTGTGGAGAATTCCCCACGCCATTCTCAATCAGGCAAACCTGTCCCAGCGACAACTAAAAGCAATGATTGGGCCATCTCGAACGACGCTGTGGCTTCAGTGGTCGATGATAAGAGATGCAGTGCCCGTTTTCGATAACAGGGTCCGAGGTGGAATGTCAAACACAACATGAACACTCCCTTGTTTTCGGTAACTTTGCGAGCTTGAGCAGAGATATCAAAGCGTGGAAAAGTTCCATATATCCGACACCACCCTCGTCGTTGTTCTACGGTCGCTCGATCCTCGTCGATTGAAGCAGTCCGTTCATTTACACAGTCCTAGCCGACATAATGGACTCAGAAACGCTCAAGCAATCATTAAGAGACCTAGTCGCGCGGTCCCAGCCATACATCAAACAAGCGAGCGGTCACATTCTAGCATCGCGGGATCACTGCGAATCATTCTTGAAATCGGCGCATCCAGAACTTCGAAGATTTCTCGAGGAATCTCGTGGCAGAGAAATCCTTCCTGCAGTCCTTCTACTCATTTTCCTTACGCTCGGTCTATCCTCGTACATTCGCAGCCGACGCAAGCCCAATAGCATTCGTCCTTCGACGCCTACCATCGAAAAGGCCTCTTCGACTTTTGCCAAGCCGACTCGCAAACCAGGAACTTGGGAACCGTCGTCGTTCAAGTTTCCGACTCCCCCTCCCTACCCAGACTGGTCGATAACAGAAACAAAACCCCTGCCGTATCGACCGTTTAGACATGGGCCCAAGTACTTTGTGACCATGGGGCTTCGCAATGTCAAGCACCAAGAATGGATCGAGCTGGACAACCATTATCCACGCTACCACGACGACAAGGCACGCCGTATCATCGAACGGGGACCTAAATGCTGCAGGACGGCCCCGGAAGCGCTCCCTGCGGCTCTCGAACTCCTCGAGGAGCTGTCGTCGTACCTACCTGCGCGCTACCCGACGCTGTACAAACGCACAGAGACGGGCATCCTGAACCTCTGGTCGAACGAGCACGTCGACACCACGTCCCGGCCCCTACCAGAAGACCCGATGCAGTCGTGCGCGCGGCTCGTGCAGGACGACCTGGCCATCATGATCGAGCGGCCCGACGGGCAATACTACCTCCTCGCCGGGGCGATCCTGCTCGCCGGGTTCTGGAGGCTCGAGGACAAACTGGGCATGCCGCTGTCCGAAATCCACACGTCGGGCGACGTGCCACAGTACCGCGAGAAGCTCGAAAAGGGCATGATGAACTTCTTCCGCCGGCTGAAGCCCGAAGAGCTCGTCGCGCGCAACAACTACTTTCTCCAGGTCGACGAGGACCTGGCGTGGAGTCACTCGATCGGTTCCGAGGACAGCGACGGCATCAGCTGGAACACGGCCGAAAAGAACCGCGCCATCGAGCACCACTATTTCCGCTCCGAGCGCCAGACCCTGCGCCGCCTGCCCAAGTCCGGCGGCGTCGTCTTCACCATCCGCACCTACTTCCACCCCATCACCGAGATCGCCGAAGAGGACTACGTGCCCGGCAGGCTCGCGAGCGCCGTCAGGAGCTGGGGCAGCGACGTGTCGCGCTACAAGGGCAAGGAAAAGTACGAGGAGGTCTTGCTGGAGTACTTGGACAAGAAGCACCAGGAGCAACTTGACAGGGGGTTGAAAGTTGAAGAAGAAGATGATCGAAGGAGTTATCCTTGGTGATTTTGAGCAACTTGATGAAGAACATCAGAGTGTTTGGTCTGGTTTGCTTGGCTTCTCTTGTCATCTTCAGCTTGCAAGGCGTCGTCGCTAAGTGGGTTTCAAAAATATTATAAAGAGTTCACCGCCAGCCTTCTCTGACCATGATGGGATGAATGGAACACGGTGTATCTACGCTGCTACCGCTACATACTACGATTTGAATAAATGATAGGCTTGGATGACCATTTATGAAATATACATATATATAGATACACCTTTCTCTCTCTGCCTGTCTGTCTGTCTGTCTGTCCGTGTCTGTGCATCTAGAATCTAGATGACGGGAACAATGGGATCAACCCAGTGATGCCGCTCCAGCTGTTTCATCCCATTTCATTCTCCTCGTAAGTGACATTATAAACAAGGCGACTTCTTCTCTGCCGCATCGTAATACACACAGATTTCATCGAGTCATTGATGGCTCGAGTACTTGACCCTAAGTTAGTCTATCCACTACCAGTACCCAGTACCCCGGCGTAGATGATGGGAGACGACTCAATGGTCACACCCTACTCCGCTTCGCCCGATCCGCCCCCTCCAGACCAGCGACTTCCCTCATCTTGCGCCTCTCCTCCGCCTCCCTGACGGCAAGTTGATCACGCTCGTGGATCCAAGCGCAGTCATCCCGAAACTCGCAGACGCGACATTTCCACGCGTCACGCAACTCCACGCCCTTCGGGGCCCGTTCGCCCCGCCAGAACGCCAGCGCATCATAGAGGTACGACCTGAGGAAATTCGGGTTGAAAACGATCGATCTGCTACCGAGAAGCTCGGGCTCGCCGGCGTCGGTCTCTCGCGTCGCCGAGACGTACCTCGCCGTCAGGAGCGGTGAAAGACGCGTCGACGGCGACGGCGACGCGCCGGCAAGCTGTGAAATCGACTGTGGTGTCGAGGAAGGATATAGTTCCTGAGCGTCTGCGCTGGGAGTAAAGGCTGCTGCTGCTGCTGCTCCGTCCAAATCCGCCGTCCCTGGCATCAAAAACGTCTCGCGGAACTGCCACATCATGAATTCCCACAGCTTCTCCAGGTTGTTGTGCTGGATTAAAATCTCCAGAGAGTCTTGCGTCGACGGACCAATATCCCATTCTGCTGTTGCTGCTGCTGCTTCTTCTTCTTCGCTCTCCATTTCTCCTGGTTGTCGATGTTGAGAACCAGACACGTCGTACATGTCTTGGTTGAGACTGCCGATCTGTGCAATGAAATCGTCAGAGAATGTCGCGTGGATATCTACTCCATACCGCGCTGCAATGTCGTCAAGAGAGAACATTCCTTTGGCCAAATTGTCCACCATGTAGTGGTACAGGTGCAGCTGGATAATGGTGGGTCGGATGCTAGAGCCTGTAGGTAAACTCGACGTCCCTCTTGTCTTGACATCTGTAATGTATATTCGCTTCTGGTCCTTCGGTTGCTGTTGTGACCGCATTCTCTGCGAAGCCAGTGTATTACCGTTGCCGTTGCCATTGCCAGCACCCAGTGCCTCCTCTATGGACTGACCTTGCTCTCTGGTCTCGCTCGTAACGAGATAGTCCCTGATGCTAGCTTGGTATTCCGGCGGAACAGGCCCCGACTCCTGGTTCATGGAAAACTTCAGGCTCTGCTCCTCGAGTTTCGGGTCAGGGCAGTGGTAACTCAATTCGTCAATGACACCATTGACGAACTCGCCACCCACGGATCCCCAGACCTCCATCTCGCGAGTCCGGCCAGTTTCGCGAAGGGTGCGCAATCCCTGTATCACATTCCACAGACGCAGCCCCCAGCTGTCTTCCTTCGTAACAACCCTAACGGGCACGGTGACGTGGACTTCATCTTCGAGCGCCTGGTGGACTGCACTCCCTTGTTTCATGGCCGGAGTCCTCCTCTTGCGCCCGTGCTTGCTCAGAACGTAGAAGTATTGTAGTTCACACCAAGCAGGAGATATCAGATCGGTGACGGAGAGCGGCTTCTTTGGCGGCTTTCTGAACCGTTCAATGGGAGATCTGGTGTCCTCAGGCTCGGGAGGCTCTGCGGCAGGTGGACCTTCTCTTTGACTTTCATTCTCTTCGTTCGCAGGTCGCTTTTCAGCTAGTCGCTAGTCAGCTTGTCAGTAAAGAAAAGCGCAGGATGCCCGCCATGTCGTACTTACCACTCTGGTCGCGTACGTCCTGCTCGAATTGGGTTTGGACGGGGGCTGTCTGGTCGTGCCGCTGATGCGCTGACTCGAGACCAGGCACCTTGGGCAAGTAAATGCCCGGAGGAGCTTCATAGTCTTCAATGTCCGTGACGAGCAGCGGCGCGATCACATCTGATCTCGCCTCGACTTCGAGGAGGAGCTGGTCGATTATCTCGAGTTCCTCGGGATCTTCTGCAAAGTCGCTGTATTCGTCTGCGTGCTGTTCGGACGTGTCTGCATTTTCAGGACAGACTGACTCCAACTGCACGTGTCTGTGATCAAACCGCGATGTGTTGTTGGTGTAGGGCATTATCGAGGAGATATCGACGTTTGTTAGTGGCGTTGCAAGCGTCATCATTCAGCGCGCAGCCCATCGATAGAGTCTGGGAGTATGTTTTGGCACATTCTGAGGGTCTGCAGTAAGATATATGCTGCCGTTCATGGCGTCCCTTGACATGGTGTTTGAACATGCCGTGCATTAGGCTTCTTCTGCCTAATCCTGCGAGTGAGTCTGGACGTGTCGCGGGGCTCCAGACGCGCCGGGACAAAACTATAGCGTGCCACCCTGCAGAGAGATGGACGACGTCCAATACAACCAGTGTGATTTCTGTTCGTCTCTATCTAAGATCTAGGTGTGTCTACTTCTGCCTAGAATGTTTCACGTCTATTCATTGAATGCACAACACAACTCCTGCCCTACCTCCAAGCCCGACATTGATCCAACCTGCTGGACATGGAGCCTGTCTCCAGTCATTGCCTAATTTAAAGCTGCTCTTGAATGACCAACGCAGAGATATTGTCGCGTCGATCCGTTAATACTCATGCAGCCATGATGCGGTCCTGCAGATTTGCCTTGTACAGTCAATGCTGTTATAACCAAGAGCCTTCAGCTCGCTTTGAGACTCTCGGCCACGGCCGGCCGAGCCAGCGAATCCGTAGCCAGCTCAATTTTTTCCTCTTTTCTGTTCAAGAAGCTGAGATACGTCTGCCATGCGATCGCAAATATTCCACTAAACATGAATCTGTAGTTCGGCGCAATGAAGTAAAAACTGAATGCGGTGACCGCGGGCCAGAGCTTCAAGGAATTGACGATGCTCGTGGGCACCGTTGCTTGCACTCTGGCGATGGCGCCGTGGACCGTTTCGCCCGTCAGGAAAGCCTGCATTGCGAAGAAATACGTGTTGAAGATGGGCGTGAAAACTGCCTGGTTCACAGCGACCTTGGTCGCAATCGATGCTATCGTTGACCGAAAGTTGAAATTGCGCCCGAGGAACAGAAACCTAACGGCCAGCATTAGCCACGAGTCTTCACCGTGTCCCCTCGGTCCGCTCCATGTCTCGGAGTATGAAATATGGTCAAGCGAAGACCTACCATTTGTATCCAGGAATGCTCGCAATTGCTCCTATCGTAAGCATTCGCAGCGTCCTGGTTCCATCGTATGATTCACCTCCAATCTCTTGAGCCGCTAGGTCACCACACAGATACGTGGTCAACGAAGTACAGAGCTGCACCGTGTACGGTCTCTTCATCTGACTGCGGTGAAACCAATTGAAGAAGGTCGACACCGGACCGAGTCGGTGATACCATAGCGGGATAGGGATGTCAACTGGGTCCGCCTTGGTGCTCTCGATTATCACTTCGTTTGGATTATGGGGAGGAAGTTGGCTTTCGCTGACAGGCTTCGACTGTTTCGACGTGGATGAGTTGGTTGACTTGCGATGGTGGATGTGTTGATGCCGCGGTCGCACCCACAATGTTCTGGCACCAACCTTTGTTGATGCCCTGTGCAAGGTTATCATCGTCGTCCCTCTCTCATCTTGTTCTTCTGCACATCTTCTCGAAATCGTTCAGCGTTTGTTCCTCCGCAGTTGGCGATGACAAAGCTAATAAGCCGAGAATCGGGAAACTGCGCGCATAGCCGAAGGTGAGATCCGTTGTCGGCTGTGGCAGGGATGACGCCTTCATGAGTGGCCCTGAGCGACCGGGAGTTTTAGGCACGCTGGCACCTAATATTAGCACACGTCAGCCCCAGGAGATGCAGGGTTTAGGCACCACTAAAAACCCAAACACCCACGACGACGACTACCTCTAGGGCACTGGAATGTTGTTGACAAGGCTACGCTTCAATGGAGACAGCGAAAAAGCACGCGTTGTTAGTCAAATAAACAAGAAATCGAATGTGATGTTTGCGACGTGATTTATTCAGCGTCTATCTTGTGTTGCGCTTTCTGCTATCCTCATGTCATGTATCAAATGACTGGAGTGATGTGTGATGTACAAGCAGAAAAAGCAAAACGCCCCATGATCACCATGATGTGTCTTGTAACACTACAGCCCATAAAATATCATTCCGTTTCGCCGGTGCAACTCATGAAACCCCCCATAAGCACGTTCATTTCAACCCAACTTCCCAAGGTGTAGAATAGTCATGCTGACTGCAGGTTGTTGGCAAAGTCGAGCAGTCAGGTCGTCATCTAAGATCGTTCGCCACGGAGACGACGAGCGAGCTGGATGTCCTTGGACTGGATGGTGACACGCTTGGCGTGGATGGCGCAAAGGTTGGTGTCCTCAAAGAGAGAGACGAGGTAAGCCTCAACGGACTCTTGGAGAGCACCGATGGCGGATGACTGGAAGCGGAGGTCGGACTTGAAGTCTTGAGCGATTTCACGGACCAGACGCTGGAAGGGGAGCTTTCTGTGAGAATTATCAGTGTCTGTTCAGTGCGGGATCAATCATGGTTTGTTACGAACCGGATCAACAGCTCAGTCGACTTCTGGTAGCGACGGATCTCACGGAGAGCGACGGTACCAGGCTTGTAGCGGTGAGGCTTCTTGACACCTCCGGTGGATGGTGCAGACTTGCGAGCGGCCTTGGAGGCGAGCTGCTTTCTTGGGGCCTTGCCACCTACAGGATGGGTCAGCGACGAGTTCGAGCGACGATGAGATGAAGCTGATGAAGCTGTGATGACTTACCAGTGGACTTGCGGGCAGTTTGCTTGGTACGAGCCATTGTGACTGATGAATTGATGGAAGTTGTGATGTTGATTGATGAAGAGATAAGAAGATGGTGAGTGAGGCTGGTGGATGGAAGAAGGTAAGTGGTGGAGGTGGGGGAGGTGCAGGTATTTGTAGGAAGTGAGAAAGGAAGGGGCGGCTTGGCGGTTGATCCGAGGCAGCCAGGGCAGGAGCGAAATCAGGCGGTGACTCAAAAGGATCGAATGATGTGAATGACAAAATCAATCACAATAATCGACTCAGATCAGGCCCGCGAAATGATCATTTTGCACGGCGCATTTTGGCGGTGATTTCGAATGCCACCCAGAATCGACTTGGCGCCTCCCGTGATCCGTGCCTTGGCGTACCACCTCAAACATCTCCCAGGCCCAGGAACACCGTCAACCCCCCAGATGAGACATTCACCACGCTCAATAATTTTTACAATTGGTTTAGAAATGATCGCGGGCTCAGCTTGTCTATTCAGTCTTCAGGATCAATGTTTCCGGGCAGTGTTGGTGATGGGATCACTCAATCAGTGCCCGCCGCGGGCCAGTGATCCAGCATTCGGCGTTGTGCCATGGTGAATTCTGATTGGCTCTGATCTGGCCGTCGCAAGTTGATCTGGCAGGCACCGCCGGGGTGCATAAGTCTCGCTCCCCGCCGCGTCTCCCCAATCAAGTTTCCATTCCATCCACCAATCCATCTCCAAAGCAAAGCAGCATCTTCATACCACTTCATCTCTTTCAAACACTCTTCAACCCCAATCAATCATCATGACTGGACGCGGCAAAGGCGGCAAGGGTCTCGGAAAGGGCGGTGCCAAGCGCCACCGAAAGATTCTTCGTGACAACATCCAGGGTATCACCAAGCCCGCCATTCGACGTCTCGCTCGTCGTGGTGGTGTCAAGCGTATCTCAGCCATGATCTACGAGGAGACCCGTGGTGTCTTGAAGACCTTCCTTGAGGGTGTCATCCGTGACGCTGTCACATACACTGAACAGTATGTCCCGCTCCAACTTGATCGTCTCGTTCATATACTGACCTGCTTCGCAGCGCCAAGCGAAAGACTGTCACATCTCTCGACGTTGTCTACGCCCTGAAGAGACAAGGCCGTACCCTCTATGGTTCGTGTTCTTCCATCGTCGCTGTGTGGCCTTTCCACTAACATGTCCCAGGTTTCGGTGGTTAAATGCCTTCTTCGATCAGTATCACGACATCACTTTTTCGGCTGCCTATGCCTGCCATCATCTACGGCATGGTTGCCTAATCCTTTTTTGCTTTGAGTTACGGAGTGGTTGGTCATGCACATGGGTTCTCAACTGGGGTTGCAAAGGGTCATGGTTATGATGGGATGGCAAATCCACACGATGTGCTTTGATGTATCAATACAGGCACAAGATGAATACAGCCTGGATCGGCGTTGACAGATGGGCTGGACCAAGATCATATGGACCAGTCCCAAGATGAAATAACATTTCAAAGCAAACTTCCACCTTCCTATCTGTCGTAGTTCCCCTTGTTTGTTTGTCCGTCGGCGCGGCTGCTTCCGAGGCACGTCTGGAGGTTCACCCTGTTGTTGGCGGTTTGGTCGCGTGTCTTGTGGGTGCGTTCTAATATCTGTTAGTCTCACGTTGTATAGCTCGGCAGCCTCTAGCCCTGTCGTAGAGCGCAGCTTCCACCTTCGAGTGCTATTGGCTTTGGTGACTCGACGGGCGACTACAGCCGGTGATGGTCTAGTCATGCCTCCAGCTACTTTTGCTTAGTTGTGCTCTTGTCGGTACTTTTAAATACCACGTATCCGGTAGAACGCGTCGACTGTCTGTGGTGGTGGTGGTGGTAGTGGTGTGATTTGTGGAATGCTTCCTCAAGACAACTCACGAGTCAATCCAGGTCATCTGCCTACGGGCCGAATCGCTGCCGGTGTTGATTCTACGATAATTTCTCGAGTGACAGTGAGTTGCTTCTAGGTATGCAACTTGTCATTTGGGCTGTGGTGTAGCTCGGGTCTGTACATGCCATTCGGGGCAAATGGGTTAGTTATGGTGGGTTGATTGAGCTACGGTCAATCCGTAACATGTCACGGTTTTCCGCGCATGTATGATTCGTGTCGTGTACATGTGCTTGCAAGTGATAACAGATGGTATTTTGACGCACTAAATCCTTGAGTTGGCAATGTGTACTGAACAAATTGGGTGGTTGATGGAATTTGTCGTTCTCAATACTGGTGCTCGGGGTCGAATATATTTAATCCTTGGCGAGAGACAGCAGTTTCGACACGACCCGCAGGCCATACGAATACCAATGGTCACCACACATACATCGAACTAGAATAACAATACCAGGGAAGTTCTCTGTATCACTCACACAATATGCAATGTAGAAAAACTACCCAACCCACAAGAGGCGATGTGGTCAGCACGGTATTCAGGTCTTGTTCAATTCACCCAGCTATTCCTCGCCGGACGATAGAGCATACCTCAAGACCGCCTGTAGTTTACGCAAGCAAAATTAAGGACACTGCGTCAGCCTCAAAACATACGAGACGAAGCGCAAAATGAGTCCAAAGCTTCTTGATCGAAAAACACTCAGTGTAGTGGTCTTGGAGCCAACCCACCCTGCCAACGTCCCGCCCCCAAGGACTTTTTCATACGGACTTGGACTCGTTCAGGTAGGACAGCAATCAGGACTTCACTGCATTCGCAATGGCAGGGTGGTCGAAGCAAAAGGACGTCCCTGGCTTGATCGGCAGACTAATGAGGCGTCCACACACAGTAGCAGTACCGTCGCAAACAAACCACAGCCCAGTGCAGAAAAACAAGTTCTTGCGTCCCCTAAGTCGACGGTTTGCTACCGGTGGAAAGGATGTTCAGGGTGACGACTGTCAATCTATGCTATGCTATGAGCTGAACACAGGGCCAGAGAAAATCCATAAAGAGCACTGTCTAAGCCAGATCGGCAAAAAAACTCTGCGCACTTGGCCTGTTCAGCCTGCGCTTTGCTTCGAAGCCAGCTGAATCAGTGCATATTAGTCAAGGCCCGTACAAGGCTGTAGTATCTGGGCTAGACTTCCTTCTTACGGCCAAGAGATCAGTGTCGACCCAAATCTCAAGGCATCAGATCCGCACGAAGAAAAATCTTGCACTCCACCAAAAGCAAAGATGCGGGGTTGGCCGACGGCCACGCGGCTAAGCAAGGCATGCAACCATGTAAACAAGATTCCAGCAAGCAAGATCAGCTAGGCGGTAACCCAAAAAGTGGGATCCTCCGGGCATCAGCTCACGCGCCACGGTCACACGAGTACAGATACGCAAGGCACAGGTTGTCAAGACCACCATACCCGTACAAAGTAGTTGAGACAGCTGTGGCGGTGCAAGGAGAAGATCCTCGACCAACGCGCAGTGTCTCCCAGAAGAAGACGACGCCGGGTGCCAATCTTTTCCAAACAAGCCAGAAGCGAGAAACAGGTCGACAGTCAACATGGCCATCAAAGTCACACAAGAACAGCGCACAGGATCAATGAGCCGGAGTGCCGCCTACTGCCAACCAGACAAGACGGGGAACTGCCGACATGCACTGCCAGAGAAGATGTGAAAAGCGTGCAAGCATCCGTCTACAGATCCCAACCAAACCATGCATGGCAGAATACGAGGTTTCTCCGCTGCCAACAAGCCCAGAAGAGGTACTCGTGCACCATTGTGAGATTGACCATGTCGTTCCGCATCTGCGGAATCGATGCCTGTCAAGATGAAACCCAATGGTCCTTTTGCCCGATCGAGCCAGTGTAGGCGTGGGCATGCCCCAAGCGGCTAGACGACAGGTTGGAAGGGCTTTTGCAGACAAGATTGTACCAGGATGATCTACGCCAGGACCCAGCGCCTGGAACGGATGTGCCCCGACAATAACCGACTTCTGTTGTCCAGGGGAGTCGGCAGTCCAATCGTTTGCGCGGGCGGCCCCCAACAGAGTTTTTCCTTCAGCTGCATGTTCGACGCCTGGACTCCTGTACGGAGCACTCTTCAGCCCTAGCCCAGGATTGCGCGCCCTAACGCAGCCTCCAATGCAACGGCAACCTCGGCACGTTCCTGCATTTTAGCCGGGAGCCAGCGAAAAAAGCACAATTCGACTTTTTCTGGACGTCTTCGACGCAGAAAACTAGTGCTACCACGGTATCTCGACTGACCGAAAGAGAGAGACACATTAGGCTAAATGGGACAATCCCCGAACGGTCTGAGACCTGGTCTTAGTTTGTTGTGGCTGCAACAATGCCTCCTTTGGATACGAGGGATCTGCTGGCCTGGCATTCGGGGATCCAGGCAGGGGAATTGTAAATCAAGACAAATAATAACAATTGCAAGACAAGTTAGAGGCGGCGAGCATAAGCATCGTGGCCGTGGATTACGTGTACGGTCCTTGTAGTCGGTGCGAGATGCGATGCGACGCGACCCCAACATTACTCAGCTGATTGGCACACTTGTACTCGTATACGAGGTTAGAGAGATAGGCGAGGCATGGCAGGGCCAGGCAGAGACTGAGTCTGTCGGTACCACTGTACCAGGACAGCATCCAAGGCTGGATCTCGGCGAGGCTCGTATCCTCGTGGTAATCCAATTCCCATGGAAAGCCCGAGAGGGTGCAGGGACAATCTAGAATTCTTGGTGCCAGGCTTTGTTAGGCTGAGGCATATTCCTCGTATTACCCAGCAATTCGGCCTGGTTCTGGCTCACGTCGGGTGGACTCGGCGGGCTCCCAGCGCAGTCGCCGGCCATTGGCTGGAACCCGCACAGCCACAGAATCGGTGGCTGGTGATTCGCCAGATCCGCCAAGGCCAAGACCGAGATGATGAGAGGGAAATCCGATCGGCACCAGCCTGTTCCTCTTCGCACGTATGTACGCAGCGTCCGCGGAAGAGCGCGAGGGCAGCATGAAGCCTGATGGTCTGTGGTGAGTGCAAACCCAACGCTCTGGACGGTGACTCCGGCCCAATCGCGCCGTCCAGCCAACATCTGTTGAGTGCCTGTCGTGGGCATGGCTGCTGAACGGCACAGGCCCAGGCAGCTGTAATAATGTGCACACTGCATCCACCGGGGCAACGTTGCGGCCAGGCGGTGACTACTTGTACCGCCGGTGCAACGGTTGGGACGCTCGCAACAGACTCTCTTCACAAGCCCGCAGAAACGCAGAAACGCAGAAACACAGAACCAGAAATTCGCTCGCTCGCTCCCTCCAGGTCAGACAGGCCCGTTCTGAAGGTGCATTGTATTATTATTGCCGAGCGAAACCCAAACAGGGCCAGGCCACGGCAATCCCTGCACCGCCGACGTCATCATCGATCATCGCTGACCCTCGCATGCAGGGTCCTGGCCCCGGTTCCTCGTCCATCTCGAACAACCTTCGGCCGGCTTCAATACCACCAGCGCTGCATTGATCAATCGTATCCGATTCCTCCTGCACCCAGAGTGCCCATTGAAAAAAAAATCAAAGAGCAAACGCCGAGTTATCAAAAGGAGAAACCCCCAGTTCTCTTCCGCCCGTACCAACACCTATCCACCGATTACCTCCGTCCCTGCGTCCCAATCGCCAGACGGTCATTCCACTGCCTTCCACACCCTCGTCAATCCAATTGTCATCAAGTGCCCGTCGCTCTCCGGATCGCTCGAGCGGCTTCTTCCACTTAAGACGTTTGCCACCTGCTCCTTGCTGCACATCCTCTCTCCGCCATACACACTCTCCGAGTTACTCCCACCCGCTACGTTACCAAGACACTACAAACCACGCAATCGACCCTCGACCCTATTTGAGCTTCATACAAGAGCACCCATTTCTCGCCTCCTCTCCGCTTGAGCCTCAACACACCATACCACACTGTCGCGACTGACTTGATGAACAGTCGGTCGAACACACAATCAAACAGTCCATCGGTGCGCATTCAACACTCGACGTCGACGGCTGCGACACAACCATCCATGCTCGCCCAGAGTGCGCTGGTCGGAGGGTGGAACGACGGTTTCAACTCAGGCTACTTGAGTGCGCTGCCAAAGACGTTTCAAGATCACAAGAGAGGCTCGTCGGGCTCGTCGGTGACATCGCTGGGGCCCCCGTCGCCTCTCACCCACCCCAACAACATATATCCACACATTGTCGCCACCAGCGACTCGACTTTTCCCGCTTCCTACGACTTCGACTTCTCCCAGCCTCCCCACACAGCCAAGTCGGATTCCGCCATGATCTACCCGCAGAACTTCAGCGCAGTCGACATGAGGAGGATACAGTCACAAGGCGCCGACGAGCGTGCGTCATTCAACAACCTGTCGGCGCCTCAATCGGTGTCGACAATGAGTCATAACTCTCCTGCGACGCCGCATACAAGTTATGAGCCCGAGTACGACGAGAAACATGTCTATGGTGAGGATCCTAGCGACGCAGACGAGATGTTCGACTACTTACAGTTCGAAGCAGCGTTCCCGACGTCCGCATACCAGCAGTCGTTACAAGATGTCTTCCCTGACCAACATTTCCCCATGTCCTACACACAGCCGCAGCAGAACATGCAGCGGATGAATCTACAACCTCACCGACAGAATATGATGGCGGATCGATTGCAAGCGGCGACGCAAGATCATCTCAGGACGAACTCTCCGACGTCCGATCCTCGCGACAAGTCTCCATTCCGTCAGAACTCACCCTACAGCATGCCTGCGCCGCCCCATCGGCCACGACAACGGCCGGCCCTGAAGAACGAGCGAACGTCGATATCTCCCAAAGAATTGATGTTGGATGAGCATGACGTTGACGATCACGCTGCGCCTCTGTTTGGCGCAGATCAGTCCAACTCTACAACTTTTGGCGACGCCAGAAACATGGCGAATATGGCGAGCTTCTACACGCAGATGGCCCATGATACTTCCATACCCGTGCCTCAACAATATCCCTTTGCTCTCAATCCACCGAGCCGGCCGGGTACGGCCATGCAGGATGTCGCGCCAGAATTCCCGGCACATATGCTCTCGATGGAGTCGACCAACGAGGAAGGGCCATCAGAGCCTTCTAGCCAACAGTCACAGAAGCCTGCGGTACAGCAACAGCCACGGTCTGCGCCTCAGCAGCAGCAGACAGTGCAGCGCCCGACGGACACGTCATCGGATGCGGGAACTTATTCTTGCACGTACCATGGCTGCCATTTACGGTTTGACACGCCTGCGAAGCTCCAGAAACACAAACGAGACGGTCACCGGCAGACTTCCCCCGGAACGTCATCGTCACCCAACCTGGCCTTGCGGAACTCTCAAGCGGGGCCACATCGATGCGATCGGATCAATCCTAGCACGGGCAAGCCTTGCAACTCGATCTTTTCAAGACCTTACGATTTGACCCGACATGAAGACACGATCCACAATGCGCGGAAGCAAAAGGTCCGGTGCCATCTGTGTACGGAAGAAAAGACCTTCTCGCGTAACGATGCGCTTACCAGGCACATGCGCGTTGTTCATCCTGATGTGGACTGGGTGGGCAAGCAAAAGCGCAAGAGTCAGAAGTGAGGTGTCTCGGCATGAGATTGTGTCACGATTGTGGCATTGAGAGGCCCAACGCCTCGGGTTACAGTGTATGACTATTGGAGCTTTATTTTCTCTTTCGACTTGACGACAAAATTTCGTCGCTTGTTGCACAAAGCTTGGCTCAGCAAATGACGATGACGAAATGAAGCGATCAACAAATGATATGATATGAGGGTTTTTCTGGTCCGGGGGACTCGTCCAAAACTGAACGATGGTGGAGCAATTGCATCGCATGGCGCCGATGGGATGTTTTCTTTTTTCTTTTTTTTTTGGATCAGCATGGTATGATAGAATGAAAATGACTTTGGGGGTGCAGGTGATTTGTTCCTTTTTTGGCGAAGGTGGTTTCTATGATTTCTCCCTTGTGCCCAGGCGGGTGGACGGATTACACAAAACAGCAAGCGATGAGGTGTGACGAGAGATATGATATCATTATTGTTTGTTGTCATGACACCTTCTGACCGATAGACTGTACTTTTACTCTCTACTTTCACGGGACCATGGACCGGCGGGGTGCAATCGCGGATGGCATGATCGATGGACAAAAGAAGGAGTCGGTGCATATTTTATGAGGTCCATTTGGTTCTCGACTCTGGTCTCTGTTGTTCATCCCTACGAGGAATCTTTTACAGGTGATGGTTTAGGACTTTGTAAATATGTGAATATTCTTGAGCTCTTACACCGAGATGATTGATATTTTCTTTCCGTTATATTGAACTATTGTGTGTGGGACGTAGTCACACCAACGTGACAACTACGAGTACGATATATTGGTGAGGACGAGTGCGAGGAGTACCCAAGGTAGGTTAAGTGATGGGGTGATTCTCTTTCGTCAGGTGAGGGTGGTGGGTGGTGGGTGGTGGGTATACTGTACAGTTTATCTTCGGTGTCTTTTCGGTACCCGCTGTCTGTGTGTGTTATGTGTGTGTACGTGTCTGTGTCTGTGTGTGGGTGTGTGTCGTGACGATGATGAGTCGCTGGGGGTGGACGGATGGCTAACTGGTAGGTAGTAAGTAGGGTGTTGGTTTGGGTGGGTGAATGACGGACTCCTCGTGGTTTGTTGGGTGGATGGATGGATGGATACGAGTACTCGTTTGTAGATCGCTTTTGGATGGATGGAGTTTCTCTGCATTGGGATCTCAGATCTGTCGCTTCGTCGGGACCACTTTGATTTGATATGGTATGGGCACGTCCCGTAAAGGCCACAACTCCGAGTCACCTCAGATAGATAACAAACATGTACCTACCTACCTTGTGTATGTGCCTTGGGCCTCGGATAGATAGTAGTAAGTAGACTATACTGTGCGAGTATGTGCTTTTGGGCCGGTGGGCGACGCGGGTAACAGATTCTAAATCTAGCATACATCATGAGATTTGAGCGCACGGGGACCACCAGACCGTGCGAGTGTGGTTGGTCGTACAGTACCATCGATGATACAGGTGGGCATAAGAGTACCTACTCGTCCCTACGTAGAACGGGATTCTCGACACGAGCTTCCCTGCGCACTTTGCTCGTATCGTCATCCTTTTGAGACCATGGACGTACTCGTCGTCATGATCATCATGATTGTCATCCCATCCCCCGATCCTCATCGACGTCGTCATCCTGCTTCTCCTCTCCTCCTCATGACTACTCGCATCAGATCGATTCGCTCGAGTCTCTCGTGTGAGTGAGTGCCGCTGATTAAGGTTCATTGTCATGATGATGACGACGATGGGGAGGAGGAGGAGGCTGAAACCCGGGGTTCTTTTTGATCTGCGAGAGTATTTTTTTTGATAATTCGGTTGAACCCCGCACATACTCCGTACAGGTATAACACCTAACTGTCCATGCACTATCCAGTATCCAGTGTTGACCAACCCTCATTTACAAACAACCATCTACCACCCATGCAAAGGTGTCCCCGCCGTCGACACCGTCTAGCCGCGTGTATTTGCTCTGCCTACTTTGAGCCTCCCTCTCTCCTTCTCTCCCAAAGGCCAACGGCTATGTCAGCATGACAATACAAAATGGCCTCGATCTTTGCCGTTCCCCGTACACACCAACGCACGCCAGCCAGGACGGAGCATGCAGTGCTGTGCAGTAGCTCAACCTCCAGAAGCACGGCAGGCAACCGGTCACCATCCCGTTCGCTCGGCCACGAGAGAACAGAATCGTGCCCGATGGAACGTCAAGGTGGCCAAAAAACTGTCATCTCTTTACCTCGTTGGGTCCGGCGGATGTCGACTGTATCCTCTCACCTGGTCAAGCACAAAGCACAGAGCAACCGACCCTCCTGTCTCGTCCCCTCCGACTCGCAGAAGAATACTGTTGTCATTTCAAAAACATATACTGCCTACCAGGCAGACAAGACACATCATGGCGCAGTCTGAAATAAGACCGCTGTGCGAGTACGAGGAGCGGTGGCGACACATTCCATTTTGCAACAATTGCCTCTTTCGGTATACGGCTTCTCTGGGATGTGATTCATGGTAAGCATCGCAAAAAGCAGCGGCACACACTCACGCACTCACGCACTCACGCACTCACGCACTCCTCCTCCTCCGGCGGCGACTCGGCTGATTATTTCAAATCTCACCTCCGTCGCCCAGACTGTCTACGAGTACTAGGGGTTTTCCCGGAGAGAGCAATGAAAGTATGGTTCCCATTTGCATTCATTACCCGCCGCGGACTTATAGGTGCTGAACCTTGAGAACCCGAAAAACCCGCACGCCTGCGGATATAGGAAAAGTCACGCGAAGTACGAATACCTAAGTTGGTAATACAGCTCCATCCGTGCGAACGAAGGGTCGCCGATGATCTATCGCGCTTGTCGTGGAATTCATGCAGGGCCCAGCACACGCCGTATACAACAACCGGATCTCTAGGAACCTCAAGGGAAACCAAAGCCCGGGCCAGACTACAATGTAGCAGCCCGCTAGAGTGTACGAGCAAGTCCGCTGCGGCCGCAACGACGGGCCCGAGGACTCCGTCGAGTGAAGTATGACCGCCTGCTTATGTTAGGCAGGTGTTTACATGAGGCTTGAGTAAAGCTGTGCCACGAATACTCCGCAGTCACCGGTGTATGAGGAAACGCTGGGATGATGTCATCATCATCAAAAGCGGGCTTTTTTCTAGTCGCAACTCAAACTCGCTTGCACTAAACATGTTGGGACTGGTGGACGAACTCGCGTAACCGATAATGCCTCTCTCTCTATTGACACCTGGCTCCGAGTATCTGCCAATCTGCACGTACTCGAACGCCGTGCGAATGCTTCCATCGCACTGAACCGCCGGTTCTAGTATCTTGGTAGAGGGTGCTTGTCCTGCCTGATTGCTCTTGTTCACCTATCGTGCTCGTCGAGGGCGTAACGTGTGCCGAGTTTGGGGACGCTTACGAATATCCCTTGGGCCTCGACCGCGACCGAGTGGCTGGCGAGTCGAGGATTGATCGATGCCTAGGCCTTGAATCCCGTCAAAACACCTCGAGTAAGAAAGGACTGGTATGAGAGCAACCAGGACAGGCAAGCTGTGTCCGAGATAATGCCATATTTGCATACAGTCCTGTGCAGGGATGGCACAGTACGGTCCTCCGAGGGCTGCATTACCGGATACTAGACAGCAACGTTCCTGATCAAAAAGAAATCGACTTTTGGCCATTAATTGATAGTAGGTTGCTGCACGCACTTATCATATCTGGATCTGACTCTCACATACGGGCCCTGTCCTCAAATCACTTTCACCATCAGACAACTCACAACTTACAAAGCCGATGTCATCGTCATCAACCCCGTCCTGACTGTAGTCCTCACGATGTAATGCTTCACTTTGTATCTGCCTTCAAGCGTTCTTGTGCTCCGAAAATCTACGTCCCCTCGGACTGTCCGGGCTATGGACCTCGCTGGACAACTCCGGACTACAGGGTTCTCCGAACAGATTCCAATATGTCCTCTTCCTGTTTCTCAGAATCCTTTGCCGGTTTCCATCACGACGACCCCGGTACAGCCGCCGGCCTAGATAGGAATTAAAGCCACGTGATTAAGTCTGGGGTTTGTCAAATCCGTTCGACGAATCATGCCAAACTCCGAAGATCGGCACGCAGTGCACACTCCTTTGCCTAGTAGAAACCGGACGGAACAGGCCATACCTTGTGCCTGAGCTTAAGTATCCTTGATCTTACTCTGAGGACAACATGAAAATATTCCACCGAGTTGTGCTTACCATACTGATATCAGACTCCGAGACATCAAACTTGAACAAATCTATCACTCCACCACCTAGCACCTTCGGAAATGGGTGCCCCAGACATCAAGGCAGATGCACGAAGGGTGGTTGAGGTGCTGAAAGCTGGGGGAATTGCTATCATTCCCTCGGCCATGGGTTACGCACTCACCAGCTCTACCACTGCCTCGCTGGAAAAGATGTTCTCGACCAAGAGGCGTGGTGCGCACAAGCGACATGCGATGGGCGGAAACTATGCACTCCACAAAGCTCTTCACGTCATGAAACCTCAGGACGAAGAGATTGTCCGCTGCCTGACCCAAGACTTTGATCTTCCTCTGGCTGTTATTGCCAAATACGACACATCCAACCCCATGTTCAAAGACCTCGACCCGTCCACTTTGGAAGCGTTGACGGTTGATGGCACACTGGCCATGTTGATCAACGCTGGATCCCTCCAAGACGAGATCGCAAACCTCATGATGGAAGCCAAGCTCCCGTTGTTGGGTAGTTCAGCGAATCTCTCGGGCACAGGTAGGAGAACTTGATGATCAGCCCGATACCTCACGTATAATGCGCTGACATACTACTAAACTAGGGACCAAGTATGTCGCCGACGACATTCCCAAGGAGATTCTTGATATCGCAGATATAGTTATAGACTATGGGCTTGTCAAGTTTGGACACCACGGAAGGAGCTCAACAATGATCGACTTCAGCGGGCCAAAACCAGAAATTGTGCGGATTGGAGTTTGCTACGATGTTATCAAGGACCACATGAAGCGCTTCTGGAACATTGACATTCCCGACGATCCGGGGAAGGCGGCACTCCCGCATGGACATCTTAAGAACCTGCCCCCATTGGCATCGCTGCAAAGACTCGTGGCAGCCTAGGAGGAGATACGATTAGTCGTGAACTGGTATCTTTTGCCGCGCCCTCGGGTTAGAACTTGTGGCGAGATCACCGAATTCATTCCTTTTCTGATGCACCGTCACTTTCGCTCCTAGCCAGACATAAAGTCGATACCGGAATAAATCTTGTTTCCCCGATGGCGGTTCATTCTGCGGCCCATTCATCAATACGAGAACATCAGTGCCTCATTCCGTGAATCACACGCCATCGTGTAGCCAGAAATCATCGCGTTGAGCAGCTGCAGACAGGGGAGACAGGCTCTTCGAGACCGAGCCACCGTTTCCTCCAAGATACTGGCCACGCATCCTCGACCCCAGGACCTATCGGATGACCATAACCCTTTTCTGGGGAAGCTCCTCTCGCTAATGATGGAGTCGCGAGAGTAAGCACTTCCACTGACTGAAGTGCCGATTTTTCGGAGTTCCAGCCAAAGTTGATAATGTCGTCCACCTCAGTGCCGACATCTGGAGTTTGGCGAGGTCCGGGCCCCCCAAAGCTTCCCCACAAAGCAACCCCGTGCCAGGGGGTGTGGGCCTTTTCCAGCCTCTTGAGGCCATACCGAAGCTCGTGGATTGCCGATTTTCTCGAAATTTCAACAGCGTAGTCATATTCATGGGTGGCATGGCTCGAGATGGACAACAACTATAAGACCAGACGGGCGTCGTCGTCCTTGGACACCCCAGGCGACATCCCTCCTTCACGTTGCGACCACAATGGAATCTGTCCCCCGAGAAATCAGTGCTCCTCCCTCTGCTAAGGAGGGTGCTGTTGAGGCCGAATCTGTACACAAGGAGGAGGTAGTTCCAAGTTTGACACACCGCAAGAGCAGAAAGGAGAAGAGGCTCTTGCTAAAGCAGGACCTTTCAATTGTCTTGCTGCTCTTTGGCTGCTACTGGTTTGCGTACTTGGTATGATATGTCCCTTCAGGCTGCGTCTGTACGTTCAAGAGCTGACCGGACATTTCGTCTCAAAGGATCGCGGTGCCCTCGGAAATGCTCGAATCATGGGGTTTCAGACAGACCTTGGCTTGTCTGGCAGTCAGTTCTACAACTGCCTGATGATGTTCTGTAAGTGCAACCCTGCGCCGAGTGTGTGTTTGACAACCAATGGCTGACAGGATGTTTTAAGATGTCGGATACCTGATATTTGAGCTACCTGCAGCATTGGCACTGCGTGTTTTCTCTCCAAATCATGTCTATGGCGTTGCAGTCATCATATTCGGTGTCCTTGCAGCTTCCATGACGGCCGTCAGAACCTATGCGCCGATCATGGTTATCCGACTCCTTCTTGGTCTTTCCGAAGCGACGATACAGACCGGTTTCCTCTTTCTGACCCTGTGGTATCGGCCAGAGGAGGTCACGACCCGTGCCGGTAACTATGCCATGGTGACGCCGGTCCTTCGCCTCAGCTAACCGAGTCATAGCCTTTTACTTTCTCGCGACGCCTGTGGCCGGAGCCACCAGCGGACTGATCGCATACGGAGTGCAACGCAATCTCGACGACAAGCTCGGAAGAACCTCCTGGGAGTGGTTCTTCTTGATTGAGGGTGTTCTTACCATCGCTTGGGGGATTCTCGTTTTCTGCCTCTTGCCCAAACTTCCAGAGACCGTTGCACACAAGGGAAGTGTTCTCTTCCGGGATCCGCAGGAGCGAAAACTCATCCTCGACCGAACGATCGCTGCCCGTAACACCCCAGATGCTAAACCGCGCATGTTCCAAGCATGGTGGGCGCTCAAGGATCCCAAAACCTGGCTCTTTGCCCTGGGGCTCGCTGCTGCGTCTCTGGATGTCGCCGCGTTTGGGGCTTTCCTGCCCACGTTCATCCGTCAATTCGGCTTCTCTCCCTGTAAGGTGTTGTCTTCTCCGGGATGTCGTTCAGAGCTGACAGCGTGACTATCAAGTGGACACGCAACTGTACAGCATTATCCCTTACGCCTTTGCCACGGTCACCCTGCCGACCGTGTCCATCTTGGCCGATCGCACACAAAAGAGAGCGATACCGTTCCTGATCTGCATGAGCACCTCGGTGGTTGGATTCGTTGTGGTGTTGGCCACCACCAACAAAGTGGCCCTCGTCGTCGGCTGTTCTTTGATTGCCGCCGGCTGCTATCCAGCCATTGTGGTCTGCGCAACGTGGTCCTTGAACAGCCATGGAGGCTACACGAAGAAAAGCACGGCCTGGGCGGTGACCCAGGTCTTCACCCAGTGCTACAGCATCATCGCAACGCAGATCTACGATAACCCGCCACGCTACTTCAAGGGCCACGGCATTCTTCTGGGCCTTAACCTGCTGGGTGTGGTTGCAGTCGTGGTTGCTTACCTCATGATGAAAAGAGAGAATAGGAGGCGAGACCTGGTCGCTCAAGACTATCTTGCACGAGGCGAGCGTAACCCTGACGCCGACAAAGCTTACGAAGAGTTGTGTGATTATCACCCCGATTTTCGATATCCTCTGTAGTACACATGGTATATGTACGTGTTGCATAGGTACCAATCTGGTGCAGGTAAATTGTCGCGTATGCAGACCCTGGCGCGATCTGGCCCCTCCGACAATCGACCACCTAGGAGAGATATTATGATTTCGAGGAGTGTATAGTGTGATAGGTGGTCCTAGTACTTAGATGGTCTCCCTCTGGGTCTACAAGAAATAGCTGTAGGCGAGAACTGAGTCTGTCGCCTCTCCACACCTAACCCTCGAAGAGGGTTCGGTGACCGTGGGCCGAGGGCCTTTCAGTGCTATCTACCTGTATATTATAGGCTCTGCTTGGTTTCCCCGCCACGGTTTTCCTACCTGTGTAGCTAACTCGGATAGTAGTTAGTACACTAGTTAGCTAGATGATGAAGACTTCCAAAATCTCCCCCACAGCTTCATGAACTCTTTACTCCGTCCGGACTTTTGGGTCTTCTTTTGTCTTTCATCATTCCCACCTTCCTGCCTGCCTACCGACTACCGTTCAAAGTTTCCTAGGCAATGCTGAGACACAGTAGGCCGATACGCTAAAAGCTACTAAGTTGGTTCATCGTTAGCTTCTTCTTCTTCGTCGTCGTCGCCTTCGTCGCTATTCCAGTGCCTTGCAATCGACAAGTGCCTCCGCCGGGAGGGAGGTGTCTCGGGTACATATTGATTGTGTACATATCGCACATCATATATCACACGCAACAATGGCCCTTCAGGAAGGTCTAGGGAGAGTACGATCATGCACCGAGTGTCGGATTCAAAAAGTAAGCAATACGCTGGGCTCTCTCGCTTTCTCAACAGCCATCCTGGCCCACTTCCCATCACCCAATACCCATCACGCAGTACACATCACCCAGAACCCGTTACAACTGTGCTTGTACTACTACCACTCCTACTGGGACCGCTACTACTCGTGCTTTCTAGTACTTATACAAACATACTGACAAGCCGGTCCTAAATAATCGCAGCTCAAGTGTGATGCGCGGGAAGATTATCTGAGACCATGTACACGGTGCAGAAAGAAGAACCTCTCATGTGAATTCTCTCGTGGTATCCAAAGGACCCAACGAAAAACGTACGTACGTCTGTTTGTCAGTCTTGTTGCCTGCCCCTCCTGAGACGAGAGAATCCTCATATCTTGTCCGGCTTTTCCGTTTGTTCCATTCAGTCACCCAGTCATTCAAGTCACTCACTGACTCAACTCCATCTATACGCTTCGGCTCAATAGTAAAGCACAGCTCGTTCGGGAAATCGCAGGCCTTCAAGAGCAGTTACGAGCCGGTGGTACTCAACATTCTTCCACCTCTGTCTCCAGTGAACATCAACACCACCGTGCGGTGCCGAAGTCTCCGCAGAACCAAGAAGAAGGCGGCGTTGTCGCTGCGGTTTCACATTTACAATCTGTCTCCCAGGCGCGGCATGACGCCCCTCTGGTCTCACATTTACATTCTGCCTCCCAAGCACAGCCTGACGCCGCTCTGGCTTCACATACTCCCTCGTTAAGCAGTCCGGCAGTCGGCTCAGCACCAGTGATCGACTTACCAAGTGTCCCGAGAGCAGTAACCGATGGTAGCTTTCAGGTGACACAGCCAACACTACAGATTGAACAGATTCACACACGAAAGATTCACGACTGTTTCAGACTGTGAGTCTCCTTTCCTTCGCCTTTCACTCACAGCCCTGGTTCAGCTAACATAAAGAAGCTTCTTCGCCCATTACGAGCCCTTCATCCCTGGCTTATTCGATCCCAACGTGTCTCCTGAGGAATACTATGAACAATCTCCATTTCTGTTCTGGTCAATCGTTGCGACTGGTGCGCGCAGATACACTCAAGATCCAACACTCTTTCAGCGGGTCGTATCACAGGTCCTACAGATTGCACTAGGCACGCTCTTCTCGCAGACCAATCCGATTCCAGCGATTGAAGCGGTCTTGATTTTATGCCTTTGGCCAATTCCGCAGAATACAATGTTTCACGATTCTTCCCATCCACTCGCAGGAATCGCCATGCAACTCGCGGTGCAGAACGGCCTCCACATATTTGGTCGCGAGCAAGACTACTCGCGTCAGAACATCAATGCCGCTGACAGTAAGGTGTCTTTCCGCTTCCGTCTCTGGGTCCACTGTGTTATCATCTTCCAGAAGTAAGCCCGCTCGGTCTAGTTACGGGAGGTTGGAGTCGGATGTGGTCGCACTGACATGTGATAGCACGAATTTCATCAAAGGCTTTCCCTGCTGGTCCGTCTCGGAATTCAACAACGCTGAATCCAACCTGCTTCTCGAGCACAATCTTTCGCCTTCATTGCTCTATCGTTACAAGCTTCATAAAGTGCAAACGGACGCCGTCCGAACTATCGTCCAAAGCACCCAGCTCTTGGAATCAGACTGCGGACGACCATTGAGCTCCCTCATCGACATATTCGATACACAACTCAGAGCACTGGTCCCTGCTTCAGACATAGGACTTGGTACGTCGTCGCGGTCGCCTTTCGTCCGTCAGGAGTTACTAATGATCGTCCAAGATGTCATTCTGCAAACTTGCACCCGCCTAGCCATCAGAGCATTTCACTTTTTCGCAACACCGGACACTGCGCGGACAGCTGGACTTGTGCAACTTTACACCTTGTCCTGCAACGTGCTCGACATGATGCACGAGTTTGACCTCGCCAACGATTTTGTCCTCTATTCAACCCACTGGCTGTCCATGATGGTGCTTATGGCGGCAATGAGTATCCTCAGGGTTGCACGGAGCGAAATTCGAAGTCATGTGGATTTGGAGCACGGCGAGAATGCGTACTTCAAGGCCATCAACCTTTGCAAAAGGCGCTCTGCTGAAAACAACGATTTGGACTCAAGGGGTACTATCATTCTGTCCCAACTCTGGTCCAATGATAGCATTTTCCGTAAACATGACGGTACTCTGATAGGAGACCGACTGCGACTGCGAAGCCGACTGGTAAGTTTGGCACTGGGGTTTAAAAAGCACATTAACATTACATCGCCGATGAACTGATGATTTTTCGCTAATGCTACCTACTACCAGTTTACGAGCGTCATGTTCGACACACTATGGCACTGGAGGGCAACTTTCGGCAATTGGAAAGCGAATCCTTACAAAGCTGACGATGATGAAACAGTGCCACAGTCGACCACGGCTGACCAACCGCCTGCAGCCGCTTTTTGGACGCCAACCTCGCTCTTCACAAGTATCCCTCCAGGTCTTCAACCGGACTTCTCATCAACCCCTTCGGCGCGCAATCTCTCAACACTTCAGCCCCCGATGTTTGACCTTGATGCCTTTGACGTGTTTCCAGACTGGGAATGGGCCGCCGAGTTGCCTCTAGAAGGCGGCGTCGATCTCGATCCAACACGCTGAAGTCTTCGCACAGGCTCGATACTATCTTCCAGGACTTACTCCGTACCCTTAGGGGTTTAGCATGGTGCATCAATGCCTTGTTACCCCTCTGTTCCACCCTCTATTGGAAGAGTGTCCAAGTATATACATATATCCATTGCCCTATCACGGCCTGAGTTGACCCAGACATATGCTCGAGCAACCTAGTCTTTATGTGGGTTTTCCGCTTCCAGCGCCGGCATCAGGGTCAAGGCTACAGCTGGTACTCTAGCGTCGCTCAATAGCGATCATCGGCCTTCGGGGAGATATATCATCTACCAACGAAAACGACCCAACAGAAGACCGCGGAGAAGGATGATATGATCCGAAGCTTCATGGTGGCCCACCTGCGGTCTTCCTCGCAGAGCGTGAACCTTCAGAACGCCTGTCACCGCATCGTGTTTCTCAATCCTGCGGTCAGCCTGAATGTTGATGACATTCAGGAAATTTGTCGCGTTCATCGAGAAGGAATTTGTTGTTTAGTATTCTAATACCTCAGTTCACCTGTTGGACGGCTATATCAATGCCAACGACCTCCTCATTCTGGGAGGCTTTACCAACTCAAAGGCAGTACCGATGAGACAACGGATTTTCCCAATACTCCCCCCCTCCGCGCATCACCCTCCCAAGTACATATGGATTCCTCCGACTTTGTTGAGAACATGCGGGCATCCCCCCCTCCCATACCTCCCCCCTTCATCAGGCTGCCAAATACCACCAGCTTGAGGCCAACGATAAAGAAGACGCCAGCTTCAGAGTAGAATTGACTCGAGAGAAGAAAGGACTGGCACAAATGAAAACAATGGCACGGCTCGGAGACTACACCGGAGGCGTATTCAACTTCTTAAAACATGTCTCCACGGCAGGCGCCCGAATGAAAGAGCAAGGCACAGCGTTCGCAGACGGTTTGAGACTCTGGGAGACGTCGGGCAATCATTTGGAATACGCCAGGTCAAAGAGAAACGGTTGATGCCGCAAAGGCTATCTATCGATCCACGGATCGATAACAAAATAGCAAGGATGGCGATTGACGAGTATGAGGCTCGGAATCCAGACCTCCCCCTTTTATCGGACTGCCAAATGCCACCCACCGGCTGAGGCTCGCGACGAGGACGAATGGAGGATGCATCTTTAAAGGATCGACTACAGTCAGTCAGTCGGGCGATGTCTCTGAGCCTTCGAGACCCATGGTTTGACGGTCTCAAGGGCACTGCCCGGTTCAACCCCAAGATTTTTCCCAAGGCTTGCTACGCAGCTCAGACCTTCTGGATACTGGGCATGTTTCTGGTCGTCTTTAACGACCACGAGCAAACCCAGTGTGCAACACCGCTCTGGTGCGGCTTCTCCGCGGAGGACTTTCACCGAGCACTCACCTTACTCCGATATCTGATGATCTGTGTCTGATCATGCCCCTCCGCGTCCATGGCAGGATATACAGATACTGTATTGACACAGTCTTTCTCTCCGATCCTACATTCTAAAAGGCGTACATATATATATGTATGTGTAACAACGATCCCATTTTGATCATGTCGTCGAGATACGGCCTACCACAGCCGGGGAATCCCGAGGAAGCGATCAGACGCAGCGTGAGTTCTCCCCCCCAGGGTGGACCGAGAGGTTACTAACGGTTACGAGGGCATGGCCGATGTTCAGAGCGATGCGGATTGGCGGAAGGCCGAGTTTGCAACAGACTTTGGTGAAGCCAAAAGTGAGTAACCAGTCGTGACTTCTCGTAACCTCTACTGACCCCTCCTAGGCCGCCCATCGAAAGTGAGGCTTTCTTGATCCAAAAGAATGGCACAATCAACCCCGCTCGTGTGAGTATCTATCTCCCTGTTGTCTTTCGTGATTCTTCGTAACTGACTGTGACTAGCTGGCATGCTCGAAATGCGCTGCTAACAGCTATCGTCCACTGTACTTGCAGACCGACTATCTGATAACGTTCCTGGACAAAGTCCCTCAAGGCTACTGAGAGACAGCTAAAGGCCATTCTGAGAGAGCGATGTCCGCATTTCAGAAATCTGAACGGCGAGATCGTCTCCTTCACAATCTCAACAAAAGACCGATACATACAGATACTGCGTTAACAACTAACTTTCCGCGGACTTTGAGGCCGGAAATTTCGTCAACTACGCACCCAGGATATATATATGTCTACGTTTTGTCAATCTCTCTGGCAGACCTCTGAGGAATGGGCACGTCTCCCTGATCTGGCATTGTCCTCTGTCTGACTGGGACGATACGAGGCGAGTGGCTGATGAACAGCAGTGGAGGAAGTTTTAACTCTACATTCGAGCGTTCCATTCAGGGAGGAAGCACGGCTCGAATATTTTTGCCCCAAGACTGACTGAAGCCGCTGGAACTAAAACAAATACCCACTACAAGTCCATCCAGGCTTTTGCCGCTCATGGCAAACTCTTTCATAGCTTGATATCATCTCATGGTCACCGTTGCCCAAGCCGGAAGCGGCTGGCAGAGCAGACTTCTGCCGATGTCAATGCCCTGCAAAGAAAATTACAAGTTCAGGCCTCCTTAGCCAAGTATATACTGATCAGAATGCATTCTTGAATGCCCATGATCACTGAGTACACCCGCTCGATCGAATGGAATTGGCCCCCTCCAAAAAAAGGGGGGTAGAGATCAATACCACGGTCCTTCAGCAAGCTTCTGGTGCGGTAACTATATGAGTCTGCGCGTGCGTGTCCAATGAATACACTCACTCCTGGAATGTGCACATCCTCCTCATCATTTTTTCGTTCTTAAACGTTTCTCTGCTGACCACGTACTACGTACGACCTGGAGCGTCCATGCTCAGACATCGAGCAGGCTAATAATATAATAAATATATTATAAGAGCAACGTTCTGAATTCAGCCCTCGAAGAAGGTGTGGTGGATGCGGGAAGCCCCCGAAGCTCGATTCTGAGGATCTAGAGATAGATAATGCGTTATTGGCCTTCAGTGGGGGATATGTTGGCAGGGTGCCCCCTCCAAACTGTTGAGGACTTTTGACGGTCGATGGCCTCCCGCCACCGCCCCCAGATTTTCGACGTGGGAGAAACCACTCACCACCACCACCATCAGAAAAGCTGTTTTCGAGAGAGGTTTGCTCTGGAAAATCCTGGGAACAGTAAGAATTCCAGGAATGTCTGAAGCTAATTAGATAGATACACTTTCGAAAATAACATGTCAATATTTCAAGGTTACTACTAGTATCACTCTTTCTGGCAGCTTTTGTGATACAAGACCGACTGCTATCTCCAAAGTATCTCAATCCAGAAGAATGCTTCTTCTTCAAAGGAGCCTGAACTTGCACCCTTTTGCCCGGGGATCAACTTTCTCAAGAAACTGTCGAATTCAGTTGCTGCATTAATTGTGCTCTGTCAAGATGTAGAGGAAACGAAAGCCGGAGGACGTGGACTCTAGTATTAATACATGGTCTATACTTACTTGTTCTTGCGGTTCAGATGCGCGGTATTTGCTTATAGTGTCTTAATCCCCGGTCGCGACGAGCCCCCCGTTCTGGGAGGACCGATAATAGTAGTATCAGGGACTGGCCCAAGAATTGGAGCATCGTGAAGACGACGGCTAGCCTTAATGGATATATACATTATATATGTATAGACAGAACATTTTTAAAAGTATTTTTTCGCGTCATCATCATCATCATCATCATCATCATCGATTGGACGTCAATTCGGTACCGTTCGCACACTCTTAAGAACTCACTCCTTACCAACGTTGATAGGGGCCCCAATCGCGCCGGAAAAACGCGACATTGGAATCTCCTAATTGGGAAATATAAACGTGCCCGGTGGTCGATCTTTGTTAGTCACACAGTAGTAATTCGATATGTGTCACACGCACACAACTTTGCTTTTCATTCAAACGGTATGTGTGGAACAGATCTGTTCCGCGAAACACTACGTTACCACCACCTAGATAGTAGTAGTACCTAAGCTGCGCCTCGAACGCATTGCTCGTTAGACGAGCGTAATGCGTCGTTCGCCCAGTGTCTCGATAATTCTCACGTATTCGCCGGCATCCATGTTCTTACCGTTTCTTCTCACATCTCCTGCTGGATTCCAAACCGTCTTTCCATCGCGTATCTTGACACGAAACTCTTCGATCAAATTCCCAGCCATTAACTCCATCATGCCATGAATATAACAATCACCCAAGAGGAGATAGTCCCCTCCAACCGGTCTTAGCACAACAGGCATGTCGTAACCTTTCACGATAGCGACAACATCATGAAGTTTGGCAATGCTGGGCACCAGGCAGAAATACCCTCGCTCTGAGACAGCGAACTGCTTCAATCTGAGGGTGTCCATGTTGTCAATAGCGTCGTGATATTTTGGTGCTTTGCTCCGATCCGCTCCTTCTGATAGCCACGAACGCCATGCGGACGCACCTTCTGCCACATATTGTGAATCAGCGAGTGCATCTTCGTCCGTGGTATTGGCTATGAGCGTCTTGTTCAGTGCGTCGAGGACACCCTCAGACGTTATGTATTTCGACGAGGGGAGAGCACTGACGAATGCCTGGGTTCTGGCGTCAATATCTGCCACGTCTTGACTCAACATTTGAACGTCGTCGACCCGCTTCGCCTTCTTTGCGGTGCCCCCGAGAAAGACACAGGCATCCAGCATGATCACAGTAACCTGTAGGCAATGGCTTACCGAGTGCCTCACTTGTCCGGCCTCCCGTAGCAGTTTTTCAACAACCCGACGACGTTTTTTAGGTATTCTTTCAGCCTTCGCGGTGAAGCTCTTTCCACCTGCGCACCATTCGATGTGATTGATGTACTGCGTCCAGGGATATTCTCTCCAGTCAATCGCCCAGGAAGGAAGCCCACTATTAGTCCCCTGCTGGCACACGCCGGACCACCCAAGAGCTTCTGAGTTGCCTCTTTCGGCCATGCGTATTGCAAAATCCGCATACACTTCCTGCCATGGAGTTGTGTAGTCAGGCTGGGGTGCCCAGTCGTCAGCCTGTAGGTCCGACGCAATATTGCGCATGGCGAAAATCTTGTCCCTTGGGTCGAAGCACCTCTGACGCCAAGCCACGCGCATCGCATCTGTTAATGACAGAACAAATCGGGAGGAGGCGTTGTTATCCACCAACATCTGCCGAACCCGAAACTTCTGGATGCCCGCAGCTGCAAAGATATTGGGCTCTAGCTTGTCATAGCCATGATCCGGTAGGAACCAATTTGGCCACGCCATGGTTACCTTGGGATGGAAAATCCACGCCAGGGCGAATATCTGCGCCCATGGTATCTCATCTTCTCCACAGACGACGATCGGGACAGGACTCATGGCTGCCTCCTGCTCTGTCCAGACACGGGTAAACCATGGCCTGAGAAGGAATTTGGCGCACGAGTTGATGATGGTTTCCTTGTGCGGATGCTTGCCAAGCATATCGAGGACGAAGGACTTGGTCTCGTGGTAATAGCTATAACCAAATTGCGTAACGTAAGGCATGTATTCGTCCAAAAATTCTTGGGCATCGAGACTCCTTGCGTACGTGATGGCAGTGCGTGAACTATCGTCAGATGGGCCCATCCAGATCATCGTCTTTGAAGCATTCTGATAGACCTTGTACATCAAATTCACCTCGCGGGCTTTCTCAAGAGGATCGTCCTGGTCGATACACGCGACGTCGATCCAAACATGTACACTATCGTCGGTGGAGCGAAAACGGCGAAGTACCTCATCAGCATTCTTGTAGATACCTAGCTTGGTGCCGGAGATGAGGATATAGTGCTCTGAGCGGTCGTCGTTGCCACATACATAGGACGTTGCGGTGTAATCCTGAGCAGCGTTGAGGAGATCGTGGACGACAAGCTTTCCGGAGAGTTGCTCTGATGGACTGCCAGGGAAGAGTTCAAGGAGGCGGATGAAGTCGCCCTCTCTCGGGAGTCTAACATAGACCGAGTTCGTAGTCATTGCTTCAGTTAGCGATTTCGCCCTTTGATGCGTACAAGATTGAGGCTTTTCAAGTGGTGCGATCGCTGGCCGAGATGCTTCTTGCTTGACCATGGCTCGAGCGAAAACAAATCTTTGGGCAGGATGCAATCCAAGCCAATGAGGACATGATGCTCCAGCAGTCGCTTAAGGGCCAAGGCAAATACTCCATGTCTGGGTGCCTAATGTACGCAGTAAGCACAGCACTATAGCGCACTACAAGTCAGTGTGATGGTCTCTGCGAGAGATCTTCTATTCCATGTTGGTGTCGCAGTTAACGTTTTTCCCGTAGCCATGACCGTGTGGCCCCTATTTCTCGCCAATATGCAGCATCCTTCGGTACGTGCTCCATCGTCGAGAGGATCAACGTGGTCGAGTTGTCCTCTGTCGAGAGTGTAGCTCTGATGGGATCTTCTTGCGATGGACGGGCCCTGTCGTCGCTGAACAATCTCGACCCCTTCGCAGGGTGATGATCTCGGTGACAGCAGCAGGTATGTGTGACGGTGGACGCCATTAATGCGTTGATAGCGTGTTTGTCTCCGGATGTCGCGGACGGAGGGCGCAATGCGGTTCTGCTCTACCGGCGGTGCAAGTGAGACTAAGCTCGGCTAGCAAAGCTAAAGAGCAGCTTGTTCGCTGGTCGTAGGGGCCTTGCTGGGGTAGCTTGCTGCTAAAGGCTTACGGACCTTCTACAAGGTTCCCAGACATCCAGAATGGACGATCGGTTCTTCCAAACGCATTTTTCAAACGACTTTACTCTTTCATAATCTTAGATTATTGTATGCTCAAATTGCCCCCTCGAGTTCTTCGATCATCCCCTGTTCTACGCACGACCGACGGAGTTCTCGGACATGTCGTGACTGCGAACTCGGTCAAGCGCCATGGCTTTGACCCTACACTGAGGACTACTCCGAATGCCTGACAAGCCTGCAACGGTCGTCGCCTACGCGGCGGGTGCTTCACTTGCTGCCATTGCTGCCTTCTATGTCTTTGGTCCGACCTTCTTTATCGATGGCGAGAACTCTTACCATACCAACGACGGGCGCAAACGGACCATCATCGGCCTGTCGAACCCGGCGAACGATTGTTTCATCAATTCAGTGCTACAGGCCCTAGCCGGCCTAGGTGACCTGCGATTATACCTAATCAAAGAGCTACATCGGAGACAGCTCGATGGCCCAGAGATCTACGAGTCGCCGCCCTCTCTCCTGCGAAAGGGTGAGAAAGCAGATAAAGTGGTCAATTTGCAAAAGGGCCCGATCACCAAGGCCCTGAAGGAGATGCTGGATGCGCTAAACGAGCGCCCAATATACAAGAAGACAATAACGGCGCGGCCCATAATAGAAGCCTTAGAAAGAGCCTTTCAGACTAGGATCAGTCGGAATCAGCAAGATGCACAAGAGTTTCTGCAAATTGTGCTCGAGCGGCTTTGTGATGAATATCACGCAGCGCAACGGGCGCGTTTGAGATTTGCGAATCCCGAACAAGGTGAAATCGGCGAGCCTCTGGAGCGAAAGACAACAGGCCTTGCACCGGCACTTTCTGAAGTTTCCGTCGGCACGAACGAGGGATTCCCATTTGAAGGGCGAATGGAATCCCAGATCCAGTGCATGCGCTGTGGCTTCAGGACGAAACCCAGCGTGACTACCTTCGTTTCTTTGACACTGAATGTCCCGATGAAAAGTACCACTTCTCTCGATAATTGCTTCGACGGCCTTCTTAAAAGCGAGGAAATTGACGACTTCAAATGCGACAAATGTCGGCTACAACATGCATTGGAATGGAAAAACAATAAAATAAAATCGGCAGCGACTGAAAACGAGCGAATAGACCTGGAGAAAGACGTGGAGAGGATCCAGCGGGCTCTCGATGAAGATCCCGAGGAAGCTCCTGAAGGAATCACGCTCCCGGATTCGAGTCTCGCTCCTAAATGTAAGATTAAGAAGTCAACTCGCATCACCATGTTTCCAAAGGTCATCGCAATCCACTTGTCAAGATCGATGTTTGACCGTGAGAGCTATTCGACCAAGAACATGGCTAAAGTCTCATATACCCAACGACTGCGCCTGGGCGGGCTTCTGAATGAGAAATGGTACAAGTTACTGGGGGTTGTTTGCCACAAGGGAAGCCATCACAGTGGACACTACGAATCCTTCCGGCGCAATCATCTTTATCCTCCTTTTTCTACCCCGGATGCATTCAGCGCCTATGCAACCCGGAACCCCAGTACTGTTTCTTCCGCGACGCCGAGTCCAAACATCAAGGCTCTTCATCTTCAACCCAACGGCGCGAACACGGCGGCCGGCCCCTCGGAGACGCCATCCGGCTCATCCTCGACTGCCTCATTACTGGCGAGTAACCGTAGGTCCATATCAACAAAAGCGGAAGTAACGGGCGATTCTACCTCGACGAAGTCGGTGAACGATGACGCACAGGCAGAGACGTCGCCCTTGCAGAGGACCGAAACTCAAGCCTCCAAACCTCAAATCAGAACGCAAGAAGCGGCTACAAGCAAGTTTCGCCGACGCAAGAAGTCCAATGATCGCTGGTGGCGTATCTCTGATGATAAGGTCAAAGAGGCACGGACATCGGACGTACTGTCTATGCAACGCGAGGTGTATCTGCTCTTCTACGAACTCGAGAGGCCAGGGGACGATGCGACATCCTGACCTTCGTTCTGGGGGAATGGTTGCTTCTGCTATGAGTTTGTTTTGGTAAGTAGACCTGGGAGCAAAAATGGTGTCCATCTGGGAAGGTTTTTTCTTTCACGCTAGCTAGACCAAGCTATCCTTGGATAGCGCAGCACCAGTTACACTTGTAGATATGGCAGTGAATATACACAACTTCAGTAAACCCCTTCTCCGTCTGTTTACCTGGACTAATGCGACCGAGGCTGTGTCAGCAAGGCCTTGCTGATCAGTGAGTGGGACAATCATGGGGACCCCCTTCTCCGTGATTTCCCGTTGTACAGCCCATGGTGCTCTGAGGCGGGAATGGCGAATTGTCTGACTGACGAAGCCGGAGTGCAGATATGGAGATGGTTCTCCGGACCTCGAGACCTCGAGACCCCGAACTTACAAGTACCACCTGTGGTTGCTGTACCTAACTTAGTACGGTGCACAACATATCTCAGGTTACCATAGCTTGGGCATTGAGACACCAGCGCTCCCAGCGCTCATGGCACTCGTAGCGATATTCTTAAGAGCAAGAAGAAATGTTGACAACAATGCCGGACTGAGTTTCTTGGTCACCACGTCAGACCCCCATTTTTCCGGCGCTGGGCTGGAGCTGCGACCATTGACGCGACGAAGAACAAGGGAGAAACCGGCGGAGCCATTGAGGCCGCTGTATCGGACGCTTCTGAAAAAAGCCTTTGCCCCTCCAAGAAGGAATCTCTCCAATTCAGTCCCGCCGACAACCATTTGCTCAAGAAGCAACCGCTCAACCGTTTTTCGTTTTATTTCATACTCCTTCTCTTCCTGCATCCATAACTCGCATCCGCAGTCGAGTAACCTCATCTTCCACAACCACCGTTGAGCTTCTTACAGCTGTATTAGCTTCCTCCAAGCCTTAGGTTCACATCCGAAGCCCCACCAAACAATCGTCAACATGGGTCTCAAGGACGTTTTGTCTCGCAAGGAGGGCGTCATCGTTGGCGACGATGTCCTGGCCTTGTTCAAGCATGCCCAGGAGAACAAATATGCTGTCCCTGCCATCGTGAGTACTCCGGCACGCCATATGGCTCGACGACTGACCTTGGATTGCCAGAACGTGACCTCATCCTCCACTGTCGTGGCCGCTCTCGAAGCTGCTCGAGATGCAAACTCTCCAATTATCCTCCAGACATCTCAAGGAGGTGCTGCCTACTTTGCCGGCAAGGTGCGTGGGTTGACTATCTAGACGGAAGAGCATGGACTAAGATTGCACAGGGTGTCAAGAACGACAAGCAGCAAGCTTCGATTGCCGGTGCCGTCGCCGCAGCTCACTATATTCGAAGTGTTGCTCCCGCCTACGGCATTCCCGTTATCCTGCACACCGACCACTGTGCCAAGAAGCTGCTGCCATGGTTGGACGGCATGCTGGACGTCGACGAGGCTTACTTCAAGCAGCACGGAGAGCCTCTGTTCTCCTCCCACATGATCGACTTGTCCGAAGAGGCTGTCGATTGGAACATCGAGACCACTGCCAAGTACCTCAAACGGGCAGCTCCCATGAAGCAATGGCTCGAGATGGTAATGATCAAAATACCCGCGCATACAGCAACGATACTGACATGAAGCTAGGAAATCGGCATCACTGGTGGTGAGGAAGATGGTGTCAACAACGAGGATGTCGACAATAACTCTTTGTACACCCAGCCCGAGGATATTCACCAGATCTACACCACTCTGAAGAAGATCTCACCATACTTCTCCATTGCCGCCGGCTTCGGTAACGTCCACGGTGTCTACAAGCCTGGCAATGTTCGCCTTCACCCTGAACTGCTGGACAAGCACCAGAAATACGTCCAGTCTAAGGAGAACACCGAAACTGACAAGCCCGTGTTCCTTGTCTTCCACGGTGGCTCTGGTTCAACCAAGAAGGAGTACACCGATGCCATTAGCTACGGCATTGTCAAGGTCAACCTCGATACCGACTTGCAATGGGCTTACCTCACCGGTATTCGTGACTACGTCCTCAAGAAGCAAGACTATCTCAAGACGCAAGTCGGCAACCCAGAGGGCGAGGACAAGCCCAACAAGAAGTACTACGATCCACGTGTGTGGGTTCGTGAGGGAGAAAAGACCATGACCGCCCGTGTCGCCGAGGCGTTGAAGGACTTCAACACTGCCAACCAATTGTAGAGGGAGATTTTCCTCTAACGGGTTGGAAAAGTTTGATTGTCGTTGTGAAGAGGGCGAAGCGAGTGGCTCTGGGAGAGCCGACGGTTGGCGTTTTCCTCTACCACCAATGGTAGCCTCATGCCTTGAATAGCAGTATGGGCGAGTATTGGTAGCTCAGAAGTAGCAAATTTACCCCTGTGGAAAGCCACAGCCCCGATCGTCACCATTCGTCTGGGTCTGATGAATACCGAAGGAGTGCGACTGCGACTGCGACTACGAGTTCGTGCGAGGATAAGGTGCCTCTAGGTATGTTGACATACTCGTCCACTACCTGGACGTTTCTACCACTGCATCAGATACGTTGGGCCGATTTCGCCCCGCACTTTGCAGAGCCGCCAAAATGAAGTGGCTCGATTCGGCAATACGTCACCGATTGACGAAATTTGGCACCTGCGCCTTCCAATCCCCATAAGTTCCAACATCACAAGCTGTAGTCAAACTCAGGGATCATGTCGGCGCCGTCCACCTGCAATGTGCTGTTCCTTCGTTGTAACAAATACCTCACCTTCGTCTCCTTCCCTTGTTGCACTCCTTAGTCTTTTGTAGTCGTCAACACGATCAACAACCGCGTCAGCATTTTATCCGCCTAGATCGCCAGCCCCTACGCACACACGAGTCAACATGCCTGAAATCGAGGGCAGCGCAGTACCGGCGCAGAGCAAAGGTTCATGGTCCTCTTTTCTCAAGGTCAGTCATACCGGACAATAGTAGCAGCATACCCATCTAACGTCGACAGTCGATTGCCTCGTTCAATGGCGATCTGTCCTCGTTGACTGCGCCGGCCTTTATCCTTTCTACCCAGTCCCTCGTCGAGTTCTCTGCATACTGGGCCGAAAATACTTCGTTATTTGTCGTCCCAACGCAAGAGCAGGATCCTGCGAAGCGGGCTTTGCTGGTGTTGAAATGGCTACTCAATACGCTCAAACAACAGTATTGTTCAAGATCAGAAAAGTTGGGATCCGAGAAGAAACCATTGAACCCCTTCCTGGGGGAGTTGTTTCTCGGTTCCTGGGACGATGAATTTGGCCAAACGCGTCTCGTATCGGAACAAGTCAGCCACCACCCTCCTGTCACTGCCTACTGCATCACCAACGACAAGTATCGCATCCAACTGCAGGGCTACAATGGGCAGAAAGCCAGCTTTAGTCGAACAATAAACGTCAAGCAAATTGGACATGCTTTGTTGACCCTCTACCCTCCTGGCAGCGATGTTCCCGAGACTTACCTCATCACCCTACCTGCGCTTCATATCGAGAACCTCATCTACGGTGCACCGTTTGTCGAGTTGGGAAAGTTTATACACATTGTCTCGACCAGTGGCTACATAGCCAAGATCGACTTTTCTGGGAGAGGCTGGCTATCAGGCAAGAAGAACACCTTTACAGCGTCGCTGTGGAAGGACGGCGAGGGGTCCGAGAAGCATCCCCTCTTCACGGGAGATGGACAATGGTCGGAAACCTTCACCCTGAGAGACGGGGAGGGCAAGAAGGCCAAAGAGGTTATTACCTTCACACCCAAGGATGCCAAGTTGGCCAAACTTAATGTTGCCCCGGTCGATCAGCAAGATGTCTTCGAAAGCCGAAGGGCATGGAGCAATGTGGCACAGAGCATCGAGAAGGGTGACATGGATGCTGCTTCCCACTTCAAGTCGAGGATTGAGAATGCTCAACGAGCTCTTCGCAAAAAGGAGCAAGAAGAAGGTCGCGAATGGGAAAGAGTTTTCTTCTCTCAAGCCAACCCGGACGACAACCTCGAAGTGGCATTTCAGAAATTAGTACAAACAATCACCAACCAAGGTCTCAGTAGCTGGGAAGGTGTCGCTCCGGACAAGACCGCTGGGATCTGGAGATTCGATGAGAAGAAGGCTGATCTCGCGAAGAGCCCCTTTCATGCTGAAGGATTGCTGGCCTTGGGAGAAAATCCAGACGGTACTTCTGCACCCGTGAGCCGAACGACGACGAATCAGAGCGCACCTAAAGCTGGATGAGCTACATCGGAAGAGGTCGTTCGTATCATACACAGACAGGAAAGAACAGGACTGTTGCCAGGAGGACGGACGTAAACATGACTTGGTGTATTATTAGCATATGCTCGGTTGAATGCAGCATCTTCATCGAGAATTCGAATATCCTTGTGAGCATCCAGCCTCTTGACGTTCTGGTCATGTGTTTCTAAACTGTGCGAGCGACCAAGATAACCAAGCTCCTGCTGATGCCACTGATTTTAGGTACTCTTGCGTCAAGTCTTTCCACGTTGGTGGAGCTGTTGCTGTTTTGACGGTGATAGTGTTCGGAAGCGATCCACAGCTTTGTAAGCCATTTCATCTCACTCGGCCGACACAAGAGCCGAGTTCACTCGTTCGCCCTGGAGGCAGAATTGAGATGCCCATATTTTGAAGGTTGGCCAGTCAGGCTTTTGCGGAGATAGACGCAACACTAACTTACACCCGAAACCCCTGAGCGTTGATCTTGGGTTGGGTGTCAGAGTTAGTGCCCTCGCCGCGAGTCTTCTGTACGGGCGTCTTTCAGAGATCCAAATCCATCAAACTTGGGCCAGGTCTCACACAGCTCACGCCGGGAGGGAATGCGGAGTATACGCGCTGCAGCAGGGCAGGCTCGAGCAGTGGCTGGGATTGAGAGACGTCCCCGGATTCCAGCTTCAGCTCCGACTTCCGAAATCGTGTCTCGTCCGAGAGATGGATCGTTGTGCACGGGACCTGCATTTGGATTTCCGAAAGGCAGAAGAAAGTCTAGCGGGGTCGACTTGAAGCTGAGTCGTCGGTCTATCTCGACCACGTCAGCTTCCTCTCTGTCGATTTCCCATAGATTGACGAGTACAAGTCACATCCATTGTCACTTACGCCCTTCTTCTGTGAGTGCCCGTCTAGCACAACAATCGACAATACGACCACAACACACCGGGCTTCAGCGGTTTCAGAAAAGACACCTCCGACTTGCCCCTACTTCAGCACAGGAACCAGACAAGGGCAAAATGGCGCCGCCGTTTAACGATCTGAAATACTACACTGCCGCAACACCGGTATGGTTTGTCCTGTATCTTTCCCCCTTCTCTTCATCACCGTTTCTGTGCCTGCTGTTTGTCTCCTCGGCACCGGCTCAAGACCCGCGGAATGTCGTGTCGGAGATGACCTTGCTAATGCTGAAAATTGTGTGTAGAACGGCCTGAAACCCGCTATTCTTCTCGAGGAGCTGGGACTGAAGTATGAGTCCAAGATTATCAATATCAGGTACAGTCATACTAACTCCATTTCCCCGTCTGGCTCTTGCTCGACTAGCCGCATGGATTTATGGACGATGAGTAAATGCTGAAACGAAGACACCTCCAGGACCGATGAACAGAAAGAGCCATGGTTCCTCGAGATCAACCCGAACGGACGGATCCCCGCTCTCAAGGATGGCGAAATGAGGGTCTTCGAGTCTGGCGCTATCATGCTGTACCTGACCGATATGTACGACAAGGGAAAGCAGTTTACGTATGAGTATGGCACGGAGAACTATTATGAGATGGTAAGCTAGATTGTAGCTTCCTCCCCCCCCAGACATTGGGGATCCAGTGGGGAACGACTGACATGGGTGGGCCGTGTCCAGATGTCTTGGTTGATGTTCCAGATGGGTGGTGTCGGTGAGAAGCCCTCGCTCTAGCTGTTGTGCCTGTGACATGGTTAACCAACCCACCATAGGTCCTATGATGGGTCAAGCAAACCACTTCCGCGCCATGGCGCCAGTATATTCGGCCTACGGTATCAAGCGATACGTCGACGAAACCAAACGGTTGATTTCGGTTCTGGAAATCCGACTGTCCAAAGCGGACTGGCTGGCGGGCGACAAGTACACCATCGCCGACATTGCCAACTTCTCCTGGATCAGGACCGCCCCTCTGTTTCTGGACGTCGACATGGGCGAGTTCCCGGGCGTGGACAAGTGGATCAAGCGGATTTCTGAAAGACCGGCCGTGGAGAAGGCGAAAAAGATCGGCGCCGCTTTCTCTGAGGACCAACTCAAAGAGATGATCTCGGGCATGAAGGCCAAGATGGACGCGAGGAAGGGCACCCAGGAGGAAGAGGAGTCATCTAAGATCTAGATCACGTATTTTTCGCCCGAATCAGTCGTGCACTGCGCTAGAGAATGCGCGCGCCCACACACACACGCACACACACACACACACAGAGAGAGAGAGAGAGAGAGAGAGAGAGAGAGAGAGAGAGAGAGAGAGAGAGAGAGAGAGTGTGTGTGTGTGTGTCTGTGAGTTTGGGAACTCGTGGGCTCACCTGGAATTCTCTGCAGGCATTTGACTCCACGAGGACTCGATCCCTAAGTACGTAGGCAGATACGAGTACCCCGTTTCCTTCGGAGGTTCAATGTATACGTTCGCTGCCTTTTGTAGGGGACTCGTCGACGCACCAACAACTGCCATCGTCCGTAGGATCCCGTCGTGTTGAGGTATCCGCAATACCGAGTCCCTCCCTACCTACGTCGACGAGTCTCGATTGCCTTTCGACGTAGGGGTTAGAAGGTCGAAAGCATCGAATCCTATGATCCCACGCAGACCTCAAGGCTGGCTGGCCACCCTTTTTTGGGCGGAGGGGGGGAGGAAATTGCCTACCCTGCCTGCCAGGTAGATAGCTCGCGTTGGTAGAGCGTCAGTCATCGCGAGGGGGGCGGCCTCGGTGGATTCGATGAGTGTCACACGGGAGGAATGAATGAATGAATGAATGACAGGGGATTCATTTGATGAGTGATTGATCGATTGACTGACTACCTGCCTCAGATACCACCTTGCTTTATCTCAGACGGGGACGGGTAAAAAGGAACACGCACGGTTTACCACCGGTATATAGCGGCAAAGGAACGGACGCACACCGTTATCGCATCATTCTCCTGGGGTATCATTATTCATGTACTGAACTATAGAAACGTGACTTGAAATCTACCGGCGTAGTTGTACAAATGCACAGGTCACCCAGACATAGCCAGGTGCAACGTGTCACGCCACGGCTGGCGCAACATTCGATTGCAAGGTTCGCCGGGATTCGAACCGTCGTATCAGCATCGCCGCCTGTGCCTGTTCGAGTCGTTTCCGCGTGTCTGTCTCTCTGCCGGGTGACAGTATCTCCGAGTATTCCGTCTCGGCGACGTCGAGAACGAACCGGGCGTCCGCCGGGTGGTTCTGGTCAAGACAGACCTGGGCCGCGTCGAGCAGGTTCACCAGAAAAATCTTGTGGACCGGATGGTGGAGGGACGACTGTTTGTTCCGCCAATCCAGGAGGCCGCCGTAAGTCGAACTGCGAAGCTTTGAACACAGCTCGACCGCCGAAGGCGACTTCGGATGGTAGAGGCGGAGCCAGATGTGTTCGATGCCCGAATAGTGCTGAGGTTGGAACGTACCGAGGATCTGGTCGAACAGCCCGGCTGAAATGCCGTGGCTCTTGCGCCGAGAGCGGATGGCCATGGAAAGTCGCCGTCCGGCCAGCTTCAACGGTCGCATGTTTGGCATGTTCTCTCGCCGGTACTTCGACGCCTGGACGTACAGTTCGGCAGCCTCGGAGAGAGACCCTCTGGCAGTAGTCTGAGAGATCATGGTCGCTACGAGCGTATCTTCGGCGATGGAATAGGTCCGCATCCACGACGCTTCGCCCTTTGAGCTGTACTGCCGATCGTAGAGTTCCCGAAGCCACATCCATACTTCTGCTTCGAGACCGTCGGCGTACATGACCGCCACGAGGGCTTTCAGGTTCTTGTTGTTGGTCCAGAAGACGTGTTTCTCCTCCTTGTCCATGGTGGTGAACCAGTTGGCCAGTCTGGGCCCGAGTTTCCCATTTTCGGCAATCGTCTCTTTCTTCTCCAGGCCTTCGATGTACTGTAAGGTGCAGAACTGGACAATGTGACGATCAAGCCCTTTTCCCGTCAACGCAGCGTCGAAAGTCGCTACCGCGGTGGCCGATAAGCTGTGTGGAGGGGGAAGCGAGTTGGACTTCTGCTTCAACAGAGGATGACTCAGGATGCTGTCGAGGTGTGAGTGGGTGGAATGAGCGAGGCGTTGTGCCGGATTGGGGATTGAGTCTACGTCGCTGCCGCCGTCTTTCGAGTCGGCGACTCTGGGCGAGGGATGTACATCGTCCAAGTGTTTCTGGAAGGCCGATTCAAGCACGTTGAGGAGGTGCTTCGATTCGCGCGGTGACTGAGGCGGGAATGGGGGTTGAAAGCGAGACAGCAGTTTTCGCACCGACAAGGCTGGCGTGAGCCTCATCCTGGCTTCATCGACACCTCACTCGACCCTCGTGTACTTTGTGACACTGAATTCGGCACAAGTGAGGGCCCTGGTGAAGACTCCCACTGTGAGAGAGAAGTAGCCTGATGAGGTGAGCGAGGGTCGCAGGCTGGCGAAGGCTGGTGAGCGGTCATACTACGTACGGGGCTTGGCACCTCTCAGACACCCTACGGTACTAGTTAGATTCTTGGGTTTATTGTCTGCGGCCTTCCTACAAGCCTTCAAACCCATTTCCTCAATGTCAACATAGCCTCTCACCGTCTTCTTCTTGCATTCAGCACCTCAACTGTCCTTGATAATTATCACTCTTCTCAAGGACAAGCTCCCTTCATTCGCAGGAGCTTTGTTTTGCCCTGAATTCCTCCCTGCCTGTCACCTTACCTCGACTGGCACATCATCGCTACCCTGAACAAACTCTCCCACCCTCACATCAGAACATCAATGGCAGAAGTCCAAGTCCGCGGCAGCGGCACAAGAGGACGAGGCGGGTTCAGAGGCGGAAGAGGCGGTTTTAGAGGCGGCCGAAATCCGAGCAGAACACACCACAAAGCCGACAACGAACAGGAAAACGTTCCTCCCGCATCGCTGGAAGATCAGGGCGAAATCGGCGAATTCAAGAGAAAGTTCGGCGACCAAGTACCTCTCTTGAGAGAGATTTGCCCTGGCTGGAGTGATGAAGATCTGGTCTATGCGCTCAACGAAACAGATGGCGACTTGAACGCGGCTGTGGATCGGATCTCCTCTGGTAAGAAGCTCACATTCTACACGATTTCGGAGCGATCAATTAATAATTTTCTAGGCACGATTTCGCAGTGGGAAACCAAGAAGAAGCATCCAAAGACCAAGGAAGCGCCTGCTGCGTCAACTGAAACTGGAAGCAGAGGTCGTGGCCGAGGTGGCTTCGAGGGTCGCGGAAGAGGTCGAGGCGCAGAACGTGGCGCTAGAGGCGGCCGTGGTGGCAAGGCAGTCGCTCAGACAAATGGTACTAAGGACACCAAAGCGACAGACGGCTGGGATACTGTTACCTCAACTCAACCCGGCGACGCTTCAGGCTGGGACACCGCGCCTACGAATGGTGATTCTGCTACAGCGAATGACGACTGGGCACGTGAACCGGGCAAAGACGCGTTGACATCTCTGCAGACCGAGGAACCAAAGCCAGCATCCGCAGCTGCCCCTTCCACTGCGAAACCTGGAGGATGGGCTGGATTGTTTGCGAAGCCGCCCCCGGCTCCCAAGCAGGCGCCAGCACCACCACCCCCTGCCCAGAAGCCTGAAGCACCACCTGTCGAACCCGAGATTGTGGTCGCTCCCGAAGCTGCCCAGACAGAGCCGGCTCTACCTCCGATCGAAGTAGCACCAAGCGAAGGTGGCCCAAGTGAACTGCCTTCCGCGCCTCATTCGGACACCGGAAAGGATTTGACACCCGGAAAGGATGAGCTCACTGAGAAGAATTTGGAGAAATTGCCAGACACATCGCACCCAGTCGCATCTGTCACCGCTGCCAGCACAGTCGCGAGCACTCAAGATCCACTTGCTGCTCAGGACAGTGCTAAGCCTGCCCTTCGACCTGGGATGTCGGGGTATGCAGCGACAGCGCTAAAAGCCACGACCGGAGGCAACCGATCCGCTAGTTACGCAAGGAAGGTCATGGAGCAGCAAGAGGCAGTCGTGATGCCAGGACACCAAGCCGTCGAAAAGGCAGCTGTTCAGTTCGGTAAATTGGGATTGAATGCACCTGATGACGTTGATGTCGATGAAGAGAGGGAAGAGCCCGAAACTCGGACTCAGCTTCCGGATGACTCCCCAGTTGCCCCGCGAGCTTCCTTGCCGCCATCACTGCCTGAGACGCAGCAGCCCACTCCCCCAGTTCAGGCTCAAGCGATTGTCGAGAACCAGCCCATCACGCAGCGACAAGCTCCTGGATTGCCGCCAGCTCCCCAGCAGCCTCAACAGCCTTCGCCTCAATCTTCATCGGCCTATGCTGATCAGTATAGGTATGGCCAAGGTCAGAAGTACGATCCTTTCGGTCAGCAGACGCAGAGCGCGCAGCCGCAAAGCCAAGAGGCTTTCTCCAACCAAGTTCCAGGACAGCCCGGCGCCGCCGCTTCCCAGAACGATTACAGCGCATACTACGGCCGGGATGCCTACAATTACTACGGTGGTTATGCCCAGGGCCACGAGGCTCATCGTGGTGCTGCAAGCAGTTTCGGTACCACTGCTCCTGAATCGCAAGCTCAATATGCGACGGCGCGTCCTCAACAAGCTATGAGTCAGGATGCCCAGGGAAGCGGCCATAACACTCCGGCACCAGGTATACCCAGTCAGCACACCCAGCCCTCTGGCCATCTGCAAAATCAAGGTCACGGCTACCCTGGCTATGGTTACCCCAATGCCTACAGTCAGCAATATTCTCAGTACGGTGGGAACTACATGAATCAAATGAATCATCGTTATGGTTCCAACCGTCCTATGTTTGATGATGCGCGTCGGTCGGACAGTGATTACTACAGCAGTCAGTACAATTACGGTCAGGGTCACTATGGAGGCGCATACAATTCCAAGATGTATGGTCAGCCACAACAAGGTTATTCTTATGAGCACTCGTCGTCCCCCGCGAACGCCACTGGATTAGCTCGTGAAGCAGGCTACGGACGAGCCGGTTCAGTTCAGCCCGCCGAGGCACAGCCCGGTGCTACTGGTAGCACAGCATTTGGTGGCGCTCCCGATCCCTTTGGTCGAACTTCTTCTGGTTTTGGACAAGCCCAACAGCATGCGGCGCACTCTGGAAATGACGACCCGGCCAAGGCAGCTGGACCGAGCCCTTCCATGCAGGGTGGACGTCCTGGCTCTGCGGTCAATAATCTCCCTGGTCAACAAGCTGGTCTTCCTCCTCCATCTCAACACTCTAATCAACAGGCTTTCGGTGGCTATCCTCAGTATGGCGGGTTTGGTAGTCACCAGAGCACTCATCAAAACACTGGATATGGCAGTTACGGATCTAACACTGGCTTCGGCACTTACGGCGGGTATGGTGGTGGCAGAGGTTGGAATGGCAGCTACGGATCGGGTCATTAGCCCATTTCGTACTGGTAGCTTATTATCACGGCGTCACACCTCTACTCTGTTGTATTAGTGGAGTCGAAAGTTCTCTTCCTCGCACAAAAGGGAAATAATGGCGAAAGCAGGAGCAACAATGCAAAATGGTTTCTTGTGCAAAAGTCTCAGTCTCCTCTTGACCGTGGGGAATTGGAGTTTTCTGATTTCTCTCTCTCTCTATTTTTCTTTTTCTACCGGCTTGTACCTGTACACCACAACACGAAAAACATTGTTAGGATGGGAAGTTGACACTGAAACTGCGGCGGGTTTCCTTGGACTGGTCAGGGGCGGACATTGAAGATGGACACACGGGCACGGGGACAAGACGCGAAATCAAAAGATTGTCGTCGATGCGTTCAGTTGGTCGGTTGGTATGACACGATTCAAAAGTACTAGGGAACAGGGCGGCGCGGGCAGTAACCAAAAAGCGACTGCTAAGGAGGCCAGCGTCATCGTTCAGTAATGATGGTGGCTCTGCGTGTGTTGTCTTGACAGGTGAAAGGGGGGACCGTCTCTTTACCTGTAGTAGGTAGAATCGAATTTGAACGAGTAATTCGAATCAAATCAAAGTACTCACTCAGCTTTGGCCCCGGTCCCCTGAAGCCCAAGCGTCTATAACTTACGTCGGCTTGGGTAAATATCTCAACGATATTCCAAGGCCGTATTGCGGCTCTCTTTGCCTCTGCAGGATCTGGGTGTAGACCTCCCATTCTTGTGCGCAGGGGAGTGCGAAGCTGCCATCAAGACATGACGAGGACGTGAAGTAATGTGGGGAAAGAGAAATCAGACGTGTTGCCGGTGGTACAGGACGACCCCCCGTGTCCGATTCAAAGACTTCCTGCTTGTTCTTAACGAAGCGCAAGATGGTCGGGAGGAGGATGTGTGCAATAGTAACAGACACCTACAGCATATTCACCCTAGTTCGAATTCGACGAGTGAAGGGTCTGAATTGATGACGGATGATGATGATGATGATGATGATGATGGTGGTGGTGGCCCGCTGAACCTATAAAAACAAAAAACGTACGAGCGTACAGTTACTGGGTTCCATTTTGTCCATGATAGGAGTAGGGTTCGGTGGACCCGACAAAAGCCCATATCCGACCGAACGTACATATGCGTCTCGAAACAAAACCATGTTGTTTTTGACCGCCTGCCTGCCTGCCTGCCTGCCCCCCGACAAAGCTATCCTGCCCTGTATAGTATTATCCGTACGACGCCTCTGGGGGAAAAGACCGGACCGTTATTGAAAGCCAACAAACACCAATGTTTTTTTGCTAAACATCCCTCGACCTGTCCAGATACCACCAATATCACTTGTCACATCACCCAATCGATCCGTGGCTGTTCCAGTTTCAGTTCCAGTTCCAGCGCCAATCCTGCTCACAATCTCAACGCAAGTCGAGCAAAAAAAAAAAAAACCAATATCGGATCGAGGCGTCATACTCATATAAACTCATCATTCATCATGCTTAGGTCTGGTCCTTCACCAGCCGCATTGGCAAATGCAGTCGCACCCTCCATCGCTGCAGAGGCCACTTGCGATACAGTCTCATCCACAAATCCGTCGCTCAACCCCAGCATCATCGCGATGGCTCTCCAGACAGCCACGACGACTCGTCCCATGATAGGTAAGAACGAGCCCATGTGGGTCCACCGATATATCATTGTCGGCAGGACGAACGGGAATTCTGGTTCCGGCACGGCAGGCCAGACATAGAACTCTGCGTACACCGGGTGTGCGTAGATCTCGGCCATGACGCACTCGGTGATATACCAACTCCAGAGAACAATCGTCACCCAGCCCAGCCACGTCGGGCGGGGTAGAATCTGGCCCTTGTCTTTGCGCCGTGGATAGAATAAAAGGGGGATTGGAATCGTGAAGGTCGAATACGTCATTGGAAGGAATGAATTTGTACTGACCATCTTCAGAGGCCGATGATCGTGCTGTACGTGCTGTACGTTGCCATGATGTCCGCACACAACACATGGTTGATTTGGGTTCTGCATCATGAGCGCTTGTGACTGTGCCAGTGTCTGCTTGTCCTGCGGTGGTGGCGATGGCGACGTCGAAACTCGTTGTTCAAGACGTGAAATGCCTTTCCTGGCTTCATGCAAATTCGACATGAGCCGTTCCATGCGTGAGGTCAAATGTCCAATGAAAGCCATTTCTGCAGCAGTAGAATCTGCGTCGTCCTGTAAAAGGCTCAGTTGTCGCTGCTTGACAACCTCGTCCTCGGCATTAGTTCTGATAAGGCTGGTCAAGTCAGCGGTGATGTCAGCTGCGTCAGTGAGGAGATCTTCAAAGGACTGGATCGTGGCATCTCCCAAGTTGAGGGTGTCTTCTCGTGAATCGGTAATGTCCTGTGAGGCGAGGCGCCTTTGTTTGGCTTCGTTGAGGACGTTAGTAAGCGCACTTTGAGGAAGAATAAGAGGTCTCTCGAGCGAAGGGCGTGCTTCTGCCACTTTTCCACTATCCGATAACGTCTCATCTCCGGTGGGTTCAGACGTTTGTTGGTCGATAGGAGGCTGCTCTGAGGCTGCATTGACACCGTGGGTTAGGTCTTCAGTGGCTTCTTCGATAATTTCGGGCATTGAAGGAGCGGGAAACACTTCGCCGTTGGGCAACGGTGTATCAACCCAAGCCCCAGCATTGACGTGAGGTGTCTGCAAGTGCTTGGGTTGCTTCAGGATTGATCGCTGCGTCCGCACTGTGCCCGGCAGAATTGTATCAGTCCACGCACCTACCACTTTGGGTGTGGCCATGACCTTCGGAGCTTTGGATTGTGATTCCGCAATCTCGTGAACGGGTGACGATTCGGTGGCGGTATCCTCTACGTCTCCGTAAGCCGCAAGGATATCATCGCCGGTGGTGTCTTCAGGGTCAACATCCACTGGGTTTTCAGGCGGAGGGCTAGCCTTTGGAGTGGTGCTGACAGCTCTGGCAAGCCTTTGAAGATGATCGAGTGATCGCTGTGACTCGGGGGTGGGTCTTTGCGACCGGCTCGAATTGTCACTATTATTACTTGAGGACCTGTAAACAACGACAGGTGTGTCCGGTATTCGCTCTCCTTCACCAAGATTTTCGCTGTCTTGCCTCCTGTTCTCGGCTGCTCGATCGGGCTGAGATAGTCTTCGTTCTTCAGGACTGAATGATCTTGAGGTTTTTCGAACTATACTAGGGTTCTTAGCACTCATCTCGTTCAATCTGTTGGTGGTTATGTAGCCCTGAGCCAGCCTCTGGAGTTCTGTCTTTGTCTTGGTCTGCGATTCGTCTGGCTTGGCTTGACTTCGGATGGGTGGACTGTCCGAAACTTGAAACGAGATTCCAGTAAAATCATTGTCACCCCAAACTCGGAATTTTTCAACTGAGCGCTGTTTTTGGACCGTTGCCTGCAAGTCTCGAGGGGGTGTGCCTTGAGGTGTTGAGCTCTTGTCGGGACTCGTCGAGCTTCTCTCCACAGACGGGAGAGGAACATCTGCTGCAGCCGCAGCCCAGTCAACCTGGGAGCTGTCGGGCTCAGCAGCCAACTTCCTGCTCTCTTGTTCCTGTCGTTTTGCATTTTCGTGACGCCACTTGGAGAGAAACTGTTGCAGACTTCTGGTTTTGTCTAGGGCTTCTGATCTAGGTCTACTATCGGCATGCAGCGACACATTGGGGATTGGTTCTGATGCCGTGGTGGTGATAGTTTCATTGGGGTCCATCGCCTGCTCTTCGGATCCATTCGCGTGGCCAATTTGGCCATATGGGCGTGAGTGGCCATTGGCACGAGAAAGGGCGACCGGTTTCGGGCCTCCATCAGGGTTCCAATGGTTTTCGTCCTTATGCAGGGGCTCCTTTTTGCGTATAGCTCTGCTGAAGGCGATGGCCCTTTCTTTGTCGCGTAACTCATCCGGGGTGTCGCTCCCATCGTCATCTTCCTCCCGCTTGATGGCTCTGCTTGAAGCTTTGCTGAATGCTTGGACTTTTTTCTGAGGCGAAGCAACCGAGGTGTCGGAATGAGCCTTTCCTGCGCCATTTACTTTGGTGGGCGGAACATTCTCAAAACTGATCGGACCTCGTGCTGCAATCTTCGCAAGATCAAATTGTCGGGGACCGGCAGCAGATCCATTTAATTCTTGCCTCGGGCTTTGTTTGAAATTGATCGGAACCCTGCTGTGTCGCATTCGATTCAACCTTTCTCTATCTTTCGCAGAATTTACGACATGCGGCGTCAATTTCGCCGCAAGCACGCGATCTGATAACTCATTCTGCACAAAATCCAACGTGGGCGGGGCAGAGAAGCTTCCGCTCTGGTCTTCAACCATATCCCGCGGCTTATTGGTGTCCAGAGTCTTGTTTTCGGGCGTCGACACACCGGATGCAACCTGCTCAACATCGCCAGTGTCATCAGATGGGCCTGCCATTAGAGCCGATCCCAAAGTATCATCTCCGTCAACCTCGGCACCTTCGTCACTGTCCCCCTCTCTTTCTGTAGCAGCAAGGTCCTCCTCGTCCGCTATCCTTTGGTACACGTCCGTGAGACCGGGGGGAGGGCTAGAGAACTCGGCAGGGCTCGTCAAGGGAGGGCCACTCCGAGATTGCGGCGGAGTGCTTTGAACGTTCGTCCGGTGCGGACTCTGGCTTATCCTTGTCTCCACGGATAAAGGTGGCTGCGGGATCCTGCTTAATCTGGCACTCGTATACTCGGCCAGTGATGTGCGCTGTGCTCTATTGCCTGAATCTTTGGTTGCTTGTAGCGCTCTCCCGAGGCCAGCGGCGCGTCTCGCTCGTACGGGTCTGACCTTTTGCGGACTCGGACTGGGAATGCGCGAGTCATCGCCGAGCATGCTATCGGTGAAGAAATCTTCGCTGGGGATGTTCGCGCCCAGCGATGCTGCAGTTCCATGGCGCCGGGTACTCGAGAGTGGATTGTTTTCTTTATTTCGAGACATTGCGGCGCGTGGAGTCGCATGGGATAATGCGACGCTGTTGCATGCTATCGCTTGAAATATCGAGGTAGAATGTGTCGCAGCATCATATATAATAACTGTCAAGCGTACCTCGCTCCCGGAACGATGAAGTGCAAGTCTTGAACTGGAGCGCATAACAAACCACCCAAAGTGGAACAGTTCGGATGCAAGTAACACTAACAGCGCGACGAGATCAGTCCTGCCTTCGCGCGGGCGCCATGCCGCTTTTAAAGGGCACTAGCGCCAGGACAAGATGTTATTAAAGCAGCTTCGCAGTCTTAAGAATACAACTTACACAGAACGCCAGCCAGGGCCATGAAATGTAGCGAAGGGATGGCGTTGAAGAACGACAGTCCTGCCGCAGTGAGCGGCTGTATTTCAAACTTGCGCATTACCGGTTTATCCATCAGGATAGCAACGATTACAATCTATACAGCGATCCCGACACAGCGCCAGTGTTGCCATGCCAGCACATCATGCGTAGGGACAGACGACTCTCGAGGAGGGCAATCGACACAAACGTCAGTAGTCAGGAAGGCATACGTATAAACTCCAGTCCGTCTTCAGCGACGCAACCCATATCGCACTGGGGAAGACAAAGAGACTCTGTGCTGCTGGTAGACAAGATATAATACATACAACTATGTCACACTTCGTTCAAAATCATACATATTGTCTCATTCCATAGCCTGAACATAACCAGCGTTGGACTTCGGTCATTCCAAACCATCCCACGTGGTAGGGAGATGGTCCATTATACTTCATATACTCATAAATCATGATGTTCTGCACCAATGCCGGTGATTGAGTGACTTGATGCAAGCTGCATGTCGCTGTCAAGGATCACTAACCCCAGACCTCAGCAATCTTTGCGCTCAGTGCCTTTGCGACCTTTTTCCTGGGAATAGCATTGCCGAGTCGAGCACTTATCATGGTCTCCTTTTCTGAAACAGTCTTCATCGTATCGAACGCTTCCGCCAAAGCCCTTGGTGTGGGCCAGATCTTTTGTATCTCAACCGCTTTTTCACCAGTCACACCTCTTGTGCACATCAGCATCTTAAGGTACACATCCCGAAGCGTCATACTGTCCGATTTGTCGCACATGGCACCGAAAACTGAGAACGTCATTCCGTAGGTCCTTTGTGGTGACAAGCTCCTCAGTCGCTCCAATATGGTTGATGCAGCGTCTGCCTCGAACGTGTGTGTTGGGATAACGTGGATGTCTTTTCTTTCGTACAAGCCCTTCAGAGTCTTCGTCATGCGAGCTAGATATGAAATGGTATCGTCCAGTTGCGCTGTTTGCTTGACAAACACATTGTCGACCACTTGCATGCTTGCAATGGCGCTCTCCACTGCATCTCCGTATTTTTCGCTCTTCTCTGATGACAGCGAGTATGCCTCGACCAGATATACCACATTTTTTATGCCTGACTTGTGCAGACGGAATTTTTGCTCGCGAAAGCGACCATCTTTTATACTGCCGATCAGGTCGTCGAGACGCTTGCGCTCCAGAATGTGCTCCAGTACTATCCAAGACTCACCAGGCTTGTCTCTGTCCTCCATGCTTACCGGTCTGAGGGTTTCAGCATAGGACGGATTGACTACCGCCACCCAGAGAACATCTCCCAGCGGCAATGCAGTAAGAATAGGATTAACATCTTGTTTTTTCAGCTCAGAAGAGATGTAGTCACGATCAGTCGTCGATCGAATCTCTCTCATGTCTAGCACCATCCTCACCTCGAAACTTCCTGCTGGCAGAATGACCGTGTCATTTAAATTTGGGCGAGTGCTAGGCGGTCGCATACCATCATTCTGAGCTCTGAAGTCAGAAGTAACTCCTTCGAGGTCATCCGCGCGCGCTTCTGGTCCTGGACTGGAGACCAACTCTATGATATCAGAATCATGCGTTGGTACCTTCCGCATAGGCTTCATGGACTCAATACGTTGCCTCGACGATGATTGTCCGGCTAAAATCTTGGGCGAGGGTGGTGGCCGGGTGTGTGGAACCGGGGCTGTCTTCTTCGTAGCTGTCGATTCGCGTAAAGGTATTGTGCGCCCTTCCACGGTGGCCTTCATCCGTAGTGCCACTTCCCAACCTTCATCGGACAAATAGTACTTCTTGATAGGGTGCCCTTTGGTACAGACCAACTCTTTGCTCTCGAGGGTTTTTATTGATTGCCACGCTGTATAGAATTTGGAAGGATCGGGAGGGACGTCAAACGATGCATCGCAGTGTGGCTGTGCGAGTCTTTTCAGTTCCTCTTTGGATATTGCCTGGTTGCTTTCTTGGTCCAGCGTAGACAAGGCCATGATGAGAGCGTATGCACCAGATCTCAACTTTGGTACATATGGCTGGGCTTTTCGTTTTCGCTTCGGAGACTCTGGTTCATCCTGGGCGGGTTCGTCTCCTTGGGTTTCGGATGTCCGTTTCCTCCTTTTACCTTTAACAGGCATCGGTAACTCATTGTCCTCACAAAACACTTTTAGTTTGTCCGCAAGACGGTCGCAAAGTTTAGGACCTAGACCGTTGAGTTGTTGAGCCTCGGAAGGATGATCAAATCGCATAGGGCAGGCAATCATGGACTTGTAGGCCTTCTTGTAGCTGCGGCCGTCAGTAACATCACTCGAACGGAAGTGCCGGGCTCACACAGTGTATCCTTTGCTGTTCTGTTCTTTCGCCTTGTCCATCCACTCCTTGAGCCATGTGGCTAGGAGTGGGTTGGCGCAGGACTCTGCCATCGTTGGGCCTCGCAAGGAAAAAGAAGGTTCTGGCGAGCAGAATCGCGCCGACGATCACATTATTGCTGTGGTTCCCATGCAATTGGACTGCCAACCACACTGCACCGAGGCAATCACGATGCAGTACGCGAAGAAAGAATGAACACGTACGCGAACTAGCAACGCGAAATCACGGGAACAGATTATGCTTGGAGAAGTTTAGGTAAGTGACCTCAGGCATCCCCTCTATATTCAACCCGCCTTGCAAGACCTCTCGTAGGATCTCTCTTACGAATACTCATCCCAGTCTACCACGCTTCACCATGAGCCTTGCTGAATCACGTTCGAGTGTCCTGATGACAGTGCTTCTCGGTTTTACGAGTCGTTTTGCCACAACTGGCGTCCTTGTATTGCAAACAGAGTTTCTAGCAAGTGGCTTCACACGTCCACATAGCACCGGGACACTCCTCCGTGGATGGTGTTCCTGATCATCCCGCTGGATCTCGATCCTCGATTTCTACGGCTATCTGCAGTGCTTGCATGGCTTAGTTACGGGTGCGAGATCTCTATCCACAGTGGAGGAGCAGCGACGCCTCAATATTGGTGAGCCAACCGAGAGTTGAAAGTACTGACGTCTTAGATTTCACGTCGGCAGATCCTCAGCACATAGTAGCCTTGTGTCCTGCTACATCTCCATTATGTCCTACCACGGTAAGTTCCTGTGATGTCGTCGGGGGCCGCGCGACTGGAAACCATTCAACAGGCTCCTTGGTGCCTGAATGGAGTCGACCCTATTCCTCGGAGCGCGACTGATGATGTACGAATATACCCCTTGGCTTATCCTTTCGTCACGATCTCCTTAACAGGGGACAGCGATGATTTCAAGAGAACACTGGCAGTATGCCAGTGTCGGTGTATGTTGAGGTTGACGGATTTGTGCTTTCATGACGACACCTTTTGCGCCGCAGATGTTGCATGATAGCATACCATGCTCGAGGAGATATGGCCAGGATGCGAAACGGGCTATATAACCATGCCAGCTCTCCGTCCACCAGGAGCAACACTTCCATTGCTTCTTTTCAATCGTAACATCGCATCCTCAAGTCATCCTCCAGACAAGTCAATCGTTCATTCGGAATCACCCACATCACCATGTCTGCCCCTCAAGACGAGTATACCCCTGGCGTCGACAGCATCGAGGGTGTCAGCGGCGCAGACACTACTCAGAATGATTACAAGTCGCGCACCGGACAAAGCGAGATTCCAGTCCAAAGCGATGAAACTCCCGTCGAAGATCCAATCGACGCCAGCAAAGCCGATTCGGACGAGCAACTAGGTCGGTGCCTCGGTCTCCGGATACTCGTCTAATTCATTGACTGACAGCACCCTAGCTCGTGATGATACCGATGCCATCGACCAGAGTAACATCATCGAAGAACGTACTCGTGGTGCTACCAAGAACTATCGTGAGCCGGGAGATGACGAAGGTCTTCCTGGTCCTGATGACGGAACAAGCCGTGTCGCCGGTGGTCCCAATTGAAAAGATACCCGTGGGTTGGGTTGTCTGGTATGTCCACGACGACGATTGTGTATTATTAGTGGCGAATTATGTTGTAGAAGGATCAAGAGGTAGTAGTAGGTACTACGAATTGAATCTTGTGGGTTTCCAAGCGTCCGTTCTTCTAGGAGCATTGACGCATATTCCCCGTTTATGTCATTCTTCAATGTCATTCATGATATCGAGAAAATGTATTATTGTAGAACCAGAGCAAGGCAAAAGCTACCGTTCGGTATCCGTTTAAACATGTTCACGAAATGGATTAAAAAACACATTCTGTACAAATTCGAAATCGCGAGCATTCTGTTGTATACACTACCTACCGAGACCTAGGAAGGTCGTTCTGGGGGGAGGGACTTGCTCGCCTGGACCGTGGTTCTGCCATACCCCATAATTTCATTAGTAACCTCACTTGATGGCGTATGGTGTCGCTCAGCAACGATCTCAGACATGTCGGTGTCACCGACCCAGGAAATGTCATTTCGGAGCGCAAAGCTACGCGTCGTCAAGCTTCTACAATGAATAGGCTTTGCGACAGGCCTCGTCGAACCAACCCCCCTTCCCCCCTGTGTGTACGGCATACGAGTAATGAGGTAGCTTCGAAGTGGGTTTTGTCAGGAAGAAGGGGGAGGCGCTGCGTCACTACACCTCGCGCTCCATACGTTTTGTAGGCTAGCAACAATAGCCCTGGGGGGCGGGCATGGGATGGGCGCAACAACCACATTCTTCTGGATCCCTTGGGCGTGGTGTATGTGCTGTATGTACGCATCACGGCCACAGCCACAGCCACAGGCACTGGCACGCTCACTACGACTACTCGTACATACGTCGATACATAGGTACACATATACACGTCCCTTTGAGCTGACCACCCCCCCCCTCTCTCTTCGTGGGAGCTTCCTTACTTCTTCTTCTCTTTCTCTCTCCTTTCTCTTCTCGTCTCCCATCAAACAGACAATACCATATCCGTAACTCTGTTTTGTATTCCAACTTGGCTCCCTTGCTGTTAGCCAACCATTATCCTGATCGCCTTTGCCGTTGTGACTCGAAACGACTCGTGAGCCAACTATCCGTTTTGCGAACGAGTTACATACATATAGATACTGGCCGGGTCAATTCGCGGTGACGTCACTAAACATGCCTTCTCAAGAACCCGAGAAAGGAGACAAAGGTACGTACATACGTTCTGTCGCACAACACACACGTTCCCTGCAACCTACACCGTGCTGGAGGACCTGCAAAGGGACTTGCAGAATCTGGATATCATACCGAGTGTGTGTTGTTTTTGTCGAAGTGTGACGTGGACAAAAGCTGCCACTACTCAGCACCCGTGCACGTTTATTTGAAGCGGGCGGGCTCTGGTTAGGACTGCCTGGCAAAATGAATTGCTCTGAACCCCTGACTTTCCTGAAGCCAATGCAAATGTACCTTGCATATGAATTTGTCACATGTACCTATAAATCCCAAAACCCATTTCGCTAACATTGCCCCCTCTCCTCTCTCTCTCCTACAGTCTCATGGAACTGGGGCGGTGGCGCACCAGGAGGCACGGTCGCCGAGAAGAAACACGAAGGCGAAGTCTCCATCACGTCTAAGCGCGGCAACAAGGTCAAGAAGAACGCAGAGCCAAACAACCCCGCGGTCAAGATTGAGCGGTCGGGAAACGACGTGGTCAAGAAAGCGTCTGAACTCAACATCGTGTCCAAAGCGAACGGAACCGGGAGCGGCGGCCATGACAAGGGCAAAGACGAAGCCAAGGAGAAAAAGGCCGGCGACAAGAGAAAGCACGACGGAGAGACCGACGGCGAGAAGAACGAGGACAACGGCGACGGCAGCGGTGGTGGTGGTGGTTTAGAAGAGAACGCCGAGGGCAAGACTGTGCGGCCCGGCGGCAAGACAGACAATACCGCGAAGAAACAGAAGAAGGACGATACTGAGAAAAAGGACGAATCAAAGAACACCGAGAAGGGAAAGGGCGGGCGACCCAAGAAAAGCGAGGGCGCTTCATCGCCAAAGCCGAAGAAGAAGAATTCTACGCCTAGGTCCACCGAGGGCATTGCGTCGCGGACAAGGAGCCAGAAGAAGTAACCAGAACAGATATGAAATACCCCCAGGCCATAGGATGTAGTCCGTTCTCAAAGAACGATCCCTGTATCAGTACTGAGTCGTTTCTGCTATTGGCTCTGTTCTTCAATGTAGCATCATTCATGGATGGATGCCGATGCACTCTTTCCATCGTTTCCAGCCGACTGTACCCGCAATCGGCGTCGCGTAATGATCGACTTTCATCGTCTGGAATCACCGCCCTCCGGCGTCGCTACGTGAGTCTCAGGTATGCTTTCCCTTCCCTTCATGGCTCGCCGGTCGACCGTCCACACCCTGGCCTCCCTCGCCTGAGGGCCAGCATCCCACCAAAGCCATCCAGTCTGCACGATATCCACGAGAGCCTCGAAGCCAAACTGCAGTGGTCGGGGTACACCATGGCCGGCCCTCGATGCCCCCCAGCTGTACTGTGAAACCGGAACGGGAAGGCTTGTGCGGCACTTAGCAGAGGCCTAGGGCGTCGTGCAGACTGGCCAGACGAGTCTGAAGAGCGAACTCGTCCTGAAACAGCAAGATGAGGGGACTAGTACCCGGCCATTCTTCTGTCCTGTTGTCACTGGGCTCGTTGTGTCGTTGGTATAACTCGAACGCCTCAGGCATGTAGACGCCTCGGACGCCCACGGCCAGGTCAAAGGTGACCATCCTCTTGCAGATTCTGAGATCAATCGGAGACTGACCATCATCCACTTTGTGCGATACTTGATACGGTGTGGTGGCGTCGGCGCACTTGACGAGTTCCTCGGCTAGGAGGAGGCCGTAAACATGATAGAGCGACATGACACCCCAGATCTAATTGCATCTGGCCTGTTGAAGGAACAGTTTGGCGATATCCTCAACAATTTCGTGGCCTGAACGCGCAAGGGACGTTTCGTGGGCATCGTGGAGATGAGTTCAGGGAGGAAAAGTGTCTTCCCCTGAAGAGAATTGGTGTTGCCAGGACAATTCGCAAGTCTTTCATGATGTGTGGCGTAAAAGATCCTGCTGGTTCATTATCTTACCTTGGTCCGAATACTCTGGGCTCTGGTTTGGAAGGGTGAGAACGGCTGAGAGCGCCTCAGCGTATTGAACAAAACAATTTGAACTGTCCTTGCATTCCAGATAGAAAGTCCTTGCCGTGACAGATCTCTACCACAGTGCATCAAGGACTCAACATATCGTGTTTGTGTTATGCAAATCACACATACCGGAGCCGTACAACTTTTTGCAAACCCACGGTTGCGAGGGTCGATGATGATCACTGTCCGGTAGGACTCGTACAGATGCAAGGGCTCGCATCTTGTCTTCAGGAGGGAAAGGTGGCAAACACAGATGTAGATCTTCAAGATAATCACACAGACTTGAGAGAATGAGGCAACCGCTACTCACTTGGTGGTCCTGATTTGTGCAATTATCGAGTGGTTGCGATGAAAGCCAGGAATGTTTCGGAACGAGGGAGCCGAAATAGCTCAGGATGCTAGGCAGGAAGAAGCCTAGAAAGCTCTCTCCTTGGGCTGGTGAGTCGCCCCTAGGAACACGGGATCGACTTCCTGTTGGGCGCCCGGAAGATGCCTAGCGAAGATGTTGGGGTTACAATGCAATAAGGTGATTGGGGGGGGGGCTCAGGGGGGCTCAGGGGGGCTCAGGGGGGCCCTCCTGTAAGTTATACAGTAACTAGTTACTACCTTACCTCAAGGACCTACAGTGCTAGTAATCTACCGTACAATAGCCAACCAACTAGTTAGTATCATCACTAAAGGAATAAGGTTACGCCGCTTAATCATCGCATAATGCACAGTAATAGTGCCCAACTAGCTGCCTATGGTTAGTGAGTTGCCCTGGTTAATCTGAGGGTCATTAGCCTCGCCTGTTCCACCATCACATGTTTTCTGCAGCAGGTCATGATAACCCTAAACTGACTCGGTGCAATCACAATTTACTCGTCGACAATAAAACTGCGTGGAATCATCGTAGATGCAACTCTCTTGGCAATACGAATTTCTCCATGACAAAAAGACCCTGAATTCGAGACTGACTTTCCGTTTCATCGATTGACATCGGAACCGACTGAGAGAATAACCAGGTCTTGTTGTCTCAAGCCATGGTGACAAGTTCTTCACAACGTCACCACGAGATCTGCATATAAATCGCGGTGGACTGACTGACCACCTTTCGAGCACACAATTGGCACAAAAGTAACAGCATCAGCCCTCGAGAGCACCCAAATGATCCATATCGTCACCAAAAACCGAGGCTCCGAGGCCTCCAATTCCAACGATGACATGGTCAATATCAAGGACAATCCCAACGTCCCGACCTCCGAACAAGGCTTTGCCCGTCTCAAACATCTAACATGGGTCAGTGAGCAGACTCCCTTTCGATCATCGACACGCATTCTCCCCCTAAGGCCACATCCCCTTTCAATGTCACTGGTAGCTCACTTTACTCACCAACTGCAACGTACAATAGGCATGGTTCACACTCCCCATGGCGACAGGCGGTCTCGCCCTCCTCGTGGCCCCAGATAATCAACCTCACTCGTTCACCGGCCTCATCACCATCGGGAAGATCATCTTCATCTTCGACATTGTCGTGTTCAGTCTGATCGTGGCCGGGATAACCTACCGCTTCAGCCGGTGGCGCGGCACCTTGAAATCCAGTCTCGCGCACCCGACCGAGTCCCTCTTCTTCGGCACGTCGTTCCTCAGCCTGGCGAGCATCATCTCCTGCCTCGCGCACTACGCCATCCCCTCGTGCGGCGAATGGCTGGTCACCGCCTACCGCGTCCTCTTCTGGACGTACTTTGCGATCACGTACGTGATCGCCGTGTGCGCCTACCTCGTCCTCTTCACCAACCCGCGGCTGCGCATCCAGGACATGACGCCGGCCTGGGACCTGCCCATGTTCCCGTTCATGCTGTGCGGCACCATCGCCAGCGCCGGCATCCCCACGCAGCCGGCCAGGTACGCCATGCCGATGCTGTTCGGCGGGCTGACGGCCCAGGGCCTCGGCATGCTCGTGTCCATGGGCATGTACGCCAGCTACGTGCGCCGCATGATCATGTACGGCCTGCCGTCGCCCGCGAGCCGCCCCGCCATGTTCATCGCCGTCGGCCCGCCCAGCTTCACCGCCCTCGCCATCACCGAGCTGGCCAGGCACTACCCGGCCGCCGCGGGCTACGACTACTTCGGCCCGGACGTCTACACGGTGCAGATCGTGCAGGTGCTGGCCGTCATGGTGGCCGTGTTCGTGTGGAGCCTCTCATTCTGGTTCTTCTGCCTCGCCCTCGTCAGCTGCGTGGCCGCCAAGGGCCGGTACCACTTCCACCTGAACTGGTGGGCCTTCGTCTTCCCCAACACCGGCTTCACCCTGGCCACCATCAGCATCGGCCGCAGTCTGAAGAGCCAGGCCGTGCAGTGGGTCGGCTCCGCCATGACCATCTGTCTGTGCCTGACCTACCTCTTCGTCGCCTACCATCACGTGCGCGCCGTCTGGAGAAAGGAGGTGCTGTACCTGGGCAAGGACGAGGACAATTACCACCCCGAAAAGATGGCGAAGGTGGAATCCAGAGGAGAAGATCCGGAAAGGTGTGGTTGTGTCAGTGGCGCTTAACACTCGAAAACTTACAAAAGGAGGAGGTGAACCCGTCCTTTTGGCATGACGGAGATTCTACTCCAAAGCTATATTTTTGGGGGGCTTTTTATATACATCTATTATTGATACAGACAGGTATAGACAAACATAGATTTGTATAGATTCTTCTTCTTCTTCTTCTTCTTCTTCTTCTTCTTCTTCTTCTTCTTCTTCTTCTTCTTCTTCTTCTTCTTCTTCTTCTTCTTCTTCTTCTTCTTCTCCTATCAGATTTGCATCACAGTACGTACCCAAGTACACTTCGCCCTTGCAATCTTGGATGTTTTCTTTAGGATATTCACAGGTAGGGTAGGTAATGAAATGCTCGTGTTTGGCATGTATGTAACACCACCTACGGACCGGCCTTTGGAACTCAGGTAGCTTAGGTACTTTCAACGTGCGACGAGAACATGAACTGCGCACATTCTCGCTTCCAAACTGGACAACCATTTATCTCGATACGGTTGTATTGATACGTTTGTGTTGCTTGCCAAGTTCTTCAAAATGGAACCCATTCTCTCAACACATCTCTGTCGCTAGAACATAAATATACATGGATTTACACCACGGGGAAAAGTCATTCCGGACCTCCTCGACCTTCCCTCCCGCACTCCCGACTCAACGTTCCGAATTCATCGAACCATACTTGATCGATGGCGCTCTAGGAACCATTAGTCCTCTCATAAAATAGCTAGAAACATCCAACGGGCCATGTCTGTCCATAAACGCCTGTCGTTTCCTACTGAGACCTGGATACGGCGCCAGAATCCATGAATGAAATGCCGCAGGAATATTCAACTCGGTCTCAATGTCCTTGGACGACATACCCCAGCTCTTCGCTACTGCCGTGGCCCATGCAAGGAGGTCATCCAACTCGGTGTGTTGCGTCTCGCTGGAACGCTGCCCAAAATCGGACTCCTTTTCAGATAGAGCTGCATTTACTAAGATTTGCAGAGTGTGCAAGTCAGGTACAACGACCGGACTAGTTTGCAAGTGCAGGCCACTCGCCGCTGCACCGGTGTCCACAGATGATACGAACGGGATGTCGTTCCTGTCGTCTTCAAGGCCCAGACTTTGTGGCAATGATAGTTCTGCGTTTTGCTGTCCCTCGGAAACCACCTTGACGGTATTGTCCCGTAGAACCTCATCCGAGACCGCCAGAGGTGCACCAGACCAGTCATCGGTGGGAGAAGTTGTAGATAGATCAGATGTACTGCCATCAGACACATCGTGGCGACCTTCAGCATCGGTGGTTTCAACCTCGTCCGTCGAATTGTAGTCACTGGACGATACCCAACCATTAGGCGTACAGAACATCTCCCATATCCGTCGACCTTCCAAAGCGCCTTTAACTTCGACAATTGCAGAGAAAATGACATTGAATGTGGCCCTGTCTAATTGTGGAAGGTTACTGACAGGATACTTGGCCAGATACTGTGCAGCAACATCCTCAAGGCTGCTATCCGGAATGGCTTGTAGGACATGGAGTAGCGAATTGACTTGTTGCCTGAAGAACTTTCTTTGAAGCACAGTGAAGTCAGATGACGGAGCGTTGTACCGCCCTGACAGGATGTCAATCAGTAATTTCTCAGCTTGCTGATGATCTTGAACTGCACCGTCCCTTTGCTGAATCTTCGACTCGACCTCGAGCCGCAGAATCGAGGCAGCGAGATTGGCGATGATACTCGGGCTGTAGCCGCCTGTTTCAGACCCCTTTAACTGTTGCAGGAGAAAAGAGACATCGCCCCATGCACGAAAATGGATTTGCGCATTGGCCAGGGCTCTGAGTAGATTCACGGTAGGCTTTCTGTCCGACCTCGCCGACTGCTCGACTACCGACCTCAACAAGAACAGATCATCCTTGGCAATCGCATGTCGACTCAAACCACTCGCAATGGATGGTCGTCCACGTACTTCGACGGGGATCAGCGGTCCATCGACGTCTGAAGAGTGGAGAAGCCAATCACTCAAGCCAAACAATTTGGCGCTGGTCACCAGATTGATGACCAATAGCAGCTTGTATTCGGGAAGTTGGCCATGAGAGTCGATGTACTCTGTATGGCGCTTTGATGGTCTGGATGTAAAGAAGCCATCTTGTGGACGTACAACTCCAGACATGAATTCACCTATCGCTTCGAGTTTGCTTGTATCCACCAGCTGCTGAATACGAGTGAGGACTTCGACAGCCTTTGTCGCACGGTGAGATTCAATGTAAGCCTGCAAGACCTGGTGCCAAAAGCCTGCCTGGAACATTGTGTGTTTGAGGATGTAATCATACGTCAGACTGGGCTTCTGGAATGATCGAACTTTTACGGGTCGAAGCGAACGCAGGTGAGAAACGGTCAGCGCCCAATTTTCCAATCCATGTGGCCCAGTTCTCAACCCAAAGTTCTCCGTCTGAAGAAGGCGTACTGCCAGGTAGTCAAAATACGACGGGGCCAACCCATGTGGTTCGAGGAAGGAGAGCACATCCCAGATTTTGCTCCCGATGCCAGTAGTGGAACGCAAACTGACAGAATCGACGCTGTTAATCAAGCAGTCGACGAGCGCCAGGACCACCTCAGTGCTAATTGTCCTGGGTTGCATTTGAACGAACGGATCCTCCCGGCTGTAAGCCTCAAAGCCACCAACCGAGCCCCCTGGTCTTCGCCTGACCCGATCCCAGTCAATTGAAGGGACTGGGTTTTCCGCATTCTGGCCACTCGTTGTCCAGTGTACTGCAGACCACGGATACTCAGTGTCTGCACGAAGAGCTCGTATGATACGAGCTCCTGCGGAGGGATAGCCTCCTTCGACACAACACCAGAGAATAAATTCAACCCACACTTCTGGGCCAAGTTCCCGGAGCTCGAGGCGAAAACGACCGCCCGGTAAGACCTCATCGTAGGTCAGGTCGTGGCGTGAAGCATCCCCGGTAGCCGCTTTAGCGAGTTCGTCCTCCTGCTGCGCCTGCCAAACTGCATCCGATAAAGTGGAGAGAATTCTTGAATTCAGCAGACTCAATATTGGAGAATGCTGTATATTTGTTGGTGCTTTCGGGACAGCATAAGTGTATACGGCTGAAGGGATCAAGTCGACGTGGTGTATTTTGGCAAGTATGATAAGCACCGTCTGTATAATTAGTTTGCCTTCTTTTTGGGGTCGTCGAATCGACGCAATGACAAGTTCAGCTAAGGACTGCCAGAGGAGAGGCATGACCCTTTCATAGCCCGTCTCGCAAGCATTGCTGTCCTGGTTCGGAAGAGCATTTGACACCGACTGCCTCTTCACATGCCTCTCCGCATCGAGCTCTATGGGCTGCTTGACAAGCTTGGAAAATGAGAACTGCGGCCACGCGATATTGGAAGGTAGAGTCTGTTCCAAAGAAGCTCCCGGTAGTGATTTCGCCGGCTTCAACAAGATTTCTGCGAGATACACCACAGCTTTATGTCGACCCTGACCAAGCGCCATGAATGCGAGAAGATCCAGTCCTGCGAACGACTTTGCATCTTGAAGGATTTTAAAGACATTCTCAAAATCCTTTCGTTCGTCGAAGTCGGTGCGAGCATCGTTCCGGAAAGAAAGGCTCAAGTCCTTCGGGAGAAAGCCATCCAATAAAGCGATCCAGTACTCAGGCTTCTTCTTTTGAGCTTTTGTCACTCTCGTTTGCCCTCCTCTTTTATGCCCCGATATGTGCCTCTGTGTCTTCGCAAACTGGAATCGGGGGTCGCTTTGGCTCGCAGACAAAGTAATCTGCTTCGGCCGCCGCACCGTGGATAACGGCCGAGTGACGAGAGTTGAGACATTATATAGAGATGTTGTATTTGACGGCGGGAATGTTTGATAGTGCGGAACCGGCTTCGGAGGGTATACTGATCTATGAGCGAAGCAGTGCAGATGTCTTCTGAACCGGCTCTGCTCAAAACATCTGCGCATGACCTGGGGTACTTGGACGAGAATGCATTTGGGCAGCCTTTCAGATGACAAGTGTCTTGCAGAGAAGATACAAACTTCAAAAGAGCAAAGATGTGGCCATTAATTTAAAACTGCAGGCCAAGTGCAGCCGTCGCAAGCAGTTTCGATGATGACTACACTTTTTTTCCGCTACGAAGGTAGAAGTGCGCTTCCAGGTTCTGTGGTGGGCCGGAGAATACATACGGTGAAGCGTATGATTATGAGGGATTACTTTTCTCAGCGCGCGTATCCGCACCATATGAGTAGGCGTACAAGATCTGCTCTAATTTGAACCTGCACCCAATATTACTTTTTACTTTACAGTGTCAAATGCATCCTGTGAAGATACTTCTTCCACTGGGTGCGTATCCAAGCTCTCATAGAGTTGCAGGTAGCTGCCAATCAAGAAAGCCCAGGATCCCCTGCGACATATTGTTAGTCAGATCGGCAGGGATCGAGTCGCTTCAACTGGAGCAGCAAGTGGACTTACCAGAAAGTAGACAGTGAAGCTTGGTATTCAGCTCCGGAGTTTTTGTACGCCATTCCAAGTGCTCCGCAAAGGGTGAAGCCGATGGCGCCGATAAAGTTCCAAAACCCTATATGCCAACCGAGGATATGGAATGCCGGCTTCCACCACTTCTGCTGCGTCTCGAGCATGTATAGAGCGCTGCTCACAATAAATCCACTCCCGCCGATGACCTGAGGAATCCAGTATGCGCCATTCAAGACGTGTTGAGGGTGCAAATGGTTGATGATCCCCGGTAATGCAGTGATACCCGATATTCCGAAGATTGTCGCGCCAAACAACTGAGCCATTCCAGCAAGAAAGCCCAACTCGTGAATGTAATGAGTGCGGAGGTCGTGCCACGACGGCCACCATTGCCAGCTTGGGCCATCCTTAGACTTGTACGCAGCTACTTGTGCTTCCTCCGCAAGAGTTCGAGATGGCTTTCCGACAAAATTGCGACGGTTCTGGTGATGATGCCGGCAATGACGCCGGCTCGCACGAAAGCGATAGATTGGCTTTCCAGATGTGCCATGTATGTCCTCACGAAGCTGTTCAACAGCCCAGCCGAAACAGCCTGAGTGGTTTGAATTGACCGCTTCGATGACTAGGAGAATGGATCCCGTCTCAAAGAAAAGAATGGCTCCGATGAAAGCAGTAACGCCTCCACCGATATAAACCTCGTTGTGAAATTCTGTCGACGGCGCCACGAGTGGCAACCAGGCAAAAAAGCCCTTTAGCGGGACAATTAGTATGCACATCTTAGACGAGAGGGTTTTCTTCTGCTGCGTACATTGATAACCCAGACCACACTCCCCAAGGTGAATATGACTGCCACAAGCCAAGAGATGTCCCAGACGGGGAAGTAAGTAAATGTCAACTTGATGTTCTTTAGGACTTCTTTGTAGTGAGTCGTTCGTCGAGGGGTCAGATATTGAGTCTCCTCTCCAGGTTGTGGCTTCTGGACCAGCAACGCATGCCGACCTTTACGATTGTCGCGCGCTCTCCAGAGGAAGCGGACGTTTTTCGCTGGGATCTCCTCGTCGTCCTCCTTGTGATGCTTCTTCCCAATGTAGTCGCTACCTTCACTATCGCCGGCTTCGGCGGGAGCGGCGGCTTCAGCAGGCAGAACTGCTCCATCTAGTTGAAAGTGAGCTCGTGTCGGGTTGAGGAACCCCAGAGGAGCCGTAGCATGCTCTAGTTGGTATTTCTCATGCTGAAATGGTTCGTGCAACCGAAAACGACGGCTTGGTTTCGACATGTTCGGGATACTGTGAGTAGATTCGCTATTGAGGTGTCCCACGATGTCAAAATGCTCTGCGATACATTCTCTGCGCAATCTTTTGCAAGACAGGTGGAATTAGAGGTTCAGATTTTCGTCTTTCAATAAAAGAACACGTGCTTTCGGGGACATGGGGACAACTGGAAGAGTTGGTGGTGACGCCACACAAACACAAAACACCGGGGATCCTCAGTGGGCGTATTTTTAGCGGCTGAACGTGGCGTCGTAAGCGAGCTAAGATGCTTGTAGTTTGCTTGTCCCTGGCCCTCCTTTAACCATTAGCGGTTATTCCCCGGGCCATGGTTGCGATGAGTGAGCTTTACTGGATGCTGACTCTAACGAACCCTCAGCCATTTTCTCGTATCAGGGCATCCCTCGAGTCACTCCTACGATTCGGGTCTATGGACCTCAGTCTCGATGTGCGGAGCTCCTCACGGACTAATCTCAGGCGCAAGGGCGACCATTCGTGACCGGGTTATGGTCGACACGACGTTCGGAAATCGACCTCAGACAGGCCTTGTCTTCATGATCCCTCGTGCCATCTGCCTTGCGCCTACTAGTTGCAAATAGCAATCATATCCTGAAAGGGCTGTTGAGATCGACCTGGAACCCGCAGCTCAACTGTGGTATCTGTGAGTAATTCTCCTGTAATAGCCCCCTCGTATTTTGCAAAATCTGTGGCCAGTTCAGTCCAAGTCTGTTCGTGAGCCGTATATTAGCAAAGACATACCTGGACGTATGAAATATTCCAGTAATAATCGGTCTTCATCGTCTCCAAGAACGCCCAAGACATGGCACCTAATCCCAGTTCGATCAACACGACCCTGAAGAAGTCCGGGCTGGAGACTTACCAACATGTCGCCCATTGATGAATGCATCAGCACTGGTCTGCTCGTCCTTGCACCCCGAGAACATGAATACGCTCTTCCCTTCCCGTGCCCAGTCGTCGTAATTGTTGTTTTCTTGCAAGCCTTCTTCGTCGTCTCCCTCGTATTGATGTTTCAATGATCGAAAGAAACTGGTGGCTCCCGCCAACAGATGCCTCGCTTCTCCCTCGGAGTCGTACGCGAAGTCACCTCGAATCAAGTGTCTTGCCTGAACTGTCTGTCAGTTCCTATTTTGCTTCGTGCAGTCACCCGTCGTAGGACAGGTCGCAGAGCCTGGGAAGAACCAACCTCCCCAATCAATTCAACTCCCTGCTTCAGATTGTCCATCAAACTGACGTTGCCGTCGTCGTCCGTCCTATACACGAATGGCAGCTCGACTGCTGAGCCGCTATCATCAGTTCGTTAGCATATTCTGCCAAGTCCACGGCCTCGATGGCGTGTCTAGCCCCCCTTGATGATTCCTCTCAATGGGTCCGGACTCGAATGCATCTAAAAACACAAAATGCGGTAGGGCTGCGTCCTCTCCCGTTCTCGTTTCCTTCGCATAAAGCACTATGTAATGCCCAAGCATGATGCAAAAACAACCCGACCACGACTTACCTATGACAACAATCGAACAAAATGCTCAAAAGACACCCGTCCGCCAACCGACTCACCAATTCCCGGTGCAATACGCCGCTCGGAATCTGCCCATTCCTTTCAAAGTCGACCGGTACAATCGTATCGTCATAACCGTCCGCACTCCTCCCATCCCCATTATCAGGCACCTGGCCTCCATGTCCACTATAGTGTAGAAAGCACAAACAACCGGGCTCGCTCACCAGCCACCGCATCGCGGCAAGGATGTTGTGGCCGGTCGGGAAGTACGGGCCCCGGGGATCACTGTCGTCCGTGAGCACGACCATATCCCTCGGATGCGTGCTGTAATTGCGCGAGACCAGGAACTCTTGTACGTTGCGGACGTCGTCGATGCAGCCTTGCAATTGGTGTCCCGAGCCAAAATAGTTGATGCCGATGAGTAGCGCCTTGCGGCGTGGCGGGGGCCTCATCGCCATATCCGTCGTCCTATACAAGGAAATCCAGGTTCACGGTAATGGGTGGCAAGTGCCGATGGGGTGTGAGTACTCGTATTCCGTGTATTCGATGGACTTACGATCCTTCAGGGGCGACTGTGCAATGGCAGGATTCGTGAATTCAATAGTGGACGGAGATGAGCTGTCCCTGGGTCGTGTGAGACCGCTCAAACCCAGAATGTGCGTTCCCGTCACCGGGGAGTAGGTGAGTGTATTTTCTGAGCTCGGTTGCCCTAGCTTCTGACTGACGGCATGTCAATGGGGACTAGCCAGCTATAAAAATAGAGCCAACGCGGTCGAAAACCCATAAGTCTTGAATCAGCTACGCCTGTAGGCTGTTGGACGGCGGGCAATTTCACCAGAGGGAAGAAGGTTGTGCCGGGCTCGGGGCAGACGCGCGGCCATATTGATCGAGTCAGAGCCTCAGAACTTCACCGTCTCACGTTTAGGTAAGCGAGTGTAAGCGGGTGTAGACAAGGTAACCCAAGTACAGGTACATACTGTAAACGAGTGGTGGCCTCAGAACAGGCACAGTTTGAGGAAGGGTGAAGTTCATTGAATTGATGCCTGAGCATCGTAAATGTCACTAGTTCTTATATATATCACTGCAGCACAACTGCCACACCGCCGATTCTCCCCAAGCCTTTCCACCGATAAACACTGAAACCTATCTACCAATACTGTTAAATCCCATCTGCTGTATCTGCAATTCCGTTTTTCCTGACAGAGGACAACGCTCAACCTTCAAATGTTGATTCTAACAAAGGCCAAGGATCCCGGGAGTTTGCTGTTATACCCCGTGACACCCGGCACCAGAAAATAGACATTTTTCAAAACGCGCCGACACTCGTCACATCATAAACACATGATAAAAGAAGTTGTCACTTTTCGTGCTGCAAGCTCATACGCTGAACCACTCGCATACGCAATTCGAGCCTAGCTGCTGTGTGGTGTCTGTTCCCCGACGAACGAATCTTCTCGCCGCTGAGGTCGACACTGGTGCAAACTCGCTCTCTTCAATCGCAACGGTTGCTATCGTGGGAATAGGCATAATTTGCCAGTTGTTGAGAACTTGCATCTGTTGACAATATGGCTGCACGTTGTTGTCGGGTTTGCGCTTCTGCACCATTTTGACCAATTTGGGAAAGTCTGATAAACCGTCTCTTTGTCGGAGTCTCATCCCATCCCAGCCATCTGACGTAGTCTGAGCCGGAGCGGAGCCGGTCTTGGTTGCAGGGCCTGTGTACGATTGTGTTGCGTCCGAGGAAGGTATGGAATAATGGCTAGCATAGCCAGCATAAGCAGAGCTACCCAAGGAGGTTGTCGGTGCACTGGATGGAGCAGCTGTGGTGGCGGCGCTCGTGTTATTCACGTTCTGAGTCAAAAATATCCAAACTTCACTGATGGTAGAGTTCCAAAAACAGTACCATGGTTGATCCCCAATGCGGAGCAAGGTGCCCATCCAGTCAGGGTCGAAGTCCGACTCATTCGGGTTGTCATCTCCTGCACCTCTTTTCAAGACTTGCGACATTGGTACAGACCTTTTCTTATTGGGGCCAGGAGGGCTGAGGGCGTCGCTAGGTACTGAATGCGTATGTTAGTCAAAAGAAATATGTGCGAGGTCATAAATGGTACTCACAAATAATGATCTTATCGAACAGTGTACTGAAGAACAAGGCAACACCTAGTTCATCATCATCCTTGTCGATGAAGGGGTCTAAGCCAAAAGAGCTGCCGTTGAAATCAGGCGGCTGCGGTCCGTATCTAAAAAGCGAAGGATGAACGGAATAGTCGTCGAAGATCACCGACAGAGGAGCTCCAGAGTTGTTGTCGGTTTCCGTGATAGTGATCCCAAGCTTGGCGTTGTCCATACAATCCCAGACGTCACCAAGTTGAGGATCGACCACGCAAGCTTCAATCTGATCCGTTTGGTTCAGCGGTACCGTCCAATGCCCCGTCGGGCAAGAGGGTGTCGAGGGTCCTGTCGAGGCTGGATCGGCATCGAGCCATACCGTCGTAGTCGAACTAGCACCAGACCTGAGTCAATATAAGTTTGTCAAAAGAAAGGAAAGCATTTCGAGGGCAAACATACGCAGCTGCTCGCTGAGACCCTTTCCGATTTCCCACCACCCCCCCAATCACACCGCCCAAAGTCCCGGCTAGAACAACAACCACAGACAGTACAATCCATACCCACAAAGGCAGACCGCAACATGTTCGCCTCAGTTTCTTTTTTACGAATCCTTCCTTCCGGGCCTCTTCATCCGTAGCAGCCCCAGCTCCAACAGCCGTCAGTTCTACATCTGGTGCAGAAGTGGTAGCGGTAGGTGGTAGAGTGCTAGTGCCAGACTCTTGACCAGGACTCACTGCCTCATGTTCTAGTCTCGCCATGTCCCCTTTTGCAATGACGTTATCGGCATACCGGCTGTAAGGAGGTAGTTGTTCGACATGTCCGTCAGTGCCAACTATATCGCCCACTTCATCTCCTGATGAGCTTGTACCGAGGACTGGGAAGCCAATCGGCACATTTGTCTCGGCACTGTCCTCCTCAGGCACCGTATTTTGAGGGTACATGGTATAGGGATGCTCAGGACCGCCATTGGGTAGGGGTCGTTCTTGTGGTCTTATCGTTGATTCACTTGCGATGCTGGATGCACGGGTCATCTGCGTGTACATGCCATAAGGTTGGCTAGGAGCAGTTGGTCCGCGATACGGACTTTGACTGCGAGGGATGGAGAATCTTGAGGATGTAGATAGTCGATTATCTGCCATCGACCGGGATGAGCTGAAGGTCGTATGACGGGTTTCAGCGGATTGCTCGGCGTCGAGTTTTCTGTCAAGTGGAAGGGAAGAATTGATACCGGGACGAGGAAATGGGAAACTTGGAGGTAGGTATTCTCGCAAGTCACTTCGCGGATCGCTCGTGCGGTCTAAGTTGAACTCTTCGGGCTGACGGTCGATTGAATCGATCGGGCTGAGATCGGGTGAGGAGTCGGCACGATCAATGGCGTATTCGTCACTGAAGATGTTTGGGTTTTGTATTTCGCTTGAAATCCTCCTCGATGCGTTTTCACCTCCCATTGAAGAAGATTCGAAGAGATTGGGAGGCCGTCGCGCCATGGAGGCGCAGCGTCACCCCTTTCAAGTTGTGTCGCCAAAAGCGTGCGAACGGAATAGCGGCAAAAGTTGACGATGAGACCGCGTCTAGGTAGATAGATATGAGTGTCGAACGAGGATAGGAGAATATCGAGTAGGGAGTGTAAGAGGTTGAAGTCTCTTCTGGTGGAAAAGGTGATGATGGGAGGTTCGGTTTAGCCTCGAGCGTGGTTTCCCTGCGAGGCCCGATTCCTTCAAACCTCCAGTTGGGCTCTGGAACCCGCCGCTTCACGGGCTTGGCAAGAGACCGAGCTAGCCCTGATCGGGTTACGATCCTTCACCGACGGCCCATCTCCTCTGCGCGATGCCTCTTGCTGCACTCATGCATATTAGTTTTCCCGGATGTCTTTGGCCTTATGGCGACTGACTGCAGTCTTCCAGACAATGGCAGCAGCAACAGCAGCAGCGGAGGTGCAGGCTTTGCTTCGCTTCTTGACCAAGGATGCCAAACTTCCGTTGGCTGAGGCCATGTCAAAGATAACGGTCTTACGAAAAGAACAATTAAATACTCCGGAGAAGATCTCCAGGGCCGATGAGGCCACACTCAAATCTGTCTTTACTGATGAAAAGGTTCGGAAACAGGTTCACAACGCAGCTAAGAGAGTTTCGAACCCTAGGAAACGTTCTGCGCAGGCAGAGTCATCTGCTCCGAAACGTGTGAAAGCGGAATCGAGTGTTGTTGACGAGGAGTCCTCGCTCGCGCTGCCAGTGACGGCGATTTCCCTTGAAGAGATTGAAAGCCTTACCATCGAGACGAATCGAGCTCCTCTCTTCCTTGCCTTCACGATCGCCGTGCTCTCATATACCCATTCAGAGCAACCTTTATCCAGTCGCTGGAGCCTCGCACAGGCTGTCGTTAGCGCAGGTGCTCAAAGCAAGGCCAAATACCTGGGACTAACGTCAGGCCGAACAGCAGAAGAGGATGGATGGGCTCAGGGTCAGCCGAAGGTCAAGATTATGGGCCGCGAGGTTGCTGTGATGAGAAGACACATCCCAGTACAGTCTGGAGATGATGCCGATACCAGTCCAAGCACGGCATTCTGGGGATTGGATCTGGAAGCACTTCGTAGATCAAATGGGCCATTGATTGGGGCCATCGATGGGTATAGACAGGATGGCCCTCCTATTCATAAGCCTTCTGCACCTCGAAATTATCTGTTGAAATCAATGGTCGTGATCGGATCGGATGACGCCCAGGGTGAGGGAGGAAAATCAGATAAATCAGGCAAGAAACCATCACCAAAGAGCATGGCCGGCAAGAGAGAAGAGGCCGCGGCAATTTTGCTGAAAGCCATCGATGCTGTCTGTCAAAGTTGGGCGTCCACACTCAGCAAGGAAGATCTCGACCAAAGAGCTCAAGGGTGGTACATGCTGGTCAGACCAGAGGTAGATCATGGGCAGGCAGGCTGGGGGCAGAGGGGAAAAGTGCACCTCAAAGATGTGCTGAAGCTTAAAAAGGGATGACGGGGGCAACCAGAGTTGTCCATATCGATCCAGCCTAGATTGATCATACTAGAGAAGATGTTATATTCCTCCAATTCCCGACAACGCCAAAGGCCGATTCAACGACGAGCGACGAGCGACGAGCGACGAGCGCGCGGTGGTGTTACAAAAGCCAAGGATGCGTCCTGAGTCGGATTGCACATTACTGTCCTCCTGCGGCATTCTGGTCTGATGAACCTCCAGATGACTTGGGCCCGACATCACCTACGGTGATAAGCACACGCCGGCATTCAGAACGATTTGGATTTACCTTTCCAGAAGTTCTTATCTACCTTGTTATCCTCTTCTGCCAGTTGATTGACGGACCTCTCATGTCTTTGCTCCATCTCCTCGTTGTGTTTTCTCACTTCAGGATCGTCTTTCTCCGCAGCTGATTCGGGACGGTGGATGGCTGGGCTTCCACGGTCGCTTCCAGAGTCGGATTTGCTTGTTGGCTGTGCTTTGGACGAGCCCGATGAGGATGCAGTCCCCTTACTAGCTGGGGCTTCGGGCCCAGGGTGCTCGAGGTGGGATTTTGGGTTCTTCTGGTCCCGGCCCTGCTCCATTCCAGACTGCTCGCCGCCATAGCCTTGGTGTGCAAATCTTTGTGGTTGCACAGCGAAGACACCCGCTTGTTGGCGAATGAGCTGCGGTGTTCGCGAAGCTAGACGAAGAAATGGCTGCATTCTGTCTGGTCAATACTATGGATCAAGACGTTGCTGGGGATGGCGTGGTAACAATGCTCTGAGAAAGAGCATCTGCGAGCATCTGCAGCATTCCAATCTATGAGTACGTGGATTTAATGCCATGACTGATGCCAGAACTTTGAGTCTGTCATAGATGGGGTGCTCGATACAGGGATCGATCGCCATGACCTCATTGAACAATGCCCAGCCTCTAATACCAATGCGGCACTAGCGCACGTCCCATGCACTTCACGGCTGCAGCGAGGGCTTCTCTGTATTGTACGAGTACTGTACCTTTTGTACCTTTTGTAGCGTGGGCCTTCCCCAGCAAAAGCGTCAACACCCTCTCATGCGCAAATGCAGTGGCTGTCTGCTTCTGACCGACCCAATCATACTCTGGCCATCAAGATGCGCCCAGGACCTGCGATTGAAGCAAGGAATAACGATACGGAAGAGGAAGATTCGCTCCGTGGCCATGACGTAGAAAGTCAATTTCCAGGCGTGTTTTGTGTTTTTGTCCCCCGCAAATCGCGTCACAGCAGATCGTCACGACATCGAGCGAAAAGGCAGCAGAACATCATCATCATCACCATCATCATCATGGAGATCTGTGAAGCCATCGCCTCGCCTGTTTCGTACGGACTTGATATCCGTACACTGGCAGTGACTGGGAGTACTCGTGGTCGTCCCTCTTGCTTGTGCAGTAACTGCTGTGACCGTACTGTGGTGAGTGACTCGTATGGGCTGCCAATGTCCATACACTGCTTCTCGCTGCCTTGCGTGCTGTGCTTGCGTGGTACAATACGAGTTACGAAGCCTCTGGAGCGCCACATCCTGTCACAAAAGGCCAATTCCCCGATCATCATCGTCAAGAAGTTTCAGCAGTGAAGACACTCTGACGTCAAAGTCTGCCCGTCCTCCTTTCCTCTTCTCTCTCTTGACTTTGTTTGCTCCCATCATATTTCTCTCCCTCAAACCTCTTCCTCCTTCTTCTCCATCCCCCACGGACTGCACAGAGAATCATCGTCCATTATGAAGTTCTCTCTGTCGAAACTCCTCGTTGTTGCTCTTGCGTCAACCGAAGTTGCTGTTGCCAGCACTTGGTTCGGCAAGACCGGTAAGCTCCTTTCATCTCTGACATGTGCCGACTGTCAAACTGACTCCTACTCCAGTCTACAACAAATGGCACGAAACTGAACTCGAGCGTTGGCTATCTGACCACGACGTTCCGTATCCCTCCCCCGCAGACCGAAAGGATCTTGAGAACCTAGTCAAGGAGAATTGGCAGGCAAAGGTGGTAGAGCCAGTTGTCGCGACTGGTGACAAGGCCAATGATCACTATGGCAGTATCAAAGATTGGATCTTCGACAGGTGAGCATGCATGCCCTCGACAACTTGTGGACGCCCTTGCTGACTTTGAAACAGCTGGTCGGATTCTTCTCTCAAAGCTTTCCTCGATCATCACGGTATTCCTGCTCCTCAGCCACGAACTCGAGACAGCCTTCTAGCGACTGCTCGTCACAACTACGAAGCGATTGCGAAGAAAGCCGGCCAATACTATCACTATCCTGGTGACTGGTTGTACGCCTCCTGGTCCGAATCTGATCTGAAGGAATTCCTCGACGAGCGTGGCATTCCGGTTCCTCAGCCCACAACCCGCGACAAGCTCATTGCCCACGTTCGACGTAACGCCCGGTTGGCATCTCTCAAGAGTTCTGCGGCTGCTTCGGCTGCCAGTGCTTCATTCTCGAGCGGTGTTGCAGAAGCCAGCAAGTCTGCTGCAAGTGCTCAGGCCAGCCTTAGTGACGCTCTCTTCGACGCATGGTCGGACAGCAAGTTGAAAGAGTTCTTGGATTCCCATGGCGTTCCCGTTCCACAAGGAAGCAAGAAGAACGAACTTATTGCTTTGGCACGCAAGCACCGTGCCGAGCTCGAGAGCAAGGCTTCTGCAGCTTCTGGATCCGCTGCTTCGGCATTTGGCGCCGCCACTTCATCTGCCGGCAATGAGTTTGCCAAAGCCACCGATGATGCTTCTCTGACGGCCGACGAGGCGTTCGAAAATGCCATCAACACTTGGTCCGAGTCTCGCCTCAAGGCCTACCTGGACTCTCGTGGGGTTCCGGTCCCCCAAGGTAGCAAGCGTGATCAACTCCTGGCCCAGGTCAGATTGAACAAGCACAAGGCTGCCACTGGCTGGTCTGCCTGGACTTTCGATACCTGGACAGTCGGAAACCTCCGCAAATATCTCGAGTCACATGGCAAGAAGGCGAAGAAGTATGCCAACGCCAACCGTGATGAGCTTCTCAAGCAAGTTCAAGATTCCTATGCTTCGGCCTCCAAGTCAGGCGGCAGTGGTTACGCCTCGGTGACTAGCTATCTTGCAAAACAAACTGACTCAGCCAAAGATTCGGCTTTCGACACCTGGTCCGACAGTGAGCTGAAATCATACCTCGACAGCTACGGCATCCCGAATTATCAAGGCTCTACCACAAACGAACTCCGAGCGATGGCCAAGAAGCAGGCCAACTACTTCCGATATGGAACTTCCTCCCCATCAGGAACCATCTTTGAACGACTTAAGAGCAGTTTCCAATGGCTTCTTGGCCAGGCGCAGGGGACTGCTGCATCTGTCTCTGCACAGGCTGCTGCTACTGGTAGTTCCGCCGCCAGCGTTGCTTCCAAGAGTGCCACATCTGGTGCGTCGAGCGCAAGTTCAGCTGCCAGTGCTGCTTCTAAAAGTGCTTCGAAGAGCGCTTCCAGCGCCAAGAGCGAGTTGTAGACAACAAACAAGAACAACAACAGATGGATTCTTGTGAAGTGATGGAAACAACGATGCGTTACTGCGATACCCCTGGAATGAGTTGTGGTGAATGCTGGAATCAACGAAGGGCGAGGGTGCTGACTCCCAAGTCAGTAATGGTCAGGATTAGGTTTTATGGCATCAGGATTTGGTGGACACTCGTCGCAGTCCCATGAGTGCGCTTGTACTTGTATCTCTTAGAGCTTCCATAGCCACGAATAGCAATTACATATGGCCGATCAAAGGAACAGAAGCTAAAAGAGAATGTTCAATTTTGGCCGTATGACTACATGCTGTGTGCACTGAGCGGCCGTACCTTCTGTATAATCTTCAAAAGCACCCATTTACGTCCTCCGTTTCTGAACATTAGCCTTTTTGTGGGAAGTCCAGTTCATAACTGTGTGTTCTTTTTTTTTTAGTGGAACTCCGTCTTTTTAAAGGGCGACAGTTTTCCCACGACAAGGTACTGTCAAATTACATTGAATGTCAGCGTTATTTTTCATACACAAAGGGGACATGCACGTCTCTTCTCTGTCTCTGTGTGTGTAGTGCTTTTTTTTTTTAAGATGTGGTGCATGTGCATGTGCATGTGCTTTGTGGGGTTGGTTGTTGGTTGGTTGTGGTTCTGCTTCCTGCCTTACCTTTTCATCGAACCTCTCAATCCACCCGTTGAGATTCTCGAGTTGGTCGGCGGTCAGGTCGTCGCACGGGTCCAGGGGCCCGTCGAGGTCCTTTGTCAACATCTCCTCGTCGAAGCTCTGGCAGGCCAGGCCGCGGGTGGCGTCGCGGCCGGCGAAGTTCTCGTAGGGTCCGCCGGGCCCGTAGAAGTTGCGGCCCGAGGTGACGTCGTACACCTTGCCGCGCACCGCGAGGTAGACGGGCATGCCGTCGGTGCCGTTGTACTTGAGGAGCGTGCGAGGCGTGAAGGTCTGGAACACGATGGGCGACGGGCCCTTGGGCAGCGTCGGCGGCGCGGACGGTCGGAGACGCCAGTACCCCAGGCTCACGAGGATGAGGAGGAGGGTGAGGTTGAGAGGCGTCGCGAGGGCGGTGCTGTGTGCGTGCGCAGAACGTAGCGTGTCAGCCAGTGGTCGACCGGTCAATCAATCAGTCAATCAGCCAGGAAGCCAGCCAGCCAGCCAGCCAGTCAGGTCAGACAGTGAGGTCCGGACGAGACGACAGAGGTGGTTTGTCGTGGTACGCGGTGGAAAGGCGGGTGGGATTGGCGACGTAGGTTGGAAACTGAGGAACCGAGGCGACGGGGTGGTGATATGAGAAACGGGGAAACGTACAATGACTCTCGCATCAGCCGGTTGTGCTCTTCAATCTCTGTTGAATGTGTATGGTCAGCTTCAGGTGCGGACTTGGAAGACTCGGTCTCAGAACTGGGTTCCTGGCTGGGTGGTGGTGGGTTGTGCAGGCAAAGAAAAGCTGTGGGGGAATGTGATATCACGTACCTGGTGGAATTCCTGACATCGTGGGCGCAGGGTGCTTCGATGACTCGGCGGTGAAGAGGAGAAAAGCAATCTAAGGAGAAACAGTCCCAAGGTGATGTTCGTCGGATGAGCACAAGGAAGCGTACTTGAAGTACACGTAACGAGATGCGCAGTCGGGATGATTCGATGGTGGTGGAGGGACCGAGGAGGAATAATGGAGATGGGAACAAATGTGGGGGATTCTCAGTGCTGTAAGTACCTCGTATTTGGTTGGACGATTCGGACAGGACGGATACAGTTGTGCAAGAGCACAACAGTCGGAATCATCAGCAACAAAACCAGGTGTGTCAATATATTACCATCTGTCTTGTCATCTTTTTCACTACAGACTGCCAAAATTGTACCCAAGTCAGCTGGAATCTACCTGCTTCCATCGCCACGTATAACACGAAAATGCCAAACCAAGGTCCCTAGGTAGCTTCGAGTCCACTGTCTATATCTCATCTTACCCTGGTCAGCAGCCCTCGAACACCTTCCACCCTTCGTTTGAGCACCTGCATCAGCAGATCTTTGCTATTCTTGACTCCATTTCGTGCTGTCAAAACCGCTCCCCAAAGCGCCAGAATGACACCAATCAGTTTCAAGATACGTCCAAGATGAAGCTTAACCAGGCCCTTGCGAGTGTACTTGGCATCCCAGTGCCGCCATTGAGGGAACATGCATCGTATGGTGAAGTCGATCTGGGTACGCGGGTATACTGTCGAGTTCCAGCCATCGTCAGTCACGTACCAGGATCTGCACCCGCCAGACATGAAGACGGAATTCTTGAGCTGGGATTGTAAATCCGACGTCCACTTGCGTTCGGCAGTTTCTTTGACCTCCCAAGTGTCAACCTCGCCACGAAGGATAGGGCCAATGAATTTGAGCGAGTAATTCACCATGTTCTCAGAGGCAAGAATGACGCTGCTGTGGCCAGTGGCCGTGTTAGGACCAAAGATTATGAAGAAATTCGGAAAGCCATCCATCGCCGTGCCCATGTAGGCTTGCGCACCTCCTCGGTCAGCCCACGTCTTGTAAAGCGATCGACCGTTGCGGCCCGTCACATCGAGAGGGTGAAGCCACTGGTTTGTCTCGTAGCCATTAGCCATGATGATCACATCTGCGGGTACAGTTCGAGCTTCGGTGGGCACCTTGGAGTCGGTCTTTGACATTGGCGGGTAGTGTCGCCCAGGACCAAGAGTTACAGAACGAGGTTGAATGGACGTGATGGGCAGGCTTGTGATCTCCACATTGGGTTCCTGTAAGCACTTGAACCATCCTTCGTCCACCACGCGTCGTTTGCAAAATACTTCGTAGTCGGGCGTCAAGATCTCGTGGTATTCCTCGGGGACTACTGAACGAAGGTACGCAAGGAGTTCTTCACCCTTCTTGCTTCGTCGACTCCGCGCTTCTTCAGTCGGAGAGAACAGGCTGATAAACTCGGCTTCAATCGCTGTAAAGAACAACTTGCGAAAGCTGTTCTGGAAGCCTGGAACGTGCTGGCACAACCACGGAATCCATTTAAGGTAAAATTCTTTGGCTCCTGGTTGCAGGAACGGGACTGCCCAAGGTGGAGAACGCAGGAGCTGGGTAACAGTCCTCGCTCCATATTCAGGCTTGATGAGTTGAGGCATCACTTGTCCAGCGCTACAACCTGTGCCGACGACAATGACATCCTTTCCTTGGAGATTCAAGTCGGGTTTCCACCTGGCGGTGTGCACTATCTCGCCCTCGAATGTCTCCTTACCCGGAACATCCAGAGGTGGTTTTGGCTCCACCAGACCTCCCACGGCACTGACGACGACTTTTGCGCGGACAGTCTCCGTGTAGAGCACTGACGAGCCTACTCCTTTTTCTGCTTCGAAAGCCTTTCTTTCGTACGTGGCCATGTCCCCGACACCGGGCGCAAGATGTTCAAGAATGACTTCCCACTCTTCTTCATCGTCGATCCAGCGCACGCTTTTCACCGATGTATTGAATTGTATCTTGTCAAGGATCTGGTACTTCTCGCATGTGTCGTACAGATAACGGACGATCTCTTTGCCCGAGGGGAAAAGAGTAGTCCAATATGGATTCTGGTTAAAGGAGAACGAGTATAGGATCGCTGGTCTGGCGCACGCGGTTTAGTCTCAGTAACAGTCATGTGGGACGGACAGGGCCAATGGAGACATACATATCACAAGCTATTCCAGGGTATCTGTTGGAATACCACGTCCCACCGAGGTCGGACTGTCGTTCGAAGATGCGGAATTGGTCGAACCCTAGAACGGAGCGTAGTCTGCAGCCCATGGCAATGCCGGACTCGCCCGCACCGATGATCAGGACAGGATAGTAAGTATATCCGGCTTTGCTGGCCGCACCCACATGGCGGATGTGGTTGATTCTCTCCGCCATTGTATGGATGGCGAGAGGATACACCGCTCCTGCGAGGTAGCGAGATTAATAGTTAGACGATAGGTGAGGAACAGTCAGGTATAGGGAAGAATTCAAGATGCTTTGAGCACAGGGAGCAGAGTGAAGGTAGGACGGAAGAGAAACGGACGTGCTCTAGGTGTGAGATGGTGGGATGAAAAGGATTGATCGAGGTAGAACAAATCATCGTAGTTTCAGACACTGCATTTTACGCCGGGTGTCCTGCCGAGTCAGGGCGTTCTGCCGAGTCAGCATGCTGCGTATACAAACGACGTGGAGGTGGAGGTTTGTGGGTTAGCGCTGGCCCTGGCTACATTAAGGTATATTATGTATACCGAGGCTAATCAGGTGTCGGGCGACGGCGATCACATGATCTCCAAAGGCAGGTGCTCAAACAGGTTAGACCGGTGCGGCCGCTTTAGTGGGTGGGATTCGACAGAACCCAATCCCATACCATCATCCTCCAGGTGGGCATACCTCCCGCCGTCGTAGCCTCATGCCTGTACATCCTCTTTTCATGCTGCTTCACCTCCTGTTAGTTTACTCAACCACATTACCGTGTAGGTGACGGTAATGCAAGCACCCCCTGAGTCGTTCCGTGTTCGATTTCTGCCTGGCTTCCATCTAGCACAGCCGGCATGAGTACTTCCAGGCTATCTCCTTCAAATGTCACCTTCAAGACCCGAGAGGCAACGCACCAGGACTTTGACAGGTTGCTATACCTGTCGCGAACGCAAGCTGAAATGCGACGATACACGTCCAGCCTGTAAAAGATGCCTAGCACTGGGAGTTCAATGTCAGGGCTACGGAGTCAAGCTATCCTGGCTCGCCTACGAGCCTGGCTGCCCAAGAAGAAAGGAAGCAAATTCTGAGTCCGGGCGAGGCCAACGCTCATCCAAAGGCAGCAAAAATGGTGGATCAGAGCCTTCTATCCGTCGCCGACCTTTATTCACAGGTATGTTCACAATCGAGCGGCAATTATCCTTCTCCTACTGAGAGCAACCGTCCTAGATCGCGAAAGAGCAAGCATGATTTGCGAGATTCAGCGAGACTTCTTACAAGGGGATCAAGACAGCAACATCGATCGTGCAATCGACATGATCGATGCCCTAGCTGAAACCCTCGACGCTGGTGCCGAATCTGATCAGGATATTGGTCCTTTTAGGGTCTTTGGTCTCGATACCTCCACTCGGAAAGGCCTGATCGATGACAATGTCTTCCGTGCTGTAGCTACGGAAACAACATCCTCGGCCGGCGGAGAAGGTCAATGCTCACCCAAACCCATGCAGGGCCAGTTGTTCTCCCTTGACAGCGGTCCTGATGTTGATCTTGAAGAGATCACACTGCCCTGGCTAGCGGGTCTCGACGATATCACACTGACATGGCTTGATGGACCAAACGACAATGCTGGTCCGATATCGACAGATCAGTTCCTTAACCTAGGCTCAGAGATCTCAACCCACCCCATTCCAAGCTTCCCCGACCACCGGCAGTATGCCCTAGCCGAAATGACCCATGCATCTGCAGCCATGAATGTCACGTCACCGTTCTACGGTAGACAGACATCGCCTGCAGTTCGTACGTTAGCTGAAGGCATGTTGGTATCCGGCACCCCGGGTCAGCCGCCTTGGGGCGGACATTCGGGCTTGAACCGGATCCCCAGGTCATTATCAAACTTGGAGAACATCTCACGGATACCATCTGAGGCCCGGTTCCTGCTGGAATACTACTCCACTGAGGTAGTGAACTTTATGTGTCACTTGCCCAATCCTCAATCGCCATGGAGGACTATCCATTTTCCATGTGCGATGAGCACCATGGCGGACTTATTGGTGTTCGGAAGCACCAACAATGCTCGGATGGCGCTTTTCTATGCGCTACTCTCTATCTCAGCAAACCATCTTGGTTCAAAGATCCCTTGGTCAGCGCAACTGGAGAGGCGCTCTCAGGACGCCGCAAGGGAATCTGGATCCAACGCCCCTCTGAACTCTAGTGACTCACGAGAAATGACTAACTATTGGCTGACCAAGGGAGCCACTTTTCAAAACATGGCTACGGCGCAGATACAGGCTTGTTTAGAGATCCAACAGAACAGTTGCGATGACCAAGAAGACTATCGAGAGCTGCTGATGAGTTTGTTGAGTATGGTAACCATCAGTGTGACCAGCGGAAAGCTTAACAACGCTCACATCTACCTTCAACGAGCGAACAAACTGATCGAGATGTTCATTTCCTGCTCGCGCGGCTCATCCTTCAAGTCCAGCAAGATTGCTGCACTCCATCAAATTTACTCGTATCTGCAGATCATTTACACCAGTACGCATGTGTCTAAACCGTTGGACACTCTAGAGCTGGAACGGTACGACCTTGGACGGGACAACCATGAAGGGGGAGCACGGTTGTTTCCTGCACCCGTTATCGGTCCGCTGGCCCTACCGATTCTTCAGAATGATCTCGATACACTTGCGCAGCATAGGGACGATTACCAACTTTTCGCCAAAATATACGGTGTACCCCGGTCTCTTCTGACACTCATATCTCGTGCTTCAGCACTTGCCAAGGAGCTGGAAGACGAGGAAGGTACAACAAGTATCGGTTCTCCAAGCCATTACAATTTTGGAACACGATGCCAACTCTTAGAAGACCAGATCTGTAATTGGCTGCCTGCGGACGACGAGATGTCCCCAGCCCCATCCTTGACCACCTACGATCCGGAGGTTGGATCGCACCTGGTTCAAGCAATGCACGACGCTCTCATTGTCATGTTTTTCCGCAGAGTCAGACCGATCAACCGGATGGTTTTGCAACACTACGTAGAGAGTGCGGCCGATCACCTCAACGAACAGGAAGAGGTCAAGGGTCGAACGGGGGTCAATGCACCCGCTCTTCTTTGGCCATGGTTCATGGTCGCCTCGGAGGCAATCCGGGACTCCGTCCGAGACAAGTTACGCTTGTGGTCGAGCCTTGCAAGACAATATGGCGGCCGACACCTGGAAATAGCCGAGCAAGTAGTGACTGAGGTCTGGCGAAGGCAAGACCAGAAATTACGGAACTCAACTTGGTGGGACGTGGTTCGCGAGTGGGATGTCACTCTTGTTCTAACCTGAATGTCTTGACTGCTATATGTACCATATAATCAGAGATTGTTATCTATTAGAGTTCGAAGACTTGAAAAATAGCCTGAGAATCGACAAGCACAGTCGCGACATCCACGGATGAGTGGCCACTTTGGTCTTATCGTGTCAGACCGATTTCACCACCGTCGCTAGCAGTCACGGAAGCGCGTTTCTATTTCAATTCAGGCATGTGATGTCTGGTAAGTCCGGTTCGATGCTCGTATCATGGTATCTTGTGCGCAACGCAGCGGAATTCGACAAATGTTCAAAGTTCTGTAGGGGTTATCGAAGCCTTGCCGAGAGAAAAGTGGCAAATCTTATCAAGTCGTCCCACAGAAGAACAGACCACGAAATCCACAGCTAGGATTATGGAACCACCTGAACACAGGGTCAGACAAGCGTCCACAACCAAAATGGAGACTGTCGGATATGTACGTCGGAAAGAGGGCAGAGGTTGGGATATTTTGCATCCACTCGCCAGCCTGGACTCGGGATGACTTGCCAGCCCATTCCCCGGAATCTTTCTACACTTTGCTTCATGTCAGGACGCTTGCTACACGCTGTCAGGACTGAGCCTAGTAGGAGAGGGGTCGTCGAACTAGATAAGCTCGGGATAGCCTACCTTCGACTCTTGTGACAACTCTCGGTAGGTGGCAAATCCTGATTAAGAGCAACAAGGCCTTTGGCAGCTGAAGTATGTACAGCATGGGCAACGGAATGGGATGGCCTCGACTTTAACCGTCCCGGGGGAGGGTTCAGTTATAAAGTCACAGATAGACTCCCCACGGGCAGGTATTGATCGAAAGAACCAGAACGCCTCTCATCCTCATTATAATTGACCAGCGCAATTGTCGTATCACATCCCTGAGACTTGCTGAAGGACACCGACCCTTCCCAGCACCTTTTGTTTGGACCAACACGGCCATTCGGCAAAATGATGGAATCCAAGGAGATTTTCCCTGAGCCCATTACCGAAATACCCTCGCAGGATGATGACAAAGTCGGAACAGTCAACCCTGTTGGCGAGACACTCAATCGCCACGGAGAGGAATATGTGGGAAAATACCGGCGGTCATTTCGCTCTCGTCACATCCAGATTGTGACATTGGGCAGCAACATCGGTTCAGGGCTATTCATTTCGACTGGTAAAGCGCTTCGAAATGCTGGCCCTGGAAACATGATCATCGGGTACACGACTGTTATGACCATGGTGCGACGACCAACCCGGATGTTTGAAATGAATGTGTGCTAACACCGACTTCCAGGTCGTGGCTACACTTCAAGTTCTGACAGAACTGACGGTCGCTTTCCCGGTCTCTGGAAGCTTAATCGACTATGCCGACAGATTCATCGATCCTGCCCTGGCTTTTGGAATTGGTTTTGGAGAGTGGCTGGCATGGACAACTGTCCTCGCGGCCGAAGGAGCGGCATTCAATGTCATCATACAGTACTGGACTGATGCAGTACCTGTGGCAGCGTGGAGTCAGTAGACCCTCCCCGACATATCCTGCACGCTCCCGTTTGACCACGCCGGAATTGATTATGTGCCCATCATGTGTTCAATGCTGACGAAACAATCACAGTGACCATCATTCTGATCATTACATTTGGCATCCACGCATGCCCCAACCGCGTCTTTGCAGAGGTTCAGTATGCTACCTCTGTCCTCAAGGTCGTCGTCCTTTTGATCTTTATCTTCACGTCCGCTGCGATGGTTGGAGGTGCTGGTCCAACGGGAAAGGTGCATGACGGCGAATACTGGCGGGACCTTCCAGCCTTCCTCCACAACGTCAAGGTATGTTACCATCCAACCTTCAAAAGTTATAGGTGTCTGAGAAATTCTGGCAGGGAACGTGTCTCTGCGCCATCTACGCAATCTGGGGAGTCGGCGACCAAGTGTACGTAGGGATCATGGGCGGCGAGACCAAGAATGTCCGACACAGTATGCCTCGCGCAGTGAAGAGCGTCGGTGTCCGGGTCTTCTTCTTTTTCATGCTTATCGTCGTCTTCATTACGCTTCTCGTGCCTCTGAACGACCCCCGTCTTCTTGGTGGCTCGGGCATCAATGCCTCTCCGCTGGTCATTGCGCTGAACGACGCCGGCATTAGAGGGATTCCCGAGCTCCTCAACGCCTCGTTCCTCGTCATCTCCGCAACAGGTGGCCTGGAACCTCTTTACATCGCATCACGCGTCATGCGACACATGGCACTCTCAGGCATGCTCCCCAAGAAGCTGGCCCAAGTCGACAACAAGGGCCGTCCTACGTGGTCTCTGTTCGTCACGGCGCTTTTTACAATCACATTTACCTACATCAACTGCTCCAACACGGGCAGTACAATTTTCGCTTGGTAATTCTCTCTCTTTGCCCCTTTCCGGCACTTTTGGGGGACAAAATGGCTTACCAACCCCTCAATAGGTTTTCGAGCGTCGCTTCCACCATCTTTATGACCGCATGGGTCGTTCTCGCGATCTGCAGTATCCGCTTCCACGCGGCCATCCGCGCGCAGAAGAGCACCATCCTCGAGGGCAAATACATGTACAAGGCGCGCTTCTGGCCTGTCGGGCCTATTTTTCTGGGCGTTGGTGCCTTCTTGGTCCTGGTCGGTCTCTTCGCCGACGCTCTGTATCCCGTCGGCGGCACGAATCTGAGCGCATACGACTTCTTCATGACCTACCTCGGCGTACCGCTTGTCGTGGTCGCCACGATCGGGTACAAGGTCATTCGCCGAACCAAGATCAGGCGTGCAAGCGAGATCGACCTGGTAACGGGACACCAGCCCTTGACAGAGGAGCAGGAGAAGTTCCTGGACCATTACTACAGCCAGCCCTTGTGGAGGAGAATCTGGAGTTATATCTCGACCAGTGATTGATTTAGTTGATTGATCGGTCAGGCTCTCTGATGCCTGTGGCGTTGCGCAGTGAGAGCATGGTGGTGTGGTGTGGTGTGGTGTGGTGTGGTGTGGTGGCTGGGATCCATGCCATTGGCAAAGGACTCGTAGATTCATAATGGCGACATACCATGTATATTGCGGAGTATGTTTGTCAAGCGGACCTATGTAGCTGTAGCAGTGGGTAGTGAGTGGTCTCTGGGTGGGTGGTCTGAATCAAGATATGCGAAACCAGAATTTCATACGATTGCCTGGGTCCAACATGCTCGACGTGTACTCTATAAAAACGTGCTCTATGAGCTAATGTAGCCGAATGGAAAAAGGATGGGCGAAAAAGCACAGGCACTTGAAGTAGACATAGCTTTCGAGACATTATGTTGTTGACACACGCACACACACGCGCACACACACACCAGATGTGCATGAAAATGTTCCCCTACTCCTTTTTTTGAGAGCTGCTGTTATTTTCCAGCACATATATAACAAGCGGCTAGGTGGGATACGAGCGGGCAGCGGGTGACAACAGAGTACCAAGCCGAGTTCTTAGCCGAGAAGATTACATGATTGCTTTCTCATGAGCCCTGTCCGGCCCTGCCCTTCTCCTTAGATTGCTGCCTCAGCAGCTGCCACTGAACCACTTTCAGCAACTCATAAATCTGGCTGAGCACCGGCGTGTTGACGCCCTTCTCCCTCGCCACCCGCAGCGGGGCTCCCAGAATCACGTCCAGTTCCAGTGGCTGGCCCTTCTCCAGGTGCACCAACATGCTCGGTCTAAAGGGGCTGGATTCCGGGGTGTCATGCAACAAGAGCCGCACGACGTCTTCTGTCAGGGCCTCTCCGTAGCCGGCAGCAGTGCCGATGGCCGCGATCTCACGCATGGCGGGCTCGAGAAGCGTCGATCGACCTGGACTCGACAGAAGTTCGCCGACCGGCATTCTGAGCACGGCACAGATTGTGTTGAACGAGCCGTTCCAGAGCAACTTGCGCCAGCGGGCTGCGACGATGTCCTCGGCTAGGACGCACTCGGCGCCGGATTTCCGCGCCGTCTGCGCTTCAGAGAGACCGGCGTTGTATACCTCGACGAACAGGCGTGCAGCTTCGAGTTGGGTCGAGCGCGACAGCGGGCTGTCGACGTGGTGGTAGTACGGTCCAATTCTAAGCTGGTCTGGATCTTCATGGAACACTGTACGAGGAGATGTCGTCCTGGACCCGATCATGCTTAGGCCCGACAGGATAGGCGTCTCGGGGAACGCGGCCGCGAGTGGCCTCTCAATGTCCAGCCCATTCTGGATCAGGACGAGACTGGTTTTGCGTGGAGTGACGAGCAGCTTGAGGTCCGGGACGAGCGAGGCCACTAGCTCAGGGATACACTTCGTGGTAATGACGACGAAGTCGTATAGAACGTCGGTCGGCGCTGACGAAAGAGACGGTATCACTGTAATCCACAAGATAGCTCAGCATAAGTGAGTGCGAAAAATTGCCGGCATCGAAGAACTGCCACGAAGAAAAAAGGGGCAAGGGGGGTGGCACGTTTCCAATCAGTGTATACTGATAATGTAGCTTTGCTTACCCTTGTGTGGTTTCCAGTCCCGGACTTGGCCATGGTCAACTGAATCGATGTCGAAGCCCTGCTCTTGAACGACAGCGTAGTTGGATCGTAGCACTGCGGTGACATTGCACCTCTGAGACTTTTCCAGGACATATGCTGCAATCGTTCCCACGCCTCCAGCGCCGATCAGGCACACGTTGAGCATGTTGATTCCGATAAGGACATATAAATCGGGAGGACAGAATCAACGATTTCGTAGACTTCCAGGTAGATCTGAGGCAAATTCCAGGTATACCGTTTCTCACCTCTCCCACCCTCAGACCTCGAGCGCCAGGGCCGGTGGAGGGAGTTACCTCCTGACAGTTTTCAACAGTCGTCAGACCAGTCGTCGCTCGTTCGTAACCTATTCCCTCCGAATGTCCAGATTCTCTCATGCAAGCATCATAGTCTAGTCTTCCCGAGGCGACAAACTTGCCGGTCTTTCAGTGCAGCCCCTGCCCAGCTGGACACTGCACTCGCCAGGGTTGCCATCTTCGCGCATGGACCTTCCCACTCATTTCCGACAGATAAGGAGCGAACCGAGGTTGTGACTAATTCAAACGATTAGCACCCCTGTGAATAATGCGAACCACAATGGTGAGCCGTGGCAGAGGGGCGAGAACAGGACGGTCCAAGCGAAAGGTGGACAGGCAAGTTATCCCGAGAAGCGAAAGGCCGTGATAAGCATAGTGGAGGTCCAGGACTTCCCGTGCTCCACATCATTGTGTTCAGCAAGCTCATCACCATTACACATTGAGAGAGTCGCACAAGCGAGGTCAATAACGTGACGCTGGTGGGCAGTGATACGGCCTGAGAGGAGCGGATGCGAATGACTGCGTGCTCATAACCTTGCAGCCAGCGGTAGGTAGACCTAATCTGCCGAGTCGCTTCTTCGCTCCGGGCTGATCCACTCTTCCTGTCGCAGTCGGCATCAGTTTCGCATGGCCTGCGCTGTGTTGTGATTTCGAGCCTCACGTGTGTTGTGCCACCCAGAAGGTGAGGAGATCAATATCCAATATTGACCAGAGTAAAAATTGAAACCTCGCCAATGGATCTCATGTAACATTGATATATATTTACGGCAGCATTGATCAACCCGTAGCGAAGTTCAAAGAAACGGATCTAAGGAACCATGGCATACCTGCCCAAGTCATCATCCATCTTGATTGTAGGGTCAGGGACCTTTGGGCTCAGCACAGCAGTCCACTTGGCTAGACGTGGTTTCACCAACATTCAATGTCTGGACCGGTTTCCTTATCCATCACCCGACTCAGCCGGGTACGACGTCAACAAAATTATCGGAATGCGAAATGACACAGCTCTGACAGCACGAGTAAGTCGAGAGGCGCTGGCTGGCTGGCAGGAGCCATTGTTTGAATCAGTATGGCATGAAGTCGGCCTGATCACCGCTGCCACAAACGAGGAGGCAACGGAGTACTGCAGAAGTGCTTATCAGAGCTGGATCGACTGTGGCGAAGGTGACAATGTGCAATGGCTGGAGTCTGCGAAAGACTTTCAGGAACTTGTGCCGCAGCTTCGGAACGGCTCACTATCGAACTGGCGCGGTTTCTACCACAGGCGAGCAGGTTGGGCATATGCAGCGGAGGCATTGCGGTTAATGGGTGACGAGGCTGCGAGGCTGGGAGTCAGATTCGCAACCGGAGCGTCGGCGACAATGAAGTCTTTATTGCTGGACAATCAAGGTAGGGCCACAGGAATCGTCGCAGAAGACGGCACACGCTGGATTGCCGACCGGATTGTTCTTTGCACTGGTGCATGGAGCGACGCTCTGCTCGATACAGAAGGCCAGCTAGAGGCAAAGTGTTGGACGGTGGCGCATATTCAACTCTCTCCGGAAGAGTGTGCAGCGTTCAAGGACATTCCCGTCGTGATGAACCTAGAAGAAGGTAAGTCAATACATCAGGTCAAACAGGGTCAGAGCTGACACTGGTCTCCTAGGCTTCTTCTTCGAGCCCAGTGAGGACGGTCAGATCAAAATCTGTAATGAATTTCCTGGCTTCACTCACAAGGTGACCTTGGATGACGGGCGGGAAACGAGCGAGCCTCGGTCGAATGCTCAAAACCCCGGGGACACAATCCCACACCAGTCACGAAAGGAGGTCAGAGAGCTTCTAGCCAAGACTATTCCACAATTCAAGGATAGACAATTCGTGGTAGAGAAAGTGTGCTGGTGTACTGACACCCGTGACCGAAACTGGCTGCTCGACGTACATCCAAAGCATCCACGCCTGATTGTTGCAACGGGAGATTCAGGCAATGCATTCAAGATGCTTCCAGTTATTGGTAAATACATCTCGGATCTGGTGGAAGGAAAATCTCTGGATCCAATGCTGAAGGAGGCATGGAGATGGCGACCAGACAAGACGAGTCGTGACCAAAGATGGGGTGGTGATGGCAAGACGCGTGATCTGAAGGATATGGATGGCTGGAAGAATGACGAATCCAGATCTGCAAGGGAGTCGAAATTATGAGGATGCGCATAGGAGATCACCATGATCTTTGCTAGAAGGGTTGTCTGAATCGTCCTTACCTAACAGAAAATGAGTTGAAGCCGATACTCGTTCTCCATAGCACAGATACATATCAGGGGATCGATCAAGCGCTCGAGCGAAAGGCTGGGGGAGATCCATCATTACCACATAAAAGGGCAAAGGAGGTGCCCGTCTAAGCAGGTTGAGCACATTAGAGCGGGCGAAGCCTCACGATCCCCTAATATCTGGGTCCAGAACGGACACTTCTCTCCGAGGTTGATGGAAGTAAGTGTTGTGGAAGAGGAAGAACTGCTGGGCTGGTGAGCTCAGGCAGAGGAAGGTGAGCCGATGGTGCATAAAGCGGCGAGCAGCTGGTCGAAAAGGGTGGACCGACGATGCGACAGAATAGAATAAATACAGGTACCGTCAAGCTGAAGAGTACTCGTGAATCGAGTCACAAGGATGGTCGACCGACGTTGAATTTTGTATCTGGAATACCTGTTCTTGGTGCGAATACTGCTTAGAGACCGATTGACGCCACGGAGAGGGCCATCAGCACCTTAGAACAAGAGCGCCGACGAAGATCCCACGGAACCTGACAAGCCGAACTTTCTGATACCCAAAGAGCTTCTGTGAGCAGAGCATGGTAGCAGTTACTAGTGATTGTTGATTCAATCCCCCAGCTGGAAGGAAAAATCACCAACCAATGCAATGTCTCGCACCACAGCGACCGAGCTTCAAGGCTCTCGCCGACATCCTTTATCGACATCGGCGTCACCAATTCAGCACCTCCCAACCGCGACTCCAGCTGAAACAAGTCCCGTTTCTATCATCGTGGAACCAAGACGTGTTTGAAAGAGAAGCCTATCTCCCAGCGACGCCAGCTCGACTACCTCGCTCTGCAGAACACATTCCTCCCGCATGTTCCAAATGGTTCATCCACGACAATGATGTCGACTTTGTCTTGACGTCGAGTACGACCTCGCCGTCGACAAACAATAGTACAGATGTCAAAACGATCCACTTTCCAACTTCGTCCGAGCTACGGACGTCGTTTTGGTCCGACTACGAATCCGCCATTGTCCCGCTAGAAATCACGTCCAAGGGCAATCGTCACGAGGGCGAAGAAGAGACCTTTGAGCGAATCGAGGCGCCATTGAAGGTGCTGTTGACATACCTCTCGAACCCTGACAGTTCGATTTCAGGTTCGAGCACTCAATTGCCACCGCCGTCACAAGAGAACAAACACTCTATCTACCTGGCCCAATGCGACTTGACGTCCCTACCTTCCTCTGTGGTCGATGACATTCCGACACCGACACCACTGAGGATCGTCAGCAGCAGCAGCAGCAGCAGCAGCAGCAGCAAGAGCAGATGCAACCCGGACTCCATATCCTCTGGTTCCTCCTCCACTTCCTCTGCTTTCTATTCCGGAGAAGCTGGAGGCAACCGACCCAAGAAACGGAGAGGCATGATTAAAGGCGACATTTACGCCTCGTCACTCTGGCTAGGTCGCCCACCCACCTACACGCCACTCCACCGCGACCCGAACCCGAACCTGTTCATCCAGCTCGCGGGCCGCAAGGCTGTGCGCCTCCTGCCGCCCGAAGTCGGCGGTGCGATTTTCGACGACGTCCAGGACAGAATCAGAATCGCTTCACGGACAGCACGGCACACGCCAAGCTCGGCGACAATAAGGGGGGATGAAATGATGGTCGGACCCGAGAAAGTAGCCTTGCACGACGCGATATGGCTGGACGACGACGACGACGACTACGACAACCACGTCGATAGCGACACTGACGACGACAAGCCGAAAACGAAAAATCGATACAGCGACGTCCTGCGGACGTACGGGCTGGAGACGCACCTCCAGTTGGGCGATGCTCTTTTCATCCCGAAGGGGTGGTGGCATAGCGTCAAGGGTGTCGGTCATGGCGTCACTGCAAGTGTGAATTGGTGGTTTCGATAATCCCATCACCACGCACACCATCTTGGTCTTGGAATCAATATCGACATGTATATACACTGCTAGCCTGTCAGCACGATTAGACCCATGCACACCACCCACTATAGACACATAAGCAATGTTTGTAGCATGAATATTCATTACATATTCAGCAGAAGAACTCATTACGTCTTCAGCATGATTCATTCTTACATCTTCTATTCGACATCCTGTGGGTATATTGCTACTACCACTTTGTAGCCTCTAGCCAGCCGAACAATTTTCCCACCGCAAGTGCCTCGTCAACCATTCATACCGCCATTGCCATTCCCATTACCGCTGCCGCTACCTCCACCACCATAACCTAGGCCGTTGCCAAAGAAGAAACCGTCAAACAAGTCATATTGCTGCCCGTCACTCCAATCATGCTGAAAATCGAGGCCCATGCCAAACCCGAGATCCAACCCGTTGGCGTCAAAGTCAAAGTCGTCGGCGCCCGGCCCCGTGGCATTGTTTAAAAAGTCCATCCCAGGTAAGGACGACATAAAGTCCGGATTATATGTGTTCTGCATATAGTATGGCTGTTGAGGATTCGGAGGTCGATTCTGGTTGAAATAGTTGCTATTGGGAGCGTTGCTCTGGGCACTCGCGGTGCTGTTGACATGGGAGCTGACACTCGACGCAGGGGACATTTGTGGTTGACGAGGAGATAGTTGCTGTTGCTGTTGCTGTTGTTGTAGTTTCCCTGGCGGTTGCATTTGCTGCTGGAATGTCGGTGGTCTCTGGAGACCCCGTAATGGTTGAGGGAAGGAGTAGGATGGGCGGGTGCTGGGTTCGGGATCTTCCGGGAAGAGTTCTCGGAGATCCATGTCGAACTTTGGAGGTGGCCGCTTCGCAGAGGGCTTTGGTGCAATAGGTGGAAGGGGGTACGAATCAACCTGCATGGGGACCGTAGTAGTGGTGGTTTGCGTGCTCGATTGTCGCGAGAGCGAGGGTTGAGATTCTTCACGATCGGTCGAGAATCCGAATCCCGGCGTCGACATGCACATCTGCACAGTGGCTTTGCTCATTCGCTCGAATGCATCGCGGCATGCTTCTGCTGGTGGACATTTTTCCATAAGGTCGCCAAGAACCGAAGTAGCTGCGAGGACTGTAAAGTCGAAATCATCAAGAGTCTATTGAAGAATCAGTCAGGCATAATCACTAACGCACATCATCTTATGGTCTTACCAATCGGGCTCTCACGGCCGGTGAATGCCAAACGGCGTATAAGAATGAAATACCAGCCATGAAGAGGTGGTGAGTTGCGAGATAGGTGTAGTTGACGAGGCGCAGGCGGTGGAGCTGCCGATAGAGCTTCAAGGTCTTCTGGCCCGCCTCGGCACATTTGAGAAACACGAGGTCCTCGTCTTCCTTCTCCTCGATCCTGAGACTCGAAGGGCTAGAAACATCCTCCGTTGGACTCAGCTCGTTCGCCAGGGGTGCTGGGACACTCAGGCTCTGCCGATACAACATGATCACAGCTTGCCAGTAGTTCAGTTCTAGAAACTGTATTGAGAAGCCGACACCAGTCTCAGCGGCTTCGGGTGCAGACTCCTTCCAGTCGTATAGGCGCTGATCGATGTCTCGTCTCCACGAGCGGAACGAGTCGAATCTGCTCATAAAGGGCGAAGGAAGTTTGGTGTGCATGAACTGGTTTCGTCGGTTGCTGCCATTGCGGCGCGCTTGTTGCGCCTGCTGATATTGTAGCACCTGAAGGATCTCCGATTGTAATAGCCGGAGTCGTAGATAATGATGAGCCACGCGCTTATAAGTGGGCTCGTTTGGTGTTCTTGGGTATGAAAAGCCATTTGGCGTTATGTATTTGTCGTCCAGCAACGAGGGAAACTCGGTGGTCACGACTTGATCGGTGATACCGACGGGTCGACCCACGCATACACTGACGAGACGGTCGAACGTGTACGTGCACCACCACAGCCGTCGGCGTAAATCACGAATCCACTCCCGTCGTCCTTTTTGTTTAGCATCTACATGTCTGCTGGTTGCGGAGTCCATGTTATTGAACCCGTTGCCCGTGGTACTTTGCCCTTCAGTGTCATCGTCGAGAGCAGACCCGTCCTCATAGTGTAGGCCAAGGTCGACAGCCAACCTCATCGCTACGCCGACGATATACCATAGACCAGGAGCCACTGGTCTCAGGAGGGCAAAGCCACAAAGCAGTAAGACAGCCTGAAGTTCCTCCAAGTCGCCATTCGAGCGTTCGGCTGATTCCAAAGATGAGCTGCCACTCAAAAACGAACCAAGGTTGACTATTGCCGAGGCATGGTACTCCTCTGGCTGAGCCTGTTGGCTGCTTAACCTTGGCCTTTTCGACATGTAATCCCCTTGGTGTGAATTCGGCTGCGGATCAGACGAACCCCAGATGATGCCGGCCCCAATGGCGAAGACAATGTTGAGAAGATATAATTCGCGACTGGTTCGTCTTGACGGCTCGGTGGAATAAGTACGCTCAAACAAATCCATGAACTCGCCGCGGTGAAGTATGGGGATTTGGGGATTTGCATGCTCGAAGTAAAGGTTGACAAGCTTGGCTCCGAGTTCTCTATCCGGGAAAGGAGCCTCTCTCATGGTTGGATTCGTCTGAAGACCAAAGTAAGAGTCCCTCATCGAGCTACCTCCGGACGTCGCGACATTGTTCGACACCGGACGACTAGGTCGCATCCCGGTTCTTTCTGAATTGTTGCTGGACACTGAGCTCTTGACGGCGGCCAGGACGACCCTCGCAAACGATATACCGGACGTCGAACCCAAGTAGCGGGCATCGGATGCGCCTTGAACCGAGACCATTCCAATGTTCGACACCAACTTGTTGAGACTTTCAGCGTCATCTTGCTTCTTGTCCCATTCTTCTTGTTTGATGGCCTGCGGCGAGTCTTTGGCAGGAGACTGTGACCCTAGCCACGCTGTCTTTATGCTGGCAGGCGATTGACTGGCATCTCCTAGCTCCTTGGACTCTGCCCCATAGACGTCTGCAGCGTTAAAGGATACGCCGTTGGCCTTGAGCAGCTGCTCGAAGTACGCCAGGCGCGTCTCGAGGTAGTAGACATAGCTTCGAGGAATCTCCCGCTTTGTGATGGGGTCGAAGCCCACACAGCTAACATTGGCTTTCTCGCAGGTGCTGCAGGCAGGTAGTCGCTGGTCGCAGCGATTCTTGCGGACGCGACAACGATTGCATGCAGAAACGTTTCTGAAGGCCGAAGTGGCCGACAACGAACTATGTGGAGGTGACTTGGTAGGGGCCACAGAGGGCTCGTCGGCCTGATACGCTCGCTTGAGGCTTGCGCTCGTGGGAGAAGAGGCGGTCGAGGTCATGGATTAGACGATAGTGACACTGACATCTTCTGCCAGTGTGTTGCAAGGAAGCGAGAAGCCGGGAGCGGGGCTTATTGCATTTTGAAGCTGCGGTCAACAGACGAGTAATGTGGAACAAGGCTCATTTTCGCACCGTCGGTTGATCTCACGGCAGCGTTGATACGGGCCCCGTGGTTTGTATGGAGTTGGACGTGGTGGTAGTGACTTCGTGAGGCCCAATACCACGCAGCCTTCTGCGTCCGTATCGCAGCACGAAGGACGCGGGCGCAGGCTGTGACTGGTCGCAGGAGAAACGATGAGTGGCGCAAATTAGTGGCAGCGCAGTCCTCGCGATAAGAGACGCTGAAGCGGCGAATCACAGCACAAGGCTGATCTTTGCTGCGCTGTGGTCGCCGAGGCTGCTGCTTTAACAGTTCTTCTTCTGAGAGAGCAGAGGACGAGACACAGAGATGGTGATGGCGAGATGCATGCTAAGGAACGCACTCTGCGTTTCGAGGGATGCGAGTGCACTGCACCGACACAGAAACCTGCGCCTGCGCGTCGGTAGCCTGTAGGTACCCAATGTCCAGTACCTCCCCGAGTCCCAGGCAGGACGAGGGGCGCGGGATACTTGAGGCGCAGGCAGGGTGCCTCCAAGCTCAGGCTAGTGAGGCTTACTTTAGGTACAAGTAGGTACTGAACCAGGTATCTACCCAGGCAGGCCACAAGGCTCTCAATGAAGTACCTATTGTGCCTAAGGAAGGTACATGTAGGTAGTAGGGACGTAAGCCACCTAAGCCACCTAGGGATTTTCCTGCACCGAAATCCTCCCGGATAGACGACCCATTTCTACCATCCGCCACCATCACACCCCAGACTACAACAATGTCTCCAAACAAGCCATGGAGGGGAATTCTACCCCGGTGCCCGAGCGAGGCTGACGATGCGCTTCTCTCGCTACTTCAACGAGCAGTGTATGCTGCCTCTCGACCGAATCAATCCTTCCCTCAACCCCCCCGATCAGTAGGTGGCCTCACCCAGAAGGCCATCATCAAGTTCATTCTTGTCCTCTTCCCGCAGCAACGGTGGGTGCAAGATCGTGCCATTGTTAACTAGATGTATGTCTATGCTTACACTGCTAACCATGCTCTTGCACGGTGACTCTCTCCTCGAGTCCTTATCTTCCCGAATGGCTACAACCTCACCCCGGCGTGGGATGAAAGGGACCGTCAAAAGTCTTTGACAATGAACTTGAAAGGCTGGAAGCCTAAGATGTTACCCTCATCACCTTCGCATGCTGTCCCTGCAGACAAGTCAAGTGGGCAGCACCAGGGGTGGCAGCCTCCACCACTGACCGAGGTCCCTACCCTGGAGCGCCGGAAAACGCAAAGGGGGTGGGTATTAATATCCCTGAAAAGCACTTGTCGCCTCTTTTTTCTCGGAAACCATCTCCCAGCGTTCGCATTGTTACTCGTGCCCCAGGGATTCGACATCCGGCGACGTCACCAAGGGCATGAACCAAATTTGCCGGCGACTCGCTAATGGACCCCCATTTTGACTCTGCGATTACAGAATACCGCTCCATTCTGAGCCGTACAAGCTGCATACTATGAAGGTGGACATGAACACAAACTCCTGTCCCACTTCGGAAGATGTCCCTGAAGACGCCACCAGTTGCCAGAGCTGTCATTTATTCCCGTCTCCTTGTACCGCGAAAAATGCGGCTGCGAACGCCCACCACAGCATTCCAGATAGGGTCATGGCGTCATGTGCGAGAACGATCCGACATGGGCATCCTTCTCGTGATGCTGCACTGGTCTATCGGGCTGTACGAGGTATGATGTGCATCCGCGGCTTTTCCTGCGCTATTGGTCCTTCTGATCCTCGATCCCCCATACCACGATGCTCCGGGTAGACATGATCAGCTACAACCATGCTGAGTTGTGCGACAACGCGAGTGGATGTAGCCAGGCCAAACTCAGATTGTGAACAGAGAAGGGAAATTGCCACATTCTGTTGTTTCGGGTAGGTATCCGTGGAAGTGGCAGTGTTGAGCCTGCTCTCTGGCTATCGAGCGCAGACAGGTCCGCCTTGCTGTGTTCTCCTGCCTTTGGCATCTGATGTCTAGCCCAGCTGGGCCACTTGAATCACAGGGATGAAATACTAACTGGCTAACCTGGTCAAACTCTCCCTGCATCAGTGAGTCGTCCATATCCTCGTTGAATGGTCCAGTCATCGCAGACCTAGCATGAGAGCCTTAGCAGATCACGAAATGGCTGGTGTACCTAGGCAGAAATTTCAGACACCCTCAGCATCTATGAGCCGGCCTTTACTCCCAAAGGCGATTGTTACTCGTGCCACAATCTGAAGGGCTCAGGGGAACTGCGAAAACCATCTGGAGCGTGATGCAGACACCGACACCCGTGATGCTCGCAAGCGTACTTGGAACAACTTGGTCGTGATACAGCACACCGACATTTCTGAACGACCATATGACTTTCCTCTTGGGTTACATTTCAGGCAGCCGGGGACTTTGATCATACCGAACGATTTCCGAACATGCTGCTTGAATCTCGGATGGGGGAGAAGGTTCAGGAAATGCAAGCAACAAGATGGCTGTCAATCTTACGAATCTACAACCTAATCTGACCGCTCTCTTCGATCGGTACAATGCATGGTCATGTTCGGCAACGTCAGCAAGGAACCCGTGGGCATTGACTACCAAGGTGATGACAGGCGCTAGTCACAATGAAGCAGGGTGCAGAACCCGTGTTTGGGCAATGGTGCCCAACTCACTTTACGTTCATTTGACACCATCAGTCATTGCCGCTAATGCTGGTGATCATGCTGTCCGGGGTCTAAAAAACTCAGTCGTCACAGGTAAGGGGTTGTAAGATGCGGGTTGACGCATGCAAGGCAATGTATGAAGTGGGCAGCTGGGTAGAAACCATGTCTGCCGTGTAACGTGTAGATGCGAAGTTCAATCGTTACTGGCATGGCTTGACTCTTGAGGCCCAAAGGTCAGCTGCCCAAACAGCATGGACTTGGTGCGGCAAGGTCAATGTTTAAGCATCAACAACTTCAGGTACTGATGAAGAGTCCTTTAGCGACGAGTCATCGATCCATGTCTGCGACAGTAGCAATGTCAAAACCGAAAATAATGTCCTGCATGCTGTGCGGTGACATTGTGGATACGACGCCGCCAAAACGGCATGCTCACAAGCACTACCAAGGCTGCCCTTTTTTAGCTGCAGGCATGCAAACGAGGCGCAATGCAGATGGATCTATGACGAATAGAGACGTCTCCCACCTGGTTGTACCGCAAAGAAAGGATAGACGACCGAGAGAACATGTCGAATGAACTGCATCAGCCGACCAGGATGACATTGTGCTGCTCTTTCTTTGGAAGAGGGAATCTGCAGAAACCAGCGGCAATAAGTGTGGGTGTTCTAAATGGACTGCCATAGCGCATTGCTGCTGTCCAAGCAACGCTCCAGGACTTCTCTCTTTACTCACGACGAGAAAATGTTGGTCACCGCCTCCAAACAAAACACTCGACACATGTGTCAGCTCAGCGGAGAAAGCTCGAACGCCTGACGTCTACGATTGACATTGAGACTCGCCAATCTCTGTCCATTCAGCTGTGGGAAGACGAAGCGGAAGTGTGGAGCTAGTCTAGTTGGGCGCAAACACTTGCCTCAGGATCGTTATCCGAGAAGCTGCTCAAAGAAGTGCGGACCTTGTCCCTGACTCACTAGACTCCCTGGAAGGTGGAACCCCTGTCCTTTCAATAACCTGTCCGCAATTAGTTTATCGAGCTATCCAAAAGACTCCTGGTCCGGGCCACGCCCACGAATGCCTCTATCGGGCTAGATCTGGTTAAGCTCACCACCCTCGGAGTGCTGGTGACACGAAATCCGACTGTTTCTCTGTACGGAGTATTCTGCTCAGTACTAGTACCTACGCAGGGTAGTTCTGCGGGTTCGCTGCATGAGCACTCTGACACGAGCCAAATAAGACTTTGTTCAATTCTCTCACGAGTCATGATCTTATCCAACATAGTCTGGTCACTCTGCTGAGAAATTGAGGAAGAATCAGGGGGCCACCACTGGGGATCCAGAGTTCGGCAGAAGCTCACCCCTTCCGCAACCCGCGTAATTGATGCTCGGAAAGCGTCATATTATGGCGTAGACTAAACCCGCGGGCCAACGGCAACCCTTGTCTCGTTAGGCTGGAAATCATGTCCAGGCATCAAGTTTTGCCCTGTTTCTATGCTGGGCTACGGAGTACCACTTGGACGGTGCAATTAGTGTGAAAGCGAGGGATGCCCACTACAGTATCCGTACTGGAAACTCCTGGGGCCGCCGAAGCCCGTCCCTCTGAATCATGATCAGGTACTTACTCCCTGGACGGCCGAGCCGACATGGTTCACACGTACGGAGTATCTCCGAAAAGCCCCTTGGGACTCATGCCCCGGTCATGTGGCACGCCGCAATATGACCATTTGCAGCGCTTTGACTACTCTCATTGACCAATACTGCCTGCCGGCATCAATTACTGGGGCTGGAAGGACGAGAAATTCTTGGTTTTTGTCAGTCTTCGACCGGATGAGCTTGTACAGGAACCCTGGCTTGTGAGACCTTTCTCAACATCCGGTCTTTTGATGGCAATACTCTGTAGAGCTGACAGAGGAATGGCCGACGGGGGCACAGGCTCTGTGACCGTTGATCATTGTTCAACCCGTGATTTTTTGTCTTCCCCGCGAAAAAAAAACCCGGCTCTGCGCACAGGAAACTAGTTAGGGGTGCGGTTATATCACCAGTACCTATGTCTTCGATCTCACGCGCTAGGGTTTACTGGCAATTCAGGCCAGCGAATGCTCGCAATTGTAGCCTCGTCAAAGGCACCGTTGCCTCTGGTATGGATGACTGTACAGTATGACGGCCTTGCGAGTTCCCGGGATTGAACTAACTGAACGGACCTATCAACCAAATCCACCCACTCTTGTAACATGAACATCCTTCTTCTGCAGGAAGCAAGGCGCAAGGCGCAAGGCGCAGCAGAGTTCTCGAGCAGAGGACAGCGTATTTCCTGCAGCCGTCAGCGTCACGCGATCAAGTTTGGCGCCCAACTGATGACCGCCATTTTACACCGCCTTGAGAGCTCACCGGCTCCGGCGTGACAGCCTGGCTCCTGGTATGCGATGACGAAGGGACAAATGGGAGAATAGCCACTCATTCTTTTTCATATGTGCAACATCCACACGCAGCAGCCAGATCAGGTCACGAGGGGCTTGACGAGTCTGGCAGCTTTGGGTCTTCGCATTTTTCCCCCTTCCAATAGCCGAGCATTCCACCAAACGAATGGTCGCCTCGCGGAATCGGAAGTAACCAAGTAGGGCGGAAAGTCGAGGGCTCCTGAGCCTCAATCCCTGCTTGGGCCAGGCCCACCTCCTAACGCCTCTCACGAGTACGGAGTGCAATATGAGGAATTACACTAAACTCGTTATGCTTCTCGGCAAGCAAAATCCCCCGGTGCTCGGAAGACCAGGGTGGTACTTCCTAGCCTGAAACTACTACACTGGTCAGGGGCAAACCGAAGCTCTCGACGAATAGCGCCGTCTATCATCTTCCTCGGAAGGTTGCAGCTTGCAAGCCTATCGATCCTCCTAGGCCCTCTACACGCGCGGACCAACGGTGCCCCCCCAGGTACCGCTGTCACGGTTCCTTGGCTTGCTAGTCTTCTTTTCAGCCGAGAATTTCTCATTGGGTATGATTGTCAATGGCCAAATCAGGGGTTTCCTTGCCCTTTGCCATTTTCACCCCACGCCGCCATCCTCTCCTGTTCGCCATCGTTTCCAGAGTGCTCCCTTGACCGGCCTTTTGTCATTTCTGGTTCTGATGACAATCTTGGGATCCACCAGCTTTCGTGTCGGCATGCCCTGGGAGGTGAAACTCACCATCTTTTCCGGCTCGAGACAGCTTACTTCAAAGATCGCTTCCATGGTACATCGCAGGATTCCTCTCGACGCTATGTCAGTCCACTGGGTCAGTAGTAAACATGCGACCATTGGCCCATGACCAAGACCGCCCAGCGCCCGATGGCTTACGAATACCAAGTTACTTTACAGATCCTTTATTGTTTTTGTCGAGCAAGTTTGCGGCTTGCCCAATTATTGTGCCACCCTCCACCCCAGCTGTCGTGGGCCTTTAGAATTCGGTTGACTTCGATGCTGGTGTGACGGCAACTCCGGATCCTGGGTCTAGCGTTCTAAATGGGGCTTCCCACGGCTTCCTACTTTGCTTCGGTGGACAACGGGGAGCGGATGTCAGAGAGTTTCTTGGACTACTGGCGCTTCCGCGCTTTCTTTCCCGTGTCACCGTGGCTCTATTTGGCCACTCGCTGAGAACATGATCTCCATCTTTGGGTGCTGCGTTGCTGCCGTGTTCTCTCGGTGGTATCCCAACTGCCCAAACTGCCCACCGCCTCTTTTCCACGCGGCGACGGATACACCATCCACCAGACTGAGGCAAAGAGGGCGCCCCGCTCTCCAGTCATCGTCGCTGCTCAATCTGCCCGACTCCTGGAATTTGTTCTCCCTTATTACCCTGTCTCCCTGTGCCGGATGCTGATGCATTTCTCTTCTCGCTCACCTTCCTCCCGCCTTCACACGACAAGATACACACCATCCCTCTCGACTGGTGACCATGCCTGACATTTTCGGCCTCGTATGCTCTCGCAAAGGCACTTCTAGCGACGCCCACGACAAATTTCCGCGTAAACAGCTTTTTATCCTCGGTACGTCATCTCGCAGCCATCCCAATATGGTAGGCTGTACCGAACTCTACTAACGCCGCCAACAGCATTATGTCGTCTCTGCGAGCCAATCGCTTTCATGTCAACGTTTCCCTATGCATATCGCATGGTAGAGTCATTCAACATTACACAGGATGAGACGCGCATCTCTGTCTACGCTAGCATGCTCATCACCGCTTTCGCCTTTGCCGAATTCTCTACCGGGACGCTTTGGGGTTCCGCCAGCGACAAGGTTGGACGAAAGCCAGTTCTGATCATGGGTCTCTTCGGAACAGCAGTCAGTATGATATCGCTTGGCTTTGCTCGGTCAATGCCTGCAGCTATCCTGGCCAGAGCCGTCGGTGGGCTCCTGAACGGCAACTCAGGGGTCCTGCAAACCACCGTTGCTGAATTGGTCACGAAGAAGGAGCATCAGCCTCGTGCGTATTCGATCATGCCATTAGTTTGGAGTATCGGTTCGATCATTGGGCCGGCCATGGGCGGGGCCTTGGCTATGCCTTGCGAATCTTATCCATCTCTGTTTCCTCGAGGCAGCCTATGGGACAAATATCCTTTCCTCCTACCTAACCTTGTGTGCGTCATCATTCTATGCATTGGTATGGTCTTTGGAACGCTGTTCTTGGAAGAAACCCATACGAAGCTGAAAGGACAGCGTGACCGGGGTATGGAACTCGGAAAGTGGCTGTTTGGAAAGCGCAGCTCGCCCATTCACACCGTCTACAGCTGTACTGATGCAGAGGAAGCCATCGAGCCTCCGCCTGGCTATCGCACCAACGAACATACGCCCCTCCTGAAGTCCACTTCCGCAGAGGCAGTGGACTTGGAGCTGACCCTGTTGATGGAGAAGGAACAACTCGGCACGGTGAAGAAGTACAACAAACACGTGGTTTTGATCATCTTGGGATATGCAATTCTCGCCTAGTAAGTACTTGAATACCGCTCCAAGTTCTCTTGCTAACTCGACCTAGCCACAGTGTGTCTTTCGACGCCTTGATTCCCACTTTTCTCAGCGAAGAACGAATGCAGACACCACCGATGCTCCCTTTCAAGTTTTCTGGTGGTTTCGGCCTTTCGACTCAGGAAATCGGCGTTATCCTGGCCGTCGAAGGTGTCTATACCATGTTTGCCCAGACGTGGGTCTTTCCATTTGTCGTCCGACGACTGGGAAATCTTCGCGCCTACCGCCTGGTCATGACAGTGTGGCCGCTTCTGTATCTGGCCGTGCCTTACCTTGTGCTGCTTCCTGAGCACCTGCAAACGCCAGGTATTTATCTGTGTCTGATGACGAAAATGACTTTCCACGCGATCTCTTTTCCCTCAAATGCCATTCTATTGGCCAACGCGGTACCATCGAAGTCGGTGCTTGGTGGCATCAATGGGTCAGCTGCTTCGGCGGCCTGCTTCGCTCGTGCCCTTGGACCGATTGTGACGGGATCAATACACTCGGCTGGACTGAAGGCCGGCTTCAGCGGGTTCGCCTGGTGGGCTTGCGCACTAGTCTGTGCCATCGGAGCTCTGGAAAGCTTCTGGATGGAGGACTCTGAAGGTCGCGTGGATCGTCTTGCAGAGGGAGAGGAGCAAAACAGCTGTGAACCCCTCCTGCACTCCGCAGCCATGGAGGCGAACGAAGACCCCGCCCTGCGAAAGAACAGCATCGTCTTGATTGACGAGTTGGATCTCACGAAAACAACGACACAGGCTGTCGACAGCGAAACTACGCTAAAGAATTGATGTCTTCGCATCTCGCTCTCTGGACCTACGGAGTTTGCTATGCACGACGCAACCACGTCACCGCTTGGTCGTACCTATTGTTTGGGACATGACTCAAGTACGACGCCCATGCAACCTCCGTGCGTGCACCGGCCATGTTTACTTTGGGATTGCTGAGCTTTCCTTGGATTTTCCCCAAAAGGGACCATAAGCAGCACGAGCTGCGAATGACTGTATTATGGGGTCATCTAGCGATGACTGCTGCGATGCCATTTGACAAAGATCAGAAAAAACGAAAGGTGTTGGACAGGGATTAGGATTCAATGTTATAGAATGGGATGGGATGGGAAAGGCGCGACGGGGGAGGCAATCTGTCTGTGGGTTCTTGTGTACTACTGTTTTCTCTTTCGGGCATGTCTTGGTTCTTTCACCGTGTTCGTTTTACATTTGCTATTTGCTGCTTGCTTGCTTTGCCACAATTATGGGAGGTCATTTGGTACAAGATACCTCGCGGAGGCTTTGTCCCCGGCTTGTTTGTGTTGCGCTCCCGGACCTTTTTACTGGCGGGATGGATGACCTGGTTTGTATCTCTAGTTTGTACATTAGACGAGGACGAGGACGAGAAGGAGGAGGGGGGAGAAGAGCCGAGAACGAGTCAGATTTCAGTGGCGATGGGATATACGAGGAAATAGAAAAGCCAAACAGACAACCAAGGCTCTTGAAAGCGGTCAAGTCAAACCTGACGCTGCTGAGCGATCACCGACGAAACATCGGGATCCCATTGACGGAAATCAGCCCTGCTGTCCCTCTCTCTGTGCGTGCGTGTGACCTGCCGTTGCTTCCAGGGTATCCACTGGGTGGGATTCTGTTTCCATGGATCGACTGAGCATGGGCTAGTAGACCCTGGCTGGCAGCCACGTTGCCGTAAACCTGGTACTCGGTAAGTTGTGAGCATGTGTAGATAGCCCTTAGTCCGTGGTTCCGCATGGATGCCTGATCTGCCACATGATTGCGTCGAGGCTTGCTCTGAGCCTGCGCCTGAGCCCACTCTGGAGTGGAAAAACGTGCCATTGGACGTTGATTGCGTGGGGGTTTGCGGGTTTCAATTTTCTTTCCCTCTGTCGGGTATGTACGTCTTGGTTTATGCTATGATGTCAATTGATGAGCACGTCGATCGATGCGAAAGAGCGGTGATGGGAGATTCCGGATTTGGTGTTTTTGAAGAGAGAGACAGACAGACAGACGGACGGACAGAGGGGAGAGAGTGTGTGAGTGAGTCCATCGACGGAGATGCTGCTCTCTCTGTCCCGCCCCCTACTTGCTGGGTGAGGTTGCCTTGCCTTTGCCTTACCCGAGACATACTGAGGACGTACGGGAGTCCGGGAGTCCTCATTCATATCCATCTAGAGAGCATTCTGAGGAGAATGACAGGACATTCGCCATGTCCAATTGGCATGCTTTGTACCCGTACTCTGTTCTCGTATGGGATGTACAGTGTATATAGTATATTGTCGTTGTTGTTGCTGTTGATGAGGATGTAGCGTGCTTCGTACTATGGACTCTGCCGTCGCTTTTAGCCGACGCCTCGTTCTGCCGACGAAATCGCATATTGCCGACGGACCGCATCGACATTTCTCTACGAGGTACCGACTACCTACCTGTAACTGCACCTGTACCCAATTTCGAGAGAGTGTCATTGGTCCTTTTGCGTAACTCGATCTTTCGGCAAGCGGCGCGTCGTCCGGCCATCGGCCTTTTGACGTACAGTCTTCTCCAACGGCACGCCCTTCTCGAGTATCAGGGACTGAAAAAAAGAGAAGCGAGAGGAAAACCATTCGTTGTGCTTTTCTGCCTTTTTTTTGGTCTTCTCTCCCACCCTTTCAGTCTTCGCTTAAGCAATGGCGCCGAGTAGAGCGCTCGTGCGACGCTGCTCTCGGTCCTTCGCTTCGACGCTCCACCACCACCAGAGACCTGCCGTGCGGAGATGGTTTGCTTCGGCCTCATCGCCGGACAAGGTCGCACCGTTGGAAGGGATACGTGTGCTGGACATGACGAGAGTATTGGCCGGGGTGAGTCGTCCAAGTGCAGTGCAGTGCAGTGCAGTCTGTGGTGATGAGAACACAACATCACCGCGGGGAAACAAAACACCAGCGATAGCCATGTCTAATATACTAACTGACCATGTCATGTGTCCCTACAGCCGTATTGTACGCAGATATTGGGTGATTTAGGGTGTGTGTGCTTCGATCCCATGGGTGCTTTCGGACTGATCCAAGGCGGCGGCAATGCTTCTTGTATCGAGAGGACTTACCCAAATGCATGATCAACCCGGGAGACTGTCCCGTGTTGGACTTGTTGATGGGCAGCATCGTTTACTGACGCGACTTCTCTCTCTACCTGTTTCAGAGCCGAAGTGATCAAGATCGAACACCCGACAAGAGGAGACGATACGCGTGCTTGGGGCCCGCCGTATGCAAAGTACAAGGACGGAGGTACGTGTATGACCGTGGCTTTCGAGAGACAAATGGGCCATGATCAAGGCTCACATGAGTCTTGTCTCCAGCTACACCGAAAGGAAGCAAACCAGGCGAAAGTGCATATTTCATCGGCGTAAGTTGTCGCTCCATTCCCCCGTACCTCTCTGTCTTGAGGTCCTCGAAACCATGGATCAGATTCTGATCGTCTGTGCAGGTCAATCGAAACAAGAAATCCGTCGGTCTTTCCTTCCAGCATCCGGACGGTGTCAAGATTCTCCATGAGCTCGCCAAAACATCAGATGTCTTCGTTGAGAACTATATCCCAGGTACGCGATCGACAGGCCTACTCTAGTTTGATCTACTCTCTTTTGCGCGAACCCCTTTTCACGATAGCGAACCCTCTTGGTCTGAGTCACTGACCATGCGAATCGCCACCAGGCTCGTTAAAAAAGTACCAACTCGACTATGAATCTCTCCGTAAAATCAACCCCCGGTAAGCTCTTGACCAGCGCCATGGCCACCCTAACCATCGGACTTGACGGACCATCCTTCGTCTCCTTCTCCTCCTCTTCCTCCTCCTCCACATTATCCAGCACTTGGCCATGCTCGTATCTGACCCAATCACACTCTAGTCTCATCTACGCGTCCATCACCGGCTACGGCCAGACAGGCCCGTACTCCTCACGGGCCGGATACGACGTGATGGTCGAGGCGGAAATGGGTCTGATGCACATCACAGGCGAACGGGCCGGTTCGCCAGTCAAAGTCGGTGTAGCCGTCACGGACCTCACGACGGGACTGTACACGTGCAACGCGATCATGGCGTCTCTCCTGGCTCGCCAACGCACCAACACGGGGCAACACCTCGACGTGGCGCTCTCGGACTGCCAGGTCGCGACGCTCGCCAACATCGCCAGCAGTGTGCTGATCAGCGGACGGCGCGATGGCGGGCGGTGGGGCACGGCGCACCCGTCGATCGTGCCGTACAAGGGCTTCAAGACGCGCGACGGCGACATCATGCTCGGCGGCGGCAACGACCGCCTGTTCGGCATCATCTGCGACAAACTCGGGCGGGGCGAGTGGAAGTCGGACCCGCGCTTCGTGACCAACGACGTGCGCGTGCAGAACCGCGACGCCCTCGAGAACATGATCGAGGACCTCACGAGGCAGAAGACCACGGCCGAGTGGCTCGACATTCTCGAGGGGAGCGGCCTGCCGTACGCCGCCATCAACGACGTCAAGGACACCCTGGACCACCCGCACGTCCGGGCCAGAGGCATGGTGACCGCCGTCGACCACGACGCCTGCGGCCGCATCAAGCTCGTCAGTCCGCCCGTCAAGTATTCGGAGAGCAGGACCGGCGTGAGGACACCGCCGCCCACGTTGGGCCAGCATACGGACCACGTCCTCACAGAGGTGCTTGGTATGGACGGCCAAGAGGTTGAAAAGCTGAAGGCTGAAGGTGTTGTTTCTTGAGAAGTACGTAGATGGTCAGGTCACGCCGCGGCATGGTATATCATACCGCCCCACGTCAGTTGAAAATCAGATATTCTCAAGTGCGTTTACTTCTTGCAGTAACGTAGCATACACATATATACATACGTACATGCACACACATACACAGACATCCACCGCTATCCATGTGGAATGGGTGTACCATGGTACATGGTATGTATGGTACGAGGGTGAGAGTTCGCGTGTACATACATGTACATGTCAGACCCGCACTGGTCTAGAGAAAACACACAGCGAGCACACAGTACACAGTACACAGTTTTGTCTTTTGTCCAGCTTATTCGTCAATGCCATGTCAGGGATAGACAACGCTTTGATTGACGTGAAGACCAAAGTACCGCCAGTGGTAGCAGTAGTAATGGTGGTTGATATTATCATACGTGTGACCAGTCCTGCCAAGTAAATTATCAAGGTGATCGCTGTACCGCTACAAAAAATGGGTGTTATAGTAAGGATATACCTGGTGACTGGGCCAGGTCATGGAATCGTGGGATTTCCATCGCACAGCAGAGAGAGAGAGAGAGTGAGCGAGTGGAGGTGCCTTTTTGAGATTGGAGGGCGAAGAGTGTAGCAAGTCAACTACCTAGGTGAGTATCTTTGATGAACGAGCGACCGACTGGCCGACACCTGCAGGGTGATTAGCTCACTGGACTGAGCACCGCCCTAATCGCGCTATGGACCATTGAGTGCACGACTCTATTAATAAAGTCCACATCAAGTGCGCGTCGTAACTTGTACACTCATGTCACTTTTTTCTTTTGGAATGACTGAGACTCAAAACCGGGACTGGATGGAACTAACTGGGCGACTTCCGTTATGCCTCTGGGGTACAGACGAATTGCATGGATTGACATGACGGGAAGACCGAGGCAGCCCAGCAAGCCTCTCGGCCAGCCAGCCATTCAGTCAATAGTTCGGGCAGTCAATAATTCAGTCCGTCAGAGCCGTGCAGTCCGAGGCGCAGCGTGCATGACTGACTGGGAGTAGACGAGACACGAGGGCTGTGTGACGGTCATGGTCGTGTGAGTGTCTGTGACCGTGTGCAAAATTCTCATGACTTCTGAGTTCGACGAGTCTGAATTGGCTGGAAAATAGCCGACAACGGCACACATGGGAGTATCATGACTGCTGCTGCTGAACCGTTTTCAACTTCTCTTCAACCAGTCGCCCGACGATCTTCTCCAGTATCGCCGGGGCGCCTTCCTTGCTGCCTACCGTACCCTCGAAGTATCCCACAACGCTCTTCTCGACGAGTTTACCCACAATGTCGATCTCGACGTTGACGTCGTCGCCGGGCTGCTTCTTGGCCATGACGACCCGCTCCTGGGTGTAGGCGATCAACATGACCTCGAACCAGCCCTGGCCGTCGTCGACTTTCGTAATGGTCAGGCTGGCGCCGTCGAGCGTGATGTATCCCTTTTCCACAATGTACCGCAGCACGCTCTTCTCGCGCGGGCTCAGCCTGAACGTCAGCGCGTTCCCGTCCGGCGTCACCGACACCACGGCGGCGACGGTGTCGACGTGGCCCTGCACAAAGTGTCCGCCCATCCGCGTCGTCGCCGACACGGCGCGCTCGAGGTTGACGGGGCTGCCTTCCTTGAGGCTGCCCAGGTTCGTGCGCCGGAGCGTTTCGGGCGCGACGCCGACCTTGAAGCTCTGGCTGTCGAACTCGGTCACGGTCAAGCATGTCCCGTTGACCGATATCGAGTCGCCCAGCGCCGCGTCCGAGAGGATGGATGAGCAGTCGGAGATGGTTAGGGACGTCCCGTTGCCTCCGGACGTCGAAGGGTCGAGCGCTGTGAGCGCGGTCACCGTCCCGACTGTCTCTACGAGACCTGTGAACATTGTGGCGGAGGGAGGGGAGGGGATGAGGATATATTCTAGACGTGCGAACGCTAATGAGAGAGACGAGAGCAGGTGGATAGAGAGTGCTTTTTTTCTCTAAAAAAAAGAAGAAAAGCCTTCCGACGAATCCTGAACAAGGGAAGCCGATGCAGATGTAGAGAAAGAAAATACTTCTCGACTACGAAGCACTCGCAGTGTACGTGGGATGGTGCAATTGTTTTCCCCGCAGCGCAACGACGGAGGCAGGCGAAGGGGCCGCCGCTTTAACGAGCCTCTATAACTTGGGACGGAATTGAATCGCAGGAACAAGGCCGTGGAAACTCGTTCCTACAGTATCTTACAGTGTGTAAATGCTACAGACTACCCGAGACCAGCTGCTCATATTGCTACATAACTGACAGACGACGATGCGCTCAACAGCTTCCTCAGTATGCGCTGGGTGCTCGTGGAGCAATCTCGACATGACAGCAATACCCCTTTCACAGCCCACAACCCCTGAGTAACTGACCTTGCAAGTGACACTTATTGTAGCTCTCTCTCAGCCAGCCATGTTCTCCATTTTGGTGCTGCATTTCGTCGCCATGTCTTGCCGTATATGTAAGTCGGGATAGCGGCCAACATTGAGCACAGCACGCAGAGTCCAAAGAACAGGAACGTGTAGCCGTAGTTGGTGGCATTGATGAATGGCTGCACAGAGTACGAGATGGCAAAGTTGATGCACGAAGAGCAAATGGCCAGCACGACGACCAGTTCACCTGCAATCTATAAAGAAGTCAGTATCGTCAAACAACACAGTTCCAAACTGGGGACAGCTCTCACTCCAGGGAAACACTCCATGGCATACGCCGTGGCAATCGAGCAGGCCGACACTTGGTGCGCAATCATACTGCCCACACCAAAAGCGACCGTCATCCAATGCAAGCCGCCGTTGGCACCCCAGCCGTACAGCTGATAACCGACAGCGGCATACACGAACGAGAAACACAGTGTCCACAATCTCATCTCTGGTTCTTTGATACCGTTGTTCCGACGAGCCAGGAAAATGACAATGTGGTCACTGAGAACACCCGTGGCCCAGCCGACAAAGTTGCCAACAAGCGCCGCGAGGAAAATGAGACCAGTCGAGGTGGTTGACCAGTTGTATGGTGGCTCGGTCATGATCTCGGAGATGGTGTTGAATGACACGATACCCGCCGTACAGCCGAACGCAAAGATGACTCCGGCGATCACAATGTTGGGGAAGGTGAACAGCAGAAAAGGTCGGCGGAAATATTGCCAGTAGCCTGTCTTGTCCTGAGGGAAGTATACCCACGGCTTCAATTTCTCCAAATAGGTCCGCTTGGGAAATTGAGATGCCAAAGCATTGTCCACTTCTGGCTCACTCGGGGTCTCGGTGCTTGTCAATGTGTTCTCGACGTCTTTGGTATTGGCCACAGTTGAAACGGGTTGTCCAGTCCTGACCACGGTGCCGTCGAAGCGGCTAAACAAAAACCTTGGGAACAACGTCTCTTCGAATGTGAGAAAGAGGAGAACCAAGACGCCCCCATCGATGATGGCCACTATATACTGACTCCAACGCCACCCGAGATTATCTGCTATGCTTCCGCCAGTAATTAGGCCAAGAATTGAGCCGAGTTGTTGCCCGAACAGGTAAAAACTCAACATGCGACCGCGTTGATGAGTATAGAACATGTCGAAGACACTCAGCTGGATGACAGCTTGGTATGCAGCAGTTCCGACGCCGTTTAGGACCATAGCGAGCATCCAAGAAGCTGTTCCGTGGAAGTAACCCAGCCAGACACCTGCACACATGCAGATGGCTGTGGATGCCAGAAAGACAGGCCGGCGACCGATTTTCATTGCTGTCGGGATCCAGAATATGTTGACGAAGCCCAGAAGGAGATAGTTCAACGCGGAACCTCCATTCATGTTCGTCAGACTTACACCCGTGTCCTCGGACACAGTTGTCCATGCAGCTCCGAGGGTGTTTTCGCCATAGGAGAACGCACACGCATACAGAGCGAGCAAGAAGAGTTGATAATACTTCTTGAACCGGTGCCAGCGCAGAGGATCAGTGCCCGCATTGCTAGGCTGAGGTATCAAGACGATGTCACTCGATCCTTTGGCATGGACTGCATGGACCTCGTGATTGACTGTAGACAGGGTCAGCCGTTTAGGTTCTGCTGAAGTATGGCCAGAAGGCCGACGAGTGATCATCATTGGGAATTCTTACCATCCACAAGTTGTTCTGTGCCAGGCACATCCAAGTCGTAGTCGTCACCAGCCATTGTCGCAGGATGTCTTCAAGAAGGATGGGCTTTGCAGAGGGTGGAAGAACACACATGGCAATCAACCCCAGAGGCATAAGAGAGCCATATTATATAGACTCGTTCGCGACGAGCGATAGTCTGATAGACCTCTCTCGCCCAGTAATAACTGATATCAAATGCGGGCAGTTTCCGGCCTTAGATCGACGCTTTGGGGAGGGTGCTTTACTCGACCCACTTCAAGAGAAGGTCGAAGCGTGAACGAATCATGTACCCTGCTTGGCTGACCCGATTCACCTTGAACGATCTATTTGCAACGGAGCATTGGTCCGGTTTCCCCACCGATCAGATACCACAGAGCTCCTAGAATGTTCGCTTCTCGTAGGCTCTCTCGCTCTGGTGGTGGCAACGGTCTAGATGTGTCAAGGCGACGGAGATTCGCGTGCAGCTGCTGCACCCAGTCATCAAAACCATTTCGGGGCTCTTTTCACTCCACTTGTAATCGAAGTCGGCCAAGGTTGTCGACGCATGTATGCAGCCTTTGCTTCCCGTGCTAATTTGCAGTAGCAGAAACATTCGCACTGAGAAAAGGAACAGATAGGATTTCTTACCCCTTGAACGACAAGGCTGCATACCAGCCTTGCCAGACATTCCCGGACCCACCAAGCATTGTTCACTTGCTATTCAATAGCTTTCAATTGAATCACTGGGTTTTCTTTCAAGAATCACCAAGACCACTCATTGATGGCATGGCTATATGATGGACGGCCATATTCGCTTAGGCGAGCAAGGAATGGTAAAGTTGGATCAAACCAGTTAGGCTTTGGAAAGCGTCTTGACTGTGCACGACGGAAAAAGTTGAACCTCAAGGCCTCGAAATCAGAATCCGTGAAACTCGAAACCTCGAAACCTCCAGTCGCTCAAAATCTCAAACTCACCTTCTTTTTCTTTTTGGCCGGGGATGAGATAGCATTGATAGACCGGAAAGTCATCATGACCATAAGATAAGAGAGGTTTAGAAGGAACGAACGAGATGAGGCTAGAAAGCGAGGGGAAGGTTAAGCTTTGTAGTTCAAGAGCCATTGGACTGTATCGTGTGACCATGTTACCGCGAAACGCCAAAGTAAAGCTCCCAGAAGAAAGTTTAAAGGGTGAATACTTGTTCTGTATCCATGGTTAGGGGTTTGACGGTTCACTGAGAGCTGCCATTTTGCATTCCACATTGGATAAAGGCGCAATGTTTCCTTTTACGTATGTGCGAGGCCAGCCATTCAAGATCCACGGTAATACCACGATTTGCTCTTGGGCAAAGCTCTTTAGCAAGCACACCAGGCTATCGTACAACATAACTCTAATCGTCTTATACTGCTTCGGAATGCATGTTCTGATGATGTGGAAGCCAGATCAGGAATGATGTATAATAGTAAGGAGCCAGTAGCTGAAGGAAATATTTGTTGCTCTGGTGATAGTCGCCTCCTATGCGAGTGACATATTGCCGCAGAACGGTGCAACGAAATACTCCCAGTCGTTCTTCTGCACATCTCGTGCGTACTCCGAGAGATGCTGGAGATCTCTCGCTTGCCAGATTTTTTCGATGACTGATCTTGTACGGGTAACGTTGGCCATGGAATCACTGAGCCGTTCCAAAGCATATAGAACAAAAGGGCGAGCGTACGTTGGTGCGAAGCTCAAATTCTGAGGTTTTCGGAAGGGTCGATCCAGTTCGAGCTGTACGGCGGCGACAAACAATGGCCAAGTTATGCCTGCAACCACCTGGCGTTCCAGCAAAAGCGCCACCAGGTTCAGTATCTCGTCTACTTGAGCCGAAACCCAAGGCATTGAAGGTTCGGCGCCATTCAAGAGACACTGTAGATACAGTTCTGCAGCCAATCTCTTCAACTCGGCAGCTTGAGAAAGAACATCATCATCGGTGTCCCAAATCTGCTGCTTGAGTCCGCTCAGTTGGATCTCCAATGCGGCAGTTGTGGCGTGGTATTCGCGCGTGTCGCGAACGCTACGATCCTCGCGGCCGAGCTCCGTGATCTTACTCAGCACAGAGACCAACTCTGGAGAACATCCAAGCCACTGATCGCACTCAGAACTATCTTCCCAGAAGTCGCTTCCAAAGACAGGGTCTTCACCGCACGCCGTACGTCCGATGACGTCCTGAAACGCAAAATAGCGCTCACAGAACTGGACGAGCTGGCTTTCTTCGGACGAGGGCGTGCTTTGAAGCATGAACTGGCGACGCAGCCGAACTAGATCCCTGGCACCCTTTAGGTGTATTACCCATCGCTTGTCGCATTCATTTGTGATCTCGAACATGCACAAGAGTACCATGACGACCAGGGTTTCTGGGCTCATTGCGACCAGTCTTGGGTCCGAGTCACGCAGTCGAGCTCTAAGCTCTTGGAGGACCGCATGGCTAAGCTGCAAAGCCGTTGCTTGATAGCTGTAGTCGCGCCTCGATCGATGGCAAGCGGCCAAAGCCAGTATTGAGTTCATGGTAAGCGTGGAGCCACTCAACGCAAATGGGACAAGGAGGGACCCCAAGGGCGAATCTGATGATAGACTTGCCGTGCTCAGTGGACAGACCTTGTGCAGGTAATACGACAATAGCAAGTTCGTCTCATTAGAGGTGCAGAGCTCGACATCTGGAAGAAGATCGAGTGGTGGTGCTATGGAGTGAACTGGTCGTACAAGCTGCTGGGCGGTGAGCCACGGGCTGAGGGAGGAAGTGCTTCTAGATTCTGCAGGCTCTGTCTCTGCTTCTGAGATTGCCACTGGGAGATTATTGAGCGTCGTCTCGAAGTAGTCATCATAGTCCAGCAAATCCTGGATGTTGTCGACTGTAGTGTTGACGAAACTATATGGAAACACACGAGGGACCGGACACCATACGCCGCGGTCGTTCGGTAGGGCTATTGTCGACGGTGAAAACTGGCCAGTTCTTCCACGACCTTTCGACCAGACGCCCGCTCGTCCAAAACTGAGACCTTTAGAGGCATATTCAGACTCCCACTTGAGCGCCGTCGCACTGACACACTCCAGGCCCTTCGCCTTACATTGTTCACATACAGGCTTTTGTTCTCCGCATTTTATCTTACGGATTCGACAGCTCTGGCAACCAGTTCTTGTACGACGCTTGATCGGACCTGTAGTCGACTTACGAGGGCGCGGCATTCGGAGCAGTCATCCTCGCTGGTACCTGCAAGGTAGGATGTTCACTGTCTGTGTGAATGACTGAATTAAGCACGAGCTGAAAGTGTTGGAGTCCTGACCGAGGAGAAGGAAGGAGGAGGAGAAGCGGAAGAGAGGAAGAGGAGATGATGCCACTAGCCAGATAAAGGAGGGGTCTAGATCAGGTGACAAGCCCTTGGCATCAACAAGGCTCCACTCTCTCCAACGCTGCTAGCCAGAGCTCTCCAGTGCCATTAGCCAAAGCTCACCACAGGCTATCCTGTCTGATATCCAGGGCCGTCAATCTGGGAGAAAGTCGGAGGCAGGCTGGACCCCCCGATTCTACCGGTGCCTCTTCAATTAGTGTTCACGGTGCAGATCAACCAGGAAGTATACATCCGAGAATGAGTAGCACACCTCCCTTATGCGATCTTGTCAGTCCAGAAACTGTTACACAGAGTGTCACTGCGAAGGACGAACTGTCGCCTGCTCTTGTAGAAAGCGGGCTCATATGGCGACAACGGCCAAACCAAGAGGGAGTAACTCTCCTCCTCGATTCGAACACCTGCAGCCTTGCGCAGCCTCGTGGCCCGCCTGCTTATATAATCTTGCAGACCCCAAATTTTTCTGGCCGCCGAATGGAGAATGTTATGAACAAGAAGGTACAAAGTGCTAGGAGGAGTACTGTCCAGCTGTTTGAAGAGCTGAGATCGGGGTTTCGAGAATATGAACCAAATGCAGAGCACGTTGATGCCATTTCTGTATCCTTGCTTCTTCCAGGGCGCCTCATCCTCCGTTCGAATTCACCGACATCGAATCCCATCACGGCTGCGAAGACATCTACTTCATACCACACCGCGCCAGAACCAGCCATCGCTCGCCGCCATCAATGCAGCTCGTCGTGCCGCAGCCCACGAGCCACCGCCTCCCGTCACCAGTACTCACCTGAACCCTTCACCGGATGACTACTCCCGCAATGTCTTTGTCGACAAATGTTCCCTGACTGTGCACGCCGGATCGGGAGGCAATGGCTGCGTGTCATTCCTTCGCGACGCACACATCTCCGACGGCCCTCCTAATGGCGGCGACGGAGGCTCGGGAGGAAACATCTGGATCCAAGCCGTCGCGGGACAAACAAGCCTCCACAAACTGGCGAGACGAGGCATCGTCAAAGCAGGCAGAGGAATAGGGGGTCAGGGCAAGAGTCAAGGAGGCCGCAAGGGAGAGGACATCTGCGTCCAGGTGCCTGTAGGCACTGTGGTCCGCGAGGTCTGGCGCAGCGACCCCCTCGCCGACGAAGAAGCACGCATCAAAGAACTCCGGGCCATGAGCGACGAAGACCCGTACAGCCAACCCGACCACGGCCTCCGCAACAAATGGATCCTCTACGCCGGCGTGTCCAACGTGGACGCAAAGCACGTCGTCGCTCACCTCCCACCTCCTCCGAAGTCAAGACGCTCACACCTTGCCGTCCTCGCCCCTCCGGCGCCTATAAAGCTGGACCTCGACAAGCCCATGGAAAAGCCCATTCTCCTGGCCGCGGGTGGCGTCGGTGGCCTGGGCAACCCCCATTTCATGACCAAGGACGACCCCAAACCGAAATTTGCAACCAAAGGTGAACTCGGCATTCGTCTCAAACTCGAGCTCGAGCTCAAACTTCTCGCGGACGTCGGGCTGGTCGGGCTCCCCAACGCCGGCAAGTCGACGCTGACGCGGGCCATCAGCAACTCACGCACACGCATTGGAGACTGGGCCTTCACCACCCTTGCTCCCACCATCGGCACCGTCGTGCTGGACAACAACGAAGGCCGTCCTCTGGTCCGCTCGGGCATCCAGGGGGAAGCGCCACGCGTGAACTTCACCGTCGCCGACATCCCAGGGCTGATTGAGGACGCGCATCTCGACAAAGGCCTCGGTCTCGAGTTCCTGCGCCACGTCGAGCGCGCCAGGGTCCTCGCGTTCGTCGTTGACCTGTCTGCCGGCGACGCTGTGGTCGCGCTCAAGAACCTCTGGAAGGAAGTCGGCGAGTACGAGGCCCTCCGGAACCGCGAACTCAACGAGCAAACCGAGAATAGACTTGTCAACTGGTCGCCGTTTGAGCCTCTCTCGTCGTCGTCACCGACCCCCTCACCTGGCGACGACGAAGAACCTCTGTACGACGAAGCAGGCGAAGCCATCTCGATATTCCCACCGCAGTCGACGAGCACGACCCTCGAGCCGCTGAGGTTGCCACCAATCAGCGCAAAGCCGTGGTTCGTCATCGCGACAAAGGCAGACAAGGACGCCCGCGTCACACAGGACGAATTCGCCAAGCTGGCTGCGTACGTGCGCCAGGTCGAAGCTCGTCAGGTCGACCATCCCAGCGGCAACGAGAACGGGTGGAGAAACCGTGTCGCCGCCATACCGGTATCAGCCATAAATCGCCAAGGTATGGACAAGGTGATACGGTATACGGCCGGTGTGCTTGATAGTTTGAAAGTTGCGTATTAACTGCCTACCTACCTACGCACCTACCCACCAACCCAGTTACCTGTTCACCTGGGCAAGGTGGTAGTGGGACTCTATCCCGAGTTAGCAGCGAGTCTTGAGCGTTTTGCCAGGCGAACTCGCACTCTCTCTTCTCTACACCCGCGAAAAGGGAGACGGATGTATTCTAGTTAAGGTACCTTCCAGACGTACTGTGCTGTACTGTACCGTAGTGCAAATAAGATCCCGCAAACCCACTAACTATATGAGCATTCCTGCTACACACTCCGTACACCGTAACGCCAAACTTCAATACTTCGCGAAAGGGTAGAATCGCTCTACGATCTGGAACACCATCAAATTGCAAAATCAATTCTCGCATCACACTCTCTCAAAAATTTCAAGTCTTGGTGCAAGCTAGTTGATACTACTAGACTCTGCAAAGAGTATTGACTAGCTAGGTAGTCTCAGGGTATCTATTCTATCTTTGGCCCAATAACATTGGATGCCTTGGGAAGGCAATTCTCCAAAGAGAGCGGCCACTTGTTACCTGGGCAATTTTCTTCATAATCGTACAAGTCTGAGTGTAATAATAAGGGTAGCTGAGGTGGTGGGGTGAGTGCTGAACCTGAAGAATACCTGTACATACACTCCCATGGTGTCTAGTATGTACCCCAGTCCCCTTTTGAACACTCCACAACAAACGCCGTGCTTTGCATCGCAAAAATTAAGTCTCGGCCGTCCCCGATCCCACCAGAAAACAAAGTATCATTCCGCATTTCCAATAACGCCGATCAACCAGTAAACGACACACCTCGAGACTGGTATCAAGAATGTGGCTGAAAGAGGCAAGATCATATTCAAGCTCTACTTCCACCACCAACGTCCATCTTCGCAAGTCTGTAACGTACAGCTTCTCGGACTATATCACTGTCCCAGACTTCGGTCATGAATTCAAGGCCAGCGACATCGCCCTTTTCAGGCTCACCAAGAATAACGCTGAGGTCACGCTTCTGAGACGCGAGCCATTTCTGGGTAGTGCCGATGGGGTCTTTGGCCATGGCGGTGAAGAACTTCCATCGGGCCTTGGAATGACGAATAGCTTGCATCAGCACTGCAATCTCATCGTTGATCCTTGAGATTTCACGGTTTCGTGCAATGTTTTCAGGGCTGTTCGTGTTCTTGATCACCAATGCACGCAGCGGGTCTTCGACCATGACCTGTACATCGTAGACGGTTGGTTCGGGGTTCTTATGAAACTCTTCGTCGACGCGAATCGTGAAATGTAGTTTGACGGGCGGTAGAGGGTGGAGATGGGCGAGGATGCGCTCAGGCACTTGTGGGAAGAAGATGGTGTCTGTGCCGAAGATTTGGCGAAGGTTGTTGTCGCATCGAATGGTCCGACGTTCGTCGTCTTCCTGCAGATTGAAGAATTTGACGTACTCCCACAGTCCCATGACCACTTCAGCTCGATCTGCTTCTTCCATGTCCAAGGCGTCTGCTAGGGCTTTACTCAGCCGGAATCGTTCAGGTTGCTCGTCCCGAGTGAGGCAGATGGTGATGTTCTGGTTGTGGTCGCCTCTGCGCTTGAAGTAGATGGTGTCGACGTCCGCGCTTTCGGGAGTCTTCTTCCAGTTCACCGTGACATTCTCATCAAGAGTGTAGTCAGGGTTCTGACCCTCGAACTCGACGTGCATGTCCTTCCAGAACCAGCCAAACGGGCGAGACGGGGGGTCGATCAAAGTCTTCGTCTTCGGTTTCTTCTTCTTGGGTGATGACGACTCTCCTTCGACTTCGTCTTCGTCCTCGTCGTCACTTCGGTAGCTGATATCATCCTCCTTGTACTCGAGTAACATACCGTGAATTCGGACTCGGTAGGTAGGGGTCTTGATATCTTCCAATCTGAAAGTGTCGCCTTCAGGCCATTCCGTCTGCCAGAATTGATCTTCGACAGTGTTGGAAACCCAGATGCGCATAGTCTTGAAGTGCTTGGTATTTCTGCTGGCGCTGTCCATATATTCCAGTCTCTTTCGCATCATGATGGCGTCCAATCGCTTTTCCGCTTCACGTAGTGCATTGTACTGCTGGACGCCATCGCCAATGACGATTTCCTCGAGACTATCAGGGAGATCGAGATCGGTAGGCTTTCGCGCAATACGCTGGGCTCTCTGGTGATCGGCTGCTGCGATTCGCTGTTTTGCCTGGGCTTCCATAATGGCTGCTTGTTCACGCTGAGCAGCTTGTTGGGCTGCAACCATAGGGTTCGGGGCACCTCCGGGATAGGCAACTGCACCAGATTTGGTTAGCATAGGATTCTCAGGGCCATATTGACTGGGTTCTTCTGGCGTTCACTTGAGGAACTGCAGTTAATTCAAACTCACCAGGTCGTCGGGCTTGCGGCGTTCTACCTTGCGGCTGCGCATACTGTCTGTAATTCATTTGAGGATTCATTTTGCAGACAGCTTGGCAGCGCCGATTCAGACAAGTGAAGGGGAGATGGGGTCACAGCCGCTGTGTCGTATGGGATGCGATATCCTTGTATCTTGTCTGTGTCTTGGTGGAATTTGAGAGAGCGACAATGAAGTCGCGCATCGCGATTATCAGACTAATCCCAGTAGGGATATGTGGCTTGGCGGGTTTACGGTGTTAAAGCGGCGTGTGAAAGTGCTACGTTTGTCAGACACAAGAAGAGTGCTGTGAGTACTGCAAACACAGGCTTACGAAAACTGTAGGAAAGGACTGTGAAATGTGTTCAATATGATACTGAATCGCTGTCCAAAATGGGAGTACGCCCGTGGCTGGGCGTATCGACGGTATCCCAGATCTACTCAAATCTCAATGTGTGATACATGACGCAGTCTTTGGCACCGCTCCTTGTCAGACCAAACCGATTTAGCCAACTCATCGCCTCCTACACCGTCTCTAACCGCTCTCCGTATGGTTTCAGGTCATCGAGCACACGACATTCTCTCGTCTAAATAATCTCAAAATTCCCAGACGGTCATTCAGCTCACCAGTCCAATGTCTAAGCTGCAAAAATGGGCAAACCACGACTGATAATCCTCATCCGCCACGCGCAGTCCGAGGGCAACCGTGACAAAAGGATCCATCAGACAACCCCCGACCACAAAGTCGGCCTCACCAGCGAAGGGCACACGCAGGCGCTTGAAGCCGGACAGAAGCTTCGAGCCCTCCTCCGCAACGACGACACTCTCCACTTCTTCATCTCACCGTACCGTCGTACACGTGAGACGACCGAGGGAATTCTGAACGGGCTTTGTTCCAACGACCCAGTGCCCTCACCGTTCCAACGGTCCCACATCAAAGTCTACGAAGAGCCCCGACTTCGCGAACAGGACTTTGGCAACTTCCAGCCGGGGACTGACGAGGTTGAGCGCCTATGGCGTGAACGTGCCGAGTATGGCCACTTCTTCTACCGGATTCCAAACGGCGAGAGCGGCGCGGATGTCTATGACCGGGTGTCTTCGTTCAACGGATCCCTGTGGCGCCGCTTCTCGGAAGACAACATGGCCAGCGTAGCCATCCTCGTCACGCACGGCCTGTGTAGCCGGGTGTTTCTGATGGCATGGTATCACTATAGCGTCGAGTTCTTCGAGGACCTGCGCAACATCAACCACTGCGAATTTCTCGTCATGAAGCTAGCCCCGAACGGCCGGTATGTTCTCCAGAACAATCTTCGACGCTGGTCCGATCTTCGAAGGGAACGAGCAGCGAGGAAAAGCATCTCTCAGTCTCAGTCCCCTGTGACGGTGGAGTCAATTCCCGTACGACGATGGACTTCGAACCGGGCCGTAGCCCATGATCCCAGTGGTGCCACTTTAGGCCATGGCACAAACAGTCAGCTGCCCCGGCCCTCGCGAAAGAACACGGCAGACATGTTTCGCGATGATCGTGAAGATGTCGAGGATAAGAACCAGCACCAGCACCAGAGCCAGCAGGGCCAGCGCCGAGACAGCGTGAGCAGAGCCAGGACCAGAAGCCAAAGTCAAAGCAAGAATCAAAGTCAAAGCCAATCCAGAGTGAGGTCCACAAGTAGCACCCTCCGCACCTCGCTCAACAACCTCTCGCTAGAGACGTCGACGACCAAGAAAGCCGGGCTGAGGGCCTACTTGGGTCGTGACGGAGGGGGATCCAGATCCGGTGCCGCGTCACCCTTTGGGACCGACGACGAAAGTGACGGCACTCCACAGTCGGAAGTCAAAGTGAAGGGTGGCTTCGGCAAGGATCACCACGACCATAGTCAAGGTCACAACCGGAGCAACAGTCACGGTCAAAGCGGCCATGTCCAACAAACCCCGAAATTCTCGTCGTCTTCACTGGCCCGCGCGTTGAGGGGGGACTTTGACCTCGACGGCAACGGCGGTGGTCATGTTCGTTCGTTCGACGACCGGACCGCCGTCGCGGACCCGTTGGGCGATCAACCTAGTGACGCCGAGGTCGAGGAGGCGGATTTGGAAATGGGTACCAAACGGCTAGAGGAGCTGGAGATGGAACAGATTATTGAAGAGGAGAGGAACGAGAGAAGCCACAGAGGGAGTGTTTATTGACGTCCTTCCTCTTGACTTCACGACGTGGCACCAACAGACGGGGGGATAGAGAAGCGAAGAAAACAAAGGTACTCGCAGGTGACGTGGTGGGCCTGAAGTACCATGAGTATGGGTGTGGCTATGAGTGTTGCAATGAGCATGATGGCATTGGCATTGGGTTGCAGTGTTGGTGTTTTCGTGAGCTACATAGAATGTGCATACAAAGAAAAGAAATGGACATGAAAGATTACCGTCGTCATCACATTTACTCGCGATCCACCACTACTAACTAGTCACCATGATTAATAAATACTACCCACATAGGTATATCTAGGTGTAAGGTAGACGAGGGAGGTCGGGGGCATCTCATTGACATGTGCAAAATACGTTCGTTCGTTGCTTCATTCCCGAAACCCAACCTCACGGACTCTCCTCCACAAGGCTCGCTTGTCAACCACCGTCTCCTTTGTCGGGAAGATTCTCAAGTCGGCTTCTGTGCGTACGAACTGCAGAGGTACCATGCTTCTTCTTCGCATCTTCTCGTCCTCCTGGCATGTATCGTAGCGCAGGTGGTTCACGCCATTCACCCCCGCGGCGCCAGGATTCCACGTTCTTCGAAGCGGGAGGTCCGTGAATCTGAATCCCGATCCGTTGAGACGATGTTGATCCTCGTCCTCCAAAATCGTCGTCGTCGCCGCCGCCGCCGCAGCACCACTCGTCTCGTTCTTCGTCTTCTGCCGTGCGACGTCGAGAATCTCACTGAAGCTCCAGAACGCAGCGCCCTTTGTGGTCCCCACGACTTGCATCTCCATCTCCCTCCCCCCTGCACTTCTGGTCAGTGAACCGTGATCGGCTGCCGTTGGGATTCCGCCGACAACCACACTCCTTACAGTACCGGGTCCTCGTCCTGTACCCTCACCGCTGGTACCGGCGGTTCGGATATGAGTTGACAGGAGCAACTCGACAAAGACGGCACATGTACTGCCACAAAAGCCATCGGTTAGAACCACGACGTTCTCCGGTTCAAAGACCGGTTTAGTCGGGATAGGTCCATCCTCATCCCCATGCTCGTCCTGGTCCTCTTCCTCTTCCTCAACCGCCATACGACGCTGGATCCCACGTGGAGCTGTCGCCGTACAATTGATCCTGAAAGGAGCCGTTACCTGCCTCAGCCCTTGGCCTCCGGTTCCACATTCCCCATTTCGATCCGTCATACAAGAATCACGACGCCCGTCCCGGTACGAGTAAAAGTCATCCCACGACGACCACGCCGTTCCATCCACGTCAAGAAGGGACCGAACATCAAATAAGCTCCCGGTCCCGGTCCCGCTCTCGCCCCTGTCGTGCGGCCCAGTGTCCTCATCCTTCGCGTGATGGTCCTGTGTCGTGCCACTGGTCCTGCCAGTACGAGAAGCCCGACCTGAATACTCGTCGTACCCCACGCCTAGATCCCTCAGCACATTTGACGCACGCATATTACCGTACACTTCGTACCCGACGTTCGGGAATATACGTCTCGCTGCGTCCACTCCCAGCTCGAGCGTACCGCCGCCGTTGCCGAAGAGGTCAAGGATCAATTTTGTCCTGGGGCTGGCACCAGAGTTGAACTTGCACTTATCCAAGAACTTGGCGAGTGTATGCTGAAACCCAGCGGAAGTATCGTCGTCGTCGTCGTCATCGTCATCCATGACACTAAAGTCGAGAATGGCAAGGACTGCCGTATCGTTGAAACCATCATCTTCTAAAAAGTATCCTGTCATCCTCCCCTTTTTGTCCGTCACGATGGGCGACGGCGGGTAGAATGGCAGAGTGGTGATGAAATATTCAGATCCGGACTCTGCTGGTGGTGCCGGTCTCAGATGTTCATGCTGATGCTCATCGTCATCGCCTTTCGAGCTATTCAGATAAACCTGTGTATCCGACGCAACTTCTGCTGCTATTGATGTGCTCTGCGACACAATCTCGCTCATGTTCTTCTTCTTCTTTTTCTGGTGACAGAATTTCTCATACGCACTTCTCCCATCGTACACTCCGTCGAAACCGACATGGACCTCCGCGACCGTTTGAATACGTACGGTCGTCCCGTTGGCAAATCCAAACACAGTCTCCGGACCAGGGTAGAAAACCGGATTCGGAAACGCGCCTTGCTTTGCCGACAGGTCGAAATCATTCAATTGCGAAATCTCAAAAAACAGGAAATTGTATGCTGCGTGGGGATCGTGAAAGGGGATTGCTGAAGATTGATTGAGGCTCATGGAGAGAAGAAAGTCAGACACTGGAACGCCGTTGATGCTTGCTATCAGCGATGGATCCTGGGCGTGAGCATTCGCGTGCCGCTTGCTGCCGTCGATCCACGAAAGCATAGGGATCGCATTGATCTCGTCGTCGGCATCAACGATGATTTCGAGAACATCGGATACAAAATATACCTCGACCCAGCGGTGTTTTCCCTCTGACTGCGATATTGAGTCTGAATGTGGATGAGGACTGGGATCCTGCGAGACTACCGATACGAGACTTGCCCCGGGTATCTTGAACGAGCCGACACCAAATAGGTCCGGGATGAAGTTGAAATGAGCATCATGGGCCGAGAGGAAGGTCTTGTACAGGGAGGTCTGGAAGCTATATTCGGATATATACCTACCAGACACGACGTCGTCGGCGAGGGATCGCAGAGACGCTTTTATGTCGACGGGGGGATGTTGCCAGTCGTCGCCAGGGGGCGCGGATAGGTATTCCAATGTCGATTGAAGCTCGATATATGGTTCCAATGCGTGAATCAGATCTAGAGCCGCGGATTGATTTAGCGGAATGGATTGTAGACATGCGTGGAAAAGAGCGCCGTCAACCGTCGCTGTGTATCAAGCGAGTGAGTGAGTGAGTGACTTGGTAAAACCCATATGTTGAATGTGACCAACGGAGCTGCAATGCTTACCTGTACTCGTACTTGGAGGAGTAGTACCGGTAGGGTTGGCGGCCAAGTAAGACGCACTGGAAGCGCTGACGACGGCACTGACTTGGGCACATGGCTCAGGAGACAAGGAGGGTACAAGCGGTGTCTGGTGGGCAAGGACAGTAGTAGCAACAAGATGGCATGCAGCGATGAAGGATAACCGCATATGGTCGGGAACGAGACCTCAAATCCATAAACATCAACGGAGAGTAGCCAGCGGAGACTGACGGTCAACAATTCACATTTATTCATACAAGGCACAACAGAGGATGAGAAAGACTAGTGTCCATGTGGCCTTCTGTGTAGATGAGAGGATGAGGTTGGGAGGAGTCTAGGTCGACGACGAAGTGCGGGATACAAATGCCCACTATCTCGGTATGGAACTTGAGAATGGACCATCATGAGGGCAGGTTGGCATTTCCATGGGTCCATACGCCCTGGCTGGCCGAGCAGGGGTATTCGTAACCCAGTAGTAAGTACGGAGTAGTCCATAGGGAATTTCAACAACGACATGTGAAAATGTCCTCCGTATGTGAGGGAGAGACATACATACAAGTAGGTATGAAGTGAGTATTAGTACGTACAGTAATTCGTACTTCACCCACTCATGGTAGCTTTACTCCGCCACAGTAATGGAGGTCCAAAACATATGGAGCCTCCATGCGTGCAAGAGCCGCGAGTTGTACTGGTACTCCGTACCTTCATAATAATAATTTGGTAAGTTGGTAAGTTGGTGAGTTGTTGACTGTCAGACGAGTTGTCGAATACGAGAATCCGGAAATATCTGAATGATCAAAAGACCGCCTAGTGAAGGCCCTGCTTCTACAAGTTCAACCCAGAGGGAGGAAAAGAAGATCCCTACGATAAGGTTCTCGCATGACAGGGGAATTGTCTTCTGGTACGGTGGTACACCGTACGTGGTATAGAGAATTGCGTGGAGACCAGGGAGATTCGGTATCTGTTATTGCACAAGATATGATCGACTGGAGAGAAGAACAGAACAGGAACGAGAAGAATACAGTACGTACTAAACAAGATCTTGCAGTCAAATCATGAAACTCCAAGGGGTCGTCGTCGTCGTCGTCGCGTCGCGGAGATGAGGATCCATATATCGCGCTATGCCATAATCAGTCATTCCCTTGCCAATGAGTGACCCACATAAGGGGCAGCCCAGAGCAACAATCTCGAACGCTTGCGAGTGTTTGTGATAAGCCCTGATGACCATTGGCCATTGCGTCGAGAAAGCGAGATGAAATCGAAAGAGAAATGCAATTGATCCAGACACTAGTTGGGAAGTACGAGGTATTGTGACCAAACAATTCATTGTCATGACATGTCCATCGTGTTCTCATACCGTAGAGATACCCTGTCGACCACCTACCACGAGGCAGGATCGAGTAACAATTCATCATACAAAAGCCCTCCAAGGTTCGTAACTCTCATCATACAATCTGCAAGTACACCACTCCGTACTCGACGCCTCCTTCCCGATCCCCGATCCGTCTTGCTAACTAGTAGCTCTCCCATACCTGTTGTCCCATGGCCACAAGTCGATTGAACAATTCATCTCGTTCGCTGAGCGCCATAGCACGGTATCTCTTGCCGTCCTTTGTCACAATTTCAATTCCATCCTTGACTTCTCTGCTCGTGGCCCACCCTACAACAATCTTACCTTTCCAACCTATGCCTCCGATCTTCTTGATCTCAACGATGTCGGGTATCGAAACAGCCCAGTCGGGATCTCGCGGCATGCTCTCGACCCCTTCGGTTCCATCAAGATGTGTAGTGAAGTACACACACGGCGAAGCTGGTCGGTGACCATTTGCCGGTGAAACCCTACTGTCCACGTACACAGCTCCCTTCCGGCCATTGTATCGTCCTTTGAATTCGACGGGTCCTTCGACAGGTTTCTGCTTCATCTCTTCTCGAGAGGGCAATACGCCCAGCTTCTCCTTGGCATGGTGAGAACCAAGAGCAGCTCGAGCAGAATCTGTCGCAAGCTTCGTCTCGACGCCTCCGGCTGTGGTATGCTTGAAAACAGACATGAGTTTGGCGCCGAATCCTCCCTTCTTCTTCTTTTGATCTTCAGCTTCCCCAGCTTCTTCTCCGCTTGGTTGATCTACCGTAATAGCATCTTCAATCTCGGAATGTGTAGCGTCGAGCCCATTCTCGGTAATTGCCTGCTTGTCAACATCGTCTGCCGGCTTGTCCGCAGGTGGTTGGGCCGATCTCGGCGGAGGAGGCAATGGAGCTCGGTTGGCTTCACCAATTCGAAGCAAAGTGATGGTAAGTTGCGCATTGGTAGGTACACCTTTGAGCAGTGTGTTGCGGATCTCCAGATACTTTGGCCAGTCAGGGATCTTCTCGTTCAAGAGGGCAATACTTCGTTGCATAACGGGGTCCGAGAAAAAGGCAATTCCGGTGAAGAACGTCGTTCCCTTGACAACCCACTGTGCCTTGACAAACAATGAAAGAAGCAGAAGAGGAACGAAGATGGCACCCAATTGAAGACGCTTGTTCTGCTCGAATGGTGGTGTGGGAGATAGAGCGTTGGCTATGCGCTCCCAGCCATCTGAAATCTCACCAATTGCATGCATAGTAGGACGCATCTTGGCCCACACAGCAGCTTCCATAGGCTGCTTGGTCTTGTCATGAGTTGGTTCCGGAACACCACCCTGTGCAGCGGCAGAAGCATCGGCGGCACTGGTGGCAATATTTGTAGGATCAGGCATGCTACTGTTGATAGTCTTGCTACCACCGTCATCGTCCGGATTCGACTGATCATGTCGACCAGCGGCACTTGAAATGGCCACCGAGGCGATGCCACTGACGAGGTTGCTGGCTTCCTGTTCGACAGCTTCGCCCTTGTGCTTCTCTGGAGCTCCAGTCACACTATCAGTACTACCAAGAACTCCAGCCATCGGCTTCTGCACGCCTCCGGTTTTGGGGTCCACGAGGGGAATCGGAGCAGGAGGGAAGAGGATGCTGCGGGAGCGCGGCACAGTGATGAGCACGATAACGGTGGCCAACATGGTAGGAACGATAAAGTCGAAAATCCATGCCAGCAAGTAGACTGCAGCGAAAGCAGCAGTTCGACGTGGCTCGCGCCATGATCGCAGTCTGGCAATATGTTTCCAAAAACCAATGACGCCGACAATGACCGTTATGTACAGCCGTTCGAGGTTGGCACGCAATTTGTCAGGGGAGAATTCATCCTCTTCAGCAATGTTAAGATCCAACCCTCCAGGTGGTGCTTCCGGAATCGCTTTCACATGGTACATTTGCTGGCGGCGTGGTTAGCTTTTGATCAGATCATTTCCCTCTGGCTGGTATTGTACTTGCCCTGTTGAACCTTCTCACCAGCGCCCACAGATCTTCATTGAGCAGTCCACCGACCAAAGTTCCTACACCCACAGCATTGGCTTGCCATCCCAAATTGGTTGTACGATCTTCCCTACCAGCCTTTTGAGCCGCACCCAATTCTTCGTGGTCACCTGCACCAGTGGCCAGTTGGTGGCTTGTAGAAGAGTTTTGGGCCAGAGGAGCCTTGTCTGTTGCCGTTGTAGCCTTTGAGGCCTCGGTGATTCGTTTGCGAAACTCAGAGTCTGGGGTCTCTTCTGCAGGAGGAGTGGCTCCCCCGTCGCGAAAGACGTAGCCCGGTGTGGGCATCGTGGAGGATAGTGGAAGAGTTCCAGATGAGTATTATGTGTGCAAAGGCAATGAAACAAGAAGGAAAGGCCGTTGTGGGTTGAGGAGAGTGTTGGAAGAGATGATGCAAGGAGAGAATGTTTGCTGTGTACCTAGTTGTATTGTCTTGTCCAAGCAGTATCAACAGCCTGCGCAATGAAGTCGTTGGAGTGATGGACAGGTAAATTGTGACTTGACGTCACTGGCGTCCTCCCGCTTCGGGGCATCTCTAGGCGTTGGAGGCGTCATTAGGGGCGCCGCTAAGAGAGGCTTGGGCGCCACTCACAGCCTATAGGCGTTCAGTGACGCCCCGATCGCCCTCAAAAGGCCCGTTAGCCACCAATCGTCAGCAGTCGCCAATCTGCACTTGGTCTTCATCTCTTTGTCCCACCAGTTCCACCACTTTGATTCACATGCCAGCCAAGTTGGTGGCAGGCAGGATACGCATTGACCAGGCTGTTGGCTTGCGTAACAAGTGCTGCTGAGGTGAATGACGACAAACTCTCCTTTTTGGCCCAAATGTCGTCGAGTTAGCAACTTGTCCTCGTACTATGCTGGCAATAAGAGGGACAAAGGTTCAAAACACGAAACATGAGGAACTCCTAGCGTCATGTGGCTTCAATATGGGTATCCTATTATGCCCAAGTTAGCTTCGCATCTACCTACCCAAGTCCTTGTATCTTGTCTGGTATATTCCTCAACACACCGGTCATATCAGATCATAAGGTCACAATTGAACTCCATCAACATCCCTTGGAAATTAACCACCTCTATACAGAATAAAATGTCTCGTGAGGCTGCAATGGACCTGCCTGTGCCATCGTATATGGTTTGCCATGTACATATCGGCTTCTCATCGGTTCTTCGTCGATCGCGCAATGTATTTGACCGTCTCGACCACGAAACCAGCCGAGACCGTACCGCTTGCCCAGTCCCATTAGTCGTTGCTCCATTTGTTTGTTGTTCAAAGTCTCGGTATCGATGAAATCTGTGAGCATATTACTCGAGTATATGAACGCCAGTATAGCCGCAATGGTGGATGGCTCTCGTGGTAAGAATGGGTGGCGGCGTCGCCAATATACTATTGATGTCGTGCAGATGACAATCACAAGGATCGTCACCGACAGGATCAGCGAAGCCCAGAACGAGGCGAATGTCTCGTCACCACTTGAGTCGTCCTTGTCTTTCAGCTTCAAAAAGACTTCTGAGTTGACAGAAAACGAACCCACGGTGACGGTGAGAATGTCCAGGAGAAGCGATGAGAACCCTACTAATGCCACGAGGTAATGACGGTTCCAGAGAGCTTTGCATGTGATCCAGCCATACACAGTGGCTTGGTAGTCGAGGGTCAGGCTGTTCTCGGGCTTCGCATTTCCCTTTGAAAGCTGATAGAATGGTTCGATAAGTCGAACATCGGCTTCGAATGTGCTGAAGGTTAATTTCAGTGCCGTAGCAACAACAATCGGCAACCACGGTACAGCGTTGGGAACCACTCGGGCTGGCGTCAAAGTGATAAGGAGCACTGCCACCATGCATAAGAGCATGAAGATGAGGAAGGGAATACCAAACTCCAACCGAAGCATGATGGGGTGCGGACTGGTCAGCTTCTTCTCACTATCCAGCACAGGGTCACTGGTCGAGGTCCATTCACCTTGCCAGATGGACGATTTATAGAGCACATATCGTCTATGCTGGAGTCTTTTATGAATTTTTCCTCTTGTGGCCATGTCTAATCCAGAGAAATCTTGCAGGATGTGTGATTTGGTGGCCATGGACGCGATTCCCGCAATCCCCTTCGGATCACTCAGCAAGCCAGACTTCCGGCGGAGTTGGAAGAACAGAACCACCAGAACGAGAGCCACAATCAGGTAGCTTGCCGAGAGCAGACGCGACCATACAGGGTCAACTCGGAGCCAATAGTGCTTTTCGTCGGAATCTCCGCATCCACCGGCGTTGCACTTGGGGTTCGGATTAGTCTGCATATCGAGGGAGGGATTCTGGAGGGAAGGCCCGACCATCGATGCGACGATGTTGCCCGTGGTTGAAAATAAGACGGCATATTGTTTTAGGCGAAAGGCCTTGAAAGGTACAAAGTATTGAAACATGGTAAGATGATCCAAGTTGAGACTCGCCGAGGCCAGCGCACCGCCGGGTCGTGACAATTGATAGAAGGGCTCCAGTCGGCGGATGTCGAAATCCATGATCGAGAAGAGTACGGCATAGACAATGCAGACCATGGTTGGCAAATCTATCGCGGTTAGCCAAGAGTCGAACGCTGACCAAAGGTCTACTCACATTTCCACGCAAAGAAATCCCATGTCGAGATCTCAGCCACGTGGTTGAAAGCAAGAAGTCCACTATTCTCCTTTGTACGCTTGATGGATCTTTGACACAGATACTCTTGAAGTCCGGCCAGACCAAGGGCAAGGGCCATCAAGACCAGAATATAAATGCTGCTCATGGAGAATGGCTTCCAGTTCGGAATATCCGGATCCTCGGGGAAAAAGTAACTCTTCGTTTCCTGTGGCATGATGCTTTGTCGGTCCGAAGTGGTCTCGAATGCTCGACTGGCTCGATTGTCTGGCTGTCCACCTTCTAGGGAGCTCAAGTCGACCGCCTCCTCTATCTCGACAATCATGTTTTTCTTTTGCGCCAGATCCTGACCCAACTGTCGCACAGTCTTAGCTCGATCGATGCCAGTGCTTAAACCACCGCCAGAACCACCAGTAGGTCGTCTCACGACTTTAGTCGGGTCGCGCCTCAATTGGACACCTATGTCTCTCATACCTTCTCCCACCGAACGACGCTTCTCCACGAAGCTGCGAAAGTCGGGCTTTCGCTCTGTGCTTGCCGGGGGATTATATGCTGTATCTTCTCCAGGATGTGATACATCTAAATGAGACATGTCGTTTAGCTCCCAGCCCAAGCCCGCGAGTGAGGATATGTCCACAGTGCTAGCTCGGTTGTCATCCTCGTCGTCGAGTGTCGCATATTGCTGTCCTTTCGTCCTCTTGGTGGAGCGAAAGTGAGGCCGACCGACAGGCGCAATTTTGGTGGTTAGCCGTCTCAGCATCGATGAAGCATTCGATGGTCCTGGGCTCAGTCGCCGAGTCTTTGTTGGCGTGGGCGGCTCAATCATTTCATAGGATCCTCCACTTTCGTCAATCGAACCCAGCCGCTCCTCTCTTGAATTACCTCTCGAGTGTCGCCCCCGGTAGAATGTTCCCGGCTCTGTGGCAGTAATCGTAGTTGCCATCACATTGGGTGGATCTCTACTGCTCAGGAGTCCAATTCCGTCCCCGGACGACGGCCTGGACCCAGACCTCGTTGTCGAAGCATTGTAGCGGTCATCCATGACGGTCACTCGAGGTTGTTTGATCGATTAGGCGCAGTTCGAGTCCAATAAGACTACCGCACGTTCATGACTGGATGTTCGACCACCCAGTTGACGTTGCACATACTGGTCGAGGGTTGAAGCCGATGACCTCGCTCCAAGATGGCGAGCGACGGTTCCCGACGACAACAGGACGGAAAGCTCGCGATGTGTGATTGAAGTAGAGGGATCAATTTTCGGATTCACGTTCACAGAAGCAGAGAGAATCTGCGCGTAAGAATTGCTCTGCGAGCCAGGAATTGCGCTGGCTAGGCGACCTGGACTCGAGGAGATTAGGCCTCGCCTGTGGACTGGTAGGGCTGACGCTAAACTTTAGTCCCGATAGGCTTTCCACGGGATGCGCAGAGGCTGACTACGGGTTAGATAGGGGCCGCTCAGAGATGCATCATGATTCATGACTCGGGCTGCAGGGAACATAGTCAGTTGGGGTCGTGGGTTCAATGAAAGAGAAACGATAGTTGTTCGTGGCATGGGGGTGACGAGAAACGTGCGCGAGACAACGAAGGTCGGAGGATTGATGGCCTCACGGCGGACTACAGTAGCTCCTCAGGTGGACGGGGCTATCGTTTTCAGCTCTACTCGCTAGTGCGGCTTATGCGGCCCTCCTATTTGTGTACGAGGTGAGGCCAGTGGCTGCGCTGCGTCCGGCGCCAACCAAATGCCGTGGCTGATAGTGGCCGCCGTGCCCCTACGACTTGGAATGAGCGGCTAAAGGAAATCCTGGAACCGACAGGGCTGCATTTTCTGCTCACAGATATCTATGCGGATGCCACCTCGTTCTCGACCGCGGCCTTGACTCCTTGATTGGGCGATCAGCAGCCACTTAGCTGATGAGACGGTGGAAGGCCTATGGAGGTCGGGCTGCGATCTCTGAGCTCTCGAGACAATGCGCCGCCAATCACACTTGTTTTTGCCATTCTCCATTCGTAACATGTCAGCACTCTCTTTCTATGGCCCTGACGAAAGTCGTTGATTCCAGTAAAATCCTTCGGCTGCAAAACTGTGACCTGATCATCAAAGTCTTCCACGATGCATGTTCATATCCACGAGGCCAGGATGTGTCGGAGTGGAACAGCGGCTATTTGCCGTGGACATAAATACTCCTTGCCGGCCGAATGAAATGCGCGAGCTCTTCCACCGGAGTTGTGAGCCCTTGGTCGTCTAGGACTATGAGGCGACATGTTTGCAAGATTCTCGAGGTGTGGCGCAAGTGTGTCGACAACTATTCAAAGAGCAATTGTGCCATCTGTTGTGGAGCAGCATTTTTGGTCGGTACTTCCATGGGAAGGCTCTCAATATAAAATGCTATTCTCTTTGCAGGATAACCATCACCCCCATGATTCCCAGCATGACACTCTTTAGCCATGGATGCTCACTGAGCATAATTGTGACATATCCCACTGCTGGTACATAGCCGCGCACGCTCCCGATGATGTCTTCTTTTCTGTCCAGGTAGCTTTGTCCGCGTGCGTAGAGCTCGGTATCGTCCGCGATGTTGTTGTCGCCTTTTGTCAGGAGTTTGGGCGAAGACTCAGACATGTGACCACTGAGACGAGTTGTGAGTATTAAGATCGATTGCAAGAAGAAAGGCGCAAGACCTACCTCTTGTCTACCTCGACAGAAGCCACTGGGGCGTAACTGCGAACAACACGGTGAACAATTGGAATGTCCTTGCCCTTGACATTGTACACCACGATTTCTCCCACCTCCGCCGTCTTGTCTCGATTCCACAGGAAGAGCAGGTCACCACGCTGGAAAGCTGGCTCCATCGAACCACTGAGAACGACCACAATTGGCGATGGAGAGTCTGAGATGACTGAGAGGGATTTCCATAGCATAAAGGCCGTGGATAGGACAAGGGCGAAGTTCAGGACTTGTGAGAGGGTTTGGCGAGGATTTGAGAGGTAGGGAGCGAATGAGGATAACATGGCTGCAGGATGATGTCGAGATTTGGAAGTCTTTGCACTGCTAAGTCAGGGATCCTGGATGGTCGACGGCATAACACTTTATTGTCTCGGGCTTTCGACGTGAAATGCTGCTGTGTTTGCTTCAGTGTGAAAGCCAGGTGGCCGTAGTTTGGCAGATACCACAGCCTGCGAAAGTCACTGGTAGTACGGAGTAAGGTACTGTATCTTGTTAAAGCCAGCCCGGTATTTAGCCGGATCACAGCCAGCATTAGGTGGTCCTCACTCGAACACTTTTTATTATTCTCCTTGTCCTTTACATTGCAACTACGAGCCCGTGAGAGGTGTTAACATTCATCTCAAAGGGTAATGAGCCCTAGCGTGTATGTTGAACACGCTCGGCATGCGAGCAGTGACCACCTAGATACCTGTCGCTGAATTCGGTAGTAGTCAAGATGCATTGTGTCGTGATACGGTAGGGATAGGTCCTAATAGGACATCACACTTTTCAGCACCAGCGTTGACCCCAGATATGGCATTGCGTGAGGCACACTATCATCAGTAAGCATGGCCTGAGGCACACTATCATCAGTAAGCATGGCCTGAGGCTGACATCAGGTAGGCCGGCCAGGGAGAATATGCCTGCGCCTTGGACGGAGTAAGGTAGGTTAGGTAGGGAGGGCCGTCGAGTCATACAGGTGGGCAATAGGCAGAGATGCTGAGATCTTTGTGCCCGGGAGCCGCCTAACTGAGGGCCCAGTTTGCCTTTGTTAGGGCCAGGCAGACTTACCGCATGCCCAAAAGTGAGCCAGAGGTGCCTAAGCTATGCCCACGCAGAGTGCCTACTCTGGCTCCATGCTGCACTTCTAGTTAGGTCTACCTCTTGCTGGACTTGGTTAAAAATTTCCCTCAGAGAGCCACAGGTGACAAAGTGACGGAGCCTGGTGACTCGGGTCGACCAGCCTAGTGCGCCTATAACCCACTTTTCGCGTTATACCGAAAACCGCTACATGTTGTCAAGGGCCCTTCAATGCCAGCTCATCATCACATCACATCGCCTCGCCTCAGTTCGCCCACGGAGTACAGTGCGCGATACTCTCACTTGACTCACTTCCCAATACCCAGTGACACGGACAACGCTACTCTCTATTCGCCTACCACATTCCTCCTCCACCGTCCACGATCCCTTCTGGGCTGCCCACCGACCTTACAGCATTGCGCAGGAACCGGCAGAAACAATTTCTCCTCCACCCATTCTTCAGCGATTGCTACGGCGCTCACTTGTTTTCTTGATAGGCTCTGACCGTCTCGACATAGCCAGCAAAATTGAGCGAACGAATAGTTGCCTCGAGTAGGCAACTCAGTCGCTGACTTTGGCTTGACTTTGTCACCTGTCCTCCCGACGCTTCTCATCGATTCACCACCTCGATTACCCCCGGAAATTCGATGCAGTTCGGATCGCTCTGACTGGAGGTCTTCTGCAACTTCTTACCCGTTCTCTGGCCGCGTTGGTAATTAAACCAGTCGGGTCCTTTGATCTCGCATTCACCGTGATCTCCTCCATTCCTCAGTACCCGAGACCTGATTGTAGACTCTGTTCGACTTTCCAAGAAATCATGTTGATGGAGACAAAGAGAAGGAGCATAACCGACGAAGCACATTGTTACTATTAGGCTGGCAATCTCGTAAAGCCAGTCCCCGGTGACCATGGTCAAGGCAGATGTGAAACGGGACTATTATGCGGATCTGGATCTGCCCTCCACCGCTGATGCCGAGGAGATTAAGAAGCGGTTCAGATATCTGGGTATGCACAACCTACCCTTCACCTCTTGATCTGTACTGACTGTCCCAGCGAAACAACTCCATCCTGACAGGAACCCCGGCCATGAAGTGGAGGTCGTTCCCAAGTTCCAGGCCGTTCAGGCTGCCCATGAAATCCTGAGTGACCCTGTCGAGAAAGCGAAATACGATGCTGCTCGAGCAAAGATGGCCGCTCGAAATGCCGCTGCCGCCGCTACGAACTACACTGACCCTTATGGATTCGCGAGACCGACCCCTACCAAGCAGACTGCGACACCACAATTCCCCTTTCCACCACCTCCCAAAGCGCCCCAGCGGGGAATGCCGCAACAGGCTTCAAGGGGTGCAGACAAGTTCAACGCTTTTACTCGGAGCGCACCTCAGTCATGGGATCGGGCAAGGTTTGACAACGCAAGAGCAGACGCCGCTCGTGGCTTTCCCAACATGAGGACGACACACACGAACCAAAAGATGCCCCCTACAGCACCCCGCCAGGCTCCCACGGCACCAAAGCCGTCCCCTACATCGGAAGTTCCTCATGTCCCCAATGTACCCCCAACCACCTTCCCCGGTCTCTCTAGAACTGCAAGCGCGAGAAAGCAAGGTTATACGCCCGGGACTCATGGCACAGATGATCAACAAGCTCCCCGATCCGCATATGCATACGTGAGGGGCACTCGCGGGCCACCACCACCATCTGCCCCTATGTATAATCAAGATGGAACTCCCCTGCAGTCACCTCCGGTTTCGAGAGCGTGGCCCGGTGCCAGCCCTCTGCGACCGACACGTTCAACCGATTACGATATGAAACAGGATTTTCAAGATGGCTCTCGCCCATCTTCAAGATATGCTGGAGCAGGTGGCGAAAGAACCGACATTCATGGAGACACCATGCACCACAGATCGTCGAGCGTTCGGAATTCCCCAATCGACCGTCATTGGGACGCACCTGGACCTTTCGGCAAGCCAGCCTCCAACTTTGAACATGTTCCTCGACATCGTAGTGCGAGTCCGGGCATGAGAAGCGCAGGGAGACATGCCGAGTTTTCTTCTGACACATCGTCTGACGAAGACGAGGCCTATAATGTGAACACGAGACCAAAGGCAACGCCACGGAGCCGACCTAGACCCAGGACCGCCGCGTTTGCCGATAATCCAGGCCTTACGGGGTCATTCCCTAGTACTAACTACACTAGAATCGTGAACGATAGCAAACACCAGTTTCCCTCCTCTGATTCCCGAGAAACACCTAGCAAGCCCTTTGCAAGCGAACCTTTCCCGGCCACCGAGGAGCATAAGACTAGCGATACACATGTCAATGGTGGACAGGAGGAAGTTTCAGACGGACCCAAGTATGCACGCTCCCGTACATTTTCTTACCCCTGGTGGACCCAAGCAGCAAACTGTCCACGTTCTACCGCTCGAGGTCTTTCGTTCAATGGTCTACCGTCCTGGGCGGTGCCAGCGTCTGTTTTCCCGCGGACGAGCCCGGCTGGTAGAAAGCGGGCGGACCCATTTGTTACTGCGCAGACCCCTATACCAAAGCGCGTATTTCCCCATAGTGAGGAACAAGCTGACCCGAGTCACAGTCATGAGCCTCAGCCGCCTTCCAAATTCTCTGCAGATGAATGGCATGAAAAGCTAAACGTGGACGATATCTTCCGGCCAACAGATTCTCAGATGCGCAAATCACCGTCCAAGCTGAATCGCAACGGCAGCAAACCCGCTACTCGCGGTAGAGGGATGTCTAGAGGCGTGGATCAAGAGAGTAGCTCATCCGCTGATCGCGCTGAAGATTCCAAGGCCAAAGCAGCTGCATTTCAAAAGGGAAAGCTACCTCCAGATTGGGGTTCAAATGTGAAACCAACACCGCCTCCAGGGGACACACGTACTGCAAGTGATCGGACAAGCCACGGCTCACATTCGACCGACGATTCGAGAGACCAGTATGTGGTAGTCGAGGAGGATATAATGGACGTGGATGATACGCCTCCTATGAAGGCTGCCTCGAACCCGACTCGTTCCAGTCCCTTCGAGGCCCATTCCACCAAGAGACGCTCGTCACCTGATGGCGGCGTGAATCTGCGAGAATTCACACAGCAGGCGCCCTTCGCCCCTACTGCAGCTGGGTTGAAAGGCCTGGACGACCTCGCGGCCCACTTGCCATTTGAATCAAAGCCAGAGGACAAATACGAGAAGGCGCCAACCAGACTGCGAGCTCTCAACTTACCGAAGCCACCAAAGGTGGTGATTCCGCCCGCTGCAGACCGGCTGGACAAGGCGAACTTCTTGCAGTACGTGGACAATATGAACGCATATATGCAAGACTGGAACAATTTCAATGCGACAATGCTCGATCACTTCAAAGCGCGACACAATCGAGTTTGTGGCACAATGTCTCAGAGTTGGGTCAGTATGCTTTGGGATGGCCCAGATGCCGACAAGATCGATGAAAACGGTACCCAAAAGGCTGGCTATTCTGCATATCTACAATGGTTACACGATGATGCTCAGTGCCGACAATGGTGGGATCATGCCAACGAGAAGCACTTGCAGTGTATGGAGGATTTGGGACGCGTTCGAGAAGTCGCCAGGAGAAAATTCCGGCCATCTTGATTTGAATGTTGAGCGGGCGATTGTACTTTTATTTGAATTACTTCTGCGAGCATCGAGTGGGAGATGAACATCAAGTTCACCCGTCTGCAAGGAGTGGGAAGCGAAGCATTTCCAATTGAGGCCATGCTTGTCTCGATACACGGCGAAGAGGTTATCATTTTCACACTTCTCTTTTTCAATGTTTGATGAACTCTTGCAGAGATGATTTTATGACCAGCAACCGGCATTGGAAAGGGGATTACGGGAAGCGACAGCAGAGAGCTTTACGCTGTGAACAGAGCCGAACATCTACTTAGATACAGGGATGACAATGACTAGACCAGAGCCGGGCAGATCAGGCTCATTAAGATCCGTGTTTATTCGGTTTCTACTCGGTCCTCGATCCTCGATCCTCGATGCTACACACCGGACTCCTCATCGTAAGTGGCCCCAGAATTCTACGGCCCTCGTACCTCGTCTGGGTACAGACCCGGCGATGAGAACAACGGGCCGACGTCAAACCAATCAAGCAGTGATCTGATACCCCGGGTGAAAATCCCCGGTTGACGTATCTTGACCTCGTCCGCTCTGTCATGTCCAAGTGATTACAGCACGTCTGCATCTCGACATCCGTGGTTGCGGTACTTTTACACGGAGGCTTCATCCACGATGCCAAGGGGGGTGTATGGACAGTAATAAGACGTGGACCCGTCGCCCGCAGGCTCTCAGTCTCACTACCGATTGCTCCCAAAGCGGTTTAAATGCCCTCGAAATCCTACATCTCGACAGCCAGGACTTTCACAACGCAATTGAGGCGTCAACCATCGAATTTTCACTTTCAATCCATCAAAAGATATAATAGCAAAATGACGAAAGATACAAACGTCACAATGCTCAAGCAGCCCACCAGGCGGGCATGGTGGAAGGAGAGCGCCGTCTACCAGGTCTACCCTGCGTCGTTCAAGTCCGACCGCGCCATCGTATCCCACGACCGCAACGGCCACCCCGAAATCAAAGGCGACATCCGCGGCGTTATCTCCAAGGTGCCCTACCTCTCCCGCTTGGGCGTCGACATCGTCTGGCTTTCACCCATCCTCAAGTCGCCGCAAGTCGACATGGGCTACGACATTTCTGACTACCTGGACATCGACCCCCTGTACGGCACCATGGCGGACCACGACGACCTCATCCACGCCCTGCACTCCCACGGGATGAAGTACGTTATGGACCTCGTGGTGAACCACACGTCGAATGAACACGAATGGTTCCGGGATTCACGGTCATCCAAGACGTCGTCCAAAAGGGACTGGTATTTCTGGCGCCCCCCGCGCTACTCGGAGTCGGGCGAACGCATGCCTCCCAATAACTGGGAGTCAGCGTTCTCCGGGTCTGCCTGGGAGTGGGACGAGACAACGCAAGAGTACTATCTCCATCTATTCGCGGCGGAACAGCCGGATCTGAACTGGGACAATCCCAAGGTGCGCGACGCCGTGCACAAGACGGTCCGTTTCTGGCTTGACCGCGGCGTCGACGGGTTCCGCATGGACGTGATCAACTTCATCAGCAAAGCCACCGGCTTGCCGGACGCGAAAGTCGTTAAGCCTGGTTTTACGCAGCCAGCCATCAAACATTACGCCTGCGGTCCGCATTTGCACGAATACCTTCAGGGTCTCGGGTCGATATTGCATGAGTACAGCGCGTTCAGCGTGGGCGAGATGCCGGGCGTGTCCGATACCAAGGAGATCATCAAGGCGGTGCGCCACGACCGCGGGGAGCTCGCCATGGTGTTTCAGTTCGATATCGTAGAGATGGACATTGCGCGTGATAAGGGATCGAAATGGTTCCCGGCCCCGTTTGACCCGCGCGAGCTGAAGAGAGTGACGAGCAAGTGGAACAGGTTCATGATCGAGCACCAGGGTTGGAGCGCGCTGTTTATGGAGAACCACGACCAGGGAAGGGCCGTGTCGCGGTACGCGGACGACAGCGAGGAGCACAGGGCGCACAGTGCCAAGATGCTCGGGGCGATGATGGCCCTCCAATGCGGCACGGTGTTTGTGTACCAGGGCCAGGAACTCGGGCAGGTCAACTTCCCCAAAGAGTGGGGGTGCGAAGAGTACAAGGACATCGAGGTGGTGAATCACTGGAAGACGGTGTTGCGTGACCACCCCAACGATCACAAACTGCACGAAATGTTCAAGGAACAGTATCGCCGGATTGGGCGCGACAACGCCCGCACGCCGATGCAGTGGAACGGCAACGAAGAGACGTACGCTGGCTTCTTGCCCGATGACCCAGAGCGGCGGCCCAAGGACGTGAAACCCTGGATGAGGGTCCATGACGATTTCAAACAGTGGAACGCAGAGAACCAGCTGGACGACGACAACAGTCCGCTTCATTACTGGAGGCGCGTGCTCGAGCTGCGGAAGCAGTACAAGCACTGTTTGGTCTATGGGGATTTCGAAATGGTGGACATGGAGCACAAGCATGTCGTGGCGTACATCAGAACCGACAGAGATACTCAGACTGAAGAGTGTATGGATGACGAGACTCGACCGGACAAGAGCAAGTGTTTAGTCTTGAGCAACTTCTCGGGCCACGACGTTTGGTGGACGATGCCCGTTCGGTTCACAGAAATGCTCGTCGATGAGGAGACGGAAGGGGGAAAACTGAAATCAGATGCTGTTCTCGATCATTTGCGGAATTATAACAGCAAGAACGACAAGGAGAACGAAGTCAGGAAGCAGGACGACACTAATCCACATGGGCACTGGGCCATACTTTTGCGACCTTGGGAAGTCATTGTCGCCATGATTTGATTTGGTTTGGTTTCATCTGATCGAATGGAATCAAGATGGCAAGTAAAAACATACAATTCCTCGTAGGTTTCCCCTTAGATTATTAGATTCATGTATGTACCATTGTTCGATGATCCTCTCATTCAATATCATGGAAAATTTCATCATACATGTTTCTTGCCCTGGCGATCACCACCAGGTCCAATCGTCTCATGTGAGTTGCCAGCAATCTTGATGGATTGATCTTCGCCAGTCTTAATGGTGGTGGCATCGTCTTCCTCCACAGAGACGGTGCCCAGTACATCCTCTTGGCCAGCCTGGCTGATCAGGCTCCTCAACATGGCCTCCTCGGTCCTGAGATACGAGCGCTGGCCCTGGACGAACCAGAATCCAAGGGCAATGACCAACATGACGCCAAACACGGCAATGGCCCAGTTCATATCCGCGGGTGCCGGGTTCGGATCGGTGGGGAAGAAGAAAAACACGGTCGTGACGACACAGTATATCACGCTGACGATGTTCGCAGCGACGCCCCACCGGCCCAGCGTGAACTCCCCGCGCACAGGCAGCTTGTCCCTCCCCTTGGCCAACAGGACGACGATCGGGATGCCGTACGAGACGGTCAGGGCGATGGTGCTCACGCTCAGAATGGCCTGCAGGACCGTGTTGGCAAACAGGTACAGGACGCCGACGACGGCGATCAAGATGCCCTGAGCGCACAGCGCACGCACCGGGACACGCCAGTGGTCGCTTACGACGGCGAGGTGCTTGTGCCACGGCAGTCCGCCGTCGCGCGCGAACCCCCAGGTCAAGCGGCTGGCGGTGGTCATGATGCTGATGTTCTGCCCGACGCCGTTGACGATGAACAGGGCCAGCAGTACGGCAGCGCCTGTGCGGCCGACGGTCGAGAGGCACAGCTCGACGAACGGCAGGTCCGCGGCCGTCAGGTCGTCGATGCTCTGCACACAGAACAGGCAGACGGTCATGAACACGAAGCCTGAGACGGCGCCGATCAGGACCGACAGCCAGATGACGCGGGGCCCGTTGCGGCTCGGCGCCGGGAGCTCCTCGACCATGTGGATGCAGGCGTCAAACGCCGTCAGACCGTACGCGGACTGGATCAGACCCGTGAACCAGACGACGCCGCCGGGCCAGGACGTGTTGTTGATCCAGGCGCCGAAGACGAACGAGGCCGGTTGGTACGCGACCGGCGTGCGCCCAGACTCGGTCTTGATGCCGACCGAGATGAGCAGCGCCAGCGCAAACGCCAGGAACAGCAGCGTGAACTGGACGCCGACGACGTTATTGATCCACGGCAGCACGCGGTCCTTGCGGCACGCGACGATGTTCACCACGGTCAGCAGCGCCGTGAGGCCGACGTAGATGAGGAACGAGAGCCAGTGGTGGCCGTACCCTGTTGCGCCGGCCCAGTCCGGGCGGAACAGAGTCTTCATGGCGAGGATAAAGTTCGTCATAAAGGCCGTCTGCGACGCTGTCAACGTCCACCAACCGAACGTGTTGATCCATGCACACATGTACGACACGAACCTGCCCGTCGGCGTAGGCACGATGCGGAAGATCCAGTACGCCTGGCCCAAGGCCGTGGGCATCGCGCTCGTCAATTCGCCCAGCGACACGGCCACGCACAGGTTGCACGCCGTCACCAACACCAACCCCCAGAGGATGCTGACGGGTCCGCCTGCCGTCAGCCCCGATGCGAGATTCTGCGCAAGCGTCGACCACGTCCCCAGCACCGTGAAGGCGAGTGCTAACATGCTCCATAGGTTGAACTGGCGCGGAAGCTCCTGGGTGTGTCCGAGCGTGGCGAGGACGTCGGCATCTCGAGAGACCTGGACATCGTGGCGTGATGGTTCTCCTGATGTAGAGCTTCTTCGGTGGTTGACTATTGTCATATCGTGTTCTTTTATTTGTAGCTGCGGAGCCAGATTTGTGTCCTCATTTGCAGGAGTCGTAATACAGGGCTAGTGAGGCTTCAAAAATTTGTAACGAGCTGCTGATGCTGATGCTGCTCAAGGGAAAAAAAAAGTAACCGGCTTTTTCTTTCCTCACAATATCCTGCTCCTCCTCTTTGATTAGAAGTGAGGCAGCAAGGCAGGACCCTCGACGGGGTATTTGAATAGCTGCCTGTGTGTCACACGGCGAGACCGGCCAGAGGGGAGGCAAGGCAAAGCCGTGCAAGGGCCCGCGAGGGATAACGTACTGCGCGTAGCTTTACCCCAGAAAAACTTCTCTCTCCGCCCCCTTTGCACGCACCCTGTGACAAGCTCCGTGTCCAGTGGACTCCGGCGCGATGAGATGTATGTGTTTTGGAAACTTTGTGTGCGGCGAGACAACTGATTACCCCATAGTTGGAACGGGGTGTGACTGCAAATTTCGTCCACTACCTCTCTGTACACTGTACAGTACTGTACGTGTACGAAAGTATCCGTGGGGGAGAGTTCCACCCATCGCAAAGCAACGTGTGTGGCCAGGAATCAGGACCCGGTGGAGGAACGTCTCAACTTTCCTTTTTCGGCGCATGGAGAATTCCTCATGTCCAGGTCTCCGTGGCCCTTGCGACCGCATCTGACATCTTGTTACCAAATACCCGGAAATCGCAATGTGTCAATGATACGGCCAAGTCGTAGATCTTGAGTCAAGCTTTCTGGTATTCCGGCTCCTTACATCGTCTTTACATACCTGTCTCGGCTACGAACGACGCCGATGGGTTCCGCTGGACATGGCCGCCGCGTTTGCTGGCCAGAATGGTCGACGCCTTCAGCGGAGATTCCCTCAATCGTGACGGATACGCGTAGGAGTATCGTGTAGCTCATCTCATCAACTTAAATAATAATAGACTGTCATTCATCTGCAAAGTGTTACGGAGGCTGGAGAACGCTCTTCCGATCCCGGCCGGTGCCGCCTGTTCCAGGAGACTTTTGAAAGACACATTGATTATTGTTGATGTCGATGTTGATGTTGGCTTGAAGAGTATCAAACCTTGTCGATCTGGATGTCCCTGGATCTTGCAATATCAGTAAGTGAATGTGTCGACGGTGACCTCGACATCGAAATAGTGTCGTCTTCACATATTCTGGCGGTGCTCGTAGTCGTACCGTTGTGTTGATGGCTATGAAATTTCGAGTTTGTCCTCGCTCACCGGTACCGTCACAGCGCATTCTGTGGACTTCGTTCATTCTGGCAAATCCCAGCACCATTTGGATGCATCGATAAGCACTGATATGTCGGTCTTTGGGCCAGATCAGGAGAGGCTGAGGAGGGTGGGCAAGTCAGCGAATCAGAGGGCTTTCCGATATACGCTATTCCTGAAATAGCAAGTACAGGCGTGAAGCCCTCAAGCCATACAACCTGCAAGCTTTCACCTTATCGCCCTCGTCTGTAGGGGCTCGATATAAAGCAGAGCCAGAGCCACAAGAGACACTTCACTCACCGATAGATCTCCCTTCAACCGAGCTCCCTCATTGTGAACTTCTACCATCACCATGTCTTTAGATACTGTGTCGATACCGGGCTACACGATCCATCGTGACGAGCCCAACGCTCCCTCTGCTCAAGTCGATTATTCACAATATACTCCTCATCCGTTAGGCAAGTCACATCCAAAGCCCTGGGTTTTCAAAGGTATCCAGCATCAACTGACACACGCCCAACAGACCAACTCTCGGTGCAGGAAATTCCTTTCGTGGCCAGACTGATCCGGGAGTTTGCGGCGCCCAAGAAGCTCAAGTTCAACTGCATCACGCTCCGTGAACCCCTCAAGAACGAATATGCGGCCTTCAAATCAAAACGAGGGCCGCGGCCCGACCGCCGAGCCTTCGCCATTGTGATAGAGCAAGGCGACTCGTGCAATGTCGCCGAGGTCGTGGTGAATCTGACCAGGTCGAAAATCGAGGACTGGAAACCGGTCAGCGACGTGATGCCCACGCTCACCCTCGAAGATCTGGACGTCATGGAGCGAATCGCCCGCACCGACTCCCGTGTGATCGAAGCTTGCCGTGGCCTGGGCATCACCGATATGTCCAAGGTCTTCTTTGACGCGTGGGCCATCGGTGTGGACGAGCGCTGGGGCTTCGAGCGCCGTCTCCAGCAGGGTCTGGCGTACTACCGCAACTCCAAGTTCGACAACCAATACGCCCACCCGCTAGACTTCTCGGTCACGGCAGACACGGAGCGGGAAGAAGTGCTGAGCGTTGACGTCCGGCTTGTCAACGGCGAGAGAACCCCGATTCCTCTCGAAGAGCACAACTACCTCCCCGAATTCATCCAGAAGGGCTACCGTCCCGACGTCCTCAAGCCCATCAACATCACGCAGCCCCAGGGCGTCTCTTTCCGCATGAGGGGCAACGAGCTCCACTGGGCCGGATACAAGATGCACATCGGGTTCAACTACCGTGAAGGCATCGTCATCTCGGACGTCAGCATGTTCGACCACCACGAACAACGCGACCGGACGCTCTTCAACCGGATCAGCGTCGTCGAGATGGTGGTCCCCTACGGCTCACCCGAGCGACCCCATCACAAGAAACACGCCTTCGACGTCGGCGAGTACGGCACCGGACTGATGTCGAACTCCCTCAAACTCGGATGCGACTGCAAGGGGGCGATCCACTACCTGGACGGCGTCCTCAACACGGGCAAAGGCGAGGCGGCGGTGATCAAGAACGCCATCTGCATCCACGAAGAGGACAACGGCCTGCTGTACAAGCACACGGATTTCCGAGACGGCACGGTGGTGTCGGCGCGGGACCGCAAACTCATCGTGTCCCAGATCATCACGGCGGCGAACTACGAGTACGGGTTCTACCACACGTTCACGCTCGACGGGACGTACAAGCTCGAAGTCAAGCTGACGGGCATGCTGAACACGTACTGCATGCACCCGACCGAGCAGGCGGCGCCGTGGGGCACGCAGATCGCGCCCAAGCTCAACGCCCAGAACCACCAGCACATCTTCTCGCTGCGCGTGGACCCCGAGGTCGACGGGCCCAACAACACGGTCGTGCAGAGCGACGCCGTCCCGTCCGACGACCCCGTCGGGTCCGAGGCCAACTACTACGGCAACGGCTTCTACTGCAAGAAGACGCCGCTGAGGACCGCCCTGGAGGGCGCCGCGGACTACTGCCACGAGACGAGCCGGGCCTGGGACATCGTCAACCCGTCCAGCGTCAACCCGGCGTGCGGGAAGCCCGTCAGCTACAAGATCATCAACAACTCGTGCCCCCGGCTGCTCGCCAAGCCCGGCAGCGTCGTGTACAAGCGCGCCGGGTTCGCGAGGAAGACGCTCTGGGTCGTCCCCTACCGGGACTACGAGCTCTTCCCGGCGGGCGACTACGTGTGCCAGTCCGCCGGCGACGAGAACCACCCCTTCAACTCGACCGTCGTCGACTGGGCCGCCAGGGACGAGTCCATCGAAAACACCGACATCGTGTGCTACGTCCAGTTCGGCCTGACCCACTTCCCCAGGACGGAGGACTTCCCCGTCATGCCCGCCGAGCCCGTCAGCGTCATGCTGCGCGCCGCCAATTTCTTCAAGAAGAACCCCGGCCTCTGGGTCGCCCCGTCCGCCTTGTGTGTCGATACCGCGTCCAGAGATGCGTTTGATGAGTCGTGTTGTGCCATGAAACAGCTCAAGCTGTGATTGATTTCCCTTTGGATACATGAGAGAAGAGAGGAGAGAAATCAAGAAAAAGAAAGAAAAAGAAGCGCAGGCGTGGAAACTTGTAGATTTGCAATTTTGTTGTTCATTTGGAGCGTTACGTATATGTTGTCGATCAATCACATAACGTATCAAGCCGTAAAATATCATGATAGTGGTAGAGGTACCCTTGAGTAAGAGCGGATACCTGATTGATCCGAACGGGGCATGCAACAGCACGGGAACAAAGGGGCTTGCTAGCTACGTATGTATGTATGTATGAACGAACGAAGGAACTCCTGTGTGGCGATGGTGACGGAGGTATTGGAGACAGGAGCAGTGGACAATACCCAAGATGATACCCTTATTATTGTTGTATCAAGTTTCCCAACTTGGACTTGGTAGACCTACTACCATAGTAATTGGTCATTTATACTTGTCAAGCAGTTCTACAACTTACAAGGCAGGTCAAAAATGTGCAAGCAAATACATTCCGACTATCCCTTTTATATCCCAACCTACAGTAGCATCTATCCTTGTTTCAACAGACCAAACGCGGCAATCTACTTTGGATACCTAAATTCAAAATCCCATCCCGCTCAGCCCGTCATTTGCAGATCACCCCGTCTCGTGAAAGCCGGACAGTTGACTCACTTATATTACAAACTTCCTACCACCACTTACCACCGCCACCTCTCCCTCCTCGTTCTCATCTCCTTCTCCTCCTCCGGTTCGTTCCACGCAATCGTGGCGGAACCATCGTCCATCCTAAGCATACTCCCTCGTCACTCGATCGCACCACTCAAACAACTTCGCGGCCTGCCCATCTTCCTTGGCCACCTCATCTTCCAGGTCCTTCCTGACAGACACACGACGACCCCACGGCACAATGTAGGCACCTTGATCCTTGATGGTCAAATCCTGAGACAATCCAGCGTACAGTTCGGTGTAAGCGCCGTAGACTGGTGGGTACAGCATCGCGTTGAAGAGCCATAGTAAAGGTTTTGGAGTGTGGCGTTGAAGATCCGATTTGAGGTTTCCAGGATTGTATGACTGAGTGAAAAAAAATCGGCGTTAGTAATGAGTACTGACTGCATAATGATTCTCGTTCTCTTCTCTCGAGGTCATCACTTACATTATGCAACACTCCATCCCTCTCACCGAATCTCTTTCCAAATTCATTCCCCAGGAAATAATTAGCGGCCTTGGTGATTGAGTAATTGGTTCGTATATCCTTTGAATCGTCCAGTGTCTCCTCGGACGACGACGGCGTTTTCTTCCACAGCATGCCGCCCTTGGGACTACCCAGCTCCACAGCGAGACTACCTGCCCAACTCACCCTCACCGAGCCCGCTGGCTCCGACTCGGCCGTGCGCTTGAGCACGGGAAGAAGTAGCTTGGTCAGCAGAAACGGTCCGAGAATGTTGGTTTGGAACTGCAGGTCCATCCCCTGTGCGCCCTTGGACCCCGAGGGGGGAATCATCACACCGGCATTGTTGTCCAGCCAGTGCAGTTTCGACTCGCGCCGCATGAAGTCCTCGGCGGTGCTCTTGATCGTCGAGAGGTCCGAGAGGTTGAGGTGTAGATATTCTAGGCCGCCCTTGGACGATGGGTGGAGGCTCTTGATCGACGAGATTGCGGCGGTCGCTTTGGATTCCGAGCGTGCCCCGACGTACACTTTTGCGTTGAGCGAGTAGAGAATCGCCGCGACTTGGTAGCCGATGCCCGTGTTGGCGCCGGTGATGAGGTACACTTTGCCCGTTTGGTCGGGGAGGTTCTTCTCAGTCACTGTCGGCGCGGGGATGAAGAAGGATTGGTTCCAGAAGGCACGGAGTGTGTGGAACATTTTGTTGGTTGCGTGACAGATTGACAGTATGTGGATGCGTACGAATCCTTGGGAGCTTTGAGTGTTTGGTGAGTTGGAGGTAAGTTGAATAGTTCAAGAATTTGGATACAGGACAAGAACAGCAAGGTATCTCGAGAACTTAGATGTAGAATCCGAATGTCGCAGATGGCACTCCCTGGGCCAGGTGGGTATTTATAATGGTGGAGAGAGATCTCCATATGTCCTCCTTCGAACCCCCTGCTCCGTGAGGTCAGTGATCGTTGCATGAGTCGGCGTCGGAATAACCTTGTTCCTACCTGCGCAGTTCCAGGTGTAGGTAGTAACTCGTCCGTCCCCTCCGTGTCTTTGACCGTGTGTTTCGCGTATTTCCTCCTCTTTTCTTCAGCTGATCCTGGCACGGCGACAGGCAGCAGTATTTTCGACGCACGGTACGAAAAATAGCCATGATGAACCTCGACCAAGGTCGCGCTCAATTTGCCGAATATCGAACTCGATCCAGGTCAAGCTTTGGGGATTAACACAACTCCACAAGAGCGTCAGCGACCTGCATTAGCGGTGGCGCTGCACCAAGGCTCACTAGGCTTCGCGAGGCCAAGTACCAATTAAACCAGCGTTGCTCGGAAACTTCCTACCGGGACTGGTGGATGCACTGGCCGTTAGACACTACTTTTTGCGGTTGTGGCTGGTGACGCTGACTCGGTTTCAAAAAAGCTCGGTCCCACCAACATGCAACATTCCCGGGGTTTAGGGACTCGAGTCCTCCTACCCATGTCTAGGGACTACAGCACAATCACTCGTCAGTGATCCTTCCGTCAATACGGGGACCGACACGAGGGACCCTTTTCCCCAAAAGAAACACAGGCTGACCGCCACGTCGAGACAAAGTTCCTAGCGGGGGTGGTTTGGCATGCCCTTGTAGCCTGGTGACTGTTTGCAGCGTTCGGAGGCCGACGGCGGAACAGCATACCCACGACTAACCAGGAGTCTGCATACGGTCGATTACAGCTTCGTTCATACCTAGTACTACCGTGCCAATCAACTCAATACCAAAGTCTCTCCAATATCCATCAATCCAATCTCTTCGCCCCATTTCAACCCTGCTTCCTCTGCTGCAATCTTCCAATTCTTCGGGGGCGTCCTCACGTCTTCGTAGTACATGGACAAGCCACCACGCACAGTCCCCCAATGCATTCCTATCGACCTCTTGCTTCGCACATCTTGATGAATCCGTATCGAGTCCCACGAATTGGCGTGGACATTGGACATGAAATCCCGCGGCTCGCATAGCCCGATGGGCAGAAGGGCCAAGTCAAACGGACCAAGTAGTTGCCCGACCTGTTTGAACGTCGGGCACACCGGTTGCGCATCCTCTTCTTCTCGAGTCATGTGTTGGCTGGGAATACTTCGATAAGCCGTGTCTCCGGCAAAGTACAGTTTCTTCTTACTGGCTTCGTTGAGGTCGTGGATGGCGTACGAGCACCACAAGTCGTGGTTCCGGTCGTTGATCCATCTCGACGAAAAATGCTGAGTGGGCGTGCAGGTGATGCGTACGCTTCCGACATTCTCAACACCAATTTCAGCGCCATCCCACCAGTCCAGCTCGGTGATATAGGCTCGATCAACCCCGAACGAAGTCAGCCATCGAGCGTTGTGCAGTCCGACGAGAAAGTGGACGTTGGAGGGACTCTTCGCGTAGATGGCTTTCAGTGTAGCTTCGTCGGCATGGTCGTAGTGGTTGTGACTGATCAGAACAACGTCAATGTCGACCGAGTCAAGCAGCTCCGTCAAACGACACGGAGTGGGCGTGTATCTCTTTGGTCCGAGCCAGCTGAATGGAGACGTCCTTTCCGAGAAGACGGGATCACAGAGGATGTTGATGCCGCGACATGCGCCGTCCGGTCGAGATGTCTGGAGTAAGAAACTGGCATGGCCGATCCACGTCACTTTGAAGCCGGGGTTGGAATTTGTAAAGTCGACTTTCTGAACAGGGACGAGTCCATCTCGGTCGGTAGGGACAGGGACAAATTCAGGTCTATCTCTGGCGAAACGTAGTTTCAGAGGACCCAACAAGCCACCAGAGTGACCGTGGAACGAGGGCCATGGATTGTGGAATCCCTTGGGTGGGTTGCCAATATGGTGAAGTTTTGGATCGTCAGGCAACAGTGAGGGCAGTCTCTTTACTTTGACCATTCTCGAGAGGTTCCAGACTGAGATATATCATATCATATATGGTGAGGCGAGGGTTTTTGAGTCGCTGCAAAGTAGATGCGAGTTGAGAATTTGCGAGGCACCGTGCATTGCTGTTGTTTTTGTTGTGACCGGAGTCATTTTCGGCCGACGCTTCGTATTGAATCTGGAGCATCCTTCAGGATCACGATTACATAACTTTATCGTTGAGCTCTTAAGTTCACGTCATCTCCCAGTATCAGTGACTTTGATTTATCTCCCTCACTCTCGATCTCTCAAAGAGTTTGGCCATCCACAGTAGTGACGTTTACCAAATATCACCTCATTGTGAGGGACTGCGACCATGGATAAATCGGCTTCGGAGGATGGTATTACCAAATTCAAGACTGATGAAAGCCTCGTTTGGAAACGATGGCGATACTTGCTGAAACACAGAGATATCTAGAAGTTCTTGCGAACCCCAAGGCTTGTATGCCTCAAGTTTCATCTCGTAAACGACCACCGAGATGCTCGATCTTTCAACCATCTCACTTTAAGTCTCATCACCGTTTCAGATCCCACATCGATGGCCTGTCGGTGTACAAATGATCCTCGAGAACTGCTCATGACTCCCTGGAAGGATTCTAACCTCAAACGGCAGAATCAAAACACCATTTTTGTTTTGCAAGGTTGTGCAAAGCTCAGCCTGATCCAATACCCTGCAAGAAGCAGCGCGAATCACAAAGCGCCACGTTCTGCACGAACCTGAGAAACGCTACTTATTAGGAACTGCCCAATCCAAATCATTGGAGTGAAGAGGTGGTCGGTATCTCATCTTGGGTCAGACCGCTTACCTCTTGGCAACGACAGGATATATAAGCAGATCTCTGCGCTGCGCTCGAGGTCAGCTACGGCCCATCAGCAGCATTACTTCCCTCTGAAGCACCCTAAGCTGCACATAAACATTGGCCACAGAGCTTGTGAGCGTCCCCTCTTAATACTCGAATCCACCTACTAAATACAAACTTTAGTCAGAACCACCACAATGGTCTGTGTTGTAGGGGGCCTTGTGGCCGCCGCGCCTGCTACTCTTCCCGCCGGCGTCGCGAGCTCCATGGCTACTGCGGCTGTTGCAAGTTCCGGCACTATTGTGTTAGGAGAGGGCGTCAGCATTGGAGCGACCGTCATAGCGTTGGGAGAAGGCGCTTGTGTTGGGGTGGGAACCCTCGGCGGTGGTAGTAGCGCTGGTATCGCCTTTGCCACGCTTGTCGGACCTGTCGGCTGGGCTATTGTGGGATGCAGCAAGAACAAGGATGACAAAGGCGATAGCGGCTACACCTGGGACTGCTGGAAGCCCGTCGTAAGGGATATGTCAACACGGCCATCTTGCGGCATGACTCTTCACTGCCTGGCTGCCCATCCGAATGTCCAGTCTTTGTGGCTCGACCAGGGTAGGCTCTTTGTGGAAAACAATTTTGGCGAGCGCTTCCGCCTCGCTCCCGTCAGCGTTGAGGGGGTGCTAGCTTTTCATGCGTCGATTCTCTCGTCGAATGCATAGGCATAGCTTGAATTGCGGATTCCATGGATGCTATCCTTGGACTGAGGTGGGAACAAAGATAGAAAGCTGCGTGGTGAAGATGGCGTGATATGTCCCAGCAAGGAAGGCTGGCTGCGATGAGAGAAGTGATCACTTCAGCAAACCTCTCATGCCGACAGCATCACGGTCATCACAGTAGGCACGGGCAGCATACAGTGTTTGTGAAATGCTGGACGAAAGGAATCGCCGGAGTATCTTCGTCTTCTTCAACTCATACAAACAGCATAGAGGCAGCTGCATCCAGTCCTGCCGTGCGAGCTCCGCGAAGGGGTTTCTTTCGCTCGTACATACCGAGCTCTGTGGATGGCTCTTTTTGCGTTCTCCCTCCCGCGACCGCTTGCCACGAGTCTCCGCATCGCTGCAGTGCTACGAAACAGCGTCGCCAGAAAACAACCCCTACGGCGGCCAGTAGTAGATGTTGATGCTCACTTCCTTTTTAAGTGGCTCTGACGAGGGCCTAGCGGCCGTCACTAAAATATCACTACTTTTTCATAGATGACCAACCAGTACGAGGATTAAGACCACCAAAGCACGACGTAATAAAACTCCAGCGGCCGTTGGCGTCCCTCGGAGCCCCGACATGTGACAACGAGGTGCCACTATTTCCAAGGAGTGTTTGCACCGGCGCATCACGGAAAGTAGTTTGCATCCCAATCGTAGGTGAAGATCCGATTAGATGATGTATCTTGACACTATAGACATCCAGCCATCTTGACAATCTGAAGATGTTTATGTACCTCCCATACTGTACTAATACCACCCGCAGCCAGTGCGTTGGGATAACTTTGTACAACGACAGCCAGATGAGAATCGGCCGACTACCATTCTCGATATGAACGTCTGTTGATCAGCTCGTTTCGATTCTCTTTTATTTGTTTGACCCCGCGTCGCGGTTTGTCGGCATCAACAATGTCCGGGGTATCTCAACGACAAAAAACCCTGCCATTTACGTGAGACGTAGGTGACGAGGGCACCTATCTCCTTCTGAAAGCACCCTCTGCAGTATAAACCTTCTACTGTCGACTTTGTTTTCTGGGAGAATCACTACAGAATTTCTCCTCTACACCAGGTTATCATTCGGTCAGTGGCTTCAGACTCGTCGACAGCGTCTCTTATATCACCACCATCGGATTCTACTCTCTGGAAAGAAGGCAATTGTCAGTTGTCAATCGTCAATCGTCAATCGTCAATCGTCGAATCGTCAATCCTCAATACCACCATGGACCCCCCTCTCATCACCCTGGAAGAACACTTCTTCTCCTCGGCGGCGTCGACCTCTGAAACCATCTCGACGCAATACTCGGAGCAATTCAAACACATTCCCAATCTCCTCGACAAACTCACCGACCTCTCGACGCTGCGACTGTCCCAAATGGACCTCGGCCACGTCTCGTTCCAGATCATCTCCCACGCGCCCGGCAGCCTCACGGCGTCTGAGTGCCAGAGCGCCAACGACCAGCTCTTCTCCGCGATCCGAGCCCACCCGGACCGGTTCGCAGGGTTCGCCGTGCTGCCCATGTCCGACCCGGTCGCGTGCGCGGCCGAACTGACGCGGTGCGTGACTGAGCTCGGCTTCGTCGGGGCGCTGGTGGACAACCACACCCCCTCGGGGGGTTACTACGACGACGAAGCCTACCTGCCCTTCTGGACCGCGGCGTCGGACCTCGACGTGCCCATCTACCTGCACCCGACGTGGCCCACGGCCACGCAACTCTCGACGCTGTACACCGGCAACTTCTCGCGGTCCGCGAGCAAGTCCATCTCGGCCAGCGCGTTCGGGTGGCACTCGGACGTCGCGACGCACGTCCTCCGCCTCGTCGCGAGCGGACTGTTCGACCGCCTCCCCGCCCTCAAAGTCGTCATAGGGCACATGGGCGAGATGCTCCCGTTCATGTTGGGTCGGATCGCGCAGCTGAGCGTGCGGTGGACGGCGGCGGGACCCGAGGAAAAGGACGACGACGACGCCGCCGACCACCCGCCGCCGCCGCCGACGCCGTTCAAGGACGTGTGGGACCGCAACATCTGGATCACGACCAGCGGGAACTGGAGCGTCGACCCAATGGCCACGATATTGAGGAACACGAAAATGGACCGTATCCTGTACAGCGTCGACTACCCTTTCGCGAAAAACGAGGACGGCCTGGAGTTCGTGCGGGACTTGGCGACCAGTGGACTTGTCACGGAGGACCAGCTTGAGATGATTGCCTTTCGAAACGCGGAGAAGTTGTTTGGCGTCAAGGCTGTGAAGAGATTCTGAGTAGGTAGGTGTGAAACTCTGTACGTGAGGCATGAGTGGCTGTCAATCACTCTGCACCAACGAGGGCACGATATTGACGACGGACGACGGATGGTTTGGTTTGGATTGGTCTCATTTTGCACTCAAGAGTGATTGCCACTTGTGAGACAAGTACACTCGACGGGAGCTCGTATGGTATGTTATCAATGATCCTTATTGGTATAGTACCTCGGAGAGACAGGGTAAGAGTGGTAAGAGATTCTGTATGGTACAGGAGAAAGTATACATAATCCATACAGAGAATTCCCTATAAAACAGGTTGAAGTCCAGATATCTACTGTTTACAGGTACTCTGTACCGGCTAGAACTTGCTCACACTTGCACCCACAGAAGTGTCCGTATGTGACAGATCGATTTTGTTCAACACGACACAACATAACCCAAGGTAGATATGGTATCATCACCCTACGAATACCTGACTTCCAAGTACAAGACCAGAACCAACTCCGTCGCTCAAAAACCGCTACACTCGCAATAAACCACGTACGCACGTATCCGTAGGATAGGATATCCATCCTGACACACACGCACAACGTCGACCCTGATGTCCTTGCTCTCTCACAGCTACCCAAGTCCACGGTAGACCACTTCACCGCCTACTGATCTTTCGGATCGGTCTGCTCCCGCCACCAAACTCGGCCGGATCAACCGTTCTATACCCGCTCCGTCCACTGGGTCCTCGTTTCGGCGGTCGTTCGGGACTATGTTCCTCTATGACCTCGACAATGTCGTCGTCGGCACTAACACTCGGCTCGACGTGCTCCTCGACCACGACCGTCTCTTCACGCTCCCTGACCACCCTCTCACGCCGCGGCGAGTGGTGACTGACTTCCGTCATCGCCCGCGACCGGCTCCGACTGCGTCGACTCCCGTGATGGTGTCGGACGATCTCCTCTTCAACGATGCTCTCTCTGTTGCCGAAGATCCCAAACCGGAACGCACTCAGCAGAACGTACAGGATGAGTATGAACCCCGCGATGCTGCCGAGGACGATACCGGCCAGGGCACCGGGTGCGGGGCCGGCGTTGAGCCCGGCGTATGTGGTTGGGATGGCGAGGATGACATTTTGTTGTCGTTTGGACAGGGCACCGTCGCCGCGGGGGTGTAGGAATACAGGCTCGACGAGCTGCGAGCGTGGGGAGTCCAGGGAGCGACCGGATAGGTGTATCGTCCCGCGGATGATGAGGGCAAAGATAGAGGCCAAGGGTGTTGATGATGATGATGAGGAAGACGAAGAGTCTCGCGCGGATAAGAAGGTGAGCGTCGAAGATGCCGTCCGAGACAGGATCGTCTTGATGTGGTCGCTGGACACTATTCGGGTTGCAATGGTCGGAGGCATTGTTGATTACACCGTGCCGCCCCGTGCCTCGTATGATGGTGTTTTTCGCTCTCGTACAGCTTCAAGGAAATGATGGGTATATTCTCTTCTCTTTCCGCTCCTCTTCTTCTCTTGCTCACGTTCTTCTTTCTCTTGTCTCTGCTTTTCGGTACTTTTGAGTGGTATGTGCGTTGGCTGGTGGATGTGTTGCGGGGATGGCGGAAGTAGATCACTGGGAACGCCCGGTAAAACGGCGTAGACGAAGAACAAGATTTTGGGTAAACGAATGACTCGAGACAATTCAGAAAAGGATACAAAACATCATTTTGGTCAATGACTCTGCTGTCGCTCGTAGAGGCACAAGGGGAGGAAGAGTGAGAGTGAGAGGAATTGGTGGTGACGGTTGATGCTGCGCTGATAGGCGAAATCCCCAGCCACGCCAAATGCGCCGAACCCGCCACCACCATTAATTACTTCTGGCAATTCATTAATTCTGGTGGTTGGACTCACACACCCTTGTACTATTTGCACAACACAATCTTATGATCCCTGATGTACAGAGTGCAGAGGACTTGGTATGATTGATCCCATCTTGTTCTCCCCTTTGGATCCCCGGTCGGTGGAGCAGTGGATTTCCTACCAAACACCTCATGCGTTTTCTCACACCACACTATCATCCCAGGCGAGATCACCCGCTTCATGGAATTGAGAGCTTGAGAATTATGGGTCATGTTGAGGACAAATTGCGAACATCGAGTGCCATTTCCTGACATTGCTATCAAAAAGACCTTTTATTATCATCTGAATCGCTTGCTGACCCAAGAACATCCCTCGCGCATCGCTATGCATGTCAATCAACACAACATACAAGAGTAAACGCCTGATTCTCAAAATCTGTTGGCATCGCCCAAATCCCACTTTCTCGTCGTCAATTTGCGTTGTTTCTTGCCCGTGGCAGGTGGCTGTTCCTCAACCGTTGCGTGAAACACGTTGGAACTTCTCAGTGACTGTTTCCTGGGAGAAATCTCAGATGCTCCATGCAAATCACCCTCACTGAATTCCGCCTTGATGGTCTCATCACTATCGCGTACCCTTAGCGAGGCTAGAAACGGGTTTGTCGCAATATTGACGTTGGGCGTCTCCTGCAGGACCATCCCCTTGACGGGGGATTTCAGAGCTGTGCGCGACTTTTTGGTCGGACTTCTCGTCTGTAATTCTTGCTCCAGAGCCCGGAGTTTTGCTCTGAGCGACTCGTTCTCTCGTTCAAGCTCTTCGACCCTGGCTTCAGCCCCATCTTCATGAATCTTGAATGGCTTAGTCTTCTCCAGGATTCCCAACTTGCCATCCATGAATGCCTCGTTTTGTGTCTTCTCTTGCTCCCAAGCGTTTCTCCATCTCTCCTTCTCCTGTTCGAGATGCTGTTCCATTTCTACCCAGCAGTCTTCTCGCACTTGTTGTTCCACCAACATCAGCCGTTCTTCTGCTGCCTCTGCAATGGCCTCGGCTTCACTTCTCCTGATCTCCTCTTCGGCAAGGCGAAACTCCAAGGCGAAATTTTCCTCCGCCACCCGAGTCGCCTCATTGATAGCTTGTTCTAGCTCTTGAGCGGTCGAATGACCATTCTTAATATTTTGAGGCGTCGTGCGACCACACTTTGCTCCCGTGCCTCCGCTCGCCGTGCGAAGCATTGTGTTAGTTGCGCTCGCCACTCTCACGATCTTGAAATCTCGAGCCAGGGATGAGTATTCCAATATGTTACTGGTCGCGTTGAAGTCTCCAGAAGGGTCAGCTGTTACAATCAAAACAGCCTTCTGAGGTCGATAGGTGGCTGTATGGCCGGAGGATGAAGGAAATGAGTTGGCAAACAAGAGCTCGGTCAACTTGCGTCCTTTGAAGTTGGCACCCGGTTTGCCGTTCTTCTGCTCTTTTAAGATCCCGCGTAACGTCGACAAATCCTGGTTGATAGATGCAGCTTCCTCGAGGCGAAGTCCCCATGTTTGGGCCTGGACCGCTCGCTCTGCTCCTGCGAGGTCAATGACTGTCAACGTGCCACCTGTCCAGGCCTGCGTCGCGGTATCAGTATACCCCGTAACTGCGGTTTTCTTCCTCACTTCAATGCAAAAGAATGCATGGCTTCTTGAACTGTCGTTGTTGCTGACCGTGGGCGCCGTGTGTCTGTTCTTCTGGCCCCTCGTGATGACTCGCATGGCTTCGTCATAGCTGCCACATACAATTTTCCGGAGGCCAGTCACTACCTTTCGATGACGTGACCCATGGGTGTTCTTGAATAGCAACTTCGAAGTCTCCGGTTGTTGTCCCACTCTCGAAGATGCGGAGGAGGAGAGGAGGTCGTAAATGTCATTCTTATACACCTCATACATTGACACAAGTACCACGTATTCGTCGGTTGGTTCAATTTCGATCAAGTATGGAGAAACATCAGGTCGCCGCGGAAATATGATCTGCCGCATCGATGACGGCTCTGGAACGACACGGGAATCCTTTACGACATGTATATTAGCATGTGAGCTTTCAGAGCTTCTCCAAAGGGCCATGCACGGCAGTTTCGAGGACTCCCACGGCCCCTATTTCGTAGAATGGGATGTCGACCTCTGTGCTGCGTCCACCAGAGTGGGTGGCTGTGGTGGGGGGTTTGGAAAGAATGAATGGCAAACGAACGTGCTGGGGTCGCCTTTGTCTATCGGGAAGAAAGGAAAAGAAGCCGGGGAATCGAAATCCAACTCTATGGGTACCTACCATGATAGGTGTTTGCGCTCTCGAAAGATTTCGTTTTACGCTTGAAGTCCCTCCCCGATCACCATCAGTATTGGCTAGATCAAAGAAGGTGGTTGCCGATAGGATCTCGGACTCTGAGACGTCTGAATCCGTCAGGGCTGTTACAAGAGATGAGTCTGTCCGCCTGATACTGTCACCGATTGATGTAAACAACAGATCAAGCATCATCTGCAACAAGCCTCGTTGTGATTTCGACCCGAGCATGGTATGGGTCTGTCAGTCGGTTAGCCCTAGAGCTGTCATCGTAAGGGCTTACGCCCACCTTTCCACTCCCTGTAAACCCGAGCGCCGTGACAAGTCCATCTTGACCGGTCTTCAAAACACTTCTGAGTATGTCCACGGTTCCTGTCCCTTCAAACACGTCTAATTGTGAAGCCTCCTCTTCGAAGACCTTGATGAAGGTGTACTCCCCTATCCAGCGTCTATTGGAATCTCTCGGAGGTTGCACAATAACCTGCGAAGGGAACACCTTAGTATCGTCCTCTGCAGGAGCGTCGGCGGGTTTGACAATGAGCCACGGGTCAGTTTTCTGTTTCGCCAATTGGGCTTGTACGGGTGGACGCAGCCGCAGGTAGACCTGGAAAAGAGGAGTCTTCGAAGGCATCTTGGTGGGCTTATCCATATCGGAGGAGTTTAATGTCGTCTGAAATCAATGCAAAGCAACAGACACAGTCGTGATACGACGAGGAGCTGTAGCAAATGGTCTCGATCAATGTACCTACCGGTACTGCTGCTCCATTGTACGCAGTCTTGGCGGCCTCATGTAAACAGTGTGTGGTTGCCAGGGCAACAACACTAACCTCAAACAGCTGCTTCTTCTTATCTGCATCCGCCACCGAACTGAACCGTCGGTAGGCGAAAAATGGATAAATTATTCCAGATTGATTGCTTGACGATGCAAAGAACCGTGATTTTAATGCTTCTCACCTATGAGAATTTCTCTTTCAGGCTGAGTTTCAATCCGACGTGTGCTGTTTGAAGGTTTCGCCTCTCTTATCCACATTTCGCCTCAAGATGTCGACGCGTCTAGTCAAACTACCTTGAAGGTATGAACAGAGGATTGTAGAGCTGCTTCTCGACAAGGAACAAATATCAATGCTGTAGGTGGACATTACGGCAATGGCCTACAAGCTGCAGGAGAGGACAAGAATGAAAATGTTGCACAAAATGTTGCACGCAGTTATTTCCTCGCCAAAGGAGCATATATCAATTTTTAAGGGCGGTATTATGGCCACGCTCTGATAGCTGCAGTGTACAAGACAAATCATCATGAGAGGATCGTCGAGAACGGAGCAGATGTCAACGCAAGAGGCCCGTGAGGAACTGCACTCAACGAGGCAAGGCACCCTCGCTACGAGAAGACTCTTCAGATATTTCTGGACTATGGAGCAACCGAAGATTCTGCAGAAGATTGACTGCCCTCTAGACGCTACAGGAGGAGTTGCAGCAGGTGATGTGGGTTCTTGTGGACCGCAAAAATGAACAGATGCATTGGTCACTTTCACAAGATTCACTAATACACAGTGTAATTAGGCGACGTGCAAACCAATGACATGGTCACTGGCCGTCGAGAATCGTTCAATTGAAGTTTGTCGGACAGTCAGACTAAAGGGCACCAAATGCTTCGATTTCAAACCCCAACCGACGGAATCGAAGTCGGAAGATCAACTGCTACCTCTGCATTACACTAGAACTGAACACTTCACCCTCCCCAACATCCTGGCCCAGGACCAGCCTGATATCAACCTAACGTCGACCCCACAAACATGTCTGAACTTTCATTTTTACCATGGGCAATGTTCTGCCAGTTTCCCAGAAAAGTCACACTTGCTTTGCCGCCCAAGGCCAAGCTCATCGCCTCTAGAGAACGTTCAAGGAGTTGCATTGGAGGTTGAGGAGACCGCCCTGAATTCAACAAAGTCAGCACATTATCAAGGAGTGGCCTTCGGGGTACAGCTTACATTCTGATCGCCCGTGCAGCATGCCGCCACGTTGTTGCCGCAGGCGTCGGTGACGGGCAGACCACCACTAAGAACTAGACTTCGTCAGCCCGAAAAACGTCCAAATGTGACTGAGAATCTTACTGCCGACACCCAATGGGGAGCAAGCGCCTCCAAGGACGCCGTCGAGAACGTTTCCTGCGCCCATGATACCTGCGTGGGTGGTGCCGCTGGTCATTTTGTTGGTGTCGCAGCATGAAATGACCTGGTCATTGCCACAGCTCACGTCGGCAGATGCAGTTCTCACGTAGAGGTCACGTTTCTTCGATTCGGTTGGGATGGCCTGGGTTATGGCGGTGAGGGCTGTGATGCCGAAAACGATGATTGCAGCGCGCATGTTGAGTGTTTTGGTGGCAGGTTTTGTTTATGTTTTTGTTTATTTGTGAAAAACGATTGGGGCTGCGATGGCAAGTTCTTGCAAAGCTTTCAATATTCTGCCTTTTGAAATGAGAATGATTGATGCCGAACAGAAGATTCTAACTTCGACTTCACCGGTACTTATTCCTTTTCCACGCCCTCAGTACCCGCTACAGAATTTACCTAGTGGACCAAGCACCCAGGCCATAATCTGCACCTTCAGGGGTGACTGCACGGACAAAGAAAATAGCTTCAGATCATGACAGTCGATGGTCCCTCCAATGGGGCTCTATTGTGAGCGGATCAATGCTGCCACAAAAACATAACAGGATCAACATTCGCATCTCCTGGTCGGCCATAGGCACAGTTAGTCCGGATACATGTCAGAGCTCCTCGCATGGAAGACAATGATGTTGTTTGTATTGGACCAGGAGAGCGATCGTGGATGTGGAGCGCCTGCCAAACATCCGTTCGAGAAATGAAGTGTGACCTATGTGGAATAAGAGCTGCACAAGTCCAGTTTGCATGAGATCAAAAAGGTTGGAAATACTAGCCGGGCGAACTCCACAGGATTATCGAGACTCAGGATCGACTGTCATACCCATAAAATTCGATAGACTATACACCAGCTTCCTCTGATGGACAGAGATCGTGGTGTCTTTGTGACTTTCTCGGATCGATGAGCGGCCCACGATTCCAGAATTGCTAGCATTTAGGCTTGGAAGAGAGCAAACTGAATGAGAGAAAGACGGCGGAACTACAGGCACAGGATCTCCAACCCATTGACACTGTGAGCCAATAAGCAAGGCTGTCGGGAAAATTCTCACAGACAATGCTGTGGCGGAGACAGAATGGGATTTTGATATGCAATTCCTCAGTCTTCGGTTCACTCGAGAATGGTTCAAGGGCGGCTAGGACGAATGAGTGTCCTCGGCGATGATTAGTACCTCTTGTTGACGACTTGGAACTACAATAGTCTGTGGCAAGCGTGGCGGCGGTTTCCCAGGGAGGGCGGTAGATGACCTCAGCATGATTTTTGATACGGGACCCATGCCAGACTTATAGCCCAGCTGCAGATCATGTAGATCCGGGAGATGCTCTGGTTGTGGGGTTATACGAGTAGTTTGTCAGATCCGAAGTTGGCACCTACAGTGCCTTTCAGCCGGCAATGATCGGACGGTTGTTATCGTACGAGATGTAGATGCGCGCGACACTCTACCGACAGCCACCAACAAGCAATGTGATCCTGCCAACGAGTGATTTGTTATGCTGACGGTGACAATCTTAATGGCTCTTTTCCTGGGCCTGGGCTGGTGACACCAAAGGACTCTCTGCGGTCACTGCGCACCGATCAACGGTGGGAACTTCTTCGGTCTAGTCGTTGCTTTAAAGAGGGCGGTGATCGCTTCCTGACGGGAGATCATTCACAATTGCAATGGGTATATGGCAGGTGTCAAGAACCACCGACTCCTGTCTAGCTGATGCTGTGCTCTAGAGGTGTGTTATTAGTGATGACAGGTGTTGCTGAGTGTGAACCGTACTTGTGGGTTGAAGTTTGGGCTGCGGGAGGGGAGCAAAGTGCAACTACAATACATACTTCCTATGGAGTACATACAGTACGGGGTCGAGACCCACACGATCATCCCCTGGTAGACGAGAGAAAGTCTGGGTATGTTTCGACGTCCCTCGACCACCTCAGAGCCTCACATGCTTTTCCGAGGTGGGAGTTGTTGTTCCGTGTAGACCTGACACTGCTGGCTGGACTCTTGGTGCGTTCTCTGGTTTTCGAACTGATCTTCAGCTCTTTCGCGTCCAACTTGCAATCATCTTTTTAGTCAAGCGGGTCCAGCCTTGCGTCGCTGGCAGCCGTCCAGGGGCGGGCCTGACACCCTGACACACTGACACCCTGACACACTGACATATACGACTACGTAGGCTATAGCGATTTCACCGGCTTTAGCGATCCTGCTCCGTGTAGGCTAGTCCCGTAGATCCCGCATGGGGTCTAGTGGCTGGACATGACCGCTCGCCCCGTGCCCCAGCGGCTCGATTTGCGAGGCACAAAATGCAAGACGTATCCGCTAGTGCCTTCAACTTCTGAAGATGAAGATAGAGAGAACTTGAATGAAGAAGCGATAGTGAGAGAAATCTGGGATCTCTTTTTCCAGCGTCCTTTCTCCCACCATCTGCGGCTTCAAAACCTCGGCTTACATTTCCATGGGCGGAGCCTTGCGCCTGAGGCGGCACCACAGCAAATGCAAGTTACAACCACCACCACCACCATCATCACGCAGCTCGATCTGCCCTACCGAGTCTCCGAGCATGTCGAAACTCTGACGCAGACCATCACGACGACGGATCGGATCTCTCCATCAGCGACTGCAGGTCAATAGAATCACTGGGCACAAGGCCCATCCAGGTCCCCAGGAAATACCGTCTCCGACCGCGTCACCCGCGACTGCTCTCGACGAGATCGTCATACGTTCGAGCTATGGCCCCATTCAAAGATGTCGATCCCTTAGTAGTCCCAGGCAGGGGACCCAAGTGGCCTCCGCGAGGAGCGCGTCAATTCGACGGATGAATGGATTTCGTTCTCTCAGCCTCTCGACGTGGTCGAATACCTTTTGTGATGTACCGATGTCGACCCGGGCGGGATGGTGCTCTGAGCTGAGGTGGTCCGACACTGGGATGAAACGTCCCTTGCCGACATCAACTGCCCCTGCGGGAAGTATTGGTTGCCAGGTGGTCGTCATGCGACCATTCCTGCCGCTGACACATGTACCTGGACGTTTGTCCCTCAAAGCTCTGAACCAGTGACGGTCACCGCGCCTCCGACAATGGTCACAACTCTGAGGGACACCCAAGGAGAGACGGTAATAACCATCGGTCCAGAAATCGTTCATACACTTCCTGGCCGGCCATGGAGACATTCCCAGGCCCCCTCCCGTCTTTGCCTCACATGTCTATCTATGTCGTCAACACCGTCACAGTCATGTTTCCCATACACCACATGACGGGCGGAAGAGTAAGTAAGCCCCTGTTCCTTCGACATTGCGCATTCGGCTTTCCCATGCTGCTCACCCATCTACAGGACTCGTTCAATCGCCGTACACGGTCCTCCTGGCCCAGGCAGCTGTCAACTGCATCGGGAACTTTGGTACTGGTAGTGAGTTTCCCCCTCAGAACATTGCGAGAGAGACGATACTTGAAACGACATTCACAACACGACAAGGAATGGAGCGTCATCAAATAGCACGACTGGCTCTGGATTGGGTTTACTGGTTGGACTCCAGGCTCCAGACTTCGATGAACCTGATCACTCACCATTTATAGCAGCACGAAACCTGGGCTGATAACGTTCAGTCACTGATGCTGAGCGATTCCACGATGGAGTACGAACCATTGGCTCTCCATGGCGCTTGCGGAGTGAGGAAAAAAAGGTATGAAGCAAGGACTGGAGGAATGACTCTGTAAACGCCAACGACCAATAATCTACTGCGTGCTGATGTGATACCTGGTATCTATGAAAACTCCGTACTCATGATAAACAATAACCCCCTAGGCCATACTGAGACACGTTATTATTAGAAAGACTCGATTACTCAACGATGTTAGCAGCCAACGCGAGCTCCTCAATCTTAGCCTTCCTCTGCTCACTCCTGACCTTCAATTCAAACTCGAAAGGCAGCGGACCACCAATAACATTGCTTGTTCTCTTCGCCGGGTCAGGCCACTGAAGAGTGCCATCGGGACCTTTGTTGGGTTTCATGGTGAATGCCCAGAGAAGCGAACCGCAAGCAACCAGGAGCTCGGCCTCGGTAATCTCGATACCAGGGCACATGCGTCGACCACGTCCGAATCCATGGAAGCCCAGCAGGCGAGGATAGACGGTCAGAGGCTCCTGGTAGGTTGGGAATTCGGGCTCAAGCCAGCGTCCAGGGTTGTAGGTTTTGGCGTCAGGGTAAATTTCCTCATCGCGGGCCATTGAGATGTCGACCGCATGCACCACGGCACCCTTGGGGATGTAGTATCCTTCGTAGCTGTCGTCTTCGGTCACGAGTCTGGGAACACCAAGCGGGACAGGAGGCAAGTACCGGATAGTTTCCTTGATGCATGCGCGGAGAATAGGCAAGTTGGGAGAGTCGCTAAGCTCGATGATACGGTTGTCACCAACGACGGCGTCGACTTCGGCGCGGGCCTTCTCTTGCCATTCCGGGTGCAGGACCATCATCATGAAGAAGCTGTAGAGTGGGCCGCCGATGGTGAAGATGGCGACTGTGCAGAGCATACCAACCGCATATGCTGCTTCGTGCTCGTCAAAGCCAAAGTCTTTGCCGTCACCTTTTTCCGCGGCGTCCTTACGCTCAAAGTATGATCGCGCGAACGACACTACAGCTGTGCCCGCGTCCATTTCGTTGCGGACTTGTCTCAAGAGTCCCTTCCACAAGCGCTCTTCTCGCTCGCGTCGTTGTCGGCAAGCGATCTTGGAAGTGTTGATCCATTCGGGCAGACGTCCTAGGAAGGGGAAGATGTTGGTCAGGGGTCCGCTGGCAGATGGTGAAATCTGTGGGATGAATTCGGCAGCGTTCTTGCAGTGGGCGGCGGCGGAGTTGGGAGAGCCGTAGCACATGCGGGCCGAAATGCGGCCACAGAAGCGATCCGTCTGCGAGTAATGATCACGAGGGTCTTTGAGGAGGTTGTACAAGAACCGCTTCGCTTCCAGAGGAATGTAGCCGTAGTATTCGTTGTTGTACCCAATATTCAATGACGTGTGGGCGAACTTTCTCTGCATACGCCAGTGATCTGTTGTGGTCAGCGAATATCAGTATACGGGTCCGACATGAACTTACCCCCATACTCCATCAATGGCAGATATTGGGCCATGTTGTGACTTCCCGGCACTGCTGCAACCTCGGGACGTGAAGAATACTGAGCGGCTCGTTTGCAGTAAAGTTCCTGTGCGATATCGCCCTTCCCGAGCCAGATGTGCATCTCACCGCACGTCGTTAATCTGAAGAGGCCATTGTACTCGTCTGCCCATTTCTTCATGGAGTTCCATGGCGCGATGGGATCGATGTCGACCCGACCGATGTAGGGAATGGTGCTGGGAGGGCCAGGGACAAGTTTTAAGCCTTTGGGTGGCTTATCCTTGAACAGAAGATACTGTAGAAATCTGACAAACCCAGGAGTGACTAAAAGTAGCGTAAGAATGGTCCATTTGTACTTGAAAAAGACTGTTTCTCCTAGCGATTCGGAGCCGAAGAGTTGGGCCGTGGCATTGGGAAAGGAAACAAGGGAAGGCGAAGAATATATGGTCGCCATGACGAAGCGTTGCAAGGGCGACAGAGATACAGGCAAAAATCAAAAAAGAGAGGAACAGGGAGGCGGAGGAAGTGCCACGTCCTGGAGCTGTGGAGGTGAGAATATATAGATGTAATTAAATGTGCTTTGACGGTGATACAATAATCGACATGGTGTCCGGGATGGAGCAAACATGGCCGCACTTGACTTGCAACTCCGCCGTGTTACCCAATGGTACTCACCACCCGCCTCCGTAGATCACACGTTGACATGGCGAAGTCCTCCCCTGATCTCTGCTCTCGGATCGCGCAGGGCAGTGTTCGCCATGGGCTGATAAGATGGTGTGTCTTGGACTCTGGACGCCGCGGGCGGCCTCGTTTGACCTCGTTTGACCTCGTTTGGCCTCGTTTGTTGACTGTGGATTGCCAAAATTAGACGGCGCTAAACCCAAAAGCGTAGCTGGGACATGGACGACACCAATTTCCCACTGAGACTTTCGGTGGATTCATCGCTCTCATTCGCCTCTGCGGCGGTCTCTGTCCAATGCCGTACATGGTATCCGTTCCCGCTTAGTCATTCCACTCAGTAAGATTGATCGCAAAGAGTCTGGTGAGATGGTGGTGGCCTTTCGTTGCACGCGAAACGACCCCTGAGCGCCGGGTTTGTCCACTTCGGGCACCAGCGTCGAGGGCATGATGTTTTGTCCCAATCCCAAGACTACGGGCTTCAGTGGAGACGGTACCTGGCAGCTAACACCCTCACACGCCGGACAGGCCCGTTTGTCCACACAATCTCATCCTGCACGCTGCATTAGTGGTCGGACATGCTCCGTGATTACATACTATACCTAATCATCGTCGCTAGGAAGATCATTCGACACCACGAGGGTCCGTTAACGCGTTTGTTGTTTAATGGGGCTGCATTTTCTTTCGAACGAAAACCAGCACCGTCACGATATAGAGGCCGAGAAGTACACTCCGAAAGAAGTTTACGCGCGAGTTTAAGCACTTGTATGGTTACTACGAGTACCTAGATCTCATTGATCTTCCTTGATATCATTGATGTGAAGCCATATCGACGAGCCATCCCGATCAATGCATCTTGGGTCTTCCGCCGCCCTCTTCCAGACTTTGATCGCCGCCTCGGCCATACTTGGTGTTATACCAACCTGCTTCGCTGCATCGATCCCGAGTCCGATATCCTTGATCATCATCTGAGTCTTGAAACCCAGTTTCCAATTGTTACTACTGGGCGCGTGTGCCACAACCCCAGGGACAGGATTGACGTGATCTCCCATGAAGCTCTGGCCTGAAGAGTTGTGGATGACCTCTTGCAACAATTTTGGGTCAATACCATTCCTGATGCCCATTGCCATCGCTTCTGCAATTACCAACAAGAAGGTGCAGGAGATGTAATTGTTGCTTATCTTAGCTGCGAGACCCGCCCCGAGTCCACCGCACCAAAAGAACTTTTCAGGCTTGCCGAGCATAGTCAAAACCTCGTTGATATGGGCAGCTATAGAGATTGCCTCAGCTGATCCGGTCTCCGAAGGCCGCTCGCTCCCAATCATGAATGAGAGAGTCCCTGCTTCTGCAGCAGGAACACCACCCTATACAATCAGTGATGACCTAGGCATGGCCTTCCCACGCTGACATACCGATACAGGAGCGTCCACATAGTGACCATGACCACATGCTCTCAATGCATTCCCAATATCCCGTGTTGATGCTGATTCTATGGTACTGCACTCCAAAATTAACCTGTGGGGATTTCTCGGGGCCGCTGAAAGGCCCCGTTGTTTGTCTAGGTACACCTGACGAACATTGTCTGCTGTTGGGACGATGGATATCACGACATCCGAGAACGTAGCGAGATCCTTGACGGACTCGGTCATCACCACCGGGCCTATTGACTCATATTCCGAATCAAATCGTTCGCACGATGGCCGATGCACATCATAGATGAACAGCGTTGATGTTGTCGGTATCTTCTTCCGGATGTTCCCAGCCATGGCGAAACCCATGGCTCCGAGGCCTGGAGCGTGTCAATTGTTTACCTAGCGAAGGATCTAGGGAATTGCGACTTTCAGACATACCTACGAACCCGTAATTACCTGCCATGGTCCTTGTCGGTCAGGCGACCCTGAGAGGAGTAAGTCACGCTCTCCAGAATATGGGAAGCAACATGCAATGGCCCTCTCTGTATGTGGAGGAAGTGCCCGGTATGCATGTACCCCACATCAAGTAGCTTTGCGGGAGGTTGGAGTGTTGGAGCAACATGACTCTGCATGGGACTCGATGTAAGTTACTCAGTCCCAATGTTTCGCCCCTACTCTCTTCTAGTGACACTGACTGATGCAGACTTTTACGACAACGCCTCAAATCGAGAAGGGCGTTCGAGAAAGCGGTCTCGCGAACGACCATCACTTTCGCATGCCATGAATCCTCACAGCCAGTTCATCACCCATCCGACCGGCGAGACTACGCACTTCATAGCCGACTGCCACGCAGATCCCTGGAAACCGTGCGAGACAGTCTTGTTGCAAGGCGGCTTTGGTCGTCATTCGGCTTTCTTCTATCACTGGATTCCAGCACTCTCACGCCACTACAATGTCATTCGCCGGGACCTCCGTGGTCACGGCTTGTCCAGTGCGCCATCAATTCGAGACAAGCCAGAGTCATACACGTTAGACACCATCTTGGCAGAAATTGTCGATACCCTCGACCAGCTGAAAGTTGACAAGGTGCACTTCTTCGGTGAGAGCACGTCAGGAATACTAGGCGAGATATTCGCTGCTCGTTACCCCGACCGCTTGCTCAGTTTGACCATCTGCTCGAGCCCTACTCATCTCCCTCAGGCCGCACTCGACCTTTTCGCAATGGGTCAACCGTCTTGGCCGGAGGCGTGCCGGACACTAGGTTCTAGAGGATGGGGCCAGGCGCTCTCCGAACGTCCAGGAACCATGGCTTCAAAAGACCGAGGCTATCGAAAGTGGTGGCTCGATCAAGTATCCATCAGCAGCGGCGAAGGGTTAGGGAGCTATGCCGAGTTCCTTTGTACGATCGACTCGAGGCCCGTGTTGGGAAGCATCAAGGTCCCAATGCTGATACTGGCCCCGACGAACAGTGCCGCAACTACTGTAGCTGCACAGAAGGAGATCCAGCGGCAGATCGGGAGTCATTGTCGACTGGTTGAGGTCGACGGCCCAGGGCACGAGATCTACATGGACGCAGCGGACGATTGCATCTCTGCATTCTTGGACTTCATCAAGTCAGTCAAGAGATGATATTTTAACTTAGCACGATTCATGACATGCATTAAATGCTAGCAATGCATCATTTCATCGCTCTTCAAATATATCAACCACAAGTTTCCCTGGCGTAACAGAATGGTGCTCTTCCTCAAGATCATCGAGCTTCGAGAAAGGAAACATCTCGATTTTGGCCCTTCCATCCTGCTTCAAACAAGCCAGACCAAAGCCGAAGCACCCCAAGCGATGAAAACACGACATGGTTTCATTGAGCTGCTTGGCTGTCATACATCAAGCATGACACGAACGCTCACACATACCCCTGCCTCGTAATGATATTATATCCAGGATCCTCAATTTGAATGTCCGTCTTGGCCAGGAACTCCAGAGGCATCTCGACCAACATGCCTCTTATCTTAGCTAACTCTTCCTTGACCGCCGCCACTCCCTCCTCACCTCCCGGGAAGTTATCCTTGGCCACATGTCCCCATTGCGCCATATGCAATCCGTCTGGTCCCTTGAATCTCTTCCAGAACAACATCTGGTACTGGATCCAGGTCTGCGCCGTGTCGTCCGGCATGGGGGCAAATACTTTCCGAAATGCAGATGTGTTCTGAGCAGCTACGTCGTCCCAGTGCTTCAAGAACCCATCACTCAGAGGATCAGCGACGACACCGTCCTCCTTCGACCCAAAATCATACCCGTTGTCTCCTGGCGCCGGCGTGAAGTGACCATCTGGACTTCTCATATCTTGAGGGGCCAGCAGACCCAAGTGCTTGCGGAATAAGTACCGACGCAAACTCGTTGCGAACCGACTCGCCTGGAACTTCTGGCCGTTCATCGTCGTCTCGAGGGGTGTTGGGTCTTCGATCACCAATGCGATCTCCGAGTCGCGACTGCCCTTCAATGACCTGTCGTTCAGGTTCGCCGACCCGCAGAGCACGACTTTGTCATCGGCGATCAGTACCTTCGAATGCACATACAACTCTTCCGTGACAAACGCATCAATCTCCTTGATGGTCCCGCCACTTGCCCACGGTACTTTTCGAATGTCCGTGCCTCCCAGCATGTAGCATGAACTCACGCTGTCCCAGCTCGTGTGCCGCGGACCCGCGGCGGTCTGATACTTCTGGTATGCTTGGTGGTTGGGGGTAACTTCGTCACCCTCGAACTCGCCGACTTCTTTCTGCGCCTGGAGGCCGAACGGATCGACGATGTCATCATGCTCTTCGCTGGCAAGCTTGTACTCGACACCACTGTCCTTTTCGACCTTTTGCATTATTGCGCTTTCGTTGATCCGGTCGTATGTTCGAAGATTGAAGAACCTGATATATTCTTTCGGTTCGACGCCGGCGCGCTTCAATTTGTCCATGATGCTGAATCCGCCACGAGATATCGACTTGTACTGCAGCTTCATGATCGCACGCGGTGGGTGGCCGGTTATCAGAGCTTGCAGGTCTCCCGGAAACGCAGGTACAGAAGGCAGTATGACGATGACCTTGTACCGTTTTTTCTCTTGGGCAGCTCGCAAGATGCGCTGGACGATTGCCTCGCCCACCCGATTCCATACCGTTCCCAGCCATGTTCCCGTGGCAGTGATGAAGAACTGCTGCTCAATGTACACGAAATGCTCGCTCTTCTCGATGATGTCAATGTACGCATCGTAAACGCTGTGCTCGGGCGTCGGGCCACCGCTCCAGCTGCTCACGCTGCGGATAAGTTGGCATGACACTTGACCTGGACCGTGCTGCGACTGGCTCTTAGTTGAAGAGCTGTCTAACGGAGGTATACGTTCATATCTCGAATCCTGCGGCAGGCCGGTGTTGTATTTCATGCTGTGGATGAAGTTCCAGCGCTCGATGAAGTGTCTGCACAGGTCTACCACTGCCGGTCCAGCCAGACTGATCGATATGTCCTGCCATCCCATCCTAGAGGTGGTAAGTCGACTGAGTTTGTTGTGTTCCCAGTTATCCAGGTTTTTGAAATCCATTACCCGAGCATTATTGTAGTCCTGGCCCGGGAAGACAATATCGTCGAGATCGCCGGGATGAGCGTCCGCGATAGGATGCTGGATCGTGTCCCACCGGCCATAGGACAGGTCGATACCTCCCATAAAGACGGTCTCTCTGTCGCAAATGATCAGTTTCTCGTGGTGTGCCCAGAGTAAAGTCGGTCCGCCAGCTAACGCGAACAGGTTCTGTAGTGACTCGTCGGATATTTTGCCCAGAGTTGCGGCACCGCCTGCCAACGTGCTTTGGAGCAGACTCTTGGTAGACGACAGAACTCCTTTGGCGCCAGTGTAGTGATCCGGGTATCTGAAGACGGCAATGTTAGGGTGCAGAGCTTCCAAAGCTCTCTTCGTATGGTGTGATGAGACTGCACTCAGAAATCAGAATACAAGACCGCAATGCGTGAGCCGTGTGCAACGGCACAGCTGCCTCCAGAAAGCACTATACTCACGATACATGAATTGAGGGACCTCTTTGAAGACAATGATGTTCACTTTGACTCCTCGCTCCGCGGCAGCAAGAAGCATCCGATCAAGCCGATACTTTTCGTTCTCAGAAGGTGGTCGTCTCAGGTAGACTTCTGGAGAAACCCACCCTGGCGGCCATCAATCACCGTCAGCCATCTCATCTCGCCTCAACAGCCAGGAGGGAGCAGCAGGAGGGTACCAACATCCAAGAATCCAGACAGATTCCTTCGCCTTCTCCAACGCCTCAGACACGGCCCAGAAGTAAGCGCACCCGTCGACATGGTACTTGACACTGTTTCCCTGCGATATTGGTGCCGAGCTATTGTATCGGTGCTCCAGATTGGGATTCTTGCCATTCACCATGCCGTTGACCGCGTTGGCAATGCTTCCCAGACCGAGTTTGTTCGTGACATTGTCCAGGTGTGCACCGTTGACCACTGTGCTTTGAGCCTTCTTGGCCGCTTCCGTGGCCTTGTTGAAGAGCGAAGCCATGATTGTCTTACTGTGGCGTCCACATCAACAATCCGGAGTGTTTCGATTACAGCAAGCACATCTGGCCCCTTTATATCTTGCTCCGAAGGACCCCAAAACTCTTTCCAGGCTGCTGCTGAGGGCAGTCTTTCGATCGTGTACGTCAAGTAGCCCGCCATGCGGACCATAGGTACTTACTTGCATGCTTGAAAGCGAATCCGGCTTGCTCGACGATCTTCTACTTCGTTGAACGATACCGTCTAAACTTTCAGCTCTTGCGGAGTTAGTTAGTGCACGCCAAATATGGACCACCCTCCCCCCGCCTGCTCAGCCGACGAACAGAAGAAATTCCGGAAAGCCAGCACAATATCCCATCCCATCAAGGCAATGCTCAATAGCTGCGCCGTTGAAGCCATGAGAAGAATTGTATGTCAAATGCGGTGCGTGTGTACGTACATGCTTGCATGAACAATGGACGAGAGAGGTTTACAGCCATGCCGATCATCTTTCCAACCTTAAGAGCGTTAAGCGGCATCGGGAACGCCAGGATGTTCATGCCCCATGATACTAGAGCATCTAGCCGTGCAATTAAGAGTTGCATGCTTCGCCCTGAGTTGGTCGTGCCCTTATTGGCCGGCTCGTTCCTCGATGTGCTGCACGCTTGTCGGCTAAGGCCGAACGACAGCTGATTTACGTACAGGCCCGCAGCTGGAGGTTCGTCGTCGAGCTAGTGTGTCTCTCTGTCGATACAACAACTGAGAGCCAAAGGGATGCCACGGCTGGACGTCGAAGATGCGCATCTCCGGTGCCTTTTCAGTCGAGCTGAAACGATGGTCGCACCAACAGCACAAAGTGTTGGGTGCTATAGGGCATTGACAGTCCAAGAGCACTACTGTACATCGGGAGAGGAAGCAAGACCAACCTGCGTGCATAAGTTATATATACTCTTGCTGCGGTATTAATACATATCACTCCCCTGCTTTACCTCCGTCACAGTCCAACAAGGGACCCTGAACCCTACCCTGACGCTGATATATATCATATCCCGATCCTCGGTTCTTGAGAGGTTGTCGCGGTACTTCCCACTTGAATGCTCTCTGTCTCGTCTGTGCTGCTCAAATACTGTCGTTGACTACCGGCGATCATGTTCCGTTCGAAAAAGGTCAACATCAACAGCTACCAGAACAAGAATCCTGATCCGCCTGTCTCCGTCTATCAGGCACTCGAGAGCGGCGATGCTCCATATGCGCTGACAGAGGATGCATTGCGCTCCGTGATGTTCATACCGGCCGAGTTCAATCATGGAAAAGATGGGAAGACGCCAGTGATTCTGGTGCCTGGCACGGGGTCATACGGTGGTGAAGCATACGAACACAACTTTGCTAAGCTCCTCCGTGGGACTTCTTTCGCAGACCCTGTCTGGCTGAACATCCCAGGACGCATGTGCGACGAAGCGCCCAAGAATGCAGAACACGTAGCATACGCCATCAATTACCTCGCAACGTTATGCAGCACCAAAGTCGCAGTCGTCGCCTGGTCTCAAGGTAATTTGTCGACACAGTGGGCATTGAAATACTGGCCCAGCACTCGCACCCGGGTCAGCAATTTCATCTGCCTGTCAGCGGACTTTCGGGGGACAGTACAAGCATGGGGCCTTGCACCGTGTCCATATACCGTGCCAGGCACGCCAGCCGTGTGGAATCAGACACGCAACTCCAAGTTCATCGCGACATTACGCTCCAATGGCGGTGACTCGGCCTATGTGCCGACGACGTCGATATACTCTTCGACAGACGAAGTCGTGCAGCCGCAATTTGGGCCGTTTGCATCAGCCTTCATGAGGGACGAGAGAAACGTTGGTGTTACGAATTGTGAAATCCAGCACGCGGCCGTCAGGTTCATGAAGCCTGGCCAGTTGGCGTATTCTCATGAAGGGGTCATGCATAGCTCGTTGGCATGGGCATTGGCCGAAGACGCCCTGAGGAACGGTGGACCAGGACGATTGGATCGCATCGATATGGCCGGGGTGTGTAAAAGTAGGATAGCGCCTGGCCTGAGTATCTTGGATGCAACACAGACGCAGGCCCTGAGCGCGTGGTGCTTGAAGAGTATCTTACTCTTCACCCCCAAGCCGTGGCACGAGCCGGCTCTACCTCTGTATGTGGCCTCAGAGGAGGTTGACTATGTTCCCGAAGACGATGTCCAGCCAGTGAAACAAGAAGTGCAAATAGCAGAGACCGAAGTTGTGGCGTCACCAGTCACGGCGTAGCGGGTAGATTGTCCCGAGAATCGCGGAGGCAGGCTTCTTTGAGTTTCACATTTGCCCATTCCGCGCGAGGAGAGGAGTTTGGAGATGTCATGGCTTTTTCTCCAGAACACCTTCATGAAGCGAGCTGCCTTGACTCAAGTCATGAGCAGAGCACAATCCCAATTGATAAAACCTGGGCTGAAATGTCAATGAATGATTATTGCTCGTGTCCAGAAGAGTGGGGCCTTCTTACCTCGATGGGGGCACCCTGGATCAACCCCAAAAACAATTTCCACAGAGATGAAGAGTCTGTATGAATCTCAGCGGAATCTGACGGCAAGGTAGGTAAAGAACTCCGCAAGAAGCTCTCGTACAGTATAGCATCGATACGGCAATAGGCAGAGAGACTGTGAATGTCTCCCTCGGCTTCCCCCTCGTTCTCGCTTGTACCGAAGTCGACAGACCTCATACTGTCCCGTACCCCACGGACGAAATGCGGAGGATCCTTCTTAGCCGAAATCCCACCTTCACCTCATGGGGCTGCTGGGCTTGAAGGGGAGATACAATAATACAAAGTACCAACATCCAACCTGGCGAGCCCCACGATCACGGCAGGTCCATTCTCCCAATCCAACATAGCCTAGTCGCAAAACAGCCAGTGAGAGGAATCCGAAGGCAGACATACGCACAAATGCCGAGTCCATTCGTCAGCCAAAGATCTTGCTTGACACCTGGGCAATGGCCGTCTTCCAGAAGTCGTACTCCGCGAACGGCACCCGGGGTTATGCCCCAAACCATTCAATATCTTCGCCGTGAGCCGCATTCTTTCTACTGCTAGAGTCACCATCACAACGCACCGTGGCAAGAGGATCCGGTCGGGTCGACGAAGGTATTCCTCAGAGCAAAGAGTGGAAGCGAGGAAGCAACAAGGGTTAGACGGCCAACATGGGCGCTCTGGTGCATGTCCAGAACGCGGCGCCGAGTGCCACCAAGATCGCCATCGGGTTGGTCGTCTTCGGCCTCCTCGCCGTGGTAGTGGACTATGTCCGCATGCTTCGTTTGAGGAGTAAAATGGTGAGTTATTCTATCTCTCATCCATGAGCCAACGAGCCAGATCTTCGAGGACAAGGATTTGATGGAATAGTGCTGTTATTGACGATTTTTGGGTGCGTGGTAGCCTCCTGGTCCCATGCCATGGCCGATTATAGGAAACACATTTTCCCTCCCCGACGTCAAGCCGTGGTTCTACTTTGAGGAATTGTCGAAACGATACAAGACTCCCGTCATCACGTACTGGATCGGTCGGAACCCGACGGTGTGGATCAACGAAGCCACGGCGGCGTCCGAGATCCTCGACAAGCGCGCCGCCATCTACTCGTCCCGTCCGCGGATGGTGGTGTTCGGCGAACTCAGCATGGGCCAGAACAACATCGTGTCCATGTACTACGGTGACCGATGGCGGCTGCATCGCAAGCTGACGCACATGGGCGTCGGACTCCAGCACGTGCGCAGCTACAGTGGCTTCCAGAACAACGAGAGCAAGGTGGTCGCGTATGAAATCCTCCAGAACCCCGAGGACTATGTCATGGCGTTTGAGCGGTACGCCGCGTCCGTCGTCAGCATAATTGGCTTCAACCGGCGGATCAGCAGCAAAGAGGACCCCATCATCACCGAAGTCATCGCCGTGATGCAGAAGGCCGCCGAGTTGAATGTGCCTGGCAAGACATTCCCCATGCTGATGGAGACGTTCCCGTGTGAGTGAGCAACTTTGAACCCGGCTTGAGAACCCGTGACGACGGTGGTGATGATGATTATGAAGATGCTAACGACTAACGGACACTCAGGGCTAGCGAGGTTCCCCAACTGGATGGCTCCCTGGAAACACGGTCTGGGCAGCAGAGGCCGCGGACGGAACTTCTACTACGCGCTCGCCGATGAAGCGGCCAACAAGGAGAACCACGGCAACTGCTACGCGAAGAAGATCTTCGACGAGGCTCCCAAGTACGGACTGAACGATTTGGAGATCGCCTCGCTCAACGGGAACCTGTTCGGGGCCGGCAGCGACACCTCAAGTTCGACGCTGGTGACGTTCGTGCTCGCATGCTGTGCGTTCCCCGAAGCTCTGCCCAAGGCGTGGGAAGAACTCGACCGCGTCGTCGGTGCCTACCGCAGCCCCGGTCTCGACGATGACCTGCCTTACGTCCGGGCTTTTACAAAGGAAGTCTTCAGGTGGCGTTCCGTGGCTATCATTGGAGGTCAACCTCACGCCCCGATCCAAGATGATGTGTACAACGTAAGTCCTAAGTTCGCCGGCCCAGGCTATCCCGCCCGCACACAGCACGGGAAGCACGCCCATGTGACATGCTACGTATATGTATGCCGTGCTAATGCTTGTCCTTTTTTTCCTTGAAAACAAAACAGGGATGGTACATTCCAAAGAACACCTGGGTCCAAGGAAACGTGTGGGCCATCCACAGAAACGAGAACAATTTCCCGGACCCAGACCGGTTCTGTCCCGAGCGCTTCTTCGAAGACCACCCTCTCCACCGCCCGTTTCCCAACGAGAAGGGATACATGACTTTCGGCTGGGGTAGACGGGTCTGCAGCGGCCAAGGGCTGGCTGAGCAAGGCACCTTCCTGACCGTTGCACGATTGCTGTGGGCGTTCAATATCCAGAAAGCGCTCGACGAGAATGGAAACGAGATCCCGGTGGACATCTTCAAGTACACGTGAGTCTACCCCTGTCTGGGCACTCTTTTTTTTTCGAGTACAGGTAAAACGTCAAAGCAAATGTGACGGCTGACGTTGGTCTGTGATTTCATCTCGACAGGAACGGACTGAACTGGCGTCCCGAACCGTTCAGATGCCGCATCACCCCTCGGTCTCCCGAGGTCAAGGAAACGATAGAACGTGAAGGGAAGCAGGCCCTGGAGGAGTTATCGCAGTTTGAAGGGGAGAGCAAGTACCGTATGAGCACGTTCTATCTGCAGAAGCTTTGACGAACCGTGCGACACAAGTCATGATGAACGACCAGCCGTGGAGAGGAGAGGAGACTGTTCAAGCCAGCGAAGAAGGGTCGTCCCAAGGGTGGTGGGATAGGTTGGTAGCAGTGCAGTACAGTCTGTTGACACTGAACAGATGATACGTGTAGTGGAACTTCATGCACGGTTTACGACGTAGGGGTGCTGAGGGTCTGAGTATGAGCCGTACGTAGGTAGTAAGCCAGACAACAGTGGTGCCGTATAATTTTGCAAGGAGCGAGGACGTACAAATTGAGCAATATTGTATATTCACAACCATTCCAACCATGTGCAGATGTTTCCATGGCCATATAATTCCTATATATATCATGCATCGGCTCGACGGTTTCTTTCACAACTTCGACCATCCCCCAACTTTGCGATAGACGCTCAAGACGTTCTTAGCTGCGACTTTAACATCAGCCACGACCCCCCGAGCCGCGCCCAGTCCTTTACGGACTCTCCTAGACATCTCAACGTGACGGCTTTCTCTGCTTCGATATCTGTATGGCGTCGGCAAGCGGTATCTCTTCCCACTCTGTGCGTTTGACCTCGACCTCGACCTCGACCTCGCTATTCCTGGTTTCGACGATAGGTTCTGTGAAGATAGGAGCGCCGTGTCTTCACCATCGTCAGTATCAGTTTCAGATAGGCTGTTGATGTCGAATTGGATGAGGTGTGTCTCTTTATCATCATCCTTCTCACAGCGCGAGTCCGGTGATGGCGGCGCGGCAGTGACAACTGCCGTTCGTGTCGTCTGGGGCTTTAGTGGCGTGGTGTCTTGCATGCTCGTGACACCCTGACGAGCAGAAAGCGCTCGAGATATTCTGGTCCCGGCAGATCTGACTTTTGACCTTGCGATATCACTATTGGGGGTTTCGAATGGTGTGCTCTCTTTGGATCCTACCTTGAACGCAGAGACCGCATGCCTCGTCATCGCTTCCACATCACCAAAGACACTCTGTCGTTTAGCCTTCAATCCATTCAGAGCATCTTTCGTCTTCGCAGACATAGTGAAAAGGCCACTTTCACGCTTCTTGTTTTCCGTAGTTCCGCTCCTGAACTTCTCCTCGTGAAGCTCTGTCTTTGTCACTTCGCTTTCTGCCTCGTCCAACGTCTCTTCTTCACATTGCACCCGTAGTCCCTGCAGCACAATTGCTTCCCGTATCTTGGCGACGTACTCTAGCACCTGCTCAGACTGTCCTTGTGCCTCGAGGTCGCAGTTACCGAGACAAGGTGGGTCATCCTCAGGTTCTGAGTCACTTTCGCTTTGGCGAGCCTTAGCCTTTACTTCAACTCGAAATTTAGGCATCTCGTTCGGTTCCTCAGGGATGCTGGCCATGCGCTTTACTTTGAGCGATGCTGTTGCTCGACTAGGTACGGCAGCATCCTTAACCTTTCGGTCTGGGTGTGCTTCAGTCACTGCTTCCATCTCCTGGTAGTTGACTTGTTGGTATGTACTTCGAGATATACCAGCGAGAAATTGCTTGTTTGTGCTTTCTGATTATATGATGAGCTGACGTGTCCGATATTGCGAGCCACCACTTGGGAGCTGTATTCGTACATATGACAGGAGGAAGAAGTATTGTATGCTGCTTTGGATGGCCCTTGTCATTGAATATCAATAGCCAATCCAAGAATCTATTCTTGACTGGACGAAAAGAGACCATTGTGACTTGAACAATCAATGTATGCGAATATAGTAAAGTGTCGCCGATCAGAATCGAGAGTCCTTTGTTGTGCTTGCCAGCAACAAAGGAGAAGATAAACCGAGTGTTTCTGAGCTCTTTGTTAAGGGGCTGTAGTGTAGTGACGGGAGAGTGTCCGGAGTCTGCACAGCAGTATGCTGGAACTCTGCCAATCATTTTGCACTAATTGGCACATCTAGTTCGATGATCATATGGAAGGGAGTCCCGGCGACATCCAGCCAGGTGTAGAGTTTGGAAAGTCATCAGCACCCAAGAAGTTGTCGTAGGCGGAGAAATCGAAGAACTCGTCAGGTGAGCATTCCATATCAACTGAAACCACTTCGTCTGGGAGCCATCCGAGGAAGTTCCCCTCTTGGTCAAAACGTTTTAATTGTTCCTCAACAGCCTCATATGCTGCAACTGAAGCATAATGATTCATGTTCAACTCCCCAAACGCAAAGTCAGTGTCCCCTTGCAGGCAAGCATTATCAATGGGCGGCGTAGTGCTGGTATAATCCACCAGCAGAGCATGGGTCGGATCGCGAGATGGCGCCTCTGAGCTGTTCTGGCTCCTTATTTTGGCCGCGTATACAGCAGGAGTTGATCCAATGATGTCTTTGAATATACCATGAAGGTATCTCGAAGAGATGTTGACGTTTTGCGCCATGTCCTTGAGAGTAGTATTGCCTTTGGTTGTTGCAATGTATTCACATGCCTTTTTGACAATTTCTTTCTGCGGCTGGGTAATGGTACTGCCGTCGACTTGATTCCGATCCGGCTTACAACGCTTGCAGGGCCGGAAGCCGGCGAGAGACGCTTGGACGGGAGTGTCATAAAACTTGACGTTGGCTCTCCGAGCCAGACGCGCTGGACACGTTGGTCTGCAGAAAATCTTCGTAGTTGTAACGGCGTAAACAAATGCCAGGTCTGCATGCTTGGACCTGGCTTGAACGGCCTGCCACCGTCGCTGATCCGTGTCAAACATGGGGCTTCGTTTATACTCGCTGTTCAAAAGTTGCAGCTGTATGTTGAGTCGAAACAAGACAATTAGATGAGAAGGGTATCGCTGGCATCGCTCACCACGATCACCTCGATCGCGATCGTGGGAATCACCATCAATTTGTGCTGATGAGCCCGAGACAGATTGAATAATGCGCTAAACCATAAAAGGACTAGTCGCTCGATGAGTCAGAGCGAGTTGTGCTGCCAAAGTGACCAATTGGAGGTCGCGATCGGCCAGTCCCGAATGCGGCAAGATCGAGTTTCTCCCTGGGGTGTCAATAGAATAACACGGGGACGAGAGCGAGGGATCCCTGTCGACACCCTCCTCGAAGAACGAACATAGAGGCACGAGAAGGAATCAAATAGGTGTGTGTGCTTCTACCATTGGGGCATTCCGTTCGGTAGCAGGGCTGTTGTTCTGCCATTCCCTGCCGTCCACGAGAAAATGAAAGTCGTTGTCGAAGAGTACAATCCCCAATGGGCTGTTCAATTTCAGAGCATCAAGTCTGAGCTAGAAGACATCCTTAGGGGAGTTCGATATATCAGTATTGAGCATGTGGGAAGTACTTCAGTACCGGGATTGGCCGCGAAACCAATCATTGACCTCTCTATCGTCAGTGAGGCAGCAGATGTGTCCGCAGCGATTGAAGCCTTGACATCAAAGGGAGGTTACACATATATGGGAGAGATGGGAATCCCCGATCGACACGCATTCAGGAATCTACCAGCACTTCCGCGTCGGAATTTATATCTTTCTGTCAAAGACTGCCACTCCATCCGAAACCATCTCGCGGTACGGGAAGTGTGCCAGCGTGATCCTAAGGTTAGAGACGCATACGGCAAAGCAAAGTTGACCCTTGCTGAAAGAGACTGGGAGAATGTTGACGAGTATTGTGAGGCCAAGAACGACATTCTATCCTGGGTGCTGGAGAAAGCGGGAATGAGTTGCCAGGACCGTATGATAGCGAGGCAACTCAACACGACGCAGTGAGATGATAGGAGAATTACCTTGGCCAGTGGGAGGAAAAGCCAAATGTCATAGATTCAGATCATGTCCGGGTTCTGATGTCCTCCTCTCTAGAGCATCGTGTGCCACTGCCAGTAATGATCTCATGTAGCATCTCTTTCTGGAACCCATCATGTCCTCCAGGCGCGGGTGAAGGAGTGGAGAGGTGGGAGGCGATCGAGGTTGTATCCATAGTGTGCGGGCATGCTGATTGCTGCACAGGTTTCACATGAAGAGCGCCCAAACCGCATACTGTGCTCCTCACTGTTGCATCGTTCGATGGCCTGTCTCGACCCCCGCGGTTAGAGCACCAGTAATCTTTTCTGTCGCGTGCCATCAAAGCTGCCGATTCCAAGACATAATGTATATACTGCACCAGAGAACATGCCAGAAACCGAAGCAGTTCGATCATTGCTGATCACAACTGAGACACATGACAGATGGAGCGCGATGGAGAGAGGAAAATGAGACCTGGCGAATGAATGAAACACCCACCCGAGCAGATGGATCGCAAAATTCTGCGGCATAACGCCATACGAGTGGATTGAGGAGTGTTGTGTTCTGGTGGGATGTTGATATTCCCACGTCAATTGGCTGGCGTCCGCCGATTTAGAAATGTTGTGCAGCAGAAAAAGAAGCGAGTGGTGGAAGCAGGACTTGACTAGGCCTGGATAAAACCAAGTTCAGCCGCCTAAACACGCCGTCTTGGCCTTGAAACGGTGCCGTTAAAGGAGCGGCCAATGATGCCCCGGAAGCCGTTGCAGTGGCTGCCCGGGGGCCGCCATAAGCTTTTCTGCCCATGACATCGCCCCCTGGGCCCTTTGCGCTGGGCCCTGGCCGGTCCCTGCGTTATCAGCGATTTCAGCGAATTCTACAGCACAAGCAAAAAGCCTCAAAGGATGCACCCGTCAGGATACGAGGGCCCTGCACCGCGTCCTCATCGTTGAAACATATTTTACTTCCTGGTCCTATTTCCCTGTTGTACATACTATTTCTATATACTCACAGCATCAACACATCATTGACGTCTTTTCTTAGATTTCTTTGACCTGCTCGCACCCATTTGTCACTCGTTAATCCCCTGCCCCCGACCTTTGACTTTGAAATACTTCTTTGTTCTCGCGCCCTGTTCTCTTCGATTCTCGAGTTGTACGAACAAAACACAGCAGATCACGACTGCCCCAGGCCGAGAGTAACATTCAAGAGCAGCATGTGGAAGCTCGTATGCGTGATTTAGGCGACTAGAGTACAAAACCCTCCGAGAATGTCTGCGATCAAAGCGCTATCTCCTCGACAAACATCTTCTCCTGTAGACCCCAATCTGTCGCCAGGAGAACAGGTACTTAAGTTGATTTCAAACCCCTTCCAAGCCTCGGTATGTTGCTCGCTCGTCTTTTGCCGGAGTCTCCGCTGACCTGGACAGATTCAAATCAATGCGTTCTGGGCCTCCCTGGCTACCTCTCTAGGCTTCAGTGCCGCTCTCGCCCTCCTTTTCTGCTTTGTCCGCCCGAGAAACACAATCATATATGCTCCAAGACTGAAGAATGCGGATAAAGACCACGCTCCTCCCCCTCTGGGGCGAGGACTTCTCGGCTGGGTCGAGCCCGTGAACAAAGCCAGTGAACCCTTTCTGGTGGACAGAATTGGAATGGATGCAGTCATCTTTCTGAGATTCACCAGAATGCTGCGGAACATGTTCTTAATACTTGCTTTCGTTGGAATAGCAATCATGATACCGGTCAACGTCACCCTCGGAAGCAAAGGCGCATCAAACGGTTCCTCGGCTTTTACCATCATGACACCCCTGTTCATCTTTGGAAGTGGTCTCTGGGCTCAGGTGGTGTTGGCGTGGTTCATTGATATCGTGGTGATATACTTTTTGTGGTACAATTATCGACGAGTTCACCAGCTGAGGCGGGCCTACCTGTCAAGCCCAGAGTACCAACACAGCCTGCACTCGCGGACTCTTTTGGTCAGGGATATTCCTCCCAAGATGCGGAGCAATGAGGGCATCGCACGTATTGTCGAAGAAGTGAACCCGGCTGGCGCCGCACCAAGAGCGAGAATTGGAAGGAATGTCACGGTCCTGCCTGAACTGATTGAAGAATACGAAGAGACAGTCAAGGAACTGGAATCTGTCCTGGCCAAGTACATGAAAAACCCTGACAGGTTACCAGCTCATCGGCCAACCATGAAGGCACCTCGCAAGTACAAAGGGACCACGGCAAACGGAAAAGTCGATGCTATTGAGTATTTGACAGACCGCATACGGACCCTTGAGATGGAGATCAGTGATATACGCGAACGTGTGGACAGTCGGGATGCCATGCCCTATGGCTTTGCAACATATGATCAGATCTCTCAGGCTCATATTGCAGCCTTCAAGACTCGCGGAAAACGTCCGCAGGGCACCAAAATCCGATTAGCACCCCGGCCGAATGATATCATCTGGAGCAATTTGAAGCTGTCTCGATCAACTAGACGCAGCAAACGGATTATGAACGGTATCTGGATTGTTGTGTTGACAGTCATCTGGACGCCCATTAACGCTGGTATTGCGGTCTTCTTGTCCAACTTGTCAAATCTGGCTCTAGTGTGGCCGGCCTTCAAAACTTCGCTCAACGCACACAAAAGTTGGTGGGCGATCGTTCAGGGCATTGCCTCACCGGCAATCACCTCTCTTGTTTACCTCGTTCTTCCCAGCATCTTCCGACGACTTCAGGTTCGAGCGGGCGATGTCACCAAGACGGAACGGGAACGACATGTCCTTCGAAATCTTTACGGCTTTTTCACCTTTAATAACCTGATCATCTTCTCCATCTTTTCGGCTGTCTGGCAATACGTTACTATTGTGATTGAATACGACAGACAAGGCAATGACACCTGGACGTCCCTGAGAAAAGGCAATCTATTCCTAAGCATCACCACCTCATTGTGTCAAATCTCGCCTTTCTGGGTCACCTGGCTCCTTCAGCGCAATATGGGTGCGGCTATCGACCTGGCTCAGCTTTGGCATCTGACTTATGTCTGGTTCGCAAGAACATTTATGGCGCCTACGCCGCGACAAAACATCGAATGGACCGCTCCCCCTGTTTTTGACTACGCGAGCTATTACAACTATTTCCTCTTCTACACCACAGTCGCGCTATGTTACTCGACACTTCAGCCGATCGTCCTGGTGGTGACGGCCCTGTATTTCTCCATTGATTGCTTCCTTAAGAAGTATCTCCTCATGTATGTCTTTGTTACGAAAACCGAGTCCGGCGGACAATTCTGGGTCACGATGTTCAACCGGATAGTCTTCGCCGTCATGCTGTCCAACGTCATCATCGCAGTTGTGGTCAAGGCACGAGGCACATGGGCGCTTGTCGCAGCCATTGCTCCGCTCTTGTTCATCATGGTTGCTTTCAAGTGGTACTGCATGAAGACCTTCGATCTCGACTTGAAGTACTACTCCCGTGGTGGTATGCAAGACCCGGAAGAACTCGCGGCCAAGCACCACGCGCACGAAAAGATCTCGTCCAAATTTGGACATCCAGCTCTCTATAAACCACTCATGACGCCCATGGTCCACGCCAAGGCAAAGCACCTGCTCGGCGAGATATACCGCGGCAGACTCGACTCCGACGGTGGCCAAGCCGCCACCCTCCCCGGTATAGCCATGCAACCCCTGTCTCCGAGCAAACAGCCGCCTTCGGACGTACCGTTCGAAATCGTCCCAGAGGCGCAACAGGACTTCCACTTCTACAGAAACCGGCCCGAGTTCCGCGACAACGCCGGCGACACTCTTTCCGAACGTAGCCACACACCAATATCGATGTCTGGCTACGGAAAAGAAAGTTACAACTCCCCGCCGAGCTCCAGAGCTATGAGCCCGGTTGTTGCTGCTGGTGCTGGTGTCCATACTTATTCGCCGCCGCAAGAATACCGTGGCGTCCCGCACCGTAAACAAGTCGACCAGTCCCACGTACCGAGCCAGTTCAAGACGAACAAGAATCGTCGATCAGTCGGAGGTGGTGATCTCGGGTTACGCCCTCAAGGACCATACACAGATCCGTACGATGATCGAACAACTCTTCTTCACGGCGTGGGCGACGTTCGTGCACCGACTGGAGAGTTCATGTCGATGGATCGGTGGCGGAGTTCGAGCCAGGGCAGAGACGGACCAAGGACGCGTGATCATACTCCAGTTGAAGAAATGAACTCGGGATACGACTATTTCAGAGGGAGGCAGTGATTGGGACAATTCCCTGTACAGTGTGAAAGGTGGAAAAATAGTGGTTTGAAAAAACCACCTGTGTCCTTCTTGAGACCAAAAAGGATATGATGGCTTGGCTTGTTTGGGGATTATAACTACGAGGCGGGAGATGACCCGTGTCCTCTTTTTACGAAGATATGAGACGTAAGATAGAACCCTGTAATGATTTGAAGAACGATAGAATAGAATTTGTTTTTTCTTTTATAGTTTCGAGCGATATATCAATATAGGACAAAGTCCTCCCAATCCTCCACAAAATCCGCCAACTCGTCTAGAGTACGCATTAGTGAACGAGCATGCAATTCGTGCAGGTCGAGGGGAGTCTCTCGGAAAGTCTCGTAGCCCAGTCATTCATCTCCGTCTCGTCATGGCTTGAATGGTATTTGAACCAATATTCCATATGCGCTTTCCAATCTTCGAGCAAGTCCTCCATGGAGCACACCAACGCTTTCTGGGCATCGTATTTCCAGAAAACCGATTTCTTCTGAACTTCACCGATCCATTGCAGAGTGTGCATCTTTAAAATCACCATCGCCTGCCCAAAATCACGACGTTGACCTAGCACCCATTCCTTCCATTCCTCGCTGTCCCAAGCCTCGCACAGGGCTGGAAGAAGTGCACGCTTTACTTTGCGGCGTTCTCCCAAAAACATCTTCACAAAGTCGGGTTTCAGGAAACGCCGCAGGTCATCGGAGATCTGAACTGGGAGGGTGTTGGGACTGACGTGCCACGTCAACAGTTTGGAAGCCCTCACGAATTCCCCGTCCTGTTTGAGCAGGCGCGCAATGATCATGCAATCGAGCAATGAATTGGAGAAGGTCCCCGTTTGCTCATCGTCGGGCTCGAGGTATTTCGCGAGGTTCAGGCCAATGTACGGCGGTATCTCTCCACGGTGCATAAATCTGTCTACGGTCAGTGCCAGGTTTCGAAGATCTGTGAGCGACATTGCTTCTACCTTACCAGGATCCTTGAGTGTCTTGTCGTGGACAATGTGCATGAAGAGATCGAAGACGAAATCGTTTTCCTCTTCGACGACCAAGGGATTCGATTCTGTAAACACCGTTGTTGAGCGGCCCCATCGTGGAGAGAGAAGTGCTTTGAAATAGTCCGAGCGTTGCATGAGAGACTCCTTGGAAACCCGCAGGAGTTTCGTCTCGTTGTCAAACCCGACTTTCAGGACCACGTCGCCATCTTCCGCAATAGTTTCAACACCGACAGGGTCATCAAGCTCGCTGTGGTGGTGTGCCGCTTGAGAAGCCGAGCCAGTTGTACGTTGAGTCGTTATTCTGAAGAAGATCGACCAGAGAGCTTTGTATCAAGTTATTTGGGAAGGCAAGAAGAGGATGATGATCATAGTGATGATGTTGATGGAGAAGAAGCCGCGAATTATCAACACTTTATATGGGCACCAAGAAACTGTGCTAGAGCCTCACAACGAAAAGTTCGTGATGGTTGCATGACAATGTCTTTGTAGGCCACCAGCAATGCATGATTGTTGCTTGGGCGTACAATGGTTCATTGCATGATACGAATTGGCATCGGTGAGGCCTTCATCCTCAAAAATCGCCGACTGTGTTCTCGACAAGAAGAGAAGTGATGTATCATGAAAGGAAAAAGATTTTATATTTGAGCGAACCAGGGTCCAAAGTCTAGGAACTGATGCAACTAATCATTCTGCTGTATCCAATTTTGTTGCTTTGCCGAATTGCAAGCTCTTCTCTCCAGCCGCCACACGACTCGAGGTACGAAATTTCTCGGAGCCTCGTTTTGGTACCTTTCCAAGGTCTGCCGGGTGCCCTTGATCAATTTGAATCTACAATCGATCTTTCAATGCATATCCTCATCGGGATCACATTTTTCGCCATAGTCGTCGATGATCAGGTTTCGTCCCTTTCTCTTAAGGCACTTGAGGCAGAGTCCCTTTATGCAATCTGCTTCGAATTGGAGGAGTAGCCACGCAATCGAGTCACCTACTTCCGTGAAAGCAGGATTGCTATTTTTCCACATCTCGGATCCCGCTGACTGGTCTTTCGTATGCAGGCGCGCAATCTTTAGTAGGATGTCCAGCGAACTTTGCAGAGACCTCCAGAATGGATTGGAAGGACACCCACCATCCGGTCCCTGAGCTGGTATTGGCCACAGGCCGCAAGCTATCAATTCAGACGTGAGTTCCGCAATCATTATAGTCTGGCCATCGCAGAGTGGTCGGATGTCTGTAGAGAATTCCTCAGTGTCGATGCGAACGCGGACGTCGCCGTGGGAGGTGCATCCGTTTCTACGAAGAATTACGTCCATGAAACTCAGACAGAGGTTGATGAGTTCGTGAACCGTTGAGTTGAAAGCGTCTTGCAGAGAATCTGAAGTATGCAAGTTAGCGGACTGTATCCCTAATCCTGAAGCATTCGAAAATAACACTGACCATGTATGTCCTGAATATCGGACCCGCTAAGCCCTGGCCAGAAATCCCGCCGAAGGACAGCTTCGAATCTGGGCCGACGAGGATTTGCATGTGGTATGGGGAAAGCGTTCCATATGATGGTTTTGATGGCCTTTTTGGTGAGATGGTAGAAGGATCCAGGGTCTTTCAAAAGATAGGAAGCACTGATCCGCCATGCAAGCTCGCCAAAGTCGAGATCTTGTTCAATTTCGTCCAAGATTTTTCTCCCACACTCGTCAAAGTCGAGGACCGCTCCCTTACAATGATGGTATAGCAGGTAGTTGCGAAACCAGAGCTTCGCCGGTGCGCTGCAGCAGTACTTGTCACTTGCCCGTGCCATTCCACAGATGTCCTTGCCATCGCGCTCTTCATAGTGGTCTCCAGTGACTGTCTTGCCTTGGTGGAGGATCCGAAGGAGAAGCTCCATCGCGTTGGGTTCATCCTCGGGGAGGTCAAGTATCGGAGGATTGTCTTTACGAAGTATCAGTTGGCCCTCACGAAACGGCCCCGTCAGCATTGCTTTGAACACCGGTGAGTAGTGAACGAGAGTCTTGCTGGCAACTCGAATCAGGACTCCAGGCTGTCCAAGATTGGTGTCTTTGGGGACTTCTTTGGACACGAGCTTGGTCGCTTTCTCGCCGACAGAAGCAGCGTTGCTGCTGGACTCCTTCTGTCTTGGCCGTCAGAGAACACTGGTTCGATGAACGTGGACCTTTTGCTCAACGAACACGTACCTTCTGTATTGCTGCACCGGACGACGCCTTGGTTGCTGGTTGTTTGCCGGTTGCCTCAGAGCCTACATTGCCACGGAGCTGGCTTCCAATTCGGAGAACGAGGTCGCAGTCAGGATCTACCGTGATGACCCGTTCCCACATCAATTGAGGAGCCATGGTTTTGGATGTTCCTTTGAAGGCGAGCGAGTGTAGGACTGTAGGACTGAGGGAAAGGTAGGGGAGAGTTCTGAACAACTGGCAAAGGGGACGATTGGCGGGGCTGGGGCGCTGCCTATCATTTCACTGAAATGAAAACAAAGAAAATAAACACAGCTGGATTCTCAATCATGACTGCAGGACAGTAAATGAACTGATACAATCCCTTGCCACTCGATATGCTGCCTGATTCAGGGCAGCGCAGGCTACTTGTCATTATTCTCCCATTCTCACCACTCTGGCCTTCCACACAACGCCCAAGACCCTCTGGAGGAATACACTTCCTTTCATGTTCTTTATTGGTGCCATGGAAATTATTCCAAAGGATCAAAGAGGGTCATAGATGGCGAGTTCAGAGTTCAAAGGCTCAAAACCCCAAACAAAGCAGGCTGCTGCTGGTATTGTGGTCATCGGTTCGGAATTCAACCAAGTTTCCGCTGCTTTGTGAGAATGGACAAACTTGAAGCAAGGAATAAGCACCACAATCGATTTGACAACAGCCTGTTTGGGAAAGCGTTGAGAGGAAGTGTTCTCGCCTTGTGTCAACGAGGCTGAACTTTGAAGGGGGAACCTGTGGGCAAACCAAGCCGCAAACAGCAAATTCATTGGAGACATGAGTACACTGTACCTCTGCCACCGACTATCAGACCTTGTCTGTGCCGCTTCTTCCGAGAAACTCTTGGTTGTCGGAGGAAGAGAAGAGGTGAAGTCCGATGCCGATTGCTACCTCGCAATATCACATATCATGGGCTCTCCTCCATAACCCCCCCTCCCCAGAAGCCTTCCCCACAACCCTTTCCCCTGATTGCACTATTCGCAATCCGAGAGACCAGTTCCAACATGTCCATCAATACAGGGTCAGCGCAGGGAGGTGTAGCAGTAACGGTAGTCTAACCCCGACAGCAGAACACTAATGCGAAGACACTCCGCCTACCCCTACGAGTCCAACACCCAAAAACCCCACGATTATAAGTGCGTATCTTCTCGGACTCAAACGCCAACGTCCGAAAGAGAAGGCAAGTAAGTCCAACCGTACCACCTAATACCATACCAGGACCAATTACGCCCACTTCAGCATCAACATGTCCCCTGGAAAGATCAGAGACGAGTTGAGAATCTTCACGCCCGTCGGCCAATTCGGTCAAGGGTGGAATGCGGGGATCTTCTGGGACACGGTCGAATCTGGCGTGGACGCCATCATTGCTGACGCTGGTTCAACCGACAGTGGTCCTGGACGTCTCGCACTTGGCAAGACTGCAGCCTCACCAGCAGGCTACAAAAGAGATCTAGGTGAATTGGTCAAAGCATGTCACACCCATGGTGTCCGTTGCCTCATCGGCTCCGCTGGCGGATCTGGCTCTAGTGAGCTCGTCGACATGAATACTCGCATCATCCGAGAGATTGTCGAAGAAAACGGATATCGTCCCATGAAAGTCATCAGCATCTATGCTGAGATCCCTAAGGACGTGGTACGTCAAAAGTTCAAGGACGGTCTCATCAGTCCTTGTGGGCAGGGTGTTCCTGCTCTCAAAGAAGATGATATCGACTCGGCAGTGAGAATCGTTGCACAGATGGGCTTGGAACCCTATGTGAAGGCAATGAATGAGAATCCAGACTTTGACATTATAATTGGCGGACGGTCATATGATCCTGCTCCATACGCAGCTTTTTGTATTCATCATGGCTTCAACGACCTAGGTGAGTGCGTCCTTGTTGATCTCGCCGACGCTATTATTTGGGCATCTCTAACACGCCTTGAATCGCAGGCATCAATTATGCCATGGGTAAAATCATGGAATGCGGAGCACAGTGCGCAGTTCCCAAGACGAGGGAAGGTCTGGCTATCGTACGCCATGACAGCTTCGACCTTATCCCACTCCAGCCAGGAGCGAGGTGCACTCCGACCTCGGTGGCTGCTCATCTTCTCTATGAGAAGAGTCGACCAGATATACTCCAGGGTCCCGGCGGTGAGCTCCATACCCGTGATATGACCTATGAGCAAATCGACGAGCGCACGGTAAGAGTACGTGGACCAAAATTCGTTCCGCAAACAGCAGGCGAATATACAGTCAAGTTGGAAGCAGCACGCGTCAACGGCTATCAGGCTAGTTTCGTTGGTGCTTTCAGAGATCCCATCCTGATTTCACAGCTCGACACGTGGATCCCTGCGGTCAAGGAGACTGTGAAGGGTAGAATGTCTGGAAACTACGAGTACGAGACCAAGATCATCACGTACGGTATCAACGGGGTCATGGGCGCTCTCGAGCCAAACAAGACCCTCCCCCATGAGGTCTGTGTGGTGGTCCAGTGCAAGGCTCCCACGATGGAACAGGCCATGGAAGTCGCCAACAGAACCAAGATGGGCTTGACACATGCCCCGTACCCGGGTCAACTTGCAACGGCTGGAAACTTCGCTTGGCCCATCACTCCATGCGAGACACCGATCGGCCCTGTTCCAGAGTTTTGCATATACCATCTTATCCACAAGGCTGACCCGGTCGGCTTGTTCCCTTTCAAGGTGGAGGAGTACAAAGGGTCCAACACATATGTGCATACTCCTCGTAAGTGTCAGAGCGTCTAGCAACAATGCTTGTGGAATTGTACTGACTTTCAGGGCAGGCGAGAAAGTCGCCCTCCAGGCCGACGCCGCCGTGGCCATAATCAAGGCCCCAGGAAAGACAACAGGACAACCAAAGAAATACTATCTCCTGCCCCAACCAGCCGAGGGGACATGCTACCTTGGAGACGTTGCTTCAGTCCTTCGTAGCAAGATTGCTGGGCCCTACGAAGTCACATTTGACATCATGTTCCCTGACGATGATACGTACAACAAAGTCAAGGCGTCGAATTTGCTATCGGGGCCAACGGTGGCCAAGCTGTACAATATCCCCGAAAGTGATATTATTGCTGCTCTGTGGTGGGATCCTGCGAGAGCATTTAAGGCCACGATCCCTCGCTATCGTGCTTCAGCTGGATTTGAGGAAACGGATACGCACGGCTCACAACAGCATGCTCCGCTGTTGTACCTGACTTTGCCCTGGGGAAGAGAATAGGGGTTGTCATAATTGCGAATTTCTATACCAGCTGCTTAGCTCCCCTAAGTGGCCACCAATAATACGTCCTAGTATCGGAGGTGTGATCCTGGAAACAGAGCAGACTAAACGTTAGGCAGTGAATGTAGGTGGTTATTCGCTCTGGCGGAAGTATGACGGGTGCGATGTCGCAATGAAATCTCGCAGACAGCATCCTACCGTGCATCCTCGAGGCCCGTGAAAGGGTACATAAGGTGAAGACAGACAGACTCCTCGTCCAGTCTCATCAACCTCAAACCATACACGACCATGTCATCCACACCGGTCCTACTATTACTTGGAGCCGGATCCAATCTCGGCTCAAGCATTGCCGCAGCCTTCTCACAAGCAGGATACAAAGTTGCTCTTGTCGCGCGGTCTATCGAGCCGGGTCTTCGTGAATCCGGACGCTACCATATCCGTGCCGACCTGAGTAACGGGGAATGTATCCCTCGAATCTTTGACGAAGTGACAAATACCGTTGGCACTCCAAGCGTCGTGGTCTACAATGGCAAGTTTTCCTCCTCGCCCCCTGGTCTCTCCCCTGTTCAACCCCTTCAAGCACTTGCCATCCGTCAAGGATCAGATCTACATTGCCCGTTGATGTGCTGACCACGAGCGCCGCAGCCGTACAGTACAAGCTCGACAACGAATCAGACCCATTCGCAACCTTGGCTCCGGAGACGGTACATCAATTCCGCACGACCATGGCCGTCAACGGAACCACACCGCTGATCGCCGTACATCATGCCATCCAGGCATTTCGAAAACTGCCACCCGCCGCCACCGGCGCGAAAGGGGGAACGTTCATCTTCACCGGAAACGTACTGAATCGTGTCGCCGTCCCCGACAGGTTCAGCTTCGGATGTGCAAAGGCCACATGTGCATACGGGATCAAGATGGCTTCGGTGGTGTATGCTGGAGAGGGCATTAGGTAAGTCAGAACTAAAGGAGAGCTTGGGTTAGAGCGCCTTGATCACCCAGTGGCTGAAGTAGCGGGACCTACAATGCCACGAAACAGATTCTATCGGACGCTGACACTAGTGGCCTCAAGGTTTTACTATGCCGATGAGCGGAATTCAGAAGGACTGCCTGTGATGCGAGACATTGACGGGCCGGCCGCGGGGAGAGTCTACCTGGCTCTAGCGGAGGATCCAAAACAGCGTGCGTGGAATTACACATACACCAAAGACGGTGGGTATGAGGACTTCGACGCCGGTGGATGTGGAGAGTACCTGTCGGTCAGGCAGGCGAGGACTGTTGAGTCAACGAAAGGGGGAAGAGATTGAGGTTGAGCAATGTATGTAGGTATGTAAGACTACATACACGTAGGCTGGACTTTTGATCGTGCTCGGACTGCATGTTCAATCTCGGGCTTCATGGAAACTCCGTCCAGGGCAGATTTTCAAAGTCCCAAAAGTCAGAAGAAAACAATATAGTGTTCTGCTGTATATCCATGTAAACCTGATGAAAATCAAACACCAAAAAGGCACCGAGTCGCGAACGATGCGGCGATCTTTTGTCCATACTAGCCTGTACAAAGGCCTCTTTGTTATCTGGAGACGTGACGAAAGCAATGAACTGCGACAGCTTGGGCCCCTCAGACACGCCGAGGGCCTCCCGCGCTCTTTCGACATGCAAATCAATCATGTCATCTTCCCAGCCGTACGCGCCCAACTTGATCCGGCAAAGGAGGAGGGCGGCATAACACACAGACCTCCGCGTGTAAAACGGCACCAGAGACAGGTTCATCTCGCACGCGATCTGGATCAGTCTCATGGCGTCCTCTCGCGCGCGACAGATGATCTGGACGCTGTTGGCCGTTACGGGGACGTCGTTGTGGAGCGCAAACGACCATATCTGCAGCCTCGAGCTCAGGAAAAATATCTCGACCACGTCGCTCGGCTGCGGGAACCGCTGGCGCCGGACGTCGTCGAACTGCTTGCCAAAGACATTGATTAGGCTGATTCGGGCGGACGGCTCGACTAGCCCCGCGGAGTTGGACCCGCGGGCCCCAAGAGCGTGAGTGGCGTCGACGGTGAGGTGGGAGATGTAGCATAGTTGCGAGAGCTCGTGTGGCACGGCGGGATTGTCGAGGGAATACAAGAGCGGGTAGTCTGCCACCACCGTCGCAGGGACGCCGCGTCTGCTCGCCTGGATCTGCGCCACGACGAAGCAAGCCAGCCACGTGGTTCTTCGGATCTCTTCGTCTCCGTAATGGTGGTGCTCGGTGGTCTCATTGTCGAAGCCCGCGTCGATCGCTGGCCGGTGCAGGCCAATGCTGAGACTGATCTGCGTCGCCAGGCCGCTGTATATGAATGAAGAATCGGTCTTTTGGTTGGCGAAAGGAAACGGCCACATACACAGAATCAGCAGACCTTGCACCATCTCGACCGTGCTGCTCTTGTGAGGATCGAGGACGTCTGCGATGAGACACCGGACAGGTACTTCGAATTGTGCTCGTGCCGTGTCGGCAGAGGCCACGGCGCAGATGACCCAGAAGAGCAGTGGACATCGCTCGTAAATGGCCTCGATGGATTTACAGATTCTGAATGGCAGGTACCGATGACAGCGTGTGAAGTAGATACGGAAGAGTTCGTTGACATGTGAGGCAGTTAGTTGAATATCGCCAAGATACTTGTCGGCGATGCATAAGCCTTCCAAGGCTGGATTGGTCGTGCTTGTAGACAAAATGGTTGGTTCTTCAGGCGCGATAGGAGTCGATGATCCAGCGGAGATGGGAAGTGGGTGTGGCGACGGTGCTGGTTGTTTAGGAAGTGGATCGGTGTTGTTGCCCTTTGTTGAATTTGCCGTGGCTGCGGCCAATTTTCTCAGCTCAGCAAGTTCATTCTGCATCTCTGCTAGCTTCGTTCTCTTAGCGGTGCGCCGAAACGTCCTGTCGAACGTGCAGGGCGTGCCATGTTCCCGGCACCGTGTGCAGCCCTGTGGCCCGGAGACGTCGGCGTCACAGCCGACTTTCCATTGGCGACAACGTGTGCAGGCTTTGGCCTTCATGGCGGTGGTGATTGCGAATACTGCAGTCAACGACCGAACGGCGGTAAAGAGAGAGTATGCAACATTGCGAAAAGGAACAAGGACATGGCGCGCCTCATATTTCATTTAGCGAGACGCGGGGGCAAGGTGCGACGAGGCTCCGGGCTGGAGGGGGCAGAGACCCACATCTCGGTCTGGCCCCTTGGGGTATCAACCTCCGAGGTCAACCATCATTCCGATTGCGATACTCGCAATCCATGTCTCAGAATCAACACCAGACCAGCATGACAGCTCTCGGGCAATGAGTCAATCAACCATTTCAACACGGCGGATAGATTTTAGGAACAAAGTGAAGCCGACAGCTTGTGGTCATGGACCCATGGATACTCACAGGAATTTGACTTAGAGTGGACCATGCATTCCGACAGTGTTCGCGAAAGCTGTGTGATGAGGCTGTGAATCAATCTAGTGTCCATCGCGAGGTTGATTCCTCAGATTGCACCAATAAAGAAGCAGCCAGGAGTTTCGTCTTCAGTTATCAGTCGGGGTAATATGTTCTGGGCTTCTCTCTTTCCATCCCCAGCTCAAACCCAGTGAGCCACAGCCACAACAAGACAGATATACAATACCATGGCCCTAAACGGCACAGGCGATGGACCGCACACCTTGTACGTCGCTCTACAAAGCACCGGCATCGTTGAAATCTCCTTTGACCCAAGCAAAGACCCCGACAACGCAATATCGATCGTCAACATCAATACAGACGCGGGATTCATGCCAGGATGGCTGGTCATATCCAACGACAAGGTCTACAGCATCAGTCGAACCAGTTCTTCCGGAAGTGAGAACGAGTCCGGTGGCGTCTTTGCGTTCCAGATACCCCCTGAGAAAGGTTCTCAATTGACTCGCATAGACGACAACGGCAGTTATGGCAAAGGCGGTGTCCACTGTGAAGTGAGCCCAGACGGGAAGATACTTGCAGCCGCCAACATCACTGCATCGACCATATCAATTTTCCAATTGTCAGATGATGGCACCATGGGCGAACCAACTCATGTTTTCGACTACAATAAATCGGACCCGGGCCCAAGAGAGGCTCATCCACATCAAGCGGCATTTGACCCTTCAGGGAAATTCCTCTTTGTACCTCTTCGCACCATGGACCGGGTCGACATTTACTCTGTCCAAAGTGCCCAACAGGTTGAGAAAGTGTATAGTATCGACCTGCCAGCACCAGCTGGTTGTCGACACCTCGCATTCAACCCAATCAGCCCTGCAAAGGCGTATATGTACCTCGTCAGCGAAAAGGACAACACCATTCGTGTGTACACAGTGAGCTACGATGATACCGAGTCTCCAGGGATCAAGGTAGAGCTAAAGCAAACTTTGTCGACCATGGAGAAAGACTTGGGTCCTACACTTGACGAACACAAGGATCTCGCTTCAGAAGTGGTCGTCAGCGGTGATGGGAGGTTTGTCTATGTGTCCAATCGCAACTTGACCAGAGAAGATCCAGATACGATCATCACGTACTCTGTCGACAAGGACTCAGAACATGAGAAGTCTCATCTCACGTTCATCAAAGCTCAAGAAGTACCAGGAAAACATCCTCGAGCCTTTGCCCTCTCGAATGACGAGGCAAATAAGTGGGTTGCTGTGTCAAACCAGTTTACTCAGGACATAGTCATTCTGGAAAGAGATTCGACCACAGGCCTGCTGGGAGACGTCAAGGGGAGAGTCAATTTGAAGGTGGAAGAATCCCACCAGTCTTCTCCAGAAAAGGTTGTATTCTCAAATGTTCCGAGTAAGATGAGCAGGGAAGATTTCTTGAAGAATCGCAAAGATGGACCAATGTGCGTTGTTTGGAAGTAGTTAGTAATTGTTCGTCGTAGAGAAAAGAGAAGAAGGACATCTCGGGATCGAGGAAGAGACGGATCACGCCCACCAACCTCTGTATCACGTACCGCCACCACTCACCGGCATCTCCCTTAACTACCGCGACAAGTTTGAATACAATGGAGATGCGGTCAGATGCCGCATGTGGAATAGGGATGCTTTGTCTCTATTTCATAGCAAGGGTTACGGGAACTCAAGACAGATCCACGAAGCTCAAGCTGCCATACTCAAGGTTGGGCCGAGGAGGACTCTTCTTGAGCTTGATCGCGATGCATACTACTGAAGGTCTGCTCCCGAGTATGAGGAAGGTTACCAGGGTTATCAGAAGACAGATTCGCTCAGGAAGAATGCCTTTAGCTTCTCACTCCGCAAACATATCTTCCGCTTAGCCGGGTGAGTTAGTTGAGACTCGATTGTTGACTTGTCTGAAATTGAGACTCAGTCACATTTCAAAGCACCACCAAATCCGAGATTCCAGAGGCAGCACTCATAGTGTGCTCTACCCTGGGGATAAGATATCGTATCTTATTCTCCCTCCCATCTTCACACTCAAGGGTTCTCTCACCCCTAAGCAGCCTTGATACCACCAAGGTACGCACTATCGACATCGGCTCTCGCGAATCTTTTGACGGTCAAAAGATTCACCGCATCGAAATGTCTTGTTATAAACTATGCTAAGGCCCCTCATCATCTCAAAGATATAAATCATGATGTCCTTAGACCGACAGATCAAGGAAAAGATACGAACCAACCACAGGGGACGTTTTTGCGAGAATCGCAAAGCCCAGAGATTTGGAATACGAAGTGGGATCCACCTCCACCATAATCAGCCCGCATTTTCCATCGTCCCCCATACTTTTCACGTCCTTTTTGGTCCCTTTTTCGCTTGAGATGACCCTCGTTAGGGTGTCCTCATCGACCCCACGGGGATCTAGATGCCTGGCTACCTGAAATCGACCATTATGCCAGGATGGACGGGTATATGAGCTGCAGCTCGATCCTGATCTGATACCGCATTCCCTTCCCTACCTACTCTTCTACGCCACACCTCTCCCCCAGTGACACTGATACTGACACGGTACACATCCAACACTGACTGGTCCACCTCACACCTCTCAACCTCCATGACCAAGAGACCACTGATCCACCGGTACTGAACCGCCTTTCTTGTTCTCCAGCCTGGTCGATTCAGGTCACAACCATGGGTCTCCTCCCCGCCAACCGCATCAGCGAGAACGTCAATGGCCCCCTCGCCTTCGCGTCCACGGTCATGATGCTCTCGCAGATCAATTTCGGAATGGACTTGGTGGCCTTCGCGAACACGCAGGCCATGAATGCTTTCAACGAAAAGTTCGGCCACTACAACCCGCACCTCAAACGCTACGCCGTAGACCCGTACTTTTTGTCCTTGCTCAACAGCCTCACGTACGTCGGACAGGTTTTCGGCGTCATCACTGGCGGCTGGATTACAAGACGCTATGGCCGTCGAGCGTCATTTTGGGTCATGTCATTCTGGGCGATTTTGTCGGCGATATTGCTCGTCACCGCCGAGAAGAAGGAACAGGTTCTCGTCGGGCGTATCTTGAACTACGTCTACCTCGGCCAGGAGCTTGTTACCGTTCCTGTGTTTCAAGCCGAGATTGCACCGCCCGAGATTCGAGGGATGGTGATTGGGACATTTCAATTGGGGACAATGGTGAGTCTGTCTGGTCCCCCCCCCCCCCCCCGGAGAACATACCTAGGTTACCTATTCTGGGTGTCATTCTCTCTCCCTGTCTGCCTTTATGTGTGTGTATGTGTGTATTTGCTAATGAAGCGTGATCACGTCACGTACAACAGGTCGGGTCATTCATCATGGCATGCATCACATTCGGTACAAGCAAGCTCGACGACGAATCATCGTTCCGTATCCCCTTTGGCATTTTCTTCGTCATACCGTTTGTGGTGTCGATTGGCGCATGGTTCATGAAAGAGGTAGGTGATCTAGATATACGTCTACATCTTCGTTCCCGTACGAGTTTACTTGCTTGGTTGCCGTTTCCTATACCTCCCTGCGCCCGACCCCCCTACAGTCTGCCTGGGGCTGTGCTATGCTCGGTATGCCATGCTGACAAGATTCTCCCTTTCTCTTCTCTTCTTCTAGTCCCCCCGGTGGCTCCTCGTCCGCAACCGATCCACCGAAGCTCTCGAATCTCTCACCCTCTACCGTCGAGGCAAATTCACCCCGGAGCAAATCCAAGACGAATACCGGGACCAAGTTGCCATGATCGCCGCGCTGACGAACGACAAAGGCACGTTCAAGGAGATGTGGCAGGGCACGAACCTCAAACGGTCCCTGATCGTCATCGGCGCCAACGTCAGCATCCAAATCAGCGGACAAGGCCTCTTCAGCAAATACGGCACCATCTTTCTCAAAGACCTCAACGGGCCGAACCCGTTCCAGATGTTTTTGATCAACACTTCTTTGCAGATTGTCATTGTTCTCTTGGCCCTGTACATGTTTGACAAGGTTGGAAGAAAGTAGGTTTTACCTTTTTTTTTTTTTCTCTCGCAACCATCATTCCCGTGCTCCCTCAATGAGACACCAACCACCATTACTCGGAATTTCACTGACAATACCTCAATCACTTCTACAGACTCCCACTCATCATAGGTTCAACAGTCCAATGTACGACGTACTTTGCCATCGGTGGCCTCGGCACGGTCTCCAACCCTGGCGACGGGACCAAGATCGCCATCACGGCCTTGTTTACGGTCTACTTTCTCGGTTTCGTATTTGGATGGGGACCAATCTATCATATTCTCACGTCCGAGATACCTAGTTCACGTACGTCGAAATTTCCCCTCTTCTATCCTCCTCCCTGGTCCTCTACCCTGATCTTCTATGTCCTCTCCGCTGCACTTTCCCGTTCCGCCATCTCTCCTCTGCGGCACTCCCTCTGTCCATGAAATAGTCCATTGACGGAAGCCGTCCTCCTTTAGGCATGAGAGACGTGACATACACGGTCGCAAGCGCCGTCACGGTCGTCACTCAATTCGTCGTGGCCTTCTGCATCCCGTACCTCCTCTACGCGCCGTACGCCAACCTGGGCGCCAAGATCGGGTTCATCTTCGCGCCCATCGCGTTCCTGACGCTGGTCTTTGCCATCCTCGGCGTCCCCGAGTGCCGCTCCTTCTCGCTGGAGGAGATCGATCACCTGTTCAGACAGAGGGTGCCGATCCGCCACTTCACGCGGTACAAGCACGGAGAGATCCTGACGCAGGAGGACCTGGACGCGCAGCGACCCGGAGGCGTGCAAAAGGCCGGGGAGGAAGGACCGTCGGTGGAGTTGAAGGAGGTCGCGGTGTCGTAGTTCACGAGAGAGGTGTCACGCAGTCCATCCGAGGGAGTTGCAACAAACAAACCCCCTTGAAGTCTTGAAGAAAGTGGCAAGAAAACCCACCAGAGCCCAAAAGCAATCCCACCAGACTCAAAAAAAAGTCGTCTGGGGCGAGGCAAGGCAAAGGAAGAAGAAAGCAGTGAGACAGTTTGACAAGAAGCGTTGGTTCACGTGTACGGAAAGACCGACGAGCAACAACAGTAACAAAGTATACGAGTCAGAATGCTCCGTACGTGTACGTACTGAATTGTATCGATTGAACTGTCTGTCCAGTACTCAGTACAAGCACCACGAGCGGTCACCTTCGTTGTGGTCAATCTGGCCCATGCTGAATAATTCTTCGTGTGAGACTCTTATTCTTCAATCTGTTTCTCTCAACTCCATCGAATCTCCCCTAACGTCACCTGGTTCTGAATGCTGCACTCAACGGCGCCAGAAGCAACCGGCAGCCAATATCCTTTCTGATCATGGTGCTGCGTGGCGGACTTTTGACAAACTGTCCATGCATATCAATTTTCTTCTTTCCCGGCGTTCAAGACACAGTGGCGCCACTTCGCGTGAGAGACAAAGTCGTAACACTTGCGGATTGTCGCGACTTTACCCTTCCGCTTGAGACAACCCCAACAGATCTCGTTCCCAATGCCGCTCTTCAGGAGGTCAACATATTTTTCGAATTTGCCCTTCTGCTTGCAACAAGGCAAACAGATACCTCCTTTCAAGCAAAACTCCAGCTCCTGGATTCGGTCTTCCAGTTCAGTACTGATGTGGGGTACAAAACCGCACAAATCGCACAAATTATCAGGCGGACAAGAAGTGCTGATCGCCTCCTGATCAAAATCGATGTCAGCAACGTTTCGCCACTGTGTCATCATATCATCGAAGGTGTCTTCTTTGCCGTGTTTCTGATTGTCACAGCCTGGAAACATGTGCGATGAGATCAAAACACCACTCAGACCCCCCATTATTTGGGCTAGGCGGGAACATACGGCGATGCCGATGGCCTTGCCATTGCCATCTACACTACCGAACCTGATCGGGTCCCTTGGCTCACGCCGGCAATGTACGCATTCGACAATGTATTGAAGGACGTCCAGTCCCAGCCGGGAAGCTCGGTCGATGAAAACCTTCTGCCAACTCTGAACAGTATCTAGAAAACATCAGCGGCAGTTACTGGCCTATACTGAGACAAGGCATGATGGCGTGTGCTCTTACCTGCAATGTGTTCCGGCACCAAGTCGTCCATAGCTTCTACAAGGTACCCACGAGTCTTAGAAGGTGGTGTCTCACGACAATATGTTTCGGTCGCGTGTGAGAAGAGGTCATTGTCTTCGAGAAGATACGAGATCACGATGACGTGCGCCAGGTTGATACCGAGTGGGCCCAGGGCATCTTGATCGAAAAGGCCAGTATCTGGAAAGGTAGAACGATACAAAAGTGCTTGAAACCATGGGTGGAGGCAGCGTCCGCAGTCATACTTATCACTGAAGGTGGCAAGGTTCATGAGTTGGTCCGCAGAATTCGACTTGTCGCTGTCATTATCCCCGAAGTGCAGGATTCTGCAGAACAAAGCAGTGGCATCGGGGTCGTCTTCTGGCAGCGTGATGCTCGGAGGATTTTGTTTCGAAGGTGGGAGCTGTCCTTCGGCAAAACGTCCGTCCAACATGGCTTTGAACACTGGAGAAGCATGTGTGACAAAGGTCGACGATACCAGGAGCCGAACATAAGTTCGATCGCTTGGTGTATCCTCTCTGCCGACATTCTCTTCGGTTCCTACTCCTTCCGGGTCGTATTCCTCACAATCTGACATCTTTATTGAGGCATTGTGCTCCACCCCGACTTCCAAAATCAGATCACCATCTTTATCGATGACCTCCAGATCATTCCCGGCGGCAGCCATATCCATGACCATGTGTGAGCGGAGCCGGTATCGTCGTCAGAACCGTTGAGGATAAAGGTGTCTTGAAATCGGGGATTGTGTGTTGACAAAAGACCTAAGAGGATGTTCGAGGTGATGGGAAGAAGGGAGAATTTGCAAGTTTGAAGCTGTGAGGTAAGAACCAGTGGCCGAAGGAAGGCCAGTGACCAGTGAGGTGATATTGAAGTGAAGTACTCTCGTTCGGACCGGCCTCGGATGATCCCAATCTTCATGGTGAATTCTGAAGCGTCCTTCGAGATGTAGCAGCAACTTGAACTAGATCTGAGGATTAACAGAACTGCGTGACTGAGAATCGGATTTTTGCAACATGAATGTAGCCTTGATGGTCGAGATCTTCGTTGCGAACAAGCAGTACTGGAGATATTCACAGAACAACGCGCATACACTCAGGTCCTTAGGTCCATCTTTAGTCTTCAAGTCACTGTGTCAGCTCGTAGTTTGGCGACGTTGTGTCTTCCCGCTCACATCAAGCCCTTCACTGGAACCCGACGACATGATGGTCGATATCTGAGGCAAGGGGAAAGAATCTGATGAGTTCTGTACAAAAGCAAGAGATACAGACTCCTTTTCCAACCACATACTCGCGAGCCCTGTCCCAAACCTTTTGTTTTGCATAGCTATCCATTATTTATCCCTCCTTAGTCCCCTACCAAAGCAGTGAATCGCTCTTCTTGCTGGTGCCCGCCTCCAATTCCTCGATTTGCTTCCTCAGGGCATCCGCTCTGAATGACCTGTAGGCCTGTTCGACACGCGCCCGAGTATCTGGGTTTTTTTGCAACGTCCGGCGCGCTGACCAAGTCCCCGTCAAAAGGCCGGTCTCACCTCCTAGAAACAGCCCGGCGATACCAAAGAATGTGAACGTCAACGCATCTCCCAACCGCGACGGCTGTAACAGCGGCGTCACATCCGGGATAGGCTCTTCTCTCCCATCCGCGAATCGAACATGTGTCGGCTTCTCGGTGGCGCGGAAGGCTTCGTAGAAGGCCCGTCGGTTCGCTCGAACGCGGTATGCCAAGTAACTGCCCAACCCTACGCCTACGAGGGATCCGATCACGGCGTGGGTAGAGACCTTCGAGGCGGCTCGTTTCACCACATCTCGGTCTTCGTCTCGTAGGCTGCTTGCAGTCAGTGTCTGAATCTCGACAAGGGCTTCCCTCTTGAGCTGTCTCACTCGTGCTTAAAGTGCTCTTCTGCCAATTTCTCGAGCTCTTCACCGCCGGTCCTCCTTAGTACGGCGAAGGATTGCGAAGACATTGTGGTGGAATCAAAGCCGTGTTAAAGTTGTCGGGTGGTTTCGTGGAGGAGGTTGTTTGAGACAAGGGCTTTTCCGGACACGGGAATGTTCTATCGAAGACGGGAGACTGATAGGTGAGTCGAGAAGACAGGACTGTACAGTACATTGTTTATACTCGCGGTGCGTGCAGTGTAGGAGAAGGAGAAGCTTTGACGGAGCAGAAACTACGTCATGATCATTATTGCATAACGGAAGCCCGGAACAAACTTCCCGGACCCCGAACATGCACGGTTACTACAATACAAACCAGGTACTTACCGGTGCCATAGGTGCATGAGCCGTTGTCAGCCATCAACGGAGTACGAGTACGAGGAAGCAGAGTAGAGCTCACGATACGAGTACCAGGTACCTAATTGTAGGCAACTGACACAAAACCATGTCACGTCCGCAACCTCCGCCCAACTCTTAGATATCTATGATCGAATGCCCGCGTCTCCGCGACCACATGGCACTCTTTTCCGTGCAAATGAACTCAGTCCACGCTCTAACCTTCACGGCCATCATATCGGAAAATGGGTGATGCTATGATACGTCACCGGAGTTTCTGGCCTGCTGTGCTCTGTGTCCGGGGACACTGGCGCCGGCGCCGTAGAGCACTGTGGCTGGAGAAGAGACCGTGATGATGCGAATGACGGCCCACCATTGGCACCTAGACCTCCAAACCCGGCTTCTTGCGCCATGGTTAACAACGCCTTCATCACCGCGACGACGGTTTGGACCGCCCGGGAGGAGTCGTAATTTCTTGACTGCAGCCAGACAATGTACGCGCTGCTCAACGAGTAGAACACCCGAGCCTTCGTATCTAGGGGGTCGTTGGCCGTCGGTGGTAGGGCACCATCTTCAGACAAGTCCTGTGCGAGTTCGGTACACAGAAATGCGGTAGCGAAAAGAAAATCCGGCACCAACAACGACAAGAATTTCCAACCGTTCCGACACAGTGGCCCGCCAACCTGCGTCTCGAGATACAACCTCCACTGGTGTTGCAGCATGGTCAGAGCAGCCTCGATACATGTCTTCCGTGATCTGGCGTACTGCGGCATGGTCCTCCCTGCCACCAGATATCGATGGTGAAGCGCGATTTGGCTTCTGCTGTAGACAACGCCTAGAAACATACCCTTTACGTTGCAGAACGAACCGTGCAAGTACCCTTTCTGTGACGACGGATTATTTCCGTTCATCCCCCACAGTGGTGCAACTGATTCATAGGTCTCCGTGAGCAAGTCATCCAATTTCAGCACCTCGTTCAATGGTGCCGGTCTGAGTGCATTGCATAGTTCGTTGATGCTGTTGGAAACCGAGAGGAGCCTGGTCTTGTCTGCGTGATATCGGGCAGTTGTCCTTGCCGAGAGCGGTCTCTCCGGAGGCAGCTCGACTGTGTTACTGTCAAAATCTTCATCCTCCAGATTGTGTGGCTCTGCAGTGTCGTATTGTGACCGCACAACCGTCCGTGGTAGTCCCTGCTGTGAAGTCAAGTAGATATCCCATTGGAGGATCATCAACCAAACCCTGCGTCTGGTCTCTGCCTGAAACGCTGACATGCCTGGGAAATGCGAGCCATCACGATGGTACCCTGATTTTAGAGCAATGCGTACAATAAGTCCCCAAAGTGCATATGTCGCGCTGCTTGGTTCCGTATGGTCACCAGACAAGTAGTCGGCCAGGAGATGCAGTAGCAATGTCTCGACAGTATAAGGCGGCCCCTCCAGATAATTGCCCAGTAATAAACATTGGGTGCTTCTCATATGGAATGTTGTGATTAACTGCTGAGGATCCGAAGTCGCAACCTGCAGTCTCCGTGCCTCATCTGAGGAAAATTGTTGATATTGTATGGATAGGCACATCAAGCTAAACAAGGCACCTATCCAGATGATTGAAGTTGAATCCGGATCGTTCCAGAATTGGAGATACTGCATCCATGTCAGCGATGAGGTTGGCTTCTTGAGGGGATCGATTCACCTCTTTGCGGAATGTTGGAACATGAACTATCACTACCTGCTATCAGCCGGTGTCTGTGTGGGTCCAACGGAGAACTCACTGCGTTCATTGTCTGTGTTGACAAAGGCTTCTTGTAATAGTATATCCACGGTGTCTCTTGGAGGGAGCGCTGCAAGGATTTCTGCACGGTCGACGAGCGGGACGATTCCCGACAGAGGACCTGGCATCTGTGGCTTTGTGGCCTGTCGTGCATTTTTGGATGTTTGGAGGCCATCCCCAATCATATGCTCGAGTCCGGGTATCTGCGCAACGTCAATCACCATGCGTCTAAAACGCATCGCGGCCATGCATACACTTTCCAGCAATGCTCTCCAATGTGCGTTGCCAACATATGTTACACTCGAACTGGACCACTCAATATGCCCAGCCGCGGCTGGAAGAGCTTCATCGGGTTCTCCAAATGCTTCTGTGTCTGAAATACCCTGGTACACGGATGTTGTGGGTGACAGATTGGTTACTGGAGCATTCTTTCGCATAGTCTTCTTCGCGTCGTTCAAAGCGCCCTTCAGCATCACCACCTGTTCCTCAAGCTGCTTGACTCGATCACGAGCGGCCTGTCCCATCGCTTGCCGCTCAGGCTGCAATGATGAAGATGTCGAGATTCTGCCATGAGGGTAATGGCACGTCTCGGCCAAGCCACGATGAGTACAATTATGACAGGGCTGTTTGCGATCACATCTCAATCTATGCTCATAAGACTCATGTCGCAGGCAACAAAAGAACTCGGCTTACTTCCGTTCTCTGCATAAATTGCACGACAATTGAGGTTTCTCTCTGCGCCGGCGCGCAGCCCTCAGATCCTCGACTGAAGGCTCAGCGGTCCCGCGGAGAGACACGGATGTATCCCTCATTGCCAGGGTGTTGTAGCCGATGCCTTTATGACGATGCTTGGTCACGTTATTGAGCAGTCAGCTCCATACTGCAAAGTTGACAAGGAGAGTGAGAGGACTCGTCCTTCGACGACCTAGACACGTTTAAATGAAGGGGCGGTGGTGTTGTGAATCCAGTGTTCATCCGCGCCGTCGAGACATATCTGACCCTCCGACCATCCGACCCTCCGATCATCCGACCTGGGAGAAGCGTGGCTTACTAAGCGCATGATGGACAGAACATCAGTCCGTGACCCTCACTCTCTCGACGACCGTGGACTCTCCTGTAATACGGGCATCGTGCACACATCTACTCGCCCCGGTAAGCTGTTCACATCCCAGCAGCCTTGCCTCTCTCAAGGACTTCGAGAGTGCCTTTAGTACGGATGTGAACTTCAGATCAAAGCACAGCGACCTCAGCCAGTAAATGCTGGATGGTCGTGTGAGAGACACAAGACGTCAGAGATGATCCATTCTTGATTCCTATAGTCAATCGAGCTGCAAGCTTGTTCTCGGTACATAGGAAACAATACGCGACCACCACTAAGTATGGCACACCACCCATTTATATTTTGTCCTCTCCAGTCATGGTCTCCTTCACAAGGTCTTCGGACACTGTCTGTCCACCAGTAGCAACAGGCGTCGTTTTCCGGTACTTTCTCTCGACAACTTGCAGGCCACATGTCCAGATGGCCATTGCGATACTCACTGCTATCATGGCCCACATACCACGCTGTCACTCCAGGTTAGTGTACGTTGCACGGACAAAATGCGTCTGACTTACCGTAAATCTGGGTGCCAAATCAGCCGAATAGAAGATGATGGACCACCATGCATTGACAGCATTGCTTCCCAGATTCATGCATGCGATCACAATCGCTCGAAGAGAATCCTCCTCGTATCTCAAGGCATCGTTCGCCCAGGCGAAGAACGTTGCTTGGCAAGCGTAGACCGATCCTGCCCAGTAATATGCCCCGAAGTGCCCAGCAACAGTTGTCGAGGGTGCAAGAATGATGGCAGAGGTAACAATACCCGTGATGGCGATCCAATAAGCCACCAGATACCTCTTGCCACCGTAGAAATCGGTGAGCGTGGCCCAGAACAGGGTCGACACAATACCGACGGCGGGAACTCCAGTGGGGTAGTTGTTGAGTTGGTACACGCTGTAATGCTCTGACGGTGATGCCTTCATGTACAGTGCCAACAAACTGTTGGAGCTGAAGCTCTCTGTCTCTCCTGCAATGATCCAAAGCACCACAAAGCCATAGAACTGCCAAGACCTGAAGACTCGCTTCACGAATGACAGCGATATCGGCTTTTGCTCCGGCACTTCAGGTACTCTTGACAGAGCGAGAGCTCGTTCTTCCGCGGACAGGTACGGTGCGGTTGTCGTCGAGGGGGTATCTGGAAACAATAGAAAGCCATAGACAGCAACCGGTAGAGTGATTATTCCATCGATGATGAAAAGCCATTTCCATCCGGCAAGTCCTTGGAGACCATTCATGCTCTTGTAGATACCAGACTGGATGAAGCCGCCAAACATGGTTCCAGCCAGGCCGGAGGAAGTGAAAATACCACTTCTCTTGCCCAGCTCGCTCTCGGTGTACCACGAACCTAGGATATAATGGGTACCGATAAACGTACTAGACTCCGCCACGCCAACGAAGAATCGAATCGTCATTATATGTTCTGGCTTGCTTGCGGCTGCCGTGACCATGGTGAGAGCAGCCCAAACAACAGTCATGGAAGGAAAGAATATCCTGGGCCTGACGTAGTAGAGAGCCAAGTTGCACGGGACCATGCCACTGAGCTATATCAGTTTGAGCCAACGATAAATCTAGGTTTAGACATACACTATGTAGCCACATGTGAATATGGTGGTGACTTGGGTCAACTGGTTGCCCTTGAAGCCAAGGTCTTCTTTCATGCCCGAGATGTAGGCTTGTGTCAAGTTCGACCGGTCCAGATAGTTGAAAAAGTACATCAAACAGCAAAATGACAGAATGAACCAGTCAACTTTGCGAACAAGCTTCTTCTCTTCAGCCGACTTGTCGGACCAGATGTAGGCCCGAAGCGACCTTGATCCAGCCATGGCGAAGTCGAGGAAAGTTGCGTCAGGTAGGATGAGACACTCGAGTCACAGACCTCTGGTCTTCGACGCACGAAACCCTCTTTATGATAGGAAGACAGTTGCAAAATGTATGCCAGCTCGGCCGATTATCGCATGCTTATCAAAAGCCGTAGCGAGGCACTTGCCGAACGCTCGATACTGATTTGTGGACATGTTATGTTGCCTCTCGAATGTCACGGATCCCTGAGATGCAGATGGGGACGAGTCGAGACAACGACAAATGATCAGCAGAATAGTTGCCATAACAGGGAATTTTTCTGCGGCCGGCAGCCGACATCGTGTAATTGGTGAACGGACCAAAAGCCGATGTGACCCTGATAACGACCAAGATCACCACGAGGAGCCGGATAGTGAGTCTTACCGATATGAGTGTAGACAGGGGCCTTATGCACTCCTCAGTTTTAGATAGAGGATCGGAGAACAGCGCGAGTGTCGAGGATCGTCTGCCGGTGTTGATACAGTTTCTCGCGGGCCATGGGTGAACGTACGGGTTTCTTTGAGTCTCGATGAGATGCTCGGCCGAACATGGTTTAGTGCGATTCTTCAGCCTCGCCATCTCCGCCATCAGCCTTGTCTACCTGTATTATGATCGTCCTAGCAGATGACATCGCAGTCTGCCTTCGAATCACTCAGCCCCAGGTTCCCCTGATGAATCTACTCGACACCTCCGGGCGTCCATTCGGATTTCACATCTGTAGGTGTCATGTCTGACGGTCTCTATGGCGTCAAACAAGCCTCAAAAACCAAGGCCAAAGAGATATCCTCCTCCACGTCTCTCGCCTTTTCCACAAAACTCGCATCACTAATCTCCAGTTCCTCCTCGTCCAAAACCAATTCCACCTCTGGGCGACCCAGGCCTTCAAAGGACAAATCAGACATCTTCACAGCGCACAACAAGAATGTCAAGAAACGCTCCGCCGCCGACCTCGAAGCCAACGAGCAGCGCCACAAAACAAGAGACGAGATCGGGTCCGTCGACGATGCGGAGTTGCACAGGTCCAAAAGGAAAATGGAAGATAAAGTGAGACTGTACAATGCCATGAAGCGCGGCGAATATATTGGTCGAGAAGACTACGACGAGCGAGGGCTGGTGGACTTTGATCGGAAATGGGCCGAAGCCCAAGCCAAAGGTCAAGTCAGCGACTCTGAGGCGTCTGATTCAGACGACGCCGGGACCGACGATGACGAGATTGTCGAATACTTTGACGAGTTCGGTCGGTTGCGAAAAGGAACAAAGGCTCAGGCCGCGCGAGAGGAGAGGAGGAAGAGGATACAAGCCAACGCAGCCGAAGAAGAAGAACGCATGTCCGCAAGGCCATCGATGCCAACGAACGTCATCTACGGAGATACCATCCAGCACTCCGCATTCAATCCCGATCAGGACATTGCAGAGCGGATGGGGGAAATCGCGAAGAAACGAGACAGATCTGCCACTCCGCCTCCAGATTCGCATTTCGACGCCACCGCCGAGATCAGGACGAAGGGCACCGGCTTCTACGCCTTCAGCCAAGATTCGGACCAGAGGAAGAAGGAAATGGAGGCGTTGGAGAAGGAAAGAAAAGAGACCGAGCGGATACGTCAGGAACGCGAGGAGAAGAAAGAACTGCGCCGCAAGGAGATTGAAGAAAGGCGCAGAGTCATCGCCGAGCAGCGAGCCAAGGCACAGGCAGACAAGTTTCTTGACAGCTTGGACATTGAAGGGGTATGAGCATGTATGTTTCAGGGCATCTACGAGTCTGAACATATGGACCAGACTCCTGGGGTTACGAACCCTCTTCGGCCGGTGCGACCATCTTCCATTCTTCAGCAATATCCGCCCGTGTCACGAGGACCTCGACAACGATGGTTGAAAAAAAAAATGCCATTATGGCCCTCCGAACCTCTACTGTTGGTCAAGGGGGAATCGGGATGCAGTCCGAGCAGATCTGCATAGGGGTTGTTCCCTCCCCAGAATCACCATGCCTCGGGTGGACAGTCTTCCTCTTTCGGCCCAATTCAAATTAGACCTTCTCTCACTCCGCCTAGCTCCAAGGCACCGGGCTCCCACACCCACAAGAACGACCGCACGAGCGGCAGCTTCGTCGTTCTCCAGTCTTACCCGGGCAGCCACCCAGGAAGATGAGGCTGTTGGCCGTCAAGTATTTTGACTTCAAAAGTGCTCCCGTCGACGCGAAAGTCAAGAAGTCACCGATTCGAGGTAGTGAAGGGAAGACCCAGGCCCAGATTCCCCCGACTTAGCCATTGTCCTGGCTGTCCTTGCACTTGCGCCCCGACAAGAGCAACGGCAATGCTCGTGTATAGACGCCAACGTAGTCTGCGCTATACAGAGAAGTACTATTAGTTAATACTACCGTTCCCGATCGGATAGTTTACCTGGTTAAACAGTCGAACAAAAAAGGCATCATACAGAAACAGCCCCCTTGTCCCATAGAAGCCATGATGACAAGGACAAGTACAAGTAATCAGAATGTGCCGGACACTATGTTATGCTCAGCTATACCGTACCGTACTGGCACTGTGCAGCCTGACAGCCTGTGTCGTGCTATGCCATTATGCTATTCCATGCTGTTCCATGCTATGCTATGCTATGCTATGCTATGCTATGCTATGCTATGCTATGCTATGCCATGCTATGCCATGCTGTTCAAGTCACCTTCGGTAAGTTACCCGGCTTGGTACATCAACATCGTCTCCCATCGGGCGTCATCTGTCTTTCTCTTTTTTTTTTCCGTGGCGTTTTGTTTTGTTGTTGTCGTCCGACGCTTCTTTGACCCGTTTCATCCACACACACCGTCTCAAATCCCAAGCACAAAAAACCACAGATTTTCCGGTTCGAGGAAAAACACAATTAATTATATTACACCGCGCATTCGTTCTTCTTCCGTCGCCTCTCGCCTCCCCTTCGCTCTTTTCCACGGTGGATCAATCAAATCAAAGTCCGTTTCCTCTTCAAGCCAGGAACGCAACCACGGCCAAGACTCCCGCCAGGATCCCGAACTCGGTAGTGGCCTTCTTGCCGGAGGCGGCGGCACCGGTGAATTGGGCGGGAGCCACGCCTGCCGTGGTGCTGCTTGGGCTCGACGACGTCTGTCCCGTGGCGACCCCGGCCGGAGCTGGAGCCGGTGCGGCAGCGGCGGAGGCAAAGGCAGAGGCAGAGGCGGGGGCAGCGCATCCGGCGCCTGAGCATCCACCCGCAGGCGACGACGCGCCGTTTCCAGTGCCAGGAGCGGGCGTGGGAGTCGCAGGGCTGTTGAAGGGGACCAGCCCGACGCCGACGCCACCTTGCGGGCCCGTCTCGGTGGCGGTGACGAAGCTCACGGCGGGGACGGCGACGACTGACGTCTCGGCGCCTCCTTCGCTCTTGGTCACTGTGAACGTGAGGGTGGTCACGGGCGCAGGAGTTGGTCCCTGCACGGCCGGTCGAGAACCACGGCCGATCCCGTTGGTCTGGATGGTGGTGGTGCCGCCCGTGGCGGGAGTGACCGAGGGGATGAGCGTGATGCTGCTCGGGATGCCAGTGCAGATACCTGGGTTCTGGGGAACAAAGTCTGCGCAGATACCCGCGAGGTAGGACAGCGCAGCAGTGATTTCAGAGTCACTTCCAGACCAGGCCGAGACGCATTCTTGGACCGAGGAGATGAACTCTGGGGATGGGCAGAAACATCTGGTGTCGCTGTTGGATGAGCACTTGGGGACCAGGCTGAGCCAGGTGTTCAAGCAGCTGGGAAGGACGGGTGGGCAAGGAGCAGAGGACTCCGGTGGGGGTGGAGCAACCGATGTTGATGAAGATGTCGTAGAGAATACCGTAGTGGTTGAAAATGTCGTAGGCGGCAATTGCTTCCCTGGTGTTGTGGTGGTGCTGGTGCTAGTGCTTGTAGTAACAACAGCAGATGTGGTGGAGGTGCTGGATGTTGTTGGGATTTCCTCACCAGGAGTCGTGGTGGTTGTAGAAATAACAGCAAACGTCGTTGTAGTGCTGGATGTTGTTGGGATTTCTTTGCCAGGAGTGGTGCTCGTTGTTGTTGTCGACGTCGTCGAGACCTCGACAGGAGAAGTGGTAGTGGTGGTTGGGACTGCGCCAGGCGTGGTAGTGGTAGAAGTGGTGGGAACAACTGCCGCTGTTGTGGTTGTAGAAGTCGTTGGAATTTCCTTGCCTGGAGTGGTTGTAGAAGTCGTTGGAACAACTGCTGGCGTCGTGGTTGAAGTCGTCGGTACCTCCTTGCCTGGGGTGGTTGTAGAAGTGGTGGGTACAACTCCAGGTGTTGTGGTTGTAGAAGTCGTCGGAATCTCCTTGCCTGGGGTGGTGGTCGTTGTGGTAGGGATCGCAGGAGTCGTTGTCGAGACACCAGGTGTAGTAGTCGATGTTGTCTTCACTACAGGAGAAGTAGTTGTTGAAGCAGCCGACGTTGTTGAGCTGGTCGCAGGAGGCGAACTATTGCAGTTGAATCCAATCGAGTGGATACCAACGTCGCAAGAACTCTTTCCGCTGCTAGGGGGCAAACTAAAAGTGACTGACTTGGCTCCACCGCATTGAGAGTTCTCGATGGTCGAGCCTGAAGCTTTGCACGAAGCAGTATGCTTGCAGGTTGAGCCGTCAGGCATGGAGAAATGAAGGTCCAGCTCAGTATCAAACGAGACAGAGACTTGCAGCTGGCTGATGGAGAATGCATCATCATTGCCGCAGGAGAAGCTTGGTCCCCCGCCAGTGGACTTGCCTACGCTTCCCTGAATGCATTTGGACTATGGCATGTCAGCGACACAGTCCCTCCCGAGACGGAGTAAATAGTCTTCTAGTGACGCACCTGAAAGCCTGAACGAGTCTCGAGAGACCTCTTACTCTTTCCCTGAAAGGAATTTTGACAGGTGAATCCGCTGAAGCCGAATCCACCATAGTTGCTGAATCCACCTGTAGGTAGACCGGACCAGTTGAACCCGCTTTCCTGGTCCGGAGTACAGGTGTTGTTGCAGTTGGAAGGACTGGAAAAGCTTGGTGCGTTACCCCAGCTGCCTGTAGCCGCAGCCTGCTGCAGAACGAGGGCAGAGGCCACGAGCCCGGCAGTCAATGTGGACTTCATGGCGGTGTGCTTGTGATATAAGATGACAACAAGTTCAGATGTGTATGTAAACGAGAAGGATAGGGGGCTCTTGCGGTGGTAGCGAATGACTTTTGCGTTGGGTAGCGAGTGACTTAGTGTCAACGAGAGACTTGTAACAGGAAAAACAGCACAGAAAACGAGACCACACACCGAGAAGAGATGATGAGGATGAAGAATGAAGAAAACCAACCTGTGTGACGGGCGCACTTCCTCACCTATTTGTATAGTCCTCGTTGAGACCGTCCGAAACTTGTGGAGGCACACGCTTTGTTGTGTACCGGTAGCCAGAGGCCGTGTCTTGACCACACCACACATCGTCAATCGAAAGGAGGCGGCACGACTCAACAGTAGCGGGCTCCAACTTCAAGACATTTTGAAGCCGACATGTCTCGCCGTGCACAAGACGGGATGTTGGCGCGCGCAAAAGGTGAGTGCGGTCGAAAACGGCTGTGTGGATGGTCGCTGGTTTGGACGGTAGCATTTACTCGAGCCCACTCAGGTCTCGCGGACGAGAAGCTCAAGATAGAAAAGGCTGAAACGAGGAAAAATGACTCTGCGCCAACGAAATGCGAATGTTGAGGGCAGCATGTCGCCCAATTCGCGATGGTGAATGTTTCAACCGAGGAACACAGAGAATTCAGACCATCACCACCATCGACAGGACAGGAGGAAAGCGTCTCGAATCCAGCAAGGCGTCAACAACTAGCTTCACGAAGCCCGCAGACCTTCAGTTAGCGCTGGCGGGCAGAACCAAAGTCATCGCGGCCGCGGAACAGGCCCAGTGCAATGTCCACTTGAGAGGCAGTGCTAACGAGCTCGCCTCGACAGAACAATAATAGTAAAGAACCAAGATGGGGACGGAGTCTCTTTTCGCGGCGCGTCAAGCGAGAACTTGAAGCTCCTCGCGCGTGTTTCGGCAAATTGCACTCGTTTGAGACTGGATCAACGCCCAAGTCATGCCACCCACTGATTGGCCAGTGTCTGACCTCACCTGTTGAACTTGTCTTGCACTGATACTGTGCGTGATGTCTGAGACGACCTCGGAGTTCAACACGACGGAGGGGCACATCTGTGTGTGCAGCTGGAGAATCTGCTCTCAAGACGTCTTTCCCAGGAAATCTATACAATACGACTACTGACGAAGAACTTGCCGCCGGTCAACAGAGCCTGCTCCCGATGCTGCTGTGGGTGGAACAATCAAAGAAGAATAAATAGCGTTAGAGCATCGACGTCGTGGGTTCAAAAATAAAAATGAAACACTAAAACATATCCCATCAATGCGCATAGTCCTGGGGTTGCTGCGAATACACTACGCATTAGTTGTCAGTGCATGCACCGCTGAAGCCAGACTGGGACACGAGTTCAGCCTGCGACGCTCCAACGCCAACCCGGCCCAAAGTGTCCAGGTCTCGCTCAAAGAATCCCACTTAAAAATTTTCAAGGATATCGCTGCCCGTACATTGCCCAATTCACACATACAGTCATACTTTGATCTCGCCAAAAAAAAACCACATCCCTGCTCGCCACGAGGCCCCGACTATTTGCTTCCATTGGCCTCTCCATTGAGTGGAGGCGGACCTGGGGTGAATGCAGGAGCTTCTCCACTGTTTCCAGAAGCAGACTCGGCTCCATTTAGTAGCGCCCCGTTTCCATCGACAGTAGGGCTCGCCACGAGCATGAAATCTTTGGGCGGGATACTTTCACTGCTGATCTTGCCCAACTCGTCCGTCGCCCGTTTCCCACTTGGTGGACTGTCACTTCGGTTTTGGTCTTCTTTCACTTCGGCAATGGTGCTATCGATTTTTTTCATCACCCGTTTGAACGGCCGTCTGGATTTGGGTCTTTCGCCGGTAGGGGATGGAAAATCTCCGTTGGCCATCGTCTTTACAGGTTGAGAAGCTTCTTCTCCCCGCGTCCCATTGAGCTTGTCTCCCGGAGTCAGGCTTGTTGATCCATTTGTTGTAACGTCGGCAGCCAGCTTGGTGTTATTGAGATATTCGTCGATCATTGATTTCAACGCTGTCTGTCGCACCGGCTTCGCGAGATAGTCATTCATTCCTGCCTCCAAGCACTTTTCTCGGTCGCCACGAATAGCTGACGCTGTCATAGCGATGATGAGAACTTGACTGACGTTAAGATCGGGGTCGGCTCGAATGGCCTTGGTCGCCTCATAACCATCCAGAACCGGCATTTGAACATCCATAAGCACCAGGTGAAATGGTTTACCCGCTTTACTTTGTGCCTTCAGAGCATCGTATGCTTGTTTGCCATCCTCGTATGCCTCACAGGTGAATCCAATCTTCTTGACAAAAGAAATGGCAATCTTTCGGTTGATCTGGTTGTCCTCGGCAATGCACACACGAATTTCCTCGCGCGGTATCTTGGACAAGTCGCAAAAGCTGATGTTCTTCTGCTCCGTCTCGGGGCTGGCTGCTTGGGACCAATTGGCCATTGGATCAGGATCCTTGGCGGCAATCTTCATATCACCGGGCACACTACTATCCTTGGGTGCCTTTTGGAAAGTCAGAGTGAATGAGACAGTTGTGCCGACGCCCGGTGTAGACTCGATCCAAATTTTACCGCCGAGCACGTTCTCGATCATAGCTTTGCAGATGCTCAGGCCGAGACCGCTTCCACCATATGATCGAGCCGTGGATGAGTCTGCCTGGGAGAACGGTTGAAATAGCCGAGCGAGCTGTTCCTGCGTTATACCAATGCCAGTATCGGCTACGGAGCAGGTGATCTTGACCCTGTCTCGTGATTCTGCGTTCTTGCGTGCTCGGACAGTAACTGAACCTTGAGGAGTAAACTTGTAGGCGTTGCTTAACAAGTTCATGAAAATTTGATGCAGTCGGACTGGATCACCGAGCACCAGGCCATCATCAATCTGCAAGTCCTCAATGGTTTGGAGGCCGTGCTCCTGGTTCGTGTAGGCTAGAGCTCTTACCACCTCTGTAATGGTCTCCTTGAGGTTGAGAGGCACTGTGAACATTTGCATCTTTCCTGCCTCTAGCTTAGAGAAGTCAAGGATATCGTTGATCACAGTCAAGAGAGTATCCGCACAGACGCGAATGCTGTCGGCATACTGCTCTTGGTCTTTGCTCAACGGCGTGCCCTTGAGAAGTTCTGACATGCCAATTACGCCATTGAGCGGCGTCCGGAGCTCGTGGCTAACATTGGCAAGGAAGATAGACTTGGCTTTGGCGGCTTCTTCTTTCAATTTGACGTTGTGCATTGCCTCGGCCTCCGCTTTCTTTGCCTTGGTCTCGGCCTCTCGTGCAGCTACAAGCGCACGTTTCTGCGATTCGACCATGCTAGCATTGGATGCGCTCACTTTTCGGACCTTCCGATATAGAAGAGCATTGCCGAGAGAAATGGCAACTTGATTCGTCAACAGGTTGAGAACAATCATGTTCCGTTGCGTGAATGCGTTCGGTCGCCCTTCCAGATGAATCACGCCCATTAGATGATCGGCTTGTATGATTGGGATTGCAATAATCGACCGTCCTTGTGGGTTTCGGGCCAGATATGCATCTCCGACGTTCGAAAAGCGGTCATCTTCGAGCACATTCTGCACGAAAACAGTTTCCTTCGTGCGAAGCAAGTAATGCGTGATCTGTTGCGCTGCCTGATCATCAACTTCTGAAAACGGGATACCATCAGGGTATGTTTTGACACCAGTCTCGTGATCCGCGCTGGCGGCGACACACCATCCTTGGTCTTCCGAGTCTATGACAATAGCGCAGAACTCCGCCTGTCCTCCGACGGACTCCAGGATGACAGATATCATCTTGGACAGAAGGTTGTTTATCTGCAATTCGGAGCTGATAACTCTGGAGAACTCAAGGATAGAGGTCAGGTCCAAGATATCGAGACCCAGCCCAGGTACATCCGGAGACGAATGAGTTGCGCCCGCACCCTTGGGCTGAACCCAGGCGGTCGTGTACTCCCTCTTGATTTGTGCCTGAGCCTCCTCCGACACAGGGAGAGCATGCAGGTCTTCTGTCTGGGTCGTCGCTTCCACCGTACGCGACGTAGTTGCAGTCTTGATCAGCCACTCATGCTTGTCTGAAAGCTGTTTGGCTTTCCCACTGGCATTGATCCGATTCCAGGCGGTGATGGCTTCTTGTATCATGACCTTACCGGCCCTCTTCGCGCCTTTGGCAAGAAGAAATTCAGCCTGCATTTCAATAGCAAGAGCTTCCTCCAAAGCAAACCCGTGGACTTGGCAGTGGTCCACAGCGGCCTCCAGGTTTGAAATGATGCCAGAATATACACCTGTTAACTCACAGATGCCAGCGTCCAGGAGGCGTGACCATGCGTAGAAGTTGACATCATTCACCCTGCCAAGTTCGTCAATGTCTCGCTTCATAATCTTCGCTTTGTCGATGTACGGGCCACGCTCCTCCTCAGGCTTAGTTCGAGCTATAGCCAAAAGCGACATACCCAGGGCAAAACGTGCACCATAGGCTGGCCTGTTAGACCACAGTTCGTCCAAGCCCGTCGCCAGCAACGCTGAGCCGGTTTCCACCACAAATTCGTGATAGCCCAAGATGGTATAGACTAGGAGGCCGACAGCCATGTAAATATCACGCGGTCGCTCGGGGTTGGCAGCCTTTGCGCATTCCGCAAGCCACTGAGCTCTCTTGTGTTTGTCATCATCGAGGACCGTATTGACGTCTTCAATTCCAGTCTTTCCCTGCAAAGCTCGAGCCGCCTGTCGCGTAATCATCAGTAGCGTGCCACCTCGATGGTCGCTTTCCCAATCGTCAAATTCTTCTGGTCCATAATTGCAGAATGCCTCTACTTCGGACAAATCCTGTCCAGACCAAAGCCTCGAAATAGCCATCACACCGATATTCAAGATGCTTACAAATCGATCTCCCGACGACAGTGAGTACTCGAGCGCGTTATCGAGGATGGGAAGGAGATTTCGAACTGGTGTCTGAAAATGGCCAATGAATAAGGTGTACAGAGTCCACCCTCTGCCACGCGTCCAAGGGTCGTCGTATAGCGTGAAGTACTCTTGAGCCATCTCACCACATAAGAGACCCAATTCTATGTCTTTGAAACGACCTATCGCTGCGGCACCCATCATCGCAAAACCTAGTCCGGCTTGAAGGAATGCGCCACGGTCTAGGATAGCCGAGATGTACTCAGTGACCAACTGATACCACCTTAAGGCGTCTGACCAGTAGAGAGCTCCGAGAGCTTCACTGAGAAGAGTTCCTAAAGCGATTACGGTTCTGTCGTCACTGAGGGGTCGTGCAATGAGTTCTTCTCGGTTGGTTTCTCGCAAGCGGAATTCCAGCCTCTTGAAATCTAGATCACACTCCTCCCAGGTCTTTTCGGGCAATGGCAATCCAAGCTCTGCCAAACACTCCCGATGTGCTTCGAAAGCAAGTAGGTATTGACCTAGAGATGACAGGATCCTGCCTTTGAGAATGTATGACCTTGTTTTGTCCGCGGAACACCGCGCATGCTGAAAGGTATCCTCTAGAAGAGCCAAAGCCTCTGTTACTTCGCCTTGCATGTACATGACCTCCGCGGTGTTAACGGTCAATTGTAAAGTCTCATCGTAGAAGACGTCAGGGTCATCACTGTTCCACTTATCGTCCTGTAGCAGTTTGAGCGCGCTTTTGTAATACTCTAGACCTGTTGGCGTTGCTCCCGTCTCGAGTGCTTTCTGGGCTCCTCGCCACAGCACGTCTCGATAACGCATGCGTACAGGAACGCGCTGCTTGATAATGTCGGCAGAAAGACAGATATGACGGGATAATGGATAGAGACTATACTTGCATTGGCTGAGATAAGCCATCATTGTCTGGGCAATGATAAAATGCATCTTCGTGGTGTTTTGACACTCTCGCATCTCATTCGCAGCTTTCAAGTATCGCGCATGAGAGAAGCGAAACTCATCATCGGTTTGTCCGGGAGTAATGATGTAGGAGTTGACCAACTGTTGCAATCCATTCACCAAGTCCGATTCAGAAAGGTTGAACAATTTGGCGCGCTTGGGACAGGTAGCATCATTTGCCTGATCTCTCCCACTGCTGTAGAAATGTTCGCCTGACATGATGTGTTGGATCAACTTGAAAGAAAACGTGCTTCCCAATAACGAGGCCCATGCAAGGATGGATCTTGATGCAGGTGATATTTCTTGAAGGCGTCTTTGCAGATATTCAGCGCCCGAGAAGCGTGAATCCGAGGCAAATTCATCGAAAATTTTGTCCAGATCAAACTGCCAGCCTGATGCTCTCCAATCGTACCACAAGCATTCACGCTGGTAGCAGGTCTGGAGGATATCTTTAAACAGAAAGGGATTTCCCTCTGATTTTGCATACACCACCGCAGCGAGAGGCACGACCGTTTCGACGGGTTGAGACATAGTTGCAGCAACATACTCAAAAACGTACTTTTCCCGGAGATTTCCAAGCTCAATTTTGTTGTTCGAGTCGAGCTCGAGGATCTTTGCCGTGGAGTCTGGAATCTGTCCGTCTTCGACACGACTCGATAGCAACAAAACGGCAGGAATTTTAGCCTTGATGATATGCATTAGCAAATTTATTGACTCCGGTTCAGCTGCCTGCAGATCGTCAAGACATAGACAGATCAGCTTGCCGGTGCAGATCGTCCGAAGAACATCCATGTAGGTATTGATGAGTCGTATAGACCTGGTATTAGCAGGGCCACGAAGAAAATCGTTCGCATCCCATAAGCTATGGTTTGCCGTCCCATTTACTGCCTTGTGCCCACTGTCAATTGTCGGCACTTCCGTGTTGACACTCTGCGTCGCCGTAGTCGTATCCCCCTTTGTTAAGAGCTTCTTTGAGAGCACTGTGACATCAAGTAGAGTTGCAGGTAAATCCAGCATTGAACTCAGAATGGGCCAAAAAGGGCTGACGTGCGCTCGCAAGTGTTCGTGATAAGGTGTATTTACATCTTTCTCGGAGAATATTTGCCTGAACAAACTCGCCATGACTTTGATCATCGGTTCGAAAGGAGATGGTCGAGCTCGGTCAAATCGGCCCAAAGCAAAGTAGCCGTGACGACGGATGGATGGCTGAATCGCTTTGATGAGGGCCGTCTTGCCTACTCCAGCAGGGCCCAGGATTGTGACCACCTCCGTCTTTGTGCGCCGCTTGAACTTGTGGCTATTGCGACGTCTTGTCATCATCCCCGGTACACTATCGGGTGTCGATTGCAGACCGCTAGACAAACTGCTATCGCGATCGGACAAAGAGTCCAGTGGGCCACCACGTGAACTAGTAAGACGTTTGCCCAGAAGATTAGGCTTGCTCCCAAAATTTGGAGTGAAAGACGGGCCATCAAGCCCAATCGTGGTAGAATTGCTCCGAGACTCCCTAAATCCAAAGGAGCTGGAGGAATCAGACCCATCGCCTAGCTCTGGACCGTCTGGCCGGCCGTCAGACATAGAAGAATTAGAAGCGGCACTGAGAAGTCCGGCTTGTGAAGGTGAATGGCGAGTACCTGTCGAGCTATGCCGTTTATGTGCTTTTTCAATGATCTTGGTGATTTTCTCAATCTCGGAATTCCGCCCAAACTGTTTGGATGGGAGAATGAAGAAAGACGATACATCTCGTTGGCCAACCTTGTAATTCTTGATCTTTTCCTGATCGCCCTCGCCCAAAAACTTCTGGATCTGCAACAAATCGTATTTGACTCCACTAATAGAATGATATCGCTCATCCATTTGTTTCTGGGTCATCCTTGCGATGATGTGTGAGATGGCGTCAGGAATATCCATGCGGATAGCTGTGACCTGGGGTAGGCGATGGGTGAGAACCCTCTGGATAATATCGATAGGTGTTTCCGCATCAAAGGCAGGTTGTCCTGTAAGAAGAGTCCAGAAAAGAACGCCAAGGCTATATATGTCTGTCCGACTGTCAGGATCCGCTGCAAGACGCCCTGTCTGCTCAGGAGCAATGAACTGTAGTTTCGTCTTGACACCGAGTTCCCTACTCAGCGTAGCCCAACCTTCACTTGATAAGATATTGTCAAATGAGCGAGGGCCGTTGCCTCCATTTGCGAGCTTGATAGAGTTGGTTTCACGATTCCAATGAAAACTGTCAGCTCTGATCTCGCCATGGATTATTTTGGCTCCATGGTGTAGCAATTCAAGCGCTTCCGAGGCCCCGAGGGCAAAGTCCAGGAATGCTTGAAGTGGTACACGTTCGCCCGGCGTGCCATCGGTGTTTTGTCGATGGACCTGCCTTCCATAGAAAGCCGGGCCAAAATCTAAAACTTCTCCGAGATAGTTCTTCCCCGGCGCTTCATAGACGCAAGCAATCAGAGGCTGTTCATCGCCGGGGGTAGCGGGCAGTTTGAAGATTTCGATCGGTCGAACGGTGTGGGTACACTCTGGATCGCATTCCTTCATCATCCACTGGTTGTATTGAAACTCTCTCTCTAGGCGCACAACATGCGTACTGACGCGCGCAACCACAGGTAGCCAGATCATGTCCGGTTCGCCTCTTGAAGATGCATTTTCACTATCCGTGGACGCACCACTGATGCTACTCCAGTGGCTATGCCGGAGCGACGGGCGGTGGGCATCGAGCTTGGGAGAACTCCTGTTCGAGCTGGAAGGAAGAGACAGACTGGTCAGAGTGCTGAGGGACGACCGAGGATTGATGACTTCCGGGTTGTGTAGGATGCCGAAGACATGCCTGCGTGTGTTAGCGAGAGTCCGTTGCTCATCGGCGACATTTTGCATGTGCGCTCTTCGAGTGCGACTTACCAGTGGTCGTAGGAAGTATGAAATGGGTTAAACTGCCTTGATTAGCGATTTGATTCTCTTGATTCTCTTCAACACAGTCACGACTCACCGAACGGTCCCAGGTATAGTTGGGGATTTGAGCAAGTCGCTCGTAGAGTTTGGTGGGTGGAAGCGGGAGATCCTCCCCCAGAATTTCGTCCATCTCGACGCGGGCGTGCTCATGTCATAGTGCGAATCTGACGTTGATGGACGACGAAGGAAGCGACAGCAATCGCGATGTCGCCGCTGAGCATGGATCAAGCGAATCGTCCGGATGTGAAGTGGAGGGCGAAGTCGATGCCGAGTACGAGGCGATTCGGTTTGAGGAGCGGCAGAGGGATCTACGCTCAACGTGGAAGGCCAGCGCAGGCAGAGATAGTGAGGCCTCTGGTGGTCTACGGTACCGGTGGTCCCCTGCTGTGATGATTCAGCATCCAAGGCCGTAAGCGGGATTCTTTGTTCACTGGGCGGAAGATGGGTCAGCAATGCCACCACCAGAGCATTAAGCGTTAAAGCGCCTGCAACAGACAGGGCCAGGCCTCACGCCACCCAATAGTGAACACCAGCGACGCACCAGTCCCCCCAGTCTACCTAATGTCAGTGGTCCCTTGGCTGCTCCCCACTACTGACACGGGATCCCATTTCCCTCGCTGCACGACTTGTAGGAAATCTGCGCGTAATGATAAGACCACCACGGCTGCACACTCGGACCGTGGGCTCGAACAATACAAGATTTCCATGACGACGTGCTTTTCGGTTCTGATTACTTATCACCACTGGACAGCGCTACTGGACAGCTGCATTAGGGACTCTTTGCCTCTTCATACAACACCTGCTTCCCTGTGCCTCAACAACAATAAATAATAACCATTGCCACCGTCAACCATATCTCCGTCTGAAGAGAAGTCTCCGGCATCTTCTGTGACACATACCCATTCACCCGCACCCCCGCGATCGCGCATGTGGTTGAACCTGACAAATATTGTCTTCTTCCAACCTTGTATTATCACGACCGGTCTCCCCGGCTCGTTTGTCATGGGTTTTTTCAGAGGCAAAGATAAGTGACGAGACTCAGCATCGCCCAGTAACAGTTCCCTCGCCGACAATCGGCTCGTGGAACCCCATTGGTGACGGATACCGTGACATGAGACTGAGAAGGGACGACAGTGGCTGTGCCAGTATTGCTTGGGGTACCACTAGTCGTGGCATTAGCTACCAAGGTACTGATGTTCATAGCAAACGTCGGTGCTGATGAGCTAAGTGAGAGGTAGCTGCCCACCAAGCTTGCCGGGATAGCTGGACCAATTCCAGTACTTGTCCATGGTGTCGGCGTCGCCAAAGTCCTCGTGTTGGCCTCAGACGTGGTTTGTCTCTGGTACATATTTCCCATATTTCCATTCGCAAGCTCATAGTTACCGGTGATCAGATTTGCATGATCTCCTTCTGGGGTTGTGTAGTTGCCGGTCGTGATTGAACCGTAGGCGCCATCAGCAAAGAAGAAATTCGTGGTGAAACGGTCCTGAAGAAACATCATCAGCTTGTTGGAGAAGGCTCTGGACATAAGAATTACCCAACAACATGGGGTGTGATAGCCGGTCACAAGAAGGCATTGTGTTGTGGCAGCACCTATTCCTTGTTAGTGGCTAGCCTGCAAATACCTACGCTCTCCTGGACTTCTCACAGCAGAGCGTAAGTGGCATTTGGCTCGCCCGGCGTGCTGGCTCCTGTGGAGCAGGGGAGTCACTGGCCTGGTCTGTGTTTCCCAGGGCATCAATCGTCTCCAGAAGATTGAGGTAAAGCGAAGCAAGGCCTGGTCCGACGGGAGGGATGTCCTTCGAGGAAGCACCATTGGGCGCACAAAGCGTGTAGCTTGAGCCACACAACTGGCGTGAACTGATGGCAGAGGCACAGAGAGAAAAATTCATCAGTGAGAGAATGATGACGCAGATCAGCGGAAGGGAATTCATTTTGCGTGATCGACACTCTCAGAATCAGGTTTGTTGCTCACGGTCAGCTGGAGGATTGAAGTACGACAACAACAAGAGCGTGAAAGATCATCAATGGATGTTTGAGCAAGTGTTGAGCAGGACAAATGTTGTGTATTGCCGGTAGCATCGTGTTGGAAAGAGGAGGAGCGGGACCTGCGCGCTTTCGGTGGGAAGGAGCAGCTTGAAGTTTCGCCTCTATACAATCCAAATTTTTCCGTCATCGTAGCTTTTGCCTTGGTTCCAAGTTCCAACTTTAAAAGCGTCAATTCAAAAGATTCTCTCTCTTCCTGATGCTTGCCTTCGTGATGGATGCAGCAAAGACAGTTCGGGAGTGCGATCGACAAGCAAAGACCATGCTGCCCCAGCAATGTTGGCAGACAGGCGGAGTGTTTCGTCAAAAGAAGCTCGAGAACACTATCCAGTATTGGGGGCCGTGCCATGCAGCCGGGTATGCCCCTGGCGCCGTGATGGACCAATAGGCGGGCTTGCTGGAGCCCATGCCAGCATGATCCTATACGAAACCCACTGCGCAGATTCGGTGCACCTCTTGACTTGAAAAGTGAGCCAACAGAGACAAGCAACCTTCCGTGCCCAATGTCTTGTGTCAACTGTCTCTCGACTCTGCTGGTGGAGACTGCCATTACTACCAGCGTCCGAACCACAGCTCGTCGGGAAGCCACAAATCGATCAGTGCTGAGAGCGATAAAAACCAGGAAACCCTACCCCTTTCATGTCGTGATGAAGATCGCGGAAATGCAATGTCACGAAGGTATTGCATTATGTGCAAACGCACTGGTGGTTTTCGACTTCGTCACTGTCCAGGTCCCTGGGAGTGGCGCGTCTCATCCGTCCAGCCGAGCCCATGCCGTTGAAACTCAACGGGCGTCCACGAGATCAAACCCGGAGCACGAGGTACAGACCAGTCAATCACACCAGATGCAAAGTCACCGTACGAGTACTCCGTACAGGCTTCAATAAGGCAGGTACGTCCCCTAGCTGGGGTCTCCCGCTCGGACTGTTTTCGTTTCCTTGACGTCTGGGGATCCAGCGCTCCACCTCTGTCGATCATGACTACTGTAGTATACACAACCCCTGTTTATGTTCGCAGATCCGGCCGTATTGGGACCTCTAAGATTGAGCCAGTCAATCACCTGAGCAAGAGATGGATTAGACACCTGTTGATCGTCAATTTACCATTGCTCAGTTTCAAGGGTTACCAGCTTCTCCATATGATTACAATGATAATCAGGTTGTGCACGGTAACCTCTGAGAGCATAGGTTTGATTAACATATCGGTGGTCTGTTCTGCACTCAGGACCTTGTCAAAGGAAAGCATTGGGATTCCCTTGGAGGTCCGCGCGCCTCGAGGTGTATAAAAACCAGGTCTGCTCCCCTGGTCTGTCTGTCCATTATCCATCCTCCTCAGCAGTCCCTTGTTCCAGTTCATCTTCAAGACAAAGCACTCTCGCTTCAATATCTTTGAAAGAAAGTCTACCAGACATCTGATCAATCAGCCAACATGCGTCCATCAGCTGTTCTCGCATCTCTGCTCCTAGCTGTCTGCGCTTCAGCTATCCCTTTCAACAGTATGCTTCTGACTACACCCACCGAGGGTGAAGGTGCGCTAACGAAGACACAGATGCCGAGCGCAACACGGCTCTGGAGGCGGTAAAGCGTGACATCGCGAACGTGGAGAGCGGCCTGGTTGAGAAGCGTCAACCTGTTGATTTGGGCTCCCTCACCGGCCTTGTCACTGGCCTTGTCAACAGCTTGGTCAGCATTCTTTCCGGCCTTACCAGCACGCTCTCAGGTCTTGTCAAACAAATTGAGAGCGCTGCTGGTGGCGTTGGCGACGTCACGGGGACCCTTGAGACGGTCAAGTCCACTCTCTCAAGCACCCTGTCCCAGGTGAACAGCGCCTCCAGTGGTGTCGACCCGTCTAGCCTCACGGGTTCTGTTCCAGACCTGAACAGTGCCATCGCTGAGGTCGAAACACTCATCGCCAGCCTTGGCGTTCTCGGTGGCACCTCTGCCGTCACAAGCCTCGTTTCCCAAATTACCTCCATCGCCAACGATCTCCTCAAGGTCCTGAAGGGTCTTCTGAGTGAAGCCACCTCGGCAGCCTAAATGTCTCGGTTTCACAGATGGCCTGGTGGTCTTCATGTAAGGCCAGGAATCCGGGAACTTGGTGTTGGAATCGAGAATTCTGAGAGCCTATCATGCCAGTGGGAGGAGGTTCTGCGGATGTCTGACAATGGACCTGGAATATCGCAATCGACATTACAAGAGAGTGGTATGGGGGCTTGACTGATTCCGTGTTGGAAAGGAACCAAAATGGCGGGAAACTTGTAATAGTGCACTTCAATAAAAAAAATGTCGCTCGTTAAGATGGCGGTTTCACATTATTCGTGTTTTGCGTGGTTTCTTCACCTGGACGTAACATTTTCAGGCTTGGGAGGTTCTAATACGAAGTAGACTGGCCGGTGGTGGACGTTTAACGTGTTATTGTACCTCGTACCTGGTAGGATGTGAAGCAGGCATATGCTTGATGATCACAATTTCATATGGGAAATGTTCCGTAGATGATTCATAGTCCTAAGACAAACGAGGGACGTGGGACGAGGGACAAGTTACACAAGACGACCCGACCGAGCATGGCGCCGGGAAAACGCAATCAATCTCGTTCTGAAGTTCAAGGCAACGTACGGAGTTATTCGTGCAGTGAGTGATCAAATGATCTATCTCAGATCTGATCGTAATTGTATAGTTTTCCCCGCGATTCCGTTTGTGAAGAAAATTATATTCTCCGTATCCACACACATCCAAGGCTACACAATAGACACAAACTCAATAAACATTCCCGCGGTTCCACAGTGTACGTACAATATATAGCATGCCTACCTTGGTTTATTCAAGGGCACCGTTTCAACGACTCATACTCGTCCCGCAAGCAGTAAGATATCGTTTCTCGTGCTCGGTCGGTTGTTCTAAACGGTGTTGAAAATCACCAGGAAGATTCCATACCGAAACATGACTAAAAACTGTTTCGCACGCGGTAAATGGTCAAGAAGAAGAAAAGAAGAAGGAAAGAAGAAAGAAAGAAGAAAGAAAGAAAGGAGAAGAGAAGACAGAGAAGTAGTATCATTCTGTTTCAGTCCACTGCCTTTCCGCCGGCCGCTACGAACAACAGCACTCCTCTGCTCGGAAATGCTAATTGCTGAAATAACATTGACTCATTCCCGCGAAGGTTCCTCGCTCACTCACTTCCCAGCTCGACAGGAGACCTCAGGTGCACTATCAGTTATCGGCCAGGTCGGTCACCGACAAGATGATTTATTCCTCTTCCATCGAGCCTGGCGGACAAGCGGTAGTCGTCGGGCACCGGTTCACCAAGTCGAAGCCTGGTGCTCAATGACTTCGTCTGCCCACTCTCTGCCTCCAGTGCTCTCGACGTCCCAGTTGTCGGTCTTGGCATTGCCGTTTTCATGTGCTTGGCCGTGGCCGGGGTCGAAGATGTTCTCTTTCTTGATATTGGCGCTGCTGTTCAGAGAGATACCAGAGTCGAAGCCGAACTCGCCATTCTCGGGCCCGGCAGAAGGGACGTCCCATGCACCGGGAGCGGCGGAACCTGGGTTGTCCTCGAAGATGTCACCGGTGTCAAAACCGCCTCCCTCGCCGCTTCCAGCAGGTGTCTTTCCGATGCCAATAGTATCCCAGCCCTTGAAATCCTCAGGGTCGTTGCTGACGTTGGGGTCTTTTCTGGCCTTCTTCTTTTCCTCCCACTTCTTCTTCACCTCGGCCTCGTTGCGCTCGCACCAGTCATGGAGGTCGCCGTCGAGCTTGGGAATGCGAGATCTCAATTCTTCGAGGGTGTCCAGTTCTTCTGGGGTATCTTCTTCGTTGAGGACAGAATTCCACCATGCCCAGAAGACACTGGCTGCGGCCACTTCGCGAAGAGAGTCCTTGCAGTTGTTCAGCGCGGGGGACGTGTAGAACCATTCGACTTCCTTCCAGCTCATGAGGACCTTGCGCGCAATGCCTTGCATACGTTTCGTGAGGCCTTCGGCAAGATCACGAGCAGGAACGCCCAGGTAGGTGGCTGCAATGATGACGTTGGCGTACCGTGAGAGAAGCTCAGGAGTGTCAGCTTCGAGCTGTCCGAGGCATAGATAGATTAGCGAGGGCGTTCTGCAGACTGCATCTCTGAACTCACTTCTCTGTACTTGACAATGCTCTGCTCCGAGACGCACTGATTGATCCAAGCTACGGTTTCCTTCAGACCAGTGAGATCAATACCCGTGACAATGAACGATTTGCGGCTGTTGTCGTCCATGAAGTCGTGGCGGATGCGATCGCAGAAGATCATGGCTGCGTCGCGAGAGAAATTGCCGTCGACAAGCTGCAGGGGAGAACCCTTCCCGGTTCTATAGAAGATCGCAATGGTGGGATTGGGCTTGATACTGCGAGATTTTGGTCAGCAGACTGTTATACGAACGGGCCAGCCAGAGACGATGCCTTACTCCGAGAGTTTCGCAGGAGGAATGCGCGGGCCACGATCTTCACGAGGTCGAGGAGGGCTGTTGTCTTCCATGATGACTGAGTCCAACTGATCGAAGTCTCAGGTCTTCCAGGCAAGGAGAGACTTGGAGAGGACTGAGTTGACGGGATGACTTTGGGAGATGGAAGCGTTGTGGGAGCTTTCAAAGTCCGCATCAATGATAAAATGCTCTTGATAAATTCAAGCAGACGATGGTGTCTCTTGGGTTCACATGTGCCATTAGCCACGTCAGGGACACATGGTGCATGAATGAAGGTACCTACGGAAGACGTGGAAACTGGCTGTGTTGTGAATCAACGTGCACACTTCTTTCTTACCAGGGCCGGAAACCTGATCTGCTCACACAAACACAATCCACAACACCGGCAACTTGCATGGACGGTGAGTCTTTGCCACCAAATCGCAACCATGTCCGTTCAAGTTCCTTCCACACTGCTCCCTCAAAACCCGGATGGTCTCAATTCAAAGCCGCAAGCCTCACAGAAGGGACGAAAACATATCCCTCTTCTAGCGTTCGCAAGATTATGACGCGTAAACTCCCTGCTGGCGATCTAGTTCCCTGGGCCTGCTCTTACCGGCAAACAACAAAAGCAAAAGATCAGGTTGGAATGTGAAGTATTCATGTATTATGGCGACGCTCATGTCTTGCAAGTACAAGAATCAGGAAGCAGACCAAATACTCCTCCAGTGCGCCTTGCTCATAATCTCATCTCTACTGGTATCTTGTATCATCATCGTCCATCGTCTTATTTCTTTCCACTCTTCTTGATCCCTTGCTGACCAGCGTTTAAAGGTCCCTTGCCTTTTGCCTTGTCGGCCATTTCTTTCCGGGCTTTGGCATCTGCAGAAAACGGTCAGATACCCGGTCAGCCAAACATACCCAGATTGACGCACCCGCTGCTTGCTTGGCCTTGAAGGCTAATTCGTCTTCATCGAGATCCTTCTTTTCTTTTTTGGGGGCCTTAAGAGGCTTGACTTTTCCGCCTGGTCGAAGGTTAGGTTGGAGGATCACACACCGGATAAGACTATGGCAATGACAAACCTTCTCGACTTTGGCCACCCATGTTGGTAGTGTGTTCTTGGAATCGCTTGAGGGTTGAGCAGAGGTGGAAAGGAAGGGTAGTTGGGCGCAATAGCAGTTGGCAGATGAGACTTCGAACTTCGAATACTTTTGACCGCTGGAGTCTCGATCGCAGTCCGCCAGTGGCGCAGCCAGAGACTTGGCAGTCATCGTACTCGTACTCGTATTCGTACTCACCGTCACCGCCAAAGACTCTTATGTAATCACTTACGCCCTCGATCACTTCAATGTTTCCTTCTTACAGGATGTCGCGGAAAGATGACAAATATCTTCTTTCATGACCTTTGGTAGAAGCTGACAAGTGCTTGAGGGAGATTACCATGGATCAATCTTTCCACTAAGGAGGCTATTCATCATGGAACATAGTCGGGTTGGTCCTCAGGGCCCCAGCGCGAAAAGAAGCTTCAATGGCTGCTGGACGTGCAGACTGCGCCGAAAAAAGTGTGATGAGAACCCTGGTATATGTCAAGCCTGTTCAGCATTGCATATAACATGCCACTACGCTCCAGATAAACCGGAATGGATGGATGGCGGTCTGAGACAAACAAAGATGGCTCAGCAAATCAAGCGCGAGGTCAAGGACAACGCTCACCTCCGGTCTGCGCAGCGTTCTACTCATCTTCCTGGAGGCTATTCTTCGTTCGCAGACTCTGCCCTTGAAAGTGTCGAAGACAATGCCGAACTTCTCAATGGAATGCAGTTGCACGACACCGGTTCAACGGACTCGCCGCTGCGCAATCTTGACTGCACAGCTGCCCACGCCAACACACCGAGCACAGCAACATTTGAACGATCTGATACGGTTCTTCTCATGTTCTACCTCGACTACCTGTTCCCCTTCCTGTTTCCCTTCTATCGCCCTTCTCCTCTACAAGGCGGCAGGGCTTGGATCTTGGAAATGATGATAAGCCGCCCAGTGGTCCGGCAAGCCACACTGTGTCAAAGCTCGTATTTTCTGTCCCGTGCTCACGAGGCCGCCAACCAGTCCGTGGACTGGGACACAGTACTGACACGTACGAGGGATGCTTTTGAAGTGCTGAGACAGTCGCTGCAGCTTATGAGTGGCTCTGACATCTCTGAACATCTGCACGGGGCTGTGCGAGTCATGGCAAGTATCATGCAGGTGCAACGTTTTGAAATTGCACTATTGAGTTTTGAAAATTGTAGAGCGCATCTGACTGCGGCATTGTCACTTTTCAAGCAGCTTCTTGATACCGAGAGCATCAATGGAATAGATGCAGTCAGGTCAAACTTTGAAGCATTCATGAACAAACTGGGACCATCAACATGGGTCCTGCCTGCCCAATGTATTCAGGTCCCGAGCGCTGAGCAGTCTGCTTTTCGCTTCTCATCTAGCCTCTTGCTCTTGGACGATATCATCGCGAGTACGGCTCTCCAGGAGGAGCCTGCACTTTACGCTTTTCATCAAAGCCTTCTGACCTCTAACGACGGGCTCGAGCCACTGATCCAGCTCGACACTGCCATTGGATGCCAGAATTGGGTGTTCCTGGAGATCGGCAAGGTTGCGGCCCTAGACGCTTGGAAAACCCAATGTAAGAAGAACGGTAACCTGGATGTTATCGAACTGGTCCACAGGGCTACAGTGATCAAAGAATGTTTGATGTCGCACCTGAGAGAGCTGGAACGAAACTCAAGGAACATGCAGGGAGGAGGCAACGATCTGATGGACATCTTCACCGTTGACTGCCACCACCCCTTCAAGCCACCACCAAGCCAGACGTCCTTGATCACGCGCGTGTGGGCTCATGCTGCGCTGGTGTATCTATTCACCGTCGTGTCAGGATGGCAGCCAGCCAGTGATGACATTCGATATCACGTTTGCAGTTCAATTGAGCTGCTAACATATCACATGCCGTCGCCAACATTGCTGCGTACCATGGTATGGCCATTCTGCGTGACGGGTTGCCTAGCGGAGCCAGCACAAGAGTCTCAATTGCGTGGCATAGTTGAGTGTCTTAGGCCGCCCTCGCTTTTTGGTACTGTACGAAAGGCATTTGAGATCATGGAAAGTGTCTGGCGCAAAAGAGCAACCGATGATATGGTAAATTTTGATCTTGCTACATGCCTCAGATATGGCGGTGAACTCGTGATATTGGTTTAGATGAACAGCCAGAAAATTCATCCTCAACTTCTCCAGAACTGCTCCATCCTATAGAGTCAAACATGATATCAGGCTGATTCTATGGCATTGACTCCGATATGTTGTGAATACTTGTCCGTGGAGATGCTTGTGGATCCGGGACAATCTACTTGAACTGGACGTAACCTTTATCCTTGACAAAGGTTGTAAGCCAGGGAACGTTGTCTGGGTGGCTGGCTAGCTGTGCATAGAAGTCTGCATGGGCCGGGCCGTCGAGCTCCTGCCCCTTCACCTTGCCATCCTCGAAACGCTCATCAGTGTAAAAGAAGCTGATCACACAAACTGTCAGAGTCGAGACGATCCTGTCATGACCTGTGGAAATTACTCACCGGATGCCTTGTGAAGAGTACAAAGCGTCTGCAGTACCTAGCCAGTACGCCGAAGCTGACTTGCCGACGCCTAGATCCACCATGAGGGGTACGGGGATGACTGTGGTGTTCAGGCCATTGCCGGTATATATGAAGGTCTTTTTGGTGCCCTTGGGAAGTGTCGCCCAAGCAGACACGGCCTGTTGCGCGGCGACCCAAGGGCTGACCGTGTTGATGTTCAGATCCTTGGTCACTGTCTCTACCGGGATGGAGAAGATATTGTCTTGGACCGGGGGCGGAGTGAGCGCCGCGGCATTGTAAACGACCACGGTCGGCGCGGCCTGAAACTCGGCTTTCACGGCATCGAACAATGCCGGAATCGAAGCGGGATTGGCAAAGTCCGCCTTGAGGGAGAGATATCCATCGCTGTTCTTGGTGCCAGTGCCACCTCTGGAAGCGACAGCAACCTTGTAGCCGCTGCTGAAGAATTTCGCGGCAACAGCAGCACCAACTCTGGGGCCGGAGCCAAGAATGAGAACGACTGGATTGGCTGCCATGGTTGGAATGATTTCTGGATACCTTCGGCGATGCAGGAAGGATGTGTCTGTGCAAGTCTTGAGGAGATGGAAGTTGAACCAGCGCCTGCTCTCGTGGCTTCAAGCAAACATTTATGCCAGAACAGAGTGTGCCTCGTTCCGCTTGTTCACATTGCTGTCCCAGTAATCGACTTCGAGCATTTGTAAGCACTCACGGAGGGCCATCATTCCGAAATGCTGGTAGATGCGTATGTCATCTCGTCCGGCCATATAGATGTATCCACACTCAGGATGTCTAACTAGCTGTTGTCCTGAACAGGCTTGTTGTTTGAAACTTGCGAAGAATGGGTGTGTCGAGCCCCACAAGCCGCGCGCGATGATGTGCCACAAGCGAGGGAAATGCTGGAGAAGCCAGTCGAGCAGGGTCCGGGCTCACCAACCCCAATAGAGCCAGCGCGCGGCAAGAGTTCAGAAAGGAATATCCTGACACTTACCCCTACTGAAGGTTTGTCCTACGACCAATCCATCTCCAGTCACGCAATCCACGACCGGGGTGATGACATTGCGATTCGCCGTGATGGACATCTGTTGGATGGTCAGGCTGGGAATCTGGAGTCACCTCAATTTTCACTATGTGTGAGCATTGTTCCAGGATTGCTTTGACGCGCGGTAAGGCTTTATAATGCGGAATTCTGGATCTTCTCTTGTTGAGCGCTTATGTCAGCTCATTATGGATGAGGCCATACGCTGAGATCCAGAGTACTCAATGCCTCAGTAAAACAATTGCTGGCCGGCTAAACCTTGGGATCAGAGAAGCAAGTCCTGATGCGTTCACGGTAGGTATTGATGTCTTGCTGTGTTTCTCTGTTCAGCTTGTTCATTCCTCTCGTTTGTCCTCCTCTCCAACTTCACATTAGCAGTATCTTGCGCGCCACGATTCAAAGCACTACTTACGTGTTTGGCACCATGGATGACTCACCAGCTAAGAGTGGCACTGTGTCGCGGATGCCAGTCTACTTCTTGGGAATTGGCGGACCCAACTTCATGGAAGATACGGGACACCCTGCCTACTCCCAGTTGGCAAAGGTTGGCCGAGAGATTACAACACTGGTCAAACCGAAAGCGGTGGTTGTCTTCTCTGCACACTGGCAACACAGTCCGACCAAGATTGCAATTAACGTCGCTGAGAAAACCGACCTCATTTACGACTTTTACGGCTTTCCACCCCATTACTATGAATATGACTATCCCAACGAAGGAAGCCCCGTGGTTGCTCAAAAAGTCATTGATGGATTGGCGGCTGCGGGAATCCAAGTCGACCGTGTGAAGCGAGGCCTCGATCATGGCGTCTGGGCTGGATTCATGGTTGGTAGGTACGACGTGGTTTGTATAGCAAGTATGGCTACTGATATACATGCTCGCCCAGCCTTTGATCCGAAGAAGAACCCTTTGGGTGTGCCGATAGTCCAAGTGTCGTTATTGGAAAGTGATGATTGGGAGCAACACTACCGTATCGGACAGGCCTTGGAAAGCCTACGGGACGAAGAGATTCTGATCGTTGGTGCTGGAATGGCAGTCCACAACCTTCGAGACTTTCGGGCCATGAGGGCGAGTGGCAAGACGACGCCGATGCCGTAAGTTGTATCCTGCCGGTAGTACCATACCAACGGTCGTTCTTGTTAATGGGCTTTAGGTTTGCGTTCACCTTTGACGAGGCTCTAAAGGAGGCTGCCACCGCAGAGCCCGAGTGGCGTCAGGGAGCAATGTCGGCTTTGATGAAGCGTCCCGATGCACGGGAGGCACACCCTAGCCTGGAGCATATCCTTCCCATGTATATAAGCGCAGGTGCCGCTGGCTCAGATGTAGGCGAGCAGCTGTGGACTCTCCCTGAGAAGAGTTTGAGCTGGGCACAATATCGTTTTGGGAAGGTTCCTGCGGCATAAGAGGAGTTCTTACGTGGCAAAGCATGGTAATCTGTAGATTCTGGATGCGACCACTGTGACCAGCAGAAGATCCAAGAACTATTAGCTATACTGTAGAACGGAGTACGAGGACTGGATGACTTCGGTAGCACTCCACCGGGGCCCGAAAGCGAGCGACATCGGCATAGCTTCCCTATTCAGCAATTTCTTCTCACTAGCGTCGTCTGCCTGAAGTCTAGATAACCACGTCACCAAGGCTTTTGACGGCTTCTCTCAACGTGGTCTATCAGAGTCTACAGAGTCCAGACGGAGAATATGTGGTGTTTTTGAAGGAGTCGCTTCATTATTTTCAATGGACAGTTGAGAAGGAACTAAGACAGGACGGCACCGGTCGGGCTCTACAACTGCAAAGTCCTTTTCATCGCAGGATCTTTCGCTAACACTTTGATCACTTGAAGACTAGGTGTCAGTCCTTGTCCAGGGCTCGATATCATCCTCATCATGGCATCAAGGTCGTCGAGTCATTCCGACGGCGAGGTTAGCAGCTCAGATTCGGAGGCGAAGGCAAAGATCATACCATCTTCCCACAGTAACAGCAAAGTTGACCGTCATACCAGACCCTTTTCTACCGCCACGCCTAGATCACGTCGATCGCGTTCGAGATCTCCCTACCGAGCTCCTAGGGGCGAGAAACGGCCGCGGGACTACGACTCTCCTACGAACAGGTCCAGACATGATCCGCGAACGTTTTCTGTGAGATACGACGAGGACAGAGGCCACCGCCGGCATATGCCCTACGAAGAAAGAGGCTCTAAGCGTTCCAGAACATATTCGCACAGTCGCAGTAGAAGCAGGTCGCCTTATCGACGTTCGAGGGACAAAGACAGTGACAGGACGAAGTCGAAGAAGGCCGCAGCCGGTTCGGGCAGGGGCGATGCAGAGCCGCGTCCGCACCATCCGGTAGACGCTGGTGAATTGCGATCAAGTAGACAAGGTACACCTTCGACGGACAAGCAACAGCAACACGGCTCAGAATCCGCGACACCTTCCACTCAATCATTGACTGGTGGTCCCGGATCAAGCAGAGATCTACCTAGTGATGCTAATGCTGCAACGCCAGAAGTCGCTGACGAAGCCGAGGAACCAAAGATAGTCGATGAGGCAGCCCTCATTGAGCAACGACGCAGGCGCCGAGAAGCCATCAAGAACAAATACAAAAGCCAGGCTACCCCTCTTCTAGTTCAAGCATTGCATACGGGCGCCGAGGGGAAAATTGGTAGTCCTGCCCCGGAAAGTTACCCTACCACGCCAGGTCGTTCCGGTAAGTTGCTCTCCTCATGGTCTCGTTATCCTCTAACGACTGATCCAGAATCGCCGCCCTCGACTCCTCGATCACCGAAGGAAGTATCAGCGCCGCAGTCTCCTGCCGAACTCAGTTTTGATGCTGACGCTGAAATGAGCAATCCTGCTAGAGGCACGCCGCCTGCTGATGGACCGTCGGCTGCAGACTACGACCCTACGGCGGACATGGAAGAAGAGCGCGCACGCCACGACAAGCGATTGTTCAAGGAGGATGATAAGTCACTTACGAAAGCAGATGAGCAGGCTGTTGAACATACCCAAGGATCAACTGCACCTGCTCCTCAGAAAACTAATGACTTTGATATGTTTGCCGATGAAGATGATGACGATATGTTTGCAGAGGCGCCCATGAAACCAAAGGCAGAGGCGCAGACAGCTCAAGCCCTTGATGTCAATCTCATGGATAACTGGGATGATCCCGAAGGTTATTACATCACAATACTTGGTGAGCTGATTATGGATCGTTACCATGTAACTCAAAACCTCGGTCGGGGAATGTTCTCGTCTGTCGTTCGAGCCACCGACAGGCAGACAGGCAAACCGGTGGCCATTAAGATTGTTCGAAATAACGAGTCTATGAGAAAAGCCGGCATCAAAGAGATTGACATACTCAAGGATATTGCCGCCAACGACCCAGAGGACAAAAAGCATGTCATTCGTCTGGAACGTTCTTTTGATCACAAAGGCCATTTGTGCATGGTTTTTGAAAGCCTTTCCATGAATCTGCGAGAAGTGCTGAAGAAGTTTGGCAGAGATGTCGGCCTCAACATCAAAGCCATTCGAGCATATTCTCAGCAATTGTTCCTGGGATTGAGCTTGTTGAAAAAGTGTCAGTATATCCACGCTGATCTTAAGCCAGACAACATACTCGTCAATGAAGCGAGGAGCACCCTCAAGATCTGTGATCTGGGATCAGCTTCTCCAATTACAGAGAATGCAACGGCACCGTATCTCGTGTCTCGCTTCTATCGAGCCCCAGAAGTCATTCTTGGCATTCCTTACGATTATGGTGTGGACATGTGGTCAATTGGATGCACACTGTTCGAATTGTATACCGGCAAGATTCTGTTCACGGGTCGAAACAACAACGGAATGTTGAAAGCGATCATGGAGTGCCGCGGCAAGTTTCCACATAAATTGTTGCGGAGAGGTGCCTTGACCTATGACTATTTTGACGACCTGCTCAATTTCCGAGCTCAAGAAGTCGACAAGGTAACTGGCCGAACCCTGGTACGTATGATCGACATCAAGCCGAAACCGGTTAAGGACTTGAGATCAAGGTTGATGCCAAAGGACAAACGGATGAGTGAACAAGAGAGGAAGGAACTGGAATTGTTCGTTGATCTATTGGACAAGTGCTTGGACTTGAGACCTGAGAAGCGAATCACTCCAACAGACGCTCTTAAGCATCCCTTCATCTTAAGAGCGAAAGGCTAGAAAAAGGCGACTAGATAGTACAGATTGACATACACAGTGACCCACATCGGTACCTTTATGGAGAGAGTAGAGTCGGGGATGTATACTCTAAGATCCAGAGGTAATGCACTGATATCCACTTCATCAGTATAATTATCAACTTCCATTACCTACCGCAAAGGTACTTCTTCAGAACCAGCTGTACATCATGGGCTGTCGTGTCTGCATCTAAAACCATCAATATATGCTGGTCAGGTCGAACGAGGAGGCCTCCTCCCTCGGGTAACCTTGATGAATCCAGCCACTCTCCCGCACCGGGTCCGACGACTTCAAAGTCGCGCCCGGGCCGAAAGGTCTTGACACCAGGAACGTCCAGATTGCCCAGTAGGGTGAATTTGTCCATGTCGCAGAGGTCAAGGGTACTGTATTGTCGAAGCCGGATGTCTTCCTCGGAGAACTCGTCTATGTACGAGACATCCACCGGCGCGAGAGTCGGGGTCGTCCTTTGAGACTGCGGCAGAAGACGTATCCATGCGTGAGGCAACCTTGCGCCGACGGTAAATTTGGGCACGTACTTTGATGCGTGAGGTGGGATGGATCTGTCGCCGTAGACGTAGCCTATGTGAAGTTCGAGCTATTTAGATGATGATTGGAGCGTTAGTGCTGGATCCCCATTCTACCAGGGTTGTAGGATGTATACAGAGGAGAGGGGTCAGAGTGAGTGACAATGAGAGAAAGGAGACCAAAGGAGAGGGTGGCAGAGAAGAGTTAGAGCGAGTGAAAGTGAGACTGAGAGAGAGAAAAAAACAAAACTACTCACATTATCAAAATGCTCTCTCTGCTCCTCAATGCCTTCATCGATCTCTCTTTTCTTGTCCGGATCACTGAGCGAGGCGTACAGGTTTCGTCTGGCCTGGGCCGTGTCCTGTCCGATACCTAGTGTCTTGAGCAGACCAAAGATTTTTCTCCCGTTCTTCACGCTCTGCATTGAGTTCACAACGGCGACGTGGCGTCTTTCCCCTTCGTACGAGTCGAGGAGGCGCTCGGACGCTTCACCGTTGAGGACTAATGCGATCTTGTACGCGAGGTTGTGCACGTCGCCTAATCCCGAGTTCAAGCCGAGGCCACCGGTCGGTGGGAAAGAGTGTGCTGCGTCGCCGGCCCTGAATTGCCATGTTAGACCGATGCCAGGCACTATGGATGAATCAATACATCAGTAGATGGTCGACTTACAAAAAAACGTTGCCTTGTCTGTACGATCTCGCGACTTTTCGACTGAGCACCCAAGGCCTGTAGCTTAGGATGTCAAAGGAGATGTCTTTGCCGATGGCACTTGTGACTGTTTGACGGCACACATCCTCGTTCCAGCTTTCTACTGGCTGTTTGGTTGCCTGGATGATAGTCAGACACTGCGATGAAGGATCAATCAGAAGGAACTTGAACTGCTCACGTCAAAGTTGCTGATCAGAACTAAATTACCCGAGAGATCGTAGGCGATGATGAATCCTGAAGCCACAGGGTCGAAAATCCAATGCAGCATTCCGACTCGGTCTCCGACGATAGGACGTAAGTTGGCATTGAAATGGATGGTCATCATGGTTTCGTCTTGGCGGAGTAATTCGTCAGTTTGAAGACGTAATATACGCAAAGTTTATATGGTCCAGAGGCTCTCTTACAGGAGTCTTCTCCATCACTCTCGATCTTCAAACATGCGCGCACTTTACTCCTCGCCCCGTCGCATGCGATAACATATTTAGACCTGATCTGAAATTGGTGGCCTGTTGTACGATCCTCCACGGTCGTTGAAACTGCGTGAGAATCCTCGATAACGCGAGTTTAGTCTTGAGGACCTTCCATGGAGCAGCGAGCTTCTTACCTGGCGCAGCGAAACGAATGAAATACCCCGTCGAATTTCGACGTTCGAGTCCTTGGCTAACACATCTGTCATATATTGTTCAAAGGCTGGTTGAGGAATATTGTGAATCATCTATTGTTAGGTCAGTTTTACGTGTGAGGTGAGATGAAGAAGAATAATAGCTCACTTCTGGAGTGTGTTGGAATACTTCGGCGTCCATCCTCTCGTATGGCAGGGCACCGATGGGCTGGCCACTTAGATTCGTGACAAAATTCACCCAATAGGCGTCACGTCTTTGGGTGCCCAACTGACGAATCTTAGCACCATCCAGGCGAGACTGTCGGCATATTTCCAATGATCTTGGAGACAAAGCGTGGGCCTTAGGTGCGCCCAGTCTCTCGGGATATCTCTCGACGACCAGAGATTTGACTGTAACCTGTCAACTCTCGTCACCAGGACGGGGGAAGACTATGACCTCCAAGCCGAGACAGTAGGTGAGCCTGGAAAAGACCAGCAGGCCCACCTCCAACAATGAGAACCGATATATCCAGGCTGTAAGGGTCGTGTTCGTGTCCTGCGAAGGAGTTTGGTCGTTGACCTGGGTTGGTAGTATCGACGGATTCAAGCATCGCGATACCAATGTCGGTAGGCCTGTACTCCGGGAATTTCTATAATTTGAGCCTAATGCAGTTTCTCCAACCAGGAGATAAGAAGCCTTATCGCACAGTTGGGAGCTCCGTACTCCATAGTGCAGGCTGTAATCGTACATCCCATTTATGTTAATGCGAAGTTCGCTGACAGTCAGGGGGCTCGGAGTGGTGGGGAGGAGGTCGGCGGAGAAGACTGTGGAGAATGGGGTGTTTGTGGCGGGGAAGGCAACACACGATGCACTCGCAGGTTGTGGTCTGAGTCTCCCGGTTTAACGGCTCGTCCGTCTCTCTCACCCCAGGCCGCATCTCGAGACGAGTTGTTCCACGACCCTGTGCATATGGGTTGAAACGCCCCATGTCCTTCCGAGATTTTCAAGGAAAGTCAAAAATACATTGACTTCGTAGAGCAGATTCTCCTGTCGTTGGAGACCACTCAGCGTGCCGGTTAGATACTGTCGTACCTGAGTGTCAGAATCGGTTTCAATGTTCTCTGCCACTGTGTCAATGTCCAGAAGTAGTATGCTGTCCCAGCTGCATCGATCTGGCCTGGAAATCGTCGAGATACCACCCAGAAGGAAACCACAGTACAAGATAGCAGCCGAAAACACCGCCATCGGACCATTGATTGTGTGTGCATGACTGGCCGGGATTTCCTGGATAATTTCTCGAATACTGATAGCATGGAGAAGCCCCATGCGTCCTTTGGGACTTCGAAGCCACGATTCCAAGTCAAGTGGAGGCTTTTTCCTGCCACCCACGATCCGTTGTTCAACCTCGTACTCTTGACACAGCTTCCGACAGAACCAGTTGAAATCAATAGCAAAGTCAAGACCAATCGTATGCCATCGGAGGAGTGTCACCCTCTTGTTCATCAGTGACATGGACAAACTCTGCTCAGCAAACAGGTAGAATCTGGCAAGACCTCTTGATATATCCTGTCTCGAAGGGACTCCAATCACATTCGTTCCAGACACAGGGCTCTCTGCCATGAATGACTTGAATCCTTCAAGAGTTACAGAGGCGGTTAACAAGGCCAAAGATGATCCCAGATGTCTCACATGGACATTTTCGGACATTACTGAGCTGAAAAGCTGCGCAAAGGGTGGTCTCTTTTGACTTCTCGCAATCATCTTGTCTCTCCAAGTCTCGGCATCTGTAGCTTCGAAAATGTCGGCTTCGGTTGGCATGGGCAATGAATGAGAAGTGTGGCGTTGACACGTAGGGCCGCCGCTGTACATCGATATTTGGCCGTCAAGCACATAATGACCCAGCAGAGCTCGTAGCTGTGTCTCTCTTGCAGCCCAAACTCTCCACTTGCGCTCAAGGACTTCGTGGCTGTCTAGGAAGTCGAATGCTATTCCCTCTTCTTGATCTTCAAGCTCATACATACCTGCCCAACGTGCCCAGAAGAATCCAAGGCTGTGGAACACCTGTGCCGTAGTTCGAAGTGAGATGTTCTCACAAATTAGCCGACACGCCGATTGATATTAGTACCGGTGACCTACCTCAGACAACATTGCGTAAATCTGCCCCAGAAGTGCTGTAAGCACGAGTTGTATGCCACCGCACGTGTCGTAAGGGCCCCGGTGCTTGATGAGAGTTTGCCACTGGCAATTATATTAGGTACTGAAGGAAGTGGTTGACTGGTAATCCTACCGAGGTTGCAACAGCAGTATGTGCTAGTCGCCACAAAATCTCCCCCTTTGCATGTCAGCAAGTTGATTTGTACCATCGCCAAAGTCCAACCTTGAGCACGTAATCTTTTTTCCCCATGAACAGTGACCCAAGCGCAATGGCGTTCAGCAAAAGCGGATGGGTCCAATCTTTGAAGACGAATGTAGCTGCATGCACGACGGGCATTGACGGGAGGAACTGTTTGAAAAACATATGGAGGCATCCATCTAGGAATACGGTTGTGAAACCGGTAGTTTGCGCCTCAGAGGTGACGTCCGCTGACTGCTCGGATTAGTCCTTGATTCTTCAACCAGCTCTTTCCGTCCCTACCAGAGAATTGATCATCTGTGTCAAGTTTTGCACAGCATGAGTGCCTCGGTGCTGCGTGTTCCCATCAGTTGTAAGCCAAGGCGACAAATGATCCGATTGTGATTCAGTTGGTGCAACAGTCTGAGATGGTAGAGCCTCGAGAGCAGGAAGGTTGGTGAAATCAGCAGACAAGATCGATGTGAGAAGATCCGCAGAGTCTGGCCAATTGAGGGACATTGCTTCGGTAGAATCAAACAGGGATCCATTGTGCATCTCTCGCATGGGCGTATAGGTCGATATCGACGGAACGTGTTCATCTGCCGAGCGTGGCAATGACGAAGAGTCGGCGTGGGCGGCCTCCAGAGTGAGGTCGACACGACGACTGCCGTCTGTGGCCCATCCTTGCTCAGGGCGTCCATGTCGCCTCAAATGGCGAGCTAGGCTGTCGTTTCTGGTGAAACTCCTCGAGCAGACTTCGCAGACAAAAGGGCGAGTCCCAGTATCTAGATATAGTCAGATTGTCTGCCCAAAGTTCTTCGGTCTGAAATACCTACGCGACCTCTCATGCCTCTGCGACGGACGCCCATGACCCACGTCAATATATGAGATGTAGAGGGACCATTTTCTCAAAAGCTGCTTACCATCAGATGTTCGGCTTTTCCAAAGCTCCTGCTACAATGCGAGCAAACATGTCTCTTGGCCGACGTGGCGGGAGCTCCGGGAGGCATTTCGCAAGGCACCTTGCTGCTGGCGGCGAAGATAATCTACATGGAACAAATCGTAAATGCTGGTGTGGCATCTTTGTAGGTAACTTGCAACTCTTTGGGTCCGAGATGCGGGTAAGTCTCACCAACCTGAGTTCACTAACTAACTTAGTTAGGTAGCCTTGGCTGCTCCTCGAGCGCGGGGTTTGCCCGGGTTAGAGATTCGGGGGCTATCAAGCCCCAGAGGCCGAGACTAGTTACTGCCTACCTAGGTGCCCTATAGCCAGTTCTGTAGGTGGTCGTGCTCCCCGCAGGCGAGGTTTTCCGGGCGCCCAGTTAGTCCCTGAGGCTTACCGCATCCCGTCCCGTGCACCTGGGGTAAGAGCAGCAATAGGGGTTCCGCCTCCAGACACAGTGAGCGCTAAGTTAACTATGTAACTAGCCCCAATCTTTGTTCTTAGGTCATCACGATCAATGGAAGATGGCCCCTTCATTGACTTCAGCATCTAACTCTGGAAAGCCACTATCGAGATAGCCATGCTTGATTCTCAGACACGAACTTGCAGAGAACACGTTGCTGACTCAACCTTTTCTGAAGATACCTTGCCGCATCTTCCGTCGTCTCCTACTGCCATCAACCCGAAACCGAGGTGTGGCACCTCGAAGAGCTGGCGTCCGTACGCTATCGTCCATACGGAATGGTCTACGAGCTTCTCGTTTCCTTTGAACGCCCTCAGTTGGGAACTGGTGGAGTCGCACTTCGCACAAGGAGGTACAAAAGGTGCATACGTCTGCAAACCGCGGCAGTCTCGTTTAATTCCACCTAGTCTGGTCGGTCTATTTTTCTCGAGTTTTTGAAGACAACAGTCCCACACGCGGTCAGGATGTCCTCTTGATATCTATTCACCTTCAGCAATTTTCAGGGTTGACCAACCTGCTGCTCAACGTCTGGAGAGGGCAATGGAAGAAGGAAAGATTGTAGAGTTGATCCCTCCGACCAACGACCTGATAGTCGACTGGACTGGTGACGATGATCCGGAGAATCCTCTGAATTGGTCCTCCAAGCGCAAGGGCATCAACATTGCCCTCTTGTCGTGCCTAACTTTCGTCACGTAAGTACTTCCTTTATACATTCAGAAGTCGCCGCTCGCTGACGCCCCTATCTCAGCCCGCTGGCTTCGTCGATGTTTGCTCCCGGCATCCCTCTGGTCATGAAAGACTTCCACAGCTCCAGCATATTCTACGCGACCTTTGCCGTTTCGATCTATTTGGTGGGCTACTCTTTCGGTCCGCTGGTGTTTGCGCCTCTTTCCGAGCTGTATGGACGACTACCTGTGTATCTCGCCACGAATGTCCTTTTTGTCATCTTCACAATCGCCTGTGCCGTTGCCCCGTCTTTAGGCAGCCTCATCGGGTTTCGCTTTCTCGCTGGGTCGGCCGGTTCTGCACCTCTTGTGCTTGGTGGAGGTAGCGTAGCCGATTTGTACCCTCGCGAAAAGCGCGGATCCAAGATGGCGATCTTTTCCATAGGGCCACTCATTGGGCCGGTAGCAGGTGAGCTCGCCGAGGTTGACTACAGCCTGAAGTACTCATCATCTCCTAGGCCCCGTGGCTGGCGCGTTCCTGGCCGAAGACGTCGGTTGGCGATGGGTGTTCTGGGTTATTACCATGGCTGTAAGTGCATGTCATCGATTGCCCTCCAAAACTTACGCCTTTTCAGGCCAGTATTGTCGTAATTGCATGCTTTATTTTCATGCGAGAAACATATGCGCCGGTGCTCCTGGAGAGGAAAGCTGCTCGACTGAGGAAATCCACCGGAAACCAATGCCTCCGTTCGAAGATGTCCACAGACGACTCACCGCGCAATGCAATAGCCAAAGCATTCATACGCCCTACTAAGATGTTCTTTATGTCACCAGTTGTTTTCGTGTTTGTGGTGCGTCGCCGTGAGCAAACCACCTTATTTTGAAGTTGACCTAAACAGGTGTACATATCCGTCATATATGGCTACCTCTACCTTCTCTTCACCACCATCACCGAGATTTATGAGAGCGTCTACCACTTCTCAACCGGTTTGGCAGGTCTATCCTACCTTGGGATTGGTGTCGGAATGTTCATCGGGTTAGGTGCATTCGGAGCAACCAGCGATCGGCGAATTCAAAAGAAGAAGGCTCACGGAGACGTTTCCCCTGAAATCAGACTGGAGGGTTTGATTCCTGCCGCCATTTGCATTCCGATAGGCCTGTTCTGGTACGGATGGTCTGCCGAAAAGCAGATTCACTGGATCATGCCTATCATAGGAACAGGTTGGGTGGGCGTGGGTCTGATTGGAATATTTGTAAGGCGTTGTAGCATATTATTTTCCGAATCCTTGTTGACTCTCATCAGCTTGCAGTACAAACCTACCTTGTCGATTGCTACCCTTTGTACGCTGCATCGGTGACCGCAGCAAACACCGTGGTGAGGTCGCTGGTGGGAGCTTTCCTGCCGCTGGCCGGCCGTCCGCTATATTCGAAACTGAAACTTGGTTGGGGCAATTCAGTGCTGGCGTTCATCGCTCTTGCAATGGTGCCACTGCCGTTCATTTTCATGCGGTATGGCGCCCGACTCAGGACTCACCCTCGATTCCAGGTGAGCTTTTAACTACTTGGACGAGCCGACCTAGAACTTGGGGTTCTGCAACACCGATCAATCATCCTCGGCCCGCTTATCCTGACACATAAATTATCGACTGAAACTCAACAGACACTCAGCGACTGTCACGTCGTAATATTTGCTTGCGATACGCCAGTGCGAACGTTGTGAACGGAAGAGTCCTCGTCGTGCAGAGATATTGACAGGAGTTCAACAGTCTTTATCCACGGAGTCCGCAGAAGGCTGCAAAAAGCTTTCGTCTTAGCCGAGCTTCGGTCTTTGACTGAACCAATGATTGAACAGTTTCTATGGGGCACTTACACAAACTAGTTTTGCAGATCATGAAGACTTGCTTACGCCCTTGACGTCAACTCTTTGCAACAGACCTCCATCCAAATAATTGCACTTCATACTGTCTATTCCTCTTTTTTCATTTTCCGACTGACAAAAGGCATCTATAGCGGATGCCGAGACTCACACAGGAGGCTGCTCACAGCGTCTCGCAAGAACTGGGTATGTGGTGTTATAGCTGCACGCCCTGCTAAAGCGCCAGCTGGAGTCAGTGAGGGCCCTGTGCTGGTGCCAACGCTGACCGGACAGAAGCCCCGATCCAAGTCCGTAGGGAAAGCCTGGCGATGCTACGTTGTCCACCGGCAAAAGTCCACATGCAGTATTCAAATTCAATCCGCGTTGGTATGACACGGAGAAATAGCCGATTGAAATGCTGGGGAAGTCGATCTTCCACCAATATGGTAACCCGAGGTGGAGATCTACGTCTGGGACTTCCATGTACGAGTATAGCCGACGAGTATAAAGCCAACTCCGTCAGTATCATGGCCTCTCTCAAACAAGAGGACCCCTTTCGACTCCCGGGCTAATTTCACCGTCACCATGGCCATGGAAATTTTCCGCGGCACACTTGAGAAACACAATGTCGCACACAAACTACAGAAGCGGTCTCTGCTCATTGCAATCAATGCTGTCGCTGGCTTGTCCATCTTTTTCTTTGGATACGACCAGGGCGTAATGGGTGGCGTGAACACGACTCGTGATTATGCAGAGCTCATGGGGTTTGGCCATTGGGATGCCGAGGAAGGCCTGGTGAAGGTTGACAAGAGTCTGTTGCAAGGTGGCATCGTTGCTGTGTGAGTAAGAGACATAGATTTGGGAGACTGGACAACGTCAGCGAGGCTGTTGTCTTGACCCGTCCATCCGTGCCCTCTCCCGACGCAAAAGGTTCCCTCTGCTCGCGACTCAAGACACGTGCGAACCCTCTTTCTCAGATATTACCTCCCTGGAACATTGTTCGGTGCGTTTCTTGGTGGCTGGATAGGAGACAAACTGGGTCGCATCACTACCATCGGCATAGCATGTGCTTGGGCTATCGTCGGGGCAACCCTTCAATGTTCCGCCCAGAGTGCAAACTGGATGTTCTGTGCTCGTGTCCTCAACGGTATTGGCACTGGCATCCTGAACGCTATCACTCCAGTATGGGCCACCGAAACAGCAGCTTACACTTCTCGAGGACAGTTTGTGTCCATCGAATTCACCCTCAACATCCTCGGTGTGGTCGTGGCGTACTGGATTGAATTCGGTACCTCCAAATACGGAGACGGAACTTCGCCATTCATCTGGCGCTTCCCTATCGCATTTCAGATTGTTCCGTTGATCGGCCTTCTATGCGTGATTTGGTTCATGCCCGAGTCCCCGAGATGGTTGGTGAAAGTGGGTCGCGAGAAGGAGGCAAGATACATCCTCGGCCGTCTTCGTGGTGACGAGGGTGAAGACCGTGAGCAAGCAGAAGCTGAGTTTCAAGATATCCGTAATGTCAGCGCTTTGGAGGTGGAGACTTCTAAGCAGAACAGCTATTTCAGCATGTTCTTCGGCATTGGATCTGGAAAGCTACACACAGCTCGACGCGTGCAACTGGTGATTTGGTTGCAAATCTTGCAGGAATGGATTGGCATTGCCGGTATCACCATCTACGGCCCCGAAATCTTCACCATTGCCGGCATCAAAGCAAAAGACCGGCTGTGGGTCAGTGGTCTCAACGATATCACGTACATGTTCGCGACGTTGATTTGCGTCTTTACGCTCGACCGCATTGGTCGTCGCTGGACATTGTATTGGGGTGCCGTTGGCCAGGGAATATGCTGTTTTGCCGCTGGAGGTCTCGCTCGAGCCACGATCAATGCCTCTTCAGAGAGCCACAAGACATCACTTGGCGCTGGAGCGACATTCTTCGTGTTCTTGTACACTGCCATCTTTGGTGCTACATGGCTGGTACGTATTACTACTCCAATTTCCGCGAGACTTGATAAGCTGGAAACGAATAACAAAATACCCTTGCTTCTGTCTCGTTTCTCCACAGACTACGCATCTCTAACCAGGTACAGACGGTCCCGTGGCTCTACCCTGCCGAGATCTTCCCTCTACACGTTCGAGCTCGAGGCAGTAAGTTTGATCGGTCCCTCTCCGCGAATTAAAAATATCACTAACAACACGTCTACAGATGCCTTTGGTGTCGTCGGCTGGTCGATAGGTAAGTTTGTGCTTTGAACCCCAAATCTTTGCCAACCTCGGGCGATCTCCGATTACTACTATCGCCTTTTCCAACGGAGTCTATGCCGCCGAACAGCAGGTTTCAAGTCAAGCTCACTAACGCAATCACACAGGTAACGGCTGGTGCGTGCTTTTGCTCCCGACAATCTTTGCCCGCCTCAACGAGAAGACACTCTACATCTTCGGCGGGGTCAACGTTCTGAGCATCATCGTCGTGTGGGCGCTGTACCCCGAGACGAACCAACGCACGCTCGAAGAGATGGACCTCGTCTTTGCCTGCGACAGTATCTGGACCTGGGAAGCCGAGAAGAACTTTGCCCTCCTCAAAGAGCAGAACCCTGACCTAGTCCAGGCAGCGAAGCGAGGCAGCAGTGTCATCGACCCCGAGACCGGGTTGCCTGTGCCTCGGTCCAGAAGAGCCAGCAGCGCGGCACCGAGGAGCGCGAGCTTCGCCGTGCGAAGGCCCAGTGGGGCTGGAGCAAAGGATTCCAATGTCGTGCAGAAGGATGAGGTCGAGCAAAAGTGAACGGGAAAAGTACCCATACCGTTCTGCAAGGTGTACTGAGCGCGCGTCGTCGTCGTCGTCGTCGTCGTTGGAGTTGTCTTGGTATCTCTCATCATTGCCGGTCACGGTGTTGACGAGGACTATGATCGAGGGGTGCTTCCTTTATCAAAGATACTATATCTATGGCGACGGCCAGGTTGTGTGTTTTCAGAAACCCAAGGTCTTGGACTAAATGAGCAGATATCAGGGGTGGCTCCTTCATCTCGAAACGTCAACCGGAGTATTCGCAAGTGACGTTGGCCAGGAATGTACCGACATGATCCACTGACCCTCGTGCTGATGTGTTTCAGCTTGACAATCGTGCCATACGGGCAACTATGTATTGCATAGAGTGGCTGAGTGGGAGGACGGCGTTGGACGGATAGCAACAAGACTACTTCATAGGATAACATCGAAAAGAGGCGTATTGACAATCTGGAAACTAATAATAATAATAAAGTTCTATTATAGTCTAATTTAGCTCTCTCTCGAGACTATGTAGACTCTAGCAATTTTCAAGGAAAAACCTAAATCTCACCAAGATTCAAGAAAACCTTCGACTCCCTCCCGAGCCGCCTGCATTTCGCAGGCGCCTTTCCTGCTACTCCTTCTGTCGCTTTATAATCACCTTTTCCTTCGATTTATAGAAGGTCTCGTTCTACCACTCAGCATAGTCCCTTAGGGGTGTGTACTCTGATGTCTCTTTCTCTTCTATCTCCCTCGCGAGTCGTAGGTATCTCAGCACCTCTTGTGCGAGCAGTTAGCGAGCCATGTACTTCGCGGCCTTGAGCCTCGAGAGTATCTCGTTAACTCTTTATGTTTCGCAAGCCTGGAGAAGCTTCTCTTATTTGTACTTTCGGTAGTGTAGAAGAACGTGACGTATCGTTTCTGTATATTGGCTATATAAGTATAGCGGGAGTACGCCTGGGACGCCGATTCTTGCTAGCCACCCATTGAGCCCAATTACCTCTATTCTAAGAAGGAACAGTGTTGTCGCTTCAGCTTTCAAGAGGTCTGTGTAGAGTGTGTGTCTATTTAGCTTTTAGTTAATTATCCAGATTATTGAGGAATTAGGACCTCTTGAGGTCGCTTTAGTCTTTTTCTACCTAGCCTTTTAGTCGCGGTCTGTAGCTCTACAGAGAGTTGCCTCTTTTGATGGCAATACTCTTAGGCGGCGGCGATGATACTGTTCGCGTGAGGTTCGCTAATGACTCGTCTCCCCTTCGATATAGATATCTATCTTCTCTTAAACATATTCCCTAGTGAGACATAGAAGCTTCACTTGGCGTTGACATCTCGTTCTAAGACTATTCTATACTCTCTCAGACGCTTTCTGAATACTCTTCTCGACCGGGTTGTATACAGTTCGCAGTGTACTCTTTCTTACTTAGATAAGAGCGATAAGATCGAGTGAGAGTATATATATCTCTCTCTCTAGGGCGGCTTAAGGAGTTCTTTTATACCCCCCTGTTATGCTTCGAAGGTATCTATTCTATATCTTCATTAGTGAACTAATACATAAGGTCAAGAGCGATTCTTATACGATTTATATACTTTATTCCTACAAGCTATAAAGAAGAATTAGCTATATTGTCGCTATATAAAGAAGCCTAGTATTTTATATCGATAGTCCTTAGGTTAATATAGCTAGCTAAGCTAGCGTCTTTAACACTATAAGTCCTTTATAAGCTATATACACGATATACTCTTTCTATATAAGCTTTAGGTCAAGCCACACATTAAGGATCTTAATCACCTTTTATTTCGAGGCAATTTTCTGTCCTGCAATCTAGATACTATTTATCTATAGATCACCAATGAGTCGCCTACTCTTCATGAAGTGAATAAGCTAGTATTTCTTTGAGATAAATTTCACCTCGTGACTCTCTGCCTATTTCTCACATTCTTGATAAACTATATTTAGTCTATAACAATTATACTCCTCGCTTAAACCCTACGCGATAATATTTATATTGTCGATAAAGCCAAAGCCCATAGTGTTGTCTTATCTATTGATAAGGCTTTCGAGAAGCCTCGAGATATAGAAGAGAAATAGAATCAGCGATAGAGGGAAGCCCTACGAGATACCCATTTTGGCGTCTATTCAGTCACTCTCGTGCCCTATATATATAATCCGCGTGCGCCTCCCAGATAGGAAGCTTTAGACGGATTTAACTAGCCATTCCAAGAAGTCCTTTCTCGTGAGGATATCAAGTAGTGTGTTGTGAGGCACATTGTCAAAGGCCCCCGCGATATCAAGACTTAACATCGATACCACGCAGTCTAGCCACGCCTGCCACACACGCTCCACGCAAGCCGTTATGAGGCCGATGGCTGAGAGCGTTGATCTGTCCCGGCGTCCACCCATCTGGTTCCAGGGGAGAAGGTTATGTTCCTCGGCGGCGTCCGTTATGCGGTTAGCCAGCGCTTTCTCTGCGAGCTTCGCTAGAGTATTCTCAAGGGCTATTGGTCTATACGCGCCTGGGAGGGAGTAGTCTTTCTTCCCCTCCTTCCTTAGGGCGAGAGTTATAGACTCCTTTATCTCCCTAGGGAGCTCCCCTTGCGCGAGAGCCTTGCTTATCGTGTGCGCTAAGCGGCCGTCGATCGTGGGTGAGAGTTGCTTTAGCACTTCATTCGGTATCCTGTCAGGCCCTGGGGCTTTTTGATTTGGGAGCTTGATTATTAGGCTGTGAACTTCGTCCGTTGTCACCTCCTGCTGAATGTTTAGCGCGTTTATCGCGTACTCCTCGCACTCTCTTCGCCTGCTTGTCGGGGGAGGGAAGAACTTCGCCCTGAGGATTTCATCTTTCTGGGCAATCTGGAAACTATCTAACTAACTCAGAAAAAGCACTTTTGATTGCATTCTCGCTTGATCTCATTTCTTGCCAATTTGTCTCATGGCCGCCAAGAACTTTTCCTCGTTGGACAACGCCTTTTCAACCTTGGGAGGAGTCGCGGGCACAGCCTGCGCCGTCCTCGCTCGCATTGCCTTCAAAAATTGATCCTCAAAGAGATGCTTGGACGTCTCTTGATAGATCTCCTTGTTCGTCTTGCTCATGCTTCCACATTCAGGGCAGCCCTTTGGGAACGTTCTTGCCGAGTACACATGTCCTTTGCCGCAAACCTTTGGCGAGCCAACCTCATAGTTACCCCACAGCTTCTCAATTTCTCGGACACCACGGTACTTGATCTTTGGGACGTTCAAGGTGTCTGCCAGGAGCGCTGGGCGCTCTAGTGCCTGCATGAAGTCGGTGGCAGTCTCTAGTAAGAGCTTGTGCGTGTCCGGGTAACGCTCGCAGATGTCCATGACTTTGCTCAACTTGTTCTTGAGGGTGGCCGAATCTTCGATCGAGGTCGGATCACTTCGGACTGAACCACCCAAAACATCCAGTCTACATCTTGTAGCTATGGCAAAGAGGCCAACCCGGATTTGGTGCAGGCGCAGCTCAGCGTCGATCAAAGGACTGAGTTGAATGCGGCCGTTCTTCAGGATTTCTTCGTAGCGGTCAGCATAGGCCACTGACTCTTTGTAGGCGTATTCCAACATGGTCATTCCTTGTCTCTGAACGCCAAAAGACGGATCGCGTAGGTCGAGGAGATGCCCAGCCATCTGCAAGGAGTCTGCGATGCGAATACCGACAATGCGGCATTCCAAAACGTCGCAACGAAATCGAAAGGGCATTTCATATGTCTTTGCAATGTTCGGAAACGATTCGCTCACTTTGGAAATCTGAGACTGGATATGATCGACAACTTCGTTGCGGAACTTGACAATCTGCTTTTGGAGGTCGAGGGCATCTTGATCCCGGCGGAGAATGAGGTCAGTATTTGCTTTTGCTGCCATTGGATTTGGCCTAATATTCTCAACACTTCGATAAAAATTGTCAGCTAGTTCTATTCCGGCAGTGTCGATTCTGGTGGCATGTTTTTGCAAAATGCGACTCATTTTCGATACAAGCCCATCAAGGGTAGCTTCGAACTTGACAAGTTTTGCGATATTTTCGTATCGGTGTGTTTTGGTGCAAGGCTTGCCACACGGACACACGGGTAGGCGAAGGTCGATGGGAAGGGCTTCTGAGTTGATTGATAAGAGTGTGCCTTCAGGCGTAGACTCATATGCGGACTGGAGATTGAGGCTGTCTAGCTCAAATACATCGACTAAATGACGGCAATCAGGAAGGTAGAGCATGGGGTTGCACGGAACTAGGCCAGAAGCACAGGTCGGGCACAGTTCCGCTGGTAGACAAACCTCCCCGTGTAGAGAAGGACAAGGGTGTCCACATGACAAGACTATAAATGAGTTAGTCGCGTAATGACAGACATCATACAAGAAGATCTCTCACTTTTGGGACAAGGTAAGCAGCAAGGTAAAGAGGTGCTGGGCAAGCAACACAACACGTCTGATGAGTTCTCATGTTCACATCCAGGCTTCGCCAGTTTGATGCAAGGCTCACAGGTGTCTGAACAACGGCCTTGACATGGACCGTGTTCGCAAGAATCTGAACAAGGCTCTGAACATGATGTCGGGCAAGGTTTCCCAGAGTGGCAATCCAGTTTGCAGACATGACCACAAGGTTTCAATAGTCCACATTTCACAGGGCAGGGTTTGTGGCTCTGTTTCTGCTGACAAGTACCGCATGAAGCCACGCACTGATGGCCGCAAGCCATGATTGCCGAGCATCGAGCAGAGCAGAAGTCTTTTTGCTGTGGATCATCACCACATAGAACCGTCAAAGTGTGGCCACACTGTAAGAGGGTTTGCGACATCAACACTTTGCATTTTGATACTTTCCCAGAACAAAGAGACGTGCCGCGATGTCCACATGCAAGGACAATATCTCCTCTAGATGAATCACATGTTCCACAGTCTTGATAACACAGTTTTGTGCAAGGATGGCCGCAGGGAAAGACCTTCAAACATTTGTCTTGACAGGCCATACGTTCGTGGAGGCGTGGCGGGTGGCATGTCTGATTGCAATCATGGCCACAGTCCAAGCGTTGGCCGCACACGGCAGCACAGATGGGGACCAGCTGAAAGTCAAAAGGCTGCTGGACAGTGTAACAGTGTTCTGGGTGCGTACTGCAGCGAGTCAACAGTGAAGCACCCACTTTCCCATCAAAGGCAGAAATGACTTGCCTCCACAGTGGTACTTGTGACAAGGTCTGAGTGTTTCCGATTATGTAGAAGCCATCTCGTGCCCTGCTACACGCCACATTGATACGATTGATACTGTTGAGAAAGCCTGCGCTGCCTCCGCTTCGAACCGTGCTCAGAATCACAACCTTCGCTTCTTCACCTTGAAAGTTATCGACAGTGGCAATCCTCAACATGTCGGACATTGACACTTTGTCCTTGGCTGCTCTGCGTTCAGGAGCTAAGCCAACTAATTCTTCATCGAAGAGTAGCTGATGGTCGTTTTCGCTGAGCCAGACGTTACATGTGACGGACAGTCGATCGTGAAGCTTAGCCAGCTGGCCCGAGTACGGAGTCAGGACAGCAATATCGCCGAGGTCATATGCACCTCCACGCAGTAGGTAAGTGACTAGTCCAGCCACCATCTCGACTTCGTAGGGATTGACGTGAGACTTCAGATGGTCAGCTTCCAGCTCCGGAATACGATGATCCCACCAGTACATTCTGTGTACAAGTCCAAACGTGGGAGGATTGTCAAGCGTGGATTCGTGATTTTTCAGGTAGGGATATATGATGCGCGCTATGTTGGCAATCTTTGGATGCATGCGACGCTGGATGTTTAGATGACAGGATGCAACTGCGAAAGTTGATGGGTCTTTGGGCAGCATTAGACGTTCCAAGAGTGATTCATCGAGTCGGTAGTCCATGCCAATCTGTGTTTCCAATGCAAGCATCTGCTGTTCCGTCTCAGGTCGCAATTGTAGAGGATCACCAATCAAGATTGCATGTTGGACGGTCGGCAGCAGTGAGCACAGTGTGTGTGCTTCCATAACCTCTGCAGCCTCTTCGCCTATGGTTATTTCGATCCCAACAGACGCCAACTGTTTCCATCGTGTCGCGCATGCTGTAGTCGTCATACCAATGACATTACAACCACCCATGATTTTGATGTCTTTCTCACAGCTCAACTCCATGGCGGATGCGTTCAGCTCTTTGTACTCAAAGTGGAGATCAGTAAGCTTAGAAGCAAGTCTCTCGGTGTCGACTTCGCTCTCCCACTGACCCAGGAGTACCTGACGTTCAGAATACGGTAGGTTCCAGATGCTACTATCACCAGAATGCTCGGTCTGCTGTTTGATAAATTGGGAGACCTCTTGTAGAATGGTATGGCTATCTTTGGTAGAGCTGCGGTCACGTTCTCGTAGAACTTCGTTGAGTCTCCTCGCAAGCTCAACGTGTAAGTCCCGGATAGTGTCGAGATCGCCGCCTCCACACCAATGCTCGAACGCGAAGGACTTTGCGTAAGCAGATGGTGCGTTGGTTGATAGCTGTGCATGGATACTGGGATATTTCTCATATAGAATGTATTCGACATATTGCCATGGCACCTTCCCAGTGTTGAGCTTCGACGAGATTGCTTGATGAATGTCAGTAAAGCGCGGAATTTGGGGAGCGAAGGGGAAAGGAGAAATCCAAGTACCTTTGCACATGACATCTACATCTCCAAATACCTCCTTCTTGCGCGTTCTAAGGATAGTCGCCTCCGATGAACGATGACCAAAACGAGACTTGCGTTTCAAAGTCTGGAGATTGATGGACTGGGTCCACTTCTCTTTGCTGCCACTGCCAACACGAAGTAAACCTGTCACGCCCGCATCCAGTAGATCCTGGAGGAAGCTGTCGAGTGCGTGATTCGTCAAGCATACCAACAGAATGGGTTTATTTGTTGGCCGCGATGATAGCAAAGCCTTCGTCAGCTGAACACCCAGGAATGTTTTGCCACATCCCGGTGGACCTTGTGTGAGAGCAAGTTCGTTGACTAAGGCATCTCTGAATGCTATAGCTTGTCCCTCATCAAGAGATGTTTCACGCCTCAAGACATCGATCGAAGATGGTCGTAACAACTCTTCTACTGACATGGACTTGGTCCTGTTTGTTGATGAAAGCACAGCGCTGAGATCATATTCGAAGTCTGCATTTCGTGCATAAGCCGGAGGTGGACAATTGACAACAGGAATTGCCCCACTGGGAATGTTTTGTTTCATTCGTGATGTGGCATCCTCAGGGGTGATCGTTGGGGCAATGTATGTTTGGAATGCGAAGTCGGTCTCCCCCATCTCTTGCAATCTCTTCAGACAGTTGTAGAAGCCTGCAAAGAGAACCTTTGGGAATTCAACCAGTGCCAACTGAGTCTCAGTGGAGAGTCCAAGAACATGACGACTCAATTGCAAGACATCCTCGCGGGTAGAAGTTGGTAAGAAGGACATCTGCACAGCAGCTCGTTCGCCATCACCACCGGCCTTATCCATGGAGAATGTGGATTGTGAGAACTTGACCTCCAGGAAGGAGACTGACAATTCATTCGTGATGAGATCAAGTTGAAGCAAAGCAACAAGCATTCCCTCTGCGAACCGACCCGAACCATACATTCTCTGGCCTTTCATGAATGATGGACAGTGGTAGCTTGCACGAACAAGAAGCCCTTTGTTCTCATGCGCAAGAAGTTCTTCAATCTTGATATCGTGATACAGAAAGAATCTGTGGCCTGACAGTGTCTCACAGAGAATTTGTTCGTGGGAGATAGGCTGAGGCCTGCCATAAGGATCGACCTGTAAGAAGGCTTGCTGGGCCGCCGTGTATGCGATATCTCGGACACTTTCAGTTCTGTCGCAACGCATCTGACGGAATAGGCAATCGAGGTGTCGACCGGGGCCATTTGGTAAGTGGTGTTTGTGACGTAGATCTTTCTTCGGCATATACACAGGGCAGTCAACTGCTAAAATCTCGTCAGGGGTTGGCAGTATCTGTATCTCTCGGTAGTCTGCTCTATCATTGTCGTGACGCAGGCCGGGACCGGCGGGGTCATCGTAGAGTTCGCTTGTGAATCTGAGAGGAGGGCGAGGCGCGGCGCGCAGGGTGTGAACATGGTGATTCAACGGCTCTTCAGTCCAAGCGAGATAATCGCGACGAGCTTTGATGGTCGCCATGCTGGACTAAGCCCATTGATAAATATGCATGTGTGGTGGTGAGATCGAATGTGTGCATCGCGAAGTTCATCCTTACCTCTCCTCTGTGAATGTCTCGCGACAAATCCGGACATGTGCCTTGGCGAAAGATGAGTGCAGCCGGTAGAATTGTGGCCAAACAGATACTGAAGGGACTTAGTATGTCCAAGGACTAGATAAGATTGATGAATGGTTTGTGCAGGGTTGTAGCCTTTGAGCACTCGTGCGAGATTCCTTGTTCGTTGTTCATCAGCACAATGCATCTGCGTCGTGCTTGTCTCATAACCACCAAGAAATCTATCGCCGTAATGAAATCTCAAGCTGCGAGTCTGCCCCCAAGACATTGCATCTACACACACTCCTTTCCTTTGGACCCCTCTTTAGTTGATCCCATCAGCCCAGCACGGATGAGAACATGGACCGATCATGGACGATGTTCTCCTCAACCAGCCTCACCAAGGCCATCTCCGTACTTACACTTCTATGTCTGTGACTGAGTCCTTGAACATGATCCATAGACGACCCAATGTCGAGACTGCGATACACGCGTCCTTGACGGGACCAAATTGATCAACAAGTGTTTTGGACAGATGTACTGAGACACTCTGCAGAGGTGTCGGAGAGAATACGTCTGGCATGAGCCAGTGGCTGCTCTCAACCAGATACTATCCCTTGTACTTCATAGGTATTAATGAATCAATGCTGGTAACGGGTATGACTTCCTTGCGCATCAGCAGCGATTCATGACATTTCCAGATCCGCTGTAGTCGTTCCCCGGCATTCCCCGAACCCAGTGGCTGAATGTCTTGCTGTCTTTGCCCTCCAACAACATGTGCAAATCCTCTCTTTCGGGAGGTAAACGTATTCCGTTGCCTGGTTTGGGGTACAAGGCCGCGTGCTCGTCGTAGTAGCCATCGTAACCTTCATCGACAGCATCTCCGCCATCCGCGTCGCGCGAGGTGGGCGTATCAGTTACCGGAGTGACATATGTAGACGTAAACTGAGCCTGAGGAACTGTACTTGGCTGAGCTGGTGTCACAAGAGTCTGGAAAATGGGTAAGTCAGGCGCGAGATCTGACGCATGCATCAGGAGTGAAATCAAATTCTCTTTGGACAATGTGTGCAGATAAGCCAGCTTCTGGTCAGGTAGTAAGAATCGTCCACCAACTCGAGTCCCTGCGTAAACCGGCGTGGGTGGAACTACTGGGGGGACAGGCGCGACCTTCGTTTTCGTGTTGATCTTCTTCGCCTTTTTGCCATGTAGAATCCGGTCACATTCAGTGCAATACCATTCAGCCTTGGCGTCAGAGACTGTCTGTTTAGATATTTGAGGATCATGACATCTCTGATGCCAGCATTTATTGCATGCATCACAAAAAACGATGACGTTGCCTGGCGGTCCATGCCCTCGCAAGCAATGCTCACAGAGAGCGAACTGTTCACGGCCTCGATAAATTCTCCTCTTAATCTTGGGGTGAGTTTTGGCGGAGGCCGATGGGGTGGGAGTGTGATTGAAACCAGCTCGCGAAGGCTTGCTCGGGCTTGCGCTAGCTGTATTCTCATTGGTCAAATTGACGGGTTTCTGCGTTTGGCGCCCTGACCTTGTGTGCCCAGTTGGATTGTACTCTTCCGAAGACTCTCGAGATTGGGTCGTAGCTGAATCCGCCGTTGTTGACCTGGCATTCATCGTGTTTCCATCGGCACTCTTGCGCTTCTTGCTTGGTTGCTCCAAACCCCCAGTGGATGTATCTGGTGCAGCCAAAGGGATGCCTTCATGTGATTTGTCTTTCGTAGTTCGTGGACCCCGTTTGACGCCCGGTCGGCCCCTTCCCAACCCTTTGCCAGACACAACAGAGCCGTCGGAAAGAACGTATTGCTTGCTCTTGCGAGTCGACGAATCATTGTAAATCTCTTCGGAGACACCAGAAGTGGTGGGCCTATTGATGGACGTATTCGTGCCGTCCGCGTTGTTCGCCACAGAGTCGGTGGTATGTGCGAAGGAAGGCATCGCACCGGATGGGGGGAGCGCCGCAAAGGAGCCCCTTGAATGGCGGAAGTCAGGGTCGCTATCAGTATGCAACTCGTCCTTATCGAGCTTGTACACCGTTTGATCATTGGAATTGATATCACCGGTACCTTCCCCGTTCGATGTCCCCCAATCTAAAGAAGGAGGAATCGTATGGCCGTGGGGCAAGATGTTGGGGGAAGATCCTCTGCGAGGCCCGCTAGCACCAGCTTCAGAAACTACGAAATGGGAAGCATTGGATGAATGCTGGCTGGAGGCGGCGTGCTGGACGATTATGGTTCCTTCCAGGGTATTCGGGTTGTCAAAACCACTCGTGACTGGTACTGATGAAGATGCGGTGGCTTGTGAAGTTCCAGATATCAGCGGATGAGGGTTGTTGTCCGCAACATTGCCATCTTCTATCTTGAAATTCGAGGTAGAATCTGGGTTTTCTGGAGGGGTAGCCATGACAGGTTCTTGGGCTCGAAGCTCGAGGTTTCGCAGCAAGGAGATGGAGGGGCAACGGATGAGGTGCCAGTGTGAAACGATGCGAACATCAGGTCTGCCAATTTCTCGGATGGTATCCTAGATGGCAGTTCTGAGGAGAATCGAAACGTATAAGCCGTCAACCACTGACATCTGTGCGCCTCTCATATGCCAGCTGTCGACTATCTCTACAGGACATCGAAAATTGAGAGGTGGCCGCGCCGAATTGGGGCGGATTGGAACTAACACGTGACTGACCGCGGCTTACCTAATGCATGAACTATGCCTGTTGCGGCTGGCGATCTTCTCTGTCATGGTGTCACTTCAGACTACGCACAAAACGCGCATCGTCGACAGGTATCAACGAATAGATCGATATGCCTTCCCCCGTCTTGCCCAATCTAAGGAGAATGTCCTCTTCTTCTGGCACATTACGCACAAAATGCGCAATCGCTGAGTTTAGAAATACCAAGATGATTGACCAGCCATACTTTCCTCGTTTCTCTTCATCCTGTGGTTATCTTCGTTGCCAATCTGACGTCTACAGCGCCTCCTTCCCAGAACCCATCTTAAAGATTGAGTGTCTGCACCTCAAACAGTACTTACCGTCGACGAGGCATCATTATTCAAGCCATGGCCTTCGTCTCTACATTCTTAGTGTCTAACATCCACTGTCCTTCCTGCGTTACCTATGTCCAGGATGTCCTACGTGAGATACCCAACATCCACTCAGTACAAATTTCGTTAATCGATCAAACAATCCGTGTGAAACATGCGCATGACAAAACACGGGACCTCATCACCAACGAGCTGCTGAAGGCAGCATTCGAGGTTCAGCATGTTACCACTGTGGGAGAACACGGCGTCAAGACGCGTGATTACGATGTGTCACCACCTCCGGTAAAGGCTTCGTTAGGACGGTCAAAATGGCTCATGTCCCGCGCGCAACGCAAGCATATCGAAAATTGCAAAGCATGTCAAGGCAAAAGAGAGAGGACTTCTGTTAAACGACGGCCCTGGGCTGCAATTACCCGGCTAAGGCGAATGGATACACGCCATTCGAAGCCTCCAAAGTCAGAGGATACTGCAACATCTGACGATATATTGGTGGAAGACCATCCTGCTGTGATAGGTTTTGATGGTACCCACGAAGGCCAGGATCACGCCGACTATGTTGCGACGATTGTCATTGGGGGTATGACCTGCGCTTCATGCAGTGGGAATATAACAAAAGAATTGAACGACCTCGACTTTGTACAATCTGCTGATGTTAGTTTGATGACTAATAACGCCAGAGTGGTTTTCTCGGGACAAAAGGCTCTGTCAGCAAAACTCGTTGAAGCGATTGAGGATATTGGCTACGAGGCCTCGATTGAAGATGTTGTCCCTCTCACGCAAAACCGGTCCGCTTCGGAGGTCGGAACCACAGAGTTCAGAGTAACCTTGAGCATTGACGGCATGTCTTGTGGCAGCTGTGTCGGTACCATTACTCGAGGTCTTGAAGAGCTCCCATTCGTACGATCAGTCAACGTCGATTTACTTGGTCATCGTGGCGACATTGTTTTCCTGGACAAGCAAAATGTCGATGCGGTATTGGCCACGGTCGAAGCCATGGGCTATGATGTAGCTGTGGTGCGACTGGAATCTAATAACGCCACCGTAGAAAGCATCCCGTCCGAGAGAACAGTACAGATCAAAGTCGAGGGGATGTATTGTGAACTTTGTCCGGACAACATCGTAGCTGGCTTACAGAGTGTTCTACCAGCTAAAGACGATTCAACCTATACCATATCACACCTGCCAACACTTCGGAATCCCGTTCTTACTATTAAGTATCGGCCAGCCCCTCCCGAAATCTCGGTGCGCAGTTTCATCTCGGCCATCAACAAGTCAGACCCTGCATTGAAGGCCAGCGTCTATCATCCTCCCACGCTTGAGGAACGGTCGCGCCGACTTCAACGACGTGAACAGAAAGCTATTCTACTCCGACTGGCGTTCACGGCTGTTGTCGCGATACCAACTTTCATTATTGGAGTGGTGTACATGAGCCTTGTACCCAAATCTGATCAGACCAGGCGGTGGTGGGAAGAGCCGATTTGGGCAGGCAACGCAATGCGAATGGAATGGGCATTGTTCTTTATGACCACTCCAGTCATGCTTTTTGGAACGGACGTTTTCCACAGGAGAGCCTTGAAAGAGATCCGATCTCTGTGGAGACGATCTAGTAAAGTGCCTATCCTGCGGCGGTTCTATCGGTTTGGAAGCATGAACTTGCTGATCAGTGCTGGAGCTGCAGTGGCCTACTTCTCATCCCTGGCCGTCCTGATTATGGACGCAACGTCTCCTCGAGATATGGAGAATCACCGCTCGACTGATACATATTTTGATACGGTCACATTTCTGACATTTTTCATTCTGATTGGACGTTTCTTGGAAGCCTACAGCAAAGCCAAAACGGGTGATGCTGTCGCCATGCTGTCCAAACTACGACCCTCGGATGCTTTACTGGTGGAGAGCAACACACAAGAAGGCCTTGAACATGCGCAGACCACCATCTCCTCGATCCCGGTGGATCAATTAGAACTAGGCGATGTTGTCCAAATCCCACATGGCGCGTCACCGCCCACCGACGGCATTGTCGATCAGGAAGGAACATTCTTATTCGATGAGAGCTCTCTTACTGGAGAGTCAAGACCTGTCAGAAAGTCCTCTGGTGAAGAAGTGTACACCGGTTCACTAAACATCGGTGACCCTGTACGAGTCAGAATCACCGAGGTTGGTGGTACATCGATGCTCGACAAGATCGTCAATGTCGTCCGTGAGGGTCAAGCCAAACGTGCACCCATTGAACGAGTTGCAGACATTATCACGGGATACTTTGTGCCGGTTATCACTCTCCTAGCCATTATTACTTGGGTCATCTGGTTGGGCTTGGGTGAGTCCGGGAGACTACCACAAGCATGGCTGGACGTCCAGAAAGGGGGTTGGCCATTCTGGTCCCTCGAATTTGCAATTGCTGTTTTCGTGGTCGCTTGTCCCTGCGGTATTGGACTAGCAGCGCCAACTGCACTCTTTGTTGGTGGTGGTCTTGCGGCTAAACATGGCATTCTCGTCCAAGGAGGTGGCGAGGCATTTCAAGAAGCTTCAAGACTCAACACCATCGTCTTTGACAAGACGGGGACGCTGACTGAAGGGCAGATGAGGGTAACAGATGTTCAGTATCTCGGCCAAAACGGAAACATCGTTCCCGATGTAGATTCAAACGTGGTTCTGGCAGCATCACGCATTCTCGAAGAATCCAGCACTCATCCCATTGCTAAAGCTATCACACAGTACTGCGCAGAGCACGCACGAGATTTGGAGATACAGTCTGAGGAGATCAAAGAAATGCCCGGGCAAGGCATGACGGGACGTTTTAGCGTCAAAACGGGAGCGAGTTCTTCACTGTACGAGGTGGGACTGGGAAATGAACGACTCCTCAGGACAATCGGCACGCAATACACGTCCTCGAGGTCATCCTCGGCCCCAAGCATGGAGGAAAAGCAAGCTGTCACAAATGACTATTATTTCGATCAACTTTTGCAAAGGCATCAAACGTTGGGTCATTCAATTGCCATTGTCGCCATGAGGAGGATCTCGAACCAGGCAGTAGACGAAAAAGCAGTAGACGAAGAAGGTCCGCCCGAGGCATACCTACCTGTGGCCATCTTCGCTATCGCCGATCCCGTGCGGAACGAGGCACCACGCATATTGAAGTCGCTTCAAGACTCTGGAGTGGACGTACACATGTGTACTGGAGACAACCGAATCACGGCCCTTGCGATCGCATCGCAGCTGGGCATCCCAGTCAGCAATGTCCGGGCTGGTGTCCTTCCACAAGACAAGGCAGCCTATATTCAGGAGCTGCAAGGCGTGTCTGGGTCTAGGAATCCTGGCAAGACCTCATCCCGCCAGATTGTGGCATTTGTGGGCGATGGAACCAATGACACTCCCGCTCTTGCAGCTGCGGATGTATCAATTGCCCTCTCATCTGGGTCTGACGTGGCAATCACAACTGCTTCTTTCATTCTGCTCAACTCTGATCTCAGCACAATCCTGTCTCTTGTGAGGCTGGCGAAACGTGTTTTTCTCCGCGTCAAACTCAACTTTGCGTGGGCAGCAGTATACAATCTGTGTCTGGTTCCTGTGGCCGCGGGGGTGTTCTACGCCATTGGAGCCAACCATGATCATGGAGGATGGAGATTGGGACCTGTCTGGGCCAGTGTGGCGATGGCAGCCAGCAGTGTCAGTGTTGTCACCAGTAGCTTGGCACTGAAGCTGCCGGAACTGAGCTGGGGAGGTGGACGTCGTTGATGCAATGATGGGAGATGGAGTATCCGTATTCCTACAAGTAATCTGGGCTGACAAGGCCTGGAACCACAATACCCGCGTTAGCCACATACAGAGTAGCGATAGTCGCCCAGGTGATTCCTGGGGGCAAGCTGGGCAACTCCCCGGCACAAGTACTTGGTGGGACGAGTAGATAAGGTAGATACCCTCTGGGTAGCCTGATACAATATGAATTAGACAAGAACCAACAGAGAGGAATCCGAAACTTGCGTCTGCCATCTCGTAAGGCCGCACATCCTGGATACTGTTGCTCGGTATTGTTGTAGATCACAGACGACTTGGGCGATGGCATGTGAATCGACAGGTGGGAGGAGAATCAGGGGCTCCGAATTTCCAGCCTCAGCTCGAGCATGGCTGGATCCCGTTGCAGAACAGCTGGCCAGATTACGAGTAGACTTTGCTCGTCTACTGTTCGCCTGTGATCCAGTGCTCGCGCGATCGCCGCGTCAGTGCGAGGCTACTGCAGATTGCCGGCGGTAGTGGCTTTTGGGCGACGAAATGATTGGGCTTGTCGGGCTTCTTGATGTCACTGAATTGGCTGCCAATTCCCCAGCTGTACAAGGGGCCGCAATTTGACATCATAAACACTCGTCGCCAGCTGAAAAGAAGAAGGAAAAAAACAATCGCCGCCGTCGCCCGTCGAGTGTGTACGGAGTACGAGGGGAGAAGACGCAAATACACACACGGCAGTGACACCACGACGCCCACTCGCCACTCACCACACACAGCACACGCAGACAACACACACAGCGCTCTCAGCCTGCGCCCAAGAGTCTCCGCCCAAACTCAGGACTTCTACCGCACGCCATAATCCACTCACTCTCCCCTTTGCCCCATCCAGCATCGAATCTGGCCGTCAAGCCACCCCAAAACCTGGCCTGGCCCTTTCAACTTTGTCTACAGTAGAGTGTCTGCCGTCTGCTCTTACTGCGTCATTGTCTCTCGATCGAGCAGGTCCCTGAAGAAGGACTTACACCGTGCTACGACGTGCCATCATCGGCCCTATACGTGTATAAACACCTCTCTTCCAGATCTGACGCATCTTCCTGTCCTGTAACCCATTTTCCATTCGCTGGGCTCTTCCTCTTGTCATCGATGCCCGCTTCCTTCTCCTGCTGCTAGGGACTTCTGTTTCTACCGTACAGAAGAACACACCGGCTCACCACTCTCACCACTGTCACTACGGACCATGGATTCAACCATCAATCACATGTTGTATGCGCGCCAGGTAAGTAACTTATGATCTCCTTGTCCAGTGCGATTAGCATCCGCTCACCTTGCTGTGTAGTCGCAGGGCAGCAATCGTGAAGGTGGCTCGAATTCCCTCTCTGGTATTTTGTCTACCTTGATCCCAACGCTGATCATCGCCGTTGTCGCGTTCTCTGCCTTCCTCTTCGTTCGGTCTCGTTATTCGCGGGTCTACCGACCGCGATCGGATGAAAGGCTCTTCCAGGAGGGATGGCAAACTCCCAAGTCCGACTCAAGCTTTTTCGGCCTGATCAAGAACCACTCGACGCTTCCCGACAGCCATGTGCTCAGACACAACTCGCTTGATGGATACCTGTGGCTCCGATTCTTCAAGGTCCTGATTGCCATGTGTCTTGTTGGATGCATCATCACCTGGCCCGTCTTGTTCCCTGTCAATGCCACTGGCGGCGGTGGTCAACAGCAATTGGACATTCTGAGCATGTCCAATGTCAAGCATCCCAATCGGTACTTTGCTCATGCGATAGTCGGATGTATCTACCTAGGCTTTGTGGTTCTCTTGCTCGCGCGCGAGCGGATCAACTTTATCGGTCTTCGACGAGCATTCTTCCTTTCGGCTGCTCACGCTCAACGACTCTCATCACGCACCCTGATGGTCCTTGGGCTGCCTCTTGAATATCAAGATGAGAAGGCTCTCAAGGAGATGTTTGGGCCCTACGTTCGCAAGGTCTGGCTCGTGACTGATTGCAAGAAACTTGAGGACGATGTCAAGGAACGAAAGAAGACGGGGCTCAAACTCGAAGGCGCCGAGATGAAGATGATCAAAAATGCAAACAAGCTTCGCAACAAGACCCTCAAGAAGCAGACCAGTGACACGCCAACCGAACAGAATGCTCTTCATTGGATTGATCCTAAAAAGCGACCCCAGCACCGTCTGAAGCCCCAGTTGTGGAAGAAGGTCGACACCATCAACTGGTCTCGTGGCACTCTCGTTGAGCTTGATCGATTTGTCAAAGAGCAGCAAAGCGAGCATCTCGACTTGAAGCATACGAAGTTGCCGGCCGCCTTTATCGAATTCTCCAACCAATCTGCTGCACACCACGCCTACCAAAGCATCGGCACCGGCTCCTTGAACAAATTCAATCCCCGCTACATCGGTGTTCAACCGGATGAGGTCGTGTGGAAGAATCTCAGTGTCAGCAACGCTTCTCGCAAAGCCAAATTGCTCGTTGCAACGGCTGTCATCTCCGTCATGATCATCTTCTGGGCCATTCCTGTTGCCTTTGTGGGCTCATTGTCCAACATCAACTATTTGACCAACAAGGTTCATTTCCTGAGTTTCATCAACGACATTCCCAAGGTCATCCTCGGTGTCGTCACTGGTCTGCTCCCCGTAGTCCTACTAGCCATTCTCATGGCTCTGGTCCCCATCTTCTGTGCTCTGCTTGCAAAACTGGCTGGAGAATCCACTCTTTCAGCCATTGAGCTCCGAACTCAAAGCTGGTACTTTGCCTTCCAAGTGGTGCAGGTCTTTCTGATTACGACTTTTACTTCTGGTAAGTTTTGAGATCCAAGATAAACACAATACAATGCCCGGAAGCTGACAATACGTAGCGGCCACTTCGGTGACCACCCAAATCATCCAGGATCCTGGCTCCGCACCAACGTTGCTGGCCACCAATCTGCCCAAGGCATCTAATTTCTACATCAGCTACTTCATTCTGTTTGGCCTTTCTAACGCAGCCCTACAACTCCTCAACATAGTACCCCTGTTGATGTACACCCTGGTCGGCAGACTCCTGGACAGTACTCCTCGAAAGAAGTACAATCGCTACATTAGTATCCCGGGCCTGGGTTGGGGTTCAACCTACCCCAAGTTCACCCTCCTCGGGGTTATTGCGATCTCATACGCCTGCATCGCACCCTTGATCCTTGGTTTTGCAACCATCGGCTTCTGCCTGCTCTATCTCATGTTCAGATACAACTTCCTTTTCGTCATGGGCAACAAGACCGACCTGAAGGGTGAAGGCTATTCAAAGGCACTGAAACATCTGATGACAGGTGTTTACCTCGCCACGATTTGCTTGATCGGTCTGTTCGCCATCGGCTGCAGCGATGATGCCATCAGTGCCGGTCCGTTGGCCATTATGGTTGTGTTCCTTGTGGTGGTGATCATTTTCCAGTTCCTGCTTGACCGCGCCCTGTCACCTCTCGAGAAGACGTTGCCATTGGAGCTGTTGCAAGGCAACAAGTTCAGCACCACTGTCGTCGAACAGATCATGGACGAGCACGAGATGAAGCAAGATCAAATGGAAGCCGGATCAGCCAGTCGTGGCAACTCGGTCCCCGAGTTCGTAAAGTCCGAAGGCGAGGCTCCTCAACCCAAGACCAAACCTTTCAACTTCTTGAGCCGACGTCTTGAGCCTATGCTCCTCAAATTCTACGAAGCCAACAAGAGCATCGTGCCAGCCGAGAATGACCATAATATTCCGGCGTACACGTCGGAAGAATATGAGCAAGCATATCTCAACCCGGCCATCACATCACCTGCTCCCATTGTCTGGCTTGCCAAAGATCCCGCTGGTGTGAGCAAGATTCTGGTGCAAGAGAACCGAGAAGCTGGCATTGACAGCACGGATTCTCATGCCGAACTCGATGAGAAGAACAAGCTTGTCTGGAATGAGGATGAAGTTCGTGAGGCACCATTGTGGCAAAGACCTGTACGGTATTAATCTCGTCGAGGTGTTTGTGTCTGCTAAGTAGGTGTCTTGTCGACTCTACCGGATACTGGTCAGCGACGAAGCGAATGAGTTTTGTTATGTGCAAATGGGATTGCATGGCGATTACCTTGGTATTGAAGGTAGCAAGCAATAATTAATCAACGGAAACAATTACCAAAGCCGAAGTTTTTTCGGGACATGGGGAGGGATAGGGGTTACAAAACAACTAGCGGATATCCAGATACCCTGTTTTCAATGATAATTGACCTAGTGATTAATCAAAGTGGTTGAATTTCTATCAGAATGATGTCGGGATTTGTTTTGCTCGTAGCTGTTGTTGTGTATGCGCGGTTTTTCCTTGTAATCGGGGAATCGCTGGGAGAATCGAGTTGTTTCGGTGTTGCGTCAGGCGTGAGAGATTGTTCAGCGAGATCGAGATCAATAGATTTGGTGGTGTTGCTGGCCTTTTTCTCTCGTACGAAAGAAAGGAGACCTGAAGTTTGCTAAGGGACAGCGTATGAAGGGGTGTTTTTCAATGCACCTGGGCAGAGGAGGTACACACCTCTCCGGTACGAATAGGTCGAGTAAAGTAATCACCATTTGGAAAGCGGGCCAAAACTCTCGCCGACTCCAGTGGCCGATCCGGGTGCCTTAGTCATGCGAGGCGACGCATGTATGTACGACCGGGACGCTTCACGAGCAGTAGACAAAAGTGATCCTTTCTTTGTACACCGTACGAGTACGAAAGAATAGATTATCCAAGGGTACCTTACCCTTCTACTGTACCTACGGCTGCCGTACATACACCGTAAAAGTGCGCTTCTCTGTTTTTTTGTACGGACGTACTCCGTACACGAGGTACTGTACTGTATGTACATCTCTTTTTTAGTGCCTTTTGCGCCCCCTTCAGCCCTTCTTAGCATTTTCCCGGATTACGTGTGCATGCATGTATGCCTGTCGACGAGGGGACCGGCCAGTGTCGCCATTCTGTGCTCCGGGTGGTTCACGACAACTACCCCTTACGTGCGATTATTAGTTAAGCATCAATTTACGAAGAAGGAGAAGTGTTCGGGCAGTTTGAAACGGCCGTGCCTGGTTTTGGCGGAAGGAGAGCAGAGTACATACCTTACGTAGATAATGTATATAAGGAGAGGAGATGTCCCTCTCTGCATCTCGAAACCTACCTATCCTACAATTCATTCTCAAATCTCCACCTGAATCGGAATCGGAATCGGAATCTCAGAAGAGATCTGTAACCTCAATCCCAATCTGCAAGGCACAAAACACCAACGCCCGACTACTCCCCCTCCGTACCCGAATCGACCACAAGCGTCAACAACAAAATGGCAGCCTCAGCAGCGAAAGATTCATCTCGTATCGACCAACTTCTCAAGGCAAATTCTGTCTTTGCCCAAACATGGCCGACTCCTCCGACAATGGTGCAGATGCGCGCCGCGTCAGAAGGTGGAATTCTCGTCCGTATGTCGTATCGTCCTCTTCTTTTTCTTGTTGTTGGCTTGGTGCTGGTCAGCACTGTGACAAAAACACTAACACGCCTCAGTGACATGCATGGACCCTCGTGTCGTTCCGGAACAATTTTTTCCCAATGCTCGGATTGCCGTGTTTCGAAACGCTGGTGGCCGATATAGTCCCGACGTCGTCCGTACCGCCGCGACGCTCAGGAAGTTGATGGGCGATAAGCCAGGGGCAGTGACCACCGTCATAGTCGTTCATCATACCGGTACGTACACATCGAACCCTCCTCAAAACTCGCGGTTACGGTGACGATCAATGTCAACGTCAACGTAAATGCGTACCTACCTTGATAAGAATGTGGAACTGACGAGATCTCTCTGTCTCTTTCTCTCCTTTTAGATTGTGGCATGACGCATCTCACGAACAAAGAAATCCAAGACGATATTGTTGCCAAGTTCCCCGCGGAGGCCGAGACTGCAAAGGCCATCAACTTTGGGTGTTTCACCGGTGAAGATCTTGTAAAGAGCATCAAGGAGGATGTCGAGGCTTTGAAGGCCGAGGAGATCTTGAAGGGTATAGAGATTGTCGGATTTGCATTGGATACCGTGACTGGGCTTTTGAGCGCGGTGTGAATGGGGGGATGAACTGATGAACACCGAGAGACTGTGGACAGTGAGTTGGAGGAGTGCTGAATCCGCTTACGTACTGTAGTGAAGGCCAAAATAAATAGTTGTATTGTGTTGACGAGGCTGAGATTTGACTTACTAAAAGTAAATAGCAGGAAGGGGACGAGGCTGACGACGTCATTTGACTTGTCACTCGCGTTTCGTTGCGCAACAACATTTCATCAGGTTCTCGTACTGTCTTCAAATGGCCATATCACCTCGTCAGGACTTATCAGGACTACGATGAGCACTCCGCTGTTCTTCCTGTGGAGTCAACGAGAATGACACCTGCAGCCTCTTGATGTCGAGCCCCCAGGCGATGTATTATCTCCTCCTCTCGCCCTAAAACCAGCTACTGCGAGAAGAATCATGACCGACCTCGTCGCGTCCACCAACAATGAAGGATCGCGCGAGTCGCTCTTCCAGTGGGCTTGGGTTCGTCAAGTCCTCCTCGCTCCCGTCGCGCGTGCACGTTTCGTATTGACTGGGTGTAATAGAATCTCGCTCTCACACCGGTCCGCATCCTCACTTCGCGTACCGCGATCAAAGCCTACCTTGGCACGCTTCTCTTCTTGATCACCTCGACCGTCCTCCTCACGATATCCTCCACCGCATTCGGCTTCTTCTACTACAACTACATCCCTCAGATCAACCTCGAGCGCGTTCTGTATCTGCAATATGGCGAGGGACCACACCCACACGCGACTGCTGCGCTCGACACCGCCGCTCTCGTATCTCAGCAAGCGTACGACGTCGACTTGATATTGGACATGCCCAGAACACCTATAAATCTCGAAGCCGGGAATTTCATGTTGGACCTGTCGCTCCTCGGGCCCGGAATCAACGTGCGAAACGCCCTGCAAGAGCCCCTGTCGTCGTGGCTCAGCAACATCACCACGGAGAACGTCTTCGCCCGTTCGAGAAGGCCTGCTATCCTGCCATATTCTTCCCCCGTACTTTCCCTCAGCAATACGCTCCTACACCTTCCGTGGCACGTGCTGGGATTCCGCGACCTGGACGCGGCTCATCTGGTTGTGCCAATGTTTGAAATGGTCACTTTCCCCCGCGGGGCACGAAACATCCCAACCCACGCACGACTGGAGGTACAGTCGAGCAGTGTTCTACAAGTGTACGACGCAAAGTTGAGGTTCCGTGCCAAGTTCCAGGGCATGAGGTACCTCGTTTACAACTACCGCATCCCCGCTTTTGTCGTGTTCACGGCGCTATTTTACACCGTCGGTGTGACGAGTATGGGCTTGGCCTGGGCATTGTTGTCGATGCTCTGGTCTAGAAAGGACGATGACGGAGATCGCAAAGTGGTGAAAAGAGAAGGACGCCAGGGTAAAATCAAGCGTGAAGAAGGAGGAGAAGACGAAGGAGGGCCCATGATAAAGGAGGAAGAAGAAGAAGAAACAGACTCGTCGCGGCACGGCTTATCGCTTTCGAATCTGTCAGACACTGCTGCACAATTTCCCACGCGGACGGGCCAGATGCCGTTGAGGTTCCAAGGGCGATCTCCAGTGCCAGATGCTGGACAGGATCAGGAGGCAGACGAGCACTTGACACCTCCACCTGGTCCTGATGAGGTTGCAGATGACGAGGAAGAAGAGGACGCTGCGGAATCAATTCGAGGGAGACGATTCGAGGGCGATTCTGGAATCGGGACAAGTATGGAGAGCGAACATCAAAGTTCAGGCATTGTGAGAAGAAGAAGTTCCAGAGGGCTTTCATCGAGATGAGGACCTGCGTATTGAACCACACTGGCATTTTCTCGTCTGGCTGACTCCCTTCCACCGGGGGTAAGGGAATGTGTGTCAGATCGAGTACCGTTTTGGTCTAGACGTTGAATTTTTCTTTCTCCGCCCACGGGCTCCCAGGACTCTTTTATTACACTCTTGTACGCTTCACTTAGCTGTTGTCAGCCCATACCCAAACATGCTCGTGCTCGTGCTCGTGCTCGTGCTGTCGCTCTCAACGAGTCCGACCATGACCATGCGAGATGTCATCGACCATTCCCGCCATCACCACCAGTCGTTCGTCGTCCGAGTTGAACTGCTGGTCGGGGACGTTGGCTATAATCCTCGCCGGGTGCAGTATACGTCGAGTACTATTTCTCGTCCGCCTCAGCTCACCTCGCCATGTTTTGGGGTCGTGTCCACGACGTCAGCCTCTCGATCGACTTGTCCAATCAGGTTAACGCAGGATGGGGGAGTCTACGAGGTTTCACAACGTCAAAACGCCAACACCGCCGACCACCACCAGCAATCGATCGGGGGGTACGGCACAGTCGATATTGCGAAATGGATGACGTGAGGTCTTGAAGCTTCCTTCGCAAAGAACAAGGCCTTGAGAATGAGGGCTAGGGTTCGGGCCATAGACCGCTTGACAATGAATGTGATGGTGTTTGTTGCTCTCGTCTTTCCAACATCCACCATCAACGTCGATGGGACCACGATCATGGTGTATCGGTGAGGAGCGCCGTATATGAACGGGCCAAGTGAGGCGAGGCGTGCATCCTGGAAGACCCTCGTACGGTGAGTTGTTGTCCCTCGGTCAGGGGATACATCATTATCTGTCAGGGACTTGTTGATCAGGGCCTGGATGGACGAACCGTGACATGTCACACACGCATAAATAGACAAGGATCAGGGAGGGGGGGGGGGGGGGGAAGGGGCGGGTTTGGACGCTTCCCGTGATGTTCTCTTGACAGGTCACCCACCACTCGCCAACGTGTCTCGTCAGCCGAGTTATCAGTAGGTTTGTGGACTTGAGAAATTACCCGAAGGCGAGAGAGAGAGAGAGAGAGAGAGAGAACGATTGATATCGGTTGAAGCCAAATTAAGGTTCAAGTCTAGGATAGGATTACGCGTTACTGTACGTCACGGACCTACAAATTTGTACCTCTGAAGGTGAGGGTAGCTTTACTTACGAATCTAAAAAGAGAGGGGGGGGGGGTTCCCACGTCGATTCTAATAATATCATCACCAACGAGATTATACGAGGTGTCTCTACAAAGGTACACCTACAGAAAGGTCTCCTCCCTTCCAACGGGGAGGTACGCAATAGCCAACGCATCACCACGACGCCCATCATTCTGACCCCCTGTCAGTTTCTATCTTGTACCCACCTACCTGGGACGACACCTACAGCCAGTGTACTCCGAGTGCTTTTTTTTTGGTTGTTTTGCCGAACTGACTCGTCACCGGCACCGACGTCGACTTTCTCTTTTTTCCACCCACAAGGTCTAAGCGTTCTGAGGTCTCGGGCAATTACTGGCGAGACTAGGTAGTTCGCGGGACGAGTCAGGAACTAGACATGTCCTCCTGAAGGTGGTTCTTCTGAGCACCAGGAGAACCATCTACTAGCTACCAAGGCCGTGGCATTTATCTGTGGAAAAAAGGTCCACGCTATGGCGGCGGCTTAGGGTTGTGCAAGACGACAGTCTATCTGACCAGTCTCGTGCATTTGATACATGTTTTCAGTCCTGAGCCTGACGATTCTTCGAGACTGATTCTCAGCCACCTTTATTTTTATTTCATTGTACTGTAACACCATTCTTCTTAGGGTGTCGTTGTGCCCCCGTTGACTTGAAGGCAACGGTGAGGAGGCAATAGATTCCTTGGTCGAGAAAGGGGTTGAGCAGGTTCTCTATTTTGCCTCTCCGTGAGCCGGTGTCATGGCCGGTTGCAGTGCGCGGAAGGCTGGTCACCCCGTAAAAGGTCAAATGGCGTGTTCCCCAGGGAGCGAGTCCATGAGTCTTTAGGTTCGGTCTTAGTTGCAAATCAACCTTGACTTTCAAGCGATCAGAAGTCACAAAGTGGAACCCTTTTTCCGCTCTTGTCCAGGTTCATTCATTCTGACCCTCGTATCAGCACCAACTTCATCTACTTCAAGTCGCCCTCTCGCGGGTGTGTGTCTATCTTGACAATTTTGCTATTATCGTAACAATCAACTTCCGCCGCGAGAGGGTACAGAAATGCCATGAGGTCCTTAACAACAACAACGCAACCCCCTCTTTCGAAAGTGGCACGTACATCTTCATATCAACCTCTCTTCGTCGAACTTACGTGGCTCCATGAATATTTTAGATGCCTTTGACTTCGTGGCCGAGAATCCTGCTTTTTGCTGTGTGTGCGGCTCTTCTTGGGCTGTTGAGCGCGTACATGGGCTTCGGGATGACAGGGTCGTCGCCTCAGCTTGGTGCCAGCAGCATCAGAAGCAACAGCACAAGCAACAGCACTCTCCGCAACAGAGAAGCTGCAGTTAAAACACCGTCACACTCTCAAGCTTCGGTGTGTGTAGTGAACCCCCAGGAGGACTGGCTCGCACAGTCGGTAAATCATACTCTACCGACCACCAACCTGCTCCTGGTCTGCCCTCGGGTTGCCGATGTTCTTGTTCGAACAGATCCGCCGGTGGCTTTCTCGCAGCAGCTGCGTAACTACCTTGGATTCCACCTTCGACAGAGGTTTGATTCTGGTTCTGTTTTTCTGGAGTGGATTTTCTTCCTCAAGGACCACGACATGCTCTTCGGACATTCACAGGCATCTCTCAGGAAATTCCTGGCCACGGCTCCCGAACAGGTCAGTGTCCTATCGTTTGGACATGGCAGGAGAGATGACGCTCTGGGTCTCTTCGCAGTTCGAATCGACGAATGGAGCCTTGGTCTGCTTGATGCTACCGCGCAGATACTCGATGAACGGCCCCGCGCATTGACCGAAGCTGAGGCACTGACGATCGCTCTGGCTTTGGTGTCAACGTCTTCTTCTTCAAAGCAAGAACCACGCAAGGTGGCCTATGTCCCGCAATGGTGGCTCGACGTCAGAAGTAGTTGCATCGAAGACGCTACATGGGAGTCACAATTTGGGATCGACCATGTCGTCACACCGGACAAGCTGTGCAGCGCCTCAGATCATTGTCAGGAGGCGGTGCCAGATCGCGGCAAAGCTATGGTGGACTCGAACTCACAACATCCTCTTGTTGCTCGGGGCTCGTCATCACCCATTGAGTCCTCCATTGAAGATTTCTGGGAGTGTGTAAAAAGGTTGGACGACGTCGTGGATCGAGCGGCTCCGGTGTTACAGCTTGCAGACGCTGTTGCTTTTGAGCAGAAGGCAGCTGGGACATGTAGAGACTGATTTATCATGTGGTAGGTAGTACCTACTGACTTTTGATGATGAGCCAGGGTCCAATGGTCCAACGGTGCGAGCCCGCTACTCTTTCTCCCTGGCTCTGTTGTCAGAGTATCTACGCGTATCGTATCATATACGTATATATGTGTAGCATTGACCGGTGCGACCAGTGTGACTAGAGGCGATCAGAGTGCTCAGTACCAAGTACCTAGGTCATCGTACCGAGCAGTCATTACCCCTGATCGGTTCCCCCCTGGGTCGTATCGCGTCATCTCAGCCTTGCTTACCTTTACTGTAGTTTTTCGCTGTTTGGCGACCGTCGCAGGGCCCACTCGGCTAAGCTTCCTTGCTACCGCTGCGCTTATCTCTGTTGATCACGACCACCAGGTCGCAGTCGCGTCTAACAGGTACTTAACGCTCACTCATCTCATTCTCGGGTAGTTAGTTATATTACGATCCTAGATCAGGTCAGATAGGTTTCTACCTGGGGTACCTACAAAACGGTACTGCTTCTCTTTTTGTGTTCTTCTCTGCTCTCTGAATGTGACATTGACATAATCCCAGCCCTCACAACTTCGCTCCGCCCCGTACACCTGAACCACCACCACCACCACCACTTCGTCTCTGTCCATCTGCTCTCGCGGTCGACGCTGAAGAGATTTGTCCTCCATTTATCCTCGCACTCGCACTCGTACTCGACGTCCTATCGCTATTCGACCATGAGGACCCTGACGACGACGACGACGATCGCCTTCTGGACAACTCCTCCCTGTACTCCCTGGAACACCACTCCAAGGGCAACCCGACAGCGTTGAATGGCATTGTGTCGACTAGCAGAACTTCTTTCTCTTTTTCCTCTCTCTCTCTCGGCTTTCCGATTTCCGATTTCCGAGTTTTGCGTCTTTTCCTCTTCCTTTTCAGCTTCGCGTTTGATCAATCCTTTTCCTCGTCGGCGAGAAAGAATAAATCCGTTCACTCTGCGTGTGCCGCTTCGTTTTGGGCTTCAACCTGGGAACCCTCTGCTGTCTTCTTCTTGTTGTCGGGTTGCGTGTATCTTGTTTGGCTTATTCTTCGGCCGTGTTCCGCGCGCGCCTCTACTACAAAAAAGTGGTGATGAGCATCGTTCCTCAACCCACTTAATCACACCGGGGGTAAGACAATAAATACTACCCCGTTCGAGATCAAAGTCGAATTCCTTTGCTCACCTTTACCCTGGTTGACCGATTCACACTTTTTCAACGCGGGTGCCCGTAAACTTGAATCTCGTACGCGAAGGGCAGGTAGAATCTCACTCTCCAGCCAAACTCAATAAGCACACCAAACACTTTATACAGACAGTACTGAGTCCCAATGGAAAACCCACCAGGTTTAAAGAAAAAAGGTACAAAAAGTGACCTCTTGAAAAATAAAAATGGCAACGGTGATTGACATATGTTCTACGCTTACTACTCACTCCCCCTCTCTCTTCCCCTCCCCCCCCCAACACACACGGTCTTTTATCGGCGCCGGGGGAAAAGGAGGTATTTACATATCGGTGTAATCAAGATCCTCGGCACAGCGTCCTTGTCGTTCTCGTTCTCGCTCTCTCTACGCGTTCGAGTTCTAATTACCAAGTACGGACTTCTGTCGAATGGGTTGGATAGGACCTGCTTAGTAACCCCTCCATCAAAACAACGCAGCAATCAATCTCAAATCACAATCATCCTCAACATCATTGTCACACAGACTTCTATTTCTGGAAAACAAAACCGGTATACTCTAATATCATTCAAAAGCCATCTATGGTACACAAAAAGGCTCATCATTTACAATAAGAGCGAGGGTTTGGTAGGTTGTAACGTCAACCAAGGGCCCCAGATCCATCTATATATCAGACCTTGACTTCCCTGGTCATGTACCTCTCCCCCCTCTGCTCTTAGGAATTAATCAATAAGATCCTCACTTTTTACCTCTGAAAACTCCAATCGTCGCTCATGCTATAAACTAACGCCCTGGTTCGTGCCCTCTGCCTGCCCAGCAAACATTACAAAAATGCATGCCTGGCCCCGTATCCTCTGCTCCGAACCGAGAGTAATCATCACTCCGTCATATGCATTCACATGGTGAAGAACATACGAAAATGCCCCCCATCGGATCTTCGGCATTTTCACATGCAAACCCATTGAGGAATATGTGTACAAGAAGGGAATTAATTCAGTCCCAATCCTGAGCTTCGCAAGAACATTTTTCTCCTTCTCTCCTTCTTCCAATCCGCCTTCGTAGATTTGTGATGTTGGCATGCTCTTCATCTCATCACTGACCCGTCCCATGGACAAAGAGCCCCTAGTGGATCGTCCGCATCGCTTGCTGCAACCGTTGTTGCATATTAGAATCCGGTGCCACAGTATCCCAGAAGCCATACGTCAGGTTGTTCTGCAATTCCAAGAACAATATGGTCATGCCCCAAACATGTGGACGCGCAACAGCAAGTCGTTCATAAACGACTCGTGATATTTGTTCTCGGAGTTCGCCTTGTTGGCTGTCGGTGTTGCTAGAGCCCCACAGGTGGAGCATCAGCTTGCAGAAGAAGTCTGTGTGTGTACTCGGGTAGCGAACTTGGTCCGCGATTGCATTGAGAACTTGGTAACGACCCTCGAAGTCCAAAGACAAAGTAAACTTGGTCAACAAGTTGACGTGAACTGAGGTCGGGTCAAATCTGGCTTGCGCATTCGAGAGCGCATCCTGTCCGATGAAAGGTACAAGAGCATTAATCGTCTCCACAGCTTTGGGAGGTGCCATGATGGAGTTTCCGCGTTCGGAGTCTTGCAAAGCAGACTTGATTCGTTTGAGACCACTTTCCAGGTCGACTGTCTTGTTGAGGACATCAAGGATTGTGGTCTTGATCTCATACTGCTCAAGCGGCGCGTCAAAATCAGAAGCCAGTACGGGACTTCGCTTGATTTCGTCCAGGCGTTCAATCTTGAGCCCGGGAGTCATCGGATCTGGTAGGTCATGATATGCCGAGGGTTTCGCAGTCAGAATCAGGTTTCTCAATTGAGGAATTTGATATGACACTCGCGAGCAGAAGTACGAGTGGTTTTCGCAGAGAAATTCTGGATAATCATGAAGTAGGATCAACATGTTCCGCAAGGTGCCTTTGTACAGATCGAGATTGAGGAGGTCCAAGCCAGGAGTGTCGGATAGCTCCGAGATGTAGAGCAACATCAATCCTATGAGCTCACGATAGGCGTTCCATCCAGCGTGGTTGTTAGGTTTGAGCATACCATCGACAAACACTCGATGGACCACAAGACCGTACCATCCATAGCTGAAACCTGGAAACCAGAGTGGCTGGAGAGACTTGAAACACTTGGCAAAGGCGAGCATCAACTCCGAGTGTTCTGGAGTAGCATTCATTCGAGCAGCAGAATATTCGTAGAGCATGGTGGCGAAAAGCCTGTTGAAGAGGCGCTGATGGAACGCCACGCCCCGCATAAGTTGATGATGGTTCAGAATCAGGACGAGGACCGTGAGAATGGTCTCAAGGTATGGTGCCTTGTTAAGACGCACAGCACCATTGGTGTCACCTTGGAACTTGACAAGCATGATTACCAAACGTGCAAGGGCATCGGCATGAGAGAAGGCCACCTCAACACTTCCACGCACACTCTGTGCTTCACGATCGTAGCACTCGATACACGAGTCGATGCACAGTCGTAAGAATTCTGTCAGATCTTCGGTGCCATTGATTGTCTGCTCCTTGTGGAGTTCCTTCAGGAATGCGGCACATGTGCCTTCATTCACACCGAGGTTTTCGAACATGCCTACCCACTCATCAAACACATACCGCATCTGATCTTGTTTGGCCTTTGCTTTGTCGGACACATCCACGCTGACAAACTGTGGGATTCCGTGAGCTTTCAGTTTCTGAATCATCTCCGTGGCAAGAGGCAGCTCCGGCTGTTCTTTGAACCAACCAGACATTGCAATGAGGCTGTTGGCGAAATCTGCTCTGAGAGCAATCGGCTCATCGACGAACAAAGTCTGGTCGAGGATGTCGGATAACACCTTCAAACCATGACTGTTCCGGCTCATCAAGATCGAAGCAACGGCGACGTCGACCCTTGCGAACTCCATCAGGCCCACAGTAACGAGTGCGACTACCACATTTGAGCTGGCTAGTAGCAAGTCTTCATTCGCAGTCATCCATCTGAGGACATCCCGAATAATGAGCTCAGAAAGCTGGCAGAGTTTCGACAGAAGAAAAGCCAACACTTCTGCTTCTAGTGGACTTTGTGGAGGTTGCGAAACAAAGATGTTGCAGATCTTCTCTGCAATCTGCCTCGCCAGTAGGTCTGCAGCAGGACGAGTAGAGGAGGTAAGGACGATCAAGATCTGTCTAAAATCTTGGAAGATGGAGCTGTTCTTCTCCAAGTCCTTCAGGCGTAGAGCTTCTGATGCCCGCGCAGCCTTTTGCACATCCTCAATGAGGATAGAGATCCGTTCGTGTGGAGGCAGACTTTCTGCGAATCCATTCACACGTGGTGGTTGCATGGCTGAAAGCATACGGTTCTCTTGCTGGACAAGGGGGCTGTGGTGAGGAATCGCTGGTTGCTCAGCAGGGGTCGCGAGGTTTGGCATAGCAAGAGAATCCTGCAATATGTCCGGTAGCTGTCTGGCAGAATCCGAAGACGTATTGGGAATGGCATTCACATTCATTCCGCTCACCCGGCGATCGAATTCCTCATAGACGGCTCGCTGTGCTTCATTGAGGCCACCCACAGTTTGCTTGTAAGGTTCAGGAATCCAGGCTGACCAACGATTGGTGTTCGCAGGGATGAAGTCTCTGCCACCCCCTTCAGCAGCAAATCGACGACGTTCTTCGAGTTCTGGTTCAATGACCTGCTCAATTTCAGGCATCGCCCGCTGCTCCGCTGCTTCCCTCACGAAGGAGCACGCAGTGTCCAGATTATCATTGACGCACATCAAGATAGCGCCTTCTGGTAAAAGGTGCTCAGGAAGGTCATCCTGGGCTGGGCGGCGAATGTAGTTGGAAATGCTCATTCTCAAAGGTTCTTTGCATGTGACAAGGGCCAAGTTGCCTGCTAGAGATTTGACCATTGCCTTGGCTGCTTGACGATACTTTTCCACGTCTGGTTCCATTCCATAGTCCTTTGCTACAAGTTGTGCTGTGGAGATAGAGGCAATTGTGATAGATCGCTCGACCACAGGGGCTATGATCTCCTGGATGGCCTGGTCAAAAGCGCGGTAAATGATGTTCTTCACCATGGCTTGGTCTGCTGGAGAGCCGGATGTTGGGGGATATTTCAGAAGGCCTTCCAAGCTGGGCAGAGATGCCATGATCTCTGCGGCTGAGAGACGCTCACGGCGATTCAATCCACTGTTGAGGGACAGCTCATCGAAATTTTCCAGTCCATCGGGGAGAACAGAGACATTTGTAATCTCATCGTCTGCTTGAGAACGCAAGCGAATGACATTAGCGGGCTCAAGCTTCTTGAAATCTAGCTTGAGATCTTTGCACAAGACTTCAATTTCAAACTTCAAATTCAGCTTTAGCTCGGCGAAGTGATACAGCTCGACCAAAACCCCAACGATCTCCATTAGCCATGGGTTCGGAGGCACAAATATCAAGGAATGAGCACCTTGAGCCAATACTTTGCAGGTAAAAGGAATGACCAGCAACAGGCGCTGAGTTTCGAACCCTTCAACAAGCAAATCCACGAAATAGATGTTCTTGTGTTTGATAGGCTTATTCTGAGCAAGTGTTAAGGATCCTAGCCAGCCGCCGAGGTTTTTGAGATGGCCTCTTTCCTGAGTTGAATTGATGGTCGACTCGGAAGTCATCAATTTAACAATGCTCACATACGTCTCGCGGATGACTTCTGACGTAAGGAGGTTGTCGTTGAGCATGTGGATGAACTGGAAATACATCTCTTGGTTGTTGGGCTCGAGCCTGGCACGCTGCTCAACCAGGTATGATGCAAACCATTGGTAATGCTCTGGGCTGAAAGAGTCTTTCAAGTCAGTTAACTTGCTCGACATGTTGTCCTTCGATAGATTGTTGATAACAAACAAAATCTTCTCTTGTACTTTCTGATCTGGGTCCTGAAAGTGAGCTGTAGGATTGGGGGGATCCGCGCTCAGTGCTCGAAAACCACGCCCTAGATCCGCGGGTTCGCCATTCGTAGGAGCATTTCCAACGCCATTGGTTCCGGACGCCTGCTGCGCTTGAAGACCTTCTTGAGCACGTTGCAAGATTTCGGGATGCTTCAGCTTGGGTATCTGTAAGAGCAGGTTGCAAAGACCTGGCCAGTCTGATAGTTGGTCACTAATCTGAAGCAGTGCCTCAATTCCGAATCGATGCATGAGACTGTCAGAATCGTGATCTCGGACTGCTCGAAGAATCAGAGCTAGGCCAAAATCCCGTGGTATGGAAGGCAATAGCTTGTACTTGATGATGCTTCCGAAAAGCAGAGCGGTTTTTTCCAACGCATCTTCGGGATATTCGTTGTAGCAAACGTACTCATCGAACAGGCCATGCACAATGCAACAGAACAGGTCTTGCTGATCAGGGTCGGTGGATGTCTTATATCTGCGCATTTCGTTTACCATGTCGCGGATAGACAGCTCGGAACGATACATACGTCCGAATAACTCTGACATCTGTTTGTCGATAACTTCGGGGAGCTTGTTTCCCTTCTCTTGGCTTCGTCGGTCCAGAATTTCGTCGAATCCAGCTCCATAGTTCATCAAACGTGGATACGTCTGCAGGCATGTGGTTTGAGCCGCTTCTATCAAAGCCCGTTCGCCCAAATGATCTTCCAACTTCTCAAGCAGAGTGTGAACGGTTCGCAAACTCAGTGGTATCGATTGAGCTGCAGACTCGCCCCGCTGCACCCGAAATTCATCATCTGCCTTGATCCGCAGATATTTGAAGAGAATCATTCCAAAATTATCATGACCGTCGGCAGCCTCGGAGATATACCGATCGAGGTCGAACTCTGGCTCTATCTTGTCACGAATGCAAGCAAGGTCGAGGGCCAGAGGGTTCGACCAGTGTTTGAGAAATTCTTGTGTCCAGCCGAATTCCTCCGCCCGTTCGTAGATAATTTCTGTATGTCGCGGGTCGACCTGGAAGACTAGATGGCAGAGGTCGAACAGAAATTGTGGGGAACTCCGAGAGGCTAGCGTTTCGAGCACAACCCGATAGTCTGGTCGTTGCTTCTCGAGAAACAAACCAAAACACTCTGCGATGAACTTCTCTTGGTCTGGTACCCAAGGTTTCGCGCCAGATGCAGAAAGATATAGCAAGAACAGGGCAGGGTGGTTCTGATAGACGTCACTCAATATGTCTACCCGGTCTTCCCCGTCTGGAGAAGTGTTGGGTCCCAAAGCAACCTCGAATATCGCCTGACACGCATCGGCCGACACGTATGGAGTCTTCAACTCTGCTTCAAGCGATTTTTGCATATCAGCGGGTGCATTCGTGAAGTCGTCCAACGAGAGGGATTGACGGAGACCTGGAATTTTCGCCGGTTCAACCTCCGTCGCAGGGCTAGCGAGAAAGCCACCAAGGAAAGATAATTGAGTATCTGGGTTCTGCCACTGACCTCCCCATAGCTTCTGCAGGTCAAATGTGTTCTTCTCAACAGCGATCAGTCGCAGAGCCTTGAATAGTCTGGAGAAGGAATTTCTGCGTAATCGCAAACCTGGAATATCGAATCCCTGTACAACTAGATTCCAATCGAGCTGTCTTGATACGAGAGCAGACACGAGGTTGTTCATATCGAATGATTGAGTGACAGAACAAACCAGGAATAGCAGGGAAACAGATACTTCAGCTTCGGTGATTGAAGTCGGGTTGAGCGATTCTAGGAAATCTTGAGCTGCCTGTTTCGACGATAAGGCTTTGGGACCCTGTCGTTGCAGATTACGAGCCATCTCTCGAGCCTCGCTGTCGATTCGGAGGAGTTGAGAGGACGCTAAGACCGCGGAGAATTGGTCTGCGCTGGCATTGCCGTAGCGTGACGACAGTGCGGTCCAAAGGTCAATTTTCTGTTGTTGTGTTCTTGTCCCACCCGCCAGCGCATAGTATTCAATGACGGAGCACACGTTCTCAGAAGCAGGTATCTGCGTATTGTTACGACTCTCAGATAGCGTTCGAAGCGAGTGTTGGCCGAAGTCGTTGAGGAAATGCTCAGCCTTCGATTTCAGATCGACCCGAGTACATTTCGTGAATGCAATAGCAAGGATGACTTGAGGCAAAGCATCGGAGTAGAAGTGTTGAACAAAGGCCACAAGATCAAAATCGCGAAACACGTCCTCCTTCGATGTGTCTATAGCTTCTGCAATTTTAGATGGCTGCTCCGGGTCCCATAGAACTTTGTCCAGCTCTTGCTTCAATAATTTGTAACTGCCTTGATCGAAATCCTTGGCTCCAGAGAATATTGCAGACACGTTGGACGTGACAGCCCGTCTGAAGTAGGGTGCGAAGACGTCCATGCCGTTTGAGTCAAGCAATTTCCTGATCTTTTCCGCCTTACTTTCCCACTTTGCTTTTCCTTCTCTTTCACTAATCGTGTCAAGGAGGAGGAGAATCTGGGTTGCAGAGATTTTTGAGAGAGAGGAAGGACCGGTGGTTGCTGAACCGACGTTGGATGATATGCTAGGAGACCGTTCGATGTTTGCACCAGTAGGTGAACCTACACCAGGTCCGGTCAAAGAGGGCGAATATGCACCACTCCTACCGTACACTCCTCCTCCACCGGCCCCAAGGCCAGACTGGGAGAAAAGACCCGCACTAGCAGAGGTGAACGACTGAGAAGGGGTGAGTGCTCTTGATCTGGGGGATGTGACGGAGCGGGACGAATATGCTTGGACTTGATGAGCGCCAGCTTGGAGAGCGTTGACGGGAGAATTCGAATGAGACGAGCCAGGTGGTGTCCCCCGCCTTGAACCGAGGCGAGACTGACTTGAGTGAAGGGGAGGAAAATTCGTCGAGGAAGGAGAGATCGATGAGGTGTACAAGTCGGACTCAGATAGCGCTTGGTCCCTGCGCGTTCCCGTGGCCGAGGACGAAGACAAGTTCGAGGTCGCGAGGGGAGTCAACCCACGTCGGGAGCTGGTTGAGGACAAAGATTGTCCCCAAGGAGATTGGACTGCGCGAGGCTGCTGTCGAGACTGAGGCTGCCTGTCCTGTTGTGAAGCAACGGATGACTGCCAGTGCGCGAAGGAGGAGGGGTTATCGAAGCTCATGCCAAACAATCATGACCTTTGCCAGGCAAATAATGGTGTGTGCAAAGTGACTACTAGATCACGCGGGAAGTGAAGTCAGTATGCTGAGATGAGCAGAGAGTGAGGTGGAGAGTTAAACGCGTGTGAACAGGCCCAGGGTTTGATGATAGGTGAAGTGTATGTGGTAGAATAGAAGTGGTTGAACCGGGATTGTGATGGTAAAAGAAGCGTCTTTCCTCTCATCTCCACGTTTCCCTTCCAGCAGAAGCAGAAGGCGCAGGAAGGCAAAGGGCTGATTCGACTCTGCGCAGGCTTGGCCGAAAGGCTTGGCTTCTAGTCACGTGATATAACGCGCCCAACCTTATGCTCCGCCGTATGCATTGGTGATTCTAGCCGCGGTAAATCGCAGGTATACACGTACCGAGTACCTCACGCTCCCGCAGGCCTACCAACCATCCATGAACTCGTTGGCTCTATTCAATTCCTGCCACTTATGAAATTTCGTGGAGCAGATATACCTTCTTAAAGTAATTACCTTGACATCTCGATGGCAGCATCCCTGCGGGACGCAAATGTTGGCGAACAATTACTATTCATCAACGCAGACGTCAATAGCAGAGGCAGGCCTCGCAATAAGCGCGAACTTTTCAACGGCAGGACGTCGCAGCAATTTGCATGCGAGGCATGCCGTAGGCTCAAAGTCAGCACAATGACGTGGACGAAGATCCATAGCTGATGAAAGGCCAGATGAAGTGTGTCATTGACACCAAGCCGCCATGCGCTCGCTGCCGTAAAGCAGATCGTCAGTGTCTCCTCCGTGAAAGGCAACTAGCTTCGATGTCGGTGAAGAGACGACGATTGACGAGTGCTGATGCACAACACACTTCCAATCTAACAGCAGGTGCGCTGACGCAGCCTGCCACCAGCGAGGTGAATAAGCAATCCCATGAATGTGAGACTCCTCCCGGCGCGGAGCCGTTGGAACCCAGCAATCTTGTCTCCTCGGGCCATGCTGAAAGTGCCTCGACTCCATCGAACGATCCACACACTGATATAGTGACGCTACCTTCGATCTATTCGTTCTCTCCCGTAAATGTCGTCAAAGCTTCAGATAGGCTGGCTCTTTCGTCCGAATTGGTCGATACAGGAGCTAGCCCAGGCTCATGTAGCCGAACACAGGAAAACAGGGCCGTGTCCGACGTCCAGACCTGTTCCAATGCTCCTGTCTCCGATCGTGTCCTGGAGCAATTAATGGAAATGTATGAAATGGCCCTTATCTATGTCCACGTGCATAGCTGACGCAAAGAAGCTTCAAGGAAAGGATGATAGAGTATAATCCCGCCATTTCCCTGCTTGATCTCGACAATTCTTCCGAGATCCTTGCAAGACACCAAAACTTCGCAATTTGTGTTGCGTATGCTACGGCAAAGGCTGTTCCAGGAGGAGCAACTATCAGAGCGCGCCTGTTGCCCACCATTGTCAACCTCGTGCAAAGCTTCATCACCGAACATCTACCCGAGGACAGTGAACAAAGCCTTAAAATACTACAAGGTTTACTACTCCTGTACGCTTACACAGAGATACCGACGGCTGCACAAGGTCCGAAATCGGGAACCGAAGTTAAGTCGGAACTCATGTTTTGGTCTTTGAAGAGCTTGACAGAGTCATATGCTCAACGTCTGCGGTGTCACAAATCTGTCGAAGGTGTCCGTGCAGCTCTCAAGGCTGGTCATGCAGATACGGCAAAGTTAAGAGTCTTCAAGATGTATTCTTGTTGGATTTGGCTCTTCATTATGGCACACTACGTCTCTCTTGTCACGGCCACTCCACCCAGCATACGGGCAGATAGCTCGATATTCGCTGGTGGTATTATCCTCCGGCAAAGCGACCCATCGATTAGGGTTCAAAGTCTGGCAGCTGAACTCGAAATTTGTCTTGTGTGGGAGAAGTTGAGGACACAAGGCTACGATATTGGCGAATGGTGGTGTCTACCAGATGATTTCACCACACGATCACCTCGCCACGATAGTACTGCGGCGGAAGAGGCCTGCTTGCACCTCGAACAATGCGCCGAACGATTGCGTCCGATCACCTCCAACGGTTTTACTGGGTCCAGAGTGGCCTTCCACATCAGGTTTGCACAATTCTGCATTCAATCATACAATATTCGGAACCTCCGGTTGTCCGAAATCACACCCTCACAGTCAGAAAATGTCCACGCGGTAGGGAAATGCCTAGATGCTGCAATCAGCCTGCTTGATTGGATTTTGGCTGTTGATCTGAGCAATAGGGATAGTCTCCGATTTGCCTCGGACAGCTCATGGGTGATGATAGGGCTGTGTTGCCGCTTTGCTTTGGAGAGTTTACAAAGCTTGCACAAGCTCGGCCAGACCTTGGATGACACAAAAGAGATATTGAATAAGGTCAAAGAGGTCGCCGAGATCATGACAAGTTTGTCATTTGGATTTAGTCATGGGATGTCCACCTACGGGGAACACATCATGTCCTACGCCAACAAGGTAGAGGCGAAGTTTGGAAACTTACGCGCAGCTAATGCCATCCGTACTGAGAGATCACCGGCATCCACTCCCAGGACCACCAACCGCGAGGTTGACCGCGACCTTGGAATCAACACGTTATGGTTTCAGGACACCGAACCCGACGACCTTTACCTGTTCCCGGGTCTCTGGGATATGTCGCCATGGCCTGGGGCCTTTCACCTGGACGATAGTCAATGATATAGCGGATAATGAAGACCAGCGAGCATATGGGCAGATTTCTGGGTTCAAGCCATGACCTTGTTTCGATTTCTGGCAGCACCAGCGAGAGCTTTTATGTGGTGGGGGAGCACACCATCACTTTTTCTCACTCGTATTCAGAAGCAGACTGCATCAACGGAATGACGATGTAACAAGGATTGCTCTTCCCTATAAGTGGATAGATCAAACCAGTCTCCATGGGCCACATGGACCACGTAGTGGCTACGCCCACTTAGGAGGTACAGCTTTGCGTCCGGATTTCCAAGTGGAACAGCAAACTTTTGGCTGTGTCAACTTCCGTTGACTATATAGCTACACATCACCTTGGTCGTCACCTCTTACATCAGATGCCCTACTTTTAAGGGCACAGCTGACTCTCATTGCCAGAGAGGCGGCGTGGCGCTGACGCATTCACCCTACAGCAGCCGGCCTTATGGTGTTTTCTGCCTACACCGCGCCTGCCTTAGGTGTCAACTGGTACTCGGTGTGGATTATGCCATCTTCCTTCATGTCTCCGGTGAGGTCGTAACCGGCAACCTGGTGTGTGCAGACGTATGTTCTGAAGCCTCTGGCGGGAACTCGCTGTAGAAGACAATGAAGTCAGCATCCCCAGGCGGCAATCACTCGGACTCCCAAAGGGTGAACTTACAGTCAAAAACATCTCGTCAATCTCTTCCAGGGTGCGGTCCTTTGTCTCTGGGAGATAAAGCATAGTGGCAATCCACACCAGCACCGTAAGACCACCGAAAACAAAACCGATCTTCGTTCCCAAATTCAGGTAGGCAGCACCAATGAGGTACGGAATAGACGTAATGACGACAAGTGCCATCAGGAAAGAGAGGCAGAGTGCAATTGAGACGGTCTTGGAGCGAAGGCGATTAGACGGTACCTCTCCCATGACGATGGGCCCTATTGATCCCCAGGTGGCCGAATAGGTGAATGAGAAGATGCATATGAATGTGATGAGACATCTCGCGGCCGCCTTACTCCCCGGATGAGCAACTGAGATGCTGGCAAATGACAACATGCAGAATGCGTTGATAAAAGCACCCACAATCATGGTTCGACGGCGCCCTAGGTACGTGACTATCGGGAATGCAGCGACCGTTCCCCCAATGGCAACGGCATTCGTTATGACACTGACCACAAAGGCATTGGTGAACCCTACGAGGGCGAAGAAATAGGTCATGTATCTGGTTGAGAATCAGAAGATTCAGTACACAGAACTCGTTGCCAGCGGTCAGTCGATCAACACTTACCCTGCAAGGAAGGCCACACCCATGAATTGCTGACCGACCATCATCAGTACGGCAATCAGCGTGCGTCGACGGTCAGCGCCTCTGAAACAATCCAGGTATGATGTCGAAGCATCGAGTTCCTTTTCCAGCGCCGTGAATTTGATCGTCTCTGCGATTTCTTCCTCCACCTCTGCGTCGGTGTATGAAGGTCCACGAATCTTTCTGAGGTTTGTCCTTGCCTTTTCACTCTGATCTTGGGCTACCAGATATCGTGGCGATTCGGGAATGATCCATACAAGAGCGAGCATGAGTAACGCCGGACCCATCATGGTGAGAAGAGGTGCGCGATACGCCCATCGGTTGAGCATGCTGTGGGTTCCCTGATCGATGCAGGATCCTACAAAGTTCGCCAGGTTCAAGAAGAACTGGTAAAAGATGACTATGCGGCCTCGGAGGTGCGCAGGTGCAATCTCGCTCCAGTAGGCAATACTGAAAGCCGCAGCGAAGCCGATGCCCAGTCCCATAATGGCACGTCCAACGACCATCGGAACATAGTGTGCTATCATCTGAAGACCTGCTCCTATGATGGTGGCGATGGCGCAGAGGTAGAGACCGAATTTTCTGCCTTTGTACATTGAGATGAATCCAGCTGCCACTGAACCAATGGCAATGAAAGCTACCTCGACTCCGTACATCAAGGTTTGATGTCTAGCTGAAATGACATAGGTCTCCGTCACTGGGTCGTAGGAGCCGAAATCTTTGTTGAACCTGTGTCTCATTTGTCAGTCTCGGCTTCTCTCCCTCGTGGCCTCGTAGGTGTAGTGGACCACGGGTCTAACTCACGCGGGCATGGCGAGGAAACCCCCAGTTTCACTCTGATCAAAGCCAAACGAGCATGCTGCAAGAGCAATTATCAAACTGTAGAGAATGACTCTCGTGTTTCGGTGCTTGCGAGGTGGCGATGTCAGTGTCACCGTCGTGGCACCAGCACTAGCACCAGCAGGATCCTCGGTCGTCGAAGTTGTCATTGTCGCATGCTCTCAAGGGTCGTTGAGATGGAAGTTGGGGGTCAGAGAAGAGACTTGGTAAGAATATGCCCGTCTCATCTCACCTATATAGAAACTGTCCCCGGATCATTGAGCTCCTCAATCCCTCTTTTTTGTGGGGAGGATTCCCGGGGGGACACTGTCGACCCTCGCTAAAATGACCAAACTGGCAATGCCCGGTCCGGAGTTTCCCATCAGGGAAACCACCGGTCGATATCAAGGCCGGTGAAAATAGGCTTCCTGCCGCATGACTTGGTCTTTTTGTTTTGGCGCAAATTTGGGGCCAGTGAAGACTCCGTTTAAGTCTAGAACGGAAACGCGTGGTTCACGAGGAACCCGAAATCAAGGCCGAATCCAAAGAGCTTAAGATCCGGGAAACGTGGAGTGGGCGACCAGTGCGGCGGGAGGCTGTAGCCAACGTCTGCAAAGCCACCAGTGCTAAGTTGCTAATGTTTACGGCTTCTTCTTCCTGTGTAGGAATCAAAACGTATGCAGAACAACTGACAGAAGCTATACAGTATAGCAGTTCCCTGTTCCTGCCGAGCACCGTTAGAATATCGAGAGCGTGTCATTCAGGGGTCGCAGCCTTCAACAGCCCGGCATACCGCCCGTGGCGAGTTGTGGCCTTTGGGAATCTACCTCACAGTATCATGACCCGCGACGTCGACACTCCCGGAACCATGATTTAAAGCGTTTTGCCGTGCTGGGGCAACGCATTCCCTGGTATTCGGCTGTATGTAGACGCTCCCTTCGGCGACCTGGTGGGGAAAGGGGGCCCGTCGTGGCTCGACTCTCATCCGCTTTCCAGCTTTGATTCAGGAAAGCAATATACGGCGGTCGACGCTCCAATCCGGTCATTGTAATTTCGCACAGTATGGGGATCTCAGGCTGTGAAGACCCGAAGCGGGAAGAGCTGGCTATTGAACCGTCACGATATGACCGGAGGTTCCCAATAGGGAAGAAAATGGGGCCCCGGGCGACGACCTTTGATTGTTAATCGGGGTTGACTTTCTTCGCCGACATAGCACAGCAATTCCATCTATCCGCGAGCCAGCATACCCCGGGTTATCTCTTCTTTTCATTGATTCTCACCCTGTCGTGTCGAACATCGACATTGACAATTGATGTTAAGCGTGCGTAGGCAGTTGAGCCCAAACTCTCTCCAGCGGCTACCGCCAAGTCGAACTCGCCAAGCGCACGCGAAGATGATTGGCAAACCGGAACCAGACAATGAAGAGTTGCGTGTCGCTGTTGACAACCTCCTCAAAGCTGCCATTAGCTCAGGCCAGTTCCTGGGACTTGGCTTTGTGGCTGTCGGTCGACACGGTCAGTGAAAATCAGTTGGGAGTCGTCGAGACCTATTGTCCATATGGCACTCTTCCCTAGGTAATGTAGGAGCGGCACCCAGCTGATACATCATATCTCGACAGGAGAAGTACTGTACAATGGCGCTCATGGACATCGAGATTTCGCCAGGACCGAGCCCATGACCATAACCACTTCAGGGTGGATGGCTTCCATGACGAAGCTCATGACCTCGGTCGCCGCAATGCAAGTGGTTGAGAAAGGGCTGGTTGCCAGCCTCGATCAAGACCTTGGAGAAATACTCCCACAGCTTGGTGATCGGGAGATCTTGACGTCGTTTGCGGAAGACACCAAGGCTGAGACGTTCACGAAACCTACCAGCAAAATTACCATGAGGTGCGCCATCTTTGGTTGTTGTTGTTGTTGTTGCTGCTGCTGCTGCTGCTGTTGTTGTTGTTGTTGTTGTTGTTGTTGTAGATTTTTCTTTTCGATCTTTCATTTTGAACGAGCTACAAGGTAATAACAAAAACCGTTGTTAAGAACACTCCTGAGTCACTCGAGCGGCTTTGCCTATGACCCGCTCGACCAAAATCTCATCAAGTGGGCCACGGCCAACGGCAGGGACAAAGAGATGCTTTCTGGCGAGTGGGTATGTACTATGCGATGCTCTCCTCTCCTTTTGTCATTGCCCTCCTTTCCTTTTAGCCCTCAACCCAGAGAGACACAGGCGAATAACAACCGTCTACGAGACAGAAAGCGTACGAGCGACCTCTCGTGTTCAACCCCGGAAGCGGCTGGAGGTACGGGCCGGGCATTGACTGGGCTGGAAAAGTCATTGAGGCCGTCTCCCACAAGAGTCTCGACGAATATATGCAAGAGCACATATGGTCCCGCGTCGGCATGTCAAACACCACCTTCCACCCTGAGCACCGACCGTCGTTCCCCATGCTGGATCTCGGCATGCGCCTGAGTGGCCCCAACGAGCCGCTGACGCCAGGTCAGAGTCCCTTCCCCGTCCCGGCGCTGTGCGAGATGGGCGGGGCAGGAATATATTCGAATGCCTGGGACTACGCGCAGATGCTGGCCGCGCTTCTTGCCGACGAGTCCCCTCTCCTGAAGCCCGAGAGCGTCGAGGAGTTCCTGAAGCCGCAGTTGTCGGACAGCAGCAGAGCCGAACTCGGCCAGATGCGCGCCCTGGATCTGGTCCAGGTGGATATCCCGCGAGATGTCCGCGTCGACCACTCCCTTGGAGGCCTGCTGGTGCTGGACGACATTCCAGGTCGTCGAAACAAGGGGAGCGTATGTTGGGACGGCATGACGAACTCCAATTGGGTAAGCAGCCGTCGTTCGTTGATGGCCCAGATCGCATCCCGTTCTACCTTCTACCTTCTAACTGACCTACCTGTCTGCGCTGTGTACTTATTTCGGGGAGCCGCTTTATTTGCTGACTTAAGGTCTCTCACCCGTCAGGTCCTCGACCGTGAGCGTGGTTTCGCCTGTGTTCTATTCGTGCAGATTCTGCCATGTCCCGACATCGCGACCAAGGAGCTTTGGACGAATCTGGAGACGCAAGTGTTTCGCCACGTTGGTAAAACCGCAGCGGATCAGGAGTAAAAAAGCAAAACACGTTGTGAGAATGTATCTATTCGACAAATGAGCACAGAAAGTTGTCAGGCGGTACAATCCATGGTCTCCTCTCGTTGACAAAACCCTCGATTCATTCGACGCTTGGGATTTCTGCACATTCACAATGACCTTGATAAGGAGGTCATCAAGGTACATGTAGTGATTGGTACTCACACCAAAGCGGAGACATTATTGAGCATTCCCCTTTCCGAACCCCGTTAAACCGGTTCTTCAAGCTTGACCCGATTGAGAAAGTACCGGAGAAGAAAGAGCCCAAGCCTAAGAGCATGCTACGGTTTGAAACGGTTTGAATCTTATCATTAAGCACTCAACGACTCTCCGTAAAAGCCATCAAGAAGTAGTGCTCCGTAAGACTGAGAACAATGTCATTTCAATTCTGGGTATCCTTGAAGTTTTGTAATAACCTAAAGCATGAATACGTCTCTCCGTCACTGAAGTGAAAGTCGCCTGAATGACACCAACTGGCTGGTACACAATCCACGTACGGACAAGTACCTTGTAGCGTCTGGATTTCATGCCACCTCGTCCACAATCGCCAGCCCGTTGCCGCGTGCATGCCAATTTCCTATACATTCAACAATCTCCTTAGAAGATCCTCGGAGCTTCGAATCTCGTACTCTCTACCCAACGCTCCCCAATTCAGTTCAGTTGTTCTTTTCTAGATCGGGTCGTCGATAGCTTCCGCGGCAGCTCGTTTTCTTCCCTTTGTCGAACTAGAAGACACGGTGCCGGCAGTGGATTTGACACGAGGCCAAGTATCAAAAGGACTTCCTTTCTTGCGCGAGGTTCCGTTGATCCCATCTTCTGAACGCGGAGATCCTTTGGCAGCAGAGCGCAATGAGCGGGTTCTCTTGGTGGGGGACTCCTCGCCGCTAAGCAGGTGATCGTCGTTGACATCAGCTGTTTCTTCAATATCGGTCAATGCTTCCTCAACCTTCTCAAGCTCTCGGGCTCGTTCCTCTTGTTCGGTCTGGAAGAGTCGTGTTGGCTTGATTGAACGTCTCGTGAGCGTGCGGATTGGCTTGATTTTGGTCCCTTTTGGAGTGTGTTCCAGCAAACCAAGATCTTCAAGGTCTTCGGGGTTGATTTCTTCCTCCTCATCGTCGTCGTCGTTGAATCGTCTGTAGACCTTCTTGCCACGGCTGGCGCTCTGTCAGTATATATAGTCTCCACAGAAAACGAGAAACTTACAACACGTAAACCATCCCTTCGTCCTTTTTAAGGGCTTCTTTCACCTGAGAATCCATCTTCCTGGCTTCCGCGCTGACCTTTCGTCGCTTTGCGGTTCCGGCGATTTTGCGAGAAGACACGGTTTCATCATCCACGGTGCTCTCTACGAATGGATTAGAAACGCTCTTGTCGAGTTGCGGGACCCTATCTCGCGAATCGGTGAAGATTTGGATCTGGCCTTGGCTGCCTTCGCCTTCGACGGAAAAGCTCTCCAAAGAGTAACCATTGTAGCGCTTGTTCTTGCGGTTCCTTCGTGGATTGGGCTCAACATCTGCAACGCCATCCGCTGCATGAGCAGGATCTTGGAAAAGAGCTCGAGCTGTGCCATTAACCTCGGACACTTGTTTCTTTTTGGGAGTTTTGACCGGAGTCGGTAACATGCCGTCAGAAATCATTGTTGAAGAGGATGCCAGGGCTTGGAGATTTGACCTGGAAGACTGATGCTTTGAGGAGGAGGATGGAAGGACGGTAGGAGAAGGCGGGGACAAGACCTGCACTCGACGCGTAGATCTGGGTCTGGGAGTCGACTGCGGAGAGTGAAGTCCCGGTGAAGTCGCGGTGAGCTTCTTTGAACGCTTCGGCGTCGTTAATGAAGCATCGCCAGGGCTTCTTCGCGAAGCGTCAAAGGTTGAACGATGTTCCCTGGAAGCAATTCTTGCGCTGGACCGGGTTGGACGTCGAGAGTCGAAACGTTCATAAGCAGCGCCGTGGAGAGGAGTGAGAGGAGTCTCAGGAGTGGTCGCGATCTGCGCAGGAGGAGTCGCGGCCATGATGCGCGGTGCTGGCAGAGGTGAAGTGAAGTGAAGGTGAAGTATTGCTGCCGCGCGCAATGGGCGGTGACTTCACACTGCCGGCACAAAGAACGCGCGTTGAGGGTGAAAATATGCAGACGTGAATCAAAGCTGACAATGAGGCATTAGGCACAAGGAAGGCAGAATTGTATGAAGTATTGAGTGAGGCAGTAACAGAGAACCGACGGCGACATCGAGGTCGATGTGGTGAGTTGAATTGCGGGATGGAGAGGTTGGGCATCGCACTTCTGGAACACATGAAGTGGGTGGCTGGGCACGCAGCCACCACCACCACCATCAACGCAATGCATCCAATTAAGCGAAATTTCTAGAGATGCGCGTCAACCATAGGCTTCTTCCCCACGCGTAAATGGCCCTTTGTTTTGGGTCTCCCTTGCGGCCATTGTTAACATGCTGTTTGAGAATTTCAACCACATCGCCTACCAAGACTAGCTGACAACCCCGAGAGACCCTTCTTTTTGCTCTTCTGAGATGGACACCGAAGACTCCCTCTTGAGAAGCGACGACGTGGACCCAAGCCTGTGGGATTCGCCCGTAAAGTCTTCCCGCGACCACCAGGATCCTCCCAAAAGTTCGTCCAAGAGTGCGAAGTCTACACGGCCAACATATCAAGAACAGGAAGAACGCGATGCGGCCCTGCGCAGAGAGTTGGAGAGTGTACGACAGGTCAACGAGACCATTGAAGGACTGATCCAGAGCCTTCAGAAGGCAAAGGACAACATGCGGGTTCGTATCTGTACTGGTGGGCTGCGGCTCCTTGCGATGCTCACTAACTCTTGGACAGACCGTCAACAATACTGTTGGTGCTGCATCGACACTTCTGAATACATGGACTCGCATATTATCACAGACAGAACACAACCAGCGCTTGATACTGGACCCATCATGGCACGGCGCAAGTCAAGACATCGCAGACATCGAGGAAGAAGCCCTAGAAAAGCAGCGTGCCGCTGAAAGAAGGGACGCCGAAGAACAAGAGAGAAAACAAGCTGCCGCTAGACGTGCTGCTGAAGAAGAGAAGAGGAAGGCTGATCTCGCTGCCAAACAGGCGAGGCCTACATCAAGTCGTGGTGGCAGGATCGGTGCTGGAGGCAGAGTACCGAGCGCATCCTCTACTTCGTACGTTCAAATGGGAGGCTCAACCAGCGGTGTCAAGCGCGGGACATCGTCTACCAGAAGAACAACCTCCGGTATAGGACGGGGAACATCTGGAAGAGGCTCACGAGGGCGTGGTTGACTGTAGCGTCCAGCGACGCCGCTTATCTCCCCAACGCCCGATGTCTTACCCAGGCTTGCGGACCAGCACCCATCCCAGGGTTTGACATCGACGCCTTACAGATGCTGACGGTAGGATCACTGGAGAGCTCACAGACTCAATGGTGCAAGTCCGAGCTCTTCGTCGATATGGCGGTTGGAATCGCCCTCTACACCACTGGCCGTTGTTTTCTCAACCTCCAACAAGCGAAATGGCGTAAGGCAGTGATGGCGTCGAGACTACGACCATCGCCTGTTGAGACGTACATTCCGAGGCCTCTTGCAGCATGTCCAGCTGAGCGGGTCGAACTAACTCCCATTTACGACAATGTACCTTCACCTCAACAGAGAGTTGGGAACTACAGATCCTTTCCCAGAGGATGATGGGCGGCTACGAATGATAGCCTCGACTGCAACATGGTCATGCTCTGCCTGTTACAGCCCACAGCATCCGAATTGTGGCAATTCACAAAATACTCCTGTGCAGATCAACCCATCAATCTGTTCCGGGTGCGCGTGCAATACGCGTCTTCTTGTCTGACATTCCATCTCGGGCAAGATGACCGACTGTTGTTGGCCTTGAACAGAGTTCAATTGCCTGCAGAACATGCTCGGGAAGCGCCATCATCCGACTAGGACACGCGGAAGTTGCCATCGAACACCTCACCAGACCCTCGAGAAAGCAGGAGTTTTCCATTACTGATGACTGACACAAGCATTGATGTGATTCATTACGGGACAGAATCAACTACGACTCCTAGATAGGTAGACATACTAGAAAGTCGGAAAAGCCATCGGGCGTCAATAAGAGCTCCCGGTTGTGATGGTATCTAGAGTATCATTCCTCGTAATGGTCCGTCTCGTTGTGATCCAGTCGTCCAAAGTCAATACAAATCAACCCATAATATCGTCTCCACCACAAAATGGCAACGGTCGCGAATCTAGAAACGTCCTCTCCTCGATCCACGCCGCACCCATTTCCCATAATCACCACCTTCATGAGAGTCCCTGGTATTGGGGTCTGGTGGTGTGGTTTCCAAAGCCAAAGCTCAAATGTACCCGCCCTTGTCGTTCTTCCCCTTCCGTTCCGAACGAGTAAAGACTTCCTTGGACGCCAAGTTCCCTACGCCCTCGAGGACGCCGCCCTTGCCCAACTGCCCGCCGACGCCCTCATTGACACCGTCCTGAACCGCGTCGACGTTCTTGTCGCCCGTGATTTTCGTTTGGCCGAGCTTGTCTATTGGGGAGTACAAAGGTTGATCGATCAGCCTAGATCTCGGGGGACTGCTTGTGACGAGAAGGGTTGTTCTTGGCCGGACTAGGCTCCAAGCAGGGGAAAAAAACAAAAGGACGTGGAGACATCGACATAGAGACGTAGAGGCACAGAGGTATGGAGAACGGATAGGACGGAGAGAAAGGTTCAAGAAGCATAGGTAGGTAAGTAGGTACCTTTTGCAACGTAACTAGTCTTGTTCTCACCCCACCATCCCAACACCTTGTCCTCGATCCACGGCACCCAGTTCTCGTATTGTTTGTTGTACCAGTTCTTTGCGCCGTCCATGGTGGCTAGCCTGATTTACCTTGGTGGTTCCTTGGAAGTGGCCCTGGGGTGATTACAGGGTCCTGGGTATGTGCTCGTACGGGGGCGTGTGGGATTGTAGGTGGTGTGGTGTGATGTAACTCCGTAGGATATACTGACGTTAGAGACAATGGGAGGAGAAGGAAGAGAAACAGAGGATCAAAAAGATTCTAACTGGGACTTGGTGCGCAGAGCCGATCAGAGTAGATGGTCAGAACAGGACAGGAGACATGACAAGACTAAAGGATACCAATAAATAAATACACCAGGGCAGCAAATCTCATCTCAGGGTCCCGTTTTCCTACCTGAAGGGCGGAAAGGAAAACGTTGGATCCAAAAGGGCATACGAGAAGCACGATGGCATCATGTGGACAATTCGAAATCCAGAAAAGCAAGCATGTGGCACTCGTACTCGTAACGTGCCAGATGAGCTCGACTGTCTCGTGGCTGGAACGAGTAACGTACGCGGACCGCAGCGACGAATCACTGCCCATACCAGGTGTGCTTGAACCGCTCTGTGTCAAGGGCCGGAAAAGTTGGAAGATGGCGAAAAGAACAGGGAGTGAGTGGTTCGCACAGAGAACAGAAAACAGAGTACACAGAGTACTGTGCGAGTAGACATGACGATCAACAAGAGTCAAGAGTCAAGAGTCAAGGTCAAGACGCGGGTGGTTGTGGTGGTGGTGTTGAAATGACGTAGAGTGCAGGGATTCACCCGGGATCGAAATCCAACTGTCAAAAGGGGAACAGGGATTCGGCGATCGGGGGGGATCGTAGTTAGACCAGGCTGAGAAGGAAGATTCTCGTGAGAAGAGATTTGGTTTCCTCCGAAAACAAAACACTCTCTCTGTACGAGAAGAATACTACGATGAGGGTCTTCTAACATCTACCGTAACTCAGACATCTGCTGTACATCCTCAACAAGTCACATCCAGGATCCGCGCCTCTCTAAAATCTCCCTCCTATGTCCGCTAATACATTAGAGGCTGCAGCAGGCTGACTTCCGCGTTCCGGCGCTGGGGATCGTGGAAGGCGCCTCACTAGCCCGACGAACTGCGTGGTTACTCCCGGGTGAATGGTGAAGAGAGGATCTGAGAATCATCCGTCGTTAATTAAACGTCCAAGTCAAGTGGCACTTGGGGTCTGAATTTAATCCCTACACAAGTACACGGACACATCGGGCACTGACGGCCTCGACTTTGAGTGATCATGAGCAATCGATACTCAAATGATGCTGACATGCTTCTTTCTAGTGGATCCGAAAAGCCTCCTTGACTGTCCCTTTATGATCATACAGTTATGCGAAAAAATACACAAAGCGAGAGGCAGCGGCATCAACACAATCCCGCAGATCTAGTTTCGTTGGCCTCCGCCTCCCCAGCCTGCGTCGCTTCCACTATGAGATGGCATACGTCTGTGTGGGTTTATATTGTGGGTTCGGCGTATGTGGTCATCAAACTTGGTTTGACAATTGTGAGTGTACGGATCGTCATCATCGCAATACTCGCAAGTCCGGCGAACCCGATGCTCATCTTTTTCTCGCTGGTTGGCAAAGGTCTCGCCGCAGGTGGTACACTTGATGGACGATGGTCGATGTTCACGAACTAGCGGGCCAAAGTCGATGTCAGCGCCGCAGTTCAGCAAGACCGTAAGAGCGACATTGATGTTGTGGGTATCTTGACGACTTGTCCTTTCTATCTCTGGACTGATACGGTCCCCGTTGACGGCGTTCGACCTGTTGATGAATCCCTGTGCAGCTGCCTCACGGACAGCAGCAGAGGTAAGCCTGACGGTGATTCCTCGCTGCTGGAGTACCATGATCAGGTCGTAAATAGGCAAGATTGGAATCTCTTGTAGCGGATTCATACCCGAAACGAGAGGGTCGTAGTCATCAAGATCTTGTTGCTCTTTCTTGCGTCCTGATTTGTGAGGACGACCGCTGCTCCCATCCCTGAGATTATCTCGTTGGTCTCCCTGGCGATTCATGTCGGACTTGTCGAAACCTTTTTCACCAGATGGGGTCTGTAGCGGCAACTGAGTAAGATCTGTGGAAGCAGAAAGGTCGAAAATCGTGGTTGAAGAACCGAAGCCGCGCTTGAAAGTGCGCTTCTTGAGGCTCTCGTTTGACAAGATGAAAGACTTGTCGGTGGTTCTATACACAATAGATCGGGGGCCGCTGTGTCTGCTTCTCGAAACACTTCTGACGTTGGGCAAGAACGGTGGCATCTGCTGTCAAGTTGTAGTCATTGTAGACATGAGGACTGAAGATTGCTGATCAGGCTGAGCTAGTCAGAGGAGGGGAAGTGGGTGCTTATCAGTCTGGTCATGGCGCCCTTGAAGCCGGGCCACGATGTTTGGAACTTCTCGTTTGCGAGCCTCAGGAAGAACTTTTGTGCCTCGACAAATGGTACTCTGCATGATTGCCTATTTCCGGGGCGTTGGTGAGCAGTGGTTCGTTCGTTTGTAGGTGCCCAACTGTAAGGTTGCCTTTCCGTTCGTATTAGACCCCGGTATGAAATAAGGCAAACTCATTGCGTGGCCTTACCGGTTAGTCGATCAGACGATTTAATTGGGAACGACAGTTCTCTAGGTTCGCCACGTATTTCACACAGGATTGCGCTAGCATGGTCAGAATAGATGAGGTTGAGTTTGTGCCTTGTCTTGCCTTCGCCAGTTGATGCATATCCGGGAGAGAGTTGGCTCAGGTATTGTTTGCTTACCATTACAGAGATGCTCTGTTCAACCTGCGTCGGGCACTCTACACCGGTCTCGGTTGAAAGGTCTCAAGGTTCTCGGCTGCGAGTGAAAGCAAGAGACGCCTTGAGACAACAGGAGGGCTGGAAATAGGAGAAGGGGGTTCTTTCAACCACGGAGACCCCGACGAGACCTCCAGTGCCAGCTCCGGCGCTGTCTGACAAGTCACTGATTGCTGAGGCGGTCGCGGTGAATCTCGTCAGACGCAGGAGACTTTCCATTGGGCTGAGGACAATAGTCACGTGATAATGCCTCCGATCCCCCGCAAATCGCCGAACGGCATCAATGCCGATGATGCCGTCTCAGCCGGCAGTTGCGTCTTCTTGAAGATTTTGATTCTCAGCATCAAAACCAAACCCAAAAAGATGCACGTCCGGCTCCGCAACTGTTCTGCGGCGGCGTCGGCGAGCTTGGCCGGCTCACGCCGTCGAGTGGCCATCCGAGAGCGTTGAACAATGCCGATCGAAACAATATATCGACCGTGACGGGAAGGTTTACTTTTCTTCGTTTTCATACTCAACTTCTTCATCCTCTACTTCGTTGTTGTTCTCTCTTGGATCAGGTGCCTTGCGATACCTTCTGTCTTCGTCATTTCAACCCCCACTTGCCCAGAAGCCAGATCCAGCTCGCAGGCGACAGTCTCGAGCAGTCAAAATGGCCATCACTCCCTCCACGAATGCCTATCCTAAGGTGGCCTTCATCGGGCTCGGAGCCATGGGCTTCGCCATGTCGACACATCTCGTGCGAACAGGATTCCCAGTGGTAGGGTACGACATATACGGCCCGACCTTGGATCGATGGCAATCGACGTGTAACGAGATACCCGGTTCCAAAGCAACCACCGCTAAGTCCCCGGCCGAAGCAGTCCGGGGCGTCTCAGTGGTGTGTCTAATGGTTGCAAATCACCACCATGTCCACTCCGCGCTATTTGATGAGAAAGTCGGAGCTGTCCATGCCCTGCCTAAGGACTGTACTGTTATAATTCATGCCACGATCCCGCCAACGGAGCCATCATCCGTCCGCGTGAGACTTACCGAGGACTTCCAGCGTGCTGACGTAAAGTTGATTGATGCGCCAGTGTCTGGTGGAGCGGCACGATCCATTAATGGCACGTTGACAATAATGGCGGCCTCTGACAGTCCCAAGAACATCGAGCAAGCTGACGCAAGGGCTGTTCTCGATAACGTGGCCAGCAAGGGCAAGACGCTATTCATCATTCCTGGCTCTCTGGGTGCTGGCCAATCTGCCAAAGCGCTCAACCAAGTTCAGGCAGGCATCCATATTCCCTCCGCATCGGAGATCATGGGCTTGGCCGCCATCCACGGTGTCGACACGCAAAAGTTCTACGACTACATCGTCTCGAAAGACACGTCAGGCAAAAATCCGGTGGGCTGGAGCTGGATGCTGGACAACCGCGGACCCAGAATGCTAAGTTCGACCCCGCCCATGGCATCTGCAACCCTTATTATCAACAAGGATGTTGGTATCATCCGGGACGAAGAGAGTAGGCTCAACGTCGAGTTACCGCTCTTGAATTGTTCGAGTGACGTTCTCAAAGACGTTATGCAGACCCATGCTACGGCAGACGACAGCTGCATCGTACAATATTATCTTGGCTTCGGATCTGACAGGGAGAACCTGGTCGTTGAATTGGCCGGCAAGCCTACCGTCTCGGCCAGCGAGCAAGACATCCTGATCCAGGACTTGGCTACTGCACATGGAATTATCCATCTCGTTTCCGCGTTCGAGACAATCAGCTTTGCACAAGCTCTCGATCTCATGCGCCCGGAGCAACGAAAACAATGGTTCACCTTGATCGCCGGTGCCGCGGGTGGCAGTACCATCTTCTCAGAAGTCATTCCGAGAGCGTTTGATGATGTGGATGGCATTGAGGCGGCGTTTAAGAAATATGCCAAGGAGAAATTTGGAGGGTCTTCAGACAAGGTGGTAAGTACTTCGTTCTTTTCATAACTGTGCATTTGAACTAACGGATGGTGACCAGCTATCTCTCATCAAGAATGCTAAGAGCCAGGGCTATGAACCCCGAATCCTCGAGGCCGCGATGAGTCATTTCCAGAACTTCATTAAGGCGTAGACTCTCGCGCGTCCTCGCCGATTCTTCTGGAGATTCTTCAACCTATTGCTTTTCTGATACGGCGCTTTGGTATTTGGGATACTAGGGTTACAGCCACGAGCGAGATATCATCCTCGAAGTGAAAGGCACAAGTCTAAGCATAGGCTCTTGTTGCCTGTGGCAAGCGCCATCGTTGCCTTTGTTCTGGGGGCCGACATCGACGAGGAGAAAATTAAATGATGGACATCCCAGACCTTTACGAAGGAGGGGGCTTTCAGGGCTTAGGCGAAAGTCGGAATAAGGTTTGCCCACCACTCTTGGGCAAGTATACAATAGCCTACAGGTGGACTACTGAGCTCGGTCAATCTAAGCGAGGATGATTATGATCAGTGGGTCAGGCGTCGACAGAAATTCGCCTCACAGTCACAAAGGGTCACAATGCTGCACACTAAGTTAAACTTGCAGTAAGCATGGTGCCTGCAGTGCTTGTCGAAGTCGATCTTTCAGTAAATTTGATATCACCATTTCTCGCTCTGTATTTCACTGCCTGTCCTCCACTTCTTCTACATCATGTCTTGACTGCCAACTCTTCCATCCCGGTCTTCTCTTGCGCCATTTATTCTTAGACATCGACTTCCTTGAGATTTCCAGTCTTGAGGTCGAAGACAAACCCCCTAGTGTTCGCCTTCAGCTCTTCGGGTACCAACGCAGACGCCCGCAAGAAATCAATGCTTTTCTTGACGTTCTCATCAAGTGATCTGTGCACAAAAATCTTAGCATCATCCTGATAGCCTTGTGAAGATCCAAGGAGGACCTACCCTGTGATTTCGCCAAACTTCAACCCCTCAATTTGTTGCTCGAGGTCTGGTGCTCGCTCTCTCAGACCTTCCTTGACTTTGTCATCCCGAAAATGGGTCGCACCACAATCTAGAAAAGCCGAGTCATGAGTTCCCAACGTATTCATGCGGGCGACCAAAGCCCAACTGACCGGTATGCTGAACAATGATGCACTCCGTGAAGTGGAGCAGGGAGTCAAGCGAAAGAACGTGCTCCAGCAGGAATTGAGCATTGCCTCCCGGGACGCGGTACACTACCGCCTCTGCGATGTGTCAGTGGCCCTGTCTCGTTGCAATGGAACACGGCTGCTTGACCTCCGGTGTGCAGGTTGAAGATGTTCTCGGGGATGCATCGAGGATCTGCACAAGTGACTGTTGGCATGTCAGACTTGGTGGAAACCGTTTGGCGCTCAATAGGTGCTCACTGATCAACATCCGGGGCATCTGCGCTGGTTCAAGCTCAGACAAGAGCGGCAGAGGCTCGAAGTTGACGAGGCTGGCCCTGTGATGATTTAGCCAAAGTACATCCTCGCTGGAGGAAGTCTTACTCGTGGCGTTGAAGAAGCTCCTGGCTGGTTAGGACCATGTTTGACGTTGTAGGGCAGATATCGCACGATGGAGTTGGCTTTGAATCAGAGTACACCAGGTACAAACAGAGTGCGAAAGATTCTGTTGAGATGGGGCTGTCAGTTGCGGCGAGTGCTTCACCTTTTTATACGTAGACATGGCAGCTTCGTGGTCCCAGCATTTGGACATTCGAGACTTGCGCCTTACCACAGTAGACAATTGATTTCTTCCTGGAAACCAACACATACCCGAAACAGGATGTGATCGGTTTCAGCAAGGCAGCGAGAAGTCTCCGGGGGAAAGGTACAGACATATAGTGAGGCTAGACAGTGGGTGTCAAGGGCATCTAAGCCTCATATTCGCGCTATGCCGCTTCTGGGCAGTTGTACCCCTGTCGCTGACCAACACCGCTAATCTCTACGATACATCTTCTCATAACTACGCGGTCTCTACCCTGCCAGGTACCGCATTATTCCCATTCGGAAGACATCAAATACCATTTGGAGGCATTTGTGACCTCTTGCTCACAGTTGTGCAATCTGCTGGAGGAGCAGCAGTTCGGTAATTGCAGCAAGCACCCTTAGTCATCTTTCCGCAATCACCCCGCTCTCATTCACTCGACTCATCGTCATGGAGCTCTCATTCATCAACCATGGAGCTAACACTCGCGGCTTAAGTGAGGCGGACCGGAGTACGATACGGCGGGTTTCTCGACAAGTGGGTGCGGCGACCCGGAAAGCCAACGGCAACGGGAAAAAGGTCAACACATTGCAAATCCCCGACTTCTTGATGTCCAGTCTCAGAGCAAGTGATCAAGTGCAAGCTCCTCCGACCAACGACCCGGGGAGGCAGAAGTTGCTAAAGCCTGAACTCAGAGCCTTTGATCCGCAGGCTCCGAAGGTTTCCAAAAATGGGTCTGAGGATCAGCTGCGGATGACGACTATCCCCCCTGCGTTGTCGTTCAAACCGAACGGGAGGCCCACCCCCCCGGCCATGTCTGTCTTCATGATGCCTGACCTCACTGTGAAGCTTCTTGATTATGCCGTCAATGTTGACTTACTTGCGAACCCTGCCAGGTGGGTAAAGGCGTTCCGCCTGAGTAGCCCGTCGGCGCTTCAGATTCTGCCTCAGCGCTATGGCTTCAGCAAATGTCTAGATGATGCCATTGATTGTGCCGCTGGGCGCATTCGCCTGTGCCTAGCTGGAGATGAGCAAGTAGAGTCGGATAAGCTTGAGGTTGACAAACTCTACGGTCGTGCTTTGAGGAGCCTAAGCCTCGCTCTTTCCTCTAGCAGCTCAGTCGACTGGACTGTGTGGTACGCAACTCTGACTTTGCTTCTCTCTGAGGTGAGGAAGTCGCTCCATGAAGCTTCTCGTATATTGACGTGAACAGGTGTTAGACAACAGCAGCCACCATGGGTGGATTATGCATGCACGTGGCGCTTTCGAGGTGCTGCTTGCATTAGGCCCTGACAGGATCAATACAGAGGTCAAGAGAGATCTGCTCATAACACAGGCTGGCGGTATGGTAGGTGAAAATCCACGTTCTAGGTGTCCCGGACTCACCATCAGTAGATTATGGAGGCTACTTTTGCCAACATTGATTGTTTTCTGAGGCAGCCGGAATGGCAATCGGCTCTGCACCGCTGCATAGATCCTTCATCTAAAGTTGGGAAACGCAGCGAGTCAGCAATAAAGCTATGGATGATCCTAGCTCGTGCTCCGGGAATATTCAGAAGCATCACCGGAGTTGTTTTGCTCCGGAGCACCGAAGACAGAGTTGCATTGATCGATCAACTTCGTGTCTTCCTCACCGAATTGATCAGTTGGGGCAGCCATCTTCGCTCAGAAACAGGCAGTTTTCGCAGTCAATATGCTCGGAAACACTACCAATCAACAACCACCAGATACCTATTATTCTTGACGTTGGCTTACCGGTTTCAAATTGCGATTGACGTCACTTCGGCACCCCTGGCAGAGGCAAATGTGGTCGAAGGTGCGACTTATCTTGAGCAAATTATCGATTCACACCAGCACGAACCTGTATCAGCTCCAACTCTAAGACTGGCGAAGAAGGTAGTTGATTCCGTCAACACCACCACGGCTAGTTGGTCCCAGGCACAGTCAAGTGATACAGCAGATCAGCCAGGGACGATTGCACCCGAGTTGTTCACGCATTGGTCTGCGTTGGTTGGCCGAGTGGTGTGAGAATAACCTTCCAAGATACCATGGAAGTCATACTTTTCATGATCCTTGCTTTCACCGCTCGCAACGCGGATGGGGATGAGTAGTCTTGTGAAAAGCCTTTCGATCACGCAAACACACATTTGAGCATGATGATACGGTCTCGCCAGGCACATCGCCAACGTCATTTGGAACGAACAGGTTGTACAGGTGTCGAGTCGACGCTCAAACCTGGAGCTACCATTACTCACACTCACGCATTCACATTGGGTATTCTATTTCCATCCAAGTCCCTGTAGAAACGGAAGCACGTTCAGATCCTCGCGAATGAATTGAGCGGAGATACGGCAATCTAACCCCTCCAGATCGAGAACCTAACAAGGAAGCCTTTGCCGTAAAGCCTTCGTCAGACCTTCACCACGACAGGCGCGTGCTGCTCAAACAGGTCTTAATCGCAATATGAGTTGCGAGGTTGTCTGTGACCTTGAGAGGAGAAACCCTAAAAAGCCAAGGGGTTTCACTTAAGGGTGGGCATCTTTATACCTATATAGGTGGTATTGGGGGGACTTATAGGCTTTGGCACCTATTTTCATACTCTCAATATGAAAAGTCGATGAGAAGTGTATTCTTAATGAGGAAGGTGATCCGATAGTATCACGTGCGTTGACTTTTCAGGGGCTACCCCTTAAACCTCTATGGAAATATGTCCCAAAAGAGCATACTGGTATACAGTCAAACAGACTTTCGTGGGATTGAAAAAATGTTGACCTCGACCACCCCGCTGAGTATGGTCCACTCCAAGCACTCACTCCGCCGAAAAGCGTCTCTGTGCGCTTTGTCAGGACGTACAACTTATTAGACAATGCAGACGCCGGGCCCGCACATATCCAATCCGGCAGGGTTCGAAAAGGAGCTGGCGTCCTTTTGCACTACGTTGAGCCTTTGTACTATTTGCTGGAAACACATTGCGACTGATGTCTATCAAATTTTCCAAAGCACCATTTGTTCGCCTGAGCTGATTTGACATCCTGTCGTAGGTCAAAGCGAGGCACGTCTATCAGATGAATGAACACAGACCAGATGCATGATGACGACGATCCCCAAGGCGTCAGTGCCACCCATGCATGTCCTATATGCAACAGCTTTGCTGATTTGTCTCGCTTTCATCTTTGTTGTAACAACTCCAGCCAGGCCAAGTTTCAAATGGCTTGACCTCCAGCACGTGGGCCTTCAGAATGGCAAACTCCACCTCCAGGGAGCGGCCTCTGAATGTTACAGCAGCAGGCTCAGTGGTGAATCAACAACCGTAGGTTCCGCCCGAGTTCGATGGTTTCGATGAGGCAAGACTACAGGCTGTCGAGCTATACATATCGGCCATCTTGGACCGGAACGACAAATCATTCGAACGCCTTACTTGTCCACCGACAAGTCCCGGCCGATATGACAGGCTACGACGCCATCCAGCAGCACATTCGGCGCAGAAGGAGCGCACCAAGAAGCACTACTTCTTCGCTCTGAATCTATACCAATGTGCACCTATCCTGCCTCGGCTCCTCGGCTCCATCATCGAAGCATTCAGAGTCCTCGACCCAGAGACCTGTGTCCTATCCGTCGTCGGAAGCCGCTCAGATGACAGCACAACCGAGATTTTGACCAGGTTAAGACCTCATCTCAAAGCAACGGTAGTGACATACTACTTTGGCACAAGCCCCATCAACCTTCTAGAGCCAGGCCACGACCGAATAACCGAGCTCGCCAGTCTTCGCAACCTCACCCTCGGCCCCCTCATCCACCAGCCCGCCCACTACGTCGCAGACAACACCATCGTCGTCTTTCTCAACGACGTCGCTATCTGCCCCGACGATATTCTCGAGCTGTTCTACCAATACACACTCCGGTGCGCTGATTTGGTCTGCGCCATGGACTGGAAAGACGATGGACAAGTCTTCTACGACTCGTGGGTGTCGCGCGGCAAGAACGGAGACTTGGTCGTCGAAATGCCCCAGCCGGGCGCGTGGGACTTTGTTCGAAACACATTCTGGAACGACCCGGCCTCCAAAGCTGGCCTTGACGCAAAGCTCCCCATCCAGGTTTATGCGTGCTGGAACGGAGCGACAATCTTTACTGCGAAACCGCTCCTCGAGCACAAAGATCCGCTTTCGTGCCTCGTACGGACATGGCTGCTACATGGGTGAAACGACGCTGTCCTGCAAGGACCTGTGGAAGCCACGGATACGGGTGTACCGCCGTCATCCCGAGCGTCAACCTGGCGGATTCCGACGAGCAAGGGCGCGTGGTGAAAGAGGTCCAAGTGTATACGGTTGATAGTGTCAATGTCAATGTCGTTGTGGATGTCGATGACAGCAACATCGAGGAAAGTGAGCGCGACTAGGGTAAGCTCCGTAGTTCGTCGACTACGCCGATGATGGAATGGAAGACCACTCCGCCTGAACTGGTCAAGTGCCAGACAGACTGGCATCCTCCTTCCTGGGTTGCATGGGACGAACCGGGTGCGAGGGAACAAAAGCCATTCGACTGGTCCACTTCAGGATACTTTAATGCGAAGGAGGATGAGACCTGCGATAGCTAAGGTTGAGGAAATATCGATTTGGACCAAAAGCATCAAAGAAGGTGCTTGTTCAGAAGCATCAGATTGCGAGTCAAGATGTAAGACACCAGGACCATACGCATTTCATTAACAAACAGTGCAGCCACGGTATGGTCAGGGTATCCTAGGCTGGGCCGCGCTGGCAAGGTCATCTCTGCGCCGAAGGACTCTAGAGACAGAGACAAGAGGGCATATCTCTGAACAGCAGTCCTCTGATATGTATCAGCGGCGCCGTGGCCGCGGGCGTCACTGTTCTCATCGTCGGCATCAATGCCACAGACTCAAAAGCTGACTGACCGGTTCCATCACCATCTTCGTCCCTGCGCGCGCCTACCGTTTATGCTTGTCGCGCAGTACGAGGGAAGCAGGGAGACAGGGAAACCTCCTCGAGTCTTTGGCACTGTCAAACACACAGTCGGCGTGGCAGGTTGACCATTCTTCAACAGACCAAATGAAATTCCTGGCTGCCGTCCATTCTTCAACACACAAAGCAATGGCACGGGAATGTCTGTTTGGTTCATGCCATTCCTGCATTGTTCACCTTCCACGCCACCTACGAGGTAGAAGGAGAAAAAGAACGACGCTCCGAACAACACTCTTTTCCGACTTCTGGTGTCTAACTTGTCCTCTGACCCCCGACCCGGCTTTTCCCTCCCGACACTTTCCTCATTGCCTGCCTCCTTCATTGTGATGGGTATAGGTGAACGCAGAAGAGAGTGTCAAAGTATTGGTCTCTGATGAATGTCTTTCTTCCAGCGTCTCTGCATAATCTTGCAGACCCTCCATGTCTTGTCAGGTAAATGGGGAGGGACTCGGAGAGTTTGAGACGGCTCAAATGTCTTGAGGGATCGAGGGAGTGCTCCGTTTAGGTTGTGGTGGTGGTGATGATGGTGACGGTGATGGTAAGTTGGTAAGTTGGGTAACGGTGCCGTGAGGGCCGTGTTCTTCATCTTGAACCGTCAAGGAGAGTATCATTTCTCGTTTTGCTTTGAAGATGCATTAGTACTATACTAAGTTCTGTTGTGGGTTGGAGATCTGGTCAATACAGAACTGACTCTTGACTTACCTACCTTTTGTCATACCGAAGGTCTCTTGCAGAGAGAGCTCTTGTGTACAACATTGCTTTACGTATACACACCAAAACACACACACACACTCTCTCTCTCACTCACTCTCTCTCCCTCTCCCTCTCGGTATGTGTTTGTCTGTGTGTGTCTGTGTGTGTGTGCCTGTGTGTATTTCTGTGTGTACTGGAGGGTATCGAGGCATGTCTCTCGCTCACGGTTGAGGTTGAGTTTGTGTGCAAGCACATTTGGTCTTTCTTTGTCCTGATCTCCAGGTTTCTCGCCACTCGGAGTCCTCTTTCACACCTCCTCCTGCTCCGCCTCCTCCTCGAACGCACCCATGTACACAATCATCGTGAGGTCGGTGACAACAGAGTGGGTGCGAGCGAGTAGGAGCAGGAGCACGATCAGGAGGAGGGAGCGGGAGTGGGAGCGGCGGAATTCCCAAGGACCGTGACATCGATACAACCCCCCCGACACGTCACATCAGACAGGTAGGTCAGTCTCTCGCTCGAAGGTGGTGGTCTCTGGAGGCGCGTCTGGAAACGAATAAGAAGAAGAAGAAGAACAAGAAGAAAACGTATCCCAAGTTCTCTCAAAGTCATATGTCGTCTTTCCTTTACGTCTTGTCTGTCCTAGGTCGACTCCTAACGCACCGTTCCGTCCACAGTCAGTAACACCACGGGGCCAGCCCTCCCAACCTGGTTTGTACAAAAAGTATAGGTATCCTAACGGGCACTGGCCTGGTTTTTCCCTTCGGATACTGCTCGCCGCTCAGAGAGAACAGACGTCCTCCACACAGATGGACGGGCCTCGAATCGACCAGCGGGATACAAGTTGACGTGGGTCGTGCACGACATTGAGAATTCACGGCAACGAGGGACATACACTGAAGCACGGAGGCGACGCAATAGCAGAGGCAATCGTCTTCAGTGACTGGAGGACTAGATATACCCCCCCGGGCGTTGAATCCGTCGACGTGGGACAGAAGGGGTTAGTTACATGATGCATGTTCAAAGGTGAGGGACCATAAACTCGTCGCTCGACAAAAGAAAATTCCAGTGACATTGTCAATGAAAACATCGCCACCTTCTTGAGGCCGTGCAGGCGGCCTTTGCGTCGAGTATACCAGAATCTGAAATATACCAAAAACATAGGCTTAGAGAGGTCAAGCAAGCAACCCCCCCCGGAAAGAGAACCCGCCGAGACAAACTCGAATCCCGTTCCCCAAACGGTCATTACGACTACTTGGTTGAGACAAAGTACGAGGTCCTTGACGATTTGCTTCAGACCAAACCTGTATTACGCTAATGCCTGTCGACCTGGGATCCTGGGCTTTTTCCTTACCACACCCAAGGAATAGAAGGCCGTCTCTGTTGGATGCTGTGGGCTGTCTGTGCCGCAAGAATAATCCGCACCTTCTCGGCGATGCACAGAAAGCCCCGGCAGTAGTTTGGCAACTGGACTGACCTAGTGATAGTGGGAAAAGACAGGCGATTCGCTGTATGCGGTCGAAAAGAGAAAAAAGGATTTTAAGACATGCAAAAAAGACACCACACTTTCCAGGTTTCCACTTCGCCAAATGCGAGACGCTGTTAGTCGATGAGCTAGCAGCAGCATCGTCTGAATCGCACAGGGTAAGAGATGTCATCGATCGAGGGCCTCTCTGAGCAGGACTGAACAGGGCGTTCAGCTCTGTCGAGGATGAAACGAGACGAGACGGAAACAGGTGTGTTCAAACATTGGGTCTAGGAGATAGTTTTTTCTCTCTGGGAATACAGTCTTGATCGTGCAAATGATGCTTCTGATGGCTCCCGAGGACAACGATGTCGGCCACCATCTCCACTTATTTCTGACGAGGTCCTCCATAGCCATATCAGGGCGAGGAAACAACTCAGTCGAAACCTTCTCGAAAGTGCTTACTCCGTACAGCAGAGCTCGCTTGTTGGCTTACCTTCGTTATTCGTACAATAACAGTAAGCGAGGAACCACCTGGTAGATGGCATTGCTGGGCATTTAGGCGGCCGGAAGACACTGAAACCATATCCCGTATTGAGTGTTTAAGGTGAGGTTGACTTGCAACGATTCTGAGACGTTGTGGGTTTCCTGCCTTCGTCGGGCATCTTCGCTGAGGCCGAAAGAGAAAGAAAAAAAAATCCCGAGCAGGTAATGCTCGTCGTCAACGTTGATGGGGGCGGGCACCGGGGGAACGAATTTCGCATACAGATGCTGAATGAGCGACTCGTGTCACTTGCCAGCCACCTTGGGTCATTGAACACGTCTGCCTTGGTTGCTGTGCATGACAGGCCCCAGTCCGAACTATACCCTTTCCTGCACCACCGCCGACGTGAAAATGCCAATGACGAGGATTTAGTCTTGAACTCTGAAGTGAACAAATGATGTTAGCAAGCTTCTCGAGCATTTCGGCCTGGCGTGCTCGTCGTCGACGGTAGCTTAGGTCGCTTGTGGCTAGGGGTTCGCCCACAGTTTAAACCCCTGTACCCTGGTTTGCAGGGTGGGCATAGTGCCGCTGCAACAGCAATTGTGCGGTGCTCCATGTTCCCTGAAGCCCTTTACGTAGTTGATGGTCGGATGAGGAAGGATCGACTGCCTAGAGTACTCTTGGTCAATGGTCAGCAGGAGCAACGTTGGTCGGGGGAGTCGAGTTGACAGCTTTTGGCTGCAACCGACATGCAAGAACATGTCGAGGAACTGCAGATCTTTAGACCGAAGCCATCCTACAACCGAGCTCGGAGCACACCGCCCTGTAGATTTAAGAGGTTGTGCATGAAGTTTGTCCAGAAAAGGGTCATTGGCAGCATGGTAATGCGACCCTTCCTACAGGGATGCATAGGGGCTCAGCTGCTACGCAAGTCACTCCCTGGACGCCCACCTCGTATTTTCCAGTGGAAAAGGTAGCAAGTCCGTAAGCGCTGGAGGAAATGGAAGAAATATGCTGGCTAACGCGCGGCTTAGTGGTGCGGTGGGAGCGTGCTGCCGTCGAATGCGACAGCAAACACCTAGGTACGATACGAGAACTAGGAAGTGCCAGCGGTGTTTGGGGGAAAGGCGGCCTTGGGACTCTCAGATGGACCTAGGTCCAGTATGGAATCCCGCGGGTCCATGCAGGGACGATAATAATTTTCTCCGGACCTTACGGAGCCGCAACGGTCACGCTAAAGAGTATCCTGCAGTGTTTGGGCTGGCAGTTACGGATGGCGCGTAGAAGAGGCAAAGAGAAGAGGCCCGGGATGAAATCAACGCGTCGTCATATACTGGCGTAATATGGTGGAAATTGCACAATCTCCATGCACATCCTGGGTGCTGAGAAGAAGAATTATATGCTTATACCTCTGGAGGGATTGGGAACAAGAAGCGATTACCGTATGACATGCGCGAATTTGTCGCGCATAGCGAAAATTCATCGCATGGAAAGTCCGCGCCATAAGGTGATGATTCGGTGTGCTAGGGAAATTTTTCTTATATCCTCCATACACCGAGCAAAAGGAAGCGCTGTAGCAGGACGAGAGGTGCCAATTCAAAGGTTTCCTAGACAAGAGTGACACTGAAGCGACATCTGTAGAGACCGAGTGGACTAGTCCCAGTGACACGGCGGCGACGATATGGCAGGTCGCCAGACGGGGGGACTGGAATCGTTCGCTCATATCTGAGACAAGCGTAGAATTCGGAGTGAAGCACAAACTGTAACGGAGTTCAAGTATGGAGAGACGATGATCAAGGGCTCGCTTAGACCAAAACGCGAACAATCCCTGTAGCCTCGTGCGCTGATCGTTGTCACCCATTCACATGGCGAGCGAGGATTAAGAGCACACGTGGTTCTTCCTGTGAGAGGCACCAACCACGAGAAAACCTTCAACCATATGGCCGACGGGGTGTTTCCTGGCTATCATTGCCGCCTCCTGCATCATGAACATCCCAATCCGGGCATCAGAGAGGGAGATCATGGCCTGAGAGTTGTCGATCTGACCCGTGTTTGGGTTCACAGCCTGACATATTCGGGTCGCAAGGGCTATGCCTGGCTAGGGAGGCCTCGGGAGTGACTCGACAGAACATGGGTGCTTGATCAAGACTGGCATATGCTTGGCGTGGATCGAGTGCGACTGTGGCTCCAATGGGCTCGAGCAAAACCTGCGAGGAGTGCGAGACGGATGATGGGGACTTCAGAGGGCCCGGATGCATACGAGAAGCTGTGTTCCCTTAGGACGGTAACATAGTTGACAAACAACACTACGTGAAATTCTGGGCAAGCCCTGAATTCTGACTAGAACTCTTTTGTTTGTGTTGCCGTGGCTCGTGAGGACTGACTCGGTGACTCGGTCCTAAGATTGGAGGAACATGGACGGAGCAGCAGTATTGTACTCGGTGGCTCTGAACGGCGTTTGGAACGCTGCCCTCGCTTCCCGTGGAGAGACTTATTAAGACCAACGTGGGTGGTCATCATCACATTTGGGCATCGTTCGGGGGGCTTTGGAACCCAAACACGGACCTTTCACCATCCCGGTGTGATGACGCCACTGAAAGGCTTTCCCCTATTTAGATCCTCTAACTTAGATGCAGCGATGGCGACGATCTCGGTACTCGTAGGCTGGTCTGCAGGGCAAATCGACCACAGCCACACAAGTCGGGTTCCATGATACTTCGGTTGCTCTTCCTGCGGGAGACAAATCACGAAGTGCCTCGTAAGGTTTAAGATCAAGCTCGCTGGCGGCCTGCTTTTGCACGGCTCTGAGCGTCCTCGGGAAACGTCACACTATCGCAAGTTGGGAGCATTTTTCTTCCAAAACGTGTCTCCTTGGAAATTGGGTTTCCATGGATTGTCTCGACGCAACAACAATTCCTGAGTGCCGCGTGCGTATAGACCGACCGCCATTCTCAGTAGAGAATATTGGGAGTTCTCTGCCGTGTTGGCTTTCGCAATCGACCCAGTACCATAGTTTTAGATTTATCTTTCAAACCGGTAGTGAGCGGATTAAAAGTGGTGGATTAATTAGCTTCCATGGTGATACAATCAACAACAAGTATTAGTGGAGAGTCCGGGGTTGCCCGGTGCTGCTGTTTTCCAGCAAGTGCCAGGGACACCATTTCATTCTGGTGAAGACTACTGTACGAACATTCGCACGAGCACTTCTGGTAGCATTACCTTAATGCTCAGCTCAGCACTTCCTGAAGCAGCTGCTGTAGCACACCGAGAGGCGAGAACATAACGGTGGATGTCAGTTTAATACTGCAGATCTGCTCAGAGAATCTTCTCCAGGGCGGAGGAAATGTTTGCTTGACGCCAGGCGCAGCCACTTGTTGCATTCTCCAGTGGAGGCGACGCATTTTGTGACACATGAGTAGCTTGAAGCTGGGATCAGGTCCTTTCAATCTTTTGCGAGGCTAGCAATCAGAGAACACGTCCACGTTGGGGCCACAACCGGCTCTGTGACAGCACATGTCTGTAGCAGCAACGAACCAACATCACAGAGGTCGTAACCCTATCCAAGTTTCAGTCTGGCACACAGATGGTGTACTGTATTCCGCAATGACGGAGCTCCGTGCACGTTGCATGCATGGGAATCCTCCAGGTAACGGAGATTTTAAGTCGATCTGCATATTCGATCGACCGAACAGAAGCATGATTCCTCTGACCACCAGATGCGTGTTCTCTGACGGAGACCTGGAAATGGGAGATTGGGACGTCAAACCACCACTCGGATAGGCAGGTCGGTAGAGGCTTGGATAGGGCCACTATAGGCCAAGTTGATGCAAAACCAGGGTTGAAAATGACGGAGGTATGGTCCCTTTTTCGCCGCAAAAGGCAATGATCGGTTCTCTATCTCGTGGCACGTCAAGGGAGTCAGTCGCATGGCGATGAGATGGTCGCCATGTGCCCTTCCCGTGCCGGGATCAGTAGCCTCCGGGCTATGTCCAACTGATGAAATAAGGGAAAAGATAGGCGTCCGTAGTGCTGATGAACGGGCATCGTAGGCATGGCGCAGCGCCCGAACGACCCACGGCGCGAAGATCTTCCTTGTCTCAGGTGGTGATGAACACATGATAGGCAACGCCTACTCGGGCACCATGGGCTAGATTGGCATGGCGTGTAAGGCGCGTGGACAGCATTCCCAGTGCCCACTGTTGGTCGTCTGAGCCGACCATGGTCCATATGTCTACCCGTACTCGTAACGCCCCCCCGGCTCTACTTGACGGGCTCAGGTGAGGCAAGTCGATTCGACAAGCCCACCGAAGGCCATTCGTCTCTTGTAACGCACGTCTGACGGACTTGAGCACGGAGCACGCATTGGGACCGGCACGGCAGGCTACGAGGGCTGCATTAGGCAATGGGTCGATCCAAGGACGGCCAGTAAGAGACGCTCTCCTCCTCTTTCAGGTCCCGGTCTGCGACAGTTTGGGCGGTAGCTGAGCTGAAGAGGAGGCGAAAGAGTAAGAGGTGCCTTGCCGTGAACCGAGATGGAACCCTTGGATTTCCATGGTCGAGGAGAGGGTTTCTCGAAGCAGTGTGGAAGTCAAAAGGGTGGTAAACGACGTAGATTGGAGGGTCATGACATCTTTGTTCTTGTGGCCAGGAGCATGGGTCGGCGAACCGAACTGTGGCACGATGAGGGTTTGGCAGCTGTAGCTCAGTCCTTCTCGTGCATACAGACCGCACACGCCCATGGAGTAGATGTCACCGAGAGGTAGGACGAGCACGGCCGGGAAGGAGAGATAGGAATTAAAGGAACGAGCCCGAGTATCAGCGCAGCAATGAATTTGTCGACAGAGGAGGAGAGTAGACACTGTGTGAGTTCGTGAGTTCGTGAGTTCGTGAGTGAAGTGCGTACAGCGTACAGAGTACAGAGTAGCTACTGTACAATTAATTCTTCCTTGACCTCTTCGTTGCCGCCACATTCTCTCCCTCCCTCTGCCTATTCCCGCTCATTCTCTCTCACCGTCTCCCTCTCCATCCCACATCGGCAAGCGCCATGAGTCCCGTCCTCTGGCATGCCTCAGCTTGTGCTGCCCTGGTCCTGGTTGCTGCCCTGGCCCCTGCTGGTCGCTCCCTAGCGACTTTTTGGACCCTGGTCTGCCACCCACACGTCGAGGAAGTCGTTCGACCGTTCTGAACCTTGTGGTCCTTTTGCGCCACTTTTGACACTCTGCTTTCAAACGGTATGACGGTTTAGGAACTCTTTCTGACGGTCCCCTCTCGATCTTGTTCAGCCACTTGTCTAATCGGTGCTGGGGTGGAAAGGGTAGCTACTGTAGCAACAGATTACCGCCATCATATCCCTCGTCCCCTGCTTCATCTCCCGTGGACGATGGTATGAAACTTGAAAGCTCGCGAGACGGGGGATTTGCTGACTTGGTGATGGACCGCACACACTGCGGATGCTGTCAATCTCGATCGGCCACTATACTTTTTTCCCGCCTGCTTATTCTCCGACTTCGTGGCAGGGAGGCAGTGACAGCGTTAGATCAGCGTGCGCGAACATCATCCTTGGATGTGCTCATCGACCTACTGTACGAAAAGCTACGCGCCCCTGCTCTCCAGTGTCTACAGTACATACCTCACCTGCCACACCCCGGGCCTCTAGAGTCGACCGGCGCCTTTGTCTCCGCCATCTTCGCTTCTGGGACGGACCACACAAGTCCAGTGCAGGGTCCACCATCGACGGACCCGTTCCCTACAGTCCACACCGAAACGACTCCACCAACAACCATCACGCTTCCATCATTCCCCTCGATGAAACCAGGAATCCTGGATTACCCTCTATACCCTGCTACGTCTCGCGCTTTACCCGTTTGTTTTTCTCCGATCCACCGCTTGTCACTTGCTCGTACTCCGTACATACTAGTATCGTTCCTGAGCCACACTACCTCTGACCTGGCCCAGTCACCTATTGCTCTGGAGTGTATTGGATTTCTGGCCAACGTTCTGTTGTAACTTGTCCCTGCTTCTGCGGATCGGATCCAGCTCGAAAGTGTCGACAATACGACAAAGCTTACACTAAAACCAGGCCGCCTACTGGCAAGCTTGGTTCCTGACTTGTCTTGTTTGCTTAGCCGACAGGGCTCATCTTTTTCTTAAGATCTTGGAAAAACCACGCTTCACGATCCCAGTCCTTGCCACCCCTCGCTTCGATCAAAATCTATCAGCATAGTCCTCCACCGCCCGGACTCCCGGACACTTGGACTCTCTGCCCTGGTCTTAAAGTCAAAGCATATCTCCAAACGCATGAGCTCTTCCCGAACGTCATTGACAACACTCTCAATCCACCAAGCATCTTGTCGTGGTATACAAAGACCAGCGAGACCCAGGCTTTCACATCCTTTCAAACACCCAAGCACAGTCACTGGACTGCTCGCATGCTCGTCAACATACCTGTTCGTTGTTTCCACCGACCACCTCAACAACCGCCCTCATGTTATTAGGACCAGGCCCTCCCACTCCCATGCAAACCGATTTTAAACCTCATGATTATCCAAGCTATCATAAACCCCCGCCGACAAGAACGTACTCCCCTCCCGAGTCACCTCGTACTCTTTCTTCGTTCTTTGAAGATTCGAGGATGAACAATACCCATCGAGGGCTGCCACTACCCGCTGCACTAAGTCTGCCGCCCCCGGATCGTGGCCACGCAACAGCACCACCCGCTCCTCTGGCGCATCTTCCTGCCCCTCCGTCCCAATGGACCGGACAGGATGACTCGATGCGGAGTTGGCTTCACGCGAAGGCCGAGGAAGACCGGCGGAAGCAAGAGGAGGAAAGGACCCGTCAGGAGGGTCTACGTCTTGACCAAAGACGTATCGAGCAAACCATGTTGCGGGAATCACTTCAAGGCGGTATTCCTCCCCCCATGGTTCCTCTCATCTTTGCTGGAATTGGCGGCGGTAACCTGCCAGCCCATACATTGGAGTGGGCGCAACAATATCTCGCCAGTCTGAGTATTCAGAACCAGCAGCAACAGCAGCAAATCCAGGCTCAACAACAGCAACTCCAACAGCAGCAACAGCTCCAGCAACAGCAACAAATATCTCCAGACGTCCATCGGGACAGTAGGATGATTCCGCCCAACCCCTATGGATCGATCCCGCCGCCGCAGCCTCAACAGAGTCTCGTTTCTACGCAGCCGGGGCAAGCACCAAGTCACGGTCGTAACTCTCTATCCGGCCCTCAAGGAGCCACCTCTAGCCTGTCGCGGCTCAATACTACAGAATTCGTTCCCACTTCCGCAACGGTACAAGGAAATCGGCAGTCTATTCATCAACTACAACACCCCCAAACAGGCTCGTCTGAGCAATCATCGACACCTGGGCTTTTCTTCCACCATTGGACGCCCCCAAGTCATTCATCTGGAGGACAACCTCCGACGACTTCTGGGAAAAGCACTCAAGGGTCACCTTTCTCGCAACCTCCGGCGTCCCACCTGAGATCTGATTACCAGCACTCACCGAAGAAGCGTAAAGTCGCAGCAGGCCATACAGGCCCTGCACCAACTTCGGATCCCTCACTGCCCATGTCATCTCGATCGTCTCGGGAGCGCGAGTTTTCGCCCGGACACCGCCACCGCTCGGATCGGCATTCGCGTCAAAACAGTGACGCTTCCATGCGCGATCATGACTTGGGCGGTCGCCATGTTCCGCGGCCTAGTAGTCGACAGCAACGTCGGGACGAAGCTGGTGGCGCGGCACCAGGCCCAAGGAGGCAACTTACTAATTCGTCGACCAGTGGATCAAGCGATGACCACCCCCGTTCGGTATATGAGGGGTACAAGTCTGAAACGCGGTAGCGGTGCCGTCTAGTTGGGCCGGAGATGAGACGCCAGAATTGTGGAGTGGGTCGAGTGTGTGTTACTTTTTCAGCCATGTCAGATGCGGTGTCTGACTCGGGTCCATATGCACGAAATGTTCGTGTGCGACATTATTCTTATTCGTTGGCGATTCTCGGTTGGCGAGGATCGAGTTAATTCGACGCTTAATCGTCGGTGTATCTGTATTGAATATGGAAGCAATTTTCCTAACATGGATAACAGAGAGAATCTTCAACCCCAGATTTGGATGGCAGCAGATTACTAGACGACAGGATAGGAAGGAAATTTTACGGCTTTTTACGAACTCGACCTATCTCTCTATGAACAAGATATTGACTGGTTTTGGCTTTGATGTTCTCAAACCACCGGCGGCGATGATCTATGACTGTGGCTTTTTTTTGGCACCTGAACCACGAGACAGTTGGAAAGAGGTCAAAGCGGACGGGGTCTATGGTCGAAACCTAGACTTTACGGAGCAGGTGACAAGAGACTGGGATGAGTGGATATGACAGAGCATGAGCAACGCACTCGTGATTTCTCGACAGTGATGGCCAGAAGCATCTTAAGATTTTGGAGGACGACTAAGCGAGAGTAAGGCGTGATGGTGCGCTCTCAACAGCTGTTTGACGTGTCCTTTCGGAAGTTGGGCCTGGCGACGTGCGGTGGTGAAGTTTGAACATCTGAAACTGGTATGGCATGATTGCAGTGGGAAATTGGCCTCCGCAACAGCCACATCTTGAACCATGGTTACCAGTTCAAGCCACCCGAGAAGCGAGGACGCGAGGACGCTAGACGCCCACAGACGAGACTTTGGGTTAGGGCCAACCTGAAACATGACAGCACCACCACAACTATCCATCGAGCATTCGTTTGATCAACACGCACAGCAGCCATGCTGGTTGTCTGATTATTGACTGCGCGCGCCGGGCCGCCTTCATTTGCTTTCAAGCCTCCTGTGGATCCGAGCGCTGCATTAACCACATTGGGGAAGGAAGGTTGGTTGCGGTAGAATAGAAGTCTCGTTTTGTTTACCCTTTGACATAAAATGTTGATTAGGCGTCGATGCAGATGCACCGACCAAAACATTGCTCAGCGATTTCGTGGTGTGTATTACCGCCTTGAAAACAGTCCGTGAGTGCTCGAGGATGAAACATGTCGAAAGAAATTGATCATCGATCCCTTACTCAACGCCATTGTTTCATCCAGCCGTTCGGGCATCACGCGATTGGCTGGACCAGCTGGTTCCTCCGCTTATGTAATGTCTTCTGAACCGGCCCGACTCTCTGTCTGAGTTGGCTTCTTGGAGGGTGAGCGAGTGGTTCCGTCGTGATACAATACGCCGATTGAATCTGCCGAGTGCCCTTGTCTTCATAGCAACACAGTGTTCGAGGGCGGATACCTGAGACGAGACAAATGTCGACATCTTGATCAAATTTCGCAAGGGTTCGCACCCGTATTCCGTACTCCGTTCGGTGCCAGGGTGCTCCCTGTAACACTCGTCTTGTGTGTCAACAACAACGAGGCATGGGGCCTTTGTTGATATCATCCTAGATCCGTCTTCACATGCTCGCGAGGAACGGCGAACGGATGGACGTGGAGAGTGCCGGTGATGCCGCGGTGTGACCGTCGAGTCGATCGAGATGTTGCTTTGGTGTCTCCTCCGGAGTATCGTTTCTCCCTCCTCCGGCCGAGAAAGCAGATCTTTCCGCCCGTGGACGACGAGTCCAATCCAGTATGAGATATTGACACAGGAAAGATTCAGTCTTCCAAAGTACGACCAACACGAGAGACATGGGACACGGAACATGGGACACGGACATAGACACGTGTTTCCTGCACTGCCCTATGTTTCGCTACTCCGGACTCGCTCGGTACGGTGAGTGTACTTGTACTTGTACTACTCCGCATCGCTTCAGTCGTCCAAAGAAGACAACGCACGCACGACATTGTTCTAGATGGTTCGCGACGATGTCTTGAGCCGTCGTTTCCTTGTGTAAATCCATCCTAGATAAGGAGTATACTGTACCATCATTCCAGCTGACCCCCACGCTCGCTCGTTGTTCTTCCATTCGATGTCTTGCATCCCTGTCGAGCTGGAGAACTCTGAAACACCCAATGGGAATCCCAAAGATCTAGGACCGAGCATCTTGGCGAGATACTACGTCCTCTCTTTCTAGACGTCGTGGCGAATCGTTGATTTTCTCGCTCACACACACTCTCTCTCTATCCAGACTGTGATTTTCGAAAACACAGCCCGAATACGCACCACGACTACATAGCGAATGGTCTTTGAGAGCATTAGCTCTCCAGACTCGTTGACCTCGTTCGCTTCCCTTCGCCCTTGACCTTCTCTCAAGACACGCTGAGACGCAGGGCCCTCAGCTCGTCTTCCACCCGTCCATGGCGGCTTAACTTACAACATAAATATTTTCAACCTCTTGGTCTAGGCTTGTGCCACCATCCATATTATCCTTCAACAGGACCGTTGGCCGCTCAGTCGTACCAGACATGGTCGATTGGCAGCATGGCACCCCAGCTGAACGAGAACCGGGCTGTCGCCAAATCCACCTTTGGAGAGCCATGGCTACCAATCGGTTACCGACTAACATTGGAAGGCTGGGATTGATCGTGGTTCGCTCGGGGCTGGTCGGTCGAGATCAGTGGTCATCGGCGCTGCTCCAGTTCGAAGACAGGTTTGAGGTCGCAACCCACGAGCATTGGTAGGTACCTTTGTCAGGGTTTCCTAGATTTGTGTTGCATCTCTCTCTTGACACATTCAATGGTCAACCGATCTTGGCTGTACGGAAAAAGCATGAGCTGCCAACACTGCGATGAATTGTCAGACAGGCTCCACCCCAGGGTTACACACGAGCTCTGGAAATACCGTTCGAGTCCGGTATTGGCCCTCCCGTCAGCAGGTCGTCATCAACATCGAGAGAGGAACGGCCCCATAACGGTGTGCTTGAGCAGGTCACATTGCCAGTATCAGGATCCATCGAAAAAGCTAGCCATGGCTCAGTGTAGGTCTGAACAGACTTTTGTGGGGAGAAGGAGAGAAAAGGAGGGACAACTTTCAGGGGCTCGCAAAGAGATATACTGCTCGTCTCGCGTTCGCTAGGTTGTCGTTCACTTGTAACGAATCACAGGGCTTGAGTGAGCGCGACGAATAGGATGGGCAAATCTTCTGCACGATTGCCACCTCCCTCCGGAAGATCTCGATGGTGACAGGGCCTTTGGATCGCTTGCATGAGATGCACAACACCCCTGCACGACCGATCTAACCGCGCCGACCCCCCTATCGCTTCTGTGCAATCGCTCCATGATCCACTTAGAGATTGACCGACGCTTTGATCGGCTCGCATGTGGTGGCTGGCTGCGCCTGTTGTTCAGTCGAAAGATCGCCCTTTTGGTCGATCTCCTGGGGAGGCGAATGACCGCCGTTTCCGGGGATGACAAATTTTTCGAGCACGCCTCTGTCTTTCCCAACCAGGTTTTCTCAGGAATCGACAGACGACGGTCAATTGCGGAGGTGAGAGATCGAATCGGCTGGCGAGGCCGGGAGAAGTTCCCTTCTGTTTTGTTCGAGATAAAACGGACAGCAACTCTAGGCGCGCGGGCGCTCGCGCACACACCGCTTCGAGTATGTGACAATGCCGATCATGACTGTATTCTGCTGAACGGAGGTGTCTCGCGACTTCGACAAGCTCCGTTGTCAGCAGCAATCAGCTGATCCAGGCCATGCCCACATCCTTCCCAGCCGCCTCGATCAGGCTGATCTTAGCAGAAAGCCTCTGAGAAGACGTGGCCGTTGACTCCACTTCCTGATTGGGCTGTGCAAGGTATACTGTCGAGGAGTTCCGCATGGCTTTGGGGCGCCACGATTCTGACATCTTCCTCGACGGATCACCGGCTTTGCCTGGAGGGTCTAGAGAGAAGTTTACAGTCACTACCAAGCTCATGGCGTCGGAGAATATTCTGCAAGAACCATGGCCACGCGAAATGCCATTGGAGACAGGCACGCAAGCCGCTCGAGACAATTTACGTACTGCCAGCACCAATGGCAGCAGCGAAGCCGTTAATCTGGGCTTGACCGCAGCTTGTCCCGAATCCACACTGCCCCAGCCTCTGTGTCAATCACACACATAACGTACATATACTAGATGTTCCTTCCGTCTGTGGAATCTTTGGTTGAGGCTGGAAATCGCGCGGTCTGCGCTCGCTGACAGGCTTAAGTAAGTCTCTGTCTTCCTACTCTCGCTCCGCCTGCGTCGTGGCTGCAGTTTTATGTCTTTCGACCGCGAGATTCCTGGAAGTCACGTTCTCGAAGATACGGTCCCGAAGTAGTCTTGTTCGGCTTTCGCAGCCCAAGCTACGAATCTTGGAGATCTTCTACCTCACTGCCGCGCATACTGAATGGACCTAGACGCGTTTTGAAGCAGGAGCTGCTGCTGCTGCTCCAGTTGCGTCGTGCGAGGTTTCTCCCTCAAGCCCGACTCTCCGCCTCGTGGGTTCGAGGTCTAAGCCAGGAGCATCCTCAAATCTACTTTCCATCGCTAATACTACAATGACAATCTCCTCGAATTGGTGACCATGGGCATGTATGCCATGGTGCTGCACGACGTCTTACTTTCTACGGTGCAGAGAAGTGAGATGGATTCGAGTGGACAAAACCTCTCAATGCCTCCCTGTGTGGTTGCTAACTCGTGCAGGCGAGGTTCCAGATGGTGGTGCATGACGGGTTTGCTCTACTCCGGTCAAGTCCAGCCGCGAGAAGCAGCGAGAAGTGCTTCGTCCACCGCAACAACGCTCTCCAAACGAATGCATGCACGCTCCTTGCCGTGTCGTCGACAACCCACTTTGCGCGAGATGAATCCCAAGAGCAAAGAGGGAGAGCGAGAGAGAGAATAGCACAGTCTCTTCGACAACACGCTTCGGCCGAAGATTGTCCAGAACCCATGCGTTGATGTACTTTATGCCGCAGCCGAACTATCCAGGGAAGTTGGTGGTTGATAATACTTCTCTGTCCAGTTTGAGCACGGCAACACGCCAGAGCAAGGGGGAAAACTTGGTGGTTGATAACATACCATACCTGGAGAATCCTCTCGAGTCGAACATATCGCACATCGTTCCTTCTTCCTGTCGCCCTTTGCTTCTACAAGGACCAATCTAGCCTTGAGGCCTACTTGGTGTATGGCAGATCGTTTCGGCTGTCGAACGGGGACCCAAGCGGCATACGAGAAAGATTGTTGATGCGCCAGAAGCGGGTGAAAGTTTTTGGTTTTATTTGCACACATGAATGACTACGTCGAGACAGCAGCTTCTTAGGCAGAAAAAGAAAACTACCCTTCCTTCCCAGGGTCAAGTTAGGTGGTTGGTGATTGTCCTTAAAACGCCATACAAATATGATATTACAAGTATTAATTACCTATCCAGGTGAGTACAGAGTGTCAACCTCAAGGTATTAAAAGTCACTACTAATCGAATAATAAAACCAATTCCTGCCGTCGTGAAAAATGTCTATGCCACTGCAATATGAAGGTGTCTCCAATTGTCCCATCTCTCTCTCTGTGTGTGTATGTGTGTGTCTCCCTCTCCCTCGCTCGCTTTCGCTCTCTACTTTCTCAGAGTCATAAGCCCCTTTCAAAAGACCTCTTGAGCGATGTGAGCATTCGTATATCCCAAGCTAAGAAAGAGTTTTCCGCATCTCCCATGTCCGTCTCACCATGAACCTGCCTACTTACCTAAATAGGTAGACAGGCAGTACTCGGTCCACACACGCCCTTCAGGCCTCTTCTCCGGTGGTCTTTCCAAACGCACTGACTGGTATATGTCATAAAAGGGGGCGGAAAGAAAGAAAAATAATATTTGTGCATTCCGTTCGATGAACGGTTGATGTGCATGTATTAATTATGCCGTGCGTGAGTCGTTCGTGTTGGTGAACAAAAAAGTACCTCGCTCAAATTGGTCCCACTGACGTTTCCCTCCGCAGCCATGATACTGTGGCCATTTTAATGATTAGAATTAGTCAAGCACCCGTTGTGCCAATGGTCGTCGTTGTGATTATTATGTGTGCAAAATTGCTGTGTATGTTTTTTCTTGCGAACGAGGGCGGAACGGACTCATTTATCATGATCATCGTCGTCATCATCATCAAATCACTTCCCAGCCTTCCTCGTTGCTTGATGAGAACTCTTCGCTGCCGCTGCCGCCGTACTATGATTTCGACTGTTTCTTCAGATGCATCTTCCACTCTGCCCGGGCGATGCGCATGAACAAATCTTCATCCTGGATTGGGATCCAGCTGGTCAGGACCTTCATGGCGTTCTCAAAGTCGGATTCAAGTAAGATGTCGCGCATGCCGTCGATTAGTGCGGCAGACGAGGCGTGTAGGACGTCGAGGGTCGTTCCGAATTTCGGTTGTTCTTCTGAATCTTGTTGCGCTTGATTCTGCGATGCCGCCCCGACCGATGCTTTCCTATTGGCGGCGGTCGTCGTCGTCGCCAGAGAAGATGCCGGCGAGGTATCGTCTCCAAGAAGCATGAACACATCCCAGACACGAAGTTGCGCGGGAAACGGAATTGTGTAATTGAACAATGTGAGGTACCAGCGTGTGCCGTAGGCTGTAGGACCAATGTTCAATTCTTCCTGTCAGAACACAACAACAACCAAACGCGGGTTAGCTTAGCTGGAGATCCAGAGTGTACGCAAACTCCAAATAGATGGATACACTCACCAGTTTTCGCGCAACCTCACCCTGTCCCAACCACCCTTGCTCAAAGTCGTTCAATGCCGTCATCAACCCACCAAAGCCAGACTTGTACAACTCCCCCAGACCTCTGAGTTCCCACATGCGAACAATCATCACAAACGCCTTTTCTTCGTCGTAATACGCAAGCAACGTCACCGCCAATGCCGCCATGCCTTGGACGTAGCCTGTTTCGGGACAGTGTAAAGACATGGCGTGTAAAACACGAAACAGCAAACGTTGTCCACCACGATACCGCCTTCGGAACATGATATGTGCAGAGATGGTTCGGGGGACATCAATGTCGATCTGGACGTCGTCGGGCGAAGATTGAGTCTGATAGTCGTGGAATAAAGTAATCAATTCTTCGTCGCTCAAGCATTCTTTCTGCCGCGAGGCCGAAGTGCTCAGAAAGCTGTGCCATGCCGTCGCTCGCCATTTATCTGGGATTCCCTTCCAGGTGCGTTCTATGAGTTTCGACGAGCCGGTGTCAAAAGTATATCCTGTCGCAGAGCCACCGCCTACAATTGGCAGACCGGTCTTCGGATCCGCGGGAGGTGGTTTCTCTCGTGCCATCCTTCGCCATTTCTCTTCGCGCTCCAATTCCTTCCTCCGGGCGCGAGCATCGTCAATGTGTATGTGGCCGTCTTCCTCGACAGATTTCGCGGACCGTGGCAATGTAAGCATGTCCATGGCTGACTCCATCAGCCGCCGGTCTTTTGAGCCAGGCCCGAGCATGCGAGTCGAGGTACTTCGGCGGCCAGACGTACGAACGTAGCCACTCTGCGAACTCGTTGGACGCGGCGGAGTTTGATCAGATGTGCTGTGCCTGCTACGAACCGACCTCGTAGAACCATGGGCGCTGCTCGGCGTGCGACGTATCGTCACCTTCCGTCTCGGGGTTTCGGAGGCTTGCTGTAAACTGGTTGAGACGCGAGCCAGTCGTTGAGACTTGGACTCATCTGCGCCGTCCATGATGGGTGTGCGAGATACTATGAACCCGTATCTATCGACGTCCGCGTTATCAACATCTTTCCAGTCTTCCAATCCACCCGCTAGCTCCGTTTCTTCTCGTTCGGGTACTGTGTACGCTTGGGAGGCGGAAGCGGTCATGCTCGGGTGCCTCGATGAGCTGTCCAGATCTTCGTGCATATCGGTGGTAGAGGTCGCCCTTGACAAAGAAGGGATACTTGCACTTTGTGCATCAGTCCCCAACGATGTCTGCCACCGTGTTCCCATACGGGCTGCAAGATTGGTAGTTGACTCCGTCTCATGTTGGTTATCCGTACCCGCAGCGTAGAAAGCACGTACTTTTTCTGAGAGCATTTCCTCATCGGCAGACAAAACTTTTGCTGGCGGGCGCTCTTTTACAGCCTTGGGTGTAGCGCCTGGGGAAGGCATCGAAGTCGCTTGAGCACTGCTGGTCCGCGTCACACCTTCTCTCTTTTCTTCGTCCATTATTGAAGCGAGCATGGGTGAAGATCTGCGGTTGTTTAAAGAATTCACTCTTTTCCCATCAATGAGCATGCTCCCTCTTTTCGAGAATTCTATGCTGTTTGCTGTCAAGTCGTCCGCAAACCCGCCTGATGGAATACTTATGTCCAATGAAAGGCCGTCAAAAGCTGCATTCATGGAGGATTTGTCTTTGGCCGCCTCTTGCTCGGAAAACATTGCGCCTATTCGACCGGAATTCAAGGGTAACCATTTCTTGCTCTCCCCAACGCTCGCATCACTCTTCCGATCGGGCGCGTCGCTGACACGGATCTGGGGAACACTGGCTGCAGCGGAGGTCAAGCTGCTTAGTGTCGCTGTTCTCGTATTGAGGCTGGTTTGGCTGTCTCGTGCGGAAATTGAGCCTGTAGAAGTAAGTCGAACTGCGTCTCCATCGTGCAGCGACGCGTCGTTCTGGTTGTTCCTATTGGACCAGGTGGACGCGTTGTCCACTGATGGAGGCGATGGGAGTGGCTCGTGGCTCTCGTCGTCAGGAATTCGATGTAACGAAGTCGAGCTTGTGACCTTGATGGGTGGCTGCGATGCTACGGTCTGGCTGTAGGGTAAGCCGTGCAAACTGTACCTGAATTCGGAGGTCGGCGACTTGTTGGATGAGGCAATGGAGCCGCCCATGATCTACCTGCGAATTCAGCCTGCAAGGCACTGTGATGGAGGTGCGGGAGTGAGCGCGGGCGAGCGCAAGGGCCGGCATGGGCTTGACGCAGGCAGTGTGATTGGGGGCCTTGGGTGTCTGAGTACAGTTTCAGAAAGACGCCGAGGCTAAGTTAGAATCGGTCTTCCCTGCTGATGTGGTGATTTCTTGATCTCGTCTTGTTCCAAGGGTCACAGCCTGGATGTAGGGGTTTTCTCTTGAATATCTCCACGCAGCTACGGTGCGAAATTTGGCAAGGAAAAGGAGAAATCGACGTCATGATCGAAGATGAAGCGAAGCGAACTCGTGCAAGCGAGGGCGCATTCCCCTATAGAATGCCGGCTTTGGCTGGTCGAATTTCGGAGATGTCGCTTAGAAAATGAAAGCTGGAATATGAAGCACGATTCGAGATAATGAAAATTGGGCAACAGTTTGAGGAGCTGACAGATACAATGCGAGCTATCAGTGTACGACACAGGTTTTTGGATGGTGAAGCCAGTGTAACACAGCTCATTGCGCCTCCTGAGGCTGGCTTCATGGGTTCGACCACGACGCCGTATTGTCTGATCCTCGCGAGCAATTTGTGGACTTGATGATTCGAGCCTCCGTCGAAGGCATGGGATATATGTAATGTGTCAAACAACCAGTGCTTACTCAATTGACTCGTCTAATGGGCCATGGCATCCAAGAAGTCCCATGATGGAGTAGTACAACTGGCGGTCCACAAGGCTCACAACATTTACGACGCTTCGCTCCCCAGGAATCACGACGGAGAGACCATTGCCATCTATGCCCTTCGTGGCACAAGAGTATATGCTTCATTGTCACCACCAATACTACAAGGAAGTGCTCAACCCCTCGAGATGGTATTGCTGATGCAGGACTGAGTTCTCGAAGACAGGCCGAAGAAGGATACTCTGAGAGTCTGACAAAAAGCTCCAGCCCTAGATAGAGCTACTTCCCTGGTAAATTTATCTGTCAGACGCGCACAGATTAATTCCTTATCTCGATAAACAAGTGTTGGAGAAATTCGAGAAATATTTTCTGTAGACTGCAGTTTCAACTCTTCGTGCAGGAATTCGCCTTTTACTCCTCCTTCGCTCCTCCACACACTGCCGTTATGGCTGCTGATGACTCTGCAACTGGTTTGCTAACTGCATTGACATCCGCCTTGCAGCTGGCCACTTCTACGTTTCCCGATGACGAGGCCCAATTCCTGCCTCCCAGCGAAGGGATCTCTCTTCTGGACATTAAGAACGACCTTTTGCTATCCTATCTTCAGAACTTAACATTCCTCATCCTACTGAGACTAAGACAAGGCGATGGGTCGCATGGACATCAGGATGTGGGAGCCGAGGTCGTGAATACACTGGTTGAGCTGCGAGTATACCTGGAAAGAGGCGTTCGACCATTGGAGAACAAACTGAAATATCAAATCGACAAGGTCATCAGAGCCGCAGAGGAATCCGACCGGCGTGAAGCCAACAAAGGTTCCACCGCGCTCCAAAAGAAAAAAGACCGGAGCATACCCACTACGAAATCGCTTAATCCAGGCTCAGATGTCTCTGCGTCCGAGTCGGAAGACGTCGAGTCAGACGAGGAGGCAGACGGAGATACTGACGGGGACATGGCGGCGGCACCAAGACCTGCCGCATTGCAACGCAAAATCGACCCCTCTCAGACAAGAGCGCAGTCTGCAACATCACGGGCCGCGGGGACCGGTGCATACAAGCCTCCAAGGATCACTCCTACAGCTATGCCGGAAGCGTCGTCTACGCGAGATCGCAGCGACCCTGCGCGAAAACGAAGATCACAACTTCTGGATGAGTACATTGATGAGGAGCTCTCATCTGCACCACGTGCGCAACCTTCCATCGGCTCAAACAGTACCATTGTCCAGCATGGACGCGGCGCGATGTCTTCGCGGGAGCGGGAACGTCAAAAAGAGCGTACAGAGTACGAAGAGCGCAACTTTGTACGTCTACCAGCTCTCAGCAAGGCAGAAAAGCGGAAGGCAAGGTCACAGGGCGAGCGTAACCAGAGGGACCTGTTTGGTGGCGAGGACTGGACTGGACTGGGTGGCCTGGGTGATAGGATCAACAGGACTGTTGCAGGGCGTTCGCGAGGGGAGAGCGGAGGGGTGCTTCAACGACGAGAGAAACGGCGGAGAGATACACAGGACGGGCCGAGAGGTGACGGCGTTGGCATAGGAGAAACCTTTGAAAAGAAGAGAAAGATCATGCAGCAGAGGGCCGATCGGAAGACTAAAAGGAAAGGATAGATTGCCATACGTCTGTATCCGGCTGATCTTTGAAATCATCTACAAGACGACATATGCTCCCTGTAATTCTTGAGCTTTTCGGAAAATAAACTCACTGCACCTCGCGCTGAATGCAATGTATCCTCACGACGCCTGACCTGTCACGGTAGACCGGTCATTTCAGCAAGTCGTCTTTTTCCATGAGACGAGTAGCATAAGCCTAGCAAGTGTTCGGAATGCCTAGTTCTGATACTCCTCCTCTCCTGAAGAATCCAGATCTAGGATTCTGGATTATTCTCCACGTACTGTAGCTGTGCCAAATGGGCGTACCTAGTCGCTGAGTGCTTGTTCCTGAGGGTGCAAGTCTATCGCAAATCCAGATTATTTATGATCTCAATCGGCGGCTCTGTGCAGGAAGGCTTCAAGAGATCCCTCTGGGTTCGGTATGGCGATTTTCTGCACTTTTGTGATGCGAAAAATTCACAGACCCCCGCCCTCCCTGAGCGAGTGAAGGCTGAGTGTCTCGTCTGGGGTTTACCGACAGACAATGTTCACTTGATGCACTGCGTTTTCCAGGGACTTGTTCAATGGGACTCGTGTCCTGTACCGCAAAGGCACTTCTTCCAGTATCCAACCTCTTCCTAGGACGCTGCAAATGTGACTAGTTCGGCGCGATCAGGAGGTACAAATTGTTTCACCTGTCTGGCAGATCCCAGAGAAGAAGATGTTGACGGTGATCCTTGCAACTTTGGAGAGGAGTGCTTGGTAGATGGTTCGAGTCCCATATTGTCCCTTCAAAAATCGGGTTTCTGGTTTTGTAATCTCATAATCCCCTCGGGGGTATGGGATGAGTTTTTGTTCGCCCAAAGAAAGCCTGTTGGCTGACCTGCTCCCGATTCATTCAGGTTCAAATTTCCACCGAACGAGTCTCTTGGCCAGGAGGAAACGTCCAATCTGTTGATAGGTGCTGTATCATTGCTCCGACTGACGTTCCCGGACCATCTTTGGTTGCATGGCTATTACGGGTGGCCAGATGATAGAAAGGATGTCATCGACCCCAGGGCACCTTTCATGCGATGATTCCCAGTCTTCCTTCCCACTGGTCTTCCTGCTTGATTCCATTGCCACCCTTCCGTCGCTTCTCGTTCCTCTTTCGCCTCTTCTCTTCCCGTTCGGCGGCATCCAGTTCCTCGGCCTTCTTGATTCGAGCCTGTATATCAACCTCGCCCAGTCTCTTATCTTCCTCCTCTTGTTGCCTCTTTCTTGCTTTCAGCATCTCCAGCCGCTCGTGTACGTCTTGCAGAGTCGCTCTTTTGACTTCTCCGGACTGACCCGTGTTGATGAGGTGCTGCTTCGAATTCAAGTGCTCGATGTACTGCACGTTATCCTTGTATGTGAGATCACAAGCCTCGCAATAGAACCCTGCGCCCTTCCCTCTCTTGCCTACACCTGCACCAGCCGGGACAAGAGTGCTTTTTCCAACCATGCTGGCTACATCGAGCCGCGAGCCGCGAGCAGAGGTGGCATCGAGAGAGGACATGTCCACCTGCTTATGCCACTTCTTGCCTTCAAGTTTGGCTTCATAGCGTGCTTTCGCTTCTTCCTTGCGCTCTTCCTGGTCTTTTTTGGCCTTTGCCTCGTACTCTGATCGGTCCCATGTTCTGCGAAAGTCTGTGTCGGACGCAGCAGATTTGCCGTATGCTGATTTTGAGTCTGCCATGATGAAGCGAGAGCCTTGTTGCGTGTCGCCGTAGAAAGACAGCCCAGGGAAGCGCAGATATTGCGAGATGTAGTTGATTGTTGTGCCTGCGTATGGAGAAGCGAGAAAATGAGACCAACTCCAGCGACTCCGAAATGCGGAGAAACTTTTTGATATGAAATCGTGCGCATTCAACACTCGTCCTTCCTTTCAACGTTCGAGTCACTCCACCATAAGCGCTTTCAAGATGTCGCGGAAGTCTCCTTTCGATCTGTCTAAATGTGCACGACCCAATATCCTCAAGTTGCAGCCTTATCGTTGCGCACGCGAGTAAGAAGCGCACCTAATCTCCCCGCAGTCCACATGTTGACTCACATCTCGCAGTGACTACAAAGACGATGGCCACAACATCCTCCTCGATGCCAACGAGAACGCTTATGGGCCTGGTCTAGCTCTCGATAGCAATGGCACGTATCCGGCCGCCTCGGCGAACACGAATCTGAGCGTGGACTTCCTCGGTCTCAACCGATATCCCGACCCTCATCAGCACGAGCTGAAGCAACGCTTTTGCGCCTTGCGCAACACACACACCCACACGAGGAAAACCCTTACACCAGCCAACCTCTTCTGCGGCGTTGGGTCCGATGAAGCTATCGACGCCATCATTCGATGTTTCTGCACGCCCGGCACGGACAAGATCGTCACATGCCCGCCCACGTACGGGATGTACGCTGTGTCTGCAGATGTAAATGACATTGCCATTGTTCACGTCCCCTTGAACCCAGACGACGAATTCTCCTTACAGCTTGATGCTATCCTCGCCAAACTCTCCCAAGACTCTTCGATAAAGATGGTCTACATTTGCTCCCCAGGCAACCCGACCGCGTCCCTGATCCGCAAGGCCGATATCCAGCGTGTACTAGAGCACCCCACGTGGAACGGTATCGTGGTGGTTGACGAAGCGTACATCGACTTTGCTCCGGACGGCGCCAGCCTGGCCGAATGGGTCCTCGAATGGCCCAACCTCGTCGTCATGCAGACGCTCAGCAAGGCTTTCGGACTGGCAGGCATACGTCTCGGCGTCGCCTTCGCCTCGCCCGAAGTAGCAGGTCTGCTGAACAACTTGAAAGCTCCATACAACATTTCAAGTCCGACCAGCGCAATCGCAACGGCCGCGTTGAGCCCACAGAACCTCGAGATCATGCGCACCAACCGCTCCAAGATCATCGTGCAGCGTGACAGATTGCTCCAGGAGCTCCCGCGCATACCGGGCGTAGGACGCTTTCGCGGCGGCACCGATTCGAATTTCTTGCTTGTCGAGATCCTAAACGCGCCTGCAGACCAGGGTGGTAAACCTGATAACCCGACAGCACTCCACGTTTACGAGACGATGGCCGGCCAACGTGGCGTCGTGGTCAGATTTAGAGGCAAGGAGTACGGCTGTACGGGCTGTCTCCGAATTACCGTTGGCACCGAGAAAGAAGTCGATCGCTTCTTGCATGAGTTAAGGTCCGTTTTACAGCAAGCTCTTACGAGTAATGCGCAGGCCGACCGACCCGACGAAGCGAGGAGGGAAGTCGAGGCGAACGGAGTGTTATCGTGATGTCTTGGTTTTACTTCAGGTCAGAAGATGTACAGAATACAGAGCCGCTTTCAGGACGGCATAGAGAAAAGAACGACCCTTATGGAGTTGGTGGTGAAAACGAGGCGATTGTCACAGTTCCATAAAGTTTGCGTCGATTTGGACAGCGCTCGCTGGACTGCCTGAGTGACGAGATACCCTACGGAGTACGATCGGAGCGAACCTCGACGAACAGACGCTACTCCTCCCGCAATAGAGCAATTATATCGAAGGAGGCGCGGGCAGGAGCCTGAACATACACGTAGAGAGCAGAAGATCCTTGTTCCTCTGCACCGCGAGTACGAATTGCCGCAAGGCACTGGAGATTTCTCCGTATATGGTTATTAATCACCTTGCATGATGACTTTCGAAATGGAGATGTTCGAATGATTGGTATGATTGTAAATATTCTCTCAGTCGCTTGCTGCTTACATATAGAGATGAAAAATTGGGGTCGTTGATGAGCTATCTAGATGTCGTAAACTAAAAATATAGATTATAAAATCGAGTCAGATGCCAGGATGACCGGGTCAATTCCACATCAGCTTCGTTTGCCCCAGCCGCTGAAGAAGCCGCCCGTACTCGCAGATGCAGTGTGAGAGGCTTTGGGAGCGTCCTTCGCGCCAGGGCTGACGCTGGCAGAAGTCGCAGAGGTCGGCGACTCTGATACGCGCACTCCCGGTGAGGACGAAGAGCCACTCATGATCTTTCGCAGAGCATCAAGCTTGCCCTTGGTCTCTTCTAGCTCCTGCCTGGCTACCGCTTCCGCTGTTTTGGCATTTGCTAGTTCGATCAGAAGCGCATCGTTGGACGCTGGCTCGTGATTCTCTGTCGACAGAAACGCTTGGGTGTTGAGACTGCTCGATCTTTTCGAGAAGGGCCCAACGCTTGACGATCGAGACTGCGGCTCTGGTCGGCCCAATCTGAGCTCTCGAAGACCAGATTTCGGTGCCGGCAGCTTGAGATCGGGAAACTCATCCACTGGCGTATATAGATCCGCAGGTGAATCGGGGGTAGAGCTATTCCGTGAACGCAAATCCGAAACCGTTCGCTCGAGGCGCTGCTTTTCCCGATGTGAATCTTGTATCCGTGCCCTGGCTTCCTTTAGGCTTTCCTTTAGCGAATTATACTCGGCTTCGCGCTCGTCGAGTTGTCGCATCAGCTCCCGGCATTTGGCTGCTTCTGCTTCGTGCTTTTCTTTCCACTCAGAAACATCATCTCGCAGTTGATGCTTCGACTGCACTATGGACAGGCGCTTAGAGTCATTTGAGCCGAGGTGATGGTCCGCTTGGTCCAGAAGTCCAACAAGCGCACCATCCTCCTCCTCCGCATCGTCTCCAGCTAAATCTTTGATGTCGTCAGTCTGTTGCCGTAGTCGATCGAGCAGAGCTCGAGCCAACCGTCGATCCTCTTCCCGCTCCTCTCGCTCTCGCTGCAATTCCCGGGCAAGGTCAACATGCTGACGTTGAACTCTAGATAATTCTGTCAATAACTCCTCGATCTGGTGGTGCAAGTCCCGGTCATTCGAATTTGGAGGCGAAGCAGAGGTCTCAACCACAGTCAAGTTCGACATAACAGCTTTGGGTGCGACCTCGTCGGAAAGCTCTGTTGCTAGTGTACTGGCTTCAGAGGCCGAAGTATCCACTGAATTGACCGTCGAAGTGATACTCTGGCCCGAGGAGGATTTTCGGATAGATGATTTGTTGTTCCCGGGAATCAGTAGACTCAAGTTTGCAGACCGTGAAGGAGCGTGGGATGAACCTGCCCAAAATCGACCAAGAAAAGATGCCGCAGCACTCTTGAGTGATGGCGCCGCCGTCAGATTTTGTGAGTGTCTGAAGCTTGTTTCGAGAGACTGTAGTGTCTCTGGGCTCACAAGTCCAGTCAATGACACAAAGTCAGTTACAAGATCATCCGCTTGCTGTGCGTAAGTATCCCACAGACGTCTTGCGAGGAGGAACTGCATGACATCCTCGAACTCGGTATAAGACATTAATTTCTTCTGGTTGCGCTGCATCAAGGACAGTGCGACTCGCATCAGTGTCTCAGTTGCACCTTCACACAGAATTACATCATAAATGCGTAGTAGCATTGGGAGAGGACAAGTGACGGCGAAGAATGACAGGAACCATTGAGACACATAGAGTGGCTCGACTTTGAGTGCCTCGAGGTGGGCTGCCAGTTCTGGCAGATGACGAGTGAGAAGCTGCTGAAATTGGTAAATCCGAAGATGCAATCCTGACAGATCAGGCAGATAGCATGATCGAAGATCATAGTGCTCCATTAGCCTGGAGTTTGGTCAGAAGCCGAAAGCACGATATTTCATGGGTTAACTTACCTGACGAGAATGCAAAAGGCTTCCGCTTCGCCCATATGCATTAGGAGTGGACCAACAACGAACCCAAGGCCTTGACAATATCCAATCTCTTCGTCGTAGATGCTAAAGGCCTTCAAGACGTTCCCAAGCATGCGCTGGCCTTCACCATCTTTTTCTCGAAACATGTCGACATTGGGGAAGCTTCGCCCTACGTCTTTTCCAATCAGAGCATCATAAGGGCTAGGCTCCAAGGACAGTCTCTGGTACTCAGAAATAAGAAATGGGTCTCGTGCTCGTGCAATGCTGGGCCACACATGCTCTCTGAACATTGCTGGCACACCACTTCGAATCTTGTTGGATGTGAGTGTCGGCAGGCGTTGCACCGTCTGATTGTAATCCTGGACCAAAGCTGCCCAGAACTCCAACTCGGTGAATCCGGGGGTCGGGAGCATCGAATACCTCAACGATTGTCTGACAGGGCCATCCATCATTCTCTTCAACTGTTGTATAGAAGGCGGCCTTGTATTTTTACGAGGCCGAGAGGTGGTTGCAATTCCAGCCTTAGGATCAGTCGCGAGGGCAGCATTTTCTTTTTCGAGTCGTGCAAGCAAAAGGGCTGTAGACTGGAACAGTGTGAGAACTCCTCCTGCTATGGTTAATATAGCAGCTTACCTCATCGGTGGCCTCATCTTTTGCTTCTTGTTCCTCGGTCTTCTCAAGGCCTTCCCAGTCCACAGAACGTATCGAGACGGAGCTTTCGGATGTTCTGGAAGATGATCGACTGGAACGGGTGGAGGACGGGCTGCTTTGTCGAATAGAGGGCTGAGGTGACGCTTCTACTTCAGCATCTAAGTCGAGCTCCGGCGGCGACTGTATATCGGATAATCGAACGGTTATCATGGAGCTCCTGGGAAGAGGAATGTCTTCAGGTTTAAGTGCGGTGTTGACTTCGAATAGAATGTCTTGCTTTTCCGTGGGGCCAAGTTCCTCCACGATTGTTTGTTCCATCTTGAACAACGTAATGCTTTTAACCAAGAAGAACTGAAGAGGCGGGGAAGGAGTGACAGTTCGTCAGAGGCAAAAGGAGCGATGCCTTGACGGAGGTTGGAAAGTTGCAGCAGTGATCAAATGAAAGACTTCCCGCAGAGGTTCGCCAGCGACCGTGCAAGGAGAATGTCAGAGGTGGCTGCGGCTGGTACGGAAAGGACGTCGTCGAAGACGACCAAGGCGATAGAATACAGAGGAGAAGAAGGCGGTGTTCCCGGAAGCACAGTTCGCAGGATGGAAGTAGTGGAATGTACTGTATGTTCGAGAGTCGAGTGGGCCAGGGGGTTGACGCATGAAACTGCTCCTCATTTGGCACTAGCCGGCCAATGCTGATCGTCAGCGATGGCTGTAATTTCGGCTGACGACAAGCTGGCGAAACTATCTTTGAGTGCTTCTCAATACCGCTTGTTCCGTGGATTGGTCACTCAAGTTTGATCGAACATCAGAAAGTAGTCTCAGGCAAAGTGAACGTGAGGGCGGTATGGAATATATTCAACCAGCCTCGACGAAACGCGTCGGTGTGAAACTCAGACAACAATGCGGGGGGCTGGCTGCGCAAAGAAAGCAACGAGACAAATCTGAAGCAGCACATGCCACATAGGAGCCAGCCAGTAGTAGCGTTTGACATTTTATTGTGAGTTCGTTGTCGACGTGAGTTTGCTGGTGACAGAACGCATGGATCGGGACTGTGAGTTGTACACAATCATCCCACAACCACGGTCAGGGTTCAGGGGTAAACAAGCCGCGGCACCACTTGCGCTCCAGGCAGATAGAGAGCGGTCCACCCCGCATCTTGGATAGCATAGTGCTTGAGCGAGACTCGGTGGTGAATTTGCTGATACAGCCACGCTGTGGCTTGCAGGAGGCTAAAAGAAATAACGGCCCAGCTTTGCCAAATGATCCCTCACTTATGCTCGTCTCCTAAAGCCAAAGTCTGTAGGAGAGAATAATGTGAGATAGCCAAAAGCGGTTAGCTCCAAACTACCACAATAGGATTAGCTCTGCTCACGAGATCTTGGCGCGACAAGGCTGACCCTGGGCGTTGATGTGGCTCAGGCTGCGTCTTGTTGTTGTTTTGCCCGAATCTCTGTTTACAATTCAATTCTTCCTAACAACGCCACTCTTTGCAAATGTCTCTCTTACAACAGTCAATGTCTTGATGCGCGCAGCGATCTTAGACAGAAACCCACCGAACGGGTGCTTCTAAGCGACAAGAATCTTAAACTCGGACTCTATCAACATGGGTTCCTCTGTCTTTGACATTGACGGGGGAAGCTCAGATTTTGAGCCAGCGCCTGTAAGTTGTGGAAAGCTTGACTCTAATCTGAGCGGTTGTTCTGACAATTTTGTCCCCAGAAAGCGAAAGCCAAGCCTGCGAAAAAGGCAACGGTTCCTAAAGTGCCGAAAACAAGTGCACCCAAAGCGAAAACGGGTCCGAAACCCAAGGCTACCGTTCCAAAGAAGCGCACCAAGAAGGATGCTGAAAACGACGAGGATGAGGTCGATGACGCCAGAGATGCTTTCGACGACGAGTCGCTCCTGGCAGATACTCCTCCGCAATCCAAGAAAGTGAAGGCCAATCCCAATCCAGTCAAGGGTAGCCATAAGAAGCCTTTAGGCGACTTGGTCAATGAGGCCATTGGTGCCGACGGCGCCAATGATTCACCACACCCTCAGAAGAAGAAACGAGTGTCGGAGCAATATCAGAAATTGACACAGCTGGAGCATATTATCAAACGTCCCGACACATACATTGGATCAGTAGAGCGCACGGAGAAGCAGATGTGGGTCTACAACACCGAACAAGACAGCATGGAATTCCGAGAAGTATCCTACGTCCCTGGTATTTTCAAGATTTTTGATGAAATACTGGTCAACGCGGCAGACAACAAGCAAAATGACAAGAACATGAGCGAACTTCGAGTTACTATCGATCGAGAACATGGTGAAATCAGTGTTTACAACAACGGTCGTGGTATTCCCATTGAAATTCACTCCAAAGAGAAGATTTATATCCCGGAAATGATCTTTGGCCACCTTCTCACAGGTTCGAACTACGACGACAATGAACAAAAAGTTACTGGAGGCAGAAATGGATATGGTGCGAAACTTTGTAACATATTCAGTACAGAATTCACCATCGAAACTGCTGATGCCCGCCAGAAGAAGAAGTACAAGCAGACTTGGACCAATAACATGTCTCAAATGGGAAAGGCAAAGATCACAGATTGCAAAGGCGAGGACTATACCAAAGTCACCTTCAAGCCTGACTTCGCCAAATTTGGCATGGGAGGTATGGATGATGACCTCGAGGCGCTTTTCAAGCGTAGAGTCTATGATTTAGCAGGCACTTGCCGGGGTGTCACTGTGAAGCTGAACAGCTCACGCCTTCCAGTCCAGAACTTCAAGAAATACATCGAGATGTACACAAAGGCCATCAAAAAGGAACGAGGTGAAGAGGCTGCAAATGACAAATCCGAAATCATCACCGAGTCTACTGATCCTCGCTGGGAGATTGGTTTCACTGTTTCTGACGGCTCTTTCCAACAAGTCTCATTTGTCAACTCCGTTGCCACCACGTCTGGTGGCACTCACGTCAACTATATCGCGGATCAGATCGTCAACAAGCTGATCGATGTTGTCAAAAAGAAGAACAAAAACGGGGCGACGCTGAAACCAAATCAGATCCGCAACCACATTTTCGTCTTTGTCAATGCGCTGATTGTCAATCCAGCTTTCACTTCCCAGACCAAAGAACAACTCACCACCAAGTCTAGCCAATTTGGCAGCAAGTGTCAAGTCTCCGATGCGTTTATGAAGAAAGTCATGAATACCGACGTCGTTGCTAACATTCTCCACTTTGCTCAGCAGAAGGCAGATCAGATCCTCAAAAAATCTGATGGAAGTAAACGAAGTCGAATGAACAACCCCAAATTGACAGATGCGAACAAAGCGGGTACCAAAGAAGGCTATAAGTGCACTTTGATCTTGACAGAAGGTGACTCGGCCAAAGGTCTTGCCATGGCAGGTCGATCAGTCGTGGGCCCCGACTTATGGGGTGTATTCCCTCTCCGTGGCAAGCTCCTAAACGTCCGAGATGCTTCGATTGACCAAATTTCGAAGAACGCAGAGATCCAGAACATCAAGAACTTCCTTGGCCTTCAGCATAAGAAGGTTTATACCGACAGACAAGGCTTGCGGTACGGTCGGTTAATGATCATGACTGATCAGGATCATGATGGTAGCCACATTAAGGGCTTGTTGATCAACTTTTTACAAGTGCAGTTCCCTAGTCTGTTGAAAATTCCAGACTTCCTAGTTGAATTCATCACTCCCATCATCAAAGTCTGGAAAGGCGACCCACAGAACCCCTCTCAATCCCGGGCGTTCTATACCATACCTGAGTATGAGGCATGGAAGGAAGCACACAAACATGAACGTGGGTGGGAGAACAAGTACTACAAAGGATTGGGCACAAGTACCACCGAAGAGGCCCAGCAATACTTCAATGATTTAGATACCCACCACAAAGAGTTTGACACTATGAAGGATGACGAGGCCGCCCTAATTGAGCTCGCCTTCTCAAAAAAGAAGGCAGACGAGCGAAAGGAGTGGTTGCGACAATTCAAACCAGGAACTTACCTTGATCACAATATCAAGAAGATCACTTACTCTGATTTTGTCAACAAAGAGTTGATCCTCTTCAGTATGGCTGACAACATAAGATCCATCCCCTCTGTCGTCGATGGTCTGAAGCCTGGTCAACGAAAGGTCATGTACGCGTGTTTCAAACGAAATCTGAAGAAGGACATGAAGGTGGCCGAGCTTGCCGCTCTCGTTGGTGGTATGACTGCTTACCACCACGGCGAAACCTCCCTGCAGCAAACTATCGTCGGGTTGGCCCAGAATTTTGTGGGATCTAACAATGTCAATCTACTGGTTCCTTCCGGCCAGTTTGGCACGCGAAATCAGGGCGGCAACGATTGCGCCAGTGCTCGTTATATCTTCACTCGGCTGTCGCCTTTCGCCAGGAAACTATTCCACCAGGCAGACGAACCGCTTCTCACCTACAATACAGATGATGATCGCAAGATCGAGCCTGAGGTCTATGTACCCATAATTCCTATGATTCTCGTCAACGGAGCTGACGGAATCGGCACGGGTTGGAGTTCGTCCATTCCGAACTACAATCCTGAGGATATCGTCGACAATCTCAAACGACGAATGGCTGGCGAAGAGTGGAAACCGATGCAACCCTGGTTTCGTGGCTTCAAGGGCGAAGTCAAAGAGACTGCCCCAGATCGTTACCAGTTCAGCGGCATCATCCATCAAAGTGGATCCACTGAAGTCGAAATCACCGAACTACCCATTCGGACTTGGACACAAGATTTCAAAGACAAACTGGAAGAGATTATCAAGGCTGAGAAAGTCCCCTCGTTCATAAAGGACTACAAGGATTACAATACTCATGACCAGGTTCATTTCATTATCCAGATGGACGAGAAGCATATGGATAAGGCTAACGAAGAAGGCTTGGTTGAGAAATTCAAGCTGAACAAGTCTATCGCCACATCCAACCTTGTAGCCTTTGATCCTGAAGGACGCATCACCAAATATGCAAATGTCGAAGCCATCATGAACGAATTCTACAGTTACCGGCTTCAGCTGTACGCGAAACGAAAAGAGCGGTTGCTGCAGGACTTGCAAAAGGACTTGAGACGTTTGACAAACCAAGCTCGATTCATTCAGATGATCATTGATGGGAAGCTTAGCATCTCCAAGAAGAAAAAGGCTATTCTTATTGCCGAGCTGCAGAAGTTGAACTTCGAGCCTTTCCCAAAATCCAAGGATGCCACCAAAGAAGAAGAGATTCTTCGCGCTGCTCAAGACGATGAAAATGAAGACGATAACACTGAGGCGAGCGCATATGATTATCTGCTTGGCATGGCTCTGTGGTCATTAACCCAAGAACGGGTAGAGAGACTGCTGAAGCAGATTGGCGACAAAGAGACAGAAATTGATGCCTTGATGCAGAAATCAAAGGAAGATCTCTGGAGACAAGACCTGGATGATTTCATCGCAGAATGGCGCTTTCAATTGGAAGACGAGCATGAGCGGAAGCGAAAGGTCCGGAAAGGACGACGTGTCTCCAAGAAATTCGCAACAGCAGCTTCGAAACCAAAGGGCAAGAAGCGTAAAGGCATGGGTGATTCTTCAGACGATTCCGATTTTGAGGCGTCTGCGCCCAAGGCGAAAAAGCCTATCCCTGCGCCAAAACCAGTTCAGAAGCCTGTACCAAAGCAGCGGACTATCGAAGCATATGCTGCGCCGAAATCTAATGCTCTGGCGCATGCGATGGAGCAGAGGAAGCTGTATACGGACGGCAATAGCGATCCTTTAGAAGAACCAGAAGACCTCGCAGACCCTCTCAGAGGTGACTTGGCAGTCAAGACCGAGTCTCAGACCGAAGTAATTTCCACCAAGCCTACTAATCGACAAGCTCGAGCAGTCACAAAGAAGCCAACAAACTATGCTTTGCTAAGTGATTCCGAGAGTGATAATGGGGATGGCTTGCTTGCGGATCTTGGTGATATGGTCAAGGGATTGCCGAGCAAGGCGACAACTGACAGCGGCAACGAGTCCCGCACATTGTTTTCTGCCTCTGCGTCGAGACCCACCAGCAGCCATGGCTACAAACTTCCTATCAAAGCTGCTCCTAGAGAGGATCTCTCCGCCGACGAGACAGACTATAAGAGGTTGGCCCCACAGTCTTCGCCGAGACGATCCATCATCGTCACAAGCAAAGAAGAAGCCAATGATGTCGAGGAGAGTGACGACGATATCGTTCCGGCAAGAGCATCGAACAAGGTGGCGCCGAAGAAACAGCATGACGTTATGGACTTGGACAGCGACAGTGATGTCGTTATGCCCAAGAAAACTGCACCTGTCAGAAAGTCGGTTAAGGACACTCAACCCAAGGCCAGGAAACCTGCGGCAAAGAAATCCGCTCCTGCATCAAAGAAAGTCGAGCAGTCACCGGTAGCCAAGGCGTATGCCAAACGACTGGCGAAAAAAAAGGTGGTCGATTCTGATGATGAGATGGATATACTCGCAGATGATATTTTAAAATCACCATCTGCGTCAGACTCAGATGAGCCCGTGATCCGCAAACCTGCCGCACGCCCAGCAAGACGAGCGGTGGCTACGAAGAAGACCGCAAAATACACGTTTGACGAGGATGACGAGGATGGAGACGAAGGAACTCAGGAGGATGCCTCTTCTGCGGCGTTTTCAGAGAGTGAATGAAGGCATTATTTCCGATCTTGGTCATGCTCGAGGCACCACGAACCAAACGAGGTAGCTATAGTATAGGTCGTATCGGCATTCGGAACATTGGGGGCGGTGTGAGTCGATTTGCTACGATTGAGGCAATGTATCTATTTCTTAGTACCGAAACGTACCTTGGGCACCCTCCGTGCCTACCTAGGTAACTGTTATTGACGTATTAATGCCAGATGTCTTTTACTACAAGGTCGAAGGGACCATAACACCGTCACCATAGTGGAGTCTACGGCAACGACATTTCGACCGTGAAAGCCTAATCTGCCACACTCACCTTGGACCCGAAAAAGGTGCATGAGAGGGATTCTGGGCCTCTCCAACTCAGGTCCCAATCCTTCATGCATGGTCTCATGCAGAATAGTTCTTTGTCTGTTCGGCAAGGCTGGCCAATGACTCGCCTTGTTGTGAAACACAGGTATGCATCAATCCGCAACCACTGCTTGGAGAGGCTACCTAGTCGCCCATACAACTGACAACACAACCGTCATCCATCGACCACCGCAGGAGTCCATTGCTGCTCTTGGCTGCGGTCACCGTGGAGATGCGGTCGAGGCCGCTGGGTATCTGGGGGCGTTGCTGTGTTTTGAGATTGGTGAAAAGCGCGTCACGGGCATTATCGACTACTACACCCGTGACAAAATGATCTGGCACGACGCCCTGTCTTCTGTCTGGGACAAGGTCAGATTCATCTCTCTAGGTTAGCATTTGAAGAATGCCTCTGGCAGGTTCAACAAGTTTCCACAGATAGGCGGCAGCGGTTGCAAACCTGCCTGTAGTATCGTGGTGAGTCTCACAGCTGCGCCAAACCGACTGTCCAGAATACCTTCTTTCACCGCCCCTTCTCTGCGCGCCAAAGCCAGGTGGAAGGGCTTGTTGATTCGTCACTGAGCGAATATCGGGATGAGTGATGTCTTGCCTTACATATTGGCCAGACAGGATACCTACCTTAGCATCAGTCCCTGCTTCCATACGGTCAAAGAACTGACTGCTATCTTTGCCTGAAATCGTGGATTCCCCCATACAAGTGGAGCCATGATGAGCAAGAGAAGGAGATCTCTCATGTTTGTCTGATTCAAGCTTTGTCTCAGCCAAATGCACTGATTGCTGTTTGTCGACTGGATGAAGTGCTATGCGGCAATCCAAACAGGTGGAAAACCTGTCTTGTTCGGATCTCAGTACATAAATGCTACTGCTTCCTGTCAGCAACCTCCCTCCCTGCAATAATGGCTCATATCAAATCTCTTCTCAACCCCACCATGGACGACACCGAATACGACAGCAAAGACGAAGTCTCCACAGCTGACAGCCAGACCTCGTCAGGTTCGCCTAAGCGGAGAGGTGGTCACGACGTTGCGAGTCGAAAGAAGCCGAAGACTGCGAAGGATGCTGCCGTATTCAAGCCTGGTGCTGTTCGTGAACCGTGTCGGTATCCACCTCACGAGGACCAAGATGATTTCCTAGCTGCTCAGCATCAGATGCACGAGATCTATCCAATGGGCAGTATCGCTGACTACCCACGGCACATCCCGTACAATGGAGGTAAGAAGCTATTCTGGGAGAAGACTGGAAGAGAGAGCTTTGAAGGTATGGAACCCTCGGTCGACTAGCAAGCTATATATTTAAGGATTCTCGGTAGTTTTCCAGTATCAGTTCAAGATTCCCAACGACCCAACCACATACACAATGCTCTGGGACTACAACATTGGCCTTGTACGCACTACACCTCTCTTCAAGTGTGGACGGTATTCCAAGGTAAGAGACCACGCCGAGATATCTCTCGGTTGACTCACCGGTAACAGACAACTCCTGCGAAAACACTGTCTCGGAACGAGGGATTGAAGGACATTTGTCATAGCATCACTGGGGGAGCTCTTGTTGCTCAAGGTATGTCGACCCTGATCAGACAAGCTGGAGCCAGTGCTGAAAACCTTGACCTCAAGGCTACTGGATACCATATGAAGCGGCCAAGGCAGTTGCTGCTACATTCTGCTGGAGTATTCGCTACGCATTGACTCCGGTCTTCGGTACAGATTTTCCCAACATGTGCCTCCATCCGAACGATGAGAATTTCGGCTCTATGCTGATTGATCCGGAGATCACGAAGCGATGTGCACTGCTGGCTCAGCACTATCGAGCACTGGAGGGAAGAGAAACACCGCCGCCAGTTCCAGCCATGCATAGTCCACAATTGCCTGAAACGCCAAAGCTTGGACCGTTCTTCAAGAGAATCTTGCCGAAGCCCATCAGAACGACGACAGGTTATACCAGCGACTGTACTTCTGACATGGGTGCGGAGGATCACTATGCTCTGTCTTCTACATCACCACATGTCGACTTCAGTACTCCGTGGTCCGCAGTCAACTCTCCACGTTCCCCATCACCCAAAGTTGCCTTCACCGACCCATGGTCGCCTGCCAGTACGACTCGTTCGGACTCGCCCTCGGGCAGGTCTCGGAGAGGACGCACAGCTGCTGACATTCCTCGTTCCCACACCCCCCTTGACCTGATGCCACCGCCACGGAAACCGATGTACCCGACGATCAATACCATCACTTCACAAGCGTCTGTCGCAGATTCGGCTCAGCTTCCCACACCGATTACACCAGGCATATCCCCTAAGTCTAGGCGCCGACACATGGACATGGATGAGGACTACGATGCTGGTTCGGATGACTCAGAGGCTGCAGGAGCAGAGAAGAGCAGGAAGAGATCTTCGCATACCTTCACTGAGACCAATGCTGCATACGTGTTGTTGAAACTTGCTGGCAAAGATAATGTTGGAGCTGGGTTGAAGTCCCTCAAACGAAGAGCTTCAGCTTGAGTCGCCGCTACGGTGAAATACACGATGGGATCTCTGATGAGAGGCCTGAGTGGAACGAGAGTTCGAACACGTGGATTTGGAGGGTAGTAAAGCGAGGCTATGAATTTTCTTTGTTCTGGTGGTGCTCTAGAGCTCCTTGTTCAGGTTGCAGCAACTGCGTTTCTACTGTCTGCAGCTCATCACTGGTGAAGGCAACCGTGAGCAACGACTTGTTTTGTACCCTCATTCTCCCCCCTCCCAATGTTTGGCCTGTCCTTGTTCTTGCACGGTACTTGCGCATCTACCTTATTGTCTTTATTTCCAATCTGCCTTGTCAGCGTGTAGCTTTTGATCCCCTCTGACTCAACTCACCTCACCTCACGTTTCTCCTATCTCCTTGCATCATGCCACAGCCTGTGAACGTTGACAAGACACGTACTTGTCGTTACTGGGCGTTGGGCCCAGCATGCCCCAACATCGACGCGTTTGGGACCATTACGTGCTCATATGCTCACTGGGACACCGGTCGACTAGCCAGTCATCACCAGCAACGTGGTACCTGCATTCCTTGGAAATACTATGGTTACTGTGGTCGGGGAGTCGGTTGCTGGTACGAGCATCGGGATACTGGGGTCGACGGTTTGTTCCAAGGAAGTACGTTTCGTTGAGTTCGTTCGTCAATTCAACCGTGCTGACCTCAGTAGCGATCGATCTGAATGGGATTGAACTCGAAATCGCCGATGCAGCTTCCAAAGCAGGATTTGACACTTTCAACCACGAAGCTTTATTCGACCTGATCTGGGCCGTCAAGCGTGTAGCATTGAAAACAAGTGCTGCTCAATTGGCGCCTCCTTTCCTTCCTCGAACTTCCATATATCCCGACAGGTATCGCCCACGACGGTTCGGAAAAAAATCGAGAAAGAAGAGCAAGACAAAAGCCTTCAGACAACCCCCAAACCTCAATGTCGAGCTCAAGTTCCATCCTGTAAAGCCTCTGATGCGAAAACGTCCACACACGGATGTCAAAGAGGAAGACCTCATAGACTTCACGGCCGCTTCCGATACTGTGAGACGTCCGCTACAGCCAACCTCACACCGTGTTTCGGTCAAGAGACAAAAGATCCTCAAACATGAAAGTATGCCCAAGGGTGGATTACAACCAACATCAACCATGAAACCACCCAGTTCAGCCTACTCAATATCTACGGGGGCTAGCAGAGAACCACAAGCAACACTTGCTTCTTCCCAAACAGCTATCCCTAATCCAGGTTTTGAGGTCGCCCCTCCTCTCGCACCAGAGACAGAAATCACAAATCAGCTGAACCAAGTCAAAGCAAAGCTTGATGATGCCAGGATGAACATGAACCACTGTCAGTCAGCTATGAAGGAATTGTTCGATGTCCATTGCCACCGATTCGACAATAACCAGATCATGGCAAGCTTACAAAAGCTAAGCGACTGTATGAACAAGATATATGATGGGAGCAAGGCAGGTGCTGGCGAGATCGAGGCAGTTGTCGACCTCGTCAATGGTAGAGAGCTGATCTGACCCTGAGGTAGGCGGGTGTTAGCTATCTGATGTCACGCGGTGAAGCGATCCTATTATTCCCTTAGCGTATGGGCGGTTGATCAAAGATATGGCGTTTAGTGAGCGGAATTTGGAGGAGACAGACAATGTTCCCAAGTGATTCTGTCTACTGACATGTCACCTGCGCTGTCGACAGATCCTGGCGAGGACTAGGATGGGAGGATTCTCTGAGATTCGAGAGGATGTTGTCGTTATCATGTGGAGCTGGCGAAACGGAATGATAAGGCGAAGTCTTTATCAACTGGGGGTTGCGATCACTTCATCATGTCGATCACAGACCGATGTATGTTATGAGATATGCGCTTACACGACGATGCTGTCTTCGGTCGTCCATACAACTTATGCCTCAGTTTTCACACTGTACTCGGTGAGAGCGAGAATTCGCTCCTGAGCTGGGTTAGTGAGGCGAAGCTTTCCGAATATGTTCGCGGTTGAAACACCTGTCATTTCCTTCCCGTCAATCGCAATTTCTCTTCAGCTACACATCGTGCACCCAGTCAAGCTGAAGAGCATCGAAAATGCTCTATGTGGCTCATATAATTGAAAAGCTGCGTATCTCACAAGAGCCACGGTTCCATTACGACGCACATTGCAGTCATAACACTCCCACTCGGGTGACTGGTAGCATGTCTGGCTTTGCAGAGGAGGGCATATTGTATCGCCTATCCTCGTGTCGCTTCATGCGTGGCGGGAGTCCTTCTCATTATGAACGACTCTGAAGCTTCACAGAACAGGTAAAGTATTCACCAACCGGCCCGATGGCCTCCTCAAACGCAACCAGCTGTGATTGCAACTGAGAATGGCGAGCCGCCAGCAAACTAGGATGCCTATGCATTCTACCGCATCCTCAGGCAGTGAACTGGGCTTGTTTACAAAACTACCTGATTCACTGATCATGGCGCGTGTCACTTTTCATCTTCACTGCAGCCGAAACTGTCGTCCTGACCCTCATGTGCCGTGAATTGCGCGCTGAAGGACACTGCGGCGTCTTTCACATTTCAAATATCATTTGGCACGATCATGAACTTGGTACGCAACCCTTCAATCTCAGTACAGGCATCAGCAGACCCGGTTTAATGCTCGATCACTCCACGACGCGAAATTGACTGAGTGGTCTTCGGTTACATCCATCAACAAGACTCTGCTGTTGAAACATGGCTTCACAAAAAGACGCTCAAGCCAGCCAGTCGACTCTGCCAATTTCTCCGTCTGTGATCGTGGGGATTGTAATCTTGTGTGCTTTCTGTGCCATGGTCCTCATCGCAAGCGTCTTTGGATATTGTCGAAACAATCGTTCGTCAACAACGACCGATCTCGAGTTTGAAGAGAGCCTGAATGGGATCAATCGAAATCGTCCTCTGACCGCAAGCCAAGCCGCACGCATGAAAGAAGTGAGATGGATCAACAACATGTACGCGTGGGAGCGAGCCAGACACGCCAGAAAGGAAGTCGGCGGCGAAACGAGATCTGCAGCAGTCCTCGTCGGACGGGTTGGCGAGGAGCGTCATTGGGATGAATGGAGCAGCATCGGCACCGGAGATAAAGACTCGAGCTCTGGAGGAAAGGTAAGCCGGCGTTCCCTTCGAATGGATGAGGAGCAATTGCTGACGGATTCCTCCAACAAAAAAAATAAAGACCTTCAAGAACTCAGTTGATGACTACACCCGTGCGCCGCTGCTCTACGGCGGTGACGACCCGTACGCACGATCGAGTCACCACCGGTCCAGCCATCATCTCATGCCATCGTCGGCGCGATGCTCCTACATGTCCGGGTCCCAGTATTCCGGTTTGCCACAGTATCCTTCCATGTTGCTTCCGCAGCCCATCCAGCGTGACATGATCCAAAGTCCTTTCAGGCGCAGGTATCCACCGAGAGAGATCGCCGAGCCGATCGAACAACCAGCCATGCAGAACCAGGCGACCAACCCGAAAGTCACCATCAACAACGGCGTCGAGGATCTTGCACGTTGCAGCGGTACCACGTATGATACAAACACCGAAGGCTTCGCGATGCACAACAAGGCTACAGAAAGACCGGGCCCCATGTTGGGTTCCACTCCCGAAGACGACCAGGTCCGCATCAACGACTCGTTTTCAGCATTGCCACTGAGTCCTCACACCCCGAACCCGCCGGTCGTTCGAGATGAGAATGACCAAGCGGTGGTGGTCCAGCAAGAACTTCGCCCTGCTCAATCTACTCGGGCTGGACCGGGCCAGAGCGAGAGTAGACCTTTTCAAGAAGGCGTCAGGGCCATGATCGAAGAATGGGAGGAAACCAACGGACGATTCGGTAGACACAGCGGAGCTTGATCTCGACATTGCACGGTGATGAGGGTGCTTCTGTGATTCCATGGTGTTTTTTTTTCTTTTCGCGGCTATGATGGGCTTCGAAGAGCGACGGTCCTGCAGGATGAGGACTTTATGGCCGAGCACCAGCTTTGCGCATTGGCATGGAACTCTAAAGAGAGAGCAAGAGAAGGTCAGGGGCTAGAAGGTTGATGCTTGCGTGTGTGCTTTTTTGGACAGAGCTATCAATTGGGCTCTTCTAAGCTCATCAATTGAACCGCCACAACCGTGGCATGTTCAAGTTCTTGAGAATCTTGATTCTTCATTGTTGACTCAAAATGCATGACCACGACTGACCTTGTCAGGCATGACTGATCCCCTTCCTTTCCATAGTGCGTTGCTGGCCACGAGACTTCCGCCACCCTTGTCCTATGCAGTTTCTCGTGTCGTGTATTGATCTGACAGGTTCAAGAGGGTACGTGGAACACTGAATGTGTGCGGCCTGGACCCAGGTTTATCCCTTCCTGAGTTTTATCACAAGACACTTTTCGGGGGGGGGGTCTCTAATGGTGTTTATTCCCAGGTCCTCAAACTTATATGACACATGATAAAAATATGGCCTCATAGTCGAGGGGTTTTCTTTTTGTTGTTGTTTATGCCGTAGTAGGTAACTGGCCACCCCTAATACCTCGTTCAACGACGGCCGCTACCGCCCCGATCCCGACGACGATCCATGTCCACTTGTTCTTGACTTGGTCCGGTTTGGGCCAGAAGCTGTTCTGGCGCGTCTTGTAGTGCTCAAAGTCGCTCAACTTGACCGCGGCCTCGGTGCTGCCCCGTTGCGCCGCGACGTTGTACTGGTCCTTCTGGTACGCCTCGGTCTGGCGGTCGCCCCCGACGTGGCGCAGGAAGACGTAGTTGGCCACCGGGCCCAAGAAGGTCAGGAGGGGGTGAATGTAGTTCGTTGCCGACGACGAGAGGAGGAGGGACGGGAATGAGAGATGGATGAGTGCGTCGCCGAGGTAGCTGTACAAGTACGAAACGCAAGTGGGTGGATATGTCAGTTTGGTATTCATATCGAAACTAGAGGGGGGAAAAAGGACAACGACAAGAAAAACACATATCGGATCACATCAGACCGCACCACAACACACCAGGGCAAAGGTCCATTCAGAACAGGTCAAGTCAAGTCAGGTCAAGTCAGGACAGGTGAAACCAGAACAGACCAAAACAGACCATCAGAGGTAATTTCCAGGCAAGCCAAGGTATCCAGGGTACCCAAGGTAAGGATAGGCAAAAGGTGGAAAGAAACTTACTTTGGATGTCGAACGATACTCCATACGCCACTCCTTACAAGGCCGGCGGAACCTGAACCTTCATCATTATCATTATCACCGTCGTCCTTGTGCTTGTCAAGTTGACGATCGGCAAGTACTTCCAGAGCGAAGCCGGAGCAAAACAGGCCAACAGCCAACGCGCGAAACCATTCGGCCTGCTCCGGATCAGGGCCGATGTCGTGGTGGTGATGGTAGTGCGCCAATCCCACACCTCGAGCTCGACCGTCGGGCACCACAGCATCCGCATCGAATCGAAAAGGTAGAGTGAACGGCAGCGTGATGAAGGATTGGAAAATGGCTTCGGGGAGGAACATCGAAAAGAGAGCCTTGGTCCAGAACCCGTCGTCGGCGGACTCCCTTTTGACGGCGACATATCTGGGGTCGTCGTGGAGGTGTCTCTGTCGTTGTCGTCGCCTGATGCTCCGCGTGACGATGCGGTAGAAGAGACGTCCTCCCCACGCCGTGACTCCGGTCAAGAGAAGCTTGTGAGGCCAGGGCAGGCCGACGAAGGCGTCGACGACGGAAGAGTCGGGCGTCTCGATGGACTTGCGAGCCAGGAACGCGGCCCAGGTGTTGAGCACCATGCCCGACGGCCACAGCCAGTCCTTGAGCTCGACACGGTCGGTGGCTCGGGCAGCCGCGTACGTCAAAAGGGAGAGCGCCCCATGGAACGTGAGGTTCGGTGGGAGAGCCGTCTGCAAGAGGCCCAGAGTCGAGCCGGTCGACGGGTATCCTCGACGTTCGCGAGGCACAGCCATCTCCGGGCGCTAGGTAGTAGGTAGGTAGGTACTCAGGTAGCCTTTGTATTGTGGTGATAAAGTTAATAACAATCTCACAGCCTCTATCCTTCTCTTCTTGTTGTTTGCTTTTTTCCCCGCCTCAGCGTGCGCGAAACATTTGGCAAAGCAGCGGACCGTGAAGGTGACGTTGGGTAAAACACCTCTTATTAGTAGTGGTAACAACTTTTTTGCTTGCGGTGTCTTTATACCTTACCTGTCTGCCTACCTGACTACCTCACTATCTGGAGGAGTAATCGAGGACACACGACAATATAACGGCATAATGCTGTCATGATGGCGAATGGAATCTCTGGCTGCGGTTGTTGACTCCGTTAGGGCGACGTCATATTGGATCATTGAATTGGCATGAGTAGTTCGAGCGAAGGTGCGGGTACCTGAGGCAGAGGTAGGCAGACAGGAGATGATGGACGGTCAGATGTTGGGGAAACATGTTGTATTTCGCTTCGGCAGGGTACAGTATGGATTGACTGAGCCCGAAGAATACCTAGGTACCTTAGTTGCAGTGCTTGTTGTGAAGCCAAGATGCTCGCTGGGGGACAGTTTGACGGAAAGATAAACACCGAGCAGAAGAACAGATGAAGGTTGCATGCAGAAAACGCACACTATGAACGCGAAAAGAGTACCTCCAAGCATTCACAGACTACCTCACGGAGGGAGCATCCTCAGATCACACGGCGGTCCTAGCAACCTCAAGGTAGTTGAGTCATTGCAAGCAAAGTTTGGGAGTATTCCGGATGATATATCCCAATCTCCATTCCATTCTTGCTATGTAGTTAGGTATTTATGTATCTGCCACTCCACTGGTGGCAGAATCACCTGCTACGAGTAGCAACAACACTAGGTACCATCACTCAGAGCAAGACACCAAGGGTATATTCGTCGATCTCATCACTTCAGCCCTCTTCCTATTCACATCCCATATTCGTATCATTCCAATCGTCAATATCCAATACCTAGCCTTCCGAGGGAGGAAAACCCGAACCCAAAATCGTAAAGCACCTTTTGCCGTTCTGTCAAGATTCATCACCGAGACCACACCCCATCCATCCCATGGCCTATCCCATGCCTGCCAGCACCTCATAGTTGTGTCCACGAATCTCAAACCAGTTAGTTGCCGAAGCAGTGGAGAGGGATATATCCAAAGAAAAATGGTGATCAGAAACCTCAATCGCTCAACCATCCCCAGGAACGCCGTCGCTAGATGGTATAGAGCCGTTTCAAAGATTCAAGAGAAAAAAGCCCCACCCCATAAATAACATCTGATCCCATCACATCTAGCTAGCGGTCTAGCTAGTCTCTCGTCTTGTAAGCTATATGTTTTAATCTTTTCTGCGCCGAACAACCAAGTTGACAGCTGCGATGGTCACCGTAGGAGCCCACCGACATCCACGAACGTCAAGTCATCGGGGCCGTTGGGTACCGGTCGAATGGGTTCTTCATCCTCTTCTATCTGTGACGGTAGACGGCTGGCCCTTGATATCTTCCTGTCCATGGCGAAACGCATCGGTGAGCGAGCTGGACTTCTACCTTTACTGCGTGCAGGTGAGGGCATCCTAGCAGGCGCTTCGTCCTCCTCGCGAATGTGGGAATGACGAGACAAGAGCCCACCGATATCCGACAAGAACGCCTTGGAACCAGATCGCGAACTGGTACTAGGGAGAGAGAAGCGGCGGGCTTCGTGGATTGACGTCTGTCGGGATAGGGAGCTCGGCGACTCTGGGTTCGCCACTAGGCCACCGACGTCGAAAAAACCCATCTTACTCGGCGTATCCGGTTGTTCGGCATATGGACTGACGGGTTCTTGTAGTTGAGCTCGGAGATCACGCAGTTTGATGTCAGTAGAGGTACTGCTCATACTGTTCGTCGAGCTCCGCCGTCTGCCGCGAGACGCCTGGGTAAAGTTCCAATCTGAATTAAACGTCGGGCTATGCCGATGATGCAATCCCGATTCCAGGTCTTGGGAGTCGTTGGTCGTGGTAGGCGCCGCTGGTTCGGCGAGACGAGGTTCCCTGTTACTTCCGTGTCTGAGAGGAGCGGGTAAGGACACACCAACACCGCGTGCTAGATCTTCGTCCGACCCCCAATGATGGTGAGTCATGGAGCGTGTGCGGGTACGCGTGACGCTGCGAGTGACGCTTCGGCCGAGGGAGCTCGTCTCGTCGAACGATGGAATGCGAAACTTTGCCTTTTTGACGCCCTTGTCGCGGATGAAGCTGCCAATGGCGATGGCATTGGAGACACCGGCTGCGGCGAGGATTTCGAGCGACGCAAGGAGTGATCGATACTGCTGAGAGGAACGGCGGGAGATGGTCGAGGGGATTCTGTACGCCGTAATGGCAATGAGGATGGTGGATAAGAGGAAGAGGAGGATCAAGGATATTTTCTTGGTCAAGCGCATCGAGGATTGCCAGACCAAAGGGATAGGAAAGGCAATCAGCACGACATCGGTGACCATGTCGCAGACTCCCATGACGATTAGTTGGACCAGACCCTCGCGACACTTCGGGCCCGGATCTGGGACGACCTGCCAGTAGTGGTTGAAGGGGTGGCATTCACTGAGTGTGCTGATAACAACGCCAATGTAAGTGACGACTAGGAAGGCGTAAATGATCTGGAGCCCAATCTCGTACGTTTTGGCCCAAGATTTTCCAATTAGGCGTTTGATGAATTCCAGAACCGTCCATTTGGCAATCCAGATAAAGGCTGCGTAGGATATGCGCGCCACAAGGACCAACCTACTACCAACCTCGCGGTGGTGTATTTGCATGTCGGTGAGCCCTTGAGTTTTTGTGTTGTTCGTTCCCCAGATCAAGATAACGTGGACAAAGCCCATGCGGATCATGAGCGGTATCATGCTGCCCAACATAATCCAGTCTTCTCGAAACAGTCTTTCTGTACGTATCCATCGCCCGAATAGCCTGATCAGAATGATCGTGACGGAAAATAATGTACACCACCATGCCACTATGAGCGTCGGGTTCATGTCGAGCCTCGACTGTACGTCGGGCGGCTCCTGATGATACATTTTTGCTTGTGTTATATCGTATGCGGCCGTCTCGTTCTCGGGTGCGCTCGGCTGGGAAGAAACCGCGATGTTGGCCTCATAGCCTCGAGAGAATTCGGGGGAGATGCTCGAGTTCCTGATAATATGAAAAAGCCATCGAAATGCAAAGCGAGTCGTGCGCACTTCAACACAGTGACCGCCAGAGTAAATATCCTGAGCTTTCTCTTGGGCGCGTTGGAACGGATATATTGAATGTGCGTCTTGAGCCGATTAAACCAAAGCCGTCGCGAAGTAGTGAAAAGAATATACGTAGGGACGGCGACGACGAGGTACATACGGTAGGAAGGTGCGGCAGGCTGGGGAGCCATGACGAGCGAAGCAGGGCTCGATGTGAGGCGATAGGCCTCCTCGAGCGCTGGATGGTCGATTCGTGGACTTGCGAAGCTAGCGGCCGATTGTGGGCACAGGAGTGCGCCGGGTGGACGGTGTGGCGGTTCGTGCTGATAGAGGGAGCCATTTCAAGTGGCCAGAGGGGCAGTCGATGAAAGCGAACGAAGACGATTTAGGCGAAGCAGAGTCGACGCCATCCACGCCATCCAGTGAGCCCGCAGCCCGCCGAAGAGGAGTCGACGGCGGGATGGCAGCCCAGGTGAGCCTAGTGAGCAACTGCAAGCAACCAGCCCTCAACTTTGCGCTTATCAACTGTCCAGGGTCGCCCGGCCTCCTGGCACCGTGGCACAGACGGGGAAGGGCCCTGTGCAATACTGGACGAGCGCCAGGGAGCACAAGAGCACGGCCACACACGAAGCCGGGATCTTCCACTCCCTTCCTATTGCATCCGTACCAGCACGAGCTCCGGAAATGCCAACTGGCATTGCTTGGTGGAATTCTGGTCGACTGCAAGACACCTCATGAGAGAGACGAAACAATGAATTGTCGCAATTGTTGACGGCGTGCACATCACCCTACACAATCTTACACACCACCTCATCCTCAAAAATGGTACTAGCCGTGCCGCCGCCGGCCGGTGCTTCACAAAAGGCCGAGATAAGGGAATTAAAAAGGAATGACTCGAACTTTATGGACCAAGGCCTAATCAGACTAGATGGAGAAGAAGCGATGAATGCTCCCCTGAGACTCGCTTGCTGTCTCGTGGTCTGAGACATCTGGCTCAATGTTCGGCAGATTCCGCCCGAGGCACATGCTCAGGGTCTCTTCCTGGTAAGAGATCAGTGAGTCGAATCAGCGAACCTTTGCGAGATTCTACTCTACCTCGACTTATTATGCAGCTAGGATACTCCAAGTCGCATGGTAAAACAATCTTCTTGTCCTGTACTCCTATTCAAATCTGCCCCAGTTCGTCGAATGGCCAGAAAGACATCCTTTTCAAGTAGCACGCGCGTAGACCGTTTCAACACATGCACTCACTACCAGGTCGCGAAAGGTACATCTGCAAGCGGGCCCCAGTCGCACTTAAACGAGACCCCCTTTGCTTCATCGGAGCCCCTCGTTCACCCACTGGTTCTTGAACACTTCCTCCTCTTCCCCGTACTCATTCCCGTCAGCCTCCACGATTGCTGTGTCGTCCAGCTCGACTGCCCCTGCTGGCAAAGAGAAACCAGACGTGATCGGGAAACAGATATCGAATGTCTTCTCTGAACCCTCTCTCACACCTATAGCTTCCAGGCAGATCGGACCGACCAGTTCCACCCCACCCACTAACGCGCTTTGGTGGTGAGAAAGATGTTCGAGCAGATGGACTTCGCCGTGGAAGTTTGAAGATGAATCACCTCCCAAGATGCAGATCAAACACTTGTAGCTTCGCGCTTTCTTCTCCTTCGATGGCAGGTGAGACTTGAACAACAGTAAAGGCCGGAAACGGAGCGTCGATGCTTCATACACGTTGTCGTCAAACCGCGGACGGCCACGCTCGTCTTTGTCGGCGGGCGTGGCAAAGGAGCACTTGCGACAGTGGCAGGACCATTCCATGTTCCTCATTGAAACCTGGACCGACTTCTCGTAGAGGCCTTGCTGGGCATAGTGAGCTCCTTCGCAGAAGCCCGCAGCAGTGATGGCGTCGTACGGTGTCCACGTGGAGGCAGGACTGATAGGGGGAGTGAGTATTGCCGATGTGCGCGATGTTCTCAATGTGAATGAGCCAGGTGATGCGGATAGCACAGGAGACGTGACAGTGGCCGTTGATCCTCTCGATCCCCGGACCGTCGAAGGGTCCTCCCTACGCGACTCCGTTGAAGAGGTGCGTCGGTGTTTCTTGAAGACATTCCAAGACGATTTGCGACTTGCTGGAGGACGTGGTGCCGTAGCTACTTCTGGTCCAACTGTGTTACTGGGTGCCTTTAATTCGTTAGTTTCTTCCACGCCACAGGTCTTGTTGTCCTCTTTTCGCAGTTGCCCGAGTACTTGTTGAACTGGCTCGTTGACCAGGCTAGAGCGCCTCTGCTGCCGCAGGTAGAGCTCGTTCAGGATGGTGACAGCTCTGAGCCTAGCTTCAATCGCGGAATCGATGCACGATTCAAAGTCGACGAACTCGTCGTCCTTGCCTGCCGTGACCAGATGGTGCAAGAAAGTCGCCTGCACCTCGATGATGAGTGCTTGTAGGGCGCGATACGCGATGTCTTAGTGCTGTTAGCCAGATGGACTGCTCGCAAGAAAATGAGGTAGGTAATTCACCATCGCCCTGCTCAAAGTCGGAGCCGAATCGTCGAATGCCCTTGGCTGTAATTCTTTCAATCTCCTCTTGCCCTTCCTTGAGTGATTCTTCCAAGGCAAAGCTCGGAGGCAGAGCCCCCTTTGTCTTGCGACGCGCCTTGATGTTTCCAACTATTCCACCGGCATCCTTGTATGCTGTAACGAGTGCTGCTACCGCTCCGATGACTGCGATGCCAATCTCAACACCAGACATAGTGACACTGTTCTTCTTGCTTCGAGGGGTGTCGCGTGAGTAGCTACACGATGTATATCACTGGCGAAAGCATGACGTCTCCACCGGCTCTTGCCAGGATCAGCATGAAGAATCAGTCATCTGGACCTTACAGGCGCTCTCTGGGCACGAAAGAAGCGGAATGCAATTGATCGAAGAAGGGCTTTGCAGGTATTTTCAAGGGGCAGAGACATTCACCCACTTTTTTATTTGATGACTCCAGACATCAAGACTCACTATCGTCTATTTCCAAGAACCTCGTGCGCCCTGCATGGGTCGTTCAGGCGACAAGACAGTCCGTCTTCGCAGGCCGCACGTCGGCAAAGGAGTGTTGGAATCCAGAGCCTGGGAGCCAATCGAGTGAGCATGTGTTTGGCTATAAAAAAGGCTCATGGTTTGAGGCGCAGCCACCGTCCAAGTGAGGCGGACGCGGCTCAAAAGTACCCTGCTTTGGTGCATACCCATGTTCCATCGCTTGGCATCCCTAGGGATGAATTCGGTTGTTTGTTGGTTGTTTGGTTGTTTCATAGACTGTCCGGTCTGGCGTCCGTAGCCGCCGGGGCAACGGTCAGTGTCTGCCTTGTTGATGGGACTCAGATACATACCTTAGGTAGGCCGATTTTACTAGGACGCATCTGCGTAATGACAGAGAGCTAGCCCTCAATCGGTGCCTATATGGGGGGTCAGAGTCCCTTTTCTACGCCGGACCCTAAGACAGAAAAGTTCTCATCCGTCCTTGTCACATCGCGGGACATCAGTTGCTCTCCAACACTTCTTATATACAATACTATCCCTTACGCTGCCTAGGCCTCGCTCGATCTCTCCATTACTCGTGATGAACACCATTACGCTGTAACAAGATATGAGGTGAAAAGCGGCTGATGGCATATGGCTATCGGGTCGAAATAGGTACGTCCACGCCCGGCTCGGGTGGGTGATGCCTCACCGGTCCTCGCCAATGGCACACCAGACGAGGGATGAAAATTTACCAAGGCAAGAGTCTTCGGAAACGGAGGAAGGTCTCAGACGAGAATTTCCTTCGACATGTCCGACTACAACCCCGCAGAGAGTCTAATCTCTTGCCAAAAAGTATGGAGCCCCGTCTGGGGAATGGCGGAGATGGGGCGCGGCACGAAAGGGCAGATAAGCGGTTTCATCGTCAAAGACTTTGGTTTGGCTGCCTGCGATCCATGAGCTACACTCAGCCTTCTCACTGTCAGGCAGACCAATGCATCATGGAAAATAGATGGCAACTGAGCAAGCTTTAATTGGTGGGAAACGCGATTTCCACGAACCCTCCAATGGTTGTACCATTTTCCGGCTGGTGGTATGCAGATGAGGCGTGAGCTGGGCGTTTCTAGTCCCCAGATTTACAATCACCGCTGTCTTAGAAGTCTCAAGGTTTACCACGACATGAGAGAAACCAGCGACTACGACGGTAGGTATGGTGATGGTTCGGCCGAGTCTCGGTCAGTCCTTGTCCTGGCTATCTTCACCAATATTCAGGGCGCCGGACCCTCGAGGAGAACAGGGGAGGCGAGGCCTATAAAGCCCTTGATATATCTGCGTAGAGGAGCACGCCAATTGTTACTCCGCAACGACTGGACAGATTTCTTCTGATGTCCAATGACTCACTCGCCTACGTGAAATACTGAACAATACCGCCAAAATGGCCAGCCCCGTGAAGCCGAATCATACTGCAAGAGACCGGAAGGAAGAGGACCAAGTGCCCACTGTAGACGAAAAGGACGACGTCTGGGAGACGGAGAAAGCCCACCCAGTTGAAACAAATGAACAGCATGGAGAAGCGAAGTGGACTTGGAAGCATATGGTCGCCGTGGTCTGCTTGTGTGGTGTCTATGTTGGCAAGACTTCTCCCTTCCGGCTCCGCTACCAGTACTCGGGACTAATGTTGAAGACAGGCTCGCAGCTTCCCCTCTACTTCGTTGGCTGTAAGACCTCGCCTGATTTCTATGACTCCCAGCTGAATCTCGACTCCAGCTTCGTTGACGTTCATTGCTGCCGACCTTGGAGCCAGCTCTCTTGGATGGCTGCCCAGCTCGAATACGTTGGTTCCGGCCGCCGTCTGTCCACTTTGTGGTTATTTGCAAGACACCTTCGGCAAGAGAAATATATCGATATTGGGATCGACTCTTATCATGACTGGCATCATTCTCATGGGTACTGCCCACACACTAGGACAGGGAATCACCGGGATGTCGATTTCAAGAGCTGGTGCTGCCATCGGCGAGCTCACGGCTCTAGCAGGGTAGGTGTCGTCTTCTCCATTTCCACATCGACGCCCATTTGGACGTGAAATGACTTTTTAACAGAGTTGTGGAGCTGGTGCCCGTCAAGAAACGTGGATTGTATCTGGCTTGTGTGACTTTCTTCCTTTGTACGCACGGAAGAGCCTCTCATACTCAGAGATCTCGCTGACTGATTTCGAGTTCCTTGTCTTCCATATGTGCTGTACTCTCAACTCCTCTCAACCAAGTCGACATGGAAATGGGGCCTATGGATTTCATTGTGAGTCATGCGCAGCCATTAGATTCTATGATTCCTAAGTTGCCTATCAGGACCTATAACGGGGTCTGCTTCATAGGTGTTCTTATTTTCTACTTCCCCGACTCTCATATCCTTCGCAAGGGCTCAATGCAACCACAGGAAATTGCAAAGCGAATCGACTACATTGGCATGGTACTGTCGATAGGCGGAGTTACTTTACTGTAAGCTTTCAAGGAGATTGAGCGTCCTGGACACACATTTCTAAACCCAGTCAGCCTTGTTGCCTTCCAAAGTGGAGGCTCTCTCCATCCTTGGACCAGCGCCTATGTCCTGTGCCTCCTGGTCTTCAGGATTTGTTTCCATTTTTGGGTTCATACTCTGGGAATGGAGGGGGGCCCAGCACCAGATGATCCCCGGCGAGCTGTTTGCGGGTCAGCGAGTCGTTGAAATTGCTCTGGCAATTGCGTTCCTCTCCGGAATGAACTTCAACTCGATGATCAGCTTCGTCCCTCTGCCCTTTGTCACAGTTTTTGACCCTGAGTATACGCCCCTTTCACGAGGTATGCCGAGCTACGCTGATCGACATTAGTCCGGTCCAAGTAGGCCTTAAGGGGCTGGGATACTCGCTCTCTGGCGCCCTCGGGGTGTCGGTGATGAATGCCTGTCCCGACGCACTGATGGCGACGACGACGGCGCTTACTCTCTCCGTGCGGTTCCTCGGAAGCTCTATCGGCTATTCAATCTACTATAGCGTCTTTATGCAGAAACTGAAAGTGAATCTTCCCGCCACGGTTCTCCAGCTCGTTGTAGCTGCTGGCCTTCCAGTTGGCTCGGCTCCAGACTTTGTGGAAACATTTCTCACCAATTCTACAGCCTTGCCTGGGAGCATTCCCGGAGGCACACCCGGTGTTCTGGAAGCGGCGACCATGGGTAGTCGATGGGCCTACTTAGAGTCTTTGAAATATGTATGGTATACCAGCATACCATTTGGAATACTGTCGGTCATCGGATGTTGCTTGCTCGGGGACATTTCCAAATTTATGAGCGACAGAGTGGCTGTTGGGCTGAAGCAGTAACAGATGAATCCCGCAAGGGATTTATGCCATGAACCGCTCTAGTCTAGTTAACGCGCAGTGCGATATATGGGTTTGCCCTTGAGTGGAGTTCCGACTACATGTCGAAATCTCACCGTTTCTTGCGCTAGATACCATATAGAAGCTTTTAACACCGCTCGTTGACAGCTGTGCCCTCCTGTGAATCGGACATTCATTTGTCTCCACGTCCGCAGAAGGACCAAGAACATGATACTGAGTGATACGCTGCTCCCCCCCTGTTCGTTTCACGGTGAGGCAGCCCCTTTAACGACATTCCCCTCTTCAATCATTTCGGCTCTTCGCTTCACATCTCGACATAGGGTGTCAAACCCCCGTTGGACACTGCGATAAAAGGCGCCTGGAAGGATGGCGGCAAGTAAACCGTGAAAGCGCTCCTCATGCCAGAACTTGGTCCCCGACACACCATCCTCCGTCGCGGATTCCACGGTAAAGTTGTGCTCCGAATGACCCAGAACGTTGAAATAGAGTGGGACGTTCCCCCAGACAAACTCCTTGCCGACGTCGATCCTGTACATTGTCGTGGTGACTTGTTGCGGTTTGATGATATCGAGGACGAGGCGAAAGCGGACCGTACTCCCTGCCTGGAAGCTGTCGCAGCTCATGGTCGGGTTAAAAGTGTTCCATTCGGGATAGGACTTGAAGTCGGCCAGGACGTCCCAAACTCGCTCGGGCGGAGCTGGGATGAATATCTCGGACTTGACATCAGGCATCTTTCAACAAAAGTGATATGGCCGATTTGGAGTACGAGTAAGACAGCCTCGACCGCCGCCGTTATAAACACCCCATCGCCCTAGAGATAGGGGGATCCTACGTCCGGAGGACGAGTACTCGGACGAAATTGGCCCGGCGAAGATGGTTGGTTAGTGTACGTGTGGGCCACCGCAGCCGACTACCTCATGTCGTTGTCAGGAATACATTTGCCAATGTCGAGATTTTTCAATGGCAAGCAAGGGCGATCTCAGAGTGTCGGAGACCTGTAGTGCCAGCGACACTCATTTGTCGCCATCCACATGCATGGACGTCGCGCAATTCAGAGCTCCCTGTGCCGCGGACAGTCAGCGAACGCTGACCGGACTCCAGAATGCTTTGCGGCCGTACCCAAGACTTCGGACGGGACCCTTGGTCAAACAAACAGATTTTGACTGTCGTATCGAGCCCCTCGGGGGTGATTTTTGCAAAGCTCTCAGAGCAGTAGCGCTGTTAGTCGTTGAAAGTTCCCGGTTCAATTACCTAGGTCGTCCGGATGGGAGGCGAGAAGCACAATCCTTCTGCATCAATATCGAGGTCTCAAGCGATTTCTCATTCACCAAACCTCGGCAACAAATGCCTCAGTCGCCTTTCAACGGAACGCACTTCTTCGTCTCGTAAGAATGTCAATATCAGTTGGGTTTTGACAGGCACTCACGCGGGTTGCGGCCTTCTCCTGCCTTTCTGTCTTGAGAGGGGTCAAGTTGTTATCACATCTCGCCTGCACTCCAAATCCTTGCCTCTTTTCCCAAGACACCAGTGCCGAACTGGAAAAGGGCAATTGATAGGGCTGGGCAAAGGAACGGTCGCTGACGGTTCTCTGAGGCCTCAGAGCACACCTAGCGCATCCCCCAGAGCACAAGAATCGTCCTAAGTTAGTGAGTTAGGTAGCGTAGCATCCTCCGCATTTCGAGTTTCTTTTCCCAGTCGTATAGTCATCTCTCGAGCCTTGTCCTCCACAGCCACTTTCCAGTTGGTGACTCGCCTCTGTCATTGTCGTGGGGAGGTGCTAGCGGCGCAGAGTCAGACGACAGGAATCTCCCGGGGGTCCTCGAGATCCCAGGGACTAGTTCAGTGTCGACCATCCCGAGGTCAGATTCCTTCCCCTCCAAACACTCTCCGTTGGCCACAGAATAGAAAATCCGGGGTCGATAAGATGCTCTCTTGGCACCTGGGGCTCCCCATTCATTAAATCCAAGATGCCCGAGTGGTTGGAAGGTCGCCCGAGCTTCGGTCGAATTGGGCTTACCAAATCCCCCTTTTTAAATACAATCAGGTGTTGTTGAATCCCATCCTTCTGTTGACGGCTTTTCGGACATGACTACAAGGGCGCAAACAATGAGAGGCCGCCGAGCGCCTCCTACTTCTCAGCCCAGCTCTTCAGGCCCCGAAGAGTCGGGAGTGGAAAGGGCCCCCACCCCCCGGACACCTGTGGCGCCGAAGAATGGCAGTGCCGTAGAGAAGCGGTAGGTTGCACTGTAGCTCGCACCGTTGGATCGCTCGGGCGTTGCTGACTCTGTTCTGGCCGATAGGAGGCTTCGCAATCGTCTTTCGCAGCAAGCATTTCGAGCTCGACAGAATCTCGAAATAAGTGAACTAAAGCAACGTCTAGCCCAGTTTTCCGGTTCCGAAAGCGAGCGCAACACCTTTCTCGTCCAGGAGAATCAAGACTTGCGCCAACGGCTGTGGCGCTGTGAAACCAGTCTACGAAGTCTCCAGGCGACCTTGACGGGTATCGTCGACTCGGTGGCAGAGACAAACAAAGGTGGTCTGAACAATCAAGATCACCGAGACGTGTATCCTGTCGGTCCTGACCGAGGAGATGCCAGCCGCAACGTAGATTCAGCGTCGCCCGAGCCGCGGCCCCCAGCAGCGGATGACAGTAGTTCCAGCAGAGTAGCGCTATCAGGAATGAAACAGGAAGGTGAGAACGGCACCACATTGGACGTCTCCCTCGTCGATGTGGACGATGCCCCCAACATCGCTGAGTTCGACGCCACCAGCACAGTCCTTGAGATGGGATTGAACTACACAACAAACGAACTGGCAGCTCCTCTAATCGACACATCAAGAGAATCGTCTCTGCGAAAGCAGACCACAGATATTTCATCAGACAAGGATGCCATCGACACCAGTGCCACCACGCTCCCAGGCACGAATGCCCCCGGACATGTGCCGAAATTGCCTCCTATCTCTACCATCCAGACCTTTACATTCACACCAGCCCGTGAGCTGCAGTTGCCGTTGGTGTCGAACTCTTCCGGGCATTCCGAACACATCGACGCCTACGAAATGTGTGCGATGGCTACTTGTCTGAGGGACCGACGCGACGTAGATCCTCTTGTGTACGTTGGTATCCTGGATCTCCCGGGCCTGTTCTTCACTACCTGCTGACAATAGATTCTAGTCTCCTGCCAATTGTATCTGGCCTCATATCTGCCTTCGTCAAGTTCGCATGGTCCGAGATGGAGCCGTGGATCAAATATGTCAATGGGCCTGATAGCTTGGCCAAAGTTACCCTGTGGCGGATGGCTCCAGGCCCTGACACCTATTCTGCGATCCCGCCGTGTTTCCGCCCTACGCGGTTACAGGTGGCTGTGCCACATCCATCCTTCATCGACTGGTGTGTGTTCCCTTTTCTCCGGGACAAGCTCATCCAATATCACTCGGGAAACTCGGCCCTGGATGAAATCTGCAGCGACGTCGGTCTCGCTTATGCCATCCAAGCCGATCTGTCCGAGCTCGTCGCTGGCGCCGAGTCCCTGTTGGTCAATCTCAGCGTCCACGAGATCATCTACGGGATCGACCATTTTCCCTCGTGCTACGAGTTCCATAGCTCCACTAATTTGCCCGAGGTCAACCTACCAGCGCCAAACATTTACACTCTGCTGCATTCCAAAGAATACGCATGGTCGCTGTATAAACACCTGCGGATCTCCGAGAGGATCGAAGACTTCCGGGTCGACCCGCGCTTGTTCGTCAAATATCCGGAATTCTTCGAGCTCGACGAGAAGGTGGCCCAAGGGATCCCTCTCAGATCCAGCAACAAGGTTCCTTGGCCAAAGGCCCGCCCGCTGGACAAGACAATGATGGACTATTATCGCGGTTGTACCTCGGGGCGCACCGATCAGACGGGTCACCAACTGTCCCTACAACTTTAACTGAGAACTGAGTTGGAAATTTGCGTAACTAACCCTGTGGTATTGCTCTTGTGAGAAAACAATACGCGTTCCACTGGACAGGAAAGAGGCCGGGTCCATTGCCAGGACTAATCCCACCGTACAGAGACCGGGATACATGGGAACAATAAAATGTATCTGGACCCGAATATCAGAGAGCTGAGGAACGGCGAGGCTGAGAACACCGCCAGCAGAGAAGCCCATGACGCCCACACAAGAGTGGTCAACTGGAAGATCCCCGTCTGCCAGCACCGCACGCATGAGATCTGCTACATCGTTCACGCAGGTAGGGTAGGGATGCTGCGGCGCCTTGCGGTAGTTCAGGGCCACGACAACAAAACCATGGTCGTCGGCGAATCTGCGGTTGATGTGATCGTCGATCGCAGGATCACAAATTGCAAAACCACCTCCGTGGATAGAAAACAGCAGGGGATATTTACTTTGTCTCCCGTCTGCGTCACGGGGCAGGAAAACGCGGTTCTCAAGCCATGGACGAACGGAGTATCTCTTTGTATATGTGGGTAAAAACTGGCCCATTTCTTTCGCCCTGAACAGCCGGATCACTCGCAAGGCTGCAAAAACTGCAAACTTGAGAAGCCATATTCGTACAAAGAAGCACAGTTTCGTGTGGATGAGGTAGGAGGGGAAGGCAAGAGATTTGTCTCGAAGTGCTCGAGCAGCGTCGAGTACCATTGTAATGTCTCTCTTGGAACAGAGGGAGAATAGCACGACCATCCTGGGTGGGTTTGCAGCCTGCGGCGTTATATGACAGCCTCCTCGGTGCAAGATGCTGTGCGTGGCTCTACAGCTCCATTTCCTCGACCCGGCCAGTGCAACCAGGGACGACCAATTGAGTTCAAATAGGGACAGTAACTCATTGCTTATAGAGCTTCCAGCCTGCGACAAATCAGACATGGCCGTCAAGGCCCTCTCGGCAAACGGCTTCCTGAATGCAACATTAGACCATATCTGCCAACTCACGATGGCCATTAGCTGTCGTTCCATCTCACTGCTTAGATATATCCCTGGTGGCTGACGCGGTCGAGGGAAATAGAACGATGCTCCCGCGGTACAGTCACAAACGGAGCGCGACACTGTGGTGGGTCTGCTGCCCCTGTACCGTGCAGCATCTAGTGACTAAGAAATGTCTGAGGTCAACCTCTATCTATATCAGACCGTCCCAAAGGGGGTGTGACTGCTTTCCTTGGCGACATGAGAAGCCTACCTGTCAATGACCCCTAAATGCACGATGGACAGTCAGTCATTACTTACTGATTATATCAGTCGACGGGGAGCATGGTGGTGAGACCCTACCTCGACGGAGAATTCGACACCATGATGTCGGAGTGGCAGCATTTATGTTTGAGGTATCCAGGCTCTACGCGGACGAGGCATCTGGGAGAAAATGAATAAATTAAATGAGAAAGAACGTGGAAGTGCAGAAAATTCCCAGCTCCGTTGATTATTAGGGCATAGAAGACGCCATACTCTTTGGTTAATTGTGCACACGTACCGCAAACATTGAACATGATCACCCAACCAACCAGTGAATATCAAATCCTTCCACAATATCACTCGCAACCACGGAGGCTCAAGATCATACATGTCGGAGCGGGAGCCTCGGGCCTGTTGTTCGCTTACAAGGCAAAACGCCTGTTGCTAAACTATGAACTGACATGTTACGAGAAGTACGTACACAAGATGGCTCTCGACGCGTCTGTTGCTTTCTTCCACAGGAGATCCCGCTGACCTTTGACTTATCAGAAACCCATCGATCGGCGGGACGTGGTTCGAGAACAAGTACCCTGGATGCGCCTGTGATATTCCTGCCCACACGTACACATATCCCTTTCAGCCAAACACCGAATGGTCTGGGTTTTACTCGTGCGCGGACGAGATTCTGGCGTACTTTCAAAACTTCCACGACGAGCACGAATTAGCGCCCTATATCAAGCTGAGCACGGAAGTGCCGAGCGCCACCTGGGACGAAGACAGTGCGGAGTGTGAGTCGCCAGGAGATCGCGGCCTTTTCTTTTCCAAGTAAATAGGATGCTCTCGAGGATGACTCTGACGTCTACGATGATAGGGGAAATTGAACTGAAGAACGCCGAAGGCATCTTCAAGGATCGTTGCCATGTATTGATCAATGGGGCAGGTGTCGTCAACAAGTGGAAATGTGAGGCCATTCTCAAGAGATCAATGATACTAAATGCAGAGCTAACTAACATGCGAAGGGCCTGCAATTGAGGGTCGTGAGTTGTATAAAGGCATCCTCAGCCACAGTGCCAACTGGGACACTTCTATTAAATGGGAAGGGAAGAGAGTGGCCGTCATCCGGACCGGGTCAAGTTCGATCCAGATGGTTCCTCAGATGGCAAAAGGTGAGGCACATTGAGCATGTTCTCTTTTTAGCCTGATTCCATTTTTCTCCCTCTCAACAGAAACAAGGGCAAAGGTTCAAACCCCCGCTGACAGCTTCTTATCATCAGGCTCTCAGACTCTGACGGTGTTTGCCCGTAATTCAACCTACATCTCCCCTCTAGTCAGCCCGGGCGATTATAGGGTGCATCCCGATGGCAAACATCACTACCTCGAAGTCGAGAAAGAGGTGTTTCGAACCGACCCGGCCCGACATCTCCAGTACCGCAAGGACCAGGAGACGGTTCTGACGAAGCAATTCCCCATCTTCATTCGCGGGACCCCGGAGAGTGTCATGGCAAAGGAGGCCCTGACGGCACAGATGCTTGCAAGAATCGGACCTGGCCATGACGAACTGAAGAAGCGCTTCATCCCCGACTGGGCACCCGGGTGTCGACGTCTTACTCCCGGAGAAGGATACCTGGAGACCTTAGTTCTCGATCATGTCCGAGTCGCTTACGACGAGATCGATAGGTTTACCGAGACCGGCGTCGTGACGGCGGCGGGGGAAGAGCTCGATTTCGATATCATGGCCTGTGCCACCGGCTTTGACGTGTCATTTATCCCGCACTTTAACATCGTCGGCAGGAAAGGTGTCAGCATGCGAGAGGAATGGAAAGGCAACGTCAACATCTATCTGGGGATAACAGCTCCCAACTACCCGAACTATTTTGTCATCGACGGGCCGACGGCGAACTGGGGAAACGGCTGTGTAATGCCTTCTGTAAGTTTTTGGGCCTGTCGTCGTCGCCGGCCCCCCTTGGGCTGGCGGACGGACGTATCAGAGTTTTCAGGTGTGTGTGCTGACGAACTTTTTCTCCCCAGCATGAGGTGCACATCGAGTACGCCCTCAAGTGCTGCCGCAAGCTCCAGGAGGATAGGAGGAGGGCATTCTCTCCATGGAGCCTCGACAGGGACCGACGACCCAGATCAGGCAGCACATGGATACTTGGCACCAGAAATGTGGCATCTGGAGTGACAACTGCAGGTCCTGGTACAAAGACAACCGGCCCGACGGTCGCGTCTACATCTGGGCAGGAAGTCTGTTGCACCATCTCAAGACCCTCCGGGAGCCTCGCTACGAGCACTACGACCTGCGGTTTCGGCACGAGAATGTCTGGTCCTTCCTGGGTGACGGCCGCACGGACTTGGAGATCGAGTGGCAGGACGGACTTGACGTCGATTTCAAATGGCCCCCTACATCAGGAATTCCGACGTCCCCTGGACCTTGGACCTGCCGCGAGACTTGCAGCTGAGGCCGGAGGCGGAGAGGAAGGTTTCGTCGTCGTGATTGCCACTAAATAGATTTGGCCGTCTTGAGTACCGGGTCCGAATAGAAGGGGACATTTGATACAGATTGATCGTCATTGTAGTTCAATCGGTCGCCAGGGACACGCATTCTCTCTCTCTCTCTTTTTTTGAAGAACGTGACTCGCCATACACACGATCATACGCCGTAGAACACGGAGCGGGCTTCCCAGTGCACTAACTAGTTAGCTGGATTCACGAGGACTCTGGGGGGCCAGTTCAAACGGAGTGGTGACATTTCTTTGCCCTTCTCTAGGATAGCATTAGCTTGTCAACACTTCGGCCACCTCCGCATCCAGAAGAATAGAGGAGCGCAAGACGAGCGACGCAGAGCTAGACGAGTGCTCCGCCTCCCTCATCTGAGCCGCCAAAGCCGTATCGACCCTGCCTGAGCTTGTACAGCCGCCAACCGGCTAGGATTTGCGGCATTTATGATATACATTCGACATTGCAAGGCGCTTTGCCCTGTCTCTGTGATTTATTTGCGTCTTTTTATGTGTCTTTTTATGTGTCTGCTTCGTGGACCAACGCTATGCGCCTGCAGGTCTAGCCCCAAATATCCTTACCACGTTGCTACCTCCCGTGTTGAGATTCGCCTCCTCAACCCAGCCTGGCACTGGCTCGTCTCCCATTCTGCCCTTGATCACCTTCCATATTGCTGGAAACCCGGCTTTCATCGGGCCTCCCGCCTTTTGACTGCCCGGTATCGCAAATCTCGGGTTAGTATGTAGCGCAAATCCTTTGATGAGCCCTTGCTGAATAAGGCTAAGTATGACAGACTCGATCTCAGTCATTGTAGGTGTCTGCTCATCAATGTTGTTGCCATCGGACGCCTCGTGCTGCCCGATATACTCATCAATGTACTCTCCGCTATCCAAATCAAAGCCCGTTTCGTTAATAGCAGAGTCCATGTCCCTGAACTCGGGGTCTATATAGGCGGCTTTTGCGTTTGAGACTTGAGGCATGAAACCACCTGCCTGCGTCGGGGTGAGGTGCCTGTTCAAAGACCAAGCCGCAGCATGTTGGACATAGTGAAGTCTCAAGAATGGGACTTTCTTCTCTTCGCCCATGTAACCACTGATGAAGAACGTTTTCCTGATCAGACTTCTCCAAACTATGATCTCGCATCTGTTCTGTAATTGAAGCAGGACAGATCGACGGAGGAACCACAACCCAGACTCTCTCTCTGGATCTAAGTATTGGTAGAAAGCGCCCAGATCACCCCTCTGCAATATCTTGCAAAGGGGCAGATATCTCTGGCTCAGTTCCGAGGCTTCGGGCCTTGAGAGCAAGAACGATGATGGGAAGCGACCCAAACATAGGTTCGCTGCCATAAGGTAGATAAGGATGGTCTTTCGGTGCTTGAAAGCATCTCGATGGCATTGATCGTAGGCCGCTTGAAGAGCAGCCTGAGCACGCAGAAAATGATTGTTGGCGAAATGGTAACGACCAAGATAATAAAGATATGTCACCCGCTGCGCCGCAGGATAATACAACAGTGGCGGAGACTGTGCGTCGATGCTCGAGAACATTTGTTGTGCATTTCGTAACTTCCGACACTGGATCAGCAGCTTCAGGCATGAATTTGCCGTCAGATAGATTCCGACTCGTTTGTCATCGGCTGTTGGCCGTGAAGTGCGTGACACGCCAGGGCTGCCCGCAAGACACTTGATGAAGGCGTCTCGCAAGACATTCGCGGCATCTTCAACAAAGCTGACTTTCCCCGGGGCGCCTTCCGTATCGGCAGTGGTAAGAAGGTCGCTGCTCCTCACCAGGCTGGGGTTCCGGTCCAGATTCGAGGCAATCGTGGCCAAAGTACGTGAAAATGAGAGTACAATAGGTACCATAATCACCCCATATCTGGAGTCCCCAAGGGCGATGACACACTGACTGAGAGGTCCATTAGCTTAGACTCAGCCCGCCGGGATCGTGACTTACCTTGTGAGCTGTCTGATCTTCGAGGCCTTTGCATGGTTATCAGCTGTGGTGAAATCGCGAAGATAGCGGAAGTAGTATACGATGCTGTCGGCGAAAGTGATGCTGAACAGTCCAAATTCATCTTGTGACAAATCCCTTTGGCATCTCGCCGACAACTCTCCATCCTTCTCCGGAGGATAGGTGCGATTCAGTTCTGCATTGAGATCGGCATAGGGCTTTTGCCGCTCTGGTGGCAGACTACCAAAATCCAACTGGATGAGCTCCGTGATACGCTGGCCATTTTTGCTTCTTATGCTATCAATAATGACAGTCAGGAAGGAGTCCAGAACCGGAGTATTGACTCCAAATGCCGGCATCGCGTTGCCAGGTCAGTAACTGGCATAACCAGCTGCAACACTTTTGGCGTGATCCAGGGATGTTTTCAAATGTCTGTCATTTGTTCATACCTAGTCTTTACCCTGACAACGAGGGCAGGTCTATGTCCGAGGCTTTCGTAGTCGTCTCAGCGACACAAAAGTCTGTCCTTTGGCCTGTGTTCTGCGTTGGAGCTGTTTGTTTACTTCGTCTCCCTGTCACCTCTGTGAGTGTTTGCGTTGCTTAATTCAGGTCACAGTGGCTTGGGTCAAATTGACATTGTCACAGACCGCGAAGTGACATGGATCACACTAGTACAAGTGCGGAAGGCCTAACACGGAGCAAACCCTTCATAGCCTCATTGTGAGACACAATGGGACATTACGGAAAGTATAAACATAATACGCGTGCAACGGCGGACGAAGTCTATTAGATGGCCTTTGCATCACCAAGACTCCAGGCAAAGAATAACCGAGATACTAATGATGAAACGTCCAGCTCGGATATCCAGCCTAGCAGTGTACTTCTCGAAATACCCTGGTGCCTCCTCGTAATAAGATAGATATGTAGGCGCATTCATTTCGGTGATTCGCATTGTCCGGCACATATACTTGTGTCCGCATGGCATGAACCGGGAATCGGGCACGGCATCTTCTTGCTCTGAGTCGACCAGCAGACTAAACCGTTGGGCGCGGACAGACTCTTGCGATCCGCTGAAGAACAAGTGCGCCGTCTTGTAACGAAACGTCCTTAATAAGAAAGAAAGTCATGGGTCAATTAGACGAGCCCATCATACAGCGAAAGCGCTGACACAATCGTTTCGTCCCGCTTGCTTCCCTCTTTGAATTCGGCCATATCGAGGCTTCCGTTCTCGTCTTTATCCATCATTCGGAAGATCTTCCTTACCCTCTTTTCAGGCGTATCCTCGTCTTCGGGTAATTTGACCATGGACCCAACCTTTACCAACCAATTGTCAGCTGGTCGAACGCACCTTTGCGACAATGCGATGTGGAACTTACCATCTTGTATATAGCCTCCACAATCGCCAGCATCTCGTCAAAGCTGATCTTTCCATCGCCATCAATATCATATAGTTGAAATGCCCAGTCCAGCTTGTCCTCCATCTTGCCCCGACTTGTCACACTCAGCGCGCATATGAACTCCTTAAAATCAATGGTCCCGCTCTTATCCGAGTCGAACACTTTGAAGACGTAATCTGCAAAAGAGCTTGGGTCACCGAAGGGGAAGAATTGTCGGTATATCTTCTGGAACTCTTGCTTGGTCAGGGTGCCGGACGGGCAATCCTTGAGGAAGCCTAGGTGTATTGATTAGTGCGGGGGGATACATGGCTCTCGTTTCTTCAAGACGCACCTTTGTACCATTGTTGTAACTCCTTTTTGTCGAAATGAGTCGCCTTTTGAAGTTCCTCGAGTTGGTCCCGCGACAACTTGGACTGCCTAGGAGGCGCATATTAGCGCCAAGGTAGTACACATGAGGTCAACCACACTATTGCTCACTTTTGACCCATGCTAATAGCCCACCGAAGGCCTTGCGGCCAAGTATCTCAAGATATTCAGGGCAGGGTCGGGATAGAGTATGCCAGGAGCGCGACGTCAGGAAGGACCAGCTGCGGTGACGTCGTACTACGCTCTGTACCGGTTGTAGAGGGGTAGGACTTTGGCTGAAGGGCTTGCGATTAGGATCGTGAAGGAGTATATGTTCGTCAAGTCGTGAGAGTCAAAAAAGTATTTCTTGGAAAAAGGCGCGGTCGCAGAGTTTCAGAATAAAAGCAGGAGGTCTATAGCCTCATGTTTGTTCGGCCGGAAACAGTGCAGTGATCGAGTCTTCGGCGCCTGGAGCCTTTCTGCGGCGGGGAGTCAATCCACCAAATGACAAAGCGCGGCCTTGCATCTTACATTTGGAACGGAGCTTGAAACTAAGACGGGTTTGCCGCCACTCTCGGGTCACCAATGATTTCTATGAACAAGGATTCTTTGGTCTAGAACCCCGTCGGCATTGTTATGCAGTCTGGATAATCATCTATTTAGGCAAAGCAAAGCTCGCAATCGTATGACTGTCGATTAGCGTGATGTCTACCATGCCTAATGACTGTCCCAGTCCCAAACTCCATGCTTGTTCTACTCTAGCAACGCAGCCTGATTGGTATAGAGCACGTCGACGACGTTGCTCAGCTTCTCGATGGTCTCCAAAGCCGCGTCGTAGCCGGCGTCTCTTTCCACCTCGTCATACACGATCAAACATCCCTCTCCCTGATCCAGGACGCCAACGATGACCTTGTCGAGGATCATTTGGGACAGTTTTCTTTCCACCTGCTGCACATCAAGGCCGACCATCTTTGCCACATGATCGATTTCAACCTTGCTGAAAGGCTCAATCACCTTGATAAGGTTCTGTTCCAACATCGCATCGTACAGCCGTCGAAGATGATTCCGGATGAACACGTCGCTACCGAGTTCATAACGGTAATTAGATAGTGCCTGCTCATATTCTTCCAGTGACCGGTTAGAGTGTGCTCGTGCGACCGCTTTCATGGCTTCCAGATTTGTGCCAGCGTATTTTTGTGCCTGCTTCGACGACAATAGATTTGTAACATCATCTCCAAGGTTCAGCATGATTTTGCATAGAAGCATGTATTGTAACGCAGAAGTCGCACGCGGAGTGTCGTCCTGGCTATGGTATCCTTCCAAAGCTTCGATAAAGTATGAGAATGCGGTGTTGAAGTCCTGGTCTTCAGCGTGCAGCATTCCACTCTGCATGTCGAGTCCGGCCTGTAATAGCGGAGGTGTGTAAACGGAGGCAGCAGATGTCCTCGCAGAGGTCAAAGCAGCTCTGGCTTTGGCCTGGTTCGTAAGTGCATGGTATACTCTTGATTCCAGCAATTGTACCTCTACGAGAACGAGCTTGTCATCCAATCTCTTCAACTCTCGCAGGAGACCGTTAATCAGAGTGAGAGCATCGTAGTAGGACTGTTTTTGCATGTAGAGGCTGACCAGGCGTGTTTCGAGGTTCTGACGCAGGAAGGATCGCTTCTCGGAATTGGCCCAATCGATACATGACTTGGTGGTAGCAATCTGTAATTCCAAGGTATTGGGAATCTCTGCGATGAAGTCAAGTAATTGACGAACTAAGTAGCACCGTTAGTAACGCAGAGAGTGCGTCTGTGATGAACATACCTAGTTTTGCTGTCTTTGCTTTGGCGAACGAGGATAGGGTCGACCTGCTAGTCTTTACCAGCTGCGCTAGATCTTCCGACCGCTTGTTGTCTCGATAGAGTTCTCCCAGTCCGACGAGAGCATTCTCGTAATTCTGGAGAGCAGCTTGGTTGGCACCAGGCGACTTTGCCAGAACGTCCTTGTAGATGCTCTCTGCTTTTGCGGGCTCCGACTTGGCCAGTTTGTTGGCTTCCGTGATTTTGGCGTTCTCGGCAGGTGGAGGAGCCATGATGGCAGTTGCAGATGCGTTCGAGGAGAAGAGATGGCTGGGGAGCGGTTGAGAGATGGATTAAGGGTGTTCAGGCTGCAGAGTGATTGAGCGCAGTACGCGGTCTGGCGAGTGACAAGCATCAAAATGCTAAGTCAAGCCACTGGATATGCGGTATGATCCTGCAGGCACCGCGGATGACGCCAGGCCTATCGCGCCGGCGGCAACGTGAGGCTGACTGCCCTCTTCTCCACAAAAAAGTTTCCTCCGTTCTACAATTTCTCCTCATCAAAGCCGGCAATCGAGGAAGCCTCATCTGCTGGCTCAGTGATGCTGCTCGCAAGATGGTATGTACGCCATATGCTGCTCGTGATGACCCTAAACTCACCATGCACAGAAAATTAAATCGTTGACTAGGGCGCCGCCGCCCCCGGGCGATGGTGCAGTACGCCAATCTCGAAATCTTGATCCCTCCCACCATCCCTTCGAGCGAGCAAGAGAATACACGAGAGCCCTCAATGCTGTCAAGATGGAGCGAATGTTTGCTGCCCCTTTTATTGGTCAATTGGGAGTTGGACATGTGGACGGAGTGTACTCGATGGCAAAAGATCCTGGATCCCTAGAACGTTTTGCAAGCGGCAGTGGTGATGGCGTGGTCAAAGTCTGGGATTTGCCCAGTCGCGAAGAGGTGTGGCAAGCCAGAGCACATGAGAACGTTGTCAGAGGCATGTGTTGGACTCCCGATCGAAAACTATTGTCTTGTGCTACCGACAAGACTGTCAAGGTCTGGGATCCTTACAACGGCGAGAAGAACGGCGTACCTCTTACAACATACCTTGGTCAGGGGGCTTTTACAGACATATCACACCATCGCGACCATTCTTCATTTGCAGCCTCATCCAGTGCTATTTCAATTTACGATCTTTCACGTCCTGCCTCCGGACCCAGCCAGGTGTTGCGATGGCCAACTTCTACCGACACCATCACTGCAGTTTCATTCAACCAGACTGAAACGTCGATACTTGCTTCTGCTGCCCTTGATAGAGCTCTTGTTCTCTATGATCTCCGGACATCCTCTTCTATCTCAAAAGTCGTCCTCAGGCTCGCATCGAATGCCATCTCTTGGAATCCGATGGAGGCGTTCAATTTTGCTGCTGCCAACGAAGATCACAACATATACATTTTCGATATGCGGAAGATGGACAGAGCTTTGAATGTATTGAAGGATCATGTGGCGGCCGTAATGGATGTCGAGTTCAGTCCAACTGGCGAAGAGTTGGTCAGCGCCTCATATGACCGGACAATCCGACTGTGGAACAGAGATCGAGGACATTCGAGAGACGTCTATCACACTAAACGAATGCAAAGAGTCTTCTCAGCCAGATTCACTGCGGACAATAACTATGTCTTGTCGGGGTCGGATGATGGCAATGTTAGGTTGTGGCGAACAAATGCCTCCAGCCGAGGTGGGATCAAGTCAGCCAGGCAACGACAAAAGTTGGAGTATGATCAAGCCTTGATCAAGCGTTATTCGCACATGCCGGAGATTCGACGTATCAAGAGACATCGGCATTTGCCTAAAACGGTCAAGAAGGCGTCCGAGATTAAAGGAGAGGAGCTCAAGTCCATTAAGAGGAAAGAGGAGAACGTTCGTAAGCATAGCAAGAAAGGGAGCATGCCACGACAAAGCGAACGGGAGAAAATGGTTCTTGGTACTGAGAAGTGAAGCAGCCTGTACAGCATCTCGACGCTTATTCTCTCACAGCTCGCACCTGTGCACACCGGCAACCACGACTCGGATTTTGCTGATTTTCCATGGGACGTCAAAGCACGTAACCCTGCCACACTTAGAGACTCTCTGGTGGACGCACAGCTCAATCTTGCAGTCGAAGAACGGAGAAAGCCAAACGTCATCAAGTCCGTCCAGACAAAGGCGTCACAAAGGCGTCACGAGATGCCTTTTATGAGTCCCAAGATGTTTTAATCTTGTCCAGTCTCTGGATCTGATACATGGCTGCGTTACCGTGCAAATGACGCAAACCAAGAAGCCAGGAAAGGCCGAGGATCGTGAATAATGGAGTGAATGATTTCTCACCCAAGTCAATCCGAGCAGTGATCATCACCCGCTCACAAGTTGAGAAGTGTGCACACTCGTGGAAATGTATGAAGCGACCACAATCGCTCCAAATTACGGCTACACAATTTACAGCATGATTCCTCCGACGAGGTGGACACGGTTCAGATTTTCTTCTGTTATAGATTATCACCGTGGTTGTCTACTATTGTCGACATTCGTCCATCCCTTTACTTGCTGCAAGTCCATCACTTCTCCATCCGCCCCAAATCGATCCTGGGTATCTCGCCAGTCTCTGCCGACGGCCATCTCCGGCCTCCATCTGAAAGCTTTCTTCAGCTGAGGTTCCATTTGGCCTTCAAGAGCGTTGACAACCTGGATGCCCACAGCCGGCATTGTCATGAACCCCATTCCACTCCCTCCTACAGCCACCAAAAGCCTCGAGTATTTTGGGTGCTGATCAATCAGGAAGACGCGGTCCGGAGTATCTGCATCCCAGCACACCCTTGCGAAGGTGAATGGACGATCTGCGATTTGGGGCACTGTCTCGCGTAGGAATCGGCGTGCACGAGCCTCAGCGTCGACGGGTATTTGTTGCCGAGCAAGAGGGACAGAACGCTCAGCGTTGATAGAATGGTCATGAATGAAGTTGCAATATCCAGGATGCTCGTCAACGAATTTAAGTTCGCCAGTCCTAGTTGTAGGTTCCTAGGAATCATAAAAATTAGCTTCAATACCTCGCTGTGCATTCTACTACCATAAGGTAGAGATGAGTTTCATCACGGGCAAAGATGAACTTGTCTTAACCTAGACGACTTGAACCTATCTACACTCGTATAGAGTATAGAGCAACCATGAATAGGAGTGAGCAGCTTCAGGGGGTTTACCGAAGATGCAATACACATACCATGAAGAATCCACGTTCGACGTTGAACAGGACAGGCAGATCTCTCCACTGCACGCGCTCGTCTTCGGTCATCTGGATATGTGCCAGGGTCCATGCCGTCGGCCTAAGTTGCTTTTCAAAGTCGAATATCCTATCACTGTTCGCACCGGCGCAGAGAATGGTTCTGTCGGCTCTGTGCTCGACGCCGTCGCTCGTAAGGGCCCCCAGCACGTCTGAATCAGAGTAGACCAGTCTTTCGACGTTCCCTTTGGACTCGCCCGTGACGAAGCGCACGCCGAGTCTGCAAGCCTCGTTGTACGCGGCCTCGAGCGCCCCGCGCGCAAACACCCATCCAGCACCTTCGGGTCGGATAAAGCCCTTCCAGTTGGGAAAGTCGCCGGTAAGGATGCCGGGGGGCATGGTCGCGCGGAAAGCTTCAGGCGTATCGAGGCGGCGGATGGGTGACTTGCACGACTTTATGTACGAGTCGACGTGCTTGCCTGCCTCGGGGGATGAGGCGGCCATGACGAAGCCCGTGGCGTGGTAGAAGGGAGAGTACACCGGGTCGGATTTCCATGCTTCCGTGGCGAGCTGGAAGAGTCTGTTCCAGACGTAGCTTTCTTCGTCGTCGTCTTCGGAAGGGATGCCTTCTTCCATGATCTTGTTGACGTCGTTGCCGGCAGAGATGGGTGAAGGGATTGGGTGGGCGTCGAGAACCGTCACATTCTTGTAGCCTTGTCGCGCGAGCTGGAGAGCCGTGGCACATCCCCATGTACCGCCTCCTATGACGAGGATGGACGAGTCGTGCGACAACTGGGACATTGTAGTTTTGGGCCCGAACGTATGTGGCTGGTACAAGTAGAGGGGTATTGAGATCAAACTGTCCAGTAGTAACTTGTGGGATGGTAGCTCGTCGTGCCGAGCGATCACAATGTCTTCCGAAGAATGTAGACCTCTCAGTTTCGTAACTCGTCGTATCCGCGGCTTCTGCACCACCCTGGACAAGTAGGGGCGATTTGAAGGTTCTCTTGTCGCAAGTAGCTCAGACTCAACAGGTGTGGCCGGTGAAATGCAACGAACTGATTTTATTGTGGTCAGAAGAGTTTCTTTCCTCAAACAATTCCGTAAGGTATCTACTTATGGTGTGGGTCGTACAGTATCTGCCCTGACTTTGGGGTGAAAGGGAGCTCGCGTTCTCATTCGTACGCTTCGACCTTCTGTGTCCCTTTGGGTGGATTCATGGTCGGCCAATTTTCGCATTGCACTACGGAAGTGCTGGTCGAAGCTTATTGCGATCTCCCCTCTTTGATGTTCTCTCCACATGGACTGGGTTGCTGGGTTGTCTCATCGCATCTCACTCGATGACCGTGGATCGCGTGCAAGCAATATCTGCGACCAGACAGATGCCTGCATCCCCCTTGATCGTTTTTGTGGGGGCAGAGATAACGAGATCGAGGCGGGCGTCAGCTGTGGAGAAGCACGTCCTCCTTGGTCTTTGCAAATATGCCGAGCTATATGCCTCTTAACGTCCTAGCTATAGCTGAGCAGATCACATCTGTTATCAAGCTTGTAGGATGCAAGTTCCTGGAATGATCTTTCAGTATCGCTTTAAACAATATCGTCATGGGAGCGGCTGACAATCATCGCTTGCCACGTGATTTGCTGGTGAGGCTGCCGTCGACCGCTGTGACCTAAGGTAGGCAAGGTATAGCATGTAGCAATCACCCCGCCGTGTAACGTGGCCATCCTATTTCCTGGCAATCCTTGCATGCGCTCACCATGTACGCAGATACATGATACGAGTGGCAATTTTGCAGAACGAAGAGATCCCGAGATCAACACCCTAATCTATAGACTGGCACGAGCCCGTCCGAAGTCGTCACAGCCAGCTTAACTGTTGGCCATCAATGAGGCTGTAGGGTATCTTCTTGGAGCAGACTGCAAGCGGAGCTGCTCCAGACTTAAGGGGTTCCGTCAATTCCTTACCTCTTGTAGTGTCACTTGCTCGTTGTTGTATCACTGACCTGTTGCCATTAGCAAACAAGCTCGGGGATTACAGCGTAACTACATCTCGACCCTTTCACATAACACGATTACTCTAACACGTGAGTTGAGGCAATCAACCACAAAGAGGAGGACTGACGGACTTGCCAACATCGAATGGGAAACGTCCAAGCTTGGGAAAGACATGTACCAAGTGACTTGATACCAGATCCTGAAGATCATATGGGTGTCGTAAGGTCGCTCACCAGTGTGTACCAGAGCAATCGCAGTGAACCACGACCAACTCCCTCGTCCACTCGTCACTAGGGCAGAATCATACTATGGACTTTAGATATCAACCCGATCTTGGAACTCCACACGCCATGGCACCCACCAAGATGATAAAATGCAAATTCTTTGCACAAGGGTTCTGCAAGTATGGAGATGCTTGCAACTTCCTTCATGGATGGCAAACACACAATACTGCCTTATCAACCACCCAAAGACCTAGGATTCGTCCTTCAGCTCCAACCCTTAAGAGTGAGGATGTTAGATCATCTCGAATCTGCACATTATTTATGCAAGGATCGTGTCAGAAGGGCAATAAGTGCCGGGACCGTCATCCTCAAGCTACAGCACAATCGCCCCAAGTCGACATGAACGCTACCTCCTTTGACTCTTGTCGAGGCCAAGAAGACAACAGCACTCCTCCATCACGATCAGATTCTCGCGCGCAAGTTCCCTGCAGATTCTTCTCGCTCCCTGGAGGCTGTCGAAACGAATCTTGCCCATATCTCCACATCCTAGGTAATCATGAGGGAAACCACAGCAGAGATTGCGAAGAAAAAGATGAGGCCAGTAATTTTCCTTACCTTTAAGGTAGAGCCCCATATTGACGTTAAAAATAGGATCAAGATTGTGACGACCGTCCTGCTCGAGATTTCTCCGGAGCATCAGTCTACTATAATGAATACGGTGATATTCTCAAAATCTCCCTCCCAACAGACTTTTCTCTTGCTTGCATTACGGGTCTTGTTCCAGGAACCACGCCTCAAGAGGTCGTCGCTATCCTGCGTGATTTGGGCTTCAACATAGACTCCGAATGCGTTCGCATCCTTGAACATTCGGCATCCGCGGGTGTAAGGGCTACGGCAAAGGTAGAAGACCCGACGTTTGCAAAAGAGCTTAGCGTCAAACTTCAGAATCAACAAACAGCCCTCAGCGCGACGCCAATGCCGATTGATGCTAGGCGGACAAACTGCAGAAAAGTGTACATTTCATGGCACAAAGCCACCCAGGGTGTATGGTTGAATTTCGGTAATGGCGAGATAGCGAACAGGGTTGCGCAGAGATTCAACGAGGGTACGTACACATGCCTTGGTCAGTCTGTCAAGTCTTCTGCTGGAAAGAACAGCCAGGATCAGCGGGGTGGAGGAGGCTTCCCGTACAACCCTGTATCTTGGACCATTATATTGAGCGATGTGCCCAACGGTACGACGGTCAGGGACATCCAAGAAAGTATCACATTGCGGTGCGATAGACCTCGACACATTGAGGTGGGCGTGTTGAGCTACCAAGCTTCTCATGCGGAAGTCAGCGTTGAGGTTCGCTCGCGCCTGGAGGAGCATGGCCCACTTGAGAACTTCTATCTCGCTCCCACATCCACGGGGAAACGAGTCAAAGCTACCGCTTGGTTTCAAGATGAAGCTGACGCCAGATCGGCGTGCTCATTAAATAACAAGCCACTCACTATCTTGGGGAAAGGCAACGTAACTGTTACCCTGGTGCAATCAGCTAAGATCAAAGTTCTGACGACCATTTACTTGGCCTCGAAAGCCAGAATTGGCACGGAGAGCATAACTTGGAGAGAACAGCATCTGGCGTTCCGAGTCTACACTGGCACTTTGTATACGACCTTGAAAGTCGAGGGCGACAACATGCAAGCCGTTGCAAATGCGCGCCGAACGCTTGAAGAGATTTCGATTGGGGTGGTCCTTGAGGATGGAGGGAAAGTAATTTGGGATTCAGCACTCAACACCACTGGAAGCGTATACAAGAAGCTCAAGTCACTGGAGAGAGACCTTAGTGTTGTTATCGTCAGAGATAAATCAAAACGCCAACTCCGGTTTCACGGGCCATCTGAGAAATTGCAGCTTGTAATACGCCAAATTGCCGATATCATCAGAACGGAGTCCTCCACCAGCTACGAAATTGACCTCAAACCTCACCAATTCTCATGGACGATCAATGGTGGCTTTAAGAGCATTGTACAGGCTTTGGGCAACAACGTCGCGGTCTTCAATGTGGTCTCGAAGAGAATCGTCATCAATGGTACACAGCAGCAATACGAAGCCGCCATGGCAATCATGGACGGCAAGCCTGCTATCGAACTCCGCTCTTCACTAGATGGCGCAACAAGGTCCGACGGATGCTGTCCAATCTGCTTCTGCGAAGCCGACACTCCTATTCAGACTTCGTGCGAGCACACGTACTGCATTGAATGCTTTGAAGGATACTGCAAATCTGCCGCATCGACTAGCAAGAAAGAAGTCCAAATCAAGTGCCAAGGGGGCGGAGGCACTTGCCCGACCATCTTCACTCTACGCGAATTAGAGAACCATGTCTCGTCATCAGTATTCGAAGCTGTTCTCAAATCATTCTTCGAAGATTATATCCAACGCCACCCTGAGACCTTTCGCTACTGTCCAACTCCGGATTGTGGCCACATATATAGATGCACTACAAGTTCAGGGTCGAAGCCTGCTGTGTACACTTGTTCCAACTGTTTTGAGAGGCTTTGTACCTCTTGCCACGAGCGACATGGGGATTACACATGTGCAGAATTCAAAGACATTGCATCGGGTGGTCACGCGGCGCTCGAGAGACTGAAGAGGGAACTTAACATCAAAGACTGTCCTAAATGCATGACGCCGATGGAGAAAACAGAGGGGTGCAATCATATGACTTGTGGGGGTTGCAGGGCACACATTTGCTGGGTATGCATGAAAGTCTTCGAGGCGAGCGCACCGTGCCATAGTCACATGAACGAAGTCCATGGAGGCATCGGGCTTGGGCTCGATCATTTGAGGGATTGGTGAAGTAGGCTGGACAGTAATAGCAAGGCATCAGCATGTGATCTGGGCTGACCTCTCGTCAATACGGCTGACAAACATTGGAATCTTGCCTCGCTTAAGAAGTTTTTGACACTTGGATGGTTCTTTATGTATGCCTACCATCTATGAAGACCCTCAATCTGATCAGCTTCAAATCATGGCAACGCATCGTCCATTGTCGGGCCTGAGAAGTGCTGCTCTTGAGATAGTAAGGCTTTGTGGCGCAACGTGTTAGGGCACCGTATTCAACTCGCACCATTCTCGGTTAGTATCTAGGAAGATAGGTACATACAAGAGTCCAGTGACTTTGGGTGTGCTTGGGTTGCGGTAGGGTCAGCGAAAAGCGCCAGGCGCCAGAAGCATGACCCGTTCTGGGAGAGTTGGGTTGAGGAAGAAAGGTCCTGGCTTCGAGCCTTCATAGATCTCTGATTTCGGCCTGTTCTGACGGTCCATGTTGATGTTTAACAAAGAACCTATATGGCCATGAGGGGCCTTGAATCCTGCAAAGGAAATTCACCTTGTCTGATGTGCACGTCATGCCCCTGACGTCCCCTGTAAGATGGGGAACTACTGCAAAAACACCTTCACACCATAGATTTTCGGCATCTCTCTCTTGTTTGTGTCCCACCTTCCAGGGAGGTTTGAACAATTATATGTCCGATTCCGAATCTTGTCATCTGTCCAGTCGAGAAGCTCAATCGAACTTTAACCATTAGGCTTAAATAGGTACAGCCGAGAGCAGAAAGAGACTCGTCAGTGAACACAGTTTGGGAGAAGGGGAACTGATGAGAACTTCAAAGTATAAACAAGATAGGGCGTCAAAGCCGCTTGAAGACGGCAACCTACATTCTCGCAGATAGTGTAGCTACCATTGTCGAGTAGAAGAAGAATTATCGCCAGTGAATCATGACATTGTTGTGTTTCAGGGGTTTCATATAAGATCGACATTTCATCAGCGGTTGAACGAGTTGGCGGAAATTTAGCCTTGCCATGCAAGAGGGCACGACGCCTAAGCCAGCAGTCCGAGCGCTTTAGAAGAAGGTCCATTTTGGAATGTCCAAACCTGTCAAAAGGGTGTCATCGTCTAGGATTGAGGAGGTTGGTGTTGAGAATGAAAGAGAGAAATCCCAGGTGCTCACTCAGGGAGAACGTTGGGAAATGCTCAACTATGGCTTAGGGAGTGGAAGGTGAACCGAGAGTAAGTCCCACCACCAGGTTTTGCACCAACCTAGTTTTGCACCACGCGTCCTGCAACCCCGCCACCTCTCTACCACCAACTTGAACAACTAACCACTCAACCAATTTACCATGAATCGCGCGTTAAACGCCTCAAATCGAGAGCTTAGGATCCAGCAAGCCATCACAGACTATCAACGACGCACACATTCCTCTATTCGCGCAGCCGCGGCCGCAAACGATATCCATCATTCCACACTAGTTCGCCGTCTACAGGGTCATCAATCACCCTCATTATCCCATGAATCGCAGCAGTTACTGTCGAATCAACAGGAGGCCCTGTTAAAGAGTTAGATAATCGACCTAGAGGCACAAGGACACGCACCTAGCTACAGAGCTGTACGAGATCTCGCAGGGATAATCAGCGAGTCAAATGGCGGCCCTCGACGCGTTGGACTTAACTGGCTACCACGATTCCTAGAACGTCACCCTGACGTTAAAAGCAAGGTAGGTCAAAAGATCTGTGCTAGGCGTGTCAACTATACCCTTCCTGAGCTACTTGAGCCCTGGTTCAACGACTTAAAGGTCGTTAAAGCGCGATATTCTATATGGCCTGAGAATAGCTATAATATGGACGAAGCTGGCACAGCCCTAGGTGTCTACAATAATTAATTAGTTATTAAGATATCGGCCACTACCAGGGCACTCAGGAAAACGCTAGAGACGCGAGAATAGACAACGATTATTGAGACAGTATCGGTTATTGGTTAGCGTCTATAACCGCTAGTTATCTTTAAAGGCTAAACACTTCGGACCACTTAGTTCGACTAGAACAGTCCTACCTATCGATATATAATATCTAATAATGGCTGAATATCGAACGAGATAGGTCTCGCCTGGCTAGACCTAATATTTATACCTTAAACAGTTACAGAAGACACTACTCGCGGCGCCTATCGATTATTACTTATGGATGGCCACAAGAGTTATATCACATACGAATTTATGTGGAAATGCTTTCAGAACAACATTGTGATATACTACTTACTACCTTATTCAAGCTATGTTCTCCAGTCTCTTGATCTTGCTTGTTTTTCACCTGTTAAGTCGCGCTATCGAGACACCCTAGCTGATCTCGCTAGGTTCGATAACGCAGCCCCAATCAAGAAGACCAAGTTCCTCCAGATATATCAAAAGGCTAGTTAGGAAGGCCTAACAGTCGCTAATATCAAGGCTGGCTGGAAAGCTAGTGATATATACCCATGGAATCCACGACTACCTATCCGATCTAGCCAGGTCCTAGCCGACAAGGAAAAGGCCCAATATACAGTACATACACCACCTTCACGCAAGCGAAAAGCGCTCGATAGTGACGTCTATAGTACGCCAATCAACAGGAGAGTATATGGCGAGTCACTAGTGTTGGCAACCCAGCGCGAAACGCTATCTCGTCCCATGCGTAATTGGCTCAAAAAGACAGGCCAGGTTATCGAGCGTTTAGAGTGAGATACTAGGCAGAAGGATGAACAAATAACTAAGCTACAGAATGGCCTAGACGAGGAGAAAACCAGAGGGCAAAAGGGCAAGGCTATCGACGTGAACGAGATATTTGCTAGTATCGAGAGTATACACCTAGCCAAAGAGGCATTGGAACTATCGGCGGCGACGACAACAACAAGGCGCAGGCCTAGGCAGGTTACAAACGCTAGGAATGACACTAGCAACAACCCACAGGAGGCATTCATGTCACAGTTCTATGTAAACGATCTAGTTGGTTGAGTAATTGAGACTTGTTCTGTGGCAATGGCGATCAAATAGGTGGTGCAAAACTAGGTTGGTGCAAAACCTGGTGGTGGGACTTAAAGGGGAAAGTTAGCCGCTACCTTCTCAGCCGCGAACGCGTAGATGAGATCTAAATAATCCTACCAGATATTCCTTGCTTGGTGATTTACCAAGACGCAGGTCGCTCGACACTGCTGTTGATTGAGATCGACTGAAAGATTTGTTTGTCGAAAGGACCAGCTACGAACAGGGATAGACTCTCCTTCAGACAGCAATGAACAGATCGTGACAAGTGGCATCTTAGTCGACGACGTTCTCGGGCTCTTGATTGTATCTGTCAGGATTTTCGACTTCGGCCTGCAGTCTCTTCAGGTACTCTTTGACCATGAATTTCTTGCTCGCTGCAGCAATTCTTTGCTGCGTCTCGATCGATAATGTGGCAGCTTTCTACCTACCTGGAGTTGCACCCTCCTCCTACTCCGAGGGCGACCGAGTCCCCTTGACAGTCAACGCCCTTACTCCTTCGATATCACGCCACGACGAGCAGATCCATGCCGTGGTTTCCTATGACTACTACCATCCTGCATTTCGGTTTTGTCGGCCGGAAAACGGGCCACAACGTGTTCGAGAGTCGCTGGGGAGCATAATATTTGGGGACCGTATCCAAACGTCGCCTTTCGAATTGAACATGGGACAGAATGAAACCTGCAAGGTGATCTGTGCCAGCGCGGACTTTGACGAGAAGTCAGTCGGCTTTGTCAGGTCAAGGATCAATGAGGCTTACAATGTCAACTTGCTCGTCGATGGGCTACCTGCGGCCGAGTTGAGAGAGGACCCGCTCACACATGAACGATTTTCCAGCCCTGGCTTCCCTTTAGGCAAAGTGAGAGAAGACGGCGCCGTCATACTGAACAATCATTGGGACATCATTGTCGATTACCACAAGGCTGGTCTCCGAGGCACGAAGTATCGGGTCGTGGGCGTTCTGGTCCAGCCGCAGTCATATGCAGAGTCGAAAGTGACGGGGCCAGGGAAAGCCGAATGTGCTGTTGACTCCGGACCGTTGATGCTGCAAGATGGAGCAGGAACAAAGGTCACTTATACATACAGCGTTTATTGGCGACCCTCAGACACAGCTTGGGCTACTCGATGGGACAAATACCTACACATCATCGACCCGAAAATCCACTGGTTCTCACTCATCAACTCGACAATCTTCGTCATCTTTCTAGTTGGCATGGTCAGCAGCATACTTGTTAGAGCTTTGCGGAAGGATATCGCCCGTTATAACCGGCTCGACAACATAAACCTGGATGATTTATCAGGCACGTCGGCTGTGGGTGATGATATCCAAGAGGACTCGGGCTGGAAACTGGTTCATGGCGATGTGTTTCGCAGTCCACGCTACATTCTGGCGTTGAGTGTTCTCCTTGGTAATGGCGCACAGCTCTTCGTCATGACTGGCGTGACGGTCGCTTTTGCCATGCTAGGATTTCTGTCTCCCTCCAATCGGGGCTGGCTCACATCGATTGGCCTTCTCTTATATACCATGTTTGGCTGCATCGGTGGCTATGTTTCTGCACGCGTATACAAGAGCTTTGGAGGCGAGAAATGGAAGCTCAACATTGCAGCCACTCCAATCTTTGTGCCTGGCATTGTATTCGGAACCTTCTTTCTCCTCAATCTCTTTGTGTGGGCCAAAGGATCCAGCGGTGCGGTTCCTTTCACCACGATGCTAGCAATCATCGCCATCTGGTTTGTGATCAGTGTGCCGCTGAGTGTGGCCGGATCTTGGTATGGTTTCAAGCAGTCGGCAATCGAAGCTCCAACACGAATCAATCAAATTCCACGTCAGATACCGCCAGTTACTCGCTCCCTTCGACCTTTGCCTTCATTGCTCCTGACAGGAATACTCCCATTCTGCGCTATCTTCGTGGAACTGTACTTCATCATGACATCGTTATGGACGAGCAAGATCTACTACATGTTCGGCTTTCTATTCATTTGCTACGCGTTGATGGTCTTGACGTCCGCGTGCACTACCATCCTCCTTGTATACTTCTTGTTGTGCGCGGAGGACTACCGCTGGCAATGGCGGGCATTCCTTGGTGCTGGGATGACTGGTGGATATGTATTTGTGAACGCGCTGGGCTTCTGGGTGACCCGAGTGAGCTTCGGAGGTTTTACAGGAGCTGTGCTGTATGTCGGATACTCCGCGCTCATCAGTTTTTTGGTCGCCGTGCTGTCTGGTGAGTATCCTCTCGACGATGACCTTGCTTCATGTACTGACTGTCAAATAGGCACCATTGGCTTCTTTGCATCCTACGCATTTGTCTACCGGATTTACAGCTCTATCAAGGTTGACTGAAGCTCTGGCCTGAATGCACGATAGAAAATGAATGTGGCCGGACTCTCATGCTTCGAGGTATTCCAGAAATTGGATATGACGGCGCGCGAAATATACAACCTCAAGTGATATCTTTCCGAGGTAGCGGAGACCAGGATTGCTTTGCGACCGGTGGTCAATGTGCACAGCCATCAACAACTTAAGAATCAAGAATTAACCCCGGAAGCAATTCAAGACTCGTAGGTCTTGAAGATGCAAGACACAGCCTCGCTGCCTCAGTAGTGGCCGCAACGGTTGCAATGGGATGGTCCGATCAACAAACATGTCAGAATTTTACCGCGGGCAGTGCCGCGGACGGGTGTAACATGAGGAAAAACTTTGATGAGTGTTAAAATGAGAAGAGTGTTTATTTGTAGAGTCGCCAGCTGTGTAACTCATGTCGTGTGACAATTTGGCAGGCGAAAGTGGCATCAAAAAATTACAGATTACAGGTAAGTAAGGATTGAGTTTTCATCAATGCGGGCCAAGAGGGCGGGCCGGGAGACGCGAGTTAGAAGGCGATCAACACGAGGTCGAGTTAGCGATCGTCGTCGGCTTCATTTCGCATAAGGCAATGTGGATGTCGCAGGAACGGTCGCGCGGCACGCCTCTGCAGAGACGTCCAACCGACGGGTTACTATGGGCCGTATGGGTTCGACGACCCCATACGAGTACGGATATTCCATCCAAAGAAAGAGCTACATACTTTGGTGGCGAGTGCCGTATGGGGCGAAAGCCACAATGCAACGAGTACGGAGTACCTAATTAGTATGACCAGAGCCTCGGATTTCGCGGGCTGCCACTGGTGCCTGGCGGTGGCTAAATTCGCCCGGAATAGGGCCACCGGCGAACATCCCATGATGTGGGAGCCGAGAACGAGTGGCGGCGTTTATGGTGGTGGTGATGAATCATGGTCAATGACGATGATGATGTATCCTGACAAAGGCCGACGCAGTGATGCGTAGGAGACGTATAGAGAGACCCGGTAGGGCCAAGCTTCTAGTGCAACATCACCGAGATAACACTGGCCGTGTTTGTGGTCAATGGGGCATTAGGTGGACAAAAAAGGCGGACGTGTGGTGGACGCCGTAGAAGGCGAGCAGGATGGACAGTGAGATACATGAAAGCAGCCGATGCTCATCATCTGGAGGTCACCAAGCGTGGAATTTGGAGTATGGATACCTATGTATAACACAAAAGACAATGTTTTAGCTTTTGAGGCTTGTCCGGAAGAAATTTTGGGATATTGAGTGCTGAGACGGCCTGTAAGAGTCAACTGCATTGGTGTGTACTCGTACCCCGTAGTAGGTAGGTACATGCCTATAAAAGTGCAAGGTACTAACTAATAAGCGGCACCTTCGGGGCCTCACTAGCCTCACTAGCCATTGCTAACTCACTGTGGTGCCCGTAATTGGCCTACAATAGACGGATCCTTGTAGTTCGCAGGACATCGACGTCATCGCAAGTGCTGCTGCAAGAGCGCCGTCCCGGAAAGTGCGATCTTCTCCCATCTCTGGTGTCGCCTGCGCCGTGTCTACTCGTATTCTCTACCGCTGCTGGTGCCATCTTCGCGCGTCCTTACACCACTACACTTCGATTTCCACACCAGGCCTCCTCGTGCCAACTATTCACATCAGCATCTTCCACCTCTGCTATCGCACCCACTTGTTTCCTGGGCACCCTTCGCTAAACTGCCCGTATTCTCTCGTTCGTCGCTGGTACCTCATGACTTGTGTTTGGCCACAGGATCTCCTCTACACACCCACACCCATTTTCGATTCTTCGGTACAAAATCATTCTGATTTACAATATTACAGTTGTCCCCTTAATCAAGAGAATCGAGTTGCATTTATGAGGTGTTGAACATTGCATAGAAAGAGAGGAAACAAACACATGGCCCCGTCATTCATGAATCAATCGGTTCCATGACTCTACTCAAAACCCAACAAGGTCGCAGACACTCTAACACGACATTCGAGTGTCTGCAGCCAAGATGAAGTCGTCAAAGTCCTCGCACCCCGGTCTGTCTCCGCGGGGTCGATCGTCGCGCCTGACAGAAGGTCATGGCTCATCAACATCACAGACAAGGTCTATGCCGGGAGGCGAAGACACAATGAGTGAGAACAGAAATTCACAGTCTGCGCCAGATGGTTCTTCGTCACTTGCACACCAGCAAGCCACCCAAGTTCTCGCGCGTGAGTTACCGGGCGATATTGAGGCAATGCGACGTAGAATGGGCCTGGCTTTGGCTCAAAAGCAACAAATGCGCGCCTCTGCTGTATCTGCCATCTCTGTCGACGGTGCCAAACAGAGCGAACCAGTAGAATCAGCGCAACCTCTGCTTCATACCGAGTCCAGTTCAGATGAGTCTGTGAATACAGGAACCTTGTCGACTGACTCTGCCAGAACCATAAGAGCAACCTTGGACGCGACACCGGGGACGATCAGGACACCTTCATATCCTTTCCCTCGTATGGCGTTCCGGCTCAATCGGGGTATCAGTCAACGGTCAGGGCCTTCTCATAAACCATTCACTTTGCTCTCCCCAACAAACGAGCCTCCGGTGACCGGAACCGAACCTGCACCTACCCAACTTCAGGCACAGGCCTCTTCTTCAGAGTTAAGCACCCCAATAGGTCAAACACCGCTCGGTGCGGCTTTTCCTGAGGATCCAAACTTTCCGGCACCAGATCTGCTGGAGTGTGTACTAGTCCTAAATTCGGAGCCTGGTTTGGATATGTGGTGGGCGAATGTCACAGATATTCTAAACGAGTTTGGCGCTGAGAGAGCGTCCCTAGCCGTTCCGGGCGACATCACCGATCTCGAGAATGTTCCTTGGGGTCAGAAAGCCACCTACAATTGCTACGGGAGCGATGCAGCTCCCCCTTCCCAATTGGACTCAACGACCGCCTCAGACCTTGACACGTCCTCTGTTGGGAGACGACCGGAGCCCTCTTCGCGGACGCCTAGTGACGTGAGTACCTTGTCTACTCGTCGGCCTCCATTGCTGTCCAGACATTCTATTGCAGGACCAGTGCCAGATCCTGCCAGTCGCAGCTCTCGTCAACGGCCAGCCGGACCTATCCGAGCCTACAGCAGTGCAGCCAAAGAGGAAGATGGACAGGCTTCGACAGTAACCGCGCCCGTATTACCCAGGCTAACAAAGCAGCCCGCCACCCCGCGCTCTTCATCTCTAGCTGAATCAAACCCTCTGAACTTCAAAGGACCGTACAACTCGTCGGGGTCGGCGTCGTCCACTTTGAGATGTCATGTACACCGTTCGCTTCAACCCTTGGAGGCAGAGCGTGATCCACTACTTGTTCGGACGGGTGTTGTGTCTTTGTTCAACAAAAGAAAACCTGTCATCTTGACAAGGGCCTATTCAGAAGAAGTCCCGAAACGATCTCCGCTTCCGAGAGGCAGCGAGGATCTGTGGACGGCGCCTCGGACTCCATCAGCTGCTGCCGCCGAAAAGATTAAAGCCAACAACATGGAAGAGCCGCAATACTCAATAATTCGTGCTTTCGACGAATATGAGCAACCTGAGCCCTCGCCTTGGTCTCAAAGTCCGTCCCCTTCGCCGGCAGCCAGACCAGATCCTGAAGAATCTCCCTTCTTCAACCCTCCTACAGCATCCATTGATGAGACGGCATTTGAGCAGAACCCTCCTGTATATGACTACGCCACCACTGCGAATCAGTCGCTGAACGCGATAGGTGCAGATATGTCAAAGACTCTGGTGCATATACCATTGATACAGCCGATCCTAGCTCGAGGCACGATGGCGTCCAATTTACGCTTCCCTGTTGCCATTCTGTCATTCATCTCGAACGTAAACCCGTTCCCACTTAGCTGGCGCCGAGCCCTCGAGGCCTTGTTGCCTCATATTGCTAGCTCGTACTCACTCGCGCAACAATACAGTGCTCTCCAAGATCGTCTGAGAGGTGCTCCTGGAAGCCGCCACGGAGCGGCATTCGGTTTAGGAGGCACATTCTCCGACGAGGGCTCGGAGTTAGAATTGGTAGCGGAGCTCAGCGAGCAAATTGCGCTAGACAGAGAACAGCCAAGAAGCTGGACCACATACGATGCCAGCAGTCCTTCAGGGCTCAAAGATAGCCCAAGTAGCTCACTTTCCAGCACCCCTCACTTGGAACATTTGGGCCTAAGTCCAGGTCTTCCACCCACTCCGGGGAGATCGGCTTCGGACATGGTCGACAGTTATTTTTCAACGCGAAGGCAGCGTGGTACCCAGCAGCCGTTGACTCCAGGACCTAGACCCACCAAGGACGATGGCGAACAGTCCAAAAGGTCTACCGAGAAAGTAGTATCGACCTCTAAAGCAGTAGCGAAGAAGTCTGCTAATATCAAGACCCAAGCGGAGGCTCAAATGCAAAGCCCGGTGGCAAAGCGCGCGGGGAGCAACGCTTCTGGAAGTGAAATTGGGGATCAAATTTTTGACCGAGCTGACTCGTCCGCTCGACGTTCAACACTTCGACGTTACAGCCAGTCAAAGGATGAAGAAAAGCCGCTCCCGGAGCTCATCTCTTCGCTGATGTTGAATTCAGTACCTCTCCAGCTCTTCCTTGCTAAACCAACTACCGGCGACCTGGTGTGGACGAACCGCAAATTTGATGCTTTCAGAAGTCAGGGAGAAGGACGTGTCCGTGACCCGTGGAAAAATGTCCATTCGGCAGACAGGAATGGCTTGGTGAAGTTATGGAACGACGCCCTGAGAACTGGAAGCCAATTTACTCACTACATCAGAGTAAAGCGATTCAACAGCGATAACGATTTCCGCTGGTTCGTTTTCCGTGCCAGCACGTTATTGACTAACAATGGCCGGCTTCTGTACTGGATTGGGTCTTTCCTTGATGTACATGAGCAGTACATGAAGAATCTAGAGGCGAGTGAGAAAGAAGCAATCATGGCGCGAGAGACCAAAATTCGTGCGTTGGCAGACGCTATTCCGCAGATCTTGTTTGAGGCCATCGAAGGAGACGGCATCGTAGCTGTCAACCAGCAGTGGCATGCATATTCAGGTCAGACACTAGAGGAGGCTCGGGGCTTGGGCTTTGCCAAGCACGTCCACCGTGATGATTTACACAAATGCGGCATCTTGTCACCATCCGATATTGCCGCCATTGCACGATCTTCCGGGAGCAACCGCACAGATTCATCCAGTGATTCGAATAAGACGGCAGCTCCTTCGCTCCCGACACGGAAGAATTTGTTTTCTCCAGACCTGTCGTCGCTGGATCAGATGATCAAGTCGGGATCGGTCATGGTTGAGAAGGACGAAAACGGTCAGTTGTACTACCTGACCGAGATTCGATTGAGATCAAAGGGTGGCGAATACCGATGGTTTCTTGTACGCTTGGTCCGCGTTGAGACAGGCCTATGGCAAACCCAAAGCGGCAAAGCATCATGGTATGGTACCTGCACTGACATTGAGACACGAAAAGCCCTGGAGCGCAAACTGAACGAAGCAAACGAAAAGGTTCATCGAGAGATGGAATCGAAAACCAAGTTTTTTGCCAACATGAGTCATGAAATCCGGACCCCTTTGAACGGTATCATTGGCAGTATGCCTTGGTTAGTTGAGTCGTCTTTGGATCACGATCAGCGAAGAACCGTCGACACTATACAAAACAGCGCCAACAACCTGAGGGAGCTTGTCGACAACATCTTGGATGTGACAAAGGTCGAAGCAGGCAAGATGACACTTTTCCCAAAGTGGTTCCATGTCCGTAGCCTCTGCGAGGAAGTGATTGACACGGTTTCATCTCGAGCCATCGAGCGAGGATTAGCGCTCAACTATTCTCTGGAAACAAATGTGCCCTCCACGGTCAAGGGCGATGCATTCAGAGTTCGTCAAGTCTTACTCAACCTCCTTGGAAACTCAGTCAAATTCACCGAGCAAGGTGAAGTTTACATGCGATGCTCTTTACGTGTGGTGCTACCCACGAATTCGAGCGAAGATGCTGGCAAGACGCTCTTGCTCAACTTTGACGTCATAGACACTGGCCGTGGATTCAACGAGGACGAGTTTCAGAGGCTATTCAAACAGTTTGGTCAAATTGGTGGCGGTACCAGCCATGAAGCCGGGTCTGGGCTAGGGCTGTTCCTCTCGAAACAGCTGGTCGAGATGCACGGCGGAGAGCTTTCGGTGCAGAGCAAAGCCGGAGAAGGATCAGTTTTCAGCTTTTATGTGAAAGTAGAGATGGAGCTTTCGGGAGCTGAGCCAAGTGTTACACCTTCAACTGCGGCTCAGAGCAGCACACAGCAAGCAACGATGCTCAATGCAAGCGCTCGGTCGCGCTCTGACAACAAAGTTCCGATGACGAGTGTTGGGAAGCGCCCCTCTCAGTCCATCATTCAGACGCCAGGTCTTTCTCGATATGTTTCTGTGCAAGACCAAGGTTCACCTGCAGTGCTCCCCTCACCGGCCACGCCTAGTCCAGCTGTCATATCACCTTCTATAGTGACATCTGCGGATTCCGGAGTGTCGACTTCTGTGAGGTCAAATTCAGGTCCTCTGGTGAACGCTTCAACAATCACCTCATTGGTACCAACTCCAGAATCAGCACCTTCTCGCGATGCTGTGCCTGAGGTGCATGAGCAGCGAGTTTCAGAGACGAAGACGAGTACTCACCCTGCTTTTAGACGTAGTAAAAGCGACAATGATGGAAGGGGGTTGTCCCCAGCCCACCCTCAAACGTACTCGATCATCATTGTGTGCCCGGCCGAACATGCACGAATGGCTATCAAACAACACATTGAGCACGTGGTACCATATCAGATTGCGGCCAATGTGACCACTATTCCAGATATTGGATCGTTCTTGGATCTGATTAACGGTCGCTCTCCACCGTCGTTCACTCACGTTGTTTTGGATATCCCTGCAACATCTGATATCATGCTTTTCATGAGACAGATGGCAACATACAGCGCACCTGTGATTCCAGCACTCGTCGTCATTACTGATCACTACCAAAAAAGAGACATCCTGGAGGATTTTACCGCACTGACGTCGACCGGACGAAAGGCTTTTTTGATACATAAACCGGTCAAACCCTCGGTCTTCGCAATGATCTTTGATCCGGCGCAGCTACGGAACCTAAGCAAAGACCGGGCGCGCGAAGTAGCCCAATCGAGTTCCGATGATTTCCAGCAAATAGTGAGGCTGGTCAAGGAGAAGATCGGGAACGGAAACAAGCGACTGTTACTGGTTGAGGACAGCGAAGTGAACCGAAGAGTGATCCAACGATACTTTCTGAAGACTTCGCTGGCCAACGAATGCGCCAAAAACGGACAAGAGTGCGTCGACATGGTCAAAGAAAAGGGACCGGGGTACTATTCTCTGATCATTTGCGATATCCAGATGCCAATAAAAAACGGGTACGAGGCCTGTCGAGAAATCCGAGAGTGGGAGCAGAGTCATGGGTATCAACCGTGCCCAATCATGGCCTTGACCGCGAACGCCATGCCGGAGGAACGAGCTGCTGCTGCCAATGCTGGATTTACAGACTACCTCACGAAGCCGGTGGATTTCAATCTGCTAGGGACCATGATGATGACGCTGCTAGACCCAAGCGTGCCACACGTGTTCTTACGTGATAGGCCTCTTGAAACTTAGGAATTGAAAGATTGACGCGGGGACAATTGAATTTGCCACAGCTTGCAGGTGACAAAGTATGCAGCACAGATGTGTTGTGCGTTCTTAGCGAGGATTGCATGATTGATTTTATGAAGGGAACGGCGTTATCAAGTTCGATGCTGCTTTTACATTTGCATGGTTGGCCAGGGACGGCCAGGACATTCGTGGCTTGACCACGACAGTTACGAGGGATCTCGGTGCATCAACAAACAAAGCCATGTATTCGGCTATGGTAAAGTGGTGTTCGGACAGACAAACTTCTTGAGAGATCTGGATTGTCACAGAATTGGGAAAAGGGACGACAAGCATCGATTGATGAGCGACGATATGCAATGACCACCTGGTTACCACCGGCACTGGCACTGGCAACAGCACCAGACATCAGCGCAATTAGACCCGTACTTGGTGTGGGAGAAGGGAAAAACGCAACACTGATTGCCGTTGTTCGTGAATGAGTAGATGAGCTTAACTGGCTTAGGTACCTACTCGCAGTACGTAATGTATGAATCTCAAAAGCAGTGTGCAGAGGATATCCCAGGTACCTTTCTACATTAATGACTGGCACGATTACAGACACTTACTGTACCACCGGTGTCGTAGTGGTCATGGCCAGTGTGTGTTGTTTTCTCGGTCAGAATCTCGGCCGTGGATGCCAAGGCTTGAGCATTTTGCCAGCAGAGCCGTGATATCATCAGAGAGCGTAGGGTTAGCGATATTCAGGTGACTGTTGGTTAGATTTTGGTGAGGTATCTAGGTGGTTATCTCCATGCAGGAGTAACCAAATACCCGGGTAACTGCGGCTGCAGTCGTTGCCTTTGGTAGGTGATTTGCACTCGTCAGTTACTTCCCATAGGGTACATCAGCACCTACTAGTAGGTGCTCTTAGGCTCTTTGCGCTAGTTACCAAAGCACCTCTTAGGCACGCAACAGGGCTCACTGAGAGGCCACTTCGGTGGATTGGCTGGCATCTTGTCACTTTCCCACCCACTTTGAAGGCCGTGGTGGTGGCTCGAGTGTGTTTCGTGGATTTCCACTACCGATCCCCATCACTGGCTGCGCTGCGCTGCGCTATGGTCTCCCTCCTCCGTCCTTCACCCTCCCATGCCCATCCCTCACCACCGTCTTCCACCCCTTAGGAGCATAACGGGCCAGGCGCCACTATCACTACGACTCGTCCACACCGGCCGTCCATCAATCTTGCTGACCATTCACAGCTATCGTTCAGAGGCGTTTCATGCCTACCTAGGCCACGCCCACACCGATGCCGTTGCAAATGCCCTTGTCGATGATCCCGACCATTCGATGACCCCAGACGAGCGCGAGAGACACCACGTCGAGTCACGACTCACGCGGGCCCAGCCCAAGCCAACGTTCCACACTACTGATTATACTCGCTCCAGACTGAGCGAGCCTCCTGCATGCTGATGCCCACGCTTGACCCTTTCCTGACCTTCTCCTTGCTGCTTCAGCACGTTGAGCATCCTATCCACCTACACGTCTTCCGCACGCCGAGCACAAAAAATTCAGGCTCGACCGCGGCCATGCTGAAGTCAATCTCAAATAACTAAAGCACACCGCGGCCCTCATACCGGTGCATTTGGCTGCGGATTGCATCCTTCGCAAGACCGGCGTGTCCTGCTGCAAGAGCTCATTACGTTGCAATGGACCTCCACCACATCACCGCCTCCCGCAACTCCCCCTGTCCATCTCTCTCACAACCTGCTCCGTCTTCGTTCCCTCAACAGCCACTCCCGTCCGCCGCTGGCTTTCTAGATCCCGCGAGCTAAAGTCCAAAGGGCACGGCACAAGGCCAATCCCGCCAATGATCGGCGTCTGCTTCCCGTTTCCTTCCTCACGGGGATCCAGCTGAGACTATCATCCCACCACATGCATGCTGCGACGGCCGCCCTGCTCATGGTGGGCTGCCCTCCGCTCTCTTTGGTCCTGGTCGTCACGGACTCTTCTCTGGCCTGCCGGGCGGAAGGTGACGGACAGTGCCGATCCTGTCTGGCCATCCACTTGACATTGGCTCTGCGCTTTTCCTTCTCTTGCTTCAGGAGCGGGGTTGGTGGCTCAACATGACACCACATCCCTCGTCGACTTGCAATCATATTGGTCCTTCTCAAGGAAAGGATGAGCTGGCAATCACAATCCCTGCGAAGGTGAGTCCGCCCGGCTCGAACTCTCGCCTATAAAAACCCGCTCCATGGTCCTCGAAGTGTTCTTTCCTCCTGCTTCCTTTTCCATCACTCACTAGGAGACTCTCTCACACCATCTCTCTGCCCCCTCAGCCAACTACATCCCATACCGGGACGTGTTCATTGCCATACCCTTTGATCTTCCTTTAGTCTACTACTCCTTTCACCATGGCTACCCATGTGTCTCGTCACCCTACCAGCCATACTGCTCCCCGCAAGACCCTTCCCATCACTATGCCACCCAAGACCACAAGCTACAGCAGTCCCTACTCTAGGGCTATGTCCCCTCCTGAACTGTCCGACACTAGCACCTCTTATGCTGGGAGCCGGACGTCCGCCGGTTCTTACTCTGCAAGGTCCAGCTATGCACCAAGCCACAGTGGCAGTGACGCCGATTCGTACGCCTCCTCGTCGGGCGTCGATATCATGGACGTTCTCAACGAGAAGATGAGCACCGCGTTTGATCCAATGCGCATGGATCATTCATTGGTGACTCAGGCACAGACGTGAGTGCACCGGACTCGATGCAAAATGGCAAAGCTAACGACAAGAATAGATCCGGCGAGCTCAACGCCAAACAGCGAGAACTCGAAGAATTGCAGGCTTACGCTCAGCGACGCCTCAAGGCCGCAAAAGTCAATTTCGCCGAGGGTCTGGAAGTTGTTCGAGAAATCCGAAAGGACCTCGAGTATTCCTCCAAGAAAATGGCGTAAGTTGCTCGCCAGGCTGTTATTGCAGTTCTTGCTGACACTTTGGAAATCAGCTCCATGAAAAGCAAGGCTGAAAGGAAGCATCCTGAGGCATATGCGAAAGCAAGCCGCAGCCGACATTCTTGAAGCAATGATCATGCATGACTGACGAAGCGACGAATTTCATTGAACTACTTTCCAGGAGATTTTTCTCGCGTACAATCTCTTCCCAAACGATCCCCCGTCGATATCTGTCCTAGCAGAGGGGGGAAATTTTCGAACGACATTCAGAGCAGCACATCGATTCTCAGGCGACGTCGAGCAGCAGCAAATCGGAATCCATTTAAACAGTGGGCATTCATTCGTCGGGACAGTCGAAGGCAGCCTTGGCAGTATTCCGCCGTTGTCGTTGACGTGGCAGTCGATTTAGGTTCCGCTCCACCCCACGAATCTGGCCAAAACGGATCGCTGCTTTTGCCCCGCAGCTTGCAGGCAGATGGCGTGCATGACGCCAATCCCATTTTGCCCCAGAAAATGACATGGCCAAATCGCACGGCAGCGATCGCCCTTTGCAGGTGGCCGAGACGGCGACTGGGTGTGGTGTGCCACACGAGAGCCCATGCAGGTACGCTTGCCACTTTCACTCATTTGGTACGACGCTCTTTACGGTGTGATTGGGTGGGCCTGCCCTCCTGGTCCATTTTCTGCGCGGTGCAGCACCCATTTTCAGTCACCAGACCTTGCAATCTGCAGGTGAAGCAAGCCCCCAAAGCTGCAGATGGTGTGGAGCGCTGGGTGTGCTAGCTAAGCCATATTTGGGTTTGGGTCGGGGAATTTGAAGCTCTGAAAATGAGTGGGAGTGTGACTTGTTTTGGAAGCTCCAGGGCCATTGGATTCTCAGATGGCATGGGGGACTAGAGGGCGGATCACGTCGCTGGGATTTCCTTGGGTGAGAACAGACTGAGAAGGTCCTTTCATACTCGTGTATTCGTATTTCGAGGTATTCTCTTTTGTCACAATCAAAGCCAGTTGCAATCCTAGCCGGGTCCGGCACCGAGAAGGCCAGTGATATGCGAGATTCGATCCACAGGGAGGCCGTTTCGCCCGGGACTGGAACTCGATAGGGGGGACCGTGGTGCCTTAAGCTTCAAAGTCATGTTGTAAATGGCCTCTTGTGGACGGCGCCTGGGACCTCTATGAAAGCCCTTGAATCTGAGGATTGTAGGCTAGGCAAGCCCTAGTTATCATAGGGGTCATTGCGAACCTCGGGCAAGCTGCTGGTGAAGCTTCACGGGGTGGCCAGGGCCCTAAGTCCTGTCCCGGTGAGGGTCAAGCGTCTCTGGCACTTGTTCTCTTCCTCAGCTGGAGGAGGCGATTTGATAACATCAAGACCTGGAAGGTCCCCCTGTTTGGTAACTCTGGGACAGCTGCGTAGGTACCTAGGTAACACTGTAAAGGCTTCCCGGGGGGGGAGGGGTATGTTGTAGCTAATTGTAGCTATTCGACGGTCGATGCTAAGCAAAGTTGACGGTAATTTATTAGTACTAGTTACTACCCAGTAGTATCCTTGGTAGGTCTACGTAGGGAGTTCTCGTACGGAGTCACCTACGGTAGGTAAGATATCTTACCCAGGTACTTAGGTACCTACCCATGTAGTCAGTTACTAGGTGCTCCGTACTCCCTGGACCTGGTAAAAACACAAAAGCTGCTCAGGTTGGATCCACGCGCCCGAGTTCGAGGATGGAAACCCATTGACCGGTCCTTTTAATGTCAGGGAGAGAAAAATTCGCATGATCATGTTGTTGTTGTTGTTGTTGTTGTTGTTGTTGTCGTCGTCGTTTAACTTGTTAAACACAACCCGCCTGTTTTTTTTTATCTCGGGACTCGGGGACCGTTTGGTTTTTTGGGAGGGGGGGCGGCTGTTTACTCTTTTTTTCGGCTTTCAGACGGAACAATGAAATTAATCTGTTTTTTATGTTCGGGTGTTCTGGCTCCGTGGGCCCCCTGACAAGGTATATTGATTGCACTCGAGGCACCCAGGTACCTAGGTATTTGTACGTTACCTGCTCCCCCCGGGGCCCCAGAGAGCTGATTTGTCGGGTACCTACCTGCCGCGACTCTGGTGATGGTGATGGTGCTGGTCACCGGTGCTCGGGTGCTTGGTGCTTGGTGCTTGGTGCTTTGCCTTTCCCGCTTGTTTTCAAAGTGCTTTACAGAAGTAGCAAGTAATATCGGATCATGCGTCACTTATCGACGAAGAAAAGTCAACCATTGATTAGACTCGAGCCTTCGAAGATACCACTGGCTGACGGTGACCGTACAGTCGGTACGTGGTTTGTGGAGGTGAACGGTTGTGATAGGTAGGTACGTATAAGTTGTTAGTACCATCTAGATAGGCAATAACAACGAATAAAGGGGGGGGAGGGGAAGTGAAGATGGCGGGGTCTTGGCAATATCTTTTTTTTTCTTCTTCCACCAGAGACACATTTCGTTCGTATCCGTCTGTACTACATGTGCACCTGATGTGCCTCCCTTAGGTACCTGGGTACCCCTATCCTAGGTATCGTTACTATACAGGGACGTACGAGTGTGGCATCTGAAGTTGAGAATTCCAACGACAACAAAAAGAAGAAAAGAAGAAGTCTTCCGTATCGTAAATCATGTCATTGATCTGTCAATGACTACCGCTACCCTTGCACGTTCCATTCCCAGGTCCTCTTGCTAGCAGGTACCAATAAGTAACATTATCACCCGGACTGCCCGCCGGTCGTCATTTGCGAATAAACTTAAAAGCATCAATCGTAGATGAGCGGTTTAGCAGGTGCTGCTGCAGGGACCAACGGTAGGAAGAAAGAACGAACGCATGGCCCGTGGTATGCATCGTGGTAGCCATTCACGATCATCGGTGATGAAAGGAAAACCATGTCTCGCGTCGCTGACCGGCATGTCCACCGATCCTGATCTACCCCCAAACCCTGCCCCCTTGCCTGTTCGGGAGTAACAATTGCTCGACTGAATGCAGAATGCAATGCTCTTGACCTGACTCAGGCTTGACTCTGGGGAGTGTTTATCGGAGTGTCCTGCAGATAATGGATACTTGGATTGGTTCGGACCAATTACCCAGGAGCAGCTGCGTGTGACTATCGAAGTTCTGGCCAGTTGACGGTGTCATCGTCGTTATCGTAGTCGTCTTCCTCCGATCATGTCCCGGCTTTCTTGCTGTCGTGGTCTCCTTCTCTCGGACGCAGCCTCGCCCAAGGATCGTCAGACACAAAACCAGGTTTGAAGTAGACGGTGTCTCCATTGGCGTTGACCTTGCCCCGTGCCCAGGCATCGAGGTCTTCTCTGGTGTAGTAGGTATTGCTGACTGGCGAGCTGAAGGCGTATACAGGCGCTTCTTCGTTTCCGTGGTTCTGATTTTGTTCTCGTTTCGATCCGTCAAGACTTGATCCGAAGGATGCTGGCTTGCTTGATGACTCTCCTGGTTGTGAAGCTGTTGCCGCTGCTGCTGTTGCTGATGACGATGAGGACGACAACGACGGCGCAAAGGTTGTTTCTAAGAGACGTTAGAGACCACATACATGGATCCTGCTGTTGAAATCACAGGGCTTTCACGAAAGATGAGGCCAAAGGTGGTAAGGGCGACGCAAGCGTTTCTCGAGGGAGAAGTGGGACAATGAGCAGGGCCAAGAGAAGTCATCAGACTCCCATCGTTGAAAGACCTGTATAGATGCACGACGTTCGATCGCAATGGAAGCATCTGCGCGTCCTTTGGAGGATGTCATAATACCAAACAGCAGGGCTGGAAGTGGACGTTTGAAAACGAAGGCGGAGCCACACCTACCAAATCGCTTGTCTTTTCGACGCTCTGTGAAAGTGCTGAAGCCCATCATCTCGTGCATCGCGGCATCCGCATCATCGTCGAAATTGGGTTGCCCTGACATCGTAATGATTATGGTCTTGAGATCCTTATTGCGAGACCAGAGGCAGAGGAGACAATTTCAGGTAAAGTAGCTTTGAAGATGAAGAGGAGCAAAGACGAAGAAAATAAGGCCAAATTTCAAATGACATCCAGCTGTCAGGCGCACTTTTGCTGCGGTGAATGTCGTGTCTGTAATGTAAAGACAGCCCTGACGTAGTCGAATTGGAGTGGATATTGATCGGTGTTGGTATCATCAGGTAAACTCTGGTAAACTCTGGCAAACTCGGACTATAGAACTCGACACTAGGAGCAATGGGATTCAAATATCACCGATTCGCGTTTAGGCCCAGAAAATAATCCCTGACAGGCACAAGCACAAACATGATTCCATACTACGAAGGCTATGAATTCAGAAATCAGTTACCATGTCTCACCATTGACTACTCACTCCTCTTCTGGAGGCATGAATCACAGCCTGCAAATATGCTTTGTTGTCCGCAGCAGCACCAAACTCCATCCCTCCACATGCTAAACGCCTTCATGGCACAGACCTGGCCTACGAATAAACCCACCATGCAGTCCATGTCCATACTTTGGATCCCCATATCGACTGACACGGCCCGTGCCTGGGTACACAAGAAGCTCAGGTATATTTTCCATGATTGTCTTCCCAAAATGTGAAGAGACCAGGACTCGGATCCCAGCTACCAATGGTGTAGCTGTAAGTGCGAAATGGTCCAAGTCCCAAAGGTGCCGGAGCCTAAAGAGAATTATCACCCAACGCGGTATAACCGCGTCGCATCATTGAATTCGGCAGCACGATGCGTAGTGGGAGAGAGCGAGCTGTGGCTGAACCCCACAGCCGTGGCCATAGGAGTAAGGCACGTTCCAGAACAGGCTCTGGTACGATGTGAGAGTGGCGGGAATAGCGATGTCGATGCATGGTTCGACCCAATCGCTAGAATCTGATCAGTTCCAAGCCCAAGCAGAGAAAGCTTACTGGAAGAACACAACGAATTCTGACATATGTAGACAGACCATTTGGGTTCTGAAGTTGGTGTTTTTGGGCATCCAGTCTGTCTCGCCGTCACAACAGGAGGTAGGACCATAAAGGCAGTTTTCAACACAGGAAAGAGCAAAATCAGTTGAAGCTTTCAACAACTGCAGGAGTAACAAAGTCTAGCAAAGAGCGCGCGGGACTGAGCCAAACCACATCGAGCAGCGACATTTGGAAGCTGTGCAGACCGGATCGCCCACGGCTTGCACTTGATCTCTTACCCGTAAAAGTCAAATGGAAAGCAGTCGTCACACAGATCGGATGGGCACCGTTGATGGACACAGCTCTCCTCTGTGGCCTTGATCTACACCAAGGCGACAAACCAGAACAGAAACTGGCCGGGGTCACGCAGGGCTGCAACAATAAGGAGCCCCTGGATTCGATGTCAATAGATACCTCGGTCGCAACCGGCCGCAGTATTTCAGATTCGATAAGGAGGTATGATCAACACCCTCGGAAAGTTGCATCCGTCCGGTTTAGCATATTTCGCGGAGGCCGACCCGTTTGGAGCAGAGCGCCGCGAAGCCATTATTGGGCTCCACGCCGTCTCCATGATCTGCTGATATTTCGAGATTCCCACAACAATACGAGGTGGCTAAAACTTGAGACGCGAGCATGACAGTACGACTATGGTGATGAACGTCGGAAAAGCGAGAGATGTCGAGATCCATGTTCAGTCCCCCCCATATCCGAAAAGGCGGATATGTATCCCCCTGCGCGCACCATTGGCATTTCGACGACACTATAGAGGCCATTATGATTGCGTAATTCCATGCCACGCATGGGTTTCGAATGCGTCCTTCCCCTGCAGTTATCACTTCGAAGCGCCATCTGTTAGCGGTCTTTCCTCCCCTGCATCAGTGGGTGGTCACCGAACAGTATTGAAATTTCAATTCTAAAAGTGTCGAAGAGCGTAATGTTGCTTTTGCAAGACAGTCCCCACGGCTTCTTGCGGCAGGGTGGTCCTCGCTGCAACGGTGAGGTAGGTCGTTAGGGGGTACGGAGTACAGGCACGATAAGGCTGTAAAGGAACCAGTCAAGAGGACAGATAAGGTGAAAGATTATATCGCGTTATTGCTTCTCGCCAGCCACGGCGAGAGCACTTTTCCTTAGTCACCGGCCGATCAGCGCCTTGTCTCTCGGGCAGGAGACGCTACCGTCCTTCCGACCTCCCGCCGGGCTCCCTTTCACATTCGACCATCGGATGATTCGACTGTCACTGTCAACGGCTCACTAGGCTATGATTACTGTGGACAACCCTCCGAGAACCCCCTGGTTAGCCCTTGCTTGGCGAGAACGTGGTTTTTGGGCCCTTTCTTAGGGCTGGTCTCTCCTTAAAGCTGGATGCCTGCCCGGAATGGCGAGTTCCAGGAATTCGGTAACGAAAGTATAATGCTGGAGGAGACAAGCCAGCAATCTGTGCGCTGTTTGACTGCATTGTCTGCTCCCCGCAAACTCTCAAGGGTGATCAAATATGCAAATCCAGGACCTGGCAGAGGAACACGGCCTCTTCCTGACATTGACAGGCCCGTGGCGCTATTCCTCTTCCCTGGAATTGCTTGTCACCAGTTTAGTGGCTTTTGCAAGCCACATTCTGCCTAAAGAACCTTGTTGGTTGCGATAAGGGTAACATTCAGGGCTTGCACCCATCCGAGTCCCTGTGTTATCTGCTGCGTTCCCACTTATAACCCCCACTCCGGAGAGCTCCATGGACCACTGACCATTGCCATGGCCCATCTCTGTGCGTAGACCCGAGTCGAGAGTCAGGTCTCTCATGCTGCGTGCTCGAGTCTCACCTCTGCTGATTCTGCGCTTACTGTTGGCCGTGTTCGGAGTAAGACTCCTCATTTCGCCTCTAGGCTAGGCGGGATGCCGTGCGGTACAGGTTGATAAAACCACATGCAGGCCCGGGGTTTTCTGCTCTTCGACATGTCCCTGGCTGACATTGAGTATGAATATGGGTGATGCGAACAACTTTCACCTTCTAAACGCCTCTCTAGACATGAGCGTACCTCGCTGCCTGCGCGGCCAACTTGCGGATACTCACTGCTGCAACAACAGCTGTTCGACAGCTGGTGGAGTCCACGTCATTGGTTTTTGAACCCCAGCATCGTACACCTCCCCACGACGCCCCAGCAGGGGCCAAACATCGACTGAGTATGTCGCCGACTTCCCAGGCCTACTGGACCGATGAGCGTGTATACGAGACAGTCACGTCCGCATATGTCCATGCTCAGCTACGGCCTGAAGAGCAGGCTCTACTTCAGCGTCCGTTGTATTTCGGTGCTGGCTTGACGGATGATACCTATCTCGACTGGATCCTGACTCGAGCGCGGCGTTTCTTTCTGATATTGGTGCAGACTGGAGTTCCGGATCAAATTTTTGGTGTGGTTGATGACTCTTACGACGATGACGATCTTCCCATTGCAGAGCATGCCGTACCCAACCTTCGCTTGTCCTACGAACCTGATCGCTCCTTGGACAAGCGCTTCTATAAAACTCAGTTTCGCTTGTTGAGTCGTATAGTCGACGAAGGGGAACACATCAGATATGCGGACGAAGAGAACGTCCCTGTCACTGCCCTCAGTTTGAAAGCTGCTGTTATATCCTTCAGCCAGGAAGGCACCGACAAAGTCCGACTCCCCACAAAATCATCCACCGTCTTCCTTCGTCGCCGCATTCACATTGAGCCTAAGGTCACCGAGGCTGCTATCCTCAATGAGATTGCAACAAGTAGAAGGTTACACCATGAGCATATCATCTCGGTCTTCGCCTCCTACACACACCAAGGCAACTTCTACGTGCTCTCTCTACCGGCGCCAGACTGGAATTTGAAAGGCTTTCTGTCAGACCCTCCAAAATCGTTCACCGGTCTGTCCAAGGCAGAACGTCGTCGCATTCTTGTCAATTGGCCTCACTGCCTCGCAAACGCCTTGTCATGGCTGCACAGCAACGGACAATATCACGGAGCCATCAGACCATCAAACATCCATATCTCGGATTCCTTCCAGATCTGTCTGGGCTACCTAGAAGGTGATGGTTATCTTTGCGATCGCGTTCGGTCAGATGATATCGAAGCATATCAGTACGGCCCTCCTGAAAGATGGAAAAGGGCTATTACGGTTCGCTCTACAGGTGCTGCGGCAGTATCGCTTCCGTCGGGCGGCCGTACAGCTCGACGGATTGGTGGTAAAGATACTGGAACTTCTTCAAGCGGCAGGACCAGCGCCAGGAGCAGAACAGACTCGATCAGGCCAGCCTATAGCTTTCAGCCTGCGTCGAGGGGGGACTATGCAAAACTGCGTCTGAGTGCAACCATGCGGACTGGCGGTCTGCTACAACCAACCAGTCGCGGGCGGCCTCTTCAAACACCTTCAGACAGCCACTCCATTGCCACTCTGGAGACAACACGTCCTGCTACGTCCGTGTCAACTCCAAGACGAGCCCCATCAATTCTCTCATCGAAGTCATCCAATAGCAACAACCTCTCTTCCATCTTCAGCGGCCAGAATATGTTTGTCGCCAACCCTGAAGCTCGCAGTGCCGTGGTGCAAACATGGCAGTCAATGGAGGACGATATGTTTGCATCTGATGTCTTTTCACTTGGGGCAGTGATTCTAGACATCGTCACAGTGCTGTGTAAACGTAGCTATAACGCGTTTTCCCGCCATCGCTCTTCTAAAAATCGAGTCGCCGGACGCGGCGGAGGTTTGGCGGATGCTAGTTTCCATGCAAACCTGGGGCAAGTCTTTACGTGGGCGCATTCTTTGCAGAATGAAGCTGAAAAGAAGGCGAAAAAGGATGACAGTCTGAGCTTCCATGCCGTTGGTCCGATCGTGCAACTGACACTCCAATGCCTGGCCAGGGACCCTCCCGCAAGAACTTCAAGTGACGAGCTGGAAAGGAAGCTGACTGAGCACATCTGTCGTTCTGCGAATATGACCCACCTTCATTGTAAGAGCGAACTCATCAACGAGAAAGTCGAGCGGAGGGGTAGTGCGCAGCGTTCACCAGAGAGGTCGGCAAGTGTGACGCGCAGCGAAAGCAGGTCGACGGAGCGTCTGCGTCAGGCCTCGACAAATTTACGTGCCCTGACCGCTGAACGACAGCAACCTCAACAGCCAGAGCAACGACGGCTGCCGCCAGCCCAAGATATCGTCCGAGCCACGCAGATACTACAGCCACCGTTTCTTCATATTCCGAGAAGCGCACCGACTACTCCTGCAACAACATCAGCCAGTTCTCTAGCGTCCTTCAATTTCGATGCCCTCTCGGATACCGTTGTGGCTGACAGTCCACACTCCCGAGAGCAGTCGGTGCGCCGCCAGTCGAGTCGCCGGAACGATATGCGTCTTCAGCAGCATGGTGGGTGGCCGAACGAACAAGATGGCCCGGAGCATCCGTCGTATACGTGGCAAAGAAAGGACAGTCAGGTGGATCCTCATCTGACATTTGATGAATCGGTCGACACAGGGGCGTTTACATACATGAACTACAGCACCAGCGCATCATCCGAAGAAGGCGTCAAGTATTTTCCACCTCGCTCGCAGACAGGGCCTCCTATTAAAGCTCCACCAGATCGAGCGCTACCGCCAGTACCACCCATCCCTCCTGAAAGCATACCTAGCAGTAAGCCATCACGGCGCCCAAAAGCCGGTCGTGACGAGGGCGAAAAGCGAAGACCTCCGTCTGGCACAACTAGAGGGAGATATCCCCTTCGACAAGACAGTCTTCCTATGACGATGGATGAGGTAGATGAATATCATGAACTGCTACGTCTCACCAGAGCCTTGGGCATCAAGAGAGTCTCAGCTCGCAGTCGATCCCGACAGCAGACAGAGCCTACTGATGCATGGTAGAATTTTGGTCTCAGTGCAAGGCCATGTCTCTAGGTCCGATAAAGTTGTGAGGGAAAAGGTCTTTGTGCCAGTGTAGCTTTACCCGTTACTAGAACAGATGTACTATATTCATATTCCGTGTTTGTTTCCGTAGATGGAGTCAAGATGATGCAACAATTAGAGTCGTGAGTTTCCCATCAAACAAGGTGCCAACAGCATGTTCCCTACCAAGAGTTTTGTGCTCCTCGTCCAAAGGGACATTGCATGATTGATTACCCGAGACTTTGCCGATTTGTCTTGGAGCTTTGATCTCACTGATGATATTTCGATGCCCCACGGCTTCCATCAAAGTGTACGAGGACATGCGCGTGGGGATCTTCAATAAATTGATGCGAAAGTTGATTCTTGATTAGCATTTCATGCCTCATGATGTTGCACATTCAATCACGCCAACCTCGCTGGATAAGATTGACTGTGATCGAAACGGAAAGGTCAGAGTAGAGAATCTCTTATCTGTTCCCTGATTACCCACGGTTCGCTCCAAACATCAGCGCCGATGCCACGGGCATGAGCACGATCGACTTTCTAGGATGAAGATCGTGCCATGCAGACCGGGAAGAAACGAATACGGGAGGTTAAAGCAAAGACAAAAACGTTTTCAGGGTACGAATGAATTTGCCAGTGATCAAGTTTCACCCCTTCACCACCCCCCCGTCTCTCCCCCCCTTTCCTCTCAAAAACACTTTGACACACAAATAAATGGCACGCTAATTGACGTATTTATCACTCAAGTTGCTGGACGTGTCGAGCACGAAAGGTGAAATGCGACGCAACCAGACCAGAATGCAGTCGATGTCGAAAGGCCGAGCTGCAATGCGAAGGGTACGACCTCCGCTTGTACTGGATCACGGAGGAGGACACTGTCGCACCATCGGCCATCAAGCGCCAGGCCATGTCACTAGAAGGTACGTTGAAGCTGGTCTCCGGGCCTTGGACATCTCACTGGCACAAAAGCCGTACCCTCTTGATCGTTTACTGAGAATTTTCAGGCCTTGAGACATGGACCTTCCAACTCGATGAGGTGGATCAGCAACTACTTGATATTGACGCTCACGAAGACACACGTGATAATGAACTGGCTTGCTTCTCCACGGGGCCATTTGGCGTCTTTCCACTTCCAAGGGACGGCAGCGATCAGCCAGGGGACAGAGGACCGCGGCCGATGGACACTGATTTCGAGGATCCTAGACACCGACAGGAAGCTGCTCTTCCCAATCAGGACGCGACGTTAGGAGCACTGCGCGACATGTTCTCGTCCGGAAACGACCTGGGAGATCCTCCCACCCCCAGAGACGGGTCGTTCGAGGGTTTCCCTTCTCGCTTCGACATGGACTCGGATCTCTTCCAAGAACCCATCATTCGTCGGCTCATGGACAACTACGTCAACGTATGTGCCAAAGTTTTGCCCCCCTTGCCGCATCCCGAGAACTTGTATTCGACGATATACGTTCCCCAGGCCATGGCCGGTGCCTCGAGCCTGTTACCTCCAAGCGTGGACCACGGCCCCACCAAGGTGCCAGCCAGCAACGAAGCGATTTTCTACGCCGTCTTGGCCACGTCTGCGTTTCATCTGCGGAGGGACAAGGCAGAGAATGGTCTCGAGCTTGACGTACTCGCGCGCGGCTTCCGCGCAAAAGCGTTCGAGTCTCTCCAAAAGGCATTGCGCGAGCCGTCGCCGTCACAGTACGGCGAGGGGGCCGGTGGCGGCGCACCACGCGGGGATGTCTCGTCGTTTTCCAGCGTCCACCTCGAGGCCATCCTTTCGGCCATGTTGACGCTCACGACCATGGACGTCATGGAAGGTTCCATGTCCGAGTACTGGATTCACCTCGGCGGCATGGGCCCCCTCGCGAGAGAGTTGTTGCAACGAGAGGAGCACCACGCGACACCCAAAATCGCCCGGCTGATCACCATGTCCACGTTCCTCTCGACGCTGGCAAGCACCACGTCCCTGGACCTAGCCGAGCTACCGTGGTCGGCAGCCGAGCAACACTACTACTACGACAACGACGGCGACGGCGACGGCGACGGCGACGACACGACGGAAAAGCGACCGTACGACGTCTCTTGCCGAGACTACTACGGTCTGGAATTCGCCTACGGCATCACCCCGAGGCTCGCCAACCTCATGCACCACGTCGTCACGCTGGGTCAACACATCTCCTACTACGTCTCGCGCTCCGACGCGTTTCCGCCGACGCTGATCTCGGCGTGCAGGAGACTGTCGGACGACATTTCTTCCTGGTCGATCGAATCCGAGGCCATTGACGACGTCATCTTGCCGCCGGGTTCTTCTCCCGCAAGAAGTGCGGGTACATCATCATTGTCCTTCACAGCCCAACTGGCCAAACACCACATCTTTGCCTTTGCGCGCGGCCTACGGGTGTACTACCACACGCGCATCCTACCCTGCAGACCGTCCGACATGCGTTTGCACATTGATCGGGTGGCGGAACATCTCGTCGAGATCGAAGAGCTCAAGTTGCGCGCCGGCTACGATCACAACCTGTGCGCCACGATCACCTGGCCGGGCTTCATTGCCGCGTGCGAGGCGGAACGAGGCCCCTCAAGGGACGTGTGGTATCGGTGGTGGACCGGCATGCTTCAGTATGGCATCGGGAACATTGCAGAGTTGTGGCAGGTCGTCCAAGAAGCGTGGGAACTCAAGGACGTGCATGGCGTCAACGAGGTTCCAGCTTGGGTTCCTGTGTTGCGTAAAAGAGGCCAACGGATACTCGCTGTGTGACGAAGGAAAGAGACGAAAGAGACGAAAGAGACGACGAGACTATTGTGACGTTACCAAAAGGTCACGGATGCGGAAAGGTATCCAAAACTCTCAGCTGCTCAGAGCAGAGCAGACCATTAGCCAGGTACCCTCTTCGCAATTCCTCTCAAGTAGCGTGAGAGAGAAAGTAATTCATCGGTCTATGATTTTTGAAAATACATGTCAGGTACGGACTTTTTTTGGGTGCTCTTTGTTTTGGTTTTTGTTTTTGTCTTTGTTTGGCAACTCGGAAGTCTTTTGATCGCCTCTCAGAAATTTGATGCCGTGTTTTTTCTTCTTCGCTGGTTGTCTTGTCTCTCTGTAAGGTAAATGGTAGAGGTGCCTAGGTAGGTAGGTACCCGCATCCTGTATGCAAGAGTGGTGATTGACTCCCCTCGGACGACACAATGATTGATTCACCTCTGGACCTCTGGACCTCTCACGTCGTACTCTGCGCACGTCGCGACACACCGTGATCCGATTTACATCGTTCGTTGAGACGGAATGGAAACTCCACAGGAGGAAAGGGACTCTGTGGTGTGCCGGGCGTTGAGGAGATCCGTTCTGCGGTATGAGTGAGTGAATCGTGAGAGAGATTCCGTCCTGAACATGATTGATCGATCTCCTTCTGCGCATCCGGTGACGATAGAGTTTTGAGATACGGGCATACGATTCTGGTGCAACACCTTCGCTCACCCTTGTCCTCATCCATGTCCGTACCTGGGCCGGGTACCTATATCTGGGGGTCGAGTAAGTCTTTCTTCGCCTTTTTCTTTCCTTAGCGGGTAAGAATCTGGAGAGACGGACCAACAAGGGTACTTTTACTGTACGTGTGTGTCTATGTGTGTGTGTCTCGCTGACTCCTTCCACACCTCTGACCCGGGTCGGCAAATGAGCGCTATCAGCGGTCTCTACGTACCGGGCTCTACTGTAATCGATTGATTGCCCGGGACGCCAATCCCCATAAAGTACATAAAAGGAGTACTAACTACCCTTATCTCTTGTTTTGCCCGGTTTGACGGGCTTCACGCTTCACGCTTACGCCCAGACAGGTAAAAGAAACAGCACGACAAGATCGAACGGTCCTGCTTGGCGGTTTCTAGGCATTCCTCTCACCTGTACCGTAGTGTGTTAGTACCTTTTTTTTGCACAGTAACAAGTTATCATCGGGGAACATCACGGATTCGCTCGACTCCCATCACCGCCAACGGGTTCAGAGACCCAAGTTGGGTATGGGACGGAGGCACATTTCTCCAAGAATCCTTTATTCAACCTCCTTTCCTGCCCCCCCTTCCCCCTTTGAGCGGCCCGATTATAAACGTACAGTAGACCAGAGATGCTCAGTCAACGAACAAGTCTTCCTTATCTACGCCCGCACGACAAACCATCCAACTAACTAACCCAGCTCTAGTACGCAGATTACAACTTAGACAGGCAGTTATAGGTAGGTAGCTATGTACGGAGCAACGCTTATTGACTAGTGACGGTCGCGGGGGCGGGTGCTACTGCTAACGACCATCTCCGTGTAAAGGTCTCCTACGGGGGGAGGGAGATATGCACTTCGTATCGGGGCTCTGATCATCGACGCACTCGCCGCGCCTCGATGGTGGACAATGTTAAAGATTTTCCAAAAAAAAAAAACCCCTTGAGAAATGGTACTCCGTAGACCGCAATGTCCAGGACACAACTGTTCGAAGGCAAGAGCAATATGTATGATACGGGATAGATTTTCGACATTGTTAAGCAGAGTTATCAGTCCTCGGTCCGATACGGTGCCCTGTTGGAGGATCGAGATAAGTCCAGCAGCTCACCGTTCAAGGCGTTCTGGCGTCTCTAGACTCCGCCACCGTCGCTCGATCACCTTGGATGATTTGCATGCGCTAGTCAGCATACAACACCTAATCTTTGTGGTGCTGCAACGTCTTGGGCACTTTCGTAAATGCAATTTTATGCCGATCGAGTGGTCTCGATTAACCTCGTGGCCAAACGCAGCCCCCCTCCGCTGACTCCTTCTTGTCTTGCGCTTCTCCTCACATGTACCTACCTGGGTATGTAAAATGTCGGTTCCTTATCTTGAAAGTTTGGTCTCGCCTATTGTGCATAGCCGGTCCCCTGCTGAGAGTGGAGGATTTCTAAACTCAATAAGTTACTCGATGCCGTAGGGTTGGTTGGCAGGTAGATATTATGCCGTACCTAGACAGTCGCGCGGATGTAATGCATAGGCATGGGCATGGCAAAGCGACCACACTTCATCGTATCTGGGTATATATAGACGTTCATTCCCTCGTTACTGTGAATCGTGTTCGCTGGATCGTCTTTGTACAAGTGGTGGCTTTCTGCTTCTCTTGTCTCCCAGTTCGGTTTGACCCCAGTCTCATACGCAGACTTTACATTGCATCCCCTTAGCTCTTTCTTGAAGACGAGAGGGTGAAACAATACAAAAGAACCTCACGATCACCACAATGGGCGCCGACCCCGATGTCAAGACGACCCAAGAGGGTGGAGATCCAGTCACCGAGACTGCGCCTGAGGAGCAAGGTGATGTCTTTGAGAGGCGTCTTAGCAATGCCGAGTGGGAAAAGTACAGAACAATCAAAAGAGGCCTCAGTCCTCGTCATGTCCAGGTCATGGCTATCGGAGGGAGCATCGGTACTGGCCTTTTCGTCGGCATCGGCGGTAGTCTCCATCGAACTGGTCCACTGAGTCTGCTTCTCGGCTATCTCTGTACGCTCGGCCCTTGTTGTTTTCGTTTTCAATCGTCCTCTGTGAACGAGCAAGCTAACTCACTCTCAACCCAGTCTGGGGTCTCTTGTTCATTTGGCCTTGCTACTTGTGTGTCGCCGAGATGATCGCCTGGCTTCCTGTCAAAGGCAACATTTTCGAACTTGCCGCTCGATACGTCGATCCTTCATTGGGATTTGCCATGGTACGAAATGAGTCCCCCTCGGAAGTCCGATGCTTGAGAAATCTTCGTCTGACCGCTTGACAGGGCTGGACTTACTACTTTGGTGGACAAATGCTTGTGTGCACAGAATACTCAGCCGTGGCTACCGTGATGCAGTATTGGGAACCAGCTGACAAGGTCAACCCGGCGGCATGGGTTGCAATGTGTATGGTGGTATGCTTCTTGTTGAACATTGTCGCTGTCAAGTAAGTCGCAGTCTGTCTCCGTCACAACCAGTCGATCGCCCTGCTGAAAACCTGCTAGGTGGTATGGCGAATCTGAATTCATCATGGCGTCCACCAAGATCCTTCTGCTGATTGGATTATGCCTTCTCACCTTTATCACCATGGTAGGAGGCAACCCAAAACATGACGCCTATGGATTCCGCTATTGGAAACACGGGCTCGCCATGCATGAGTACTACGGCACCGGTGTGACGGGTCGATTCCTGGGTTGGTGGTCGGTGGTCAGATATGCCGCATTTACCATTTCCGGACCTGATTTGATCGCCTTGGCCGCCGGAGAGATCCAGAACCCTCGCCGTACAGTTCCTCGAGTGGCACGGCTTGTCTTCTACCGATTAGTCGGCTTTTATATCCTCGGAGTCTTTTGCGTCGGCATCATCTGCTCCTCTCGAGATGCTCGTTTGATAGGGGCGCTTGAGGACGGCTTGGCAGGTTCTGCGGCGTCCCCCTGGGTCATCGGTATCGAAAACTTGGCCATCTCCGGTCTTCCGGGATTCATCAACGTCCTCATCTTGCTGTCCGGATGGTCTTGTGGAAACGCCTACCTGTACTCGACTAGTCGTACGCTGTACTCGCTCGCACGAGATGGCCAGGCACCCAAGATCTTCATGAAGTGCACCAAGTCCGGGGTGCCAATCTACAGCGTGGCAACCGTCACTTTGATCAGTTGCATTACCTTCTTGGTAGCTTCGGATTCAGCGGTGACGGTGTTTTACTGGTTTGTGTCCCTGACCACCATTGCCTTTATTCTCGTATACACAAGCATGCTTTGGACATTCATTGGCTGGTTCCGAGCGTTGAAAGCACAAGGCATCGACCGGAATTCCTTACCTTACAAGGCACCGCTTGCTCCGTACTCGGCATACTTTGCCATCGGAATTGGCAGTGTGACCATGTTATTCATTGGATTCGATGTTTTCGTACCATGGAGCACTGAAGGCTTTGTCACAAGCTATTTCGGGCTCGCGTACGGCATCGTTGTTTTCGGCGTTTGGAAGATGTTCAAGCGCACCAAGTTTCAAGATCCCAAGACCGCCGATATCTACAGTGGAAAGGCAGAAATCGACGCAGAATGTCGACACTGGGAAGAAGGTGGATTGGGCGAATACGAGAGAAAGAGACTTGCGAACATGAATATTGTGAGGAGGACCTGGGAGAGATTGTGGTAGACGAGAGGAGTTTGCTCGGGATGCTGGTTTGCAGTTTAGCAGCATCCTCGTATCTCAGATGTACAGGGATGGGGCACTTACTTGGCTGGCGAACGCCAACAGACGTCTGCGCAGTACACAGAGAGTACCCAGTAGTAGAGCAGAGTCGAATAGTGCCGGATTGTCGATTATCTAATGTTGGCAGAAGTCGGCATTACATGAGGCCGAGGAACGACCAACACAGCATAATCCATGATGTCAATCCCTCCTGCTTACGGAAGCAACTTGATTCCCTATTCTGTTGCTCTCTTGCCAAGCGACTTCTCTAACATTTCCCTGCTGTCCGAAACACCGACTTCAGACCGTGAAAGTGCCATTCGCGATAGAGTAAAGTTGGGCAAGATAACAAAGTCTCCGGGGTCAATGTGTTCTTTCAGCCCGACTCCAGCAATGGCTGAGTAATATTGGTAAGCCCGGGGTACTCGATCTCTCTCGCTTCTAGTTCGTACGGACAGCCGCAGAATACGAGCACGTCTTCAAGGCCCAGTCAAAGGTCGGATTGTCGTATATATATTGCATTGACTACTGCCCTGACCCTCAAGACTTCGGACTCACAAGACACTCACAACACTCAACACATTTACATCTAACAAGCAGCAACAGAAACAGGAAACAGGAAACAGGAAACAGGAAACAGGAAACTCCTTCGATCCTCACCAGACAGAACAAAACACCAGCAACCTTCAACATCTACTGGCCACCACCACCACCACCACCACCACCACCACCACCACCACCACCACCACCACATATCCGACCCAACCTCGTCCCCAATCTATCCACATCTCACACATCATGGTCTCCAAATCCGACATTCTACTCAACAACACGTCCCTTGCCTCAGCTGGCTCGGGACTCATCGCGGCATTCGTCGGGGCCACGGCAGGCATAGGCCTCTCGACGGTCGAAGCACTCCTCAAACACACGACCAACCCGACAATCTTCATCGTGGGCCGCGACGCGTCTCGCCTCTCCCAACTCATCGCCCAAGTGCAGCCGCTCAACGCGGGGGCGACGCTCCACGCCATCGTGGCCGAGGACCTCAGCTCGGTGCGCAGCGCGCAGCAGGCGGCGGAACAAATCGCGTCTCGCGCACCGCACCTGGACCTCCTGATCGAGTCGCAGGGCTTCTTCTCGTTCCGGTCGACGGCCGACTTCACGCCCGAGGGTCTGGACCGGGTGACGGCGGTGCGCTTCCACGGCCGGATGCGGATGCTCGTGACGCTGCTCCCTCTGCTCCGGCGGGCGCGGTCGCCGCGCTTCGTCAGCGTGCTGGGCGCCGGGCAGGAAGGCCCGCTGGACCTCTCGGACCTCGCCATGACCAAACCGGAGACGTACAGCATGTCGTACGCCATGGGCGCCTCAGGATCCCTCACGACGCTGTTCCTCGAGCACCTGGCCAAGCAGCCCGGCAATGAGCACATCGTCTTCATCCACCTGTTCCCGGGCCTGGTCGCGGGCACCAGCCTGCGCACCGAGGGGTCCAACTTCCTCGTCCGCTGGTTCTGGGACTACATTGCCAAAACCGTCGTCAGGATCATCGGCCACAGCTCCGGCGAGGTCGGGGAACGCGTCCTCTTCGCCGCGACCAACGGCCGCTTCCGACGACTCCCACCCGACGCGGTAGGTGCAGCCGAAGGGACCCTGATCCAGCAGGGCAGTGACGGCGTGCAGGGCAGTGGCGCGTACATCGTCGCTGAAGACACGAGCGTCGTCGAAAACGGCGGGAATGCCGACCTCAAAAAGCTGAGAGAACAAGGTGCAGCGGCGAAGGTGTACGAGTACACTTTGTCTGAATTCGAGAGGATTGCAAAGTTGTAACAGGTACGACTAAATAATAACGACAGCAGAGGAACATTTGCATTTTGTGGATCCCATCAATTAGCAGTTGTAAGTTGTTTATACGGAGTACATAGGTGATAATTGGGATGCGAGTTTTTAAGGCCTTGTATCATACAGACCATGCTATGTTCCTATCTAAATACGCACATGCCGTAGTACCGGTACATACATCTAGGCTTTGGCCAATACCAGTGAAGTCCTGTTCATCCATTTATCCCTCAGTTCGATCAGTCCATCAGTCAGAAGAAGTCATCGACCGTCACAAACACACCCTTCTTCCCGTGCGGTCTCGCGACATGTCTATTCCCGTCGATCCGGCTTTGTTTTCGTGGCAAGTTCCACTCACCACCCTTCGAAGCCGACGTCAGAGACAAGCTGGACCTCGATTTTTGACTGCTCCTGCTGCCACCAACGCTGCAACGAGTGCCCTTGCCCTTCCTGGCCAATTTCCACTTCGACTCGAGGCTCTGGTCGCCGTCAAACCGTGAGGATCTCAGACTACCGCTCCTGCTGCCACCTGCCATATCGAGACTTTGGCTCCCACCACCATGCGCTCGGCCCGTCCTGGTCCAGGTACCGCCGGTGCACGTGCCTACACTTTCATCCTCACCTTCTTGCATGACGTCCGGCTGGATGCGCTTGCATGCCGACGCGCTCTTGAGGGAGCGGTCCCTCGACTTCGCCTTCTCGTTGACCCCCAGAAGCTCAGCCCAGCCTACCAAGCCTCCATTATCTTCATGTCCCGGCAGATCTGGCTCAAGGTAGAAAACAGGTCGTGGAGGCCGTGTCGGCGGGACGTGGATGTCTCGGGATGCAGTAGGACCTTTGTCTTCATCAGGATCCCGCCTCGCCCGAGCAGCGCGGTTCAAGGAGCCAAATCTGGTTCGCAGAGGATGTCGTGGTGGAGGTGTAGGAGGAAGAGGAAGAAGAGTGCCACGATTGCCTAGGTCAATAACGGCACTACAAATGCAGCCGCTTTGCAGAGTGCGTTCACAACAACACTCACCATCACCCCAGGAAAAAGTCTCGTTGTTTTCTTGACTTTCAAAGAGCACTTCTTTGTCCGAGTACTTTCGAGGATCATCACAATCCGTGAAAGGTACCAGGTGGTGCGGTACATCAACTTGATTAACCCTGTTGAAACCCCATTGTTCTGTGGGTGATGCCCTAGCAATGGACTTTGCTCGCAGTCTTGCTGACCGCAAGGAGTTTTCAACCCACTCCCGTCCTGATGCTGGGTATATGCGTTCACGTCGCAACGCAGCTGCATGTGGAGCCGAAGAAGGCTGACAAACTGATTGAAGAACTCCAAGGGGTGATGTATCGCGTGGCGCCCGAAGCTTGGTAAGTACTGGAAAGCCACTGTGAACAATCGACAAGGCCAAATGGTCGTTTGGCGTAAGGATGGCAGTCGTGTTTGGTTCAGGGTATTCATGATGCCGCCACAAATCACTGCTTTCGCTCATAGCCGGCTCCCGTCGCCCCAGGGTGCATACTACATCCCAGTGCAGGAACTCCAAGCTCATGGACGCCATGATCGGCTGGAAAACCACGGCATTCGTGTCCTCCGACAGTGTTGGGACAACGTCGACCTGGACAAGACTAAATCTTTTCAGGTTATCAAGACTAGCCAACACTTTAGACAAGGTCAGCAGATTTGTCACGTTCTGGTGTATCAGTGAAAGCCGTTCGATCATGGCTGCCCTCGGAGATCCGGCCCAGCGTGTCAACCCAGAATCAGTCACTCCGAAGCATTCCTCGAGTCGCAACGACATGAGCGAAGGTAGAGACAGCATGGTCCTATCATCAAAATCGTCGACGTCAAAGGAAGAGACGCAGAGATTCTTGAGTGAAGGCAGAGTATGGAGAACCTCGACAAAGAGCTCATGCTCAACGACACCAAACCCCCCAGGAGAGCAAAGCATCAGCGTCTCCAGCTGCAGCCACCGGTCGTGGTAGAGTAGGAATTCAAAGGTCTGCTGGGTGTCCAAGAGGCATGGAGGAAGTTGTTTCTGACTTCGTTCTTGTACGTCCTCATTCTCTGCGATGATCCACACATGGTGGCGGAGTTTCGTTCTTGTCGAGAGTGCATGTGTGAGCCGATCAAAGGTATGGTTGTAGAAGGGCGTGAAGCCCAACAATGCCTCGAGGTTCGGACATGCCATGATGACCGATGCCAATGTGCAGAGGTAGGCGTCGTACTCGGGATTAGGATCATCATTAGGATGATACAGAGGTATGTGAGGATCTTCGACCCGGAGCGTTCTGACCAGGACAGCAACTCGAGGCCTTGCTCGCAGAGTAGCCCGAAGTCTGATCAGGCGGGCTGATCGCGACAATCTCCATTTCCGCAGCATGCGAGGATCATCCTGCCCAACAAGCTCGATATGTGTATACCTGTGTGAAATCAGAACCCAGACCTTGCAAGGCTTCTGCCGAAGGGAGGATTACAGTGTACGTTGAGCATCAGAGAACCATGCTTTGCAGGTTCGTTGTAGCGCACAAAGGTCTCTCATGAAGCAGGTCGCACATGATGACGACTCAGCGGCGAAATGCAGTTCTTTGATCTGTTGCAAAACCAGATCAAAGATCGGACTGGGCAACTTTCTCCAATTGCTCCTGGCCGTCAATGTTCTCGGGATTGAATTTACCGCATCGTATTGCTGCCTTTGGAGAGGTAGCAATCTCGATCGGGTGGCTGCTGTGTCCCTCTTCGAGTTCCTCTCAGTGAAGAAAGGAAACAAGTGTCGCGGTGGCATGATAGATGAGAGCAAGCTCTGTCTGTGTCCTACAGTCCATGTCACAGGAAGGTACCGGTACCGCGCGCAAGCGTAGGACGATACTTTCCATCAGCCAGATCCCGGGATCGAAAGACCATTTGACGACTGGTGTGGATATGACAGATCGAGAAGTAAATCCTTTTTGCACGGTGACACTTCAGCCGGCGACGATGTAGCGAACAACAGTTAAAAGGCACAAACTATCGCGCGGTCTAGGGCATCGCATTGATCGTGCAGGGCAAGGCAGGACAGCTCAGTCGTCGAACGAAGTTGGACCAAAGAAAGAAACCAAGGGGACTTTGGCGAGCAAAGCAAGCGAGAGATGAGCTAGAGTCCAGCTCGCCATGGGCCATGGGCTGCATGCCAACATATCAGTCAGTACTCCATACCTACCTACTGTAGACTTTTGAAAGAATCACTTGGGTGTCAGATGTTGTCCGGCGCAGAGTTGGAACGTGTCGCAGCAAGAAACTTGGAAGTGGTTCCGTGGCGTTTGACTTTGGCCAATACATCTGAGCGAGTGGACGGTGACAGAGACAGCGGTACTGACGGCACACGGTCCACGCACCTATCAATGTCTCCAGACCCTGCGAGGAGAGTTGGACTTATAGGCGAGCACTATGCAAGCGTTGCACCTCGGTCGAAGCTCACTCAATGGTAGACTGTAAATATATAGAAAGGAAAGCACCGTCCAAAAGTACATTGGCACAAAGGGCAAATGCAGGAAGCTGGGGGCATCTTCAACTGCGTTCTGAGACCAATGTTACAGTACATGCAAACTGGGTTTATTGGCGTACTGTAGCTGCCCAAGAGTTCGCCCAGCATGGCCGCGAATTATGAATGACCTGTGGCCACCATGATCTATCTAGACGCCATACATGCCTATGCTATTTTGTGTACAAGCCAGGACTTCGCCGTCCTTTGGGTAAACCGCAAGTCGAAAGCGATTATGCGTAGAAATTGACACTGCCAATGTTAGTCTCTAACAATCAACACAGAGAAGGGGATTCGACTTACGTGTCCTTCTTCTTCGCCATCACCTCGGCGATAGCGTCCACATAGTTTTCATGGACTAACTTGCTCTGACCCTTACGAAGGGCGATCATACCTGCTTCGACACAAACAGCTTTCAACTGCGCTCCTCCCATCTCGTCCGTCGACCGGGCAAGTTCGTTCCAATTGATATTTCCCTCGTCGACAGTCATCTTTCTGGAATGGATACGCAGAATCTGCGCTCTCGATTCCTCGTTGGGAAGAGGAAATTCAATCTTTCTGTCCAGTCGGCCAGATCGGAGCAGTGCGGGATCGAGTACATCGACTCTGTTCGTGGCAGCTAACACCTTAATCCGCTCATCCGAAGCGAAACCGTCAAGCTGATTGAGCAGTTCCAACATTGTCCGTTGTACTTCTCGGTCACCACTCTTTTCTGAATCAAAACGCTTCGTTCCTACAGCATCAAGTTCGTCAATGAAAATGATCGAAGGAGCCTTCTCTTTGGCGAGAGCGAAACAATCTCGAACAAGCTTGGCACCATCACCGATGAACATCTGCACAAGCTGAGGACCGGCGAGCTTGAGGAAGGTCGCGTTGGTCTGGGCAGCGCATGCTCGAGCAAGAAGGGTCTTGCCTGTACCAGGCGGTCCGTACATCAAAGCACCTAAGCCAAGATTAGCAGGTCAAGTATGCATACAGTGACTCGCAACACACCCTTCGGAGCCTTGATGCCAATCTTTTTGAATCTCTCCGCTTCCTTCATTGGCCAAACCACAGCCTCGACAAGCTCCTCAATCTGCTTGTCCAAACCTCCTACATCTGTGTATTTTTCGGTGGGCTTCTCATCGACTTCCATGGCCTTGACTCTTGAATCGTACTCCGCAGGCAGCGTATCGAGGACTAGATATGAATCCTTGTTGACGCCAATAAGATCCGCTGGTTTCAGCTTATTGTGGTCGACGAGTCCGATCAGAGGGAGGAAGATCGTTTGCCGAGTGCTTGTCTTGATGACTGCCGACTTGCCCACCCGTGTTGCGTCGAGATCGATGTTCGCCCCTTCTTCTGCAGCCTCTGCTTCTACGTCCAGGTCGAGGAGTTCGACGACGTTGCCCACAAGGTACGGTAATTGTCTTTCACAGGAAATGTTAGATATGTTTACACTTAGCACTTTGAATATCACCTACCTGTTGTTCTCGATCTTGTCAAGGTTGTCCTTGATCTTGTCCTTCATCGTCGTCTCTTCATGCTTCAAGCGTTGAAACTCGCTCTTCAGGATTTTCAATTCGTTTTCTAGTAACCGCCGCCGATTGATGATATCTCTTGTACTAGATTGAAGGATTTCCGAATCAATGTATTCCTCTTCTTCATCTTTCTTCTCTGCTTCGGCATCTTTCATCTCAGCATCTTTGGAATCACCATCCGTCGGAGGTTTCTTGTCCTTGTCGTCGCCATCCTTCTTCTGCTCCTTCTGATCGCGTTCCAGATCATCGAGATCTTCCAATGTAGACATGTTCGCAGGGGGGGGCTGTCAGGAGCTGGCTACGGTAGGGCAAGGTGGTGCGATGGACAATAGTGGTAGATGGAAGAGTAGAGTCCAGGAGTTCCGCCGAGATGAATGAACGATGCAAGTGTCGTAAAAGGTGTTTGGAGGGTCTTTGAGGTGTTCGGATTGGATTACATATCCGTAAATGGAAGCTCGTCGACAAGCAGGCGAGGCGACACCGCAGCGAGACAGCCCGGCCTTGGCACTGGTTCACCGCGTCACTCGTCGCAGCCTGAGCCTCATCAGCCTGACTGTCAGCGTATGTAATTCTCCATACTCCGCACCATCTGCAGTGTTTTAAGAGGCGGCTACAGTTATTGATCTTTCAGAGATGAATATCATAGAAGTTTCCATGTTTTTGACGCTGTTTAATCAATCTTTATTTTGTTCTTTCTCGTAGTCTTGTGCAAAAGCCATAGCAATAAATCTATCAAGGGGTATAAGCCCGCCGAATGAATGCATCAAACCCTGCCAGCGCATGAAGTGGACAGAAGGTCCCTCCAAAAGAATGACCAACATGTTCTGTGGAACCCGTCTTCTGCTGGCACTGCCGTTTCTAGGTGCGTCCCATGTCCTTGTCACGCAGACCTTGACGTTTGTCAGACACTCGAGGTATATATCAAATCTCTTCTTGCGCCAGGAAGCCACCTCAGCCAACTCGCCGTCTCATTTCACATAGCTAACTAGAAGAATCACGGAATCAGCAAGCAAGAAGCAAGCAATGATCCCACCGTGCCCTCCCACCGTCCATTCTCATCGTGCCTCGCTGTCAAAGGAACAGGGACTGTTGAACAAATATATGAGCTGTGCTTGTGCTGGAAAAGAAAAACCCGATGCGTAACATTGTTGTCACTAACCCATAACGCCAACCAACCGACTCTGGAGCCCGGAACTTTTTTTAGACTTTTGCCTTCCCCTGAAGCTCCTGATATCACCCACCCATCATGAATGTATGTGGAAAGAATGAAACCCGTGCTCTATCACTGGAAGAAAGGAAGTTTGCTCGCTGTTTAAATGCCGAAGAATGAAAGACTGGAAGGTACAGCATCGTAAAAGGTCGTCATATGTGGGCTCGATTAGAGAGATTTCGAGTCGTAAAGAAGGACCGCCAGACCAAAATCCTTGATTCTCTCTGGTGTCATATAGAGTCCTCCAAGGATAACTGACGGTGATAAAACAAGACCGAAGAAACGGTATAAGCACTGAACTTTTGTCCCGCGAAATGAAAGTGCGCTAAACGCAGCAACGTTGTGGAACGATTTAACCGACCACAGTCTGCAGTGGGTATCCGGTATGACTGAAGTAATAATCTGACTGCTTTGCGTGCAGACCATGGCCGTGCGCCATCCAACTTGGCGTGATGCTTGCATAGCCATACGTATGGCCCCAAGATGGGAGTTGACTACGTTGTGCAGCGTATGCTGAGGCGGTGTTGGAGTGATATGACTGGCGGCCAAAGGAGGCACTTGTAGGCGTGTACGACCATGACGGAGTGTAATAGTCAGGTGTTGCAGGTCCGCTATGTGGTGCAGACGGCGGTGAATACTCGGAGATGTATGGTTGAACCCAGCGGGTATCGTACTGCGAGCCTTGTTGGTATTGAGGTGGAATGGGTCCTTCCGGAGACATCAGTGGTTGGCTGTGCAGAGATCGACTGCGGCGAATGTTGGTCTCGATTGGAGCCAGTTTCTGCAACTCTTTCGCTTTGGCAAGCTGAGCCTTTTCTTCGTAGGCATGCCAATGCTCTACCCACATGAAGAAACCCTCCTCTTTATCGTACATCATACCGTGAATCTCCCAGTTGAAGTCGGTGAGCCATTGGATTTCCATCACATTGAGCTCTTGAACAGGGATGCTACTGACTTCAGCCCATGATCTGTTTTGAAATGTGTTGTCGTCAAGGAATTTGCTACCAAGGAGGAGGCAGGTGGTGAGCATGCGATAGACAGTGCCGGAGGATGATGTTGACTGGCCTCGTTCGTTGAGCTGGCTCATACGAGAAGCTAGATAAAAGAGACCCAACATGATGGTGGAGCTTGGCAGTCGAGTTGATGACAGTATCTGCGAGACGTATTTCCGAAATTGGGAGGACGGAGAGGATTCCGGTGCAACCCTGGATGAAATGTCAGTCTCAAGTTGATGAGTATCTTTGCAAGATTTATACTTACAGTTTCTGGGACATTTCGGCAACAAAGTTCGACATCAGATCCATGTCATAGTCAAGATGTTGCGCAACCCCTCCAGTCGGCTTCTCTTCCTTGAGGCTTGATTCAGCGGATTGCTGGGTGAAGTGCCCAGAGAAATCCATTGAGTCGCCGACACGGATAGGCGGCAAGACGGGTGCACCAACGGGAGCATACCCATATTGTGCAGCCGTCTGAGGGTATGCTTGAGGATAAGGGTATTCCTGGGTTCCTTGGGCATGTCCTAGACGAGCGACTTGACTAGCCAGGGGTTGTTGAGCAGTGTATGCCGGGGGTGCCTGGTACCTATCACTATATTCTCTGCTGGATAGTGACCGTCGGGGGAGGTAGTTCTGTTGTTGGTAGAAGCCTCTCTCGGAGACTGCGCTCATGGGAGTGAGGTAGTCGTTCTGATACTCTGGAGGAGTTGGTGGCAGTCTGGAGTGTTGGCCATGCGGCCCCCAAGAGTGGTACGAAGGCATGATCGGTAATAGGGAGAAGCGAAGACAGCCAGGAGCCCTGCAATAGAGTCAACAAAGAGAACAACGACATCCGATCCAGATGGAACTCACTGTCTGTCTTCCGTTGCGTCAACGCACTAGGCGTTGAAGCCGAAGCTTTCGAAGCAGTTCTGACTTGCGACCTCAAAAGCCGGGCATGGAGGATGACAATGTATTCGCGCACAAATCCTTTTGGCTGAACACACTCTTCGACAATGACAAGGAGTCAATCTCAGAGGATGAAAGTCGAACCTTGATGGGACTTATGAGTCGGCAAACGATTGATGTGTACAGTGGTTATCTCTGGCAGAGGTTTTCGATGAGGATTATTAAATTTTGTTCGACAAGACTTAGTGAAAAGCTCGTCGTAAGTGTGAGGCGCGGTGAATAGTAAGACTTTTTTTTATCAATACGGTAGCCTGCAGACGCGAGTGAGGTTAGAGTGAGGTTTTCAATGCAAGCACTGAAAAATGGTAGGTGGTCAGGGAAGTAACTGCGAGGAATACATACCAAGTGGTGTCAACCAATCCGCACTGACACTCGCAGACAAACGAAACCCAACGTGCCCTGTGACCTTTTTTCGTGGTAGAGAAAAAGCAGATGCGCGATTGTTGTTTTGAACGGGAGTGGGCGAGAGGTGGTGGTGACGGAGGTTGAGATCCTGCAATGCCGGAAGAAGAACAGTGTATGGACAGGGAACGCAGCCGCTAACAAGCAGAAACGGCCGCAGTGCAATGCTCTGACCGGGCTCGTGACGGGCAGGTGCTTCGTCGTAAGAAACCTCAATTTGGCCACCAGCACTATTCACAGGCTGCCTGGGCGACAGGGAAGGTTGACTTGGGACAGGCGAAGCAAGAGCCAAAAGTCGGTAGCCTGGCGACGGTGGTGCAGGTGGGAAATTGTGGCAATCAAGCTGGCCGCAAGGAGTCGTCACTCAAGAGGCAGACGTGGGCCCGGGTCCGAAATTGGCTGGGTGAAAATCCTTCAATGGGCGGCCAGGAATAGCAATCGTGGCTGCACCAACAGAGGAGGGACTACTCAACACAACACCGGCGCGAGGATATGTAAACAGAAGGAGGAGAGGTTGAGGTTAAGAGGGGAGAGAGGATTTAGAGAGGAGAGTGGAAAAAAGCATATGAGGGAATTGAGAAAGAGATGATGCGGTATGCGGTTGGAGAGGCGGGATTAGGAAGGGAGAAAGGGACCAGCAGCATGAGAGCGGGTGTGTGTGTGTGTGAGTGTGTGCGAAGGACTGCGTGTGTGTGCGCAGCGATGTCGACGTGCAGCAGCCAGCCAGTCGGGACCCCAGTCATTGAGTGGTCTAGTCAGGATTTAGCGGGTGGGCTTGGAAGGGTCGATGGCGAAGGCGGGCGAGGCTACTACAATAACTTGAGCTCACTAGCCCAACTGTAGAGTTAGTTGACTGTACGGATACGGGGGCGATGAGGGCCCATGGCTGATGCAGTGATGGGCAGAGGCGAGGCCGAAGGAGCGGCGAGAACGAGCACGGCACAGGTCTCTCCTGGCTTCTCCCTAGGCTCCCTTGGGCCCTGCTCGGCCCTGCAAACGGGGACAATTCGCATTAGAAGCGGAGGCAAACAGGGTTAAGTGGCTGCAGCACGAAGACCACGCCTCGGAAAGGAGCAGACGACGCAGCCAACAGGGGGCACTGAAAAACAGGAGCCCGATGCAACTAGCAGCAAGTGAAGGAAGCCCGTCGCCGTCAGTCCAGTCCAACCGTTGGGGCCTTGAAGACCCTGAGCAGCAACTTGCCAACCAGGTGGTTCTCATGCTTTTGCACACACTCTCGCTGCGTATCCAGCGGCTGAAAATTCAGGTGGGTGGCAGTGGTATCCAGCCCACAGGGGGCGATTCAAGACACTGACTGCATTAAGTCTGCGAGCAAGAATCTGTCACCCTGTCCGTCACCTCAGTCATTCTTCAACCACTGTGTCTCGTACAGCCGCTCCGTACTCGGTCCTGCAATTAGTATTGACACTCGCCTCACTCGGTAAATATTGCGGCCTCCGTTATGCATGCACTTGCCACGTCTTTCCGACTAACTTTTGAGCGCGTCCGTCCCATTTCGCGTGGGCTGTGGAATTTTGTCCATTTTGTTCATTATTATGACAACCATTACTCCATAATCCTTAGACACACCCGATTGTCACCGCGTGGCCTGGGCATCTTCAGCCAATAACGACGCCCTGGAAGACTCCGGTCCGTCCGAGCGCCGCCTTGGCCCCTTGCGAGCGAAACCGAAGGCTCCGACCATGGGGGAGTAACGAGACGTGGAAAGATGACCTTTGTTTTTAGGAATGGCCATTCGTTTTGTTGGCCAATGCTCCTCCTCCCTGGCAGTGTTCAGAATCACCTGTCTGCGCCCCCGCGGCCCACGGTGAAGATCCAAGCCGACGTACTCGGAGTCGTATAGGTGAGGGCCCAAGGATCATCTCTCAGACTGCACCCTACAGTACGCTAGATGTAGTTACATTTCACGCATCATGATGAAATGGATTTCCAACGCAGTACTCCGTATCCGTACGAGTACTCGTACACCGTCTGCTGCTCATGTTCTGCCATGAGATTGGCACGGCAGTGCTCGTGGTGACTAAAGGTTGCCACCCATTGTACCGTATGTCTCTCTCGGCAATACGTCTGGCAAGAACAGGGATTTTACCTTCTGCAGCCCAACGTGCCGGGTTTAAATGGGTCCTCGAATGGAGGCATTTGCTAAAAGCCACATCGATCACAATGGGAGAACCCAAGACCCTGTCTCACCACCGATCAATACAGGCAGCTGCCTAACACAATTTTGTGATTTCATCCAGCGTCTTGACCGGTGGTGCTAGACCCGTATTGAACTCCGAGTTGTGATGCACTCAGATTCGCCCATCGAGTGTATCGTTGCTTCAGCTGCAATGATGCCATAAGCACCGCTTACCTCAGGTACTGTTTATGCGGTCTAAGGTAAGCGGTGCGACATTTAGATTCATTCCTGACACTGCCTCGAACTCCCCATGCACGACGACATCATTGTGCGCTCTTGCTGACGCTCACGTGCAGTCTAGATCGGCGCAGGTGACAAGTGATTAGTTAGCAACAGCTTCACGGGGTACAGCTCGGCAGACCTGGACGGTCATCTTTGCCTGTGAAGCAGCTATGACAAGCATCCTCGTGGTCCGACCCCATGCTGGTCAAGTCATCCTTTGAGGTTGGAGACTGCTAGCCTCGGTTGGCACAAAAGTGCATCGGGTTCACTTGGGCGGTCTAGCAAAGCGTTTCCTTGACCACGGCACCTTTCGCGTCTTTGGCGGCCACTCTTAACTCCTTCGCCGCGGTTCATGAGCAAGCAACACGAGACTACTCCACACATGAGAAAATTCTACATCGTCACGAAGAAGTTGAAGGAGTGGCAGGGGAGGTATCATTGGCTGGCAGAAATGGTGGTTTAAGACTCAGAACCGGGAAGCCAATCATGTTCGATGTGATTGCTTCTTCTCCACGAAATCCGCCGAACATCGGTTGTGCAACCGTGTGTCGAGGTCACGCTTCAACTCTCTGCTGCATACAATCCGCCCTCCTTCTCGGGTCTCACCGGACTTCGAGTTTGACGCCTAGTGTTGCAGTGGTTGATTTGCTCCAAGGTCGCTGAAACAACGTAACAGGGAGATTTCGTTTCTTGAATTGTGAAATAGCGCGACCCCCTGGTCGGGTTGGTGCACCAACGCGTCAAGATTTTGTGTGCCTCAGTCCGACCGGACAAAGGGCCCGATCGTGAAAGGGCAAGCGCATAGATGCGGTCCCAGACCCCCATGGGCCGAGAGAGCATCGCAGAAAGCGCAAGGACTCAAGAAATTACCTCCGCTGTTAAATTGGGGGAACCAAAAGACGCGTCGTCTTCTTGGGGAGAGGCCCCCAGTAGTTGCCCCAAACGCTGCTGATAGTAACGATTCTCAGTGCTGGGCATAAGGACGCTTTGCTTGGGAAGTCGGATATTGTCATCCTGGTTCTTCTCCCTTTCCCTCACTTAGGATACCAATCCACTGACGGCAGCAGCCGTGCGCGTAAGCCACCGACCTGCTCTGAATGCCACTTGCTTCTCCAATTAGCTTCACGAGCCTTGGCCTCCTCGAAAGGAACCAGACAATCTGCAGGCAGTTCTTCTAGTACTGTCGAAGGGATTGTGGACAGGCCTTCACCATCTCCATCGGGGCCAGGCCTCCCAAGCCATGACTCGGGAGCTGATTCAAGACAAAGGTCGTGAATTCGAAAGTTTCTGCCAAAGACAGGGTCCAGGCGAGGAAGCGTAGATGTATTCTCAGCGCTCTCGACATCGTTCTCATCATCGACAACGTCCCATCGAGCATGAGTTGGTTGCATGTGGCTTGGCCAGTGCATTGAATTGGTGTGAATATCGTACACCCCATCCACGTTGGTGCTCCGCGCCGCTGCTAGCATCGAGTTGAAGCGACTGTAAAAATTAGCTTGGGATCCTTCGCGACGTTTTAGTCACGTACCTTGCTTCTCTTGCGTGTTCCAACATCCAATTGTCACTTGTCACAACGATCTTGCGTCGTTTAGCATCCTGGGCCTTGACTGCCTGATTCGGCATGCTGGGCGCATTGGTATGATATACGGCGCTAGCACCATGCCACGCGACATATTGATTGCGGTTGTAGGGTTCCCCGGGCGGAGGCAGCCGGTCTTCAGGAACAGCAAGCTCACCCTCGACATCTCCGCGTTCTCGTGCCTGCTGAGTTTGGTAGTCGTCTATGACCTTCTTCCCTCCAATGACAATCTTGGCGCCAAACTCCCGGAACACAGATCGAGCAGTCACAACACCGATCGCGCGGCCTTTGTAGGAATGTGGTATGACATCTCGATCAATGAGGTCTCGTTTTTCGTCGTCGTCAATAATGATCTTGTAAAGATGCGGGTGTTTCTGAAAGAACAAATATGAATCGCGGAACCCAATGCACCGAGCAGGCTCTGTCGAAAGCATGTAAAGTCGATCATCTCTCCCCATAATGGTAAATGTCCGCACTCGATATTCGCGTCCACCAAGGAGCTCGCCATTTTTATCGACTTTGGTCTCTCCTTCGGGATCTTCCGGTAATTCAACTTCATCGTTGACTATCTCCATAGGGTTTCCATTCGCATCGAGTGGTGCAGCTGTTCTCGCTCCGCCGCCTCTCGATTTTCCCCATCGTCCTCCACGATGTCCGCGAAATCCTCCCCTCCGTTTCGGCGTGCTGATCTCTGAACCAGCATCGTTATTGTCGTCATCAGACACAGGCGGTTTGTTTTTTGGCGGCCTTCCTAGTCGTTTCCGCCGGCCAAATTGTAGAGACGGTCGTGCTGAGCCCCGACGAGGGGTGGCCGAGCGCGACGCTTGTTCGGAGCCTCGTGACGGGGTGGGAGCATCTTCCGCGTCTTGATTCTCTTCGTCACCTTCGTTTTCTTCCTCTTCATCATCTTGGGGTGTTTTGGGATCTGCGGGAGTTGCATCGGGCATGTCTTCGTCCTCATTGTCCGATATATTTGGGATGGGTGTTCCTGTCACAGTCAACAAGAGGAAACTACCAAACATCTCGTTTCGGGGATCGTACTCATCGAGGCTTGAGCAGCTTGTGCTGCGAGACGCGGACGCCTAGCCATTGCGTAACGTGAGGCGTACTTTTCGAGCGTTCAGGTGAACACCTAGGACGTGAATTACCAGCGATACTCTTAGAAACGCGCCGCCGCGATCATTAGACGTAGCGTTGCCGACCTTGCTAAACTGTACTCTGTCAGGTTAGCGCATGGATGGAGACTTGGCAGTAATTTTGTACGGCGAGTCATTTTGGGATTAGTGCAATATCTACGGCGACACACTACGCTCTCTAAGCCAATTGAACAGGCCTGCGGACTTTTTCTTCCATGGGGCGCATGCCTACAAATATCTAGATAGATTAAAGTACGGCCACAGATGCAGAAGTCCAGTCGAGTTTCTCGAGGCTGCAGAGCATTTGAACCTTGTGCAGAGAATTCGGATCACACTGGGGGTTTTCACACGCATGGAAACGCAAAGGTCGCCAAGTCCACATGCCTAAGAATACGGAGTACAGCACACCATCTCGAAGTTGATTCAGCCTCGTTCTCGAGGTGCCACGGTCGATCGCTTTCTACAAGGTAGTAATGCCGTGGCTTCTCAACCGTTGGTGACATTTCTAGTTGAGAGGCTAACATCACAGCCGCTGTCATCCAACAAACTGAAATTTAGGTACACGGAGCGGCCGCACATTTCTACAACCCACCTAATGAGGCAGGACTTGATTCATCGGTGAAGAGGTACGCAGTTGCCCACCATGTCGATCTGCATGGAAATGGCGCATGTCCTGGAATCGCAACAAATCACCACCACCATATTTGCGCGGATAAGTCATGCGGTGGACGACAAACAACAGTCCAGCAGATAGCCGAAACTGCACTTATTATTCCATGCCGCACAATAATATCAGAATCTATTCTCAGAGACCTGTTGGGTAGGACAAAACATGGGCCCTTTAGCCTTGCGTGTAAGCCGAGGCGATGCGTGCATCTGCTGGGACTATTTGCTTTGCGCGATAAAATTTTGCTCTGGTCGAATCAAGTGCTGGTGAAAGTGCCCATTTGCACATGCAAATTGCGACGGTTTGCCTACCGCTGCATCTTTCACCCGCGCTCTCTCGGCCGGGCTTCCCACTGGAAACCTCCTCCTAGCAGAGAATGTGGAAATGGAATAAGAGCCACTTAGACGGTTTTTAGAGAACATCTCAGAGGCAGGAGTCATGAACCGGGGTGTCAGAAAGTGAACACGGTCATCCTAGGCGAGAGGAATTGGTGACAAGTAATAAATGACGTTCCTTCGGCCACCGGTCGCGTCTCTCAACTGGGGCACAGTCACCGAGAGACGATTTGTTTTGCCGCGCAATAGTCCTTCCTCCCTAGTAAAGCCTGAAGCACAGCCCATTGTTGAGCACGGTTGAGCGTTGGGCCAGATCGAGCATCGCAACACTCCAGCAAGGGTGACCACCTGAAGTCCCAGTATTACCTGGGGTATGTTTGCTCTGGCCGTCGCCCTTGCAGAATACTCGTGCCCTTGCCCTTGCCTTGCCCGAGCGAGGGGCCATCACAGCGAGAGATAGAGAGGGGCAAAACAGTGTGTAGCCGTCAAGGCGGCTGGCAAACTGCGGACTGGGAACTGCGTAACAAGTGTACCTACCTGAACGAGGGGCGTCCTTAGACTTATCGATATTGGCTATCGGCCCAACCTAAACAGCGTAGCCACGCCCCCATCCCACCTAAAGAATCAACCAGATTGACAGGGTTGGGTGTGCGGCTCGTATTATTTCCCTCGTCTGGATTGGCCTCCTGCCCTATGACATCGGCCCTGGAAAGCAATATTTCCTCTAGGCTCTGGCCTCACCAGCCCGCACAATCCTTGCACTTGCGCTTCCGCCCTTCGTTCGCCATCATCGAACCACTCTTTTACCCCATCCCACACAGACCACGAGAACAGTTCTCGACTACGCCGGGTGTACCATAAGCTGGCCAGAATCTCAAAAGGATATTTTTTCAGCACCTGCAACTCGATTATATCACCGTCACCAGCCGCTTCTCTATAACTCGCTGTCATTACCGACTCCTTCGCCTCCGGCATCTTCCTCTCATATCCTCCAACTTCCCGCCTCACTGACGATTGACTTTCATTTTAACCTGCAGGCGTTCCGAGACCTACCTGCGACCCCTGCCGACCAGCTTCCGAGAATCTCCAAATTCTGCACCACTTTCGTCACTCCTTTGAGCCTGTGTCCGGAAGACTCAGGGAACCGTGCCCTCCGTACGCCAGGAGCTGTGACGTTCAGCCTGAATACTGAGGACCGTACACCAGTGGCAGATTTGCAGAGAGGAGGACTTTTTAAAGCGTGTCGCCAACATGGCGCAGACAGGGCTAAACCAGGATCCTGCAGACCTGCTGAGACAAGCCATGGCACAAAAGTATGTTCGCAAATCCCTCTTACCCAAGTGCTTCGTGATCCGAGTCATTTACGGGAGACCGGATGAAGGGGACGAGACAGTCGTGACATGGACTCACTTCCGAGTACCAATATCTCATACTGCTTTGCCCACGATACGTCTTGTATACAGCTGGGACGGTGTCGAGATCAATCTGTCACCGAACCCTCCCGACTCGCCACCATTTGCGTACTTGTCGACGTCTATTCACTGCGCTGTGGTAGTTTTCTGGAAGTTAGTTGCTAATGTTTCTTACAGCAGTGCCAGGCAGCAGCTCCGCGATGATATCGGTGATGGAATTGGGTCGGGATCGCCCACTCCTTCAGGCGTAGCGACGCCCCAGCCCGATCTTCACGATAAACGGCTACCGGGAATTATGCACAGCTACTTTGGCCAGGTGGGTAGAGATCCTTCTCAAGATGCAGCGTCACGGTCATTACAAGCTGCCACAAGCCCTGAAAAGAATGACGGGCCTGCACATTCCTCGTTAAAGAGCAGGGAGAAACATGACGACCGACGGATGTCATCTGCGTCCATAGGCTCGATGGTGATGGTGGAGCGGGAACAAGCACCGGTGTCCACGCCACCACCTGAGGAGCCTCAGGGCGAGTCCACGCAGCCCGTCACGCAGGCTGATAATTCTCGGATGCCACCTACGCCCATTTCGTCTGCCGCTTCGGTGGTGAATCGAGATGGAGAGGTTGCAGAGAACGGCTCGTCGATGCTGGACGGTGGTCTGGCTTCCATCACCCAGGCTCTGAGGAACTTTGTACTACCCAAGAGCGCCTCTGCGGTGAAAGACCGTCGGCACCAGTCCTTACCCGTCTCTAGCGTTACAAAAAGCAATGTTTCTGCGGCACACATCTCTAACCCTACATCATCCACTCACTCTTCACGACCTCAAAGCCCCAAACCTCTATCTCCAAGTTCTGCTGAACCACTGTCCTCTGAGATTTTGGAAGAGACTCATGAGCTAACTTCGCGCGTGGCCGACCGGCCGCGTAAAAAGAACACACCTCCTCTCACACCCCGAGCCTTGTCACAAGAAGATCGACGAGTTGACACGCGATCGCCGTTATCCAGCACAAGTACGACTGCTGGGGACAGCAATGTTGATTTGACAGATAAAAGTTTACAGAAAGAGCAAATTCCGACCAACGCCCCCCGTGGCAAGTTATCCATTAAGATAGCTGAGGGACGGAATCTGAAGCCATCATATGACCCCTACGTGGTCTGCCAATTTGAATGGAACGAGTATGTTTCGAAAGGGCCGAGACATGACAAGATGGATGTGGATGATGACGACCGAAAAGGCCCTGTCGGTGCATTACAGTCTATCCCTATTCGTAGGACAGACAGCGACATGGGCAAGCCGATGGCCATCCCGATGCGAAGTCGCCAGAGTAGCACAAACGGAACCGGTGATGACCGTGGACTTACCAAAGTGACTGATCCACAGTGGGATCGCGAGGCTACATTGTAAGTCTTGTTTTGTTGTGCATTTTCACATTATCTAACCACTTCCCAGCGATGTGGTCAGTCATCAATCTGAACTGGATGTAACCGTCTACGACCGCCAGTCCGAGGCATTCTTGGGTCATGTCCGTCTCTGTTTAAACCTTTCAGAGCAGCAACCAGATCTGGAGGGTTTCTTCCGGCTGGAAGCTCGAAGTCCTGAAGACCATGATATAACTGGAGAAATCCATATCAGAATGCATTTCACCAAGGTCGACAAGAAACACTTTGGACCTAACGACTTCCAGATCCTCAAACTAATAGGCAAGGGTACATTTGGTCAAGTCTACCAAGTCCGGAAGAAGGACACCGGGCGGATCTATGCCATGAAGGTACTTTCCAAGAAAGTCATAATACAGAAGAAAGAAATACAGCACACCATTGGAGAGAGGAATATTCTGGTCCGGACGGCCACTACCGAGTCTCCATTCATTGTCGGCCTCAAATTCTCCTTCCAAACACCAACGGACCTCTACCTAGTTACGGACTTCATGTCGGGCGGTGAGTTATTCTGGCATCTTCAGAAGGAAGGTCGCTTCAAAGAGGATCGTGCGAAGTTCTATATTGCAGAGCTCATCCTCGCCTTGAAGCACCTGCACGAACACAACATAGTATACCGCGATCTGAAGCCCGAGAACATTCTCCTTGATGCCAATGGTCACATTGCTTTGTGTGATTTTGGCCTGTCTAAGGCCAACTTGACCCAGGATGATACAACCAACACATTCTGTGGAACCACTGAGTACTTGGCTCCAGAGGTCTTGCTTGACGAGCAAGGATATACTAAAATGGTCGACTTCTGGTCACTCGGTGTTCTGGTCTTCGAAATGTGCTGCGGCTGGAGTCCATTCTACGCCGAGGACACCCAACAAATGTACAAGAACATTGCCTTCGGCAAAGTACGCTTCCCGAGAGATGCTCTGAGCACTGAAGGCCGGAATTTCGTCAAGGGGCTTCTGAACCGCAATCCCAGACATCGGCTAGGCGCCAATGGTGATGCTGATGAGTTGATGGCGCATCCTTTCTTTGCCGATGTCAACTGGGACGCGCTTGGTAAGAAAATGCTCATTCCTCCGTTCAAACCAAAATTGTCCTCTGTGGCCGACACGTCGAACTTTGACCCCGAATTTACCAATGCCCTGAACACGTCGTCATCTCTTAACGCCCGAGCGGCAGCTCTGGCCGCTGGCGCCAACCCGGCCTCGACGCCATTGTCACCCACCATGCAAAACGCCTTCCGAGGATTCACTTTTGTTGACGAAAGCACCATGGAGGAACGTTTCGGCGGCTCTCGAGAGCCAGAGGACGAAAGAATCGACGAAAATGGACTAGCCCGGTCAAGGACGCATGAACATCGGATGAGTGGTGTACAGAAAACTGGTGATGACGGATTCTTTTTCGAAGAATGATGGTGTTTTTGATTTTGGACACTGCGAAGAAAAGCCTGTCACCACACGCAGAGCTGCGTGTTGGAAAATACGTCTATAATATTGCATCTGAGGACATGTATTGCCTCGTCATCATACGTTTCTAATCACGTGGTGTTCCCAGCTACACTCCCTGTCTGTCGATGGAGGCATTTCGATCCCGGCGAACAAGGCAGGTTCACAGGTCGATGAAGCATAGCAGATCGGAGCAGATTAAATACAATCAGCCTGAATCTTGAACCGGTCGGCATCGCTTACAGTATGGGTCAATGAGTCGAGTTTGACTTATGCACTCGAGCCGTCGTGGCTGGGATGACAGCAATCTCGCTGTTGCTGAAGCCACGTTGGATGCCCTGCGGGAAAAAGAGTAGGATGGACAAAGTGAATTACCGACAACCGTCAGAGCTTGCTCAAATGATTGTCAATTCGACTGCGCTTGCCTCCTCTTTTTTACATATAACAACCCAGCATCAATCATGCCATATCAGAGACGAGATATTAAAATGAACATGTTGCTTCCTGTAACAAATCTTGCTTTGGTACATGCGTTGGCTTTAACGCTGCTCCTTTTGGGGTTGTCCCTGTCCCTCCGCCTCGGATTGTACGGAGGATTCTCGTGACACACGACCCACTCGGGGAGAGACGCAGTCATCAACTCGAGGCAAGCTAAGAATGGCCATTGAACGATCACTGTAGCTTTCTTCACTGTACCTGTGTATAGGTACTTCGGGACGAGCCCAGGAACAATACATCAGGAAGCTAATTCCATGAATCAATTCATAAACGGCCGTCACTTAGCAGGTACCTAACTTAGGTTTACAACCTGAGGCCTGGACAAATGCTCTGGGGTACACTGTCTTGAGTGTCTCACATCTCCAGCACCCAAATCCATCGTCCATTAACCATATACTGTCCGTGTCTCTATTAAAGCATACTTGATCGGCTGCCAGTCCCATTCGAGGCCTTTGATAGATATTTTTGTATTGGATCGTTACAATGTTAACTTCAGTTTGTCTTGAATTGTCCGACCGTCCGTCTGGTATCTCTGTTCGTGTCTTCGTGTGTGTGGGTGTGTGTCTGTCTTGTGTCTGTAGCTGTGTGTATCATGCGCGATCCAAAGTGGCTATTTTGTTTTTTTTCACTTTAACAATTCCGTCGTCGTGTGTCCGCGTTGACTGGCGGCGGCTTCAGGGCTGTTGGCGTCAACTGCCGTCGTTCCAACAGGAGGCTTGCCCGACTTCGCGGCGAGTCTCTGGTCCTCTTCGCTCATCTTCTCAAAGCCCTTTTCTTGCATGTTCTTGTTCCGCAGGAGGGTGCCGGTCGCTGCCTCCAGGGATCCCGCGACGCCGTGGGCCATGCCCTTGAGGTCGCCCACGATCTTGGAGGAAGGTTTGGCGTGTGCGTCGGTGCTGGGGTCGGTCGACTGGAAGGTCGTCGTGTTGTCAGATGCGTCGTAGTGCGTCGGGTTCTTCGTGAGGTGCTGGTGCGAGGGTGCGGATGGGTCGACTGCTTTTGCGTGCGTCGCCGGGTGGTTGGGCGTGTGCCCGTGGGTGTGACCGTGAGAAGACATGGGTTGTTGGACGCAGGTGGTTTAGAGTTTGTCGTGGTTTAGAATGGAACTGTATTGGGCTTGAGGTTCGTACTCCGTAGGCGAGTGAGGTCGAGACAATAAACAACTCAGGTACAAGTTTCAGGCGAGGTTGGTTCGGATCAGACAGGATGAGGAAGGGAGGGAGTTTGAAGATAAGAGTGTCAGAGAGAGGGTAATGTCGACTTCGTCTTGGGTCTTTTAGTTGTTCTAGGTTGAAGATCTGTTCGAGGTTCAATGGGGAGCAACTGGCAGTTCACACAACGCAGCGAACAGCAAACGCTGGACGCGCTCTCGTTCATTCAAATCCATCTCGCGCTCTCAGAACTGAATGACGTATGTATGACGTTGCATAGCTAGACAAATCCATCCGGTAAAGTATCGAGCCATAGCCGCTGTTTTCGCTAGTAAGGGCACTGATATGCTCCGACGTAGTCATCCATAATTTCAATGTCGAGCATGATCCCAAGTTTGTACGCTTATAAGCACGAATGAGCGAACCAATGGTACTTGTACACTTTTTCAGTGAAACTTGAAGCCTTTGATGGGAGATTCGGGGAATCGATAGATCGCTGTGAGAGAAAGAGAGATGCCCTGCTATTGAAAACGGGTTTGAGAAAGGTTCTGAACCCCCTACCCGGCACATCACGATAAAATATATTCGAGCTGCACGAACGCGTTTAAAGCAACATTCAAAAGAACACCAACGGCTCTTCTCAACTCTTTCAAAATGCCGACGATATCAGGCCGTGCTAGGCCCATCGAAAAGTTTGCGGCAGCCACAGCAAAGTGCTCAGTTGAAGTAAGTCAACCAGTTCATGCCTCGTGGGATGCTCCTTGCCTCCACTCGCAGACCGAGTGGTAGCTGGGACTCGTTGCGTTAGAATTGCTTCAACGACAGTCACCAAGGCGCGGACGATCAACCAGGCGTCTAGCCGGAGCTCGAGGTTCCCCTGGTGTTTTGATTTTATCAGCAGGACGAGGATCGCTGCTCACAAGGAGACTATTCAGCTAACGGAAACCATACTTTCAGGCCACGGCATATGGAAAGTGCATACTTGCAGACTACCAATCAACACACCAAGATATGTGTGCAAAGGAATTCATGCATCTGAAGGACTGTTATTTGGTACGTGAATCTTTTCTTCATGTCATGTTCCTCGTCTACTGCATAGAGCACCGTCTCTCACGCTTGACGAGATCGAGCATGCTAGAGAGCTTCGTCACTTTTTAATCCTCATCGAGCCTTCTTCTAGTTCTTTGTCACTGATAGTTTCCCACAGAAACATGCAAAGAAGTCATGATATCTTGCAGGCATTTCTGACCTGGTTGTTTGTCATCTATTCCTGTCTTTCGAAACCATACCGCTTTTTCTCATTTCATCCATCCTCGAGAAATCTGTCCGGCACCAACCTAGTAATTACCTCACAACTTTAGCAATCGCAGCAAGAAGGTGGCTTTCTGAACTTCTTGGATCTCTTCGGCGATGATGTTGTCCTGAACTTCGTTCGGTATCTGCCCGTCAATTTCCGTAACGACATGTTTGTCTACAGGTCGTCTCAGCGCCTTCTCAATAAAGCCGCTTTGCTGTTCAAAGACTTCCTCGATTCCAACCTTGTCGGGATCTGCTTGCACCTTGTACTCCATCTTCACGTCGTCGGTGGGCTTAAGATTGGCTTTCTTTCGTAGCTGTTGTATACGATTGATGATCTCCCGAGCAACACCTTCTTGTGCCAGTTCAGGATAGAGGGCTGCGTCTAGAATTGTCAGCACATCGTTATCTGTGTTCGTTTCCTGGTGTCGGGATGCATCGTCTTCTTTCAGTGCTCTTCGGATCACCAGATCACCCTCGACTAATTCGATGCCAGCGACTGTGAGTTTTCCTGAGGACAAGTACTCCTTGCATTCGCTGCTGGTCACGTCTGGGAGCGCCTTCTTCACCTTCTGCACGTCCTTCTTCAACTTCTTTCCAAGAACAGGCCAGTCCGCAGTCACGCTGTATTGCACATTGTACTTCTCCTCATCTGACGACAATACTAGATCTCGCACGTTCAGTTCCTCGGTGATATATCCTTCGAGTGACTTGACGTCGTCGAGATACTGCTGGTCCTTGTGGATGACAACGAGTGTCTTGAGGGGTGTCTTCAATCCCATGGATCGGCGTTCTCGTGATTGCCGGGCAAGCTCAATAACTTTCTGCATGCGACCCACCCGCCGTTCGACAACTTCATTGAAGAGCTCCTCGCGGACTTCGGGGAATGATAAGAAATGAACGCTTCGCATGTCTTCGCTGTACAATGACTTGGGAATGTAGGGAAGGAGCTTAGAATAGATAAGGTCGGCAATGAATGGAGTAAAAGGCGCCAGCCCTCTTACTAGAGTGAACAAAACGTCGAACAACGTGTTGAGAGCGTGAAGAGTATCGTCCAATCCGAGCTCACCCTTCAGACGCTTGCGATTGAATCGGATGTACCAGTTTGTAGTCTCATCAATCAAATTGAGCAATCCGGGAACGACCGTGTAGAGCCGATAGGCAGCCATCTCCTCGTTGATGTACTTGAGTAGACTCTGGCAGCTTGCAAGAATCCACTTATCCATTACATTGGTGTTCGTCTTCTCTGCTGCAGGATCGAACACGTAGTCAATGTCCTCCACCTTCTTGAGGAGTTCGACCTGTCCTTCGAAGAATTTGTAGCTGTTCCAGAAGGGTAGTAATACTCTGGAGACGATTTCCTTGACACCGGTCTCTTTAAACCTCAATGGCTCTGCTCGGACGACGGGAGAATTGATCATGTACAAACGGAGAGCATCTGCGCCATACTTGTCGATGACCGTAGTTGGGTCTGGATAGTTCTTCAGACGTTTGGACATTTTTTTGCCGTCCTCGGCTAGGACGATGCCGTTGACAACGCAATTCTTGAAAGGCAGCATTTTCTTCAGATGGACACCCAGAATGACCAAAGTATAGAACCATCCTCGAGTCTGATCGAGACCCTCCGCGATGAAGTCGCCAGGGAAAGTCTTTTCGAAGCGTTCGGAATTCTCGAAAGGATAATGAGATGAAGCGTAGGGCATGCTTCCAGACTCAAACCAGCAGTCGAATACCTCCTCCACCCGCTTCAGGACACCATTACCCTTCTGGCTTGGGATGGTGATCTCATCGACAGTGTCTCGGTGCAGGTCGGTAATCTCCCCAGGATAGCCGCTCAAGCTTTTCAGCTCCTCAACACTCCCAATGGCAATGACTTCAGAGTAGTCCTCGTTGGCCCACAGCGGAATGGGTGTTCCCCAATATCGATTTCGGGAAATATTCCAATCGCGAGCGTTCTTGATCCATTCCGCAAAGCGTTTCTCTTTGACAAAATTCGGGACCCAGTGCGACTTGGCAATCCCATCAAGCATATCTGGAATGATGCTGGGAACCTTCTCGTTTCCAGCGATATTAACGAACCACCCCGAAATTGCGCGATAGATCAAAGGGGTGTCTGAGCGCCAACAAAAGGGATACTGATGGGTCAGTTGGCTTTCTCGGACGAGTCTGCCTGAAGTCTTCAAGTGTTTGATGATATGTTTGTCGGCTTCTTTTACATGCTGACCCACAAAATCCGTGATTTCAGCCGTGAAACGGCCGGTATCATCTACGGGATTCGGGGGCAGCTTGTGGTGACTGACGATGCCATTCTCAAAAGCAACCCTGAAATCGTCTTCACCGAAAGCGGGGGCCTGGTGCACAATCCCAGTGCCATCGTCGTCTGTCACGTACTCTGCGAGGACGACTCTGAAAGCGCTGTCTCTGAAATCTTCGTGGAAATAATTGAAAGGGGGCAAATAGCGTTTCCCCTTCAGTTCGGGAGCCTTGATCTTTTCCAGGATGGTAAACTTGGCCTTCTTCGGATCCTTGTACAGTGTTCGAAGTAGCTTTTCGAGCATAATGTACTGTTTGCCAGATTCATTGTCCAAGAACTTGATATATTCAAACTTTGGATTGACAGCCAGTGCAAGATTGGATGGTAAGGTCCAGGGGGTGGTCGTCCACGCTAGGAAACTGGTGTTTGGGTCTTCTTCGAGCGGGAACGCGATCACAACAGCGGGATCCTGAGCTTCTTTATAGTTTGATTGTGCTTCATGCTGGCTTAGGGGTGTGCTCAGCGCGGTAGAAAAAGGCATTACTCGGTAGCTGCGATATACCTGTCCTTGGTCGTACAGCTGTTTGAACACCCACCATACAGACTCCATGAAAGTGGCGTTCATGGTCTTGTAATCATTGTCGAAGTCAATCCATCGTCCCAACCGGTCAATGGTCTCCCTCCACTCAGTGGCATATCTCATCACAATAGCCTTGCACTCCGCATTGTATTTTGCAATACCCATCTCTTTCACGGCAGCTGGCCCAGAGATGTTGAATTTCTTATCAATCTCATACTCAATGGGCAGCCCATGAGTGTCCCAACCGAATCTTCGTTCAACATAGTAGCCCTTCATGGACCAATATCTTGGTATGATGTCCTTTATGGTCGAAGCCAGCAAATGGCCATAGTGAGGGAGACCGGTCGCAAACGGCGGTCCATCGTAGAAAGTGTACGGCTTGTTGCCTTGTGACAGGCGCAGTTGTGTCTGGAAGGCGTCGATTTCTCTCCAGCGCTTGAGCGTGGCAGCTTCTTCTGCCGCAAAATCGACCGCCATGGTTGTATGTAGCAGTCACCCTTGCTGGTGACAGGAATTTTGTGCTCAAACATGAGTCAGGAAGGCAATGCTGCAGAGGATCTCCGAAATCTTGGCGGGCACGTGGTGTCAGTTTCCGATTGGCCAGGGACACCCAAGGCTGTGGCAGCCTCGTCGGAGTACAACACCAATACTCCGTACCTGAGGTACTTAGTAATGTTGATCTTTTGCCGCCTCATGTACTCGTACGTGGCTCGTTGGAGAGACCGCGGTGACAGCGGTGACAGCGGTGACAGTTCGAGGAACGACGAAGTCTTTGCCACTACGTCACGGTGTATTGATAATGCAAGAAGTCCGTCATTGAACGTAGGGATGATGCTGGACGCAGCAATAGGATCCCACAGCATTCCGCTCGCTGACCACATTCTTGGAAGACGACATGATCATCGAAGGTGACTGGTAGAAGTCAATGGCCGCCTGTGAAGGGTTCATTATACAGCAAGCACAGGGTATCACGATAGCTTTTGTTAACTTTTAATCAACATCCTCCTCCTCGTCTTCAGTCACTTCGCTACCAGCCTCATTTCCCTCCTCATCCTCGTCTTCCGAGACCTCCTGTCCCAATTCCTTGAGCTTCTGTTTATCCGTCAATCTCTTCGCCTCTAGATCACCAAAAACAACCAGAAGATCGTCAAGCTCGGTTTGTACGTCCTTTCGTGCAGCTTTCTCCTTGTCAACCTCGTCAACAAGAAGTCGAGCACGTTGTTCAGCATCTTCAAGTCGACTCTCTGCACGCTTGAGGCGTTCTTCAAGGTCTTTCTTCTTACTACTATACTCATCGTGTGCAGTCTGAAGATCCTGGGCATGCTCGTCCTGGCTCTTTTTCAGCCGTTTCTCTAGCTCTGCAATGGAGGCCTTCAAGTCGCGGATTTCTGCTGCTTCCCTCTGGAGAGCTTGCTGTGCTTTTGAGTCTGAGTCATTGATCTCACGTCGGTGCTGCTCTATCAGAGCAGATCGGTCTCTGGCGGCTTCTTGCTCCAGCAGTTTTAGACGCTGCTCAAACTTCTGAACTTCGGCTTGATGCTGCTTTCTGGTAGTCTCAACCATGCTGACATGTTCGGTGCGGCGTCGATGTATTTCATCTTCGTGGGTCTTCACGAGAAGACTTCTTTCTTTCGCAGCTTCTTGCTGCAATTTACTCAGTTCGTCTTCGTGATTGTCTTGGAGACTCTGGTTGATTTGCCTGATCCTAGAGACTTCAACGCTTAAAGACTCACGGGTCCTGCGGTGATCGAGTTCTTCCTGCTCTAATCTCCTCTTTAGCTGCAATAATTCGGTGTTGGCCGTCTCCAAAGCCTGCTTCTGTTCTTGGACCTCGGCCCTCAAGCTATCGACAAGGTCTCTCGAGACTCCTTTCTGGACCCCGTTGCTCACGATCGAGACCTCAAAATTCGGATCCCTATCAATAGCTCGCAAAAATCGGCTAAAGTTGTCTTTCAAGAAGTCGATAAAAGTCTTGTCGAAGAAGATATCGGGTAGGCTGCCGCTTCCACTCTGAGGCAGAACCTCAAAATCGCGGATGAAGACATTTTCCCGGAGTTTTGTCAACCGGTTCACATACGTTTCTCGCCCAAGACTGGACATCAACAATGCATGAAGCCTCGTCCGAGGCACAGGAGAATCCTTTGTGGAGAACTCGTAGATAATACCAAGCAGAAAAGCGCAAAGTCCTGCCACAAGAGGCATGGAGCTGTTGGCAATCTTCACAGCGGCAGCGAGACCGTGGACGTTACTAGCCTCTCCAAGTAGGTCATTGACTGCTTCCGGATCCTCAAAAAGCCACACTGACAGCAACATCAAATAGCCGAGCAACGCACGCTCGTCCTCAACGTGCTGCACCCCAGCCACCACGTTGCTTGTAATACTCTGAATAAACGTGACAACCTCTTCACCATTGTCAGCATCGCCTTCTGTGACTGTCAATGCAAGTTCTTTGGTCTCCGCATTGTCGTAAAGAAGATGGAGGAACAAGACAGCAGCAAACCATTGTTGGTAAGGATCAGAAGTGCTACGAGTTCCAGGCGGCTCCAGCAAAACCGTGAGCATATTAGGGACGGTATCGTCCCCACTTTTATGGCCTTCAATGGCTCTGCGCAGAACGTGGGCTTTAATACCCCCATGATTCTCTACAAAAGCCTTGAGACAGGATGTCGCTGCCAATCTCACGTCGAATAAAGCGAGCGGTGCTGGCTCTAATGCTAGTTCGAGGAGGGATTCAATGACATTGTGATCCTGATAGACTGGCGTAGGGTCTTTAGAAGGCTTTTCGGAGGCAGCTTGAGAGACGTGTCCATTCGATGTGGAATTCAGCTGCTTGATCTGGACAGGAAGATCGCCGAATCGCTCTTGGAGGCCGGAATTTCCTCGAATGATATCTCCACAAGCTTGTAGGGCTTTTGCGCGGATCCCGCTGCTGAAATCTGGATGAAAAGCAAAGCGCAGAACAATTGGGAGGACTCCCGCCTGCCAAAATGATTGTTGGTTCAAGGCAGTTCCTTGGGAGCCAGATGCTAGAAATAATTGTACGACGCCAAGTAAACCCCATACATTCATGTCTCGCTGAGGCTTCATCCACGCAGAAATTGCCTCCGCGGAGTCTTCCTGCTCCAAAGCCGCAAGGAATTGTTTCTTGATCTGAAGGATACCTCCAATTTCTCTGAAATAAGATTGGTTTGAGGTGTTGAGGTTCAAAAGATTTGCAAGTAGGGACAAACAATCTTGAACGGTGGTACTACCGTGGGAGAGGCCACCGTCGCCTTCAATGAGTGCAAAGATACGATCAAAAGCGTTCTCAAACGCCACAACCTTTTGCAACTCGGCTGATGTTGGCGTGAGGGCCACAAGCAGTACCAAGGCTTCATTTCGCACAGCCTCTCGACGGTCATCGAGCACGTTGGTAATCCTGGAAACACCCAACGGCGCCGCAAAGATTGCTTCTTGAGTTCTCTGCGGCCGTGCAGTGGAGATATGTGAGAGGATCTGTAGGACGTAGAGCCGCAGGTAGAACTCGCCTGATTCCAGAAGATCTAGCAACGCCGTTACGTTGTCTTGATGTTGTGTAAACTCGTCAGCCAGCCATAGCGTTATCTCTTCTGAAGCCTCTGGTGATTTCTCATCTGGCTCGAATAGCATCAAAAGGGTCTCCAACACCACTTTGATTGTATCGGAATCGTCTCCATCTCTTCGGAGGCCTGCGATGAGGTCCCGGAGTGCTCCAGATGCAACAGAGGCAGGATAGAGTTTTGCGAAGCTTCGCAATCCCAGTATGGCAGCTCGGCGATCTTCTAGTAGCGTTGCACTCGATAGTCGGTTACTTAAGGTCTGGATGGTATCGGTAGCAGTCTGCCGTGCAGGTGCCTGGGCTTCCAGTATTCGCATCATCTTGAAGGAGGTTTCAGCGTCGCTGTGTTGGCTGTCATCGTGGAGCAATTAATGTGCGCATATTTGTAGTATTGTAGTAGACCTCTGGAGTCCGTTACAACTTTGTCGTAGTGAAAGTGTTTGACGCAGCATCCATTAGTCTCGAAAGTGTCCTGTTGCAGTTACTGGAGCACTTATGCTAGATCGCGTTGTGGTACAGCCTTGCCCCAGCGCACGTGATTATACGAGGCTGTGGCACTGAGACTCGGTCTTTGCTCCATCCGCCAAGCCTGCGCCTACTCGAAGTTCTTGGGTCGAGAACGCGCAGATTTCAAGGCGTCTTCTCGAAGTCAACATCTACCACCCTCGTCACCCTTCAAGCCAGGATGCGTCTCTGCATATAGCTGCTTCATCCGGAACCCGCAGCTAGATACTTTTCCTGCCCATAGCAGCGTTGTTCATCTGGAGTTGGGACGCAACTATTCTCTTCGGGCGACTTGCGCTCCTCAACGTTGTTCTTAATCTCGCTCTCGTCAAGGGATTCTTCATACTTTTAGGTTCATCGTACTAGCCCTAGCCCATCATGGGTGTCCCGGCTCTTTTCAGATGGCTTACCAAGAAATATCCTAAAATCATTACGCCTGTTATCGAGGAATTGCCTTACGAAATTGATGGCGTGCAGTATCCCGTGGACACCACGAAGCCCAATCCCAATGGCGAGGAGATGCACAATTTGTACCTCGATTTCAATGGTATTGTTCATCCCTGTTCTCACCCAGAGAACAAGCCACCCCCGGCCAATGAAAGTGAAATGATGCTGGAAATCTTCAAATACACTGATCGAGTGGTGAACATGGTCCGTCCCAGGAGATTGCTCATGATCGCGATAGGTATCTTTGCCCAAGTTCCTCCCAAATAACTGCAAACACTGACACCGATGTAGATGGAGTTGCCCCTCGTGCGAAAATGAACCAACAACGTGCTCGTCGTTTCAGGTCAGCGCGCGATGCAAAAGAGGCGGATGAAAAGAAAGCAGAATTTCAGACACTGCTTCGTCAACAAAAGCAGGATAGGGACGAAGACAGCGAGTCAACGGTCGAAGAAGTAATCAAGAAAACATGGGATAGTAATGTCATCACACCTGGCACGCCTTTCATGTTCATTCTTGCGCAATCTATTCGCTACTGGGTCCAATGGAAGCTCAACACTGATCCTGCCTGGGCTGAATTGAAGATTATAATTTCAGATGCCAGTGTACCAGGTGAGGGTGAACACAAGATCATGCAGTTCATACGTTCTCAGCGCTCTGATCCCGAGTATGATCCCAATACTCGACACGTCATGTATGGACTTGATGCAGACTTGATCATGCTCGGGCTTGCCACGCATGAACCACACTTTCGTGTCCTTCGAGAAGATGTCAACGTCAGAGATGCCAAAGCAAAGACCTGCAAGCTTTGCGGCCAGCAGGGCCATTATGCCGAGAACTGCAGAGGTAATGCAAAGGCCAAGTCTGGCGATTTTGACGAAAAGGGCACCACCGAGGAACTGAAGCCTTTCGTCTGGTTGAATGTCCCTATCTTGCGTGAGTACTTGGCTGCGGAGATGTTCGTACCCGGCCAATCTTTCCGTTTCGACCTTGAACGCGCTCTTGACGACTGGGTCTTCATGTGTTTTTTCGTTGGCAACGACTTCCTACCTCATCTGCCCAGCTTGGATATTCATGAAGATGGTATCGACAAATTGATTGCTATCTGGAGAGATAACATTCCAGTTATGGGCGGTTACTTGACTTGTGATGGAAGCGTGGACCTTGCTCGAGCCCAGATCATTTTGCAAGGACTGGCGAAACAGGAAGATGCCATCTTTAAACGCAGGAAGGAGATGGAAGATAGGCGAGAGCGCAATCAACGACGCCGAGACCAGGAGAACCAGGCTCGAGAAGCCCGGGAGGCTGCGCGGAACCCCAAGAGACGGCGGAGTTCGCCTGATTATAGTCTAGGTGGTCGCGTCCCTGCTCGAGTCGATGCACGTGTCCCTACTGGACCGATTGATGCTATCGAAGCCACAAATTATCCTATGCTGGACTACAATGCAATCGTCAACAGAAACACCGTGGACAAGACACAGACGTCGAACAAAAGTGCAGCAGCAGTTCTCAAAGAACAAATGCTGGCTAAGAAGGCGGCCGGCACTCCCACCAAGGATGGTAGTGTTGGGGCCAGTAACGGTGTCGGGACTGCTGACACAACGCCTACGTCTGCATTAGGAAAACGCAAAGCGGAGTTGATAGATGCTGAGTCCGAGGACAGTGGTACTCCTGGGCGAAATACGCCCGTGGAAAAGCCTCAAAGCAGTGCTGATCCCAACGATCCTCCCCCGGATACCGTGAGACTTTGGGAGCCTGGCTACGCGGAGCGTTATTACGAGCAGAAGTTTCATGTTTCACCAGACGATTTTGAGTTCCGACACAAAGTCGCTAGATCCTACGTTGAAGGCTTGTGTTGGGTGCTCCTGTACTACTTCCAGGGCTGCCCATCATGGACATGGTATTATCCCTATCATTATGCACCTTTTGCGGCCGACTTTGTGGACATTGACGAGATGACTGTCAAATTTGACAAGGGAAAGCCTTTCAAGCCATACGAGCAACTCATGGGCGTCTTGCCCGCGTCCTCAAACCACGCAATCCCGAAGGCTTTTCATCCACTGATGACTGATGAAGATTCTGACATTGTTGATTTCTATCCAGAAGAGTTCGACCTCGACTTGAATGGCAAAAAGCAGTCTTGGAAAGCTATCGTGCTCCTGCCTTTCATTGACGAGCAGCGACTTCTCAACGCCATGGCCACCAAATATCCTCTCCTGACAGAGGACGAGCGTGTCAGGAACGAACTTGGAAAGGAAGCTTTGATCATCTCCCACAGAAATCCTCTCTACGAAGATTTGGCTCTCCAATTCTATTCCAAAAAGGCCAAGGATGGTAAGAATGGCGTCAAACTTTCCATGAGGAAGGGGAAATTAGCTGGCACCGTGATGAAAAATGATGATTTCTTACCACACATGGATTTGATCGGTCCAGAAGAAGACATCAAGCTTGAACCTGTGGTAGACGACGATCATTCATTAATGGTTCACTACTCTGCGCCTCCTGCTACTCATGTGCACAAGTCCATGTTGTTCCCAGGGGTCGTGTTGCCTCCTCCGGTGCTCGACAAAAGTGATCTTGCCATCTTGAGATCCAAGGCTAGAAACTCCGGCCGCGATTTTGGAGGCGCACCACTTTACGACAATTCTAGACGCGACCCACAGGATCACCAAAACAGAGGAGGTCGGATCAACTATGCTGTAGACCGGCCTTATCCTGGTTCGAACCAAGGAGGTAATGGCAGTGACAACCCGTTTGCTGCCTTGCTTGATCCTCGGTATGCACCACAAGGACGTGGAGGCCCTCCTCCGCCTCCGCCTCCCTATCAAAACGGCTATCAAAACGGGTATGATCGATACCAAGCTCCTGCCAACAGCTACGGTGGCTACGGCGGCGGACAAGGTGGCTACAACAACTACCAGAATCCAGCTCATGGTGGCCAGGGCCAATACAACTCTGGAAACCAAGGCCAAAGTCAGAATCAATATGATAATAGACGATACCAGCAGAACGGAGGACGCTCAGCCAGTGACGGCTACTATCAATCTCAAGGGCAAAGTCAACGAGGAGGAGGTAATTACAATCAGGGGTATGGTCGGAGATGATGTCCATACGCGATGATGGCTTGTATCATAACGGAATAGCAGCAGGATGGCAGATGTTGTGTGTAGATTAGCCATCACTTTTCACAGAGGAAGCAGGCAGTATGAGCACTGCGTTCCTGCGGACTGGGTGCGATGGCGAAAATTGTAAAAAAAAGGATTTTGTGGATGTTCATCTAGTGATTCAACCCTGCTGTTCTTGCTCTTCTCGCTCTTCTTTCCCTCGTGCTTTGCATGCTTCGTCACTAACTGTATATCTCCTCACATGTAAGGAAATTTCGTGCGCAATAACGCACACGCCACTCTAATTCCTTCTGCATGCATACTAAGTAGTCCCTACCTCCACAGAAAGCCAATCCCCCGGAAAGGTAGAGACAAAAACAAAAACAAAAACGAAACCAGATCGATGGTGATGGGACTCGAACCCACAGTCTTTGCCAGGCTCTGTGCACCGGAAAGCAACGCCTTACCATTAGGCCACACCACCAGCTTACGTCAGCATTCTGCAGCTGCAAGCTGCTGCAAATGTGTGTGCAATTTGTGGTCCAAATCAGACCAATTTTCTTTGAAAAATGCTTATAATGGACAATTTTCAAACGCGGTCTCCTCACGCTAGTGCTAGTGGTTGTGCTCGTGCGGAGACAACTTTTCCCTCGTCTCGTGTTTCGTGCTTTCCGCAAAGGAAGTTTATCCAGTCAAACGGGTGCTAGGTCAACAAAGCAATGTCCAGGCGAGTGCACAATCCTAGGGCCTTCTTGCTTCGGTGCCGGAGAAGCTACGCCACATCTGTTGATCCCCCAAGAGCAACAACCGCCCCTAAGCAGCGCCCTCAATTAAGTCAGATCCGAGACAATGTCGAGCTCTACGAACACAATGTACTGGTGCGGAACTACCGCAGCCACAAGGGTGTGCCCCGACAGGTCGTAGAGAATATGTCACGGATGAAGGAGCTTGACCGACGGATGAACGAGCCAAGGCGGAAGCTAAAAGACCTACAGAAGACATTGAATGCTACCAAGGGAGACAAGTCTGATCTCGTCGCGCAGATGAAGGTGGTCAAACAAGAAATAGCAGAGCTGGAAGATGAACATGGCGACCTGACCGTTGCAACCGACACTGTGGCCTTGTCTTTGCCCAATCTGACCTCCGGGGAGACGCCGCTTGACGATGAACCGAAGCTGCGGAACTATATCAACTACGATCCAAAAAATCCTCCGACCTACAGCAGTTCAGCGGACCATTCTATCATCGGAGACAAACTCAAGCTACTCGACTTCAATTCAGCGTCTATGGCCTCCGGGTGGGGGTTCTATTATCTTTTGAACGAGGCAGCCTTGCTGGAGCAGGCCCTGATTCAGTACGCTCTGGCAACTGCGAGGAAGCACGGCTGGTCTGCTGTTGCTCCCCCTTCTCTCGTATACTCACACATGGCGACATCTTGCGGATTCCAGCCACGAGACCAAAATGATGAGCAGCAAATATGGCAGGTGGCACAATCCGAAAGAGATGCTGGAAAGCCTACGCGCAGCTTAGCTGCGACAGCAGAAATTCCTTTGGCAGCCATGTATGCAGGGAAGCTGGTTCGGGAAGAAGACCTCCCCATCAAACTTGTTGGGTCAAGCCGGTGTTTTCGTGCAGAAGCCGGTGCACGTGGAGTGGATACAAGAGGCCTCTATCGCGTGCATGAGTTTACCAAGGTGGAAATGTTTGCCTGGACCAACTGTCCAGCTGCCGGGAACGAGGTGCTAGACGAGAATGTGTGGACGAGAGACTCCAGCAAGACCTTTTACGAGATGGTTGACATTCAGACCGAGATTTTGTCTTCACTGGGCCTTCCATGCCGAGTTCTAGAGATGCCCTCTTCGGACCTAGGTGCCAGTGCGTTCCGCAAGATCGATATTGAAGCCATGTTCCCGTCACGAAAAAATCGGGACAACGGTTGGGGCGAGGTCACCTCTGTATCAATCTGTACTGATTACCAGAGCCGGAGGTTGGACACCCGGATCCAAGAGGCGACCGGATCAAGAAAGAAGTTTCCTCATACAGTGAATGGCACTGCATTGGCCGTCCCGAGAGTCCTTGCTGCCATTCTTGAAAATGGATGGCGCGAGCGGGAAGGGTGCGTCGTGATCCCTGAAGTTCTGCGAGGCTATATGGGTGGCATGGAACGTATTGGACCATGCTGAGAATCTATAGATCTTCACTCCTCCACTGATTATCTGCGTGTGGAATACCTTTTAGTTTCTTGTATTTGTTAAGGAGGGCACGTACAGAAGTTTCTTCAATGTTGCTCCGTGGATCTCCGATGCATCAAGCCTTGAAGCGCGTCGGCGTCATTCCCGGCAGCCGTTTATGTGGTCGGTCGTCATACAGACAGACCAAGCTGACATATCCAGGCCGAACGAAGATACACTGTGAAACTGGACTGAAAAATGCCGCCAGCCACATATATTTAAATGGCCATATTCGCACATTTAAGGGCATTGCGGGAGAATTCTCTATTCCTTCCAAGAATTAGGCCGCGACCCTATCTCCTTCTTTCCTCGCCATGACTCCTTCAAGTGCATCACCGTCTGGGATGCTAGGGAATATTGCCGAGATCTGCATAGTCACGCCCGACATCTACAGAACGATCGACGGGCTGACGATGCTTGGAATCGGCCCGTTTCAGATTTTCGAGTTCAACTCCGCCACTGTACCACGGCAACAGCACTACGGCAGACGGGGCACGGATTTGTTCCGAATCAAAGCGGCGTTTGCAAAGCAGAACTCGCTGGTGGTCGAGCTCATGCAACCCCTGGCCGGCGGGAGTGAGAAGTCTCTGATGCAGAAGTTCCTCGACGACAACGGCGGGAGAGAAGGCGTTCAGCACATTGCCTGGGACATGGGAGGGATTCCAATGGCGGAGAGACTTGCGAAGATGAGAGAACGGGGCTTCGAGCCGGCCATGCAAGGGTGGTGGCAGGGCAGAAAGGGCCAGTGTCACTTCTGTTTCTTCGACACCTTGGAAAAGGGCGCCGGCACCGTCTTTGAAACCATCGACTTCAGTGAAGACTGGGAAGATCCCGAATGCGAGTGGTACCCTCGGCAGTCTGTCCCGGAGGACAAGATGAAATAGTGCTTAGTATATGTAGGCGCCTAGGCAAGAGTGTCCTTCGTGGCTCGACGGTAATTCTCGCCTGCGACTGACCATAAGGTTCTATTGTGGTAGATTGAGAACAAGAGTGCCGCTTTGTCAAACTTGGCACTAGATAGTAGTAACACGAGGAAGGTGGATGTCCAGCAGGGGATCTGTAGTTTCTTCGAAATGTCCGTCCGGCGGAAAAGAGGGGTGGCCCAGCAGACTGTACCGTCTTGAAAGTTCAGTGGTATCTTGATTATATGCCTTGCTCGACTTGGTGTTGGCAAGGCTGAGGGATCAGGGGCGGGCGGATCCGAGTTAACGCAAATGCAAGTCAATCTCTTGCGGTACTTGCTCCAATCTTAGCGCCATGGGCACATCGAAACCTAACGGATGCAGGTCAGGACTGTTGCAGCAATCCCCTCGAAGTGATGGAGATTGCCCAGCAAAGGCTGAATCCGACGTCTGGTACCTGTTACGGGCAGCAATATTACTAGCTCAACCGATGGAATCGTGCCGGTGTAATTTCGACCATTCGTCAATGGTGCCGCCCGCCTTCGGATCCTCACGTGTGAATGAAGAGAGAAAAGAGACTTCGATGTTGCGGTTGGAAAGCCAATATTAACATTCTTGGTATCTACCAACACCTGGCATGAGAAATGCGGTGACATGACGCTGAAGTAACAAAAAGAAAATCTTGCAGGTGGAGCAGGGAATGTTCGTCTCTCAAACATCAGCCAAAGACTTTCAGGAAGGCCCACAGGCCGGCACTGCTCAATAACGGTATCGTCAAGTTGTCGTCCCATCCCCATAAATCTACCAACTCCGAGAGACTCGCGATGATGCCGGTACACACACTCATAACGGCCAATGCAGCATTGCCAACAATGACACCCTGGCTGGGTTGCCAGCCAAGGAGTTCCTTAACCCCATTCGGGAGAGATAGTCGGTCTTTGAACATAAAACCCTCAACAGGATCGTCAGGAAAGGGACCTGTTCGGGGAGCGAGGTAACCCCAGAAGAAAACGGCGACGATAGCGCCAGTAAGAAATGCAGCGAGGGAGCCTGCCAGAGACTTTCCTCGGCGAAGGCGGATCGTATAACGTCCATACAAGCGACCGATTGTGCTTGCGGCTGTGTCGCACCAGGACAATAGTAATATCGATACAACCCCAATGTCTTTTGGCGAAAACTTCAACGCGACATAGGCTCCAAAAAGATACCAGATGACGCCATTGTAGCCGTCAACCTCAGCCTCTCGCATCAAAGCACCCAGAACTCTTATATAAAATCGATTGAAGCGTTCGGAATGATGTCTCAGGACATCTGTTGGTGCAATGATTGCCAAGGCACCAAGCAGCCAGGGCGTGATCGAGGTCGTTTGAATGCCGGTGACGTAAAACCTTAGAGTGAAAAATCCTATCGAGACATGAAGAAGTTTTCTAGGGATTTCGTGCTTGTGTATAAGGTTTCGGTAATGTCGGTGTAGTGGGATCAAACCTAACGGAGATGGTGATCTGGAAAACTCTCGCCAGGATTTCTTGACCCGATCGTACGGTGAGAGGTGTCCATTGGGCTGTGGAACTGGGATTGTTCCGTTTGTCAAGGGTTCTGATTTTTTGACTGGGGTTTTGGTAGGAAGACCGCTCATGCGCCTCTTCTTGGAACCGGTACTTGATGCCCCGTTCATATGGACTGCAGCTGACAGGATTGGGCTTCTCGACCTCGTCCTCGCGCGTTTCTCGACACTGGAATCCGAACCCGAGCCATCTTTTTCTTCGTGGATCGGTTCTGGCTGCGGGGATCTCTGTCGCTGGGCTTTGGCTGCAGACCGCGTGACCGGCGCGAAATAGGAGTCCTGACGGTCGGAGGCTTCGGATGGAGTGGGCGAAGGCGAGATGACCCTAGGAGTCGCCGGAATGGGATACTGGTAAGACATCGGGAGGGTTCCAGGGCGACCGAGCGAAGAAAATGGAGGGGTCAAGAGATAGGGCGGATTCGGATTCGTACTGAGAGCGTTCAGCACCGGATCGCGTCAAGGAGAGCAAAGCCTCGTCAAGAAAATTATTGTAGCGACATTGCGAAGGATGGTCGCATGTATCCTTGCCTGATAACCGTGAGTCGGTTCAAGAGAAGAATGACCTCAGTTTAAAGACGAAAATGACGCATGAAGACAGGCCCAGGCAGGTGTGGGAGCGGAAGAAGATATGTCACTTGTGCCTTGGATAAAAGAAGTTGACATGATGGCACATGCAAGGGTCTCGTACAGTATGAGTACAGTAATCTCTGCCTGACCTCGCTTATCGGTGCCGGCACCGGATTAAAGTGGCCCCGTTTGATGGCTTATTGTGGAAACAAGATACGGCTGCTTTTTCATCCGCCCTCTTTTCAGGGTCCGATGTTTAGCCGGTAACTTTTTTGGCCTGCGCCCGCATTCTCTCGTAGAGTTGCGTAGAGGGAGCGACGGAAATTTGCGATTCATTGCACTTTTACCAAAAACATGGCGCCCGACAGAGGGCAAAAGTCGTCAAAGTCTCGAGCGTGGGACTCACTCGAACCTGCAATCTCACCATGGATCCTCGATGCGCTGTCTTCCATGAACTTTTCCCGCATGACTCCAGTACAGGCGTCGACGATTCCTTTGTTCATGGCCCATAAAGACGTGGTCGTGGAAGCAGTCACAGGCAGTGGAAAGACGTTGGCGTTTCTTATACCGGCGGTGGAAAAGTTGTTGAGACTAGAGGAGCCTATCAAGAAACATCACGTCGGAGCGATAATCATTTCACCTACGAGAGAATTGGCATCGCAGATTTACAATGTCCTATTGTCATTGCTGGACTTTCACCCTGCTTCAGCGGCCACGCGCAGGGCATTGGATGCGCCAGACGAATCTGTTCCAGAAACCGCACAAGAAGCAGCATCTGCGTCGACATTGAAAATCGTCCCGCAGTTACTATTGGGCGGTGCCACTACTCCGGCGCAGGATCTCAGCACATTCCTGAAGACATCGCCAAATGTGTTAGTGTCGACCCCGGGCCGACTGTTGGAGATACTCTCCTCGCCGTACGTCCACTGTCCGCAGTCCTCCTTCGAGATGCTGGTGCTAGACGAGGCTGATCGACTGCTCGATCTCGGCTTCAAAGACGATCTGACAAAGATCCTGAACCTGCTTCCCAAACAACGACGGACAGGTTTGTTCAGTGCGAGTGTGAGCGAGGCTGTTGACCAGATCATACGTGTCGGCTTGCGGAACCCGGTCAAGATCGCTGTCAAAGTCAAAGGCGCGAATGGTGTCGAGGACAAGCGCACCCCTGCAAGTCTGCGGATGACCTACGCTGTCACACCGGCTTCACACAAGTTTCCAGCGTTGGTCACTCTGCTCAGGGGCTTGGACACACTACCGTTGCGCACTATAGTGTATCTCTCGACCTGTGCAGCCGTGGACTACTTCCAAGCTCTCCTACCGGCCATCCTGCCATCTGAGACGATCCTGGTGCCTTTACACGGCAAGCATCCGGCCAACGTCCGGCAGAAGAACTTCATCCAGTTTACGAACTCGGTGTCTCCAGCAATTCTACTGACCACAGACGTCGCAGCAAGAGGACTTGACATTCCATCCGTCGACTTGGTCGTACAGATTGATCCTCCTTCGGACCCCAAAGCCTTTCTCCATCGCTGTGGACGGGCAGGCCGAGCGGGAAGAAAGGGTCTGAGTGTGGTGTTCCTCCTACCGGGCCGGGAGGAGGACTATGTGTCGTTCCTGAGCGTCCGGCAAACGCCAATCGAACCGCTCACGGACCCAAATATCTCCGTCACTGAAGACGAGTGCCGAGCCGTCGAAGAGAAGTTTCGAAAGGCCGTGCTAAAGGACCGGGGCTTGCACGAGAAGGCGCAGAAGGCATTCGTGAGCTGGGTACGAAGCTACTCCAAGCACCAGGCGTCGTCGATCTTTCGAGTCGCCGACATCGACTGGACAGACCACGCGTCCGCGTGGGGCCTGCTGAAGATGCCCAAGATGCCCGAACTCAAGACCTGGGATCGAAGCAGCTACCGCCCGCCCGCCGTCGACTGGGACACGTACGCGTACAAGGACAAACAGCGAGAGAAGCAACGGAAGCAAGCTCTCCGGGAAGGCCCACCGAAGGGAGAAGACGTATCTGAGAGGAAGAAGGAGAAGAACCTCAACGACAAAAAGCGAAGCAGTACCGTGGCGTGGTCGGAGAAGATTGAACGCAAAGCGACCAAGGAAGTCAAGCGGTCCAAGAAGGCCGCCCGACGAGAACACGACAGGATTGCAAAACTGACAGACGCCGAGAGGGAGAAAGAAGCAGAGACGGCAAGATTGGTCCGGCAGATTCGCCAGAACCACGCCACTGCGACCGCGAAAGATATACATGATACTTTTGAAGGCTTTGATTGAGACCGGGGGAGAAGCACAAGTGGAAGAAGAATGTCCACGTCGAACAATGAGCGTGTGAGGCCACAGACAGCAGTCGGCGTGGAGAAATAATGCTGTTCTCTGGAGCAGTATGCTCTACTCAGGGACAACATGAATGGAAACCAAAATGTCATTCTCGACCTCATGACAATAAAATTGCACTCTTGGATTTTCCCCCCCCTCTCTCTCTATCTCTCCCTCCCTCTCTCTGCCACTGAAAGCAAAAACGCAACACCCGCCCAGGCGAAGGAGTTTCTACAAACTACCCCTGACTGCCCGTGCAGTGGATCTGGACTCCGGACTCCGGAATCCGGACTCGCGGTATGGAAGAGCAGTAAAGAACATAAATGATACCTCGAACATTAACCTCTAACGGGAGCAGGTACTAAGTATCGTTATCACCACCACGATCCACCCACCACGTTGTCTTCATGAAACCCGTCCCCTGCTTTCGTTCATCTCTTCTCGTCTCTTCCTCCCTCCCATCACCCAAAATCCTGCTCACGTCGAGAGATTACCCCCCCATTGCTACCTGCAGCGTAGCCATTGCATGGCACTGTTCATTCGTCACTCCGCCCGCCACCCCGCCTATTCAACAAGAACAACAACAAAGAACAAAAGCGCCTTCAAGAATTACCATTGCCCAGATCGTGTATGTGCCCAGCGAGATATGTACCCAGTGGTGACATACTGACCATGCCCCATTATCCCGTGTGATTTCCTTCTACACTTGGAGACAGCTAAGTGGCGGAAAAGATTCAACCAAACCCAAGGTCAGTGGTCTGTCGGGCATAGAATTGAAAAACAACCAAATCTCTATCTCCATTGCCTTCTCCTCGTGTTTCACAAAACGTGAACATCTTGTCTGCCCGGTCAAGCTCGTATGAGCCTTCTGCGGCATGAACCTAGGGTTTCGTGCATGCTCTCTTGGCCGAGCAACGACCTAGTAGGTATTTTGCATGCACCACACCACGAAAGTATGGCTAAGCCGAGAATCGCCTGTCTTAATGGCACAGTTTTGGTACCTGCCGTACTTTATGCTGGCCGGTCTGGAGACTCCTTGGAGGGGGACGTGATTTAATACGCCGCAATATTGGCAAGAACCCCGTAAAGTCTTTCGATGAATAGCCGAGAGGCAAAAGAAATCTGCAGCCATATCTCATACCCAAGTCGTGCTTTCTTGTTGCTGACCGTGTTTTTGACCCGGAGTCTTCCGTTTTGATTTTCCAGAACCTTGGTTATCCTTGCTCTTAGCCTGGCTCTGACTAGCCATAATTGCATCCCCATCAGCATCCGCACCATCGTCTTCGGCATCCTCATCTTCCTGCTCGCCAGCAGTCTGCTCAGCTTCTTCATCGGGATCTCCGTCCACAGTCCCACCATATCTTTCATGCCACAGCCGTGCTTCGTCAAGCTCATTTATATCTGCTGGTTTTGAACGCAACCATCGCATTCTTGGACCGCTCTTGGCTCGCTCCGATACACGGAAGCCATATATTTTGGGCTCGTAGATCTTCCCTTTACCTAGTCCAGGGGCAAGATTGCCGGTGGCGATTCCATTGATGCTCGCTGGCTGAGGTGGGAGGCTCGGTGGAGCATTTACCAGCGCCTGTTTATCATCCTTGGTAGTTGTGACGCCCGGAATCGTAGGCGGTTGTGGCAAGGTCAGACTTGAGCTTCTGCTGGCGGTCATACCTGCACGAGCGACATTCGCTTCGCTGGGGCTGAGCGTGCTTTCTACGTCATCATTGCCTTGATGTGTCGAATCTCGTGCTCGTTGTCTCTTAGGTGGAGCAATGTCGAGATCAGGGTAGGACATCAAGAACAAGTACGGAAATGTCGTTCCAAAGAACGCTCCATCAACCGCCTGAAACCGAGAATTTGGTGGCGTGTATGCGTCCTGACAGCTCGGACAAAAAAGTTTCACCGTTTGTTGGCCTGGAGTATCTGTCAATCCAATGGGGAGGACCTTGGCACCAGCACAATATACTCGCGGACAGAAGCCAAAGTGAGTTAATTCGTACTTCTCCATCATTTGCTGGATCCCCGGCCTCGAGGTGATGTACCGGGCGTGTATGAGACCGTAGAGTAATTCTGCAGATGATTCAATCACGGAAGTATCCGATGATGACCGTCCGTGCTTTCTGCTTCCTGCCGACATGCCTGCTTGTCGCCTCGCGCCACCGTTCGCGGCGGGATCGTCAAGTTCGTCACCAAGCAGCCCATCATCCTCTTCTTCCTCTTCTTCCTCCTCCTCCTCATCGGACAATGCGGACGAATTTGTATCCGAAGGTTCGACATCAAGAATCATTTCCAGAGCATCTTTGTACATTGGTACTTGAGCTTGAAGGCCAGTCAGGTTGAAGTCGTCCTCAATAAAGTCCTCGCTGACTTCGGCAAAGTATTCGTGTCCCACGAGGCTGCAAAATTGGCCTATCCAGCTGTCTGGACTCTGCGAGGATGACTGCGACATGTCCGAGATTGTCGCCGAAGAACTTGTAAACTGTTGGTAGTAGAGAGATTCCGAGTACTCGGTGTCGATTTCGAGCCTGTCCAGGCCGGCGGCCAGGGCGGAGGCTTGTTCTGCAGACAGATTGATAGGGCGTTCTGCTGCGCGGCGTGGAGGCGCAGTGGTTTCTAGGCAGTGATGTCGTCGTGAGGAACTGGCTACTTCGCAAAGGTCGCGGGGTCGCGGGGTTGAGGGGGTCGGGAAGGAGATGCAAATCGTGGCTAAAACCCGTACATGGTACAAATGAGCATATTTCCAGGCCTAGTCGTAGCTGTATGTGCGTCGGGTAGATCGAGTTTACAGGATACTCAAGGATTCGAGGATAGACCGAGCGAAAGGAGAGGCTGAATGAGATTGACAGGCTGCGTGGGACGCTTCACGGATATTCAGTCAGACCGATTTATCACAGACGGTGTATCATAAAGCCCTCCGAGAGAAATGTCACCTCAGAAGGTGAGAAGGACCCGAGAGAGAAGGTGGATGGGCAGGATACGTGTGCAGAGACGAGCGCACAGTCAATTGCACTTTTGGGCTGCGGAGTGAAACTGATGATACGCAGCCAAGTCACTGGCATCAGGCGCGACCACGTCTTGGCAGAGGATGGGATATCACGTGATCGCAAGGCTTGCCCCTTATACACCATGTATCACACCTGTAGCAACGCAGGCTCTACAGGAGAATCGAGCATGTCGGAGCCTGAGAGACACAGAGAGCGGATGCTTTCCTTTCATGTGGATCGCTCAATCGACATTTACGCATACATCATGTATCCTCGTATCGCATCGAATGACAGCAGCGCGCTCCTTACCCGGGTCCCTTCTCGACCTGACCTAGAATAACTCATTCATAATTCTCGTCAACTCGGGCTCGTTTCCAAAGGCATTGAACCCTTCCCCAATATTCATATCGCCATTGCCGCTCACAAAATTGAAGGAATCTGGTCCGGGCGTTGTCGCACCATACCCACCTGCAAGCTCAAACAGATTCGAAAGCTCATTCGTGATTTGCAAGGCATCATCAGGACTAACTCCGAGTTCGTTGCCATTTTGGCCCGGATTGTGGTTTCCAAATGCCGGGTAATCAACCTTGTGCCCAGCCAGCCCAGCCATGGCGACAGCGGCATCTGAATGTGCGTCTTGTTCCGTCTCGCTGATCGGTTGGTTACTCCGTGCCAATAGACCAATCTTATCGCCCATCTCTTTCAAGCCACGGACAGTTCTCCACAGACGTTTAGCGACATGAGACTTGGTGCTAAACCCCTTGACCAGCTCGATCGCTGTGTAGAACTCGTTCCGAGTCTGAGGGCAGAAGACTGCCGGAGCATGTGCAACAGACAGGAACAGAACCGCCAGGGCCTGAACCAGGAAATAATTGTACATGACCTGCTGTGTCGTGTAGATGTCGGAGATCTGGTTGACTCCATTCAACGTATTAATCGTGTCCTTTGCGACGTCGACCACGTTTTGAGCATAATGTCGGTTCTCCATAATGCTGGTTGCCGAATGTAGTATGGGTCGGTAGATGGATATCCGTGCCTGATTCTTACGCAAGTACATCAACAATCGGAGTCGTCGTCTACCACGTCCAGGGATCCCATTCTCCGCTACAAGATCTCGGCTGTTGAACTGCAGCGATTCAGGTAGCTGTTGATACCATTGCAGAATTTGATAGTCCAGAAAGCCGATCTCATCCTTTTTGGTGTTCTGGCCTGCCTCGTACGCCAAATTGTGGTACCACAGTTTGGTGGCAATCTGGTTGTATTTGGTGATGTGCCTGAGATAGATATGGCCTTCGTCCTGTATAGCACGTTAGCAGGCAACTCTCATCCTCAATAGGGCCAACATACAGGCTCAGGCAAGTCCGGATCTATGTCGGTATCTTGCAGAGCGAAAGGCATGCCAGTTCCAAAGCTGAACCGTCGATCGAGAGCATATACACTCCAGAATAGTCGAACAGTCTGCTGATAATCGGCTTCGTCTGTGAAGGATTTGAGGAGGGATTCTTTCCTGTGAAGCCCCATCTCGACACACATACGCGCAGCGATGCCGATGAAACGCCACGCCTGTGCTTCTTCATCCCTTTGGAAATAATATGTAGCCTAGAGCCTGGTCAGTGTCTGGCATGTCACGGTGGCGCGTAAGACGAAGGCACCCACCGTCAAAACAACCAAGATGACAGACTTTGTGTCGACGGCGGTCACCAGCTGCATGTCAACCGCGGGTTTCGCGGAGTCGAAAAAGCGCTGCCCAAAGTCACTTCGCCCATGACCTTCGACGGTGAGAGTGATGGCAAGTATCATCTTCAGCACAATGGTCTCGTCGTCATCAATAGCATCTGCACCCGGTAAATTCGGCTGTCCAAATCCAGCCCTCAGCGAAGCTTGAATGAACTTGAACAGCGAATTGGCGTGGTTCAGGACCTTGTCGATGCTCACCACAGGATACTGGATGCCAATCTCTTCCTCGTATACGCGCAATAGGCGGACGACCTCGGAATGGTCAATCAACCATAAAGGATCCTTACTCGGATGAGGTGTGGTGGGGATGGGCACAGGGGAAGCCGCTCTGCTACGATCGCGTGAGAACAGTCCGTCATCGTTCGGGGTCTGCGTTATTCCCATCGTCTGCAGCGACGTTCGCGCCACGTCAAGACCATACAACGTGCTCGTCGGTCCGTGAAACTGAGGCAGCGGCTTCGAGGACTGGCGCTTCGGCGAGATGAGTGGAGGAAGGGTGCGCGACATAGGAATGGAAAGCGAGCGATTCGAGGCATCCTGGGTGAATTGAGGGTCAATGGGCCCGGAGTAACTGATATCAGACCGGCTGCGGAGTTCGTTCAGGCTTGCGTAGAGATCGTTGACTTGATCTTGCAGCGCTGTGATGTGGTCGCGCATCTGTTTGAACTCGCTATTTGTGGACAGTCAGCGTCGGTCACAGGCAGCTACGGGGCGCTGGATACGCACGCGGAGTCCTTCAAGGAATTCGTGCAGCAATTTGGTGCGTACACGCAGTCGAGAGAGAGGTTGCCGCATCGCTGGCAGGGTGTCTGACCGTTGCACTTGATTTTCCGCCTCTTACATTCATTGCTGTCAAAGTAAGTCTTTGTGAGAAGCCCGAAATTGTCTAGTATAGCAGTGTGCACGAGTCTTACCAGGCGATTGAGATGTATCGGTTCCTTTTGGATCGAGTATGAGTCTGCTTGTCGCTTGTCGCGTCGCCGTCGGCTTTGCGCTTCTCGCCGCGTTCGTCGCCATTGAGGTGAGGCGAGTCATCGGACGCGGCGACGCTCGAAACCATGTTTACAGTATCCCAGCAGAGTTAGCCAGCCTGTGAGGACCGCCGTGGCAAGCCTGGAGTGGTCGTTGTGCGGGATGGAATGGAATATTTCCGCCAGGCGGTCGGGGTGGAAGAATGAGAACAATCCAGCGTCGTGGGATTCGTCGGCAGCGGAACTGGAGAAGGAGGGGAAGCTTGGGAAGCCCGGGGGTGTCGGATCATGTTGAGAGCCGAGATTGGTCCACGCAGATACTGACACCTCTACTGACTATCGACACAACTGCCGAGTAACCCACGCCTCGATCACGTACCCCGTAGGTAGGCAGGCACATACCAACACAGAATACCCAGGGTAAGGTTAGGTGAGGCAAGGATGGAACCAAGTTAAAGAGTGGCAGCGTGGAATTCTGCATGTCACTGCGAATCAAACGGTGGATGGATGCCAGGGCGACGTTTGCCCATCCATGCACTTGCGCATGTTGATCGGGCGCAGAGGAATGGACTGCTTCGGCCTCACCACGTCTAGAGCTACCATGCTACTGGACTTTGTATACACAAAGCAAAATCGGACGCAGGCGTGCAGGTGACTATGGGGGCTGCGCCTGATCAGGGTCATACGAAAAAGTCGACTGAGAAGCCTGAATGGAATGGATCCAATGGAAACTCTTCTCAATTGCTCCCCTACGACTCAACAAGCATTGTCAATTTGATCAACACCCAGTCACTCTTTATCCTCACGACCAGTCTCTTGCAACAACAATGGCGTTGGTACCCAGGACCTCGAATTCGGGTGCTGCCCGCGCGGACACTACTCCCTCGCGGCTCTACTCAATCAAATCCCGGGGATGTCCTTGCAGATCTGGGAACCCCGTTTCGAGGATCTCATGGACCAGAAGAAGACCGGGATGCAGTATCCGAGCCCTTGCCGTCTTTCAAAGCAGGAAGAATCGTCTGTGTGGATCTCGAAGCTGCCCTGGATCTAGTGACCAGTCGAACATGCTACTCGAAGCCGGGCAGACTTGACAGAACTGCCTGTGGGATGTTCGACAAGTATGACAAGCAAATCGAAGAAAAGCGAAAGGATGGCAGGGACGTTCGGCGCATCTGCGAGCGTGAAACAGACAGCCACGAGGGGGCCCCCGAATGAACGAGCGGGTATACATACCACTGCTTGAGCTCAACTACCGAGTACTCTCCCTGACATTGAGGTCGCAATCAATCGACGCGGCATTGGCGGATGCTGCAGACGAGAAGCTGAAGCGCAAGTTGCGTGAGCAAGACCTGGTCAGGGCAAGGATCGAGAATGTCGCCGCTGTCTTGCAGGCGATCTCGAGCTTCGTCCCTGATCTCCATGGTATGTGACGGAGGGCGACTCTCTCTTGACAAACGCTTCTGGGAGCCGAAGCCAGGCAAGGCAGTTGATCAAGGCGCATATCGGCTGCTGGAAAGTGTGTAGGGGAGAACCGAGGGACTCTTTCGGTCAATACCTCAAGTACGGGTTAGGTAAGCTGCGTAGTTCACGCACAGCCCGTGCTAGTATTCCAAGGATGCTCATAGCAGTGAGCCACTGGCCCTTCTCCTCCCTCGACAAAATCCTCCTGCGTACCCTGTACTTCGCGTCTTACCGTGGGTACGGTAGCTACTGTAGCTACTGTATCGCGCCATTGGTAGTAGGTACCTGTCCGTCTCCATACCAGGTATCCGCCTTTAACCGACTCTGACCACCATCTTTCCCAATTAACGACCCAAGTAATTCACCACCACGTTGTACTTTTGCTGTGCTCCGTACATTCACACCTCAGATTGTCAGATACGAATATCGCGGACATGTCCGGGCTCTTCGAAAGAAGTGTCGGTTCGCTTTTGATTACAACACACAGTTACAACGCCAACACGTCCCATACCTAGACACCAATAGGTAGCTGGAAAGGTAGTACTGCACTCCCTCAAGGATGGTCTGTAGACAGTGCGCTCGTGTTCGTTTCTAATACCAGCTTCCCTTTTACTTGCTCATGGTCAGCGTGCTCCAAAAAGCTGGAAGTATCGAGTGCGGAAGCGAAAAGTGACGAGGTGTGGTACGTTCCACTCGCACTGCGTTCAAGTATTATGGCGAACAGTACTCCTAACCTCATCAGAAGCCAGTGCCTACCTACTCCATCCCTTCCTCCCTCCCTTCCTTTCTTCCTTTCTTCCTGTCTCCATGGTCAGGCGCGGAGAGCCAGAGAGAATTGCCACGTGGGTTACGAGGCACTCCGTACCTAATTACAAAAACCCGCGTCATTTGCTGCCCATCTGAGGGTCCCCGAGGCCGGGTAAATGATACGAAGATGGGGGGGCCCTCCTGGCAAGCCTGAAAGTTCCCAACAACACGAGGGATCTTCTCTGGACGCGTACACAACTTTCTTCCTTGCCAAGTAGGGAACCTGCTGTGTCTCGACTCATCCGTATTCTCTTGGGACAAGACAATGCCTAGGTATGCATCCTTTAGTTCATGTCCAGTACCGTACTATTGTGGAAACACTGATTAGCTTGCGGCACGCCTAGTCTTTGAGTTCAAGACGTTCGAACTCCTGATTGTCCTGTGCACAAGGTCCTCGTTTACTGGGCTAGGAAGTCGGCCAGTCGCGACCTCTATGGCAATGGCATTTCCAATTTCTCTCGGATAGACCAATCTTGTGCCCCATCGTTCTCAGGCCATTTCCGAAAGCAGAGTAGGAACACTTTCCAAGCTCAAGCGAATAAAGTCCTCATAACGAGTGTTTTGCGAGAAGAGTCTAGGCTTTACTGGTGATTCATACTAGCTCTTTGATCAGTCATCTGCAGCCGAGATATGTCCCATCTTTGTCACATTGCCAGCGGCCATACGGATCGGGGACGGCCATCGTAGGCGATACCATGGTGGGGAGTCCTGTTGCAGCAGCTTGGAGTAGCAGGCTCATCTAGCCGGTTGGGCTTGCAAAGAGGCATTCAAGGTCCACAAGGAATGCTGATCAGTCCAGGTACCGGTCCGTAGAAGTACTCACTGGGATACTCCTGGAATGACTGGGCACCTAGTAAGGATGGGCCAAGAGTCCAACCTGGCAGGCGGTGTTTCCGCCCTAGGTCTCGTCCAAAGACCTACATCCAATGATTTGAACGCCCTGTATTCCTTTCATATTTACAACACGGTTGCCCCTTTTGGCGCACACCACCCACCTTACCATATCGTTCGTTTCCGCATCGGCACAATGTTGATGAGGGTGCTGTGATGTTGTTTGCAATTCGCAGGCTAGGCGTATCGCCGAGACAGGCAAAGTAGAAGATCCCGAGCCATCAAACCTCCTGCGTGGTGCAGATTTCGTTGCAATCCTTCGCGCATCACCTTCGTCCCAAAGCCCAGGATCAAGGGACCAAACATCCCAACCAGGAGGTCCGGAGTGTTAGTGAAGCAGATCCGGCACGGGGGTACGGCCAAACAGCCTGAAGTGGCTACACCATGGCACTGGACGAATCAACAGATGCCGTTCTGACCATGTTCCAAAAGTAACGACTTCGTACAGAGGACATACATCAACGTGCCGTTCGGTGCCCACTCTTTTCCACAACCAGATATTGCGTTTCTCCGTCTCGGATTCGGGGTGGTGGATCCTTGGTTCTCGTGTCCTCTAATATCCCAGCTGGATACGAAGTATCAGTGAGGAATAACAACCCACCACAGATTCATTTCGAGTGTGTACTTCATATGCACCTCCCAGGATCGGCTCCGCTCGACTGGGCGCGAGTATCAAACGTTGTGTTCTGGACTTTTGCAGATCCTTCAGGAGCTCCCTTACAGCCTGTTTGAATCAACCGGGCTATTGCCTGTCGAAGGATCATTTCGCATATGACAGGGAAATTGTGGGCCAGTCTCCCTGCGTCTAGGGCCAAGACCCAGCCCTATCAGATGTCTGCTGCAGCCAATTCCTATTCACGACCCACATATCAGTCGGCGTCTGTATGCACGGTTGCCCTCGTGGAGGGTGGATGTTCAGGTAGCTTGGGGGCGCAAAGGCCAACCCATAATTCGTTGTGACTCTCCGTGGGTAATAATTATGTCAGATAGAGAGACAAATCGACATGTTGATCTATGGTCAGCTATCGTGAAATTCACCTCCATTGCTCGTGGCGGAGGAGAAGAAGAGCGTGCTGCTCATGGGAAATTGATTCGTTTGGGGATGTTGACTTCCAATCACAAGCAGGTAACATCGTCCCAACGAGGAGAGAACGCCAGCTACTCGTCCCCCAGAGGACTCGGCGGACTCGGTGGACTTTCGACACATGGTGGGAGGGTCTCTGGGTAAACAGCTTCGGCTTCCAGTGAGACGAAAACATCAAGCTCGTATCTGGTAAAGAGGCGGCGCCCACGACCTCTCAAGTCGAAAGATTGAGGCGAAGATGTCTTCATGTGGGTGGGTTTGGCTTCTCTCGTCAATGTTGGGACAGGACCCCAAGGTTCACCGAGCTCCTACGCTCATCCTGACATCTGGAGCTTTGACTCGCAGGGCCACCTGCAAGGTCAATATTGATTTGTGTCCTATTAAAGTTCTCTCGGATTTGCCCACAGATGATCGTGGCCCCTCTTTGCACGAAGCGTCGCCCATTGTCATGGTCTGAAAGAGCGTGCCGCAGGGTCTTCGATCTCACCTTCCTGCAAATTATGGCGTAAAGCGACCATGTTTCGGCCACCTCCCAGGAACAGAAAACCAGCTTCTCGGAATTATAGTTGGATTTCTGGGATCCCGAAATGGCTGCGAGCTTTTCCCGGTATCTGGGGTTCGTTGGAGCAGCGGATTTGGAAACCTCCCAGGTTTCCAGACAGGGGGCTTGGCCACGTTTGAAACAACACTGCATGAAGCTTTCATGCGTACTGTACCACGACCGGGGAAAAGCAAACGGTGGTTGGAGGATAAGCAGGAGTGAGTGACAAGTGGGGAGCGCCTGGTAGTGTAAAACTATCACAGGGAGCTCGGCAAGCCGGACACTGGGCGTACCACCGCCTGGTTGGTCGAGCAACTACAATATTGCAAGGATATCTGGGGCATCTCTTTGTCGGCTCTGTAACTCGGAGATCTGGGTGGCACTGATAGGCTCTTCATGCCTGCCCGCAGGGGGCCATGCAGCATGGCAACAGCGATGGTCTGCGCTAAAGAACGAACAAATAGCATGCAGACAGCCTGCTCCCTAAAGAGGTATCGGTTTGGGTGTAACTGTATTAGGCAGGTTCTCGATGGAGCAGATTGGTTCGACACGAGGCGCCGGAAAGATACTTGAGTGGAACTGAGAGAGAGGCTGCTCATGCCACCGAAGACAATATTTGTTCCAACGTTCACCATTTGGCACTTGTGGAGAACAGGGTTTGTTTTCCGCAAAGAGCTGTGACGGAGGAGGGCGTGAGGATGAATCTGCTGTTGTGTCCTCGCCACCAGGTGCCGTTGACGCTTGTAGCAGTGCAAGGATGGCCAGTCTGGCAACATGGAAGTATCGAAAAGTCCATTACCTGCTACAGTAGATCGTCTAGCCCTGTGAGAGTGACTGGGCGTCGGATCGCTACCTACGGGCGTAGCGCAATTAACTCAAGTACCGGGCATATGAATATTTTTGGTGACATTTCTTTGTAAGCTGCTCGATGATCCTTGCGTTGGCGCCAGCGCACCAGGAACTCTCCGTGGATGTGTGGCTGCTCCGCTGAATGGCCGATTAAGGTCTAGCAACCTCTCGCTGTCAAAATGCCAGAAGCATCTTGGTGCGTCTTCTAGTGCGACGTGGGTCATCTGCGTTTATTGATCCTCCAAGGTCCTTTTGTTTGTGCAGTACGCTTGGCCTGTCTTTAGGGCTGAACGGCATTCTCATCTCACAATTGGCGGAAAAGAGCCTGGCGGAGACGGGGCTGGGACCGCTTTGCTCGAAGGAGAAAATCACCACTGCAAGCGAAATGGGGGCCACACTTTACCCTGCAAGCGTCCTCGTGCTAATTAATTGATTAAGCGTTATTCCAAGCCCCATTCGAAGTCAGTTAGATTCAGGCTTTTTGGGACAAATTCCAAAGACCTTTGGTGCCAGGCTGTTGATCCAGCCCATCCCGTCGTTAACGTCGCGTGGAGTTTATACGGAACGAGCGTCACCTGCTTCCGGATCACGGCTGGATTTCATTCGCGAGGCGATCGCCAGTCTCGCAAATTATGTTGCGAGTTGTCGTCCGCACGTTCTCTAAGACACCATGAACCTTGGGGCTCCCGTTTGTTTGGTGTTGTTACATGTTTCCAGTCTTACAGATGATCCATCTTGCTTCTTTACGCAGCATACTGAAGACACTGGACTGGCCTGTGCTTCTGTGCCCAGGGGAGATGAATCTATGAGTTTGCAGAGCTTCCTGAACCCCCCTTCTATGTTCTGACCACCCCCGTCATGATTGCAACATGAGGCGTAGCTTACGAGGCTGTGGATGATTCTGTGAAGCTAGGTTCGTTGTGGTGTTTGATTGTCCTTTCGGCCAGGGCATACGGTAGTCCCATCTTGAGGCCCCCATGATGATTCCAGCTTACTGGAAACCAATGATCGAGGGTGACGAACAATCTGGGTCATTCTTTCGGATTTCCACCGTTCGAAACATAATGAGACGACTCTAATGGCGCACCTTTGAAGTGTAATCTGCTGCTGGCCGAAGTTTCGTCTCGCTGGCTCGCCGCAGTGCAGGAATCAAGCTTCTGGTAGCTACAGTATTTGTAATCATAACTGGGCCATAATTAGCGGGTTATTGTGGCTCAGGAGTCAGTGGTCGAAGGCTTCGAAACTGCGCCTAGCATTCTGGAATAGCTACTCTGCCAGCCCTAGAGGATAATCATATGGGCCACCAGCGCAGCCACAAGCCGCTCAATTTGGACACGGAAGGGACCCGTCTGCGAACATGGGTTTATTCACACTGACACTGGGACAGTGGATCCTTGACCTGGGTAATTGTTCCTCCGCCATAGGCAATTGACTCTCAGCTATGGCATCTAAGTGACATTACCATCGGATGGCGGACGAAGTAACCAAGAGCAATATGGACCTGTGCGTGTAGACTGACAGAGATTCCCACAAAACTCCAGGCTGCACGGGGCTTGATTTTCGGAGAGTGCGCGAGAGAGGAGCATTAGACTCGGATAGGAGAGTGCTAGCGGGTCCTTACTGATTTAGGATATTCACGGTCGGCAGGCGACGTGTATCGCTGGGGCGCGCCGTCCTCATCAAGTAGGGGGTGTTGAGGGTCGATTGGGCGCCCTAAGCATGCCCGTGGACATGAGGGGCCCCTTACTCACCACGGACATGCGCACGGGGATGCGTATGGCGTATTGCACACGCTGACATGATTTCGATAGTTTGAGTGGCGTGGCGATCTCCCTCTCTTCTTTGAGCTTCTATGCCCCCGGGACACTCCTTGATGGTGAGCGAGGTGGAAAGCCCTCACTATAGTTACTCACAACGCGCGTTTATCCATACCACGAAGATACGTCCGGAGCGATTAGGACGTTAGCCCCAGGACCGATCGCACAAGGTTCAACCGGGGCAGTCTGAGTTTCTAAGCAGATCACACAGATACCTGGAGATTGTAAATCCGAATTGTAATCAGAGGTATCTAGCACCGGCGGTCATAAGGTGATTCCGCGGGAGGTCACTAGGCAGAGGCCGCGGGTTTTGGTGGGCTCGCTTCGTCCACTGGGAGAGCACATTGTGCGGCATATTGTCCATTGGCTAGAAGTACCTTCCCGATCGCGCTGCCGGGGAATGATTTTGGTCCTTTTGCGAATGGACGCTCAGTACGGAGTATATGAGATCACGTTGGGGGCCAGGCATTGTTGACTCGACGAGGACGAAGTGTTGATTATGGAATAGCAGCAGTACGGTGGCGGACCGGCGTGTAGGTGGCCTGGAGTTAGGAGGGACTTAGGGCTGTGGTCGCCAAGCTCGTTCTTTAGCGCCTAGTGTGGACGTTTTGAGATTCCAAACAAGCAAGAGCTGGACAGGCACGGACTGGAATACACGGTTTGGGAGATAGCGAGGCTAGCTGGGGTAGTCTCAAAGAGAGGTAGTAACGCGAGATCGACCCAAGAGGAGACGGGGACTGACCGAATGAGTGAGTGAATGGGTGGTTGAGAATGAGGCTGACCAGAGGACTCGTACCTTCTGATGCTGTGAACAAGAAATAATGGAGTTCGGTGGGCACATTGAGAGTACCAACCTCGAGACTGAGCGTACAGACTCTTGTATCCATTCCGCCCTCACACAATACGAGAGTGACAGACACCTCGACGGACCACGTAGCACAGTATGGAGTCGAGCGAGAGGCGGACGGCCACTTGCGGGAGACGTAGAGTCGCCGTTTGGGGCCAGCGATCAGACCGCCCTTCTCTTTCAAGCGGCAAGCCACTAACCCCAATGTAGTTAGACAGGCGGCAGGGGCGCAGCGCCCTACAACGTTGCAATGCCTTCGTTGTTTGTGAATTCAAGCCCAAAATGCACGAAGGCACCACTATTTCCGTCCTGAGCCGGATCCTCGTTCGCAGCACCCTTGCTCATCCTTCGACCTGGCGACCCACTGTTACCGTGTCCCAGGGCCGCCGCCTCGCCCCCCTGCTCGCTCCTGGGGCGGTCAAACTGCTCCCCTGCCCTTGCGAAGTCTCCACACAGACTCCCTGCTATCCCGCCGCCGCCTCGCAGGGCAGGGCAGGGCAGGGCAGGGGCCGCAGGGCAGATGATGGAGGGTCTGAGTTTGGACATGTGGTCCATCGCTCGTGGTGCAGACACGTCCACCCCGGTTGAACTTTTGCGGCCGGCTTCCTGAATGCCTCCGAGCCACGACGTTTCCACCTTTCACTCATTGGGACAAGCGGTATTTGTGTTTCCAGGCAGTTACCACGACCTATATATCAAGGGACCTCACGTTCGGCCTCCCGTTGATCTGTTCATTTGTGGTTCGACTACATCTGGCGAACAAAACCATCCTCATTAAGACCCTTCAATACCCTCATCTCCCTTGCGTTTGAATCTTCCTTCTGTACTTGTCTCGATCCACCTACCCTCGAGTCGTTTCTACATAATCGTCGCTTAACTGCCCATTGGAACCACCTCCATTGCCGCGTCGTCACTATGCAACGTAGTCAAAGCTACTCCTACCCACAAACAATGGTCGGACATTCCAGATATGCGTCTACACACGCCACCAGCTCTGCATTCAGTGCATCTGCGAATCCCAATGAAGACTGGACTAAGATTTCCGACCTCGCTGAGAGGCGACGGATCCAGAATCGGATCGCCCAGGTATGTGGCCTCCAGGAGCCAGCCATGTAACTTCTAACAGACCCCCCAGCGAAACTATCGAAAGAAGCTCAAGAGAAGACTTGAAGACCTGGAGCGTCGCGCCGGTTCTTCCTCTGCTTCTCCAGAACAATCACATTCGGAACTAGCCACGACTAGCCCTCCAAAGGACTCCAAACAGTCACAAACTATGGCTCGCCAGACGTCGAGGTCGAGCACTTCGCACGAGACACAGAGAGCCTCTCCAGAGATCGTGGCATTGGATGACAACTCGGCTCTTTTTGACACTCCTGCCTCTCGCCATCTATCCGTCAGCTCTCCTCCAGCTTTCACCTTCTCCTCCTACCCTCCCACAACGGCGTATCTCCAGTACGAGCAGCAACAACCGCTTTACGACACTTCATCTAATTACTACTCAAATTACCAGTATAGTCTGGATGTGTCCTCAAATTTACCTCCAACCCTTCCGGCAATGTTACCCTCGTCCTACAGCAAACAAGAACAGCTTTTCGAGGATGATTTCCTGAGCCCCTTCAGCATGAACTATGCTTCTCTAGCCGGTCTAGAGATGCCGTCGCACCAAGCCTTTCCGGGGGCCACTTCTCATGTAAATCCCACCAGTTTCTTCTCCCGTTCGTATTCAAGCCCGCACTTTTGAGCCACAGCGATAAAGAGCACCTGGCACCCTCCTACCTGTCGACTTGCACTTTGCAGCTCAAATGCTGACATCCTTTCGGCAGACACCGCCGCTTACAGATCCCTACTCTATCGAATCAACGCACAATTCACCCAACTACTTTGATGTGCCGTTGACTCCGATATCAAGGACAGCAAGCCCCAATTTTCACTTGTTCGACATCAGGTGTGTATGAGAACCGGGCGAGGGGCACGTTCTCGTACCACACACCTGTCTTCCGTGACACCACAGAAGATTTTCCAGGCTGTCAACCATCCCTATTGGAATCTCAAAGGGGAGATGGATGGTTCTATGCTACGATTTATGATGACTGGCAAGCTCTCCGGGGCGGGATAGGGAACTTAGATGGTCAAACGGGCTCTTCATTGAGCGATCAAATGCACTCGCAGCGCCGTGAAATGGTGTGCGATTCTGGTGTACGGTAGTAATACCCGGATTAGCGTTGAAAAATTGGTGGACAGCGTTGCTCGATTTGATTTCACGTTGTTACGATGGTCATAGCGAAAGGTTCACAGGACTGGCAATTGAACAGCAGTCCAGTCACATCAAAGTATTGAATGCACGCATTCTACACCACTCAAAATGCTTCACTTTTACGAACTGTGATGTTACGGTAGCGAGCGTAGGAGCGTGTTTAAGTTGCAACGCAGCTGCATTTCAGCTGGTAGGGCTGAGAGACGGCATAAACGAGGCGACAGCATCCTCAAGAGCGAAGCACGCAAGTAGCCGCCCGCTTAAAATTGGCAGCTCGAGGTCTAGCCTTCATCCCTGCATGATTCATACAGTCGAAGGAACAGGTGCGGATTAAAAGAATCTGGTGGCTGCTTGAGAGAAGCTCTCCCGACGAGGGGGCTGGCGAGGGAGGAAACCCAAAGGTCCCTGGCAACGTGTCAACGTCACCAATCACGTCGTTGTGTTCAGCTTCCTTAACAGTGGCGGCATCCCCTCGAATAAGCCGAAACGTTGTCCAATCCTCTCGAGATCCCTCCTAATCTACCGCAACCCCCCTGGGTGCCGACAAAATCCAGTGCGATTGGCATTTGGGGGCAAGACGACCCTGTCAAGACGCCGCCGCCCGTCGAAGAGAGCTAGAGTCTAGATCTGAGCTCTGGCGCAGGGATCACGCGCGGGACCAACAGCACAAGTTACAACCACATACAAAGACTTACCAAGGTGCAGTTAAGCTAAGGATCAGATGGCTCAGCGGCAGGCAATTTTTGGAATGGATATGTAAGCGTGTTGTTATTTTCGATCCTAGTTCAGCCTCAGTGTTGGTAATAAGAAACCTACCTCGCATGCCAGCGGCGCATCCTCCTGATTGGCAACCCCTGGCCGCGGACACATAGCTGAGTTCTGAAAGCCCTGACTGACCGCCAATAGGGGGTGGCAGCTAGAGCGTTGGACCTCGAGTGATGATAGAGTGAGAGGTGGGAAATCACAGGTAACCACGATATCTTTTCTCTCGGTTACAGCTGGCATCGTGCTCTATCTTCCTTCGTGGACATTCAGCACCGTTACATATTCATTTGTTTTCAAAGCTGACTGGAGGATCCTCTTGCTTGCAGTCGTACCTGGAATCATCTGGCAACAACAGTGTATGTTTTCACGGTCATCTCGACATCACAGCTCTAGGCGGGGCTGGATTCGCTTCCCAACGAACTGCTGGCGACGATCGACGCTGGGACTTGTCCACCTTCACTGGCATCGAGCTCGCCATTGACCCTTCCAAATCTGACACCAAGACATACACTTTGATCTTCAAAGACCGCCTCCTTCCTCCAAATCCCGAGAATGGCCGCGAGCAGTCTACTGTCTCGTGGGAATACGACTTCTCAAGCTCAGATTTCCGAGTCAATCCTGATCACGACACTTCGTCCGCTACTGTCCTCATCCCTTGGGAGAGTTTCAGGCCCACCTACCGTGGTAAACCGTGCTCTGAGACGGACCGCCTGAATCTGGGCCACATCAAGAGAATCAGCATCATGATCAGAAGGTACGCTGGTTGGCTCGGTTGAAGGGGTCGTTAGAGCTGACAGCATGCTATAGCTTCTTTGGATCTCAAGAAGGGCATTTCAATTTGCACGTCAGTTCTCTCGTCGCCAAAACCTCAACGGACTTGCCCACGTAGTCCACTATCTCGAGGGTTGGACCCCAGCATTTTGCCACTGGCAAATCGACCCCAGAAGGTGGGCAAAGAGGAGGATGGACATTGGGCTGAGAAAAATTCTGAATGACTATGGGTCCTGTTAGGAACCTAGCGGTGAATCTTCCCTCCAGACACCCGCTGACTCGACTGCTTGCCACGAGAAGGTGGTGGTTTGAGAACAAACTGTGCCTTTCTGCGACCCAATTTTGCCAACATGCCCAGTCAGGCCATGACTCAGAATGATGCAAGTGGTTTAGCACCTTTGTTCGTATGTCGATTCACACAGTGGCAAGATGGCCTGACATCTTGGCTGGTCGAGCACCAAGCAAAGCTGCTCCGGCATCCTACAGCCAATGGTACTCTTTGGCTGGCCAACTCCAGTATTGGATACGACATGGCTGAGGTAATGTCATCATTTTTCGCCTGCAAAGGCTTTGAAGAGAGGACGTCACTTGTATACGGGCACCTCCAACGTCACTCGGGGACAGTGGACGTGCAAGTTAGGCGACGGCAATATGGCGATACGGCAGCATGTTTCAAGAGTGATGTCGCTCTAGAGTACATGAGGGATTCACCGTCCCTTCTCAACAACACAGCTTCTCTGCAACGATATCGAGAAGGGTTCTGATTACCGATCGGCGATAGGCTGAAAGCGTTGACTCATCCTGCGGAACAGAAGCCAGCGGGCTCTACACCCCACAACTCTGCTTAGAAACCATACTGTGGCTGTGGACTTGAACGAAAACGTGATGCACGTCATTATTCCTGAAGAGGTAGCATGGTAGCGAGTCCTCCTGGACGCCCTGTGCCAAAACGCCTGGTCACATTATACGGAGTACGGGGAGGGACCTCCAAAAGACATGCGGTTTGATGCAGGTGACAGGCCTCAACAAGACGCGTGTAAATGCCTCAAGATCCGATGCCCAGCGTCGTGTAGAAGGGGAGTTATGACGAAGACCGGCATTCCCCAGGATCAGGCAACAGGGAAAGCTGCATGCATAACATCTCGCATCATATACCCAGGGCGCTGTCGAGGCTTTCGAGTCAAGTACAGGCGTAGAAGACTCGATTCGTGACTTACTCTGTTCGGAAGTCGACGGCAGGGTGCCTCGCTGGTCGTCCACAGACATGCTTAGTGGCCGAGACTTGCTCTGCATAAAACTCACAGTGCCCGGCGTTTTGCCTCGGCCTGATACTGATTAGTGCAGCGACAAATGTAATCAACAACGAGACGGCTCTAGTGTGGTTTACCATACGAAACATAGCTGGACGACAGGGGTTCCCAGCCAGTCAATCCCGCCTGGTCGACATGGTAATGCTTGTCCAAAAAATCGCGGGCTATTTTTGGCCCCGATCACTTTTAGAGGGGATGAACTTCCGCATGGTCAGTGTGTTGCGTGCAGCAGCCTTGCGTGACGGGCTTCACGGGGAGTCGATAGGGGTCGTGAGGATGAGGCTTTGCAAGCTTCGCACTCGCGTCGAAGTTGGTGCGAATCAGTGCGAAACTCGCTGCGGTTCCGGGCTTTGGACGAAATTCTGGAGTTAACGTGGGCGGCGACGTCACACCCGACACAAATAAAGTTGAGAGGCCGAAAGAGACCAAGCAGCGGAAAAGCGACCATGGGCGGGCGATGTGGCCTTTGCACATTTGCCCAGGTTTATTCAGCCGTCGTGACTCGTCTCGAGGTTTCACTGCATTCGCTCAAGCACAATTTGTCACTGGCGAGTGTCCAGGCGAGGGTGCGCTAAGGCCGCCAAGTTCGCGAAATGGCAGCCCAACACGAAGCTCGGGGCAGTTGATTGAGGGCTCGATCTCGATGGCTGGATGCAGCACCACCTTCCTTTTTCCACGAGCGAGAGAGTTCTCAGCTTGCTATATCACGTGTGGCTGCGGTTCCACCGTTTTGTCTCTGTGTACCAGGAGTTCGACTTTGAAAACGTCGAACTGTCAATGACTCCATCAAAGAGGACGCAGGACACAGGACACCTTCGCAGTCATCCCTGGTGCAAGGACGGCGACTGTTGAAGATCGACTCGCTCTGCAGAGCATTCTTAACTCCGCCGCCCAGCATTTGTAATTCCTAAGAACCGTTCTATCGATCTGGAACACTTCAACACGAGGCCAGCCGCACTCGCAGACTCACAGCGCCACAGTACGTACATAAAATCAACACGAGCGGGGGAATTGTCCCTCCGTACGATACGGCCGGGGTTCATTGGTTAGGCCGGCAAGGCCACCGATTTCTGTTGTGGACATCCCATCTGCACGCCTTATAGTTATAAGTCTTCCAGTCGGGTTAGCGTCGAGGCGTTCCCCCAAGCGTCTGACGTGTGCACTGTGTCTTGACGTCTTTTTTCACCAAATTGGTCGCCTGCATTGTACAGTATGTATAAGGCGATGTTAAGCACAACATGACACTGTTGAGATGGCTTCTCCTACCAAGTCCCAGTCTATCGATCTACGCTCTGATGGACCAGTCCCGCATGATGGCTCTGCCAACGCCTGCTAGCGTTGGGAGATGGTTCTTCCAGAAGAGGCTATTATCGATGCGGGGTTCTTGAAACGAGGGCCTGAACCGTGGCGTCCGTACGGCTGAGGGAGTGTCGGGGATGCTGAGCCATTGAGATGCCAGTCGGAGCGGCGCGGGTGGAATCCCGGTGGAATTTCCAAGACTCCAAGAAGCTTTCTGGACCAACATGCTCGTGTCCGTACAGCGCAGCCATCCATGTCGCAATACGAGACAAGTTTGTGTTGGACAGCAAAGCTCAGCTACACCACGAAGTTTCCACGGACTTGTGACGAGGGGACGCAAGCCCATTGAAAGGATGTTTCCCTCGGCACTTGGGATATGCATGCCTTATGGGGCACGGGTCTCGGATTCTACTCGTACTCGTACCGTTCGAGAGTTGTTGTCTGGTCAGGAGTCACAAGGTCTATACTAACCAGGAAGTTTCTCGCGCACCCCCGGCGGCTCGCTCGTAAAGCTGTTAAGAGAGTAGACTTTTTCTTGGTGCCTGCTTGTTGAAGGTTCTACTAGTCCAAACCCCCGGTTCGACTTTTATCGAGGGTGGCAGGCAGTCCGAAGTGTGAAGCTGAAAGAGCGGCGAGTGGGTGCGGGAGCCTGAGGCTGAAGCTGATACTAACCAAGCTTGTTCAACTACGTGGAGGTGAGTGGTGGTGGCCAGCAGCTAGCCTGCATTTCCCGGCTGCCGCTCAGATCCGACCGGACGCTGCCTCTACCGAAGGTAAAAAGTTGCATCATGGCAGATTTTACATCCGAATACGCCGGACTCGAGTCGTCGCGAGTATCATACGGTGGGTGGTACGGAGACGGTGCAGGAGGTCTCAGACGTGGCGTTGAAGAAAGCGAAAGGGTGGATGATTGGATTTGTCAGGGATTCATGGTGGAATCTTGGAATCAATGGATGAAGGAAGACAGTACAAATATTTGTTCATACGGAGTACACACTTCAAGAACTTGTACCGGGCCCTGATCCATGGCGATACTTCAGTTCCAACGTTTCCTAGGTAGCTAAAATAAATTCACCTGCGTGGGTACTCCGTGGGTCAAGGAATTGTGTTCCTGTACAAGGTCAATTAATAAGTACTGGCCAATTTACTTACAAAGCTACCTGTCATGAGCGCAACTCAGGACAGGCGCTCTAACTAACAGGCACTTACTCATGAGAGGGCAAACGCTCACAGAGAGTGCGCGCCAAGAGAGCTCACACCGAGACAGCTTAGGGGACTCCTGAGCTTCCCCCTTTTTCTTTTTCCACGCACGCCAACTCGCATTAAGGAGCTTCCCCTTCCTCAAGCTTGGAGTCTAGTAGGACTAGTTAACTAGAGCGCACCTCTTGACAGAGATACTCGAACCCTTCCATTGTGTCTATCACTCTGCCTCGTCGCCCGAGGCGTTCCTGACGCATCTCGACCTTTTTCTGTATAGGTAGGTAGGTAGGTAGGTAGGTATGTGGTGTTTCTCGTGTAGGTATGTATGTGGTGTTTCTCGTGAACCAAGGACTAGCGACTCGAGAAATATGTTCCTGCGACCGGCGGCCCCAGCTTCGCGTCCCTCTCAAACCTTGCAAAATCATATCTCATTCGGTCCCTGATTCCGTACCCCCGGGTCTTGGTGAACGACCTCGCGTCAAAGTCGGCGGGCTGCTCGTGCAGGGTGAACACGTATCGGTGTGGGCCGCTGGCGGGCGGTGGACCTGGGCCGGCGTAGAAGGCGATGGCGGCATCTGGCGACGTCAGGTGGCCGGTCGCGGCGTCGAGCGTGAAGCCTGCCTGGAGCCAGTGCAGGGTGGGTCCCAGAACCGCGAAGGAGGGGAACGGTGCGTCGAGGTCGAGACAGACGACGACGAATTTCTGGTCGGACGGCGCCCGGGCCCAGGTGAGCGTCGGGGCTTCCTTTGCGTCTGGGGAAACGGGATTTTTTTGGAGTCAGCAAACAGACAGACACTGTCTCCGTCGGAATGAGAATGTGAGGTTGGGTGGATGGATTCCATCCCAGGGGGGGGGATCGGTCTCACCTCCTTTGGGGACGTTTTCGCCGTTCAGGACTTTGCGGCTTCCAAAGGCCAAATGCAAGACTTTGGAATCATCTTTGACCAGCGACAACACTGCCTGGTGGACTGGATGATCTGGCATCGTGTTGATCTTCCAGATCTAGGTTTGAATAACCGTCGGTTGGGTATGAAGAGGACAAGGAAGAGGTCAGTTTCGTCGAGTCGGGGGAGAACTTGGCGCAGCGAGGAGCATTGTCGCCGGAACCAGTTATAATAAGGTGGCCTGACCTCAAGATCTGCGCGAAGCACCGAAGTTCTCGAGGAGTTGTTTCTTACAGCCGTAAACCGGCAGGGTTTGAACGGGCCGGCGCCTCCTATCAATGAGTGTTGATCACAACCCTTGACACCGCTGGACGCCCGGTACAGGCCCGGTCGCCCCGCTCACGGACGCCAGCACATTTAGCAGGATTCTTTAATCACGTTTCGAACCCAGAGCAAGGTTGTTGATTCTCTGCCGTTGATACCAACGCGTTTCAACCACACGTATACCTTCGCGGCTCGTGAGAGGTTCCTGAGAGGTTCCCAGCGCATCCCAAATCAACCGCCTTCCTCACCGACATCTCCGCGACCATGACCAGCGAAAAGGAACCTCCACTCCCAACCGGACCCGGCGAGGAGAACGAAGTCAATCTCAATCCGAATCCAAAAGACGGCATAGACATCCACGGGGAGCAACCAGCATCAGACGCACCAGAATCCATTCCTCGACCGTCAGACCTCACGCCCAAGGACGTCGAAGCGCATACGACAGCCGCAACGCTGTCCACGACAATCAGCCCAAAGCCCTACACAGTCTTCTCTCCAGGCATGAAGTGGTTCATCGTCATCATGACCACCATGGCCTCGTTCTTCTCCCCTTTGTCCGGACAAATATACTTCCCCGTCCTGCCGATCCTCACCAAAGTCTACAAGATCACCCCGTCCCAGACCAACATCTCCATCACCACGTACCTGATCCTCCAGGGCCTGACGCCCAGTTTCATGGGGACCTTCTCTGACGCCAGCGGTCGGCGGCTGGGCTATATACTGGCGTTCACCATCTACACGGGCGCGAACATTGGGTTAGCTCTACAACACAGCTACGCGGCACTGCTGGCGTTGCGGGCCCTCCAGAGCGCGGGGAGCAGTGGCACCATTTCCTTCGGATACGGCGTGCTCGCTGACTGTATCACGGCAGGAGAGCGCGGCAAATACTTCGGGCCTATGATGGCAGGGGCTCTGACGGCGCCGGCGCTAGGTCCGACCATCGGCGGTCTGTTAACCCAGTTCTTGGGCTGGCGAGCGGTGTTCTGGTTCCTGACCATCATCAGCGGCGGTTATCTGGCCATCTACATCGTAACGATGCCCGAGACGCACCGCAAGATCGTCGACAACGGCAGCGTCATTCCCCTGCAATGGTGGCGACAGTCCGTGCTGCAATTTCTCTCCGAGCGTAGAAGGGTCAAGAGACTGGCCGGCGAGGAGCGAGAGGAGTACCAACGCACGCAGCAAGCTCTCTTGGAGGAGCAGCAGGCTACCAAGATCGCGTTTCCCAATCCGCTTCGGTCCTTCATGATTCTCGCGAGGCCGGATGCGCTGTGCATAGTGTGTTACACCGGCATCGTAATGTTCAGCAATATGGTGTTGATGACGAGCACGCCGACCCTCTTCCCAGCTTTATATGGCCTGAACGAGTTGCAAGTCGGCTTGACTTTCCTGTAAGTTCGAACCTACTTTCCTTCCCTCCCTCCAGGACCGATCATCATCGAGGGACAACATTTCTCGTTCGTGGATGCTGACTTGCCCAACAAGCCCCCTCGGCGTCTCTGCAGGCGTCGGCGCCATCGTCAACGGCCGCTTCTTGGACTGGAACTACGCCCGCGTCGCCAAGCAGCTCGGCCTGACCGTGGACAAAAAGCGAGGCGACGACCTGCGCGACTTCCCCATCGAAAAGACGCGCTTACAGATTGCTTTCTTCGCACAGGGTCTCCAAGTCGCCGTTTTCTTGCCGTACGGCTGGGCCCTCCAGAAACGCGCCTCGCTGGCGGTCCCGCTGGTCCTGCAATTCATCATGGGATTTTGTCTGATCGTCGTGTCCAACTCGCTGAGTACGTTGCTCACCGACATTTCCCCTGGCGAGGTGAGCACCGCGAGTGCGGCGTCGAATCTTGTTCGTTGTTTGCTGGGCGCGGTGGGCGCGGCCACGGTGGACGATATGCTCAAGGGTATGGGTGTGGGGTGGTGCTTCGTGTTTTTGGGCTTGCTTTTGTTTGCGGGGAGTGGCCTTCTGTGGGCGGAAGTCATATACGGCATGCGATGGAGGCAGAAGCGGTGGAGGAAGGGGGAGAGGAAAGGTGGCGGAGGAGGAAAAGAAGAAGGCTCAGGACAATAACCAATAACCCCTATTCTCTCTATCCCCGTACCGTCTTGTAGTCTCAGCCAGCAGACCTAGAAGCCAACTTCATTAATGACCAGCGCTCAACTACTGTGCACTCATCATCATGTGGAATGAGTCACGAATAGGTTGACCGAATTTGCGGACCCCCAATCCGCCGAAGCCCGGCAGATTTCGACTTCAGCCAATCCTCAGAAGTCAGTATAAATCACGGCAGGGCGACACGCCTTGCCGCTCACGCCCGTTATTCAATGGTATCTTACACAGCGATTATCACATAAAATGGCAAGCTCAAATATCCGATTTTAAGATGTCCACCACGGTCGCCATCGCCGGCGTCACCGGTAGTCTTGGAAGACTTATTGCGGAGTACCTATTGGCGAAGCCTGATGTCCTTATCCACGGCCTCTGTCGCACGCCTTCCAAGCTTCCTCCGTCGCTCCGGGACGAACCTCGTCTCACCGTCTATGCTGCTGCGTCCTCGACCGACATTCCTGTGATCCAGGCGGCTCTCCATGATGTCGACGTAGTAATATGCTGTTACCTGGGCCCTACCTCCCTCATGGTTGAGGGGCAGAAAATCCTCATCGACGTATGCATCGCCGAGCGGGTTCCTCGTTACGTTGCCGGAGACTGGTCAATGGATTTCCGCAAGTTGGAGCTCGGCCAGCACCCAGCCAAGGATCCGATGAAGCTCGTGCAAGCGTATCTGGAGGAGAAGGAGGCGGCCGGACAAATAAAGAGCCGTGCACATATTGAATGCATGCTTCTTAGAGCGGCCGTGGGTGGGCATGTGGGACGCCGACCGGCAGCTGTTCAAGTATTGGGGTACGGGAGATGAGCGATGGGAGTTCACCACTTATCGAAACGCCGCCCAGTTCACAGCAGAAGTGGCGGTGGACAAGGATGCTACGGGATGGTTTTCTTGTAAGTACTCTGGTTCTTGATCCGTGGGTTGTCTCTCTGCCGAGCGTCAAGAGAGTGATTTTATCTCGATTTCTTTGTAGTCTCCTGTCCCAAAATCCACTCGCATGGTGTCGACCTCTTCCATGTTGACCAACTACATGACATCTACTGACGCAAATTTTATCACCTTCGAACAGTCCGTGGTGACCATGTCAACATCAAAGAGATCGCCGCAACCTTCCAGGCCGTCTACGACGAAGAGCCAGGATTAGAAAGACTAGGAAGCCTCGAGGACCTTTACACGCTCATGCACGATAAGCGGCGTCAACATGTGGGAAATCCCAAGGCCTGGTTGGGTCTCTTCTACACATACTACTCACTCAACGGTCAAACGGCCCTGCCGATGCCGCTCGACAACATGCGTTATCCCACTGTCAAACTTACCACCGTGCGAGATTTCTTTGCTCGAACACCAAAGGATCGAATCGGAAAGTTTGGAGTACTTCAAGAGTGAGGATCAATAGCCATATATTCAACGTGGAGTCTAAGGTAAATCGAATTGAGCGTTGAGTTGATCTGATAATACGATCGTGTGGTCATCATGTGTAGTAGACTCGAGCAAGAAGCTGAACTGACGAGTGCTCACCTTATGTTGAACGGCACGCCGGGACGCTCGAGGAGGAGCATCTCGTCGACGCTGACGAACATGTACAACCTGGCATATCTTCTTGCGTTGCGGTCTCGATCTGTTCGGGCTGCGATCTTCCATGAGAGAGCAATAGCTGGATATCGGCGAGTCCTTGGACCTGGCCATCGCCCCGTGTCGGACGGAAAGACGATTAGTCCAGAGCACTCGTGTTTGAATTCTTTTCCCGAACCAGTCCGATGGCTGCGAATTCCACACACTTGCTCCTGAATCGGGCATCAGCGCCGACTCGAGGTATTCCGCCCCTGGACGAACACGGATCTTGGCTGTGGATCAACGACAATGGCCCCTTTCTGAGAAAACCTGACGAACCTTTTCCAGTCGATAAACTACAAACAAATACAATTGGACTTGGGTCTAGAGAGGTAGATACCTGAGGTATATATATGCATTCAACCTTTGGTTTCAATACTTGAACAATGCTTACGACAAACCCATTCATGAAACGTTTAAACACACTCTTCTCCTCCTCCTCCTCCTCCTCCTCCTCTACCCCGACCTGACGCGGTCTCTTTCTTCTATCTGACCTCCCTCCTCCCTTGAGACCATCTTCTTTTCTTTCTCTCGGCATCACCTCTATACCCTTAAACACATGACTCTGTGTTTGATGATGGTCGAACTCAACGACTGTGCTCAAATCTTTACACTCCAAGGGTGATCCTCGTCACCATACTGTATACCCTCTATCCAGCCCTTCATTCTGAGGGCGACCTCGCCTGCCTCTTCGGTCGGTGCCAGACCGCAGTCTATCACGCGGTCTTTCCAGTGGACCTTCCTCACGGGTGCCACGATGGCCGCGGTGCCGGCGCCAAACACCTCGATCAGCCGCCCCTCGGCCTCTGCGTCGGCGAGTTCCTGCATCTTGACGTATCTCTCCACGACCTTCCACCCTTCAGGCTCCAGCCGCTCGCGGGCCAGCGTGAGCACAGAGTCCCGCGTGACGCCCTCGAGGATCGTCCCGTCCAGCGGCGCCGTGAGCAGTTCGTTCTGGCCCGTCTCCTTGTCCTTGATGCACACAAACAGGTTCATGGTGCCGACCTCGGTGATGAACTCCTCGGGCCCAAACAGCCACAGGTTCTGGTGCAGGCCCTTCTTGGCCGCCATGAGCTGCGGCACGATGCACGGGGCGTAGTTGGCCCCGAGTTTCTTGTCGCCCACGCCGCCCGGCCACGCGCGGACCGCGTAGTCGGTCGCCTCGAGCGAGATGGCCTTGAACCCCGTCGGGTAGTAGGGCCCCACGGGCGACGCGATCACGTACAGCAGCGCTGACCCCGGGGGTCCGACGCCGAGCGTGCGCTGCGTCCCGATCAGCGTCGGGCGGATGTAGAGCGAGTATCCCTTTTCGGACGAGATGAATCTTTCGTCGAGCCGGCACAGCCGCCCGATCAGCTCCGTCAGCTTGTCGCCGTCGAACGTCGGCAGGGCAATGCGCGCCGCCGACTTGTTCATGCGCGCCATGTTCTTGTCCGGCCGGAACAGGCGCAGCGAGTTGTCTTTGGCGCACTTGTACGCCTTCATGCCCTCGAAGCATTCAAACGCGTAGTGGAACACGCACGTCGCCGGGTCGAGAGAGAGGTTCTGGTACGGGGTGATTCGTGGTGCCAGCCAGCCTTGGGAGGCCGTCCATTCTATAGAGAGCATGTGGTCTAATAAAACAGCCAAAATGAGTCAGTCCTTTTTGGTCTTTCCTTTTCTTTATCCTCCATCATTGTTGTTTTTGCAAGTCTTTCACCCCAGAGGTGGATTGTTTTGTGTTCTAGATGTAATGTATGTGTGCGTGCTTGAGTGCACACGGTTCCCCGATACGTACCTGTGAACGTTCTCCCAAAGACAAGATCTTGGTTCGCCACGAGGGCCTTCGGGGTGATTGTGTTTGTGATTTCGACTTTCGAAGGGTCGATTCCGGGGAGCTTGGAGTGGAGGTCATCGTCGAGTGCTAGAGCTTCCGGCCTCCTGCGAGACAGTGAGAAGTGTCTGGACGCGGGTGATAGTAGTAGTAGACGTGTGGAAGGCGGTGTGAAGGTTGCTGTTGTGAGACCTCGTGCGCAGGGCGTGCGCAGTAGCCGAGGAAGTGACATTTTTTGTACGTGAACTGTCTGAAGCGGCGGCGGAAGAGGAGGAGGAGTACAAAGGAACGAGGGACGAGGCGAGAGTGAGCAAAACAGTATCTTGTGAGGATACAGCAGTTATCTTGCAGTCCTGCAGGATGTCAAGCGAAAGGGCGTCGGTAAAGGACTAACTATGTACGAGCGAGATGATTCATATCTCTCCCCCAGACACCTCGAAAGAGTTGATAATACAAAAAAGTCCCCGGCGATCGGAGGTCGGCGCTTGGCACGCCAGGAACATTGATTGGAGGTACCTACATCAATCCGAGTGATTACAGGCGGGCGAGCGCCGGCGATAACCGTCAATGCCCTGGAGTCAAAGTGCCTGGGGCTGCGATGACCGGGCCCGGAGTCTTTTAAGCATCCCCGAACGCGGTGACCGTGGTCCACGTCTTACGAGGTCTAGCTCAACTCAGCTTCTAACTAGAACACCAAAGATAGAACAGTTAACACGGAGTATCGCTTGATTAATTCGCTTTTCCAATTATATACATCTGCCTGGCCATGCTCTTTATCGTCTGATTACTCGTGTCGGAGTGGATGCAGGGCTTCCAGTTGTTCGTCTAAAACGATTGTTAGCTCGTCCATCACAAATTCCATCATCTCCAGAAAAACTTACCAGTCAAGTCGCTCCTCACCTTGACTTTCATCTTCGCATCGGGATTTTCAAATGACACGACTGGAGTCAGGGCTGCACGAAGAGCGGCCTGTTCATGTCCAACAGGAGCATCATAGTCGATGCTAAAGACCGATACTGAGCCATAGCAGCCTCCATCTACCACAGGAGTCTCTCCAGGTAAGGCACAATTGCCATTGATGCACCTGTTAATGGCAGCTGTTACTTTGTTGCCGTATTTGAACAAGCCTGTAGTGGCATTGTAGACGGCTTTATCAGTAAACGCACCCCCATTGAATCGAGTCTGGACGAGAGGCGGAGAAACGCAAGAGCCGTTCGTAAGCGATGTGATGAATGGGAAATTCACGCTGTGACATTGGTGATTAGCATGCTTGCGGGAGCCTCGTAGTGAGAGAAACCTTACTTCAGTCCGTACCCGAGTGGCATCAATCGTTTTCCGGGTGCGGTACCGTTGACAAGGGCGTTCACGACACTGACAGCCAGCTGAGCATGGATCGTCGCTGGATCAGGATGGCCTGATTCAGTCGTCTCGTTGATCCAGGTGTAAGCACGTTGTTCGCTGTTGCCTCCGGAGTAGGCTATGGCAGGAATGTTCCGTCCAACAGCTCCATATGTACCACCCATCGTACCTGACAGGGTATAGAGGAATGGCCCCAGGTTGGTGCCATAATTTGGTCCTCCAACATAGAGGTCAATGCTTCTATTGCCGTAGTAGTTTGGGAGGACGAAGTCCAAGGCCACAAATGTGCACGCGGCTGGGGTGCCATTGTAATACCAGATATCTGGATCATTTGGATCACGACCGAGCGATGGAGCACCAGCGGGAATAAGGTCGTACTCCGACGGTCTCTGAAGTTTGTTGGAACTCGTGAACGAGGATCGACCACCCTGGCCGCTTTCATCATCTGCCGGTGAAACAATCAAAACTTGATGTCCTGATGCTTTCAGTAGACGGTAGAACTCTCGAAGCTGAGCACTTCCAAAACCATCATCATTTCCCATGAGGATATTGATGGCGGTAGAAGTGCCAACGAGGTTACAGGCCGCAATGGCAGCGGCGAGAGTTGAGAGCTTCATTGTGTTGGGATTCTTAGTGCTACGCTGGACACGACGGCCGATATGTCAGAACAGGAACGGCAAGGCTTGTTCAATAGGAGGCACCAGCAAGCGAGCAGTGTCGTGTGCTTTATAGCTTCATTGGGACGGCTCAACTTGTACGAGTACTCCTAGAGGGCCAGGGTCAGGCTCTCCAAGATCTGCGCATCTCGTCACATCTTTGGTGGAACTTGATTGTGTGGTGGTATCCGATGTGTCCATAGCCATCCCACATTCCAGAAGTAGCTTAGGGTGGATGATGGGAAGCTGCGTCTTCGGACACATGATTGGCTGTGATAAGATCATCGGCGACCTGCGATGGCATGGGCTCAGGTACGAGGACGTCAATCGCATACCAAAGCCTCAGGAAGAGTCGGCACAACTGATCCACTTCGTGGCACCTTGGCCAGGTTCTTCGTGAGAAGGGATCCTGTCAACCACTGCTGTCCTCAAACAGGGCACTGGTGCCATCTTCGGCAAAATTTGCCATTGAAACTATCTCAAACATCTTTGCATGAATGGGCCAGTGCGACTGATATGTGTGTAGACCGACATATAACTTATAGCAGTGACTCGTACTTATCCAGACCTGTCTTCTTTGGTTGTGGCTGTTGTGTCTGCGACCACGCGTTTGTCTCTAGAGTATACTGTGGTGTGGGTGCTATACTTGGAGAAAATGCTGGAGGTGGTGGAAGCTGCCATGGATTGCTCGACATCGCTGGGGGTGGAGCAGTATTTTGTGCAGGTCGTAGAGACATATACGACGACGGCTGAAGAGCATTAGTCTGACTCACCCTGGGAGCAGAAGGTGCTCCCCATATCGAAGCGGAGGACTCTTCGGATTGCCTTTTCGGAAACGTTGATGCACCAACATCGGGCGTGATAGAGCGAGACGCGGGCTGTGGTTGCAACACGGATAGAGACGAAAGAGGATTGCCGGAAGGAGGTGGGCTTCTGGTCTGCACATTGGCGGTAGACCATGAAAACGAGGGTGGGTTCTGAGTCAGCCTTTCTCCTTCGGAAAGAGCACCAGCAAAAACAGCATTTCTGTCGGCATTTTTATTCCCAAGAACCAGCTTCTCGAAGTCCTCTTCAGGGCTTTGCTGACCATTTCGCACCGTATTGCTACTAGTGCTTGCGAGCGGCGTGGGCATCCTGTTGAACTCTACTGAACTGCTGGAAGACATGTCTTGCAGTTTTCGCATCTGCTCACTCTCAATCTTTGCCGATAGAGACTTGATGACGTCCATGAAAGCCTTGAACTGGGAGAGATTGAGTAGGGGTCCTAGGCTGAAGTTCCACAAAACAGGCATTACTTCAATGGCCAGGAAGTCGATGTCAGCAACCGTGCCGACCTGCCGGAAAACCTTCAGAGCAGCCATCATGACTGCCGGTTCTTTTGTCTTGATGCCCTTGAGTAATGGAACTACTTTTTCCTGCATGGTGAATTTGTCGAGACTAGAGAAGTTCTTGTTTGGGTTCTCTGGCTGGTTTGAGTCGGTGCCCTCATCATCAGCCGTGTTCATCTTGTGGACCGGGGCGCCGCAGAGAACACCAAGAGCCTCGAGGCCACGAACCTTGATGGCGAGACTGCTTGTTTTGCTGAAAACCTGAGCCACAACTGGGAACAGGTCGTGCTTGACGGTTGAAAAGTCTATGAGAGGTAGCACAAAAGGCATAGTCTGCAGAGCTGCATCGGTCAGGGAATGTGTTGGTGATTCCATCGCAGCATGAACAAGGGGTAAGACGTCCTCTTTGAATTGCCTAGCTGAGCAGTTATCGGCAAGGATTTGGATGTTATTGAGAACTGCCAATAGGGCGGCTTCCTTGCTAGAGTCACGTTCGTCTGACTTGGATTTCGAAAGGAATATCTCGTTCATTCGTGGGAGAATCTTGTCCGAGACAACCTCTTTGCTGGATGGAATGACTTTGATAATGTGAAAGATATTCTGCATGATCAAGGGCAGCAAAGATTTGTTCTTCATTTCGTCTAGAAGAACACTCAGAATTTTCTTCTCCAGCACCGAAGGAGGGAACTGAGGCATGACTCGACCAAGGCCTTTCATGAACTGTGACTTTTCCGCAGGTGTCTTGGCAGGGAATGCGTCCAGGAACCTTATTGTATTGACTAAGATGTTATCGAAGTACTCAGACTGTTGAAACTCTGTCGCGGTCAATCGCTGTGCAGGCCTTCGGGCTAGCATTCGCGGCAGTGTGACATTAAGTTCCCTTGGCAAGGCCCCATAAGAGAGGTAATTGTTGGAGCTGGAAGGGAACAGTGAAGGAGTGTTGAAGATTTTCTTGTAGGTGGATAGATTGCCATGCGTTTCAATGGGGGATTGATGGGGCTTTCTGTAGCAAGCCAGAATGACTAAACCGAGCGAGAAGATATCCGCAGAGAAATTAATGTTAGAATCAAGGACAAAGTCGGGGGAGGTGTAATCGAGCTCAAGCTGCACCATGCGTGGGAGCCGAGAATCGTAATGAAGGACTTCCGAAAGTGAGATTTGTGGGATTGTCTGGGGTCTGTCTGCTCCATCTGGAGGACCAGCAAATCCCAGCCCAGATATCTTCCAATCCGACTTTGCGTTGATCATAATCGCATCAGGTGTCAGATTTCCATGTACCAATTGGGCCGAATCATGCAAGAATTCTAACCCTTTTGCAACCTGTAAAAGCCCTTTCTGGACCTCTAGCTCGTCGATGTCAATGTCCCTGAGAGTCCTGGAGGAGGTTGTGTCATCAGAAATAGACCCTGAATAGTCACGGCCACTTCTGCTTTCAGAGCGGTCTTTCTGGGCAAGCGCCGCTGATAAGGAGCACAAGACTGGTTCGGTCGCGAACATAAGGCCACCGCTCCGCGTCTCTTCCACTGGTTCGACGAGTTGCAGGATCGAAGGGTGGCGCAGACGTGCAAGGCTGCTGGCCTCCTTCTTCAGTCTCTCGATTACTTCATCCTGAACCTTGCGGATCGAGGTCGAACTAGTTGCACGTGCTCCAAAACCAGAACTGTTGATATCTAAAGATTTCCGATCGAAGACAAAGACAGATGCTTGAGCACCAGTGCTCTTCTTCTTCGCATCGAACACTGTCCATGGTCCGACAGTGGCGGAAGATTGTTTCGATATTTCATAGTTGGAGCTGATATTCGATGTGAAAGACTTGAAAGCGGATGAGAACATTGCCGCCTAGTTGGAAATTGTGAGGTCGAAGATACCAGGAGATTGATCGATGGCTTCCTCAATGTCAAATTTCCATGCTAGAATACAATTCGGTCGTGTTTCAGCATGACACTTATCAAGGCTTCGTATTAAAGAGACACGTATGTCGACGAACTCGTTGAGGATTCGGAGAGCAACGCGAATGGCGGATTCCATGTTGCTGTGCCGATCGTCACACCTTCCTTTTTAGGAACACAGCCTCGTCGTGGAAATGACCGCAGCCTCGCGGGGATGTTCATCATTGACTGGTGTCGGTACCAGGTGGTCGTAGCCTGACCGTTGATCCTACCCACCTCACTCGTGGTGTACATGTCACGCATTCTTCAATCTCCCCTCTCATTCCAGAGCATCGTCCGCAGACTATCTCAACTCACCCAGCAAGTCCCAGTTAGTCCAATCCTGCGGAACGCCATGGACCCCTCCGTCAGATCCCACTACCTCGCCGACAATCCTCCCACCGTTGTACAACTAGAGATCGCTCCTCATTTCGCTGCTCTTTCGGCCAAACAAAAACGTTATGCTCATCATCTGAGCAAAGCCTGCTTTTATGGCACAAGGGTGACCTTGGCACAGGTATCGCCTGAATCGCCAGTCATCTATGATCTGATCCTGGCCCTACATCGTGCTTGCGGGGGGGATTACAAGAAGTTGTCCGATGGTACGTCGGTGGGCTCCGATGATATCACCCTCTGGCTTGAATATGCCGCTCAGTTCTTGGGAAATTGTGGCAATTATAAAGGCTTTGGAGACTCCAAGTTTATTCCCAGGATCTCTCCCGAGGCATTTGAGCAACTGTGTACCGTGAACGAAGAATGCAAGAAATTACATACCACGGCCTCACAGACAGGAGGTGGAATCTATGAGACGAAAGATGTGGCGCTGATGCACCTTGGCTACCCTGAAGCCGGGCACATGACTGCATACTATCCAGACTCTCCTACCATAACGAAAGAGGAGATTTCGACCGTGGGCGATGTGTTAGAAGAGAAGAAGCTGTTGATCGAGAACACTCGATTACGCAAGCTGGCCTCTGGAGACTTCGAGTTGCTGATTGCTTCTGGGGTTCAGAATCCACCAGCATCAGAACGAGATCTGGGTGAACTGTCGACTATTGATCTGACAGGAAAGCTCTCTGGGAAGAAGCTACATCTCGTGTTTGGGGACTACCTGAACGAGATGACTAAGATTGCCCTTGAAATCAAGAAAGCGAAAAAGGAGGCCGCCAACGAAATCGAGGAGAAGATGATGGACGAATATGCTAGGTCATTCGGCACCGGCAGTATTCAAGGTTTTGTTGAATCTCAGCGGTATTGGATCAAAGATAAGAAGCCCATGGTAGAGACGGATATTGGGTTTGTGGAAACCTACAGAGACCCCCATGGAGTCCGTGGTGAGTGGGAGGGCTTTGTCGCCATGGTCAATCAAGAGCGAACTAGAGCGTTCGGCAAACTCGTGGATGCTGCACCGAGTATGATCCCGAAGCTCCCATGGGATAAAGACTTTGAGAAGGACAAGTTTTTGAGCCCTGATTTTACATCTCTTGAAGTACTGAGCTTTGCCGGCAGTGGCATCCCGGCCGGTATAAACATCCCCAACTACGACTTCATCAGACAAAACGAAGGCTTCAAGAACGTCTCTTTGGGGAATGTCCTCAGTGCCAAGGCCCCAAAAGAGCCTATACCTTTTATTCGTGCACAGGACGATGAATTATACCGCCAGTATAGGGACGGAGCTTTCGAGGTTCAGGTTGGCATTCACGAGCTTCTGGGACACGGCTGCGGAAAACTGCTGCAGGAGACGTCACCAGGAGAGTACAACTTCGATGTCAAGAACCCTCCGACAAGTCCCGTCACAGGCAAAGCAGTGAGCTCATGGTACAAACCTGGCCAGACTTGGTCTAGCGTATTTGGTTCCATTGCTTCATCGTACGAGGAGTGCCGAGCAGAATGCGTGGCCATGGCCCTGTCATGCGATTTTGAGATCTTGGAGATTTTTGGCTTCGGCAATGGCAAGCAAGACATGGGCAACGAAGCAGGCGATGTTCTCTACGTTGCTTACCTCCAGATGGCCAGAGCAGGCGTTGCGGCTCTCGAGTATTGGGATCCCAAGTCACGGAAGTGGGGACAAGCTCACATGCAAGCTCGGTTCTCGATCCTACGGACTTTTATGAATGCAGGCGGGAATTTCTGCGAGATCAAGGCTCCAAATGGAGATTTGAACAGCCCTGATGACCTTGAGATCTTCCTCGACCGAAGCAAGATTCTTTCACACGGCCGACCAGCAGTCGAGGACTATCTCCAGAAGCTGCACATCTACAAAGCAACAGCCGATTTTGAAGCGGGCAAGAAACTGTACGACGACATCACCAGTGTCGACACTTGGTGGGCGGAGAAAGCAAGACCCATTGTCCTCAACAAAAAGACTCCTCGAAAGGTGTTTGTGCAAGCCAACACAGTCCTGGACGAGCAGACTGGTGAAGTCAAGTTGGTTGAGTATAAGCCGACGATTGAAGGCATGGTGCAAAGCTATGTTGAACGGGACGTCTAGACGATTATGTTTTTTACAGTATTCATTTCGTCATACTGGGATGACGAAATACAAAAGGATGAATCTCAGTAGCTGAATCCAAAAGTATTTTAAGACTTAGCGGCACGTCACCCAGATCATCTTAGATCAATACGATGGAATATACAAGCAACCCTTGAAGCAGTTAGGCTCTGGGTACCACAGCCCCCTGTTCTACAGTAGGTAGGCAACTGATAAACTTTTCTACATACCAAGGGGGCCTACTGAACCTTCGCCAGAACGCAAAGAGAGACATCGAAAAACAAGTATCTTGCTTCATCATTTACTCATTGATGCTATTGAACTCTAATTACAAGAGCATAATGGACATGCCTTTTTTGCGTTGCGATAAAATCTGATATGTAGGTCGAGAGCTTACAGTCTGGCGCTGGCCTTTCCTGGTTGTGAGCCCTGGACCTCGAATCTGTCGGCCATCATGACCTTGTCCCAAGCAGCAATAAAGTCCTTGACAAACTTCTCGGCACTGTCGGGTTGAGCATAGACCTCAGCAATGGCTCGGAGCTCGGCCTGGGAGCCAAAGACGAGATCGTTGCGGGTGGCAATCCACTTCTTCTGACCAGTCTTGCGGTCCACACCCTCGAAGTATTCGCCGTCAGAGCTTGTCGACTTCCAGGCAGTGCTCATGTCGAGCAAGTTGACAAAGAAGTCATTAGACAATTGACCAGGGCGGTTGGTGAAGACACCATACTTGGAGCCATCCCAGTTGGCGTTCAGAGAACGGAGACCACCGACGAGCACGGTGAGTTCCGGAGGACTGAGGTTGAGCAAGTGAGCCTTGTCAACGAGGAACTGTTCGGTGGTGACGCGAGGGGTGGACTTTCCATAGTTGCGGAAACCATCGTGGTGGGGCTCGAGGTGTGCAAATGATTCTACATCAGTCTGTTCTTGTGAAGCATCGGTTCGGCCGGGTGTGAATGGGACAGATGCGCCAGACGCCTTCTCGAGGGCAGCGACACCAGCAAGAACAATTAAGTCAGCCAATGAGACCTTCTTGCCACCGCTTGCAGAGCCGTTGAACTTCTGCTGGACGCTCTCAAGGGCACTGAGGACTTGTTGGAGAGATGATTTGTCGTTGATCTCCCAGTCCTTCTGAGGAGCAAGACGGATGCGAGCACCATTGGCACCACCGCGCTTATCGCTGTTGCGGTAGGTGGACGCGGAAGCCCAGGCGGTTGTAATGAACTTAGTGTTGTCAATGCCAGTTGCAAGGATTTCCTTCTTCAGCGAGGCAATGTCGCTTTCGTCAACGAGAGGATGGTCGACTGGAGGAATCGGGTCTTCCCAGAGAAGGATCTCGGAAGGAATTTCAGGGCCGAGCCAGCGGGATCGAGGACCCATGTCACGATGGAGCAGCTTGAACCAAGCACGAGCGAAGGCATCGTGGAACTTGTCGGGGTTCTCAAGGAAGCTACGGGAGATCTTCTCGTAGGCTGGGTCGAAGCGGAGAGACAGATCGGTGGTCAACATTCTTGCGGGATGCTTCTTGTTGGGGTCGAAAGCGTCAGGGATAATATCACCAGAGTTCTTAGCCACCCATTGGTTGGCACCAGCAGGGGACTTTTCGAGCTCCCAATCAAACTTGAAGAGGTATTCGAGGTAGGCATTGCTGAACTTGTTCGGGGTCTTGGTCCAGATGACTTCCAATCCGGACGTGATGGTGTCTGGACCCTTGCCAGAGCCGTACTTGTTCTGCCATCCGAGACCTTGGTTCTCTATGGCGGTGGCTTCAGGTTCAGGACCAACGTTGTCAGAAGGAGCAGCACCGTGGGTCTTGCCAAAGCTGTGACCTCCAGCAATCAGAGCAACAGTCTCCTCGTCGTCCATGGCCATACGACCGAAGGTGGTTCTGATGTCGCGGGCAGCGGCGACAGGATCTGGGACACCGTCGGGACCTTCTGGGTTAACGTAGATCAGACCCATATGGGCAGCAGCAAGGGGAGATTCGAGATCTCTTGAGTGAATGTCTTTGTGACTTTCCTTGTGCTCGTCGCCGTCGACGACGCCATGAGAGCCCTCAGACAGGCCGGCCTTGCCATCCGAGTAACGGACGTCGTTACCAAGCCAGGTGGTCTCACCACCCCAGTAGACGGCCTCATCGGCTTCGAATGTGTCTGGACGACCACCGGCGAAACCAAATGTCTTGCAACCCATGGATTCCAAAGCGACGTTGCCGGTGAGCAACATCAAGTCAGCCCATGAAATCTTGTTGCCATACTTCTGCTTGATGGGCCACAGTAACCGACGAGCCTTGTCGAGGGACACGTTGTCAGGCCAGCTGTTGAGAGGAGCGAATCTCTGTTGGCCTGCGCCACCACCGCCACGGCCGTCGCTGACACGGTAAGTGCCAGCACTGTGCCATGCCATTCGGATGAAGAGACCACCGTAATGACCGTGGTCGGCGGGCCACCAGTCCTGCGAGTCGGTCATCAAGGCATGTAAATCTTTCTTGACAGCATCGTAATCGAGGCTCTTGAAGGCTGAGGCATAGTCAAAGTCCTTGCCCAGGGGGGTCGAGGCAGGATTGTTCTGGCGGAGGATGTTGAGTCTGAGACCCTCTGGCCACCAGTCGCGGTTGCGTTGACCACCGCCGGCGACGTTGGCCCTTCGGTTATCGTGCTTGACGGGACACTCTGCCATGGTGTGTGTTGAATGTCTTCTTGTTTGATATGGTTTAGGAAGAAGAGGTGTTCTGGCGAGAAAGGAGGAAGCAGACGGGCTGCAAAAAGGATTACCCCGCGTCTTATTTGTATCGACTGCGGACCCCTCCCAGCGTCCAATCGCCAGCATGTGATTTGTGTGCAAGGGCGCCCGTGGCCTGATACGAGAGACAGCCCACATTGTTCCTGCGACAGATTTCGCTCTCTAATTCCAGATTCGGCAGCGCAGGGCGAGTGAGGGGAAAGCCTCTCGCTGTATCTAGCTGTTATAGGTTTAGTGCAGGTCGCTGCGCAAATGGCGGGGTGGAGGTGTCGATACAGCGACGAAGCAGAGTTCTCCAATAAGAGCAATCTGGTGGAATTGTTAGCATGGCCATTGGTTGTCACCGACTGAAAGCTAGACGTTTCTCCATCAACAAACGCACCTGGAAACGGGCTGTCGACGACGCGGTGGAAGGCAAGAGAAATCACTGAGCGACCATTGATGATCGGTCGATATCGAGACCGTCAAGGCGCGGCCAGACTCAAGATCCGAGGATGAAAACGAATATGGGTACCGATGGAAAAGGAGAGAAAAGTGGAAGGAGGAAGGTACACGCATAGTCTCGAAGAAGATGTGCCCCTCCCTTGCCTGCGACTGTCAGTGCAACACCTTCTCGCTCTACCCCTCCTGAGTCCTGCATGTCGTCCATGTCCTCAGAATCTCGGCCGGATCAGGTTACCTCAGTGTCCACGACGCTACTACAATACTCCTGCTCGCACACCCCACTCAATGCCGAAACGATGATCACGCAACTCGGTCGAGATATTGACAATCCAATCTACCACATTGAAGTCGTGGCGGACATATTCTCATGGCGACGAGGAACGCCCTGGAGAAGTCCGCTATGTGCCGCTACTGCCGCAGCGCGTCCCTGTATTGCGAACTGCTGAGGACATCATTGGGTCTACGAAAAAAGCAGCTGTTCTTGAGGCTAGTACCAAGTGGAAGAATTATCCCGAATCGTATCATCGACACCGTGCCTGAAACCTTGAAGCTCGAAACGGCTAACAATAGCCTTCGTGGCAGATGTTACTGATTTGAGGAACAGTTGACTGTGGCAGAAGCATATCTTCGCGCTCTCTGTACCTCGGCCTGTACCAATTCGTGGATGGATGGGAAGTTTGGAGATGCTTACTATGCCAACGCAGCTTTAGTAATGACCGAGATACCCGCTTTGGGGATGTTAAGCCACACCATGTATATCGCTTCGGCCCAAGATGGACAGAAAGACAATCGATGAAAGCTGTAAGCAGGTAATTGTATGTAGATGGGAGTGGATAACATAATAATAATAGATTGTGAAGCTTAGCTATTCAGCTTTGGCCTTGTTATATTTCAGTGTGGCACTAGGTAAGGAATTTTTTTATTCCTTCCTACAAGCATGACAACGCTCCATCATCGACTCCGTGTTAATCAGATCTACGGTGGACGGCGCCCCCAGACTTACTCTGTCGCAATGTGGACATGGGACCTTGTGCATGTTCTCTCGTCGCTGTCCATTGAGAGACGTAGCCAGTGACTCTTCAGATGCACCTGAGAATGAATGACTCTATGGTACCTGCATTGAGCTAAGCCTCAATGGCCGCCGTACAAACGCTACTCCCACCAGCCAGTGCTTCCATTCTTCCCAGGGCAAGCAGCGACAAGACCGTGTGCCATGTGAGTCATTGCTTCAACATCCAGTCGTCTGTAGTGTTAGGATCAGGCGTTAAATGTCGTCCTAAGCGATTCAAGTCGGTGGTGACAGATCCCCCATTGTCCGCAGTTGGAAATAAGGCTGGCAATTGAAGCATCTGTCCTCAGTCTGCCAACAAGCCACTGGACTGTGTTTCGCCTCTATCTCCCTTGATCCCTGTGACCGAGAGTGATAACACTTTTCAATGTTGACTCTCGATGGTTCCACGCTCGAAGGAGGTGGTCAATTGGTTCGTGTGGCTTTGTCACTGTCCTCAATATGCTCCATTCCTATACGAGTTACAAATATCCGAGCAAACCGGTCCTCGAAGAGCACGCGACCCTCGAGCAAGACGACATCTAACAATCCTAGACATGGCCGCGGTACGAGTAGCGTGGGCGGTGGGCTCAAGGAGAGTCACCTCGCGGCGCTGAATTGGCTCGCTGAACAATGCAATGCAGATGTCCATGGCAACCAGGTTGGATGTGCAGAGGTTATGTTCAAACCTTCTCTAAAGACGGCATGTTCTCGACTGGAGACCGTGAACCCGACAGATAAAGCCCCAGATTTCATTGCGCTGGAGAAGCCAGGAAGCGTCTGGCTGATCTGGCAAGCGATATTTCCCTACATCGCATTACGGCTCACAAATCCTCCTCAGGGATTCCCTTCGCAACCTCCTCAACCATTCCACATCACTCTCATGGGTGGCACGAATGTCCCCAAATCCCCATCGACCGAGTACATGCAACAGGTCTTCCTCCCGCTGTGCGAACAGATCGGCCTCCCCAAAGTCGATGTGCGTGTCATTCGGCGTGGCTGGGCCGGCAGTGCTTCTGAGATCGGCCGTGTTGAACTCACGGTGCATCCCAGCACTCAGCCCGAGGCGCATGTGTCACCAGACAGTGCCGCGAGACTGAAATCACGACATCTTTTGGCCCCGTTCTTCTTGTCCCGTCGTGGCTCGATAACAAACATCACAATGACCATCATATCAGGCAGCCCGACCACGCAGACTTACCTTCAATCCGACCTTCGCACATCCTTGTCAACCAGACCTATCTTCTCGTCCGTGCCAATAACGATACACCCGTCATCAGGACTCTCCGGCGACGAACGACGGCTATACGTCCTTCTCGTCGCGCACACAACTGACGGCCACAGGCTTGGGAGGGACTACCTGGGCCCGGGACGCAAGGTGACATCGGACGCAGATCGAAGGCGCGTGGTGGCCGAGGCCGTCGCCCACGTCGTGGGTGATTTCACTAAGGAATGCGAATCCAATGCGAGCGTTGACGAGTTCGCAGAGGACCAGTTGGTCATCTTCCAGGCGTTAGCTGCCGGGGTGACGAATGTTGAGCCTCGGCGGGTTGCTCAGGCTGATCAACAAGGTCTACTAACTCGGCATCCTACTGACCCAGGCTCGAAAGGTGGTTTGGGAAGTCAGAATAGAGCGACGGGAAGCCTCCATACACGCACGGTACGCTGGGTATGCGAACAAATGCTAGGCACCGAGTTTGACGGACACGGCGGCTGCAAGGGGATAGATACTTGAGTCCTGCCTCGTGGACGTCAAGGGGGGATTTACCCGTGTAGGTTTCAGTAACGGCTACGGCTTGTAGTCTAGGTATGTTCATTAATCGCTATGAGCGTTCAGCAAAGACAAGACCTTTTCGTTCTTCACATCAATGTTATGAATTAGTGGATTGGTATGTACCAATAGCTATTCACGAGGTCCTCAGTGTTCTGGTAAGCCGCCCACAGACACACGCGCTCGTCTCTTGCGCCCAAAACACGCTTCAGCTCTTTGATTCTCTCTGCACATTCTACCCGCGAGGAAGATCGCCATTCTACCAAGTAAGTAGAAGTTGGCAAACTGGTATGACATAAACCCGCAACGCACAATCAGGGCGATGATGGGGTTATTTGCTCTCAGCCGACATGATAACGTCTCTAAGAAGACGATCCACCGCTCATGCGACGTTGGCCACCGAATTTCTTCGAGAGCATCTCCTTCTTCAACTCCTTGTGTGCCTGACGAGCCGCCTTGTCGTACTTCGATTTGCCCAGCAGAGGCATACCATCCTTGCCGGACGCCTGGGGATCCTGCTTCGACTTTTGCGACGTGGGAGCAAGGTTGGACTTGGGTCCGCGGGCCTTGACGAGGTTCTTGCGGTCCTTCTTCTTCTTTTCCTTTTTCCAAGGCTTGACTGGTTTGCCCGGCTTACCAGCTTGTTCATTTGCACCTGCGTCGTCGTCGGCGGACTCGGACTGGTCGTCGGCAAACTCGGTGAGGGAAATGAAGTCTGCTCCGGATTCTGCTGGCGCAGCTGCCACGGCTTCCGATGAGACAGGCGGCTCTACGGCGGGCTCGGCAGTTTTCTCAACGGCGGCGGCAGGAGTTTCTTGTGCCTTCTTCTTTTCCTTCTTGGATAATTTCTTCTTCTCTGGAATGGCGGCAGGAGAGGCGGTTTCGACTTGCTCGGTAGACTCAGGCTTCTGCTTCTTCTTTTTCTCCTTCTTTGCCGGCTTAGCTTCTGTCGTTGCTGGAGCGGAGCCCGCGTCAACAGCATCCTCCGTCGATGCATCTGCCTTTACTGGAGCGACATTAGCCGCTTTCTTGCTCTTCTTGTCCTTCTTCGAAGACTTGCCTGCGGTATCTTCGATGGGAGTCTTGGTAGCGGGCTCGTCTTCAACAGCGGGGGGTGCAACCTTCTCCTTCTTCTCCTTTTTCTCCTTTTTCGATTTCTTCGCCTCTTTCACGGCGATATCATCCTTTGGCACGTCCTTCGGTGGTTCTAGCATGCCAGTCGGTTCGGAGACTTCATCTTGGATTTTCTGCTGTTGTTCTTGAGCGGCCAATCTCTCCTGAAGAGCCGTGCCGGGTTTAGTCAAAGTAGAAGGAGGCATGTCGATACCAAGCTTCTCAAGCTTCTTGGCCTTCTTGTCGCGTCTCTTTTGCTCTTTGTCAACAAGTTTCTGCCAATGTGCCTCGGTTTTGGGAGTGGCCAATTTCTCTCGTTCAAGCTTCTCGTGTGGAATCTTTCTGAACTTCTTGTCTGCTCCTTTCCAGACGTCAGGATGCAGAGAGCCGGGTTCAGCATATTTGCATTTTAGAATGTGACCGAAGAGCAGGTAGTTGTCCATAGTGCTGGCCACAATCTTGGCAACTTCATTGGATTTGAATTCAATAAAGGCAAAGTGCTTCGATGCTCCGGTTCGTTTGTTTCGAGAAAGTCGCAGGCGGCTGATGTCTCCGAATTGTGAAAAGTATTCTTTCATTTGTGCTTCGTAAAACCCATGGGGAATGCGTCCAACGTAAACAGTGCCGGGCTCCTCGTCAGCGCCCCCGGAGTTCTTGATCTTCTTCAGTTGAGATCGAAGTTTCTTGTTGGCAGGTATGGTAGGTTTGGAATTGATGTCTAGACCCTTGTCTTCCTGATTGTCCTCCGATTCACTGTCGAAGCCAGCTAGAAGGACATCTGCGTTGTCGTCTTGCCCCGCTTCTTCCTCATCCTCGGCACTTCCATACTCGTCTTCTAGTTCTTGATCGACTGTGTGTTCGGCTTCGGCTTGCATTGAAGTTGACACTGGTTTGTGTGTTGTGGCAGTCTCAACCTCCTCTTCACCACTATGTTCGATGACACCATTGACACCGTCTGCGCTTAAGAGTTCGTCATGTTTACCCTTCTTGTTCTTTTTGGATTTCTTGGAAGTAGATTTGTTGGTAGGTGCAGTTGTCAAATCGTCGGCACTCTTTCTTCCAGCCGCAGGCTTTCCTGACACTTCTTCGCTATCTTCCATGAAATCGGCAGCCCGCTTTCGAGAGGCTTTTGCCGAGGCGACAGCAGCATTGCCAGAAGAAGGGGTCTTTGACTCTGCAACGGGTCCATCGGGGACAGGTATGGTGGCGGATGAAGACGTTGTGTTACCCATGGCGTCGATATGGTCTGTTGCAGTGGACTTGGACTTCTTGCTCTTCTTGCGCGGAACCTCACCGGCGCCTGAAGATTCTAAAAGGTGTTAGAAATGGTACAACGTTCAGTTATCTGGAGTTAATACCTTTGCGCTTATTCGTCGCCATTGCGTAATCACTAGCAATGTGGGAATGAGGAAAAAAACAGTTGTGCTATGCTGATTGAACTTTTGACTTTGACTTTGACTGAGGCACTGAGATGCGCTTCAAAAATTTCTCCAATTCTCAGCGGAAGAATGCCAAGTAGTCGGGAAAACGGTGCTCGTGGTTCCAGCTACAGGTATTTTCAGGAAAGGTCCCCTGTCCAACCCCAAAGATGGGCTAGTTGATTCAAGTTGCTTAGACCCACATATTCTGGGCTGTCCCGAATAATAGTTCATATTTTTATTTCATCAAATTCTCCCCAACAACCAGCATCCAGAATGGTGTAATGGTAACATTTATCGCTCTCACTTTCTATAAGATGATAGCTCCGATAAGCTCGGGGTTCAATTCCGTAAGTTCTCAATTACTTCCAAAGTTTCAGGCCAATTCTAACATTATCACAGCCGTTCTGGAATACACTTGAACTCAAGTTCTTCTTTTTTTGAAAATTTCCCCCTTGTTCCATATTCCTTGTCTCCTCCTAACATGCTCCCGTTTTTTTGTTTTTGAATCTCTCTTTTTTAAAACCTCTTCAGGGACCGGGATCACATACACCGTTTAATCAACAGAAAACACCTGTAAAACTGGGCGCGAGAGTCGAAAATAACAAAGCATGATATTCCTGCAACCAACTCCGTTTGAATTTACTCTTGTGGAACATGGAAACAATCACTCCACATCCTCACTGCGATGAATGAATATTGAATCCGCTCATTGAACACGATTGGTACAGTCTAAAGAGGGAAGCTTGAGAGAGATATTGTCTGTCCGTGTGTTCATGAAGAAGTCTTCGATGTAGAACAAAAGACATGAGATATGTATGAGTGCCTTATATCGCTAGTCCTGAGCTGGAGACGGTAAATGCAGTGTAACAACAGTACTTCACCGCATCCCTTGAAATAAAACCTCGGAGTTGACCTTTGACTGTGCGGATGCTCCTCACCAAGGGACAAACGACAGATTAATTGGTTTGTGCGGCTTCCATCAACGCCAGTCCAAATGCCTTGTACTTGCTGACTTGTGACGCGTCGACTAAAATCGCATCTATGGGTTATTTGGGCACGTAGATGGGGTTGTCACCGCCACGACGAGGTTCAAAGGGCCGTTCAGAGATCGAAAATACACTCTTTCCGGCCACCTCCCTTTGTCTGCTATCTGGAAGCCGGAATGTTGGTATGCGTACAGATAACGGCTCAAAAGCAGTTGCTCGAGTGGCTAGGAGACTTCTGACTGGCACTAGCATTGGCACTGAAAGGTGGCCTTTAGCAGGTCGGTAGTTGCCGCAAGCTCTTTCTTTGAGATCAGCACAACAGATGAGGAGCACAGGACACTATCCAAGTTTTGGGGAGCCGTGGCCAATTTCAAGATCGGAGAGTGTCTTGTGCTGGGCGTGAGCTACGAGAACGGGAGACTCAATCTTTGATCAATCCTCGAGATCGGGAATAACAGATTGTGCCAGACAGTATGTCGGTGGAGGGGTTTCAGCAGTAAACAGAAGTGGTTGCAAAGACAAATAAGCATACGCATCACCTAGATCATTGTCTCCAGCAACGCATTCAAGGGCCAGCATGAGGAGGTGAGGCCTTTTGGGTTTGTCAGCGATTTATGAGATGATGGCCCATGAAAGGTGAAGAGTAGCGGCAGGACTCGCCAATGTCGGCCGATGTCAACTACAGGAGAGTAGAGACGTTCAAGGGTGCAAACAATTAGTAAAGCACGACCAACAAATTACATCGCAGGCAGTCTGCAGCTTGTGTGACTGTGACGACTGTGGCCGACGTCGGTTTGAATACGAGTACGAGGTGGTGCGGGATTCTGGAAGGTGCCACCGACGGCAATAAGTGGGCACTCACGGGAGACTCGGCCGGCGCGCGGTCTCGCTGAGTGGGTTGTGCCCTTGTCAAATGTCGAGCGAAGGGCGTGCATGGCCAAGTCCCTCTGCAACCTTACAAAACTGGGACAAGAGTCATTCTTTGATAAGCGACTTCGGACTGATCGTACCCAGAATACGACGGGGGGATTGAAAGGCTGACTATCCCACGGGGTAGTCCATCTATCGTCTCTTTCTCTTGTTATTCTACCTTGATGACATCTTGTCGCTGAGGTTTCACTTCATTGAGGATTGACTGCTGACGTACCAGCGGCGAACACGATGGAGTACTTCAATTTTGAAGATGCCTCAAATGTCATTCCCAACCTGGATCTGGATGACTGTGGTTCGTTGATGGGCGAGACCACCCAGGATGAGGCTACCGAATGCTACGACTCCCTTTTCTTCGACAAATCGTTCGCTCTCCCAGCAGGCCGACCTGCGGAACCTAGCACTGTGATGATTAAACTGATCAACAATGTCGAAGTCGAAGCCGTCCCCCCACACACTTCGGACCTGAACATGGATTATCCCATGTTTCGAGCCAAAGAAGCTTGTGAATTGTGCGCGAGAATGGGATTGGACTGCTTCCTGGCTACAAGAGGCGCGTTAGTCACAGGGTGTACTTGTTGTTCGTCAGTACACTGACTGGTATTTCGGAAGACCATCAAGTCTGTGAAGGTGAAGTCACTGAACGCCGCCGGGCAATGAGATCGATGGAAGAAGGGCGAGGTCGCAAGACAGGTGCTCGATTTCCCCGCGATGCCGTCAAGATTCTCAAGCAGTGGCTCGCCGAGCACGCTGATCACCCATATCCCAATGAGCGTGAGAAGGATGAATTGAAACAAGTCACTGGTCTCAAGAGAAGCCAGATTTCGAATTGGCTTGCCAACGCACGGAGAAGGGGCAAAGTCCGACCAGCTTCGGGTCCCTCTTCGCCCATGTTGGGAGCCATTGATATCCCCCAGAGATCTCAAGATCCTGCAGACATTGCCAATCTCAACCCCCTAGACAGATGGAAGGCGTCGCCCCCCGAACACGAACCTGCATCGATGACAGCCATCGCCAAAGCCGTCACGTCGACACCATTCCCGGCCCGCACTCAGTCATATTCGAGCGCACATAATTCAAGGGCTGGCTCTAGAGCCGGCTCGAGGACCAGTTCACGCAAAGGTTCGAGCGAGGAAAACTCATCCTTTTCCATGTTCCGTGCACCGTCAGTAAGCAGTTTTGGGACGCGAGAATCTACCAACAGTGACTTGACCTTTGCTTCTTCGAGATCGAACAAGTCGAAGGCATCTCTTGCTTCATCTCAAGAACGACGCAGACGGAGGAGGGCACCAGTTACTCAACGGGCTGCAGCACAGCAGGCAAAAACACGAAGCGCCCGAATATTCCAGTGTACATTCTGCACGGATTCTTTCCCTGCAAAGTACGACTGGCAGCGACATGAAAAGTCACTACATCTCGCATTAGAAAGATGGACCTGCTGTCCCAATGGAGGGACAATGATTGATGCGTTGACGCAGACCGAAATGTGTGTTTTCTGCCGCGAGCCGAATCCGACGGCGGATCATTTGGAATTGCACAATTTTACTGCTTGTCAGGAAAAGACTTTGCAAGAACGTACCTTTTACAGGAAGGATCATTTGAGCCAGCATCTCAAGTTGATGCATAACGCCAAAGTGCATTCTCACATGGACTCGTGGAAGAGTACCACCAATGAAATCAAATCGGCTTGCGGCTTCTGTCCTTCTAAATTCACCACCTGGCAACAGCGAGCGGATCACTTGGCTGCGCACTTCCGGAACGGTGCCGACATGAGCATGTGGTCAAACGGATGGGGGTTCGAACCATATGTCGAAAGGCTGGTAGAGAATGCCATTCCTCCTTACCTTATTGCTCACGAGAAGTTGACGATGGATCCTTACGTTGCTCGAGCTTCGCAAGCGACCCCTTCGGCTGGCACGGATGCCGGAATGACGAATGGTACTTCTGCCGAGAGCACTGAGCCCGATCAGATAACCAAGGACTCGAACTGTTGGGGCAGACTGGAACAAGAATTGACCAAGTACGTTTCGCAGCAGCGGTCCGCAGGCAGAATACCCTCAGATAAGGACATCCAAGATCAAGCTCGTATGATCATCTACGAAGACAATGACCCATGGAACTGGACCTGCGCTGACAATCAGCAATGGCTTGACACCTTCAAGTATCAACAAGGCCTATGCAGTCTTACCGATGCCCTTTCCACGCAAAACCTGGCAGAGGTGCCCATCATGGCACCTTACGTGATCAAAGGTGGCTTGAAGACCAAGACGCCTCCACACCACAGCAGCAGGAAGAGTGTCTCTACTGATTCCGCCTCTTGTCCTGGCATGAGTGCCGATTATGGTAGTGTGCCCAACTCTGCCGTAATGGCGACGTTCGATCAAAACATGGATTTCGATTTTGACAGCATCGACTTCAGTGGTCTCGATCTCGGCGTGGCCGAAGACATGACTTTCAATATGGGTCTAGACGGTCAGGTCAGTGGGGCTGGTAGTATTACTGGTGCTGTGACGACTGCGCCTTTCTCATCGAGCATCCCCGGTGAGACACTATATGGATCTTTTGTGGTTGATCCAATGATGGACATGGGAATGGGAAACATGAATTTGAACATGAACATGAATGCGCCCATACCGCAGCAGAAGAAGAGTCCTCAGACTAGCCACAGTCTCATGAGTGAGCAGGATATGAATCACCTAGCTGGATATATGTCGGGGTTTAAGTGATACTGAGTCTCCCAAGGTGATGTACAAAGACGATTTTCGAACGGGGGATGGAACGAATTATGGTACAGTAATGATGAAGAAAAGGAGAACACGACTGGGGCTGGTCAGTTATATATCTTACATACATACACGCAGATGAAGACGAGAATGAGGGTATGTGTATCCTCATTGGCTTCGCGGATGTCAAGCAAAGGGCGTATTACGGGCACTCGAAGGCGTATATCCATTATACAGTACAAAAGAATAATACGACGATCTGATCACGAATCAGGTCCAATGCTCTCACCTACCAGTACGCGTTGCTGTCTTGTAGTGTGGCCTCGCTATGCCATTGTCGCTCAGCACCGGGGCCGTCGTCGAGAGCGAGGTAGAGTGCGCCCTTCCGCTGACGTCCACCTATCCCCCCATGCGGAGGGACCCTGCCACCAGGCTTTCCATCGTTTTTTTGGAATCTGACACTACATGTGTGAGGCCTAGATGTCTACGCCTTTCGAATGGCATTGTTCAATGACAAAAGTGACTTACACGCACATGTGTAGGCATGTAGAATCGGGGACAGGCACAGGGACTGTGGGGTTGAGTTGATGATGGACGGAAATTTATTAATCCGACTCCGAGCCACAAGTGCCAGGAAAAGATTTCACATGTCACCGTCTGTCCTCTGTACAGTACGAGTGACACGACCACCACTCTTATCTTCCAGAACCAACACGCTGGGTGAACAATTATAGTTTTTGGTCTACCAGTGCCATGACCATCAGAAGAGATGGGCATAGATGATCCACGCAACCCCCACGGACTCCCTAATCCTCCCGATCTCCGCGTGTGCCGAGTGCAATAGGAGAGAAATCAACCCAATCAGCTTGACATGCGATGGGCATGTGAAAGAGGCGAGGAGAGAAAAAACTATCCACGTTTCCTCCCCTTGCGTCCTGGAGCCGCCAGAAGCAGGAGCCTCAACAAAATGAAGACCGTGCATTTTTATTGCGCCTCAGAGATCTCCCCCACTGGCGCAAAGCATGGCTTTTGCTCCATGTAGTATGTCGTGCATACGAGTCTTGCCCTGTGCATGTGAAAAGGCAGAAACCTACAGGAAATTGACGATAACACACTTTACCTATACCCCATACAGAGAGATCCCACTTGAAATGATCATGAACAGATAACAGATCTGCTATCTCTGCACGCGCCCTTCCTGATTCAACCTTCCTACACCAAAGCCCGTCCTATTGCCATAGTCTCTCGCCTCGCCTCCGTACCTCCAGATCGTATCACCCCTGACGAAAGAGAAAGAAGACGCAGGCAAAGACACCAAACGCGTAGCGGGTGCCGCTGCAGCGGGAGAATACAGAATCAATAAGCGCGGCCATGGACAACCCTTCCAGAATGGCTTGCGAGGACATGGCGCATTCGACCCTATACACGATGATCCCGTCGGCAGTTCGATCGCGAATGCCCGTCTTGACCTCTCTGCGACGGTCCGCAAAGGCCGTGATACTGCACGACTCGAGGACGCGGCGACCACAACCTCGCGCGCTATCATGTCCCGAATCATTTCAAGAGAAGGAGCGTGCTATTGGCTTCGCTGCCACTGTACCCTCAAGCGGCGCCAGTACGCCGACGACAAGACCAAACACGCCCGAGGAACATACCTCTGCCTCCTCACAAGAGCTTAGTCTAAAGGTGCTATCGCAGCAGCGACAAGAGACGAGCAGCGGCGTCGATTGGGACGTGGCTGCGACGGGCGTTCGGCTTTGGATAACTGCCAAAACACAAGCCGAACAAGGGGGAGGGGACGTCAACGCCCTCCGAAGCATGCACATTGATGCCCTCCGGTACATGCACATGGCCCTCCCGGAGAATCTGACGGCGCTCGAGGTGGAGTCTCTGCGCGCTAGCATGTCTCCTAGGATCCTGTACCAGTCGTCACCGATGCTACCAGAGATCGACGGGAAGTCCAATCCGAGTCTTTTGCGCCAGGGCGTCGCCAGAGTCGTTTGCTGGGTCATTGCAGGGATCCTCTTGGTCCTCCCGGTGATCATGGCGTTTCTCAATCGGGCGCTGCAGTTCGAACGCCAGCACCAGCTGACCGAGAAGGTCCTCGCAAATGGACTCGACTTGACCTCTGCCCTTGGTGAACGTAGCTTGGAACTTCAAAGGGCCCTGTCACGTTTCAAAGATGGGCCTCTGGGCAGCGCCTGTGCGGACGCAGGGTCCTGGTTCATTGAAGGCATTGTTGGTGGTGTCAACGATGGTATTGATGCTGTTGCCCAGGGTCGGGCGAGAGCGTCATGAAAGATAGTGATGAGTGTAAATTCATGTGTGACTGATTATCTCGTTTGCGCCTTGAGTAATCTTGAACGTTACGTTATTCTGTAGTAGCCTTCTCCGTGTCCAGCCAGCCCATGTTGGACATTTGTGGTGAGGTTTGTTTGCTTCTATAAACTGTTTATACACAGGCCCGGCGTGACTACATATTCTTCTAATGTAAAAATTTTTGAACATGAAGACAATGCCTCGCATGCCTTCGACAGAGTTCTCAACGTCAAACATCTGCATAGAATCATGTCCGCTTACAAACTACCTACTATCGTCTCGGAGTAGAATTCACTCATACCGGCCGCGCCGACCGTCCCTTAACTGTCTTGGAGTACAGAAAGCCTGCATATCTCATTACCGGGGCTATTTGTATTCTAAGCCTTGTCGTCAGTGAAGTCACGAACCATCAACGACACCTGTAAGCCAGCCTCCCGAATCTGAGGCACGCGGCTGAGATATTCAGGGGCGGCTCCACCGGCAACAGTGGCTCGCAAGGGCCCGCGGCTTGTCCCTCCCTACACCCTTGTTTGTCTCGGCGCTCGTGGGGTTGAGAGTTTGATCTATACCTGGACACTTCATTCCTCAAACTCATCTCTTCTTGCACAACAATGTCCACTCTTTTACTTCCATCTTTTCGTCGCCAACAACTTGTTCTTGACTTGTAAGACCGGCTGAATGTGCGCTCTGTCTTTCCGCTAATATCCCTCAAGTTCAGCCCTGAAGGACTGCTGTCCCGAGGGAGTTTATCTTTCTCTCGTACCGGGCAATCCCTCGCTTTGGACGGCTGTCCTCTTCGTTCGAGATGGTAATTCGTCATCACCTCTTCCGTTGGTGCGGCTTTTCATGCTGACTCGAGATCTACAGGTCCCTATGCGGGTGCTGTCCTCCGCTTCGATATAACATTCCCAGAATCCTACCCCGCGCAGCCTCCTCAGATCGTCTTCTCCAGCGACATCTTTCACCCTTTGGTGGTTCCGCAGACGACTTACACTTTCAGCGCAAGTGTAGCAGATACGACCAGTACCATTAGTGCGTCAGATAACGATAAATTGAGACCTGGCGAGTTCTCGTTGCGATATGGATTCCCACACTGGTTTCGACAACGAAACGTGAAGTTGGCGGCGGACGAAGGGGTTCATGATGATGCAGTGAAACCGAAGCAAGAAACTTCGACCTCAGGCTCTGGAACTCAGAATGTCGATGGTCTGGTCGCGCATTCTGGTGGCAACGAGGAAATACGTGATCGCAAGGGTCTTCTGTTGAAGCTGATATCCCATATAAAGAGTGCCTTCGAAGACGCGGACATGCTGGATAATATGCCACTCGAAGCCGCTGGGGATCCTAGCGCATGGCATGCCTGGCGTGCTCATCGAGGTCTTTCAAAGAAGGAAGTCCGCGCAAAGAGTCCGACTGTTGGGAACGGCGGCTCACCATCTTCTCCAAAAAATCCCGGTGAATGGAAATGGGATGGTGTCTGGGAATCCCGTGTGAACAACGGTATCGAAGCCAGTATCAATGAGGTGACACTTTTTGGCAGCGCTACAGGAGCGCGGCCAGGTAAAGGTGGTTCTGTGGATTTGACAACCTTGGATATGCGCCAAAGAGCAGCCGCCAATGCTCACAGGCAAATCCGTTTCTCCAAGCTTGATGATGAGCATTACCGTGAAGTGATGAGTTCAATCTCGAAGGCCAACACAGCTCTTCCAGCATGATGCCGGACCACTAAATCCTCCCTGCAGCAGACAATTCTGACCACGGCTTGTGATACGGAGAAAATGCTCTTGCTTCAGGGGCCATTTGACAGAGCTCCCCTTCCATCTTGGACAAAGCGACATGCAGGTGCGCTGGAGTGCAGTTTCCCAATGGTTTGGCGAACGGTGACTGCTTGGGCAGTGAGATTCGAACATCCTCTTCTTCGAATTCCCCAGTGCACTTCGCAGAATATACCGCAGGATTCTTTTTGAGTATCGGCACTGACATGATAAGCCTTGTATGAGTTCCTTGCATCACCAGAATACGCTCAATTAAAGCATTTGGGCCAACCGTGTATTGGGCATGGTTTTTTCTTCGACATCTTGACAGCTGGTGGCTTCAGAACCCTCAACAGGAAGAGCCGCGTTGGCCACGGTATTTGCAGACCTCTGGACGCAGAACTGCTCTCCATCGTCGGTATTCTGGCGGACATCCTCTGGACGACGGAGTCTTTGCCAGAAACTCGAGAGATCTGCCCGACTCAGAAGAGGTTGCTTTGGATATAAATCTATTGAAACAATTCGAATTTGACTTGGACATCGCGCCCAAGTCCTTCGGACGAAGGGCGTGTAGTGCTTTGTTGGTTTGCCGGTAACTGAGAACTGCTTCTTACAGCAAGAGAGACCACTACAAGATTCTGGCAATCTCAAAAGGGAACGTTATTGGACAGGCGCGCCTGCAGCAGGCTGTTGGTGAAGCAGTGTGCTGGAATAAGAAAAGCTATTCTGCCGGCACCTGCACGTATCAGTGACGGTTTCCAGACCGGTCAACACTATGGAAAGTGAGGATGACATGACGACTCCAAGAGTCTTGAAGGCACAAACTCCATCTGCAAGAGAAAACCAGATCAGTCAGTCGTCTCGGACCACTTCACGGAGGTTTTCTAGTCTTTCTTTTCGATCGCTTTCAGGTTCCTGGTCTTCGTTCTGGGGTAGAGAAAGTTCATCTCGCTCGCACACAGATCTCAGTGAGGAATCAGCCTCCTACGCATGCGTCCCGTTTACCGCCTTTGTCCCCAGTCATCACTCGATATCGCAGCCCGCACAGAGAAGGTTCCCTATTTACGCACGAAACAATGTAAGCGCTTCATTCATCCCCTTGGGATCTTGTGACGCTCTCTGACCATCGACTTATAGCCTCTGAGCACATACAGCTGCTCATCGTCTGTCTCTCGCCTTCCTTCAAATCACGTCACAATTCACAAGAAAGCGCGCAGCAAGTCAACCTCATCCCACAAACCTGACAAGGTAATGCGACCTGCCAACCCTTTTTCTTCTCTGTCGTGCTTGTACTGATGATTCCACAGCTTCTTGCGAAGTCAACCCCGTCGCCAGACACATCTCAAACTCCAGAAGGCCGGAAAGGAAGTACTTTCGCAATACCATCACGAGCACCTTTTCGTCGTGTTCTTTCAAAAGCCATGACAACAAATACAACCCTTTCAGGCGACAGTGCCCACGGTGATTGCTCTTCTGTGACTGAGCCATCTGTTCTTAGACGTCTTCCATCTACACACCACCCCTCTATCGAAGGGGTTCTACGTGGTCACATTACAGATGTTGGCGAATCGAGTACTCTCAGTCGAGCTCTTCCAACACTGGAGCGTGGCCTCCACCGACAAGGCTCTGGCAGGGTTAGTCCAAATACTGCGGGCAGTAGCGAGACACAAGCCACTACATACTCGGGCATGTTCCGCCCGAGAGGTTCTGTGTATTACGATGCCCCAAACCCCTTGCTCGTACCTCCTCCTCCTTCGGCTCATTCGGGAATACCATCAATCTCAGCATCTGACGCTTCTCTGATTCGACAAGGACTGATGTCAACCAATCGAATTCGTCTTCCACCTATTTCAGCCCTTACGATTGACACGTACACATTCATGGTGCACAGTAACGATCCGAAATATCGAGCCATAGCACACGTTGTCTTTGACCTGAGCGCCAGAGAGCAAAATTCACTTCATCGCAACAGTGATGTCAACCCATATGTACCTGACCCACCCTACAACATCGTCCAAGCTTACTCCGGTTTCCTACATGAGCTGAGCATCGAAACATCTGTGTCTGGACCATGCGTACAAGTGTCTCAAATTGGCTTGTCTTCGGTTACATACCTCAATAATGGTGATCGCTGGGTTGTTGTCGTCTCTGTGGGAATTAAGGACACAAGCCTTGCCTCTCGGTTGTCAACATCTCTTCGCCATCGACAAAGCAACAACCATATGTCTCCGGCAATGGCGATGGTCGATCATTTCCTGGATGTCCTCAAAACAGAGAAAGACGACGAGTCTGTTGTTGTATCTGCAGTCATCAGGTACAAGCATGGTTTTCTGCCTCCTGACACCAAGCTGGTGTCCAATGCAACTGTTACGATTGACCATGTGGCTGGCATCGACGCTTGTAACAGAGTCGTCCGCGATCACTATGAAGAGGTCGCCCCTGCTGTCCTGTCTGCGCTCCTCCCTGGCGTGGACGACGTCGCCCTGTCGACCGTCAGTCCACCCAGTCACTCTCAATATGCCAGAACCCTGCCGATGGATGGGTTGCGGCTTTTGCAGGACTTTGACAGCCTGTTTGGTGGTGGGGTGGGCGGTGCCCTGGCAGTAGACCTCTCCATCATGGAGGCCTACTACCTGGACGCCGCCAGGGACGAGGTGGCAGTTTTGGCGGCGCCTTCCCTCGTCCGTCGCCTGGTAAAGAGGCTGTCGAACAATTAGGAGTCGACAGGCCAGGCGGCGGACGAGGCGGCCAAGGTGTGGATGGAGATGAGGGAGGCGTCAGGCCTCGAGGAGGACGATGGCCACGATGGTGGCTTCTACGGGCCACCATGGCTCTAGATTGTATGAATATTTTATTTCCAAACTTTCATGCTTCTCGTTTAACTCGTAGGTGAGCATTTCGTTTAACAGTGCTCTAGAATGATGTGAAACCTGTTGATATAAATGCCTGTCCGTGGGTAATTTGCCCTCTCGGTGGTTATCATATGCAATGAATGACCTAGAGGAAGGTGTTTACCAGCAGTTGTACAATGGCATCAACTGTATGGGGTTCACAGGGTATCTCATTTTACTTCCGCTATTTGTGCTCTTGGTGCTCACCATCATCAAGCTCACACTTAAGAAGCAGGTACATGGCCAACAGTTGGTATTCCTTTGAAGTCCCCCGAGACAGCATACGTACCTAATGTACGTAGAGAAGGTATTGATGGGATGAGAGTCTACGAAGGCACCTATGCAGAAATTCCATTATGCTACAGAGTGCCAACTAAAGGTATTCATTTTGGTTTTTGTTGTGGAGACCACTGTTTAATTATTTTTTGGTCATTATAGGCGTCGACGAATGGATGGATGGTCCACACAAGCGTTTGTACTAGGCAGGTGATATTGCATTGTACAGAGTGCTGAGGACCTAGGTAGTTAGGCACTCGTAGTGAGTGAGTGACAGCCACTGCATGGTGTGCCCGAGTATGATATGGTAGGGCCGGATGAGATGTTTTACCATCTCGTCGTCTCTCGTTCGTCTCTCGTCGCCATTCCCCGAATTTCCCCCTAATTCCGCATTTCGGCTCGGTTTATACATGATGATTAACATGAGCCCCCAAGATGCGTTGGCTACGAGTACTATATACATGATTATGGTTTGTGGTCATGGTCGTGGGCTGAGTCCCCAAATGTTCTGCCAAAGTCGAAAGGAAGGGGCCGGGTCCTGGCGGGGGTGGTGATGGTGATGGTGATGGTGATGGTGATGGTGAGTGAGTGTTTGACTGATGGGAGTAAATGATCGATGATGATTGCTGATGGGTGGCATAGGTACCTACCATAGAATACCAAACAATACCAACACCGGTCTCTTACCTGTGCAACATTACAGCGTACGATATGCGCATCACTACTTTTTCCGTGTCACCACTACTACCATTCAATTAGGGTCACTCGCTCCACTATCCCTAGCGACTGACTCCGGATCAATTCGTACGACTAGGGAATACGGAACCCGGAGTAGAATGGGAGCACAAGCTGTGTTTGATTACCGTGCCCAGGGACTCATGGTCGGCCAACGCAGACTTCTCGATTCACGACCCATGTCCGAGAGTGATTTGAAATGGCAAACCACCGCCTCTCCATTCACGACCCACGTCTGGAGTGATCATGGAATGACAAACCAGATTAGCTTTGTCGGTTCAAGATCATGCCTGGGGTGAGGTGGTGAGGTGGATGACTCAAGCAGCGATGAACGCAAAGGTAATTAGATTCTGCCCTTGTTCAAACTAAAGGTACCTATATTTTGACTTTACGATTGTTTGGGCAGACGACTAGAGCCATGGAGATCAAAAAACAGCAAGAAAAGACAAAAAAGGTCCTCAACGAGGAAGAGGAAGGTCCTCACCGGGGACAAAATTTCTTTCACGAGTCGATTCCTTTCCAGAGTGAGTGCTCTCAGATCGAGTCCTTTGGCAATCTGAATCGTTCTGAGATCCTCAGAAGACACACAAGACAGCAACTTACGGACACTTGAGACCACTAGATAACTGATCTTCCTCCTTACCGATACCACATTACCATTACCTTTGCCATCACCATCACCATTACCACCAAGTCGATAGGATCGACGTCCAGTCCTGTCGGAGCAATATCGATATTGAGAACCGATCTTAGGAGATCGACAAACAACCACCCTTGTTCAACATGTCTCTATTCACCCAAAACGCCGAGGCTCTGTTCCCACAACTGCCGTCCGTCATCACCATCGACGGATATTACATCGACAAGAGCGGAGAGACAGATTGGACATGGTTCCAAAAACAGACCCCTATGAACGGAGACGATGAAGGATACGAACTGTGTCGTGGCATTCAGAACACGCGGTCTCTTCTTGACTTGCTGTATCGGTTTGCAGATGATCGACAACCACCCCCGTCAAAGGGATACATTGCACCAGGGGGCCAACTGACCGAGGATGTACGAGGCAATGAAGCTCTCTCGCATATGTTTCGACACCGAGTGGATCTCTGCCAGGTGCTGCACTCTTCGAATTTGCTGGATACCCCCACCAGTCAAGAACTGACCAAAACAATGCAGAACGGCATATCCGAGGCGGAAAAAGCAGAGTTTAGACTCTTGCAAGGCTTGCCTCAACCGCACAAGGAGTTCCATTGGCTTGCAGAGTTTGAGAGATCACTCCAGGAGTGTGCCTATGCTCTGTTCGAGGCGTACCGCATTGCCCGGAAACATTTGTCTCCTTCAATCACGAAGGCAACGCGATTTGTTGAAAAGATGTACGCCCTGGTTCCACCAATGACCCGACTGCTGGTGGACCTGCTGTTGGCAGAGGATGCTTTTGAAGAGGCGCACGCACGCACCCATATTTGCGACATCAAGATCGAAAAGCGGGTCAAGCTGACGGTTGACGTACCCATGAATGTGGCGGTCATGGCTAGTCAACGCGAGCAAGTGCGTTTTCACATGGGCCTCCTCAAGCAGCATGCAGCAAGATACTCGACCAAGATCAGAGACCTCTACGCATATCGGTACCTGGTCGAATGGGGCCATGGGAGACCGTGGAAGCAAATGTATCTCGTTGTGGATGATACTTCTGGCGCAGGCGGCGTCCCCAAGCACATCGTGGACGAATTCTTGATCTTTGCGACGTGCACCTCACCGCTCGCAAGCAAGATGTTCAATGTGCGTCCAATGGCCTTCAGTGACATCGACAAGGAGGACATTTGTTCGATATGTCAGGAGGAGTACCAGGTCAACGACATGGTGATCGAGCTGCGGCACTGTCGACACCGGATGCACCCCGATTGCGTGATCGAATTCTGGGACAACCTCCATCACTATGACAACAGGTGTCCGATGTGCAGGGGGCAAAACCCGAGCATTCGGGAACTGTTCCCTTACTTCAAGGCGGAGACGAAGGACGTCTGTTACCACGCAGACGCAGAGGCGTCACACCTCGCCACGTGGCTGGACCGTACGATTAGACACCGGCTCAGGAGAGACTTGCCTACGAATTGCTGGGAAGCGGACCTCCGGCGATACTTCTCGACACGTGAGGTCGAGGCGTGGTTGGCTGGGGAGTCCTTTGAGCAAAGGCTGATGTCGGAAGACTTCTTTCCACAGCGGCGAGTGGAGTGGGACGAGTCCTCGGCCACTACGGACGGAGAGGAGGATGAGGGATATGGAGGAGATGAGAATGGGAATGGGAATGGGTACGAAGGGGCCCAGGAGGAGGACGAGCAACGCAGAGACGGAGACAACGGCGACGAGGCCGACTCCAAGGACAAGGACAACTGACAGCTGTGGCGGTGACAATGAAGAAGAGAATCCAGACAACGGCAGATATGAGTTGGTGTCTCCCAGGTCGACGTCCTGGACGACTGGTTGAGATTGATTCTTTTAACTTTTCTGCGGTGGTTGACAGGCGTGGATGTATGGATACTTGTACAGGATGGATGGGCGGTGACGGTACAAATGGAAAGCGGAAGCTGGGACGGATGAACTGGATATGCAAGAACGGAAGAGCATGCATTTTGACAGCTCTGAAGGAGCCTCGGAAGCGTCAATATCTACAAGCTACAGTAGAGCCGGGACAAGCATGAGTGAACTACAATAAGCTGAGCACAGAGCACGTGGTCTAGTACCAAAAGGGACCAGTGCAAACGAGGAGCCCAGGACTCTCTGAATCGAAATCAATCAGTCCTCAGAACTTCTGGTCGACGTGAAGAAAGAATCTTGATCCGATGAATTTCAGAGCGTGCATGGGCGGTTCCCTTGTTTTGGCTTAGACTCAACGCCAGCATCAGGGCCCAGCATGTGGTTACTGTTCGGTTCCCTGCTACAAGGTGTCATTGGTAGGAAAAGACACGAGGAGCAGCCAATTGACGAGGGAGAGACGGAGAAATTACTTGTACGAGGATCAATTCCAGCTGAGGATGAGTTGAGGGTAGATCATAGATGCAGGAAAATACTTTGGGCAAGATACTAGACTAGTACTCGTACAGGACTCTGCTCGCTTCTCGACACGCGTTGGAGCGGCCCGAGTGAGATGATCAGTGAGTGTGAACAGCTGTGAAAGACACGAGATGTAATCTCATCTGAGACTCGGTTAAAGACGCGACGAGAGTCCTGGCAATATCGTTGATACAAGTATTAATACGGAGCATCTCGCCACAGCCTACTCCGTACAAGCAGCCCTAGCTAACTAGTTAGTACCTTGACAGTATACAAAGTATGTACCAAATACCCGGCGCTCGGGTACCTACAATGCAATAGCCAGCTAGATTTGACCTGACAGTAGGTACTGGTACTTGCTAGGTAGGTACCTACTGATGACTCGATCCCCCCAAGGACAGGGTTCCGCACCCGTAGGCCGTAGGTGGCCACTAAACTCTAGGCTCGGCTAGGATATCGTGGTCAGGTAGGTCCGCGCACCTATCACGATCGCCTCGGGCTCGAAAGGCTGCTCCAGGCCCATTAGGCCTCGGGTGGAAGGACTCAAGTCAAGTTAACTAAGTTAGTGGCCCTGTTCATGCTTCTGTCAATGCTGTCAGTTGTTGTACTACACGAGTCCTACTACGTCGTCTTTGTCCACTGTCCAGGTCCCGTACCTTTGGTCTCTCGTCGTGCCTTCCCCATACAACCACCCAAGTACGAGTACATGCGTCCTCCCGCCCACATCTCTCGTTCCCACCCACACACAACACCTACTCTTTCTCTGCCTCTCCTGCTGCGACGCCATTTCCTCCGGCCTCTTCGACGACAGAATCGCACGTTCCTTCGAAACCCCCGACCAGAACCACGCAGTACAAGCACCCCATATCCCACGAGTACGAGTATTGATTGTCCTGTGATCCGGCCCTCGGCTCTGTCCGACCCTTTGCGCCTAAACATTACACAATCAAGATTTAGCCCATACCTCTGCCACTGGTCGCCTTGCCTCGAAGAAGTCGCCATCGGGTTTACTGTGCTGTGTCGAGTTTGCCCGTAACGTCCTACCGAGATCAATGGATACCTGGTCAATGTCCGTCGCTGAAATGCCTTGAAGCAAACTTGCGCAGGCTTCAGTCTTGATCCATTGTTCCGCCGATGACCATGGTTGTAGCGGCATCCTCTCTATATTCCTACCTTGATTCATGACCGCCATGGTCTCCGAGTCGACCGTCAGCACTCGCACGTCGCTGATTTCGCTGGACCCGGCTATCGCAAGCCACATCACAGGCACCACCCGCACCACGACCGTACCCGAGACCTCGCAACATGGCTCCAGTCCAAGAAAGACCGCCAAAATTGCAGACAGCGACGTATCGCGAAGGCATATTAGGAACAATTCTGCCCCGAACGTCAGTGGCAAGAAGAAAGTGGGATCATTAAAGCGGGTGAAGAACAGTACAGAGGTCTTGAGACAACGATCCGCCAGGTCTTCCAAGAAGACAAAACCGTTGGACACGATCCCCGACACAAGATCGGGTCGCAATTTCACGGTAGGCAACGTGGGCACTGGCGGAATCCTGTACCTCAAGTGAGTGCTGCCTTTGCGCGCAACAAGCTGAAATCTTAACCTGTCGTAGGCCATCCGCGAAACAAGCCCACCCACGTTCTGCAATATCTCCCCCCAGGTTGCCGACCACGGCGCCGCCAGCATTGGGACATGAAACCCATACTTTGACGGACCAGAAACCTGTGTCGAACCCGTCAGTCACTTCGCACACCCGTTCGGCTTCCCCCAGACGAGTCAGATCGTCGGACAGAAAGGTCGCCATACCCAATCATGTTCGCTCGCAGTCCTTTTCAACAGTCGAGGAACGTCGTCGATCCCCTTCAGCGTCCAAATCAAAGACTGTGAGGATCGTCATTCACCGTCCTGAGAATGGCCGGCCCAGCACAGCCGGTCAGTCCATTGAGGAAGAGGAGGAGGATGAAGGTCTGCCGACTCTCGAGGTCCCCATTCCACACTACCGCATTGGCACTTTCCGCTTCAGCACTCAAGGCACTCCCATGCTGCGCGGTTCGTCATTCACGATAGGATCGGCCACGCCTTCAGATATGACACCCACGCCAGGCCTCATGCAGGCCGACCAATATTTTGGTGCTCCGCCAGCGTCCAGCTTAAAGGCATTTGCAAAGCTGGACGCCGCCATTCCCGGGCAGCCCGCAGGTCGCCAACGGTCAAAGTCGCAGCTTACGACCTCTTCCAACTCAACCTCGGCAACCACGTCCACATCGGCAACCTCCATTCCGCCCGAAGTCTTCGATGATTTGACCCAAGTCTATGACGATCCTTCGGTGGTTCGGTATTGTCAGAATGTGAGGGAGATAACAGCCGCCACTCCAGCACGTATCATTGCCCAGATCTCCTCTGACTCCTTCATGGATTATGAACTGGTCTCTGACTTTTTCTTGACTTTTCGGTCCTACATGTCCACATCCACGGTTCTGGATCTCCTGATGGCACGGTTGCGCTGGGCCATTGCCCGCATGGAAGACGATGGCCGCATCATTCGTGTTCGGACTTTTGCTGCCCTGCGACATTGGATCCTGAATTATTTTATGGATGATTTCTATCCCCATCCACGGCTTCGAGAGCGTTTCTGCCACGAAGTCAATAAACTGTATGCTGATGTCAAGGCAAGCCCAGTGCATGGGTTTAGTGACCTCAAACTCTTGCGCGATCTCAAGCGGTGCTGGAATGGGCGCTGCTCCCTTTGTTGGGACCCAGCAGATTTCGATCTGGACGGCGACCAGGAGAATGACATCCAACCTGGAGGTGATGATGACTCGGAAAGCGCCCGGACACCCCAGATTGGGCCGCCTCACGTAGTGCATCCACGTTGCGACACTCCGCAGACAGAAGTTCTCCGGGGCCCGGCGCACAGTTGGTTCGAGGCCGAAGCCGTTTCTGTGCACCAGCATCACGATCAAGGCTTCGATCCAGTCACGGACTCCCTCATGAGTGACGGCAGCTTCCAGGCAACTTCATGCTTTCCTCACAAAAATCTTCTTCGTCTGGGTGCCGACCCTGATTCAACGTCGCGAGGTCCTCACCCAGTCTCCGTACAACTCAGGCGGAAAAATGCACCCTCCAATTTGCAAGTGAACACGCAGCCCAACTCCGTATCCAAAGTGTTGGGTCACAGGCGGGGACCTAGCTCGATCGATAGTAATCGTGAGCATACTCCTCGCAAGACTGAACCCGAAACCCCCGCAGTCGGTTTCGAGGATGGCGACATGATCAGAGGTCTCCTTTATAGTCCTAGCGGTCCCTTTGTGCAAATATTGCCATCAGCTTCCACGCAGTCCCTGAGCAATACGCAGTCTGGCGATTCACAAGGCCCGCAAAGGAAGGAACACGGACGCCACGGGATCACGCAGCCTATGGGCAGGAACATATTTGGGTCTCTGCGAAAAGTCCTCGGGAACAGGCACGGACACGCCGACGTGACACTGATGAGTGTTTCACAATCTACGACCGACGTTCCAATTAGAACTCACAAGGCGCCAATGCCTCTAAACGTCTCCAAGTCATATGATGAGCTTCGGGGCAAGGCTGTGCCTACCAAGGTGAAGAAAGCCGAGGTCCGCATTGATCTTCTGTGCGCTGCAGTATGTCAGAATTACGAGACTACATTTCCCACCAAACGTCAAGTCCATTATAGTGCCCTACTGGGCAAACGAACCTCGTTTGAAGCGATGGATATGGATGACAGTCAAGACAAAAGGCTGCGAATGACCAGTCATGCCACCGCTCAAAGCGGTTCAATCTTGATCGTCGATGGAACAGGCCTCGATCTGCCTGTCATGGCTGGTGCTCTTCAGGCGGACAGCCGAGGCTCTTTGCATGAAGATCCCGCCTTGATACCACTGCCTCCAGAGGTACCGGTAGGCGATGATGGACTGATGAGCGACGATAGTTTCGATGCGATTGCCACTCAGCGAAGCTCTAATCTCTTTGGAAACCAGTTGGGCTTGGGCGCTGGAAGCAACGACACCCTTGAGCAGCTGACGAGTAGTCCGCTACTACCTGAACCTGTGCAACGCGAGCATGAATTTGAAGACCTCTCACTGGACAGACGTCCACTTTCGCCTACTACCGCTAGTTCCGGCACAGTACGGGGAGGAAGCGGCTCCCTTGATATTCCTAGACCAATGACGGAGGATACTGAGTTTCAGGAAAATGCTAGTCCAGTCAATGACGACGGTGGACTATCGCACGAAGAGGCGAAATCTCATCCAGACAACAAATTACCAGCCCAGACCTTGAGGAGAAGGCCTGGGGGCAACCTGCGACGAGTGGAAAATGTTCAGCAGCTCGATCAGGCGATTCACCACTCTTCCCTCTATACTGCCAGCATTGCGTCTGTATCTTCCCATGAGTCTTTGTTACTCAGGAAGACGGTAACCCGTCGTGCTTCGGAAGGAGGGCCACGGCCTGGAAAGCCGATCTCGATGATCAATACCCACTCTTCCCAGCATCTTCGCCCTTCATTCGAAGCTGCTGTGGCAGGTTTCTCTGCCATCCCCGATGACGACGACGGTGGGTTGGAAGCGACACTCATGAAACTAGAGGGAACGTATGAGAAGAAATCACCTCCGATCGACCGGCACCCTCATGACATGGCTGGACATCGTAGGTCCTTGCCAGATTTGAGGATGACATCACAGTTGGAACTCGAGGGGCCACTGCAGCCTTCAATCACTGCTGAGCGAAGACCTGAAGAGCGTGTAGTACATGAGACAGTACAAGAACTAGGACCTGAAGACAGCCAGGAAGATTTGATCTCAGAGAAACCCGAGGTTTTGGAGATCAAACCATCGTCTTCTCGAAGATCGTCAATATTTGGGCTGCCCACCGAGTCTGTGGCCGACTCTGAAGATTCATATGGTTCTCTCCCGCTGCTCAGGCGCGAGACGGCTCACGACAGCGCTACTGAAGCAGTGCCTGCTCAGAGTAAGCACAGGCCTCCTCCTATTGCTCCTGGTTACTGGGCACAAGATCCTCCTCAATTGTTCCACTTGCCAAAAGGACCGCCACCCAGTGCAACCAAATCACGGCATAGCTTCCCTAGACCAGAGACAGCTGGCAATGATAGTAATCGATCCTTTCTGCTGGACGAGGATGAAAATCTGTCTGATTTGTCGTCCGAGATTTCGGTCGATATTATCAATTACTCCGAGATGATAGGACGCTCTATGTCTCCGATGCTCGCTGCACCAGGAACCGCCATCTCTGGACTGGAGATCCCTGCTCATCCTCTGACGTACGCCTCGGTGGTCAATCTCAACGTTCCGGAACCCACCACTAGAGTGTCGGATCCTCTCCCACAGACCGGTACCGTTCCGTCGCAGGCACCAGCATCTCTTGCTCGTCCAGGACTTCGGGCTCCTGGTTCGTCGTCTCAGATAATAACGCGACTGCCGGCTGGTCCGGCTCACTTACCATTTGTCCTTGCATGTGACTCACAAGTCCTTGCTCAGCAGATGACTCTGGTCGAGAAGTCGGCGCTCTGTGAGGTCGAATGGTCTGACCTCGTTGAAATGCATTGGAATAACAAGGCTGCGGACGTTTTGGACTGGGTTGAATGTCTTGCTGATGGAAGTATTCGTGGTATTGACTTGGTCATCACTCGCTTTAACCTTGTCGTTAAGTGGGCGGTGTCCGAGATTGTGCTCACCCATGATATCTACGAACGAGCACGAGTCATTACGAAATTCATCCACGTCGCAGCTCATGCGAGAAGACTGCATAATTACGCAACCATGCTGCAGCTAACTATAGCCCTCACATCGACGGACTGCACACGACTTACAAAGACCTGGGATATGGTCTCTAGTCCGGACAAGTCTCTGCTCAAGCACATGGAGGCGCTTGTACAACCCATTCGCAACTTCCATGATCTTCGTCTGGAGATGGAATCAGCTGATCTCAGTGACGGCTGTATTCCTTTTATTGGTGAGTCGCAGAAAGTCTTGACACAATAATACCCATGCTAATGTTGACAACTAGGTTTATATGTGCATGACTTGACCTACAACGCACAAAAACCGACCCACATCCCTGGTGGACGTGGTCAAGAGACTTTGATAAACTTTGAGCGTTATCGCACAACGGCAACTATTGTCAAGGGGCTTTTGAGGCTAATTGATGCAAGCTCAAGATACACCTTCGCACCAGTACAAGGTATTATCGAACGATGTCTTTGGTTGGCCGCTTTGGGGGACGATCGTATTCGACGTGCCAGCAAAGCTTTGGAACCATGATCGGGGACATGGTTCGGGTGTCAAAAACCACAAATCGGCGGCTGATTTCTTGTGAAGAAGCGTAAATATACACTTTCAGCGATTCAGCGACGGCGTTTTGTTTCAACAGCGAGCAACGAGGTTGGGCGCAGGTGAGGGAGGTAACGGCAGCTTTCTTTCCTTTCGAATTTTGTCCTCTTTGGGGTTATGAGCGAAGAAGCGAGCATCCTTGTCCGGAACAGTCTTCTGTTGTCCCGTTATTTGTGGCGGTTGGCATTGGAGATACACGACATCGTACGTTGGGCCACGTTAAAGGGGCGGAAGGAGGAGCATGATTTATTCAGCGGTTAGTATACATATTCGAAATGTAATTTTGGCTAATCGGCAGGGAAGGAGGAGGAATGGTGGGATCAGTCACCTACCTGGGAAGGGTGGTGTTTTGGATACCAGCGATCTGTACTAGTTAGTGTACAGGAAGGAGTATGAAAATAGGGTTGTTGTTTTGGAGAGGGTACTCCGTACATAAGTAGCGGATATGGAACATGGTGGTATGAAGGAAGACAGCGTGGACTAATTAAGCAGTACATAGGTACAGAGTGCAGAGTAACTCATACAGCTCGCTACATAGGTAGCCACTCGAGTAGTTTATATGTTTTTTGTTTGTAGATGTGTGTGTTTTGTCCTGATCATGTGTGGCGGTGGGGTGATGGAGCAAAGCACAAAAATTCCTCCTCCCGCCTAATGCTCATCTCACATGTGGTGGTGTTGCGGATGGGTTGCATTCCACCCGAGCCCGGTGATGACGGCCTCTTTGTTTCCCCCCCAAGATTGTCCCGGTTTCTTATTGAGTACGCACGCTAAAAAAGCAGAAGATACGGATTATCGATTGTTTGATTGATTGGCGGTGAGTGCGCCGTAAGAAAGAAGAAGAAGAAGAAGGAGAAGGGGTGGATTATTTGGTTGATTCGTAGTTTGACTACGCCGCGAGAAGGAGGTACCTGGCTGGATTGTCGATTGATTGATTGATTGATTGATCGATAGGTCGGTTGGTAGTAAGTGAATGAGGAAGTGAGTAAAGTGAGTGAGTGAGTGAGTAAGTAAGTGGCTTTGGGCGGACTTGGAGCTTGGTCTTCTCATCCATGCACTGCCTCATCGATTGTGTGGCGGCGGAGGCGGTGGTTGTTGTTGTCATTGTTGTTGCTACTGCTGCTGCTGCTGCTGCTGCTGCTGGTAGGCGTGGCGAGAGTATGACGAACCGTCTCCCAGTTCAGCGACTGCAGCAGTTGGATCGCTTTGTCCGACGGGCGCTGCAGAACCGGTGGAAGCTGAAGTCGGGCCGGACACGGTGGTGTTGTTGGTGTTGGTGTTGACGGCCGTGGCGGTGGAGGCGCTGGTACGACGGGGATGACTGTTGGAAGCATCGAATAATCCGCCGCCGCCGCCGCCACCGCCGTCGACTTCAGCCGGTAAGGGCAATGCTGGAGAGTGAGGTCCGCCTGTAGCGGCGGCGTAGTATCCGCCTTGAGGGTACATCGGGGGAGGAGGAGGAGGAGATTGAGATGTCGGCGGGTAATAACCTGGTCCACCTCCACCGAAAGGTACACCACCAACGGGGACACCGTACGGATCTTCCGGACGGTGGTATTGGGGATATCCGAACGCAGGACTGTACCCGTGTTGTGGTGGTTGTGGCTGTCCGTAGATTCCTCCTCCTCCTCCACCACCACCCATGTAAGTATTATTGTAACTCATTTGTTGCTGCTGAGGGTGGCGAGGACTGCCCGGTAGTGGAGGAGATATCGTCGTGGCAGTAGACATGTGTTTGAGTTTGTCATTGTTGAAGTCAAAGTCACCGTTGGGATTCTGTCCTGCCGCCGCGGTGTAGGCTGATGCTCCTGGTGGTGCTGCGACAGCAGAATCGACAACAACACCAGGACGAATAGGACCACCTGCCGCCGTTGCCGCTGCCTCCAGAGCGCGCATCTTCTTGCGCCGACGGTGACGGACGGCGAGACACGCCCAGAGGCCCAGAATGAGGAGAATCCCAGCCACACCTACTCCGGCGCCTATCCCTGCTTTTGCACCCGTGCTCAGGTGCGTTTTGTCCTTGCCACTTTCTCCTTCCGCATTGTCGGCGCATGGGAGACCGAGTGCGAATACCCTATTGTCGTGATTCGGCAGAGGTCAGTTTCGGTCAAGCGTGTTACGTATGTATCGGACGATCATCGAGATGGGAAAAGGACAACCCGTGTGTGTATCGCTTGGAGGGGGACTGGAAATGGACAAAAAGGAAAAGAAGCACCACTCACTGATTGATTATGACGCTCACTGTAGGTGTTGTGGTCGTGGATGCCGCTGCCATCGAAGCAGATATGACTGATGTGATGGATGACAGTACCGACGGAGCGGGAGAGTAGACCGTCGTAGTAAGCGTGCTGACGCACGGTTGATTGCCGATTATGCTCTGTCCGTAGTGTGTGAAACCACTTGGACTGCGTTGCGTTGATTCGAGAATCAGTATTCCATCAGGACCTTAAGTAGAGTAGGGTGAGACGTACCAACATACTGGGTCGAGATCGACCATGTCGCTGTTAACGAATACGTTAGCACCGGTTATCCAGTTCTCCAGCGTCCATGACACCAATTCCTTACAAAAAGAGCAGACGCAGGCTACTAATACTAACCTTGGACACACAGTAAGTGGAGCTGCGCTCAACATGGACACGACCCCAGTTGGTGTGGGACTGGGCGTTGTGCCTGTCCATGAAGTCGTAGGGCTCGACTCGGAAGACGATGCATCTCCATCATCTGAACCACTTCCTGTCTGTGATGGTTTGAATTCAGTAAAATTCAACGACGGGCAACATTCTGGTCTGTCGTCTGAACAACCGACGAGAGGAACTTCAAGAGACCCTCCGTTTGGGAAGTTGATGATTGTGAATTGTGGAATGCCACATCTAACACACAGTCAATATTGATCACAGCCTCTCTATGTCCAGTCTGGATGGACTTTTCCTTACGTTCCAACAAGTAATGCTTGACCTGTAAACGGCACTGTCTGAATCGCAGGGACACTTGTCGATGTGTTGCTCGGACCAGGGGACGTGGTTGACCCGTCAAACGTACTGGCAGTTGTGTAGGAACTGTACAGTGTGGTACTGCTAGGATATGCAGCAGCCGTTGTGGTGGCTGCAGTATCTAATGATGATAGTGATGACAATGAAGTTGCGGTTGTAGTAGCAGCAGAAGCAGCACTGTCGTAGACTGTCGACGAGTAGACGTTTCCGTAACTGTCTGTGCTGTATTCGACTGTTTGAGCGAGTACAGAACAATTCAACCACAGCGATAATACCAACAACAGAGAAGACCACATCATCGCCTGCAAAACTCGGTACTGAAAACTAAGTCTCTCGAAACGGACTGTCTCACGAGGGAAAACAATACTATCTGAGAGATTTGGTATGTTGAAAGTAAGGAGAAGGCAGAGGAAGAAGAAGAAGAAGCTGGAGGGGCGGGAAGACAGCAATACTTCCTCCTTTTTTCAGCCCTACCGTAGTCATCATGGCAGCATCAGTAGTACCAAGCAGCCACAGAGTGGGATACGGGTCCTCGTACTTTGTAGCTCTGTACAGTACACACTCACGCCGCAGACAAGGGTGACAAGGGTGACAAGGGTGTCAATGTGCTAAACAGGATTTGGGCTTTCTGGGGGGCTGAAAAAGGCAACATGGACGAGTAGAAAGATGAAACTTCCTTGGACGGCCTAGACTTCCGCGAGGCCGGGGTCGGGAGGAGATGCACAGCCCTTTCTGTGCAAGACACGTCTGTGAACACGAGAGATAGAGGTGGGATTGAGATGCCTGGCCAACAAAGAGTCGGGCTGGTGTACCAACGCAGGCATCTTCGGATACGAGAAGATGCATCTTTGCCCCCGTTCCCAGTGTCCAATGTGAATAGAGTGATCCCGGGCCCTTGAAAATCAACAACATAACGAGCAAGTATGATTCGCGGGAAGGATCAGTGGCTGCACGCCGAATTCAGCTCGCTACCGATTGATTGGAGAGAGGCGTTGCTGGACCCCAAAGCCAAATACGAGTTTGACGGTCACCGCACACGACTCACGAGAGTCGTGCCACGATCGACACCAGAAGAGGCCCCGGGTGGTTCAGCTCGCGCTTTGTATTGTATGTGTCGAATGGAACATGCCGGGGTTTGTGGTGAAATAATATCCACCAACCTGGCCAAGTAACCAGCATCTGGGGTTCTCAGGCTCTAAACGCTTTTCGTAAGGCTTTGAGGCTGTCCCACGGGTGATGAGAGTAGACGCTGAATTGGAGGGTATGGCCTTCGGAAGGGCCGTCCGGATACGAACGATCGTTCTCGAGCACTCTGACACTGAATGAAAGGCCCGGGGCGGTCTCGATCCATCTGAGATTTGCGGCGCCGTTAGCACAAGCGAAAGCAAAGACTTGGACAAGCTTGATAACTGCACGGAACAGACATTCGCTTTCAGCTGCCAAGACTCCAGAGTGCTAGCGTGGCAGCTTCGAAGTCTCGGCGCAGCCTCGTCCTTTGCTCTACATACAGAAGACCCGAGGGTCGAGATGAACATGGGGATTCGTTCTTCAGCTTTCCACGACTCTTTCAGACCATGTGAAAACATCGTGGTCGTAAATCTACTCTATGCATATGCTTGCTAACCAAAAACACGTACACACACTCACTAACCACCGACCAAATCGCAATCACCACCCATTCATTCATTACAGGCATTATGCAATTTTCCCAGATATATTCCCTCCCAACTTTTCTCGCTTGCTGAAGAAAGACGTTCCCAAATAACCCAGGCATAGGCAAGAAATGCACGAAATATATGTCGAACGCAAAATATGTACTCCCTCAGCTGGACGAACCAGCCTCAAGCATCCCGCACAGAGCAGAAGAAGTATGTGCATGATCAGACCGCCATGATCTCAGCAGCCCACTTCTGATCATTTGAATTTGCAGTGTCGAGTTTGTGAACGCCCTCCATGGTAGGTTGCAGATGACCCTTCCCAGCTGGCAGCGTATTGGGCTCGTCTGCACCGAGATCGGTCTTCTCACCAGCGTCGGAAAAGACCAGACTTGTCGAACGGGCAAGAACATAATTCTTGAGAACCTCGCTATTACGTGCAAAGTTCGGCCCCAGTGAAGGCTGTGGCAAGGACAAGAGTATGTTTCCTTCTTCTGTTGGATTCGGCTCTTTGTCCTTCTCTTTTTCTTTCTTGAATTTGACGCTGTCAGACACTGGAGTTGTGCCTCGGGCTGGAGTAAAGAAAATATCCGAGTCCGACCCTGCATGTGAATCACGGTGGGAGATTTCCGCTGTGGTAAGAATAACCGGTCTCTGTTCAACTTCTGCAGTCTGCGCCGGAATAACATCCACAGCATCCGTGATTATGGGTCGATTCGTCAGAGCATCATCGTGCATGACCAGGTCATTGACTATGACCTCGTTGCCTAGATTGTCACCGTCGCTCATCAAAGGAGCACTCTCCATGATTTCGGTCTCTTCTTCTTCATCGATGACAGAGGTGTCGTTGCGTCGACCATGCAGACTGGCGAAGCGGACAAACTTGGGAGGATCTGAGAGACGCTTCGCTCTTCTTGGACTTGACATGGCCTTCTCTCTTGGCGACTGCACAGTGTTTGTAGGTGTAGTGGGCGGTTCGATGGTAGCTTGTCGGGTGTCGTCTTCACCAGCCCCTATCGGAATGATAGGTGTATATTTTCCCCCAATGCTATCCGAGCTCTTTCTTTTCGAGCTCTCGGGCGTTCTCTCCATCTCGAAACTGAACTTCGTGCGCAAGTTTTCATTTTCCAACACTGGGCTCAGCTCGCTGCCATAACCCGATGGTCTCTTCAATTTCCCGCAGCAAGCGCATCTGGCATAGACTGGGGCAGAATAGATTTCCTTTTGCTTTCCCTTCCACTCGCTGGGGATTGTGACAGAGAGCGGGCCTACCACAGGATGTGCTGTCATGTTGTCATCTTCTATTGTTGCTCCATCGACCTGGGTAGGAGAAGTGACCACGGGTGTTTGGTCTTCTGTCGGGGCTTCTCGGGCTTGAAACTTTTCTTTGTCAGGGCTCTTGCCGCCCAAAGATAAAGTACGTTTCCGAAGCTTTTTCAATTTGCCCACGCTCTCCGGACTGTCGGTGTGAGATTTGTCACCACCAAAAAGGGCACCATTGAGAGTGAACCGCTTTTTCGGCTCCTTTTTAGGAGTTTCCGGAGCTCTTTCGACCGCTGGTGGTGACTCCGTAACTGATTGAGCTGGTAACTCACTGGCCGGTTGCTCAGTTTGTCGTTGAACAGTATCGGCAAGTTGCTCGTCGTCACTTTGAATTTTGGGCTGGTTATGTGGATCGTCAGCAGGGTCCAGGGATGGAAATTGCTCGGTATCGTTGACCATCATCGACACAGGGGAATCTGTTGTTCTGGGCGGACTGTCAGGTCGGGAAGATATCGCACTGACGTTGGAAATGGAATTGTTGCGGAGACTCTGAGCTTGATTGCCTGGCATTTCCTGGGGAGGTCGAGGGCGATCCGGTGAGGTACTAATGGTGCTTTGGCGAGGTCTGGAGAAATAGGAAAGAGGATTTGACACAATATCGGCGGCTGGTCGTTGAAGCATGTTCATTGACCCAAGGTGAGTAACTTCGGGACCGCGGTAGGTGGGAAGCCCACGATACATCGAAGATCCAGAACCTGAGCTCGATGGCCGCGAGGATAGCCCATTTGCAGCCATGAACGCGGCATGACCATGACTTCGAGGTCTAGGAGCATAAATGTGGCCGTGAGCATGACCTTGGATCGGGGTATGACTGTGGCTACGGGTGCTGGATTGTGACAGTCTTCGATGGCCGCTTGGAGTATGAGGTGGTGTTGGGACGTCTACCGTCGACCTTCGAGAAATCGAGTCGCGGTGCTTTTGTGCCTGGTTTATAGGAGAATGATCCTCCGGTGTGGTGGGTGGCGTTGCATTAGTTGAGCGCCTTGAGGTCGAGTGCATCGACCCTCTTGCACTAGACTGACTACCAGTTGCTGAGGCGAGGGCGTTGTGGTTGAGAGACCGGATTTCGGCAGGTGTCAGCTTTGCAACGTGTCCGCTGTTTCGAACGGCATGGCGTTGTCGCTGCTTGAGAGACTTCTGCAACAAGGCCATATCGAAATCATCTGTAAGAGACAAAACGTAAGGCATGTTAGCAATCTAGACATATGTAACCAGCCAGATAGGTGTGCCGCGGGTAACATGGCCAAACCAGTGGGGAGAAATGGGGTCAGTGGGTGTGCTCGTAAGCCTCCCATACAATGTCACCATCACCAAAGAATTGCTGGCGCGGCCGTCGCGTATTCGACAGCAGTTGGGGTTCCCCATGATAAGATAAAACTATATACTGAGACAGGAACAACTCACCCGGTGCACGAGCCGCAGGGGAGAGAGGTAGGCTGGGCATGGCTGGAAATGCGCACTGACGACCACGGACTTTTCTCCAGCGCAGTATGAAGGGTCCTTGGTCGATGCCGTCAGCACCACGGCTGGGAGACCCAGTCCGCTGGATGTCGTCGACCACTCGTTCGTAGTTGTTCGTAGATTTTCAGGTTGGTAGGTGCGACGTAAAACAGCTCCGGTAGCAGCCGTATTAACGACAAGCTGGAATGGTTTTCGACAGGAATATCCGCAGAAGCGAGAGACGATCGGTGATTACAGTCCAAGTAAGGGAGGCTGGGGCGGGTTGATGATCATCAGGGATCCAGTCAGTTATCCTTTGGAGCTCGTAATGGAAATCAAAAAGACAGACAAGGGTGAGACGTAACGAGTGTCGTTCTCATCTCTGCACGTCACTCGGTCGGTTGCGCAATAGCCGGACATCGATGATTCGAACGAGAGAAAGTGACCAGAAAAGATGGAAAAGAAAGGCAGGGAGAATGTTATGCGACGATAAGTGTACGTGATCGACAAACATTGACAGTTGCGATCTTGAAAACGAAGCGAGGGGATGGCAGCAGGAGGGGCAAGACGTCGGCAACAGGAGACGAGACTCACTAGACTTGCCAAAAAAGACTCCCTTCTTCGGTAGCGCCAGCTGTCCGGCAACTGGAGGAGGTGAAGGACGCTTCACTCAGGTCGCTAGGGTCTTGTCGCGTGATAAGAGATGTCTTTCCAGGCATTCCATGGTTTCGGGGTGCTTCCCAGCAAGACTGTGCGTGGTTTGATCTCTTCCTCTCTTTCCTCCCTGGCCGTCTTCTGTTCGCCGGGAGCAGTCGTGATGCCCTTCCCATTCCCTAGCATGGGCTCTTCCCCATGCATCCCGTGCTGGGTAGCAGCCTGACAGGTGCCACCGACGGCGGTGTAACCCAGCGGGGGATGGTGGAAATCTGTGTTCGTTGGCTGGGTTTTGGCCAGTGTCTGAGTCTGGCAGGGCCATAGCCAATAGAACGCGCCAGAAACTGCAAGGTAAATCGCCTAAAGCGCCTCGGGACGCCTCTTCTGCTACGACCAAACCTTTGCTGGAAGACTAGCGAGGCCACCAAGATGCCGTGGGCCGGGCTCAGGAATCAACGGTGGACAGTGGACGTCCGCAACAGTGGTGACAGGTGCTTCAAGTGTATTCGGATATGTTCTGTGTACAGTACATACTCCGCGACATTAAATCAATAGTTCACCACTGTCACTCTGTCAGTAAACGAAACGAAACTTGTCAGTCTGAAGTCCTGATGGCTGGACTTCAGACGTCGGCCGTTCCCCGAGTCGTCCGAAGCTGTGGATTTCCACGTTATCTTATTGCTGACGAGGCCCAAGCCGAAACGGCTGTTAAACTTATCACGATGTGAAACCCTTGTCTCTGCTTTGCCACAAGACATAGCGGAGTTACTCCAGCAAATTTCACCAGAAAGTTATCAGCAGGCTTTCGACCCGCAAGGTTGGTTGTGTTGTTGAAGCGTGTTTCCACTCCCCATCCACAACAATTTCGTTGCGGTCATGTTAAGCAAGATGTCTCATGTCCAGATCTTTGATACTTGGAATGCGTCATGTTGCTCTCCGAAATCTGCCGCGGTGCATTTACCCATCGTTATTGTTGAGCTCGCATTTACGCCGTAATTCGTCATCATTATGGACAAACACCCGCCAAGGGTCGATCTCCAGCGCCAGCAAGTGAGTGCCGTGGGATATCATATATACATTATATTCACAAAGCAAGACCTGTACCGTCGCCCGTCCACCTGTACAAGGCGAGCACCTCACGCCTCCAGTGTTGCTGCTCAGCTAGATCTTCCGGAATGCGCCCTCGGACTTGCTGTAGCGCAGACCTCATGACCTTGCGGAAATTGCGCTGCATTCCAAGTTAGTTTCCACGGCGTTGACATTGACCGGATACAAGAAGAGACTTACCTGATATTGAGTATCCAATGTGGCGACGCAAGCTTCATGAGCCCGGACGATGGTTTCACAAGCCTTGACCACATCCGGACTCACGTCGCCTTGGAGCTTGTCCGCGAATAACAGTAACAAAAAGCTGCCCTGAAGCAAATATACACCGAAAAAGAACGGCATGAAGCTCAAGTCGGGATCATTCTCGATAATCTCAGCCACGGCTTCCGCAGCACTAACGGCGTGGCCAGTCGCCGTGACAAACGATTGTGACGAGATCCACAGATCGTTATCGTCCAGCAAAGCAATAGGATCCCACTTCCCGGTCAGCAGAATGTGCAACACATGCATGATGTGCGTGCCATATGCCACCACTGTTTTGGTCTGCAAAGCCAGTTCCGAAGCACTGTGTGACTCGTTGGTTCCAGCGGAGACAACCGAGGGCGTCACAACATCATTGTGGCTTATTTCTGGGAGGTGGCCGCCGGAAGCCTCAAAGTCCTTCAAGCTTTGCCCATAGGTCTCCAGTTGCTGAACAATTTCTTCGGTATGCTCATCCCAGTTCTTGGCCTTGTTCGCTCTGGGACCAAACCGAGGGCGGTTACGCGCATGATTGAGATCCAGAATCTCTCCCAGAATGACCATCAGAGGCAGGAAATAGCCAAACACACTATGGGAGGTACATTCAATGTTTAATCCTCGCCTTCGACGAGCGGGATCCGACGCCCGCTCGAATTTGCCTGCTTGAAAAGCATCATCATCCAGCGGTTGCAGTAAACTTTCGCATTCCTTGTTGAGAAAGAACATGGGTCGATTGTAGCACAATGCCAAATGTCGGTCTTGCATGTACAAGAGCCACCACGTCCGTCGTCGTTCCTCTCTCTCCTCTTCGGACACATAGCCCCTGGGCTTCCGACGATTTTCGTCGGTGGAACTTTTGCGGCCGTCCACAGTATGGCCGTCCGTGGCACTGTTCTCTTCGCCGTCCTCCTCGGCAGGGTTGGGCGGCAGCTCACGACCGAGTCTGATCTCCCTGGCGAGCGACCAAGCAGCGTTCCACCATCTCAGGCTGGCCGCCTTCCTTTCACTTGCCGAAACTACGGTAGCGAGGTGGATGTAGGTGGCCAAATTATCGACTTGTGCACGGTCAGTTCCGTGACCATTCGCCTGCGATGGCACGACCAGCGCGCCGAGTGCTGCGTCATTGTGCGGTAGGTGCGGATAACTTGAGGTAGGGGTATGTGCAGACGTATTTGGGTGACTGTGAATTAACGGCTTCAGCATGTTGATGGTCAATTCAAGGAGCCGTTGACATATCCTAGCCCGAGCGTCCAATTGATTCGTCAAGAAAGCGGCATCACTGGTCTGCGCAGCCGTCCAGAGCATGCTGGCTAATAACGCAGGCGTACATGGCCGAGGATCAGTAGGGTGTAGGATGGACTTTTTGCGGAAGATATAGCCAAGCACGTACGGGTTGGCAGGTCGTAAATAGGCCGAGGTGGAACTGGTGAAGTATTGTTCCAGGAGATCGCATGCTAGAGCTTGTGGAAGGATAGGCTCGATATGAGGGAGGAGAGGGCGCAGGACAGGGTACCGGAGGGTATCGGTAATGCGCGGTTGGGTTGGCATGGGTTCGTTGATGAACATGGGAGAGGTCAGGGCTAACCAGTCCGGCGACTCAACCATAGGCGCCTTGCCCATGAACGCTACCGAGTAGTCATCCCCCAAAGGAAAGCCGAAACCTTGGGTAGCGCCTTGGACGTGCATAGAGTCGAGAGACGGTGCAGGGTATGCTTGGGAGGGAACAGCAAAATCGATGGTTCGGGGTTGTGCGATCTGGGGTACCAAAGACTGGTCTATCTCATGCATTGGACCACCATTGTTCATGCCCATGCCCGTTGTAGGGTCAAAACCGGCGAAGAAATTGTTCTGGGGGTGGTGGCCTGTGTCAAATGTCGCACTTGGTGGAGTGTGGTTGGAGGGCATGCCGTTGGCGTCAACTATGTCGACCAGGGAATCTCGTGTGGTGTATGAAGTGTTGGAATATTTCCTGACACCAACATCTTGCCTCATGCTCGCAGGATTTGATGTGGGCGGAACATTCGCAATGGCCGACTCCTCGTTCTGATCTGCCTCCTTCTTGGGTGCCCTTCCTCGCTTTTTGTGAGCTCGTGCGTACTCACACACCAAAGAATTATCGGTACAGTGGGCACATGGTTGTTTTCCATCGCATTTTGTGCGCAGCTGGTTACACTGGTCGCAGGCTCGACTGATTCTGCGGCGAACTGCTGCCGAGGCATCGTTGACAACGCTGCCGTCCAGTTCGGATTCCCTCCTCTTGCGGCCTGCCTGTAGATTGGAATCCGACTCATAAGACTGTTGGTTTGAGTGGAGGATTGAGGAGAGCTGCTGGGATTGCGATTGCGACTGCGACTGCGAATTCAGCATGTCCGGCCTCTGGCCGTACTCATGAAATTCGGCGTAGCCATTGTGGGATTGTGGGGGAATGCGGGAGAGCATCTTGGACAGCAACCGTGAGCGACGACGGCAACAGCAAGTGCTGCTGTCACATCTCAGAGGGAGCAGTTCTTGTTGGGTTCGTCGCCAGATGCAGTGCTGGACGAAGCATGCAACAGTGAAGAACACACAACCAGACCAAGACCAAAAACACAGTCTGGAGGCTCAGGTAGGCAATGTTACCGGCGGGAGAAATGGAGAAAGATGCCGGTGTCGGTGGCGCGGGCGTCAAAGTGGTGATGCTTTGTGGATGGTGGAGCGTGGAGCTTCCGATTTTCACTCACATGAGTCGAAGGAGGAACAGCACGCGGCAGTGGTGCAGCGCAGGGGCCCGGCAAATGGTATACGAGGATGGTGGCTGCATGTTCTCGTACGCGTGCAACAAGAAAGGTGATCAGAAGACTCTCCAATGCCAGGGCGTTGAGTCGCACTGTGCCACAGACACGCGAAGAAAAAGCGTGGTCTCACTAGCCGTGGTCAACCCGGGCTGAGGGTGCCGAGAAGGGGAAAATGAGGAGCAGTACGAGGGGGAGGAGGAGGAGGATTCGAGGAGCAAACGGGGTACAGGATGGTGTTCATTGATTGCGGCCGCCGCTCTAGTTAACCACTCGCACACCGTCGGCAACAACTGGCTGTGGCGGGCATGCCTATTTTGCTATACCCAACCTGGTAGGTAGAATAGTCACGGTTGCAGTACTTCTGGGGGGTCGCTTCGCTACGCCGCTGACTAGCAACCCGTACAGGTGCGAGTACAGGTACCCTTGCCCCCCTAGGCAGGTCCCTAACAAGACCTAAGTTAGTCCAGATAACTCCCTGTAGCCTGTAGCCTGTAGCCTGTAGCCTGTAGCCTGTAGCCTGTAGCC